CTTCCATAAGATCCGTATTTAACCAGGCGAAGAGTGGAAGACGGCTTTTCGTACACGATATGGACTCTTCGAGTGGAATGTGACACCATTTGGACTTACAGGAGCACCCGTAACCTTCCAACGGTATATCAATCAGACACTAAGGGAATTTCTGGACGACTTTGTCTCTGCGTATATAGACGATATTATTGTCTATTCAAACAGCTTACGGGACGATCATCAGCTTAAGGTCAAGAAGGTCCTAGATAAGCTACACAATATAGGTCTCCAGTGTGATATCAGCAAATCAGAATTCGAACAACACACAGTTAAATACCTAGGATTTATTATATATACGGGATAAGGGATATACATGGATCCGGCAAAGGTCGAGGCAGTTCGTGCATAGACGACACCACTAACAGTGCGGGACATACGGAAGTTTCTGGGCTTCGTAAACTTCTACCGGTCATTTATACTTAGCTTCGCTCAGATCGCAACGCTTCTAATGCAACTCACACGAAAGGACATATGATTTGACTAGACGGACAAGTGCCAACAAGCGTTTACGGACCTAAAGGAACTGTTCATTAACACACCGATCTTAGCACACTTTGAGAAAGACCATGAGACGGTGGTAGAAGCAGATGCGTCCGGGTGGGCCCTAGGCACAGTCCTCTCCCAGCGGCAACACAATAGGGATTTGGCGCCATGTGCCTACCTATCCTAAAAACTATCACCTGCGGAAGTGAACTATAAGATCCATGACAAGGAACTCCTAGCGATCGTGCATGCACTACAAGAGTAGAGGCCAGAGCTAAAAATGGTCCCGAAGTTCACGATCATCACCGATCATAAGAATTTACGCTACTTCCAGAGAGCACAGTATTTAAGTGAGCGACAGATGCGTTAGGCAAGCTTACTTTCCAAGTTCGACTTTGAATTACAGTACCGACCTGGTAGGCTTGCAATACGGCCAGACACGCTATCTCGGCGTGGACAGGATATCCCCCAGGACATCACGGACGAACGGCTCTCTAACCGGTTTAGAGTGCTATTAAAGCGAATAAGAGTCTAAAGGACCTAAGCTAGTGCTGCAGCTAGCGATAGTAGCACCCAGCTAGACTTCAAGGTAGAAGTCCAAGTATTTAAATTAAGCGAATAACAACAGGGATAGACATATGCACGCACAACATATTAGTCCTATCAGGCTATTTCAGAGGCCCTACACAAAGGCAATCGCCGACTAGCAGCTGATACTGGCGTTAAGACGAGCCTAGCAGAATGTCATTTGGACGAATGAGGACTGCTGCGATTTCGAGATTGGATTTGGATACCCAAGAACAAGAACCTGCGTACAGGGATTATCCAACAAATTCACGACTCGCACATTTCCGGACACCTAGGACATGACGCAACGTACGCGATCCTCTCGCGACGATTCTTCTGGCCGGGAGCAGCGAAGGACGTACGACGATTTCTCCGGAACTATACGGTCTGTGGACGAAGCATAATATAGAGAGACACAAAGCATGGGCTTCTTAAGCCGCTACCAATTCCGCAGCGTATCTGGGCAGAGATATCAATAGACTTTATCACGGAACTACCCCCATCTGGACCGAACGGGGCAACAAACTGCCTGGTGATCACCGACCGGCTGACTAAAGGGGTGATCCTGGTTGGGATGCGCGATATTACAGCCGAAAGCCTAGCAGATACCTTTTTAAGGCATTTCTACATATATCACGGACTCCCACTCACGATCACAAGTGATTGGGGAAGCTAATTTGTAGGAGGCTTCTGGAAGATGGTCTATACCCGTTTAGGGATACAACAACAATTATCCACAGCCTTCCACCCCCAATCAGACAGGTCAACAGAACAAGCAAACCAAAAGGTGGAACGAATATTACGTATCTTCACGACGTACATATAAGACAACTAGAACGAATTGCTCCCAATCGTAGCAGGCGCTATCAACAACCATGATACAGCATCCACAGGCCTTTCACCCTTTTTCTTTACGCATGGCTATCATATCGATCCCATTATATTAGAGGAAGCCACACCAATAGAGATACGAACACCTCCCGAGAGGTCCGGACAAGACTTCATACAACGACTTTAAGACGCGACAGAATAGGCACAGTCGGCCATCGCAGTAGCACAAGAGACACAACAGGACCAGGCCAACCACACGTGACAAGCAGCGCCTATCTACCACAAGAATGATCATGTCTGGTTGAACCTACGTAATATACGGACGCAATGTGCCTCGAAGAAGCTCGACTAGCTACACGCTAAATATAAGATTGTGGACGTACCAACCCCACACACGGTGAAACTGGAGGTCCCGACAGGAATACAACCTGTCTTCCACGTAGATCTCGTCCGTCCAGCTGCAACGGACCCATTGCCGTCACAAACAATAGATGACACGCAGCCGCCACCAATCATGGTCGATGGGGAACGGGAGTACGAGATCGAAGAAGTACGCGACATCAGACGACGCCGCGTAGGGCGCGGTACGCGCACGGAAGCGCTGGTGAAATGGTCAGGATACGCAGAGTTGACGTGGGAGCCCATCGATGAAGTCAAGGACTGTACAGCACTTGACACATACGAACGGAAGTTTGGGAGAGTCATTTCCAAGCTAACACACGCGACCCGCGTGGGTTTGGCGCGAACGGAGGGAGAGGAGGGGTACTGTCACGGGCCGAAGCCCTATGTTGGTCACGGAAGCACGTGACCGACCACACATGTCAGAATAAAGGCTTATTCAGCAGCATGTGGCACCCAATGGGGTCCAATTGTACAGATGTGTGTATGTGTGTTCAATTCTGCTAAATCTAAGGGGTAAAAATACAGTGTAGGTTTACGTAATCTCAGGCAGTAAGGCCTCTATCCGACACACCCCCTCAGCTGCAGCCGTCTTCGCTGTAGCTGCTAGGCCACATGCGAGGCTATTCACACTGCAATTTTCGGGTGCAAATTGAAATAAAAACAATAAAACAAATCAAAACACGCCCATTAGGGCTCGCTGATCAAGTGCCTGACGTCCACCAAGTTTAGCAGCCGAATAAAATTCTCATGCTTCTGACGGGGTAGGACTTTGGTTAGACCATCTGCTATCATGTCGGCGGTGGCTACCCACTGCACATGTAGCCTGCCGGCGGCTACCTCCTGCCGTAGCCATAGCCCATGGATGTCTACATGGCGCAGCTTGGTGTCCAATGGGTCCTCCGAGGTTATCAGAGCCACTGTCCGGGTGTTATCGCACTTGATGGAGATGGGGACGCCTGGATCGAAGTCTATACGTGAAAACATGCGTTTCCACCAGGCTAGTGACTTGCCTGCGTCTGATAGCGCCAGCAGCTCGGCTTCAGTGGTCGAGGTAGTGACAGTACGCTGTTTGGAAGCCTTCCAGTCCACAGGGCCACCGAAAATCTTGCAGATATACCCAGCAGAGCTCTTGCGGTCCACATGATCACCAAATGAGGCGTCACTAGACATCTGGACAGCGTCCTCAGCGTCCGCAGAGTATTCAATAGCAAGATATCGCGTCCAATACATATAAATTATGACTCGATCGACCGCTGTGAAGTGTTTCGGGCCTGGATTGACTAAGAATTGAGCCAATTTGGACGCCATTTTAGCGGTGTCGACACGTGTGATAGTCGAAGGATAGTTGATTGAGCCAACTTTCTGCTGATACAGCCTGATTGAATCACGGTCCGCGGTCCCCTCATAGGACTCCAAATCCTCCAATACACCTGGTGTAGGCACACAGGGACGGTCAGTGAGGTTAAATTTAGCTGCCATGGCAGCGATATAGCTGTCCTGACAGAGCCAGAGCTTCTTCTGGGTCCGGTCCCGTATAATTCGGATGTTTAGAAACCACTCCGCATCACCGTGATCAGTTAAATTCCAGTGGGATTCAAGTGCGTCTTCTAATGCTCGGGCACGTGCTGATGCATGGGGCCAGGAGGCGATCAGAATATCGTCCACATAAAAGAATACGATAATGCCTCTGGTCACGAAAACGCATGGGTCTTCAGCAACTTGGTCCAATCCGAGTTTTCGCAAGACTCGTGCCGCCTCTTTTTGCCATAATTTAGGTGAAATTCGGAGTCCGTATAATGCCCGAAGAAGTAACCAACACTTTCCTTGGGACCTAAATCCATCTGGAAGCTCGGTATAAATCTCATTTTCTAGTTTTGAGTTTAGAAAAGCATTCACCGCGTCCCGCTGTCGGAGGTCTAAATCATAGGCAGCCACCAAGGCGAATAACATCCTCGCAGTCCGCGCAGCAAGCGTTGCCGCACGTTTCTCCTCACTGGAGACTGTCTGTAGGTCGCCGCGCACGCAGATACGTGCTTTATGCTTCAAAAGGAAGCCATTGGTGTCAAATTTATAGGTGTATACCCATGTCAGGGGTAGCACCTGCATCCCCTTATCCCTTGGGGTGGCTACTGTTCTAGAGGTCTCTTTAGCTGTCAAACCATCTAATTCAACCTTCATGGCAGCTATCCAGGCATCCTTATGTGGGTGAGTAAGCACTTCTTTATAGTGTCTTGGTGGTGGTAAGAGCCCATCCCGGTGTATAGAGCCTGGCTTAGGGGTCGCTGGGCATGTTGCATAAGCTTCCAAATAAGCAGCAGGCTCCTGTTCAACAGGCATATCTTCAATATCGAGCCTCTGGTAGCTCAATTGGGTACTGTATACACTGTCTGGGTCTCTTTTCTTATGTCGGGTCCGGGGTCCCTCAATGATGTTTAGTGTTGAGAAATCACTCATGTTGCGATCTTGGATATGTGGCTGCTCCTCACTTAGGAGTTCAGAATGCCTCGCTTCAATGGTCCCCGATTGTATCAATTGCGATGAGGGTTGAGGAGGGGTTGTAGTGGCTTCTTGAGGTATTGGAAATGCTCCTGGGATATTTTCGTGAGGTCGAACTAGAGCTGGTGTATAACTAGGCGACTCTTCTGAAATACTCGCAGGCATCGGTGTTGTCTCGGGTGTTAGGACTCTTTTCGACTGTATACATACATCCCCCCCCCCTGATCTAGCGTTGATTCAACGGCTGATTCAACGGTTGATCCTATAGGTGTAGGTAGGTAGGTGTCCATGTCGTTGGCGAGCTGGTCCTCAGGTGTATATTCACGTTGTTGCTGACGCTGGTCCAGATGCTGATTTACACACTGATTTAGGTGTGTAACTTCCGTAGTGACGGGTTGATTTACGTGCGAAAGCTGAGGCAAAACTGGCCTAGTTGTGCGCGTGACTGAACTTTGTGGAGTTGTGACTGAGCGATAACTAGCCTGCAACTGAGGTGTAACTGAGCTAGTTATGGATGAGTTTTGTACAGAGTTTTCATGCCTACTGTCGACGGCGTCCAATATGGCTGTAGGTTCGCTGATAGGCTGTGTTGGCTGGTGTTCAGCTAGGACCTCGCTATTGATAGGCTCACTGTCATCGTAGGCGCCTCGCTGACGGGCTACCTCCCTCGCTGTCGCTGGCTCCAGGGCTGCTGCCGGGGTTGCTTCTGGTGTTACAAGCTCGTTTAGACCTTCTAGGACAGCTCCTGCATGGTCTTCATGTTCTAGAACTATCGAATAGTTCATCTGTTGTATGGAAATTGGCACATTTCGGGGTATATCAGGCTGGTATCGCCGTGTCTCGTCAAATACAGCGTCCCGAACCATCCGAACCTCGCCATGTACACTTTTCTCGCTGCGTGGGAACCATATCTTCCAGATATTTGATGCAACAAAGCCTACCAAATAGCCTATCTCGGCCTGGGCTTGCATCTTATCCAATCGAGGCATATTCCTGATCCTGCAGTACGCCAGCGAGCCGTATAGCTTCACATTAGCTAGGTTCAGACGTGGAGCCGTCCCTTTGGCAAAGTCTCGGGCTTTGTCCCATGGAATTAGCCAGCTGCCGTCGTCCAATCTCGTCGGCGTGCGGTTTAACAGATATACCGCTGCAGCTACAGCTTCAGGCCACAGGTTATCGGGTAGGTTACCCTCCTTCAGTAGGCACCTAGTACGCAAGACTATCACCCCCCCCAGACCTCTCAGCAGGGCCATTCATCTCCGGGGTATCTGGTACGGTGAAGTTATGCACGAATCCAGCAAAATTTAGCATCAGAAGCGTGTTATTATCCACAGATCTCTCGTTATCTGTATGCCATACGCGAATTGGGATCTTTAGCCAGAGAATTGCAAACGCGCAGAAAGATCGAATTGCTGTCTGAATATCACGCTTATGGACGTGGGACATGGCCCAGTGGAAGCGTATGCCTTCGACATAGAAGTGTGAGATCCATCTATGGCCATTGTAGCCAGTTCTCATCTCCACAAGGTCGTAGAAGACACGTCCACAGCGGCCATAGTGTCTCCCAATTGTCCTACGGGATATTTGCTTCCTTGGGCGTGATAGCTCGCATGTCTCGCATAGATCTGTGGTTTTAGGCTTTCCAGGGGTGAGGATTACACCGTCTACAAGCTCTGGGAGCTGTTGAATAGCCCCTTGATAGATGTGGCCTAGTCTGCGGTGCCATATCTCCTCTGTTCCCGGTGACTGCAGGGGTCTCTCAGACGTCCTCTCCAGCCGTGTAGGCCTTGTTTTGGGTCGTGTAGCGTACGCATTAGGTTCATGGACTGGGCACAAGCGCTGATCATGTGGAATTGGTGCTAGCTGACATAGATACAAGCCATTCACCTTACTGCGGTAGGTGGAGAATATAGGGATATTATCACGGATCACACACTGGTTTTGAATGTTCCAGAAGCCTCCTTTTTCTTCCAGCAGGCCTACAGAGATCAAATTGCAGTGAAAATTAGGTGAATACAGGCAATTTTCAAGGGTGATTGCAATTGGGCCTGAAATAGGGTTCATTCCCCAGAATTTCACACGTCCACGGCCTATAACAGGCGTTGAACCATCTCCGGTTTTCAGAGCGTCTGTATAGGGACGAAAAGTCTCAAATAGGGCTTTATCGTTACAAACATGTACGGTCGAGCCTGTGTCCATCAACCATTCCCGTGAAGAATCTGGGAGAATGTTGTGGGTGGCGAACGCAGAGTTGATCAGGTTCAAATCGGTTCGGGCATTGAATTGATATCCAGGGGTACCTTGATGAGCATATTGCCTAGTGGCTAGGGCTTGATTTTCATTCTTCGGGGTCTCATCGATGCCTGCCCAGACTTGCTTGAGGTCCACTTTGAGTTTCTCCTCAATCCACTTTGCCCACTTTGGGTCCGTATTCAGTGTTTGCTTTGTTCTTTCCACCCGATTTGGGAAAACACGCCATCCATTTGGTCTCTTTGATGGGTTTAGAAGATAGCATTCTATAGCTGTATGGTTGACAGATCCACACGGGCATGTACGTGATTCAATGTTGCCTGTTTTAACAACTTTCTTTGTAGAACCATACTGGCCCCTTGGGGTAGCTGTCGGTTGACCCTGGAGTGATGCCATAGTCGCAAATGCAGCATTACTGGCGCCCTTAGGGATCACTGTTGGTTTTAACTCGCGATATTGGGTGCGGAAGTCAGCTAGTACAGTCTCAATCTTAGCTGTCTTCCATAGCCCACTGACTGCATATTCGGCCATGTTGCGACTCCACCAGGTAGGTAGTACAGCCTGTACAGCTGTTAGGAAATCTAATATAGCCCCCTGGGCCATATCCACACCGGCAGCAATAGCTTCTCGTCGTGTGTTATCCCATTCAACAGTCCAGTTAAGAACATCTACCCCCCTCATAGGAGGTGTCAATTTCATTCGATTCCATCGGTAATAGATCTCAATTTCTCGCCCACCTATACGCCCAAAGCGTTCTTTTAGGTAGATAAGCTTCTCAATGGTTGTACCGAAGCCCATATCGTTCAATTGGTCTACCACAGTGCTGTCGACGCAGTCCGAGATGTGTTTTTCCACCGCATTGAGTCCTCTGTTCTGAGGGCTCCATTTCTGGAAGCGAGCGTTGTAGAGCTTCTGGCATTTCTCCCAGTTCTCCATTTGCTCCTTGGTAGCGTCGTTTGAAGGGATATCGACGTCGTCCTCCGGCATAGATAGAATCTTCTTTTTCACGTCTTCAACCGGCAGTGAGGGGTCGACGAGGTGCCAGACCCCATTGCGTTCAGCAACGCCCTTGATCTGTCCAAACCATGTCTTCCACTGCTCTTCATTGTGTAATTTAACGCCTTGCACGGTGGCGGACACCACGGTAGTTTTATCGGACATATCAGATGCTAGTCTCAAAGGTTTTAGCGTCGAAATTGACTGGCCGCATCTGTCTGGAGGTTGACTGGTCGTGCTCGAGTTTTGACTGGTCGGTTCTCGAGTGGTCGGTTTCCAGGATCGCGATCCAAATAATCGATCTTTTAGCAAGATATGAGTGAATCCGGGCTCATAACTGTCAGAATAAAGGCTTATTCAGCAGCATGTGGCACCCAATGGGGTCCAATTGTACAGATGTGTGTATGTGTGTTCAATTCTGCTAAATCTAAGGGGTAAAAATACAGTGTAGGTTTACGTAATCTCAGGCAGTAAGGCCTCTATCCGACAACACATGTTGACACACGAACATACACGGAAAGCTCCTTTCTTCAAGATTAATGTAAACAGCATGCCGGCCTAGTTAGATTGAATCAAGTCTTGCTACAGCCCTCCACATCACACCCATCTTGCCTAGGTGCATCTTCTGTTTTTTTTCTTTCTTTTCTTTAAAAAGAAAATCCCTCCACCAACACTTTTAGCTCATATTATACTTCTTAAGCCAAATGTCATTCACAGTCCTTCCTTCAGGATGTGGAGTATGTGGGAAGCAAAAGGATCTTCAACGCTGTGCAGGCTGCAAAGTGATACCTTACTGTGGTCGCGCCCGCCAAACTGATCACCGCCAATTAAACAAATCTGCGTGCAATGCAATCAAAAAATGTCGAGTGTCTATGGAGGTTGAGGAACAGGAACTAAGAGATCACCCGGGAGACTTAACCATGCTGCTGCACCCCTTTACCACCGCTGTTGGTCACTTCTGGGGTATTTACCAGCCCGTTTTGCGCTAACGGAGGCAATCGGCCGTATCCACAATGTCGAAGCCACGGAGACACAGCTGGAGCATCTCATGGATATGCTTCGTTTGTGCCACAGCGACAATATGGGCTTGCGAAGCCTGGTACCTGCTTTGATGCTGCGTTTGAATAAGGACCAACGGTGCTATGACTTTATCAAATGGTGGGCTACGGATCGTCCTGGCTATGATTGGGGTGACACCGACTTGCCCTATCTCGACATCAATGGTGCCAATCCTTTTGAATCTGTCAACCAACACGTCGGGGCTTTTGTCGTTCTCAGTCCCACTGTCTCTCTCACTCTGCTGAAAATCAAATTACTTCTTGATTTAATGAAGATCGGCCATTCAACTTCAACTGTCGGCCCTAAAGTTCCCCGAGAAATCCTCAATCTCATTCAGACTTCCATTCCCCAGGGTCCTCTTGTCCGAGAAAACCGTAGCATTATGGGAAGGGGGGGATCAGGATCGACTGACCTACATTGAGAAATTGAAGGGACAGATTGATCAGTTGTACGAGAAAACTGACGCTGCTAACGCATATTTCTGGCCCCATTTGGTAAACCCTGGACACGATCTAGGCGACAGACCTGCGGCTTACTCAATGGGAAGTGTGGAAGAAATGACGTTGGCTTTGCAGTGGACCTATGCTGCATGGACTGAAACTCCCGGGGCGATTGACTTCCTCAAAGCGAAACGAGCAGGGAGTATTTGAGGAACAAGATTGATTCAAGGGCAGAGTCTATTCTCACCCAATTAACCTATAAAAATAGACAGAATATTTGAAGTTCTAGTCAATTCTCTTGGACTTTCGGAAATGAATCTATCCGTGTCAAATTTTTAAATTCAGTAAAGTCAATGATGAAAATAGAGTAGATGTATGAGAACTTGAATGTGAAGATCTGCGTTCTTTAACCGATATACGCGTCAGCAAATCCAACTTATTACATATGCTCGGAGAACTTGAGTACATAAAGTACACTGGCATAAGTGGAGATAAACTCGGCCTTGATCACTCAATTGGGTATGGACTTGCGAATCCAAAAAAATTATTCCTTGGCTGAAGACTAACATCATTCATAGATCAACAGAATGATATGATGATATACCTAGAATTGAAATAGAATCTATGGAGAATCTAGACTACATCTGAAACACTACGTCATGTACGCGACCTCAAAAAGGAGTATCACAATAAAATCTTTTATAGAAATATTCTTATTTGATAATGATAATATAACTCCACAGTTCTTCAATGTGGAGAGTCTTCTAAACTGTCCATAGACACACGTACACGATGATCTCTCTGTCTATCCGATGGGGTTGATGGAAGTTCCGATATTGCGAGTTCGTTTCTCCCGAGGTCCTTGAACTCGTCCTTGAATCTATGGACTATTTAACAGCCCAGGAAGAACCTTGGAAGCTAATAATATCGGTCAATTAAACTGTTTCATTACTTCATTCTGATATTTGATACCATGAAAGTCTCCGTTCTTTTCCAAATCGCACTTGTCAGCTTGGTATCTGCCACCAGAAATTGTGATTCCTCATCCCTCAACAAGACTGTCGGTACCTACTACGTGAAGGATGGCGAATCCATTGCCCATATTTCCCGTATAACAAATCGTGGAATTTGTGACATCGCTCGTCTGAACCGGATGGCCGATGCTATGCTTCCCCTGACAATCGATGAGGAACTGATTATCCCACCGGAAGTCTGTCAGCCCGACAATTCGACATGCTTGATTACCCACCACCCCGGTGCTACCTATTCTGACTGCGTCAAAGGCGGACCAAATACCTACTACACTCTTAAAGGCGATACATTGCGCTACATTGGCTTAACCTCACTATTGAATCTTTAGAGTCAACTGCTCAGGGTGACTTTAGCGATGTCGACGCTGAGGTTCAGGTCGGCAACTTCCTCAAACTCCCACAGTGCAGTCCTAGTACCTGCTCTTTTCACCCGAAAACATTCACCTATGGCACATTCAAGGATATTGCCGATAAGGTTAACACTACACCTGGTCAGATCATGGGATTGAACCCCACGTACAACCATACCGACGTTGGTCGAGGGGAGGGAGCTGTTATGACTCTACCCCATAGCTGCGAGCTTACTGGATCCAAGATCACCGTGATCTCTTAAGAGTCTCTTAAGGAGCCTTTTGATGGGGCCTTTTTCAGGTGTGGAGTGACTTTTGGGGATTTCTATTCTTGCGAATAATCTCAAGTGCTTCTGCATACTTGTTAATTACGAGCAAAATTGGTCAATTTATAGAAATACACATATTTCAACCATATCAAATTCTCACTAAAAAAAGAATTCTTTGATTTCATTTGATTTCATTTTGAGACCGCTCATACATGATGACAGAAGTCCCACGTCCTACTCCTAGGTAGTATTATAGCAACTTGAAATTACGATTTTGGAAAGCCACAAGTACTTCAAGTTGGCCGACTGCTTTATCTTCATGAAATATTACAATTGATTATAGCCTCCAGGGCTGGAGGGTAGATGGGAAGAATCGTGGCCGTGGTAGAGCTTGAATTCTGTGATACAATTTCATAGGATACCAGCATCAAGCCTCCAGGGCTTAGATATCTAAACTGATGACCGGATCGCTATTGAGACTTTCACTTGGGGGTGATTAATTAGCTTTGATACCTAGAGCCGATGAGAAGGATCTACATCAATCTCAAGATGACTTTCAAGCTACTAAATCCTTGTACTGAGATTAAAGAAAGAGCTGATTAATTCATAATGTAGAGTGACCATTACCTGGATTTTTATTAGCAAGTCAAGTAATATCGGGTAAGCGATATCTCCAGGGTCGTGATGAGCATCTATCCCATGCAAAGTCCTCAAGACAAATCACCCATAATATCCTCCTCCATTTCCAGCCCAGTCACTCCACCAATTTCAGACTTCATCCCTCCAGCAGGGGGCCATTGTTGGCGGTTGACAGTATTGTCAATGAATTCATCGCTTAGTCCAAGCCTGTGATTCGCCTGTTCCATGCTGCCAAACAGACCCTCCATCAACTTCCCCTGAGTTTGCAAATTTGCATGTACCTCATTCTCCCGGAATAACAGAGGCGAGGACCCCGCTCTAAACCGCAAAATCGAACTGCTAGAGTGGGGTTGAGAATGCACCAATGTCGCATCCAGATCACCAGCCATGATGAGTGATGCTATCTGGGATTCGGAAATCTCGCTAAGACTCCCCTGGAAGGGTGAAGCTGAGGCTGTAAGTTCTGCCACTGTTAAGGAGGCCACAACCTTTTTGATCTTTACCAGGGAGTGCTTGGAGAATGCATTGACAACCTGGAAAACAAGGCCCGTATTCTTGTCCTAAAGTTAAGATTAGTCGCATGATTATCATTTCTACAGGGAAAAATTGACTCACTGCACTCCAAATACCTTGGGCAGCATCTACCTCAGCCTCTAATCGAATTTTATTGCCTTGTTCAAATGCTTTGGCAAGATCGAGGTACGGCTTGACAAGTGATTGCAATGTTTTCACCACCTGGGTTGAGGTGGGATTTGGAAGAGAGCACAGCTGACCCAAGATTTAGCGACACAACTTCAATGACCAGAACCTATAATGGGAGATCCTCACCTTTCCTTTGTCCAGTAGTCCTACCAGAATGAACTTTTTGTAAGCCTCCACCGCAATCATGCTTATGGCCCCCTTTGTAGGGGTGGATATCGCAGTTCCCAGATAATTTAATGCCTCATCCCACTTCTTCAGAGCCATAAAGATCATGCCTCCATAAAGGAAATATTGAAGATAATCTCCGCTGCTCGGTGTGGAGGAAAGCCCTGTAGTATCATTCACAAAGGCTATACTGGACTCGTATTCTGCACAGAGACTTTGTAACGATCTGAAAGGAGAACGGGTTGGGAGGATCGGAATATGGTAGATCAGTTTTTCTAGCACCGGCAAAGCACAAGTGTAAGCTTTAGCGGTGAGGCAAAGTTGGACGAGGAGCAGATGAGTCGATGTAAAGACAGCGCATGAAGGGTCAAGTCGCAGCATTGCACCTTTGACCAATCGAGCAGCCAAAAGGGGCTATTCCGAATTAGTTGAGTGGGTTTTGAGATAAAGTCTGGACCAAGCAAACCGAAACAGGACTTACCTTTGAATCAGCCTGTGCTGCTTGTACTAGAAGTTCAATTAGCTGGCGCCATTCGTGGCCAGCATATCTGACTTGGACTGGGTTAAAGACCTCCAGATAGTGCGCTGATTTTGACCACAATTTCCCCAAAGGAAGCAGGTCTGCGGGAAACGTCCCACTGGCTGCCTCCCGAAGGGTACGGATTTGTAGTTGAAGAAGAAATAAGTAGGTGATTGAGTCTTTGGAAGGATTAAATTGCTAAATCAAATTAATAAACAGCCCTCTCTAGGGGGGAAAAAGGAAATTATGAGAAGTGCTTTGGAGGACCAGTGATACTCACATCCAAGAGGCTCTCATCACGAGCGACGTGGTCTAACTCATTATTCGATAGCAACTGGCGGAGACGCGTAATATGATCCTTTAGTTTCTGATCATATCTTTCATCTGATATTCTGCCTGATCTGGGAAGAGCTGCCGATGCCGCAATGAGGTCATTGACAATAGACATCCTGGTGGAGCGCGAAGCCACACACACGCGTTGTCTGTTATTGGTTGATTTGATTCAGAAATTCAGCGGTATTGATAGCCTTTCAAGGGAAAAAGGGTCAAAACGGATAGTAAAATAAGAGGGGTTGAGTTAAAAAGAAGAAGGAGAGAAGGACAAGATGTGCGGCTGAAAGTTGAAGTGGTGAGGAGGACTTGTTTGAGGAGAGCTATGGAGTAGGTGGGGAGATAAAGAGAAGCTGGGTGAATTCCCCACCGCTCCGATTGTGCCCCTCGTCTTGACTCATTGCAACTTTTTTTCCCCTTGAGTTATCTCCGGATCTTGTTAATTTACCCCTCCATTTCCTCCATTTACTTTCTTATATTTTGTCACATTATTCAATTCCATACAAAGCAGGATAATGTCGCTGACAGACTCCGCGGCCATTGATGTGGCTCGTAGCGCCTCGCTCGCCTCCCGCCAACTAGCCGTTCTTTCTAACGAAGCCCGAAATGAAGCCCTCACAGCCCTTCACCAAGCCTTGGATCAAAACAGATCTACTATTCTAGCAGCAAACGCTAGAGATGTTGAGGCTGCCACCCGGGCTGCCGAAAGTGGCGACCTAAACCACAGTGTGTTGAAACGTTTGGATCTCTCTCGGCCTGGGAAGTATGAGGATATGCTTGAAGGCATTTTGAGTGTACGGAATTTAGAGGATCCCGGTATGTCTAAAATCTGGATTGTTTGTTCTTCATGGCTATAATGCGATATGCCTTATTGTGGTAGAATGCCACTAATCATCTTGAATGATATGCAGTTGGAAAAATCACACTACGGACTTTGTTGGATGAGGGATTGACCCTGGAAAGAGTCAGCTGCCCTATTGGAGTCTTACTGATCATCTTCGAGGCTCGTCCTGAGGTGATTGCCAACATTGCTGCCTTAGCCATTAAGTCAGGCAATGCTGCAATCTTGAAAGGTAAAACGAACCGCCTTGTACATGTAAAGTCCGGTTGACACTGACTGACATCCATCGAACAGGTGGCAAGGAATCAATGGAGTCATTCGTAGCCATTGCAAATGTGGTCTCTGATGCCATCGCCAGCTCATCAGTACCGGTCTCCTCAATTCAACTCGTGAAGACACGAGACGCGGTTTCCTCTCTCCTCGAACAAGATTCGCTTATTGATCTCGTGATTCCCCGAGGATCCAACGAACTGGTTCGATTCGTGAAAGACAACACCAAAATTCCTGTTCTTGGACACGCCGATGGTCTTTGCTCCGCCTACATTCATTCGGACGCCAAGCTTGGAACAGCAGTAAAGGTGATTGTGGATGCGAAGACGGATTACCCAGCGGCCTGCAATGCCCTGGAGACCCTCTTAGTCCACGAAGATGTCTTGGACACCATTTTCCCCGCTGTCGCAAAGGCTCTTATCGCTAAGGGGGGTTTCTCTTCGCTGCGATGAGGCCTCAAGGGCTGTCTTAGGAAAGAGTCTTTCTCCGGATCAAACCGGCCAGGTCCAGCCAGCGACGGAGGCAGACTATAACACCGAATTCTTGGACTTGGTGTTAGCGGTCAAGGTTGTGCCAGCTGCAAACTCTGCAGTTGAGAAAGCTATAGCACACATCAATGCGCACTCATCCAAGCACACTGAAATTGTTCTGACAGAATCACGCGAGGTAGCGAACATGTTTATGAGTGGCATTGATAGTGCTGGTGTTTACTGGAACGCCTCTTCTCGATTTGCCGACGGAATGCGCTACGGATTTGGAACAGAAGTGGGCATTAGTACTAACAAGATCCACTCGCGGGGACCCGTCGGTCTAGAGGGTTTGACCATCTACAAATATCTGATTCGGGGTAATGGGCATGTGGCTGGAGATTACCATGACGGACCTGGAGGAAGGAAATACATCCACTCCGCAATGCCGTTATAGAATGTACATAGTACCATTCGTTTTCCATTTTCTCCAAACCAAAAAAAAAAGTTGTACATGGTATATAGAACCACTACGAAAATGAAATCATGAATCCAACAAATTTTTTTGGGTTTCTTTTGAACATTTCGCAAGTCGTAAAGAACAGATGAGGACTAAGCCGGATGCATTTTTTTCTGTTGCGCCTCCTTCCATTCGTAAATTTCCGATCTCGCCACTCAACCAAAGACATTCTGCCTCCTTAGGTACATTGACTTTGGCTCTCCGGCCAGCCTCGGCGAGATATTCAGACACTCGTGATTCAGCACGATTGGAGATTCGCCATAAGACAAACGCACTGCAAGCCGAATATCCACATCACCATATTTTCAAGGCATTTAGACCTTGAAACCCTTGGAGCGTCTGCGACCACGGGCACGCTCGAACTTGCGGCCCTTGCTGGCAACGTAGGGCTTCTAAATTTTTTAAAGAAGGATACATTAGCAAATTTTGATTCATCGAGGCAAATCACAATTTTCCACCGCTTCCGAAGTATAATGCAAAGTAAACGCACCTTGTGGGAGTGGGGACCGAAGCCGAAGTGCTTAACAGCCTCACGGGCATTCTTGGGGCCACGCAGAAGCAGGGTGTTGGCACCGGTAGGAGCGCGCAGAGCAAGCTGGTCCAGAGTGAGGACCTCACCACCGGCCTTCTCGATGCGGGCACGGGCGGTAGCGGTGAAACGCAGAGCAGCGACCGAGATCTTAGGGACGGTCAGGAGGCGGTTGTCATCGGTGACGGTACCGATAACAACAACGGTCTTGCCCTTCTGGGTCTCGTTGATGTTGGAAGCAATGCGCGAGATGGAGACAGGGGGGCGGTTGATGCGCGACATGAACAGACGGCGGAGAACGACCTTGTTGAAGTTGGACTCGGTACGGCCTATAGCAAATATCTCAGATCAGTTACTGAGTCCCAATACACACACTGATTTCCTCCACATTTGCGGCGTTGTAGGCGAGAGTGAAAAAAAAACGGGGATTTTCGATGGGATTGCATACGGGCCAGGAAGCGGTACAGCTTCACGAGAACCTGCAGGTAAACGTTCTCGCTCTTAGCAGCCTTGCGGTGGCTGTTGCGCACATGGTGCCTGTCCAAGTCGATACCTGTAAATTTTCGACTTTGGTCAGCATTTCGAGAGGAATTTCAAAATAAGAGTAATGAGACGCTCAGCGTTCAATACGTTGAGAATGATGGCGCGAGACGAGGAATCGATGAGTGTCACGTACCCATGGCTGCTGGTATGAATTGAACACCTGGAAGTTAGCTTGCTGTCGCACCCTCTTGAAAAGTCCAGAAGGTTTTTGGTCTTGGAGTTTCGGCTGCGCGGGTGTGTGTGGGTTGAGCCCTACGCTAGACTGAATTAGGTAGAAAACTCGTCACGTGTATAAGCTGTAGCGCCTGATTATATAACGAGGGCGCTCTAGGTCACCTGATCTGGGGCCTTACTTATCTATGGATCTCGGCATCCATGGATCCATGGGTCTAGCCTGGCGCGGTATTTCAATTTACCGAGTACATACATGAAGGATGGATCCATCCATGTATGTACATTCTCGGACTTGATTAAATAGTGAAATATCACTCTTATATCGATTCAGCATGATCAACTGGTCCACGGGTAGTATATCCACAGTTTATTCATTTCCGAGAGAACACTCAGATAGAATGGAAATAGTAGGCGAGACAAAAAAAAAATAAAAAATAAATAAAAAATAAAGTACATGTAGAAGAAAAAGCCTTATATACAAGAGGCCTCCATAAAAATAACACAAGAGAAACTCTCTATTATGCCAGAAAAGAAGGAGAAGGTCGGGGGAATGATGATGTAGCCTCATAAATGCAAACGCAAGATGACCGAGACCATGAACATGATGAAGAGAAATAATCATCACGCTCTTCTATGTTAGCTACCGCTATTCTTTATCACCGATGCTGATGAGGAAATCTCTGGTAAGTTCAAAGCTAAGCCAGCTACTGGCCATGCTAGGTGCAACCTTCAATAGATTTGGTCCAATTCCTTTGAAAAGCCCTCGCATGCCTTCCTCGGCCACAATGACTCGCACGGCATCCCAAATCGATTTGTACTGATAACCCATTCCTGTCATGGTGTTGATCTGGAAACGTCGTCGCAAAACGTCACTGTTTTTTTTTTTTCATTAGAACTTTCTGAGGTAAAAGGTTCAACAACTGGGAAGTAAGACTAACAAGGGGTATGTGCATGTCTGAGCCACCGCGCCAGAAATTGCACCCGCGAGCAGCTTGCGCCACGCACTTGGATTCTTATCTCCATCTGGTGTTAAGTAGGTGCGAACAGATTCGTAGGTCATGAAATTCAACCCCACCTGTCAATGTTAGTGATAGCGTCACGTATCGATCACGGCAATGTGTACTCACATAAGGCGCGACTCCAGCAACTGTAGGAACAATTCCTCGGTAGAGGGCTATCATACCACCTTCGTTCTTGTATATTGTCACCATTGTGCCGAACATGCCCGGCAATTTTTGAGTAGGGTCTCGAGAACCAAGATCTGCAAATGAGGCAGACTGAATCGAGAGCCGTGTGCGAACGATATCTAAAGGATATGTGAAGGTCACAGATGTAATACCTGCAACTGCACCGCATAACAGACGACGAGCCGGAGACATCTCGCCCTCGGGAGATTCGACAAACTATGAGTGATTAGTAACAGGGACCTTATTCTGGGATGGATACTTCGCCCGTCTAGGCGAGAAACTCACTTGCTTGTAGAAATTGTAACTGCCAAATTGAACTGCAGAGTAGGGAATGATGCGAATGCAATTGGTCCCATTTCCACGCATGAATCCTCGCCAACCTTCTTCTCGACCCATCTTCTTCAATCCCTGCCAAATGGAGAGTTTGTACTCTTCTCGACCCACGCTTTGAATCTGAAGCAAGATTTTCAACCGTTCTAAGGGCGATACAATGGTGCGAGAGACGGCGCCGGCCACACCACCGGCCATGAATGCAGCGATGACAGGCTCGGCAAGCTTGTTCTTTGTATGAATCAAGAATGGTGAGTTTTTAGAGATCGGTTCCTGTAGAGAACAAAGGAAGCCAGTCAGTGGAATGAGTTGAGACTCTATAACCCTAATATCGACCAACCTTGATTGGAGCTGGAGTTAATTGTAACTCCTTGAAGACGGGCTGCCCAGTGTCATCCTGCCCGGTCTTGGGTGTTCCACCTTGGCCGTTTAGGCTCATTTTGGCAACAGGCTCGTTGGCAATTGAGAATTCACACAGCGGAGAGAAGGGAAGAGAGGAAGGGAAAGAAAGCAAAGAGAACGCTGCTTGTATTTCAATGCTTAAGTTTCATGTACCGATTTGCCTCTTGATCCAATGGAACTTCGTAGTATAGTGAAGGGATTGCTGGACAAATGACCGACGAATATGGCTTGGATATCATGTTGTCAGTAATAGTAAAGAAAGATAAAAATCAAACAGCATATCATTTGGACAAAGTCTAAGCTTTGCATACCTGTTTCTTGCCGATACTTCACAGGTCCATTCTTGCGCCGCCGTAGCGGAGGGTTCTTCCAGTTGCTTTTGATTTTGTTGCCCTCTATCTTAAGGACATACACAGATAGAGACACCCACTTTTGATGGGTCTTGGTTTATATTGTGAGTGCGGGAGGAAAAAGACTGGTGGAAAGTATTGGGTGATTTGGTCCGTTGTTGGGGTAGGCGGCGAGCCCTGGAGGTCAAGGGGGATGATGAGCTGAGATTTAGCCGGGGAAGCAAGTCGAATTGGGTGTAGATCAGCTGTGCGCTTGAAAAATACAACTTAAGATCTTTCTCTTTTTCAAATGTTGTCGCAAGAATTAGATGATGGTTCAAAGGGGTTGCTGGAAAAGTCTAGGGAGAGCAAGGAACTAAGCTTTTAGAAGTGAAAGAGGGTGAATTAGTTACCTTCATCCCGACTACCGATATCTACGGTACCTCCCGAAGGTGCCATGCTTTTAGATTATTCTAGATGATCTATATGAGAAATATCATAAAACAGTATAAGTATTCTTTATTTATAGCATAATATCATATATTCATATACTTTATCATCCATTGATGTATATATATATCATTGATTTTGGACTCTTTATATATAGTAATGATCACTTGATTCAACTTTCGGAAACATTCTTGCATATTTGGTCTCTCTGGTCTCCCCTTCAAGCAATTCTTCTTTCTTTCCAATCCGCTTCATCTCTCCATCATTCATCATCTTCCTCATCCTGTATCGCTACCATGTCGTCGCGATCTGGAACCACCCTTTACGTTACTGGCTTCGGCCACGGTACTCGAGCCCGCGATCTTGCCTACGAATTCGAACGGTATGTGACGCCCACACCCGCCGCCAGGAAACCGGTTTTCGATATCCCTTTCCTTCCCCTTCTAAGCCCCCCGACCCCCCGACACGATGATTTCCTGTAAACCGCCGATTTGGGTTATTTTTTTTGCTGGTATACAGACCTGTCGGGTGTTCAATTATTGGAAGTCCCATTTACCAGAGTTCCCTTTGACTTTCCTGTTGCACTATCTTCACCAATCTACCGATAGCTTTGGATAGCTTGGGCGTGGAGGAGAGAAACACGCGTCGCCATCATCGCCAAACATTGCTACTCTCATATTTACAATGTCCGATGAATATACTGATATAGTCTTCTAGATACGGTCGCCTTGTTCGCTGTGACATCCCTGCCCCACGTACTCCTTCTAGCCGCCTGTGAGTTTGGTCACCTAACTTGGGTATGATTTCTTTATCTCTGACTTCGGTCCTAGCTTCGCCTTTGTCGAGTACGAAAGCCGCCGCGATGCCGATGACGCCTATCACGAGATGCACAACAAGCGTATTGGCCGTGACGACCTGCTGAAGATTGAGGTAAGTCTTTATTATAAATTAATTCAATATATATATACACGATCCAATAGCTTATATCTCTAATTAGTGGGCACGTACCCCTCCATCTGCATCCTGGAGATTCGACTCTGGTCGTGACCGCCGCCGTGACCGTACTCCTCCTCGCCGAGGCCGCTCTCCTTCGCCTCGTCGCAGCCGTGCTGGTGACTACTCTCCTCGCCGCGGTGATGACCGTTATGAAGCACGGGATTATGATCGTCATGACCGTGACCATGAGCGCCGAGACCGTGACTATGAACGCCGAGACCGAGACAGCGACCGCCGTGATCGTGACCGGGAGCGCTCTCGTGACCGTTCTCGCAGCCCCGACGACCGGGACCGTGATCCTAAGGATGATCGCGAGCGTCGTGATGATGATCGTGAGCGCCGCGATGACGACCGCGAGAATGTTCCCAATGGTGAAGACAGGAAAGGTGTGTATAGTGCGGTGATAATGACTTAATCTTTGTTTTGGAACTTATGAATATCCACAGTACCCCTGGACCCCGTCCCTGCTGCTCATGATGAGCTTGATACTGCTGAGTAGATCAACTCAGTATCACAGCCCGTCGAGTCGCCACTATCGCATCAATGAGAACCCTCTACCGATCACGTCATATCCATGCGAAAAACTTCTGCGTACTGATCTATGGGCTCGGCTTCAAGAGCTGGCCTGCCTATTTTCCTTGGTACTCTTCTTCTGTCATGCTCGCAGAAGTATCTCTACCATGATTCCCTTTTCTTTCCGTTGTTACAGTTTGATCTTCCCGGTGTTACTTTTTTTTCTCGCTCTTTTTCTAGTTAGGGGTCTCATGGTGACCTCATTCCCCTTCGGTTTTCTTTTTTTTTCTTGTGGTGGCTGGTATTTATCGTGGTCAGCAGCTCGGAGTCCATCGAATCGAACGTCGAGCGAACGTGCATTAAGACCTCGCCCGTCTCTCTTTTCTCATCTCTATCCCCTCGTCCTACTGTTCCCTTCGATGATTACCGCCCGACTACCGTCTCTTCGAAAATTGAATTTCCAAATGACTTTTCATCTTCCACCCCGCCTTTATTCGATCGGTCGGAGTCCTCCATATTCTCTTATCCTCGAACCGCCATTGTAGAGTTGTATGCGCTCCATATGTTCGTAAGGGAACCATAATCATCTGGACATTGATATTCTGAGCCGATTCAAGACATGGCTCTATCTCATTTGTAGAAGATTGTAGATTCTTCGAGGGATGCAACCGTAAGTTTCTACAGAATACAATAATCATTATAATACCTACCTAGTATATGTATACTGTGACCTCATTGTGTCACTTTGCCTATGAATATTATTATATTTGACGCTAACATTCAAGGACATCTGGACTTGTGTATTCCCAAGGGGCTAATTCAAAGTTCCAACTGCCTAAGTGATATCTAGACCCTTATATATTATATTTCTCGCCCAATTACGAATTCTACCTAGGTAATTAACATCAAGCTAGACCTTATGCGCTAGTATATCCCCGCAATCACGCTATGACGTAGAAGGAACGCCAATGTGCGGGGAACACCTTACCTTAACCATGAGCATCTTGCTACTAGTAGTAACCAACTTAAAGCAACATCACTTTCTATCATAGAATTTCACCATGACAAGAACCGAGAACAAAGGAATTAGTATTGCCATTGATGTATGCATTGCGATGATTTTTTTTTTACTACTGCCAGGTGGTTTTTGATAGCTTATCGTCTTATCTCCGTTCTCGTGGTTTGGATACGTTACTGACATTATCTAGAGAGGTGGCACCTTCACTGATTGTGTCGGAAATCCAGGATCAGGCAAATTGGAAGATGACATTGTTATCAAGCTTTTATCTGAAGATCCCGTCAATTATGAAGATGCGCCACTTGAAGGCATTCGCCGAATTTTGTCCAAGTTCACAGGTCGTGAGATCCCTCGAGGGGAACCCATTGATACCTCCTTGATCCAAAGCATTCGAATGGGTACGACTGTTGCGACGAACGCTTTACTAGAGCGTAAAGGAGAAAAAATTGCCTTAATCGTCAGCAAGGGTTTCCGGGATTGCCTACAGATCGGAAATCAATCCCGTCCCCGGATCTTCGATCTCGCTATTCAACGTCCTGAAGTACTCTACGAGGTGGTCATTGAAGTGGATGAGCGCGTTACTCTCGAGGATTATGCCGAGGATCCCACGCGTCACGTTACATCCACTGCGCCACGAGAGGACACAGCTCATAATACTGAAGTCGTTCGAGGCCTTTCTTCAGAAGCAGTTCGAGTTCTGAAGCGTCCATCTGAAGAGGTGGTAAGATCACAACTACAGGAAGTCTTTAATAAAGGGATTCGCAGTATTGCAGTATGCTTGATGCATGGCTACACATATCCAGATCATGAAGCGTTGGTTGGACAACTCGCTACAGAGATTGGGTTTCACCATGTCAGTCTCAGTCATCAACTTATGCCAATGATCAAGCTCATCCCGCGTGCGACCTCAGCCTGTGCGGACGCATATTTGACTCCTACTATAAAGAGGTATATATCAGGATTTCAGAATGGATTCAAAGGCGGACTTGGCAGCGAGAGCGTCAAGCATGAGCAAGGCAGCAGAGGAGCTCGTTGTGAATTCATGCAATCAGATGGTGGCTTGGTCGATGTCGATCAATTCTCCGGATTACGCGCTATTCTATCGGGTCCTGCTGGTGGAGTAGTGGGCTACGCCTTAACATCCTACGACCCGGTAGCAAAAATCCCGATTATTGGATTCGACATGGGAGGTACAAGCACAGATGTCAGCCGGTTTGGAGCTGGCCGATATGAACATGTGTTTGAGACTACCACCGCAGGGGTGACTATCCAGTCACCTCAACTAGATATCAATACTGTAGCAGCTGGTGGGGGATCTCAGCTATTCTACCGCAATGGGATGTTTGTTGTTGGCCCTGAATCCGCAGGGGCACATCCTGGCCCAGCATGCTATCGCAAGAATGGTCCATTGACAGTCACCGACGCCAATTTGTTTCTTGGTAGACTGGTTCCGGATTTCTTTCCAATGATTTTTGGTCCAAATGAGAGCCAAGGGTTGGATGAACAGAGCAGCCAAGGGATGTTTGAACAGTTGACTCGAGAAATTAACGAAGACCTTGCAAAAGGTGGCCAGAGAAAAAATATGACAGCAGATGAAGTTGCCTTTGGTTTTATTAAGGTTGCCAATGAAACGATGACACGGCCTATCCGATCTTTGACGGAAGCCAAGGGACATGATACTTCTAAGCACAGACTAGCCACCTTTGGCGGTGCCGGTGGACAGCATGCTGTTGCTATTGCGGAGAGTCTTGGGGTTAGGCAGATTTTGATACATAGGTATTCTTCGGTCCTCTCGGCCTATGGAATGGCCCTTGCAGACGTGGTTGAAGAAAATCAGGAACCCGAGTCAAAAACTTGGAGTGATGATTCAACAGTACGGGGAGAACTTGAAAAGAAAATGACACAACTTAAAATGAAAGCTATTCAGAGACTACGAGACCAAGGCTTCGAAGACGAATCTATTGTGTTTGAAGAATATCTCAACATGCGATACCGCGGCACGGAATCGGCTCTGATGATATTGAAGCCCAGTCAAGAAGAGTCTGATGACTCCAGTGACGAGGATGATTGGGAGTTCGGGAAAGCCTTCACAAACCAGCATGAGCAAGAATTTGGATTCACCTTACCGGATCGAGACATTATTGTTGATGATGTTCGAGTGAGAGGCATTGGAAAGAGCTTCCAGATGTGTGAAAAGACCGTGGACCAGCAACTTGCAGAAGCCAGGCCTTGTGACGTGAAAAGTGGGCAATACAGAACTTCTCTCGTCTATTTTGAGGGTGGTCGACAGGAAACTCCAATTTACAAGTTGGACGACTTAAATATCAACGATCGAGTAAGCGGACCTGCAGTCCTTGCCGATGAGACTCAGACCATCGTCGTGACTCCAGGAAGCTCAGCGCTTCTTACCAAGACTCATGTCATTATCAACATCGGAAAACCAGACTCGGATGACAATCTGCCAGGAATCAGCACTGAAGCCGTCGACCCTATTCTACTCAGTGTCTTCTCTCATCGGTTCATGGCTATTGCAGAGCAAATGGGACGTGCCTTACAGAAAACGAGTGTGAGTACTAATGTCAAGGAGCGTCTCGACTACTCATGCGCATTGTTCGATGCTGAAGGTGGACTGGTTGCCAATGCTCCACATCTACCTGTTCATTTAGGTAGCATGTCAACATGTGTACGCATGCAAGCACAAATCTGGAAAACCAAATTAAAGCCAGGCGATGTGATTGTGTCTAATCATCCTGAATTTGGCGGCACCCATCTCCCTGATATAACGGTCATACAGCCAGCGTTTAGTGATGGCAAAATCATATTTTACGTCGCCTCAAGAGCGCATCATGGTAAGCTTCATTGCGCGCTCGCTGTATGATTTTACGGGTATGAATCTATTTAGCTGACCTGTTATCTCTCAGCCGACATAGGAGGCATCTTGCCTGGATCTATGCCACCTCACTCTAAAGAGCTCTACCAAGAAGGAGCCACAATCAAGAGTGAAAAGCTCGTATCTGAAGGCAAATTCAACGAAGAGCGTATCACAGAGCTTCTGTACCACGAGCCCGCCAAGTATCCAGATTGCAGTGGAACTCGATGTTTAGCAGACAACCTGAATGACCTTAAAGCTCAGATAGCAGCTAACAAGAAAGGAATTAACCTGATCAGCATTCTTATTGAAGAATATGGCGAGGAAGTTGTCTCGTTCTACATGCACCAGATTCAAGACAATGCCGAGCTCAGCGTCCGCAATTTACTGAAAGAAGTCAGCCATAAATTCACCGGCAATAATCTTAATGCACTTGATCATATGGACGACGGAACGCCCATCCAGCTACAGATTTCCATTGACGCGGAGAAGGGTGAAGCAATTTTTGATTTTGAAGGAACAGGTCCAGAAGTATATGGTGTGCTATATCTCCAAATTACCATAGAAGTTCGTACTTTCACTGACAAATCCAGCCAACATCAATGCGCCAGAAGCTGTCACGTATTCGGCCATCATCTATTGTCTGCGGTGTCTTATTTCAGCCGACATTCCCTTAAATCAGGGCTGTCTCAAACCGATTGATGTTCGAATTCCTCCTAAGAGCATACTGTCTCCATCGGAATCTGCTGCAGTTGTAGGTGGCAATGTTTTAACGGTAAGAAAGTCCTCATTCTCATTGGAAGAAACTGAATAATTGCTAAGTCATTTTTACCTACAGAGCCAACGTGTCACCGACGTTATCCTTAAATGCTTCGAAGCGTGCGCTGCTTCGCAAGGGGATACCAATAATTTGACATTTGGGTTCGGTGGCAACCGAGCCGGCGAAGAGGAGACGAAGGGGTTTGGATACTATGAAACCATAGCTGGTGGAAGCGGTGCAGGACCAACCTGGAACGGCACATCAGGAGTACACACCCATATGACCAATACACGTATCACCGACGCTGAGGTTTTTGAACGGCGATATCCCGTTATACTGCGGGAATTCAGTCTACGTCCTGACTCTGGCGGCGATGGACAGCATCGGGGAGGAGATGGAGTCATTCGAGACATTGAATTCCGGATCCCAGTGCAAGTCTCCATTCTATCCGAACGAAGGGTGTATCATCCGTACGGACTAGCAGGAGGTGAAGACGCTAAATGTGGTCTGAATCTATGGGTTCGACATATCCAAGACTCCGATGGCAACCGGGAAGAAAGACAGATTAATTTAGGTGGGAAGAATTCTGTACAGATGCAACCTGGAGAGCGGATCATTATTCGAACTCCTGGAGGTGGAGGATGGGGTCAAATCGGTACTGAACAACAACTTCTTCGTGAGAAAGATGCTCGTCATAATTGGCGCGGAGGCTCTATTGCGACTCGAGAAGCAACCCAAGAGGCAAGTATGTGATTCATCAAAGAAGGAAAGCAGCCATCGCCTACAATTATGGCAGAGGCAAATAGAACTACCTAGTGACACAAGATCACGGTCCAAGTTCTCATAGTAATATAGCTACACATGACCGAGATATCAATTATTTCTCAGTGTTAAATCCCCTTCAACTTTCTAGCAATACAGTATCATGATATCAGGTCAAGATGCTCGCCTTAATCGTTCTCAAATAATCCTGGATCAACTACTCAACTGCCTACAGATTAGTATCATGATGGAAATCTCAATCAAAATAGCAAAAGGCAAAAGGTTCATGCTATTGACCACCTGGACACCTCTCTAGCTTGGTTCTTTGCATAGTATTCAAGATATTATGAAAATCACTCCTCATCCTCGTCCTCATCACTTGTAGCCTCGATATTCTGCTTGGAAGGGCTAGGACTCTTATCGGCTTTGGCGTGTGTGTCCTCGTCTGTATCTCCAGAGTAGATGGGTCTGGGCAGCGTTTCACCGTTATCTTGAAGAGCCTGCTCAAGCTCAGGGAGGATCTTGATCAAGGCGGCGAATTGGTCCATGGGCAAGGAAATTCCCTAATTCGTGTGTATTGAATCAGCGACTGGATCTCAAGTACCTAGGTAGTTTATTACAAGTATGGAAGAGACTCACCTTCTTTCCCGGTAGTTCCTGACCATCTTTTTCATAGTATTCACGTAAATTTACCACGGTCTTACCACGGAACTCAGAGACTGTCACTCGTCGCATCTTGGAGATTTCCCAGTACTTATCACCGTTGGAATCCACCTTTGAGCTGCTTCCATTGTTGTTCTTGTCGGTATTGACTTTGGCTTTCTTGGGTGGGAGTGAGGAGCCAGCACCAGAGTCTTGAGTGTTGGACGAGCGCTTTCGAGAAGCCATGATGAATTATGAGGATATGAGAGGTGATGAGCAGAAGCAAAGATCAAGCGTCGCGACGGCGCGTTGAAAGCCACGCGCTGGTCACGTGGTGATAAGGAGCTTTCCTAATTTGGGAACAATTAATGTATGTATACGGCACGTGATATTGTACATAGATGCATAGTGGTAGCAATTCATGAATGAAACATAATTTTTGCTGTCGTATATTTGGTTGACCCTGGTCGAGCTGAATACTTTATTCTGTGCCAGAGTGAGAAAAAGGCAGATTCAAGTTCAAGTTCTTGATATTATATACATAAGGGTGAAAATGCCTCATCATAGTGCTAGAACTCGTAGGCCCTGCAAAAGCACTGAGAAAATAAATCCTTGGGCTACACTTTCAACCTGGAGACTGTCGAAGATTTTCTCCAAAGCTTCCCGGCTAGCAGCAGCACCCATGACACTAGTAAGTGCCTGCGGAATGCCTCGCTGAACAAAGAGTCGACGTGCTTTGATCCGCAGTTGTTCCTTCTCTTCATCTGTAGGTGATGGAAGCCAATCCTTGAGCTCAGCTTCTGTTGGAAGAGCATTCTCACGAAGCTTTTTCAGGTATTCACAGAGTGCCTCATCCGATGTGTGGCTCTCTATCATGGACTCCTGCAGCAAAGTTCTAATCGTCTCGAGAGTAGGATTTCCTGGACGAAGGATATATGATTTGGCAGCATTCAACAAAGTGCGGCGAATATTCCATGCTGAAGACAATGTGTATAGCTCATTAATGACTGCAAAGATCAACTCCACTGCAATTTGAGTCTCGTCTGTAGTTATTGGGCTTTGCTGACGGCGCGTACTCTGTGGTGTGGACTCCGATACATCATCTAAGGCCGAGTCACTGGACGAAAGTTCAGATGTCAGCCCGGGGGCTGTCTTTGTTTGTTCCTTTGTGACAATCCTGTGTGACTCGGTAGACACTCTACTCTCAGACTGTACAAGGGTTGATTCTAAGACAGACTTGTCCTGCTCACTGGAAGTCAGGCTGATGCTGGTCCGGACACCACTGCCAGAAGATATAGAGCCCTCCCCTTGTGAGATCTCAAGAGTAGAGGCGGCCGGTGAAGCCAACGGTGGAGAATTGCTTCCATCGCTGGTTTTTGAAACAGGCTGGTCACTCGACTTGGCAACAATTGAAGGTGTTGAGGTATCTTTTGGCTGCTGAGATGGTATTTCGCTGGTGTTGGTAGGCTTTCTGTTGTGGCCAGCACCACCAAAGACTCCAGTCACTCCCTTGGGAGCGTTGGTCAATGCCCCCAATACTCCCTTCCCCATGTTTTCAAGGGCACTCTGTTTAGGGAATGAAAATCCAGGCTTCGGCACAACACTGGATTCGCTATTGCCCCCTTCTTTTTCGACGAATCGTCGCATGCGTTCAGTTTCTACAAGAGCCTCATGTTTCATAGCTTCCTGTAAATACCGTTCCAGCTCACGGGCTAGGTCTTGCCTTGTTTTCCCCTTCCAAGCAGGCAGTTTAGGGAACTTCTCAGAGAAGCTTTGAATTTGATTCAACCGGGCCACCGTCTCCATCATTTCATGGACGGATTGAAAGTCGGCGTATTTTCGGAATACCATCCATCCCGTCGAGCGAGTGGAGGTTGGTTCAATTTGCAGCAGATAATCCCAAGTTGGTCGCGATTTGATATGTCCTTTTTCGTATCCTGCTCCGTCATCGTCAACCAAGACTTGAGCCCCATGGAGGCTGACAGGTTGAGGGGCCTCTTCGCGACGCATGGATATCACTGATGCGCGCTTGTCTGAGATTGTTGTATTTTCTTGACCATTTGTTACCGGATCATTAGATAAAGATTCTGCTAGGTATCCATTCTTCTCATTCGTATTTGAAGATATGGCTTCCTCTTTGAGCACGTCTTGAGAGATAGATGGCGGAGGTGTATTTCGCACATCTTGGGAAGCAATCATGGCACTGAGGCGCTTTGCCTCTCGCATAGCCTCTTCTGTTGCGGCATCGACCTGGCTGTCAGCAGCCTGAGAGATCCGCTCAGCAGCAGGCTCTGGGGTGATAGGTTTTGAGTCTTCCGAGGATCTCGAGACGTTGACTCCCTGTTTCCGTGCACCTTCAACGCCTGCGTCAATTGCGTGCATGATCTCGGATTCTCCATCCTGGAGAAGATAAATGAGCCAGTCGTTGATAAACTCGGGCCGGGAAAGGCTGATCACGGTCGACTCGAGTACAACTCTTGCAAAGATCTCTCTTAAGAAGTCCCGGACGGGGGAGCAGCGGTATGCTTTCGGGTCGAGGTAATTGGACAAGATGTCGTCAGAAATCATGTTAAGCTTCTTGCGTTGCTGCTCCTTGGAGAGCACATTCGCAAGACTGCTATCCGGGGCATCTGTAAGGTATTGCTCAACAATCGTTTGGGCTTCTGCTTCTGACGACCCCGAGGCAGCAAATGCAGCAGCCAGCTCATTTAAAAAGACGATAATAATGGATGATGAATTTGTAAGAAATTGTAGAAACGTATCCTCGGTCCGTTTGCGCGATAGGTGAGACGAGATATTCGTCACAAAATGGGTCAAGGTTCTTCGACAAGATCCGGGGAATACTGACTCTCCTGGTAGAATCGGATCGTACCAATATCTTCATTTTCGGTCAGTCTATCATTCATTTATGGAAAACGGGCGGGGTAAAGGCCTTCTTACTTCACGTAGTCTTGCAGCACCGCATCAGTGAGCAATCTCAAAGCGCCGGCAGTCGCAGGCCGGAAAGTTGAATATTCAAGCTCAGCCAGCGACAAGTCCTCCGGCGCAGCAATGGTATTACTGTCCTTTCCGTCATCACCCGTGGTCAAGGTTGCGCGGAGGGGCCAGTCCAACAATCTCCTGGAGACTTCCAGAGCTAGTTCCCGTCGCCGCTTCGGCGCCTCGAGATTTCCATTTCCATTTGTAGAAGCCGTTCCTTCCCATGTTGCATGGAGAATAACACCTAGCGCTGCTCCGATCAAAAGCAGCCCAAGTCGTCCCAGGATTAAGTAGGTTCCGATGAAGAGGAGGAAGAATACGCCAAGTAGTCTTTCATTACTGGATGTTGACAAGAAATCCAATGCTGCGTCAAGACACTCCTTGAGCAGGGTCGTATGAGATAGAGTTTCATTTGATATGGTGTCGTGTGATGGGCGTTCAGGGGATTCCGTTACGTCGGGGGCGGAGGTGGGCTTGCGCGTAGCCACATCGTTGAAGGGATCCATGGCGATTCTCGAAATCGTTGAGTAGATGGGTTTAGGACAGCATCGAAGCTTTTTTTGACATCTCCCCTCCTTTTTGAAGACACCTAGTCCTTTAGGGGTAAGAGTAGAGTGTCAACACGGAGTATGTAGGAGATCATGGAAGTCCGGAGAGGAACGATGGTCAGTGCGGAGGCTTGGCCCCATCCTAATATCCTGATAACAGCATTTTAAGGGAGACCGCAAACAACCAAGTGCAGAGAGTAAATGAATAGGTACTAAATATAGATAAAAAAGAATTTACGAACTTCTAGTAGAATTTGTAGTAACTTGAAAAGTAAAAGTCATGATATATTGTATTTTTGTTTTATTTATCCAGTCATCATTGCCTCGCAGTCGTGGGATCTCCTGCCAGGCATCTAAAGCTATAAGTAGAATGGAAATTGCTCTCCGCTATCCGAGTGAATCTGGTCATTCAAAGTAAATGTGAAACATGCCAGAGGTAAAGAAGATTGCGGGATGTGATCTATGTGTCTAGATAGAAATCTCGAGTTTCGTTGTTGAGAGGGAAAAGAAAAGAAAAGCAAGAAAAAGAAAGAAAAAGACCTCATAGTGATTGAGCTCGTACATATTTGGTATGCGACCCTTGGGCAACCATGACAAGACCAGATTCGGTCTTTTTCGAGATGGTTACAGTTGTAAATGCAAGAGAGTTGCCAACTTTGTTGGCATGGCTCTGATCTCCAACCAGTCCCCATCGGTCGCTGTTGAGAGATAGGTGACGTGAATATCAGTGCTAACTCCTGTAGCATCCAAGCCGTGTGAAGCGATGGCCATTCCACCTGCCCAGTCAGTTACAGTGGCCGAAAAAGCCCCATGTAAAGTGCGCTTGGAATTGAGATGACGAGGGGCAACTTGAAGTCGAGCCCGGACCACGCCCTTTTCCGCATCATACATCTCAACTTCATTTAGAAGAAATTCATAGATGGGACTGATGGGACGCGTACGGTCCCACACCTTTTGGACCTGTTGGAGTTCAGTGTTCATAATTGTGAGGTCTTAATACAAGAGAAAAGAGAAAAGAGAAGTGGAAGGAAGAAAGAGTCATGGAAAAAGAAAAGGAGAAAAAAGGAGAAATAGGAAAATATGTAGGGGGAAAAGGAAAATCCAAGTAACCGAGCGAAGAGTGGGGTCTATGACTCGCGCTTTCTCCGATGCCGAGATTTACGCGATAACATTTGGGATAATATGAAGTGATTCACATCTTCATCTCCCCAATATGTAAGATGACTAGCAATACTAGCAATAAGAGAGATATCAAATGCTCCTCTAGATTCCAAAATTAGTGATCAATTTGTCAAATTCCAAAGGAGGAATAAAAAGGTTACATACTCTTGCACGCTGTAGTCGATGCGACCATTGGAATTCAATGATCGCACTTTGGCATCTTCGAATTTCATCTTTCGCTCATGATCCTCGGAGCTGACACTTGATTCAAAGTCACCGGAATTAGAATTTGAGTCCTTCTTCCTATGTATACTGCGACTCTTCTGAAATCCATCATAGAGGGTTTCGAGATCGGGGTCAATCAATGTCTGGAATTGATCCTCAGATTCATGCGAGGAGCCAACAGATCCCGATTGATTACGTTTGTGTCCATGAGGATCAGCCGTTTTATCGGTGGAAGATACGTCGTCGGAATTCAAACCCAGGTGGCGGTTCAATAAGCTACTCGCCACTCCGGACGTGAAGTTGCTCCAAAGAGAGCCCACGCTCTGGCCCATACGATCTCTAAGCATGGAGAGACTCTGACCTGAAGCAGTCCATAAACTCTTCTTCACAGATGGCAGAGGCTGAGGCTTGAGGCTTGCCATCGCAGGGGAAACGAGCGGCTCAATACGATAGCTGACAGGGTCTGATGGATGGAAGATATTGTAAAGATCCCGACACTTAGGGGCAGAAGCAATAGTAGTGGCGTCAATCCCATCCTGTCTAATAGAGCTACTGTGTGAAGCTTGTTTGGAGTCAAGTTCAACATCCAGTGCACTTTTGCGGTCTTTTACAACCAAGGGGGAGTATCCCGCAACCGTTTTCCCCTTTAGCATTTGAAAGAGTGCTATGGGTGATCCAAGGCAGAAAAACTCCTCACATTCAAAGTTCAAGGCATTCGAACCTTTGCTCTGAGGTTCTGGGGCATCATAGCTCTCCCCCACTCGAGTTTTATCCTCCTGGGGTCGGTCAACGATGTCCGGTTGGTGACACAGAATATCAAATAAAATCGCACTCCCAAGGGAATGACCAACAAGGCTGACGGATCCCTTGAAAGTTGGGTTGCGTTTTTTGTAGAGTTGAAGGATACGATTGCATTCTTGCCTCACGATGGTGGAGATATGCTCGCAGTATCCACTTTGATAAAGCAGTACATCCATTGCCAGATCCGAAATCAGATTGCGCACAGCTGGTACACTGTCCAGTGTAATATCCGCCAGACTAGGATAGGCATCATCCTCAACTGAGTCCGCATCGGCGAGGTCAAGTTCCTTTCGGTTCTGACGAACACCACGGTAAGGAAAATCCAGCAGATGGCGCCAGCATCTGTATGAAAATCAGTATTGAAGTTGAATGGGGTCCCCAAACTCTGCCCTCTCTCTATCTCCTAACGCCAAGGGAGAATATTCTGGAAGTTATCAAAAGTATCTACTTACACCGGAAGCACTTGCACGCGACAGTTTCCGCTGTTGTCTGCGAATGCCGAATTGAGGGCTTGAAGATCAGGTGAAGCTTTATAAACACCTTTGAGCGTTTTCCGAAGGACATTCACGTCGTGGATGAAATTGATACTCTCCAACCGCAGTCCAAGTCGTTGACCAATGCCATGGGTGACCAGAACCAAATGATCAACGTCCCGTTCTCTATCTTCACTGTCGACTTCTCGTGAGTCTTCCATCTCTTGCTCCTCCTGGCGACGAGCTTGTTCCTCAAGTTCCGCTGGGTTCTGCGGCTCTCCGGCAAGCGATGACATCTGGCGCTCTAGGGTAGACTTTGGTCGTCTTTCAAAAGGGCTTTCCTCTGCCAAATCTTCCACTTTTGATGAATCTATATGGCCAGGGCGAGTTTTTTGTGTAAATTTCGCGGTTGTGCTTCCAGGGCTGTTTTCTACAGCCTTCTCACTGGTTTTCTGCTCTTGGGCTCGAGAATCTGTTGTCTCTTTTGTTCGTTTGGGCTCTGACAGTCCACGCACGACCTTTGTACCCGCTACACCACCTAGCTTCTGGTATACGGTGGTGCTGACGCGAGACATGAAATCGTCTGTGTTAAGCCAGGCGGTTGAAGCATCCTGGTAGAGAACAACTTTATTCATATAGGCTCCGAATAGACGGTATGGCTGAGATTCCAACAAAGAAGCAGATGCGTCGTTTCCAGCGCTAGATGTAGACTTTGTGGATTTCTGAGGCTGGGCCTCTGGTTTTTCTTCCGATCGATTTAGCCGATCTTTGATGTTTCCAGGTTCAAATTGGTTTGTTTCCCCGTTATTTGTTCGCCACGGATGCAGTTTGAGGTATCCTTCTTCCAGTTGAGTTGCAAGATTCTCTTCACATGGTTTCAAATTTGACCCATCCTGGAAGAACCAGGTGCCACGACGGACTTCATAAATGGGGCCCATCCAATAAGCTGGTCCCAGTTCCCGTTGCTCAATATCAACATCAAACAGATAATCCTCGTTCACTGGGACTTTCTTTGAGATTGACGTTGTTGTATCCGATTGTGACTGGGGACTATCTTTGGAGTCTTCGATTTCCGATAATTGCAAGTATGTAGCTTCGATAGCCTGTGAATCTTTCAACGAGAAGGGAATAAATTTCTTAGGTGGAGGAGGAGGCTTCTGGTCGGTTTTTTTGGGCTCGAGGAGGGTAGTTTTTCGCTTTGGTGAATCCACAGCATAGAACCATCTCACTTTCAAAGGCGGGCAGTCCGCGGGGTAATGGCGCTGGCTCAGCTTGTGTCGATGAGTTACCGTATGATCCTCACCTTGAGATCTTTGAAGTACTTCCCCGGGCGGACGATCTACCTGGGGTGTGGAGCTTCTTGTTGGAGTATTCCATGGAGAGAAAGACCCCAAGAAGGACTTTTGGTCGGCGCTTGCCATGGCCGCTGGGCGCACACGATGCAAGGCCTTAAAACGAATTGATTGTGACACTCGAGCCAATATGGATATTATAGTGAGATTTTGGGGAGATTTTCTTGATTGAAACACAGTATGAGTTAGTGCGTAGTGGAGAATGAACAATGGTGAGAATGGCTTGAAGCTCAAGTTGTTTTGCAGCATGATGTAATCTCCGCTGCTCTTCGCCCCACTATCACGGCACGATCCGTACGCGTCAACGAGAACAGATATCTGAGGCAGATACGCGAGAATGATTTATAGGATATAAATGGGATTTAGTCACAAGTACATAACTCAAATTTTTGGGATATCCTTGTCACGTAATTAAAGAGCTGAAAGAATCCTCACTTCAATATATGACTATCTATATGAACTTAAAGCTATATATGGGTCACTGTATCTCTGTAGCATCTTGACTCACCAGCGAGTCAAACAAACCCCAGTCTATTTGAGTCTCTTCACTATAAAAGGGATCTAACCATCCTAGAGAATTTCTGTCTTGCCACGCATTCTCTAATACAGGCAATGCCGCTATATTTTCGCGCTCTGGTACCAGTTGTTCCTCGAGAATAACCTTGACTGCGCGTGCAACACACCCTGCATCCCGACTGACAGAAAATTTCTCCAAGCAGATGTCATGAGCTTGCTTCAGTAATGGTAGAATTGTACCCTCGATCCCAGAACTGATGGCTTGTTGTGACCCGTTCCTACGCCGGACATGAATCGCCAAACAAAGAACCATCACACCCATCAAGAAGTCATTCATGGTGAAGTTGGTGAGCATCCAACGCTCTTGATGCAACTGTCCTCCCGGTGAGAATTCCCGATATATGGCGATGAATTGACTGACTAGTCGCTGCCCAGCCTCGATACATGAGCTGGTGCTGAATATCCTTCCCCGGCTCATGTACTTGCGATGAAGGACGCACAGACTTTTCAGATAAATAAACTCCACGTATATTCAAACCATAATCAGAAATGGTGGATCTGTGATAGAGTCGGCCATAGGTCGTGCTCGCAAGACACTCGGTATTTTCGAATGCACGCGTCGAATCTCATTGTCTAGTTCAAGTATTTGTGTCTCTGATTTCTCATCAAAGCTCAAGGCCTCGCGACATGCAGCACTGAAGCTGCCCATCTGTCGATCTTTGAAGATAAGCCACAGTAATCCAGTGTACTCATTTTCCGACCGTGATGGTGGAAGTGTCTCGGTATCCACATTGAAATCAGCATCAGACAAGTTCCGTGGCGACTTCGTGTTGCAATTCTTGAGATAAATATTGCTCGGTAGTCCCAGCTGAAACGAGACCATCAAATCAACTTGCTTTAGAAGTGCCCAGAATCTTCGGCGCATTTCACCCTCAAAGACTGTGAATAAACCCAAGGATTCCGGATCCCAGTGGTAGCCCATTTCATAAGCTATCTGAACAGTCATTGCCAAGATGGTACCAGCTTCTCGGGACGGATCGAGACTCTGCATGTTTTTGCATTGTGCATAAATGGCAAGGGCTTCTAGTACCAGTGGCTGTGGGCGATGATATTCGCCTTTCACCAAAGATTTACCTGCAGCTATATGGAAATTAGTTGTTCGAGCAATCACATCCTCCTTGGGACATGGTGAAAGATCAGTCGTGCCTTGAATAAAGCTAGAAATTGAACAAATAGAAAATAGTATTGAAAGCCAGAGAGGGTTGATCTCTATCAAATTGCCCCAGAAGGCTTGGTACCGACGTTGGAATTGAAAGGTATGGATCAATGGGATGATAAAGCTTTCTTCTCTAAAGTAGACTGCGAGCAACCGATCCACTTCTTCTTTAGGAGGCAAATACTGAGACAAAATTTGCTTTAGTGAATAGCTTTCGGTCAAGGCAAAGATGATGGACTTCTTACAAGGGGCCGACGAATCAATTGATGTGCTTTCGCTGACTGCCTGGGGATCCATTTGGCGGTTTAAAGCAGCTTTCAACTCATGAATGTCATCTAGAATTGCCGACCAGTGGGTGGAACCAACATAAGAGTCTTGTCAAAGCTTTCAATTGGGGTGTGATGAAGAATTCATGGGTCGGCAAGTGAGTCGTTCCCAGACAGAGAATCATTGTCAGTGTGCCCATGTTCAGAATGTAGTAGCTCTTTTACAAGTGACTCCAAGTGAACCAGGCAGTCTTCTGTTGTCGAAGGATGAGGGTGTACCTGAGGTCGTTGATATGAGCACAGTGCTCCTTCATCTCTTCGCTTGCATGAGCCACATGGCTGTTGACGGTCGCATCGTAGTTTAGCCTTACGGCATGAATTGCACACTAGTGACTCTCTAGACCGCTTGGTGACCTTGACTGGCGATGGGTTATTTTCTTTATGAATCCAAAATCTCCCAGTCAGACTGGAAAACTCGGACATTGTAGAAAATTCTAGTCGAAAAGAGTGTCTCAAATTTCAATGGTGCAAGAGGTATATAAACATTTGAACATTTTGAAGGAGTTGAACTCTTGGAATCCGGGATCCTTGGAGTGGGTCTCTGTGGCCTCAGGCTCCCATGTCCGGTTGGGTCCATGTATGCCAACTGGTTAATCCCGCCTAACATGGAATTTTCCTCGACCGAGCAAAATTTCCTTTTCAGTCAAGTCAAAGGAAAAATGCCCGAGGCTCAAAAACCGAACGCTGCATTAAGTAAGAAATGTGATGTGCAGTACGAGGACATATAGCTTATCCCCGAGTGACGTGCAGTAAATATGTAGTATGGATAAGTATAAATGGACTTGGATACTCCAGGTGGGCAAGGATTCATCCCAACTTGAATAATACAGAATATTTATTCTACACTGAACTATTGAACTATTGATTCAAGATCACTATGGACAATTCAATTATTCTAGTCACTGGTTCTAATACTGGCCTGGGATTGGAGATTGTTCGTGCCCTATTCCGGTCACTCAAAGCGTATACAGTATTACTTGGAAGTCGCAGTGAAGCCAACGCGAAGTCGGTTGTTCATCAGCTCCAGGCTGAGTTCCCAAATAGTGAGACAATAGTGTCATCCGTGCAGGTGGATCTGGAGGACGATGAATCAATCCAGAAGGCCTTCAATTATGTGAGCCGACGATTTGGCCGGGTCGACGTGTTGATCAACAATGCAGGTAAGGCTGAAAAGACTTCGCTACTGCCCAATAAATTGAATTAAAGACTCACAAAGCGATTCATAGGTGGCCAATTCAACCAGCAAATGTATTCAGGCTCCATGACCATGCGAGAGATGTGGATTAAATCATGTGGAATGTCAATACGACAGGCACCCATATTCTGACACATACTTTTGTGCCACTTCTCCTACAGTCCCAGGATCCACGACTACTATTTAACTAGCGGTACATCGACATTGGCCGAGGCAGCGAACCCAGCGCTGCTAATAAATCGGTCTCCGGAGCAAGGGTGGCCCAAAGCGACGGGATCAATTACTGCTTATCGTGCTAGCAAGACCGGAATGAATATGATGATGCGAGGATGGACTCGCATCTTAAAGCATGATGGTGTGAAGACTTTTTGTGTCTCTCCAGGCTTTTTGGCCACGGGGCTCGGAGGTAATCAAGAACGGAACCGGGAGATGGGCGCCATTGACCCCGCTATTGGGGCGGAGTTTATTAGAGAGGTGGTCGAGGGATTTCGCGACAAGGATGAAGGGATGGTAGTCCGACGGGATGGGATTCAGCCATGGTGAATATGGATTCAAAGTGATTCAAAAGTGTTGTTTATGTCTCTCCCTTGCAGGCAGCTGAGAAAGAGGGAAATACGTCATCAGCCATGGAGAGTAGGCAGAGCAATTAAGAACCAAGAAACCGGTGATTTACAAAAATTACACATGCATATACAATAAGGTACTTCTAAGGTTCATCATACATGAGAAAGGCATCCATGGGAATTGAGATATTTTTAAGTACTTATAAGTACTTATAAAATACACTCAATACTTTACAAGACCATACAACAACGCCATCCATGGATACCGGACTATGCCATGCGGTGGCTCATCGGACCCCACCTGGGTCCTCTCTGTTTCCCTCCCCTCTCTCCTTCACCTTTTCTACAAGGCTGGGTATTCTGTCATCTTGGAGACCCAATTCCTTTCTGGCTGTCTTTATCGTATCGCCACCAATTCTTTTTTTAAATCGGTTGACTAATTTCTTTCGAGATCAGAGTGCCATACAGCTGAACCCCTCTCCTTCCCCCAACACGTTGGTCTCCCAAGATGAACGTCCTCAAACTCCAAAAGTGTGTATTACCCGCCATCAAACCTATCAGTTATCAGATAGCATATAGCAGTACTGACTTAAGCTACTTCTCAACAGGCGCTTCCCGCAGCTGGATCAGGGCGAGATTTTCTCCCTCCAGGATGCATTCCATAAGCTGGACGTCGAGGATCGCGGCTATCTTGACGAAGCCTCGGTGATCAAGGCTACCCAACAGTCTGAGAGACAACCCTACGATGTAGTGCGACAGACGCTGAAAGGCGTAGAGCTCGATAGCTCCCGACGTGTCGAACTCGAGGATTATATCGATGTATGTTATTCCCTCTATTTGCGCGCTCCCTTCCAAATAACATTGCGCATCCGCTAACAACCATGGTAGCTAGTTGCACGACTTCGAACAGGGCCTGCCCCTGGTGCTCAAGCCGCCAGCCCCGCAGCTGTGATTCAAGGAGCTGGAGCCGGCGCTGGCGCTGGTGCCCGCCACGCCTCCAAGCCTAGTGTCGGTGGTGGTAGAATTCACGTCCAAGGCTCATCATCCAATGTTACGCATACAATCAACGAGGATGAGCGTACCGAATTCACGCGACACATCAACGCAGTCCTGGCAGGCGACCCGGATATTGGCAACCTGTTGCCTTTCCCGACTGATACATTTGAGATGTTCGACAAGTGCAAGGATGGATTGGTATTGGCCAAGTTGATCAATGACAGCGTCCCGGATACTATCGATGAGCGCGTTTTAAACAAGGCAGGAAAAAAGATCAAGCAGTTGAATGCCTTCCACATGACAGAGAACAACAACATTGTCATCAACTCTGCCAAGGGTATCGGCTGCTCGGTCGTGAACATTGGCAGTGGAGATATCATTGAGGTTCGCGAGCATTTGATCCTGGGTCTTATTTGGCAGATCATTCGTCGTGGTCTGCTGGGTAAGATTGATATTAAGCTCCACCCTGAGCTTTACCGTCTTCTGGACGAGGATGAGACTCTCGAACAGTTCCTCCGTTTGCCTCCAGAGCAGATCCTGCTCCGCTGGTTCAACTACCACCTTAAGAATGCCAAGTGGGAGCGAAGGTACGCCATGCACTGTATGCCGCATTGTGTAAACCCGCTAATTACTGACCTTTTTCTTCCCAAATCCAGAGTCACCAACTTCTCGACTGATGTCAAGGACGGAGAGAACTACACAGTGCTCTTGAACCAGCTCGCACCCGATGTTTGCTCTCGTAGCCCTCTTCAGACAAGAGATATGCTTCAACGCGCCGAAGAGGTCCTTACAAATGCCGATAAGCTCGATTGCCGAAAGTTCCTGACCCCTACCTCCCTCGTTGCCGGAAACCCTAAGCTGAACCTTGCGTTTGTCGCCAATCTTTTCAACACACACCCCGGTCTTGACCCGATCACCGAGGAGGAGAAACTTGAGGTGGAGGATTTCGATGCCGAGGGAGAGCGCGAGGCTCGAGTCTTTACCCTCTGGCTGAACTCCTTGGATGTGCAGCCCGCAGTGAACTCGCTTTTCGACGATCTGCGTGACGGTAACGTCTTGTTGCAGGCCTATGACAAGGTCATTCCTGGCAGTGTCAACTGGCGCCATGTCAACAAGCCCCCTGCGTCCGGCGCGGAACTGATGCGTTTCAAAGCTGTTGAGAACACAAATTACTCGATCGAGCTTGGAAAGCACCATGGTTTCTCCTTGGTTGGTGTGCAGGGTGCTGATATCACAGATGGTCAACGGACCCTCACACTTGGATTGGTGTGGCAGTTGATGCGTCGCGATATTACCAACACCTTGTCTGCTCTGGCTCAACGTCTGGGCAAGCGTGAGATTACTGACTCAGAGATGATCCGATGGGCCAATGACATGTCTAAGAGCGGCGGTCGTACCTCCTCCATCCGCAGCTTCAAGGACTCGTCTATCGGTACTGGCCTGTTCTTGCTGGATGTGCTGAACGGAATGAAGAGCAGCTATGTTGACTATGATATGGTCACTCCTGGCCGTACTGATGAGGAGGCATATGCCAACGCCAAGCTCAGTATCAGTATTGCCAGAAAGATGGGTGCTACAATCTGGCTCGTGCCCGAGGATATCTGCCAAGTGCGCTCCCGCCTGGTCACCACCTTTATTGGTATGTTGCATCTCTTGGTTCATTTCATATTATTCCCTACTGACCATATTTTTTCAGGTTCCCTCATGGCTACTTTTGAGAAGATGTAAAGAGCATATTCTCCTGGTATCACGTATCTACATTCTAAGGTGGACCTTTAATCTGCCTCGTAACTCTTGCAATTATCATTTACCCCTATTTCCTGTTACTTTTTTTTCTTAGTCGATGCATGTATATCTTCTTTGAGCCGGCGAATGGGTGGAGAGACCCACATTCAAACAAAAGAATTGGCTGTTGCGATAAATCTTACGAGTAGCTTAGACGAGAAGTAGTAGTAAAGCGAAAGGACTATTCTTTGGCCATTCCACCCCCATCTATGTAAAATACTTCGGTGTAGTCAAGTAGTGACTAGGTCTAAAGATAACGATTAAACCAGTTAACAGCTTGAAGGAAAGCAGACTCCTTAGCAAACTGAACAACAGGGTTAGACAAATCTCCTCGGACTGCAAATCCATGCTCTGCAGCACCAAACAGATTAATTTGCCAGGATTGACCAGTCTTTGCCAGAATAACCTCAGACTCATGGCGTTTTGGAGTAGTAAAAATGGAATCGATTTCTATTTCCACATTAGCTTCAAGCTCAAGTGTGCGCAATAGCAGCTAATAAGTGAGAAATGATAGTTACCAGCAGCTGCAATAGACAGAGGACCCTTAATGGCAGCCAATTCATCCTCATCGACGAAACTGGGATGAGCAACATAGACCACATCAAGCTGACCCGGTTGAAGCAAACGGATAGTATATTTAGCCTGGAAAAGAATAAATGTAAGCCTGGATCACCAATGCCAAGTATCGTGGAGGTTCATACCCCGAAACAGTAACCAATTCCACCAACACGTTCACAACCAAAGGAAGATTTCATTTCCTCGAGAACAGCCTTAACAACTGGCTCTACACGGTCCACCATATGACCTGGGGGACCCTTAAGCCAGGCAAAGATATCAAAACCATCGGGACGGTTCAATGGGACCGGATCACCGTGGAAGAGGTCAGGCATAACGACGAAGTAGCCATTAGCAGCGAGTTGATCAGCGATGAGCTGGGCATTAATGAAACGATGGCCGATCACATCGGTGCAAAGGAGGATTGCTCGCTTGGTAGATCTATCTGCGGGATAGGCAAGATAGGTTTCGACTAAGAGGGTAGGTTAGATCACAGAGCAATTGGGCTTGGATCAATGCCTATAATCTATCGTAGAGGATACAATAGAATGATGCCAGTGACTCTTGAATAAGGATTGTGGAATTAAATACCACCGCCAACCTGCTTGAACTCGCCCTTTGCTTCTCCTTCATGGGTTACACCGACGGTGCAGCAAGCAGCTGGGGGATTCGATGCCATTTTGAGAGGACTTGGAGAGGTGTATGGTATACGAGAGACCAATCTCAAGAAGAAAGTAAAATATAAAAAAAGCTATAGAAAAGAACAATTATAGAGCAGAGGGGGGGTGTTTTATAACCTTGGAATCAAACTTGAAGTGGGGATTGGAGTAGGCAACAAGTGCTGATGTATGTGTGCGGGGTCAAGGTCAAGATACGGGCTTTAAGAGGAAATTGATAGCCTAATTCCCGCAATCTCCGAGAAACACAGAGCATTTGTTTCATTTGTTTATACCTAGGTAGAGACAATAAATACAAAAGACTCAAATAATTAAGTACAAACTGCATAGAAGACTTGGCCCCGTAAAGATTCCTAGCCAAAAGAAGATATTACCTACTAATCTGCGACCACGCATTAGGCGAGTTCGACTCAAGGAGACCAATGGGAGTTGGCACATCTGCAAGATGAGTAAATAACCTCGGAGGCGCCGGAATATACATAACATGACCAATTCATGGACACATGCTGATAAGAGGAATGTTATTAAACTGGCCGATACGCGTGAGAGGTTGAAGGTACTGATGGAGCTATGGTAGACGTGGCGCAAGAGGAAGTTGTGTACTGGACGATTCCAATCTCGAGCAAATTGATCCCATGAAACTGAGTTCCACCAGTCGGCATAGAATCCTCGATCGGCAAATCGAGTGATCTCGGCTAAAGCGTTGAGCTTGATGGAGTCAGTAAGACCAAGATCACAGCTATTTGGAGCAATTAAACTTACTACACATTCCCAGATGACATAAAAGGCCAGGAGATATTCCATCATGAAAGGGAACAGAAGATCACTCAGAACCCATGGGAACTCTTGTAGCCGCTGGGATAGGGTCAGTTCCTCCTTCATGCGCATAGTGGACATCACCACCGGATAGATCCAATTCTGTGAGACCACAATCATCACCATGATCGTTCCCAAGATGGCTGCTGTCTTTTCAATCACATAGATCCAGTTGACCCTCTCAGTGCGTGGATACTCTAATTCATAGATCAATGTGGGAAGCGTAATAAAGTCACAAAAATTGCCCACGGTCAAGTTTCGGGGATAATGATTTGTGGATGAGAACTGGCCTCGAAGGCCATCTGATAGAAGCTCAATTTCTCGCTCAATCAATGACTTGAGGAATTTCATCTGGTCTGGCTCTAGGGGTGTTCCGTTTTCAATCGTTTCTGAGAAAGACAGCAGATGATCTGTAGTAACAGAGTGATGGAAACTTTGGCGATCGACAGAGGACCGACGCTTCCTGCTCCCAGGCCTGACCAGTGCTGGGACTTTCGCATTGAATGTATCCGTAGATGCATTTCTGGTGCTAGGAAGAGCAGACGTATGTGCAAGTAGTTGACTGGCCTTATTGCTCCTTTCCAACCGTTTGAGCCGGGCTTCCAATAGCGTCTTCTTTTTGAATAGTTCAGATACTATGATACCCAGTTAGACACGAATTATGAAAATGGTCATTTCTAGTGCCAACTTACAATATCCATTAAAAGTTGAGTAGCTATGTTGCTTCATTAGCATCGTCAGACAATGAAGAACCATAAAGACCGTATGAGTCCACGGCCAGTCCCGATGATAGGTCCACCAAATAGCAACTGCGAGATAAGTAGTTTGCCAGATCTACCACGGTTCAAGCTCCAGTTAGACGTACAATCTCTCTATGGAAATTGAGAGGCAATACTCACATTTTGAATCACCCACCCATAACCACTCCATCGAATGTGACCTCTCAAAATCATCCGCTGAAGAAGCAGGCAAAAGAGCGTAGACCAACACAACGCAAAATCAGATAGACCTAGGACAAGAACATCCTTCCTAAACATTAGAAGAAGGATCTCGTTCTTGCCCCAAATAGTCCCGTAAACGCGCCAGTTGTTAGCTGCGACCTTGACCAGCAGTAGAGTCACACCTAACCAGAAGAGCGTAAAGAACCCATGAAACTCAGACGCACCGAAATTCGGATTCTGACGATCAAAGGTACTCAGTTGTCTGGTGAATTCCAGTTCTCGAAAGTGTAAGTGACGCTTTTCTGACTGTCCGGTCTTCTCTAGATGAAGCTTGTTCTGGAGGACATCCTGAAGTAGCTCTGCATCCTCTGCAGTGAGAAGATAATGACCTTCTTTATCAGTTTCTTGAAGTTTCACGGACACGCTCTTTCGTTGGGATATAGATTGAGCTCGGGTAATGTTGGACATGGATTCGAATTCTCCAAGTCGGGAAGTATCATCTTGGTTCATGATGAAGCTCAGGTCAGAGTCAAAATATTTCTTTCTTTCCTCAATAGTATGGCCTCATAAAGCTCAATGTTTGGGTTCTTCGGATCTCTTGTGGCGAACCGAGGGATGTAAACATATGACGTTGGTTAGTTATCTAGGATTGGATGAATTTACTATGTATATGGAGACAAAGAGTATGACCTGTATGAGTAATCAAAGAAAAACAGTACCATAGTAACAATAAATATATATTCTTAATTCTTTATCCGTTATAATCCATTATAAGTAATTTAAATTTCATACAAATGGATTTTTCGATTATAGTGAAAATGAAAGTGCGACTAAGTCTACTACCTAGGTACAATTGTACGATCACTGGATCTCCACCTCTCAATCTCTCCTCCCGTAACACTTCAACTTCTCCAAGCTCCAAGCTCCAAACTCCAAACTCCAAACTCGACATGGATACCCCACAAGTTCGACTGCCAGCTCCAGAAAGACCAGCAGAGAGTCAATCGCACGAGACAAATGGAAATTCTACAATAAACACCTCCGTCGAGGTGGATATGGGAGGTACTCAGGAGCTTACCGAACCAGCTCCAGCTGAAGACTCCATTCTCCCCGATGCGCAACCAGAGCCTGAATCCGTACCGGAACCTCCAACTCCAGCGAAGAAAATCGCACCTTCATCCTTCTTCGAGTACATCTTGATTTCTAATGCACGAATAGCATCATTTCTCGGAACTAGGGGGGGTTTCAGGTATGGTTTCTGCATCATCATCACTTCGCGTCTTCCCTTACTTTTAGCTTTCTCGCATACACCCCCTCATCAACATGGACGCGACATCAGTCGTGCCATTGATACGGCGACCGCTAAACAATCCCAGATTCCTCACTTCCCCCGTGGTTGAATTCGTAATCGGCGAAGGTGAAAACGAGACTGTGTTGTAAGCCCATCAGAACCTTGTACTCAAGTCGCCATTCCTGAAACAATTGATCGATGAATTCGACTCCTCAAGCCCAGTGAGTTACAATCGGAAGAGAACTAGACCTAGATATTTTCGAAGATATACAACTAACCCTTCACCTCTACTTATAGCAACGTATTGAACTCCCATCTGAGGATGTTGAGGCTTTCAGCTCGTTCCTTGAGTACCAGTACACCAAAAATTACAGCGTCCAAATCGAGTCCGACGAGTCCTCCGATGGTACCGACGAGAGTGGTGAGCTCTTACTTCGCCATGCGCGAGTCTACACCCTTGCCGAGAAATTGGGCATGCCCAAGCTGAAGGAGGAGGCCCATAACAAGATTCATTCGGTAAACTCGACCCCAATTGGTGAGTTGACGTACGCGCGCTACGTCTACACCCACACCAATACCGCCGATGTCAATATTCGCAGACCGGTCGCATATTACTGGGCTACCCAGGGTCATATCATTCGCCATGACCTGAAGGACGAGTTTAGATTACTTTGTAATGAGGTGCCGGAGTTCTCCTACGATGTTCTTTCCCTCATGATGGATCGCAAGGAGAAGGAAACGACAATGGATCTTGACAGCAATGTCCGTAGTAGCGCCAGAAAGCGCCCTCGTCAGGAGAAATAAGATGTCACAGCCCTATCCTAATATCCAAGCGGCGCATTTCTTGTTTGCAAGCTCTCGGCCATGTCATTTCATTACCTTTCAACCCTATCTCAGACTCCACATGTACAAGATCGCCAAGTCTATGCTTGACCCACAAATTTATTGAGCGAGGATCTCCACTTCGGCCAGAGCCTTAGGGGCCGTTGTCAAGTTGTCCGAGCCATCCTTGGTAATGTGAATATTATCCTCAATGCGGACACCACCAACGTTCCAGTACTGTTCTAGTACCTCCTCATTGATGTATTTAGCTAATTCCGGAGAATTCAAGACAGGATCGATGATGAATCGGCAGAAGTAGATCTAATCGAGTGTTAGCGTAAGCACCAAAACACCAAAACAGGAGTATACATACACCTGGCTCAACAGTAATAACAGAGCCTGCAGGCAGATTTCCGCGTACACGTAGGTAACGGAACATCTTATCCTTGTCCGCGTAGTTAGGGTTGCCACCAGTATCATGGGTATCCATTCCAAGGTAATGACCAAGACCGTGAGGGAAGAACGCAACACTAACACGCTTCTCAAAGAGCTCATTCTCCTCACCACGAAGGATGCCAAGCTTCAGCAAACCCTTGATAGCGATACGATGGGCCAAAGAATGGACATCATCCCAGAGGACACCCTCCTTGAGGACAGCAATACACTCAGCCTGCATCTGGAGAACAATCTCATAGATTTCCCTTGTTTCCTTGGAGAAACCACCATCGAGTGGAACGACACGAGTGATATCAGCACAGTAAGTGTTGTACTCACCACCGGCATCGATGAGCAGGTTATTCTTGCGTTTCTGCGTAACGGGGTCAATAAGACTCTTGTCATTACGAACATAGTGCAAAGTAGCACCACTATCACCACTAGCAAAGATAGGGTGGTAAGATTGTTCACGACATCCACCGGCAATGCAAGCGCTAATAAAGGTACCTTCAAGCTCACGCTCATTAGTAGCGGTCTTCGCAGCCTTAAGAACAGCGATGTGAGCCTTTGCGGAGATATCATTTGCCTTTCTCAGCAAAGCGACCTCGTACGCATCCTTCACAACACGGACATCACCAATAACATCCTTCAGAACAGCATGGTTTGTTGTAGCGAATCCCTGGAACTTAGTCTCCTGTGAGATCTGCTCAGCGATACCAAAAGCTGGAGCTTGACCTCCCTGCTTAGCTGCGATGGAGGCGAGGTGTGCATTCACATCGGTGGTATAGAGGACTTGATCCACATCGTAGAGCTTCGCAGCCTCCTCGACAGACATGGGGAGACCGGACCAGATGACGGATTCCGGGTCGATGGGAGGGATGAAGAGAGTTAACTCATCAGCTTTGATGTCGTACACAACCGAGGCATCAGGCAAAGAGCAACCAGTGAGGTAGAAGAAAGGACGACGCTGTCTATCAAGGTAATAAAGTTAGTACCTGTATCAAGCACAGCTCAGATAAATTTGAAATGGAATGTTATAATACCTGAATGGCATTTCCCCATCATTATCCTCAATCATTCTAGTTTTTTGGGCCTCCAAGTAAATGACACCCGCCTCGCCATGACGAGATTGAAGGGTCTCAGCAACACGACGAGCGTGAGCCTTGGCAGGGTATTTACCTTCCAGAATACGATCCACAGAAGTCATAACGGGCAATAATTATGAATTAAGTGGAAAGAAAAAAAGAAGAAAAAAAAATTGCGCGGGGGCTAATCGAGTTGCATTTACTGCGGGGCTTATCTATAAGGCGGCCGGCTTCCCGGGCCGGTTATACTACAGTCTACAGTCAATATATAGAGCATGTGCACCTGGGCAGGATATGACATGGAAATCCTGTTCTAAACACTCTATTCCAATCTGATCATGCTTCATATTATCCCATTGTACGTTAGACTAGCACATTATCACACTTTCAAGATATAAAGTTGAAGGTTGTACATGAGGTTTGACCTGCCATTCTCCGGAATTGACACTTCACGGAGGACCTGGGGATGATTTACGTGTCGTTGTACTGTTTCTTCTCCCGTGGGAAGAGGAATCCGACTGATTTGTTTCATCTGAATCAGTGGGACCAGAATCATCCTTATAGAACCATATGACAAGTTCCCACAATGCACACAACACACTAGTGATGCCCGTTACTAGAGAAATCATTTGTCCAGTCGAGCTGCTTATGTCTGATGTAGAGAGGTGGTTGCTAGATATAATTCTTTTTACGGATATGATGGCGACAAAGGGACCCAAAAGGTTCATCCAGATATAATGGAAAACATTCCTCGAGAGTGGGCGTTTAAACTTGACGCCCATTTCTTGAGGCTGAGGTTAATCATGAGTTCTGGCAGACACAAGACGAAAAGCCCTGAAGGTTGAAAAAATAATTGGACCAGGATTTTTGCCCTTGGCTGAACTGAATGAGTAGAGATTGACGACGAAGACAATAGCCCAAGATAGGCCAAGTAGTATAGCTAGCACTGTGGCCGCAGTATACCACGAATCATATGAAAGAGCAGAATTATAGCTGCATAATCTGAACAAGGCGATTCCTGAATCCGTTTAACACCATGAAGCCAAAACCAGGCCCCGATGATCGTGTATGCGGCAAAGAACGCATTTTGAAAGATCAGTGAGAGATCTGGTACCAGTGTATATGACTTGATTTTATCCTTCATCTCAGGACTTTTCCTCGTCTCGGGGTTGTATCAATTCCGAATAGGCTTGTATGCTTAAAAAGTGGACCAGTTTTACCCACTTCCAGGCGTATTCTGTAAGACTCTGAGTAAAACAGGATCACCGTCAAAGAGAGGAGATAATCAATGGCAAGTGCTTTGCGTTCAACAACTTTGATCGTCTCTGCTAGTGCTAATGCAATACAAAGAGCATTATTAGCAGTTCGGACACTAGTCATTGTGTCCCAGGACCCGATGTTGCGCAGAATAAAGCCAGCAAGCCATTGAAGATAAAGTCCTCGAACGCCTAGCCCGTACACATCACTATCGCCCTGATTTGCGCATTCCTGCGACCTGATCGTCGGCTTCTGTGACACTGGCGAACCTTCAGCGAGCGTTGTCACTAGGATCCCCAACAGCAGTATTGCTGATGTTGTGAATAGATGCATATAAGAATCTTTGCGCTCAATAGGTGGTGATGGAGTATTCCCTGGCTCCTTGGAATCAAATGAGGCGTTCGGTTGTATATGTCAAAGTGCATGTAGGAACGTATTGAGAGCAGTCCTTTAGGGGGCAAGGTAATCTTGTATTGATCAATGGGTTGTGAGAGAGTAAAGAAAAATGAGTGTCGACTCGGAGATGAGGGTATAGCCCCTCATCTAGTGCGTGCATTCGGCGCTACAGTAGTGTGGAACCATCCATGCAGTGACAAGTGTTCGAGGAGTCGGCTAGGCGGCGGGGTAGGGATCAAGTAACTGCCAAGGGCCAGTGTGGTATAGTTTAGTCTTAGCGATGCCTTCCGGCGCTAACGTCGAAAACTTGAACCCAGAGGGCTTTTTGGAGCATTGATGCACCTGTAGACCAGACATTCAAGTAGACCCCAGCTTCACCATTTTGAAAGCTCATCATGTGCAGGAAAGCAGGTGTTTGTTCCACACTGGCAGTGCTGCGTAATGAATAACCGATACTATTCTTGTAAATGGACTAAGGTAGACTAGTACCAACGGTAGAATGGGTTATTATAATTCATCTCATTACACATCAGGATATAAAAAACAAATAGTCAATAATGATAGATGGTATCACCTTGGACTCCCCGTCATTTCAGAAGCAGAAACCTCCTCGAATTCCATCTCCCACTGATCAATCTCTGCAAATTTCTTTGCCGCCGCTCGTAATTCTGCACTCATATATCGTCGTCCTGTGCCTACCTCAGAATCAGAGGCATTTGAGCCGGGAGAAGAGAGACGCGAAGAGGCGCGTGATGTAGGATTTAAATCATTCTCCTTATCAACCTCTCCCCCGGTATTTGAATTTGAATGACTGGCAGGGTCTTGTGGTGCTGATGGCTTTGTACCCGAAGCAGATCTGGGTTGATTCTTCTTTTGTTTTTGGTTGGATTGGGACCGTTTACGGCCAAGTGGTTTGGGTTTAGAGTTGGGCTTGCTTGAGCGAGCACGGCGTGTTTTTCGAACGGGGAGATAGTTAAGCTCATCCTCATCACCCGAGGCTGCAGAGTGCATCCCACCGTCGCTTTCATCACTCGGGAGATCGAATTCACTCGCTGCACCGCGTTGACGGCGACGCGGTCTTCGTAAAGGTAAGAACTTGTTTTGAAGTATCGCCGTAGAAAGTTGAGTCAATTTGGATTTCTTATCCCCGGCATTGGGACCTATCGTGGAGCTTCGTGAGCTCATCGCTGGACTACTGGCGGGTGGCGCAAAAGTCTGGCTCAATATGTCTGAGAATGGAAGGGGTAGTGGTCGAGGTGTGCTTTCTGCTTCAGTCTCTTCTAAGGAATGTATCGGAGATCTGCGTGGGACTGGTGTAGCACTGGGTGACTCTGGAAGGGACTGTCTGCCGGGTGAATCCTGAAGAAACTGGCGTGTGGGAGAATCCAAAATGGACTGGTGCACACTAGGCGAATCTGGAACAATCGCCTGGGATTGTTCAGCCGAGGACTCAGGTACTTGGATTTCCTCACGCTTGCGTTTCCGAGAGCCACCCGATGAAGGAGTTGAGTCCTCAGGCGAGGGTGATTTTTCAAGTTGAACAAGAAGAGATTTGCCGCGCGAGACGTTCAGCGGGGTAGATTCATCCTGAGGAGTTAATCCTCCCAAAAAGTCATCATCATCCAGATCCGATGAGCCATCCTCCGCTTGCATCATTTGCAGAATACTCTGTTGCCGGGGTCGGCGCCGGAAATTGCTCAATACTGAGGTTTCAAACCCCGGCGTACCTGGAGCCCTTGAGTTTCCATCGCCTTTTCGACCCGCAAAGGATAATGTAGAAGAATAGCCACGAGATCGGGTTGGAGGTCGGCTGCCTGTTCCTGGACGACTGGCTGTACCAGGCCGATCGCCCGTAGGCGAGGACTCGAGCGCTTGTTCATGGCTTTTGGCTAAAGGTGTTTGGCTATGGTCTGGGCGGGGATCCAATGTCGAATCGCGTTCTATCGTAGGTGATGGATGGGAGTCATTTTTTTTGCGCGTTTCGATGACAACACTAGGTTTGGCAGTACTAGCCTTGCTCGCCTTGGCTGACTTTCGTTTTGGGGCTGGACGAGGCATTTTCTTTCAAGGTAGTAAGGGAGTGAGCAGAATGAAAGCCAAAGGCGATAGCCACAGAATGTCGCATCAACTAATTTTTTTTTTCGCGCCAAAAGGGAGTGAAGTCGCGTGTTGTTTTGAGGAACGCGTCCACGTGCGATAAGGATAAGAGTTATTAGCAGGGAATTTCTACACTGCTGAGTACGTTTATACACTTCCAATTACACTATGTAATTCATATTAGTATATTATTCTAGGAAACTTAAGGATATAGAGCATGTACTAGTATCAATGTAATATATGCAGAATCATACATGGAGTGGTCCATAATGTTTCGTATCTATCAAAGTCATGTGATATCGTGGTTGTCATAGCGATTCGGAGTGAACAGCAAGCGATTTACAAGATGCAAAGGGGGCAGAAGGGGGAGGAAGAAAAATGACAATAGGTACAACAAGGCGGATCATGGTATCTTAAAGAAATGGCGGAAGGTGAATATCAACGTGAAAATAATATGGGCAAACAAATCGGATGACCAGATGGCCATCTGAGGATAGACGGGTAGGAGAGAGAGAAAAGGATCAAGGAAGTGGTCCAGATTAGATCAACACCCACTCACTTCCACGCTTGATAAATTTATCAAGCATGAGGCCCACGTCAGCAAGGGCAAAGCGACACACATAAAAGCCAAAGAATTCAGCAGCATGGCGTGTACTAAGCTCCAGGCCAACATGGGTTTGGGAGGAGTGTTTAAGTCCAGGATCTTCGACTTGTTGTGCGATTTGATCTATGTTGGTCAGTATGGAGTCGAGAAAAATAGAGGTCCTTGAATAAAATCAAACATACCAATCACTTGGGCAGCATCAAAGAGACGAGCTAAAGCTCCCATGTAGTGGGAATTTGGACCCGAGAAATCCAAACTAGTAACGTTGCGCTTGGTATGAGCAGTAGGTCCAGAGATCATTGGAAGAGAATTAAGAGTGAAGTTATCCTTGTTGCTGTCACGCGCGCTTGAAACGACCGGAGGGGTGGTGGTGCCCATTCCTGAAGTCTTCGCTCGGAGCCGTTTCCAAGTCGGGAGGTACGATTTATTTGATGTACCTGAGCTTCTCGAAGACGATGTATCCTGACTAGCGGAATCATCTGCGCCTGTACTTGGCTTGAAAAGTGGCATGGCAGTTTGAACTCCCACATCATGACCGAGTTTCTTGGATAAAGCAGCTTGTGCTTGATCAAGAACACCTTCAAGTGCCTGCATCTCTTCCAAGACCGCATCTGCATCGTACATATCGACATGGGCGAGCCTGAGCAGTGCCGCAGTCAGAAGGTCACAGTTGGACACTTTATCCTCAATAGCCTTGAGCTTGACATTCTTGACCCGCCAGACATCGTGTGGGATGAAAAGTTTGGTAGACAAGTAACCGCCGTGGGGGGTGAGCGAGTGTCTGGTATAGGCATCGCATCAGCCAGAACGGACGGAGAAGGAAAGACTCAGGACACGCTTCGAGGGGCAGAGGGCCATTTGGTACAAGGGAATTCGGACGACCAAGGTTAGTAGGGGAATGAATCTCAGAATCGAAGAGGTTGAGGCCTCCCGTAGGCAATCCATTTTGGGTGAAATAAGTACCAGTTGGCGTGGGCATCACAGGAACATTCCTCGGGACATCCAGCGTTGGGAATGACCCGCTCCATGGTGTTGTTGGAGAAGCCGGCGCAGTCTCAGGATTAGGCACGGATACATTGCGCGATCGAAAGATCTTTGAACTGGACTTATCCAAGCCATCCGGCGCGGAAGGTATCTTGCCCATGAGTCGCGACGTGGTGGGCAGAGGAGGAACCCCGGCTTCATCATCCTCTTGAGTGCGAGTCTTGGCAAGATTGATATGCTCGGTGATCGAACCAATTGATGCGTTGCGCTTTGAAGGGTGCAAATTGGCCCGGAAGCCTAAGCCTAGTAGAGAAGGCTTGGAGCTTTCTGGGGCTGGTTCATCTTTGGGGAGTGGCGGAGGCGGTTGACTCGCCAGCGGAGTCGAGAAAGGATCTATCTCAGAAGTACTGGAGTCTGCGCGGAAACGACTACTGGTTTCAATTTTAAGTTCACCAGTACTTGTTCCCGACAGTCGCCGAGCTCGAACGCCCGGGACAGGAGGTGGACCCATCGCGGGGGGAGGAGGAGGCTTGGATAAAGACAAAGAGGTTCGTTGTGGGGGTAAATCAGGGAACTGAGACGGGATTGGAGGTAAAGCAGAGGATGGGGGAGATGATGGGAGAGGAGTTTGCTCTGGCATTTGCGTGGGCGCCAGGTTGTTTTCATCTTCTGTGAGAGTTGACAAGGTAGGTCCCGTGCCAGTGATGTTGGACGCAGCTGAACTCTCCCAGGTCCTTCCAGACATATTGCTAGAATCGGATTCACGAGGAAGCGCCGATTTGGATTGTATACCAAATTCAAAATCGTCCATGACGTAGCCCTTGGTCATTTCTTCCAAAAGACGTTCTTCTTCTTCTGCTTCTTCATCAAGGTAGTCTGAATGCCGAACCACAGTGTTTGAATTATCCATGAAGTTCTGTTCCTGAATGCGACGTATTTCTCGACCTCGGTTCATCGCGTCCTCGGCCTCTCGTTCTGCTTCGCGCACGCGTTGCTTAGCCAGTTCAATATTTCTGCGAGCATTGGCGACAATATCATCGTTTTCCTCTTCCCTATACTCCATGACCGGCTCTAGACCATCATCATATGCAGCCTCCACGGCCGCATCGAGGGCGGCATCGAATTCGGCTTCTGTGTCCGTACTAATGCGCCGACTAGTGCGACGTCGAAGATAGACTGATGATGCCTTAGAATTCGCGGACGACGGAGAAGAAGCACCTGATTCGTCAATGGTGTCTAGCCATGATGTTGATTCGTTGACTTCTTGTAAAGAGGGCTCTAAGTATTGCCCCCCGTAGCCGGCATTCACGCCTGAGTTTGCTGGAGTCGATCGCCCGGATTGCGGATTCGGGTTCCTGGGAATAGACATAGACCGTGGCTGCTCATCATAGCCAGCAGGTCTTAAGGACTGGCGACGAGGAGGAATTGCCTCAGGAGGTAAGGATCTGGGATCTTCTATTGATGCGTGGAGGCCTAAGCTGGAGCGGGCGGAGCTACGTTGACTGTCTACACGAGAGCCATCGTTTGCGGTGCCATGGAGTAATTCACCAAATGACTCCTGGCTTAAAGGTCGCTCAGGGAGGGCTTTCCCATCGAGATCTGGTAGAGGGAAATCCATGCGCTGAAGTTCTGTAATCCGAATCATATAAGTGTCGCGCTGTTAGACAGGTTAGCTTTTTTAACTCCAAGTGTTCACATATGAGCAGTGCGTCCTACAATCTCTTGCAGCTTGATCTTTTCATCATCTCCGCCGTTGCTTCGAAGCATGACTAACTGCAATAATTGGCATGCATCTGTGTATGCTTCCATTGCACCCTCAAAATTGGCTGCATTATCCAAAAGTACAGCAGTATTTGCCTTCTGTAGTGCCTTGGACAACATTGCTTTCTGAGTTTGACCATGTTGTCGATTCTCCGCCTCCCCTTCCTCCTCCAAAGAAGCAACCCCTTCACTTGGTCGCGACATATGACCTGGCGCATACGCCTGTTTATGCTCATATGGTTCATTTGGCGAAGAACTCTGAAATATATGACTCGAAGCTGTAAATGAAAGATCGAGATGAGAATTTGATCCCGTCGAAAACATCTCTGAGCTTCTCAACTCTGGGAGACTTAACTCCGGAAGCTCTTCCAATCTTGGTCCTCTCTGAGGACTATGGCCCGACATGGACATTTTAGAACTGCCCCGGCGATGACCCGCATACTCAGATGGACTCCGACTGGAGGTTGTAGATTGCGACCAACGATTTAAACTTCCCAACCCTTCTTTAATAGGGCTGGTGCCATTCCACGGGCCATCCGGCCCCATACCCGGGGCGTTCTCTGTTACCACACCTAGTCCAGTCGGAGTCACAGCCCTCGAGGACTTGGCCATTCGAGTGCGGGATCCCGGTCGAGAAGTGCGAGAAGCAGGTCGATTGGGAGGAGGTACAGAGGGGGGCTCCATTAGCGATCCCGACGGGCGTCTGGGGTGGAACGGTCTCGTTTCATCTTCCAGGGCGGAGCGGTGTAGCATTTTCACGGGCGGAGAGAGGGATGAGTGGGTACAGGGATTCAATCAGAGACTATAAAAGTTCAAGAGCCGAGGTTGAACATTGGATGAGACCAGACGATTTGATAGGAGATTCACGATCGGTTTGTTTTGATCTTTTTTGTTTCTTTTTCTTTGGGAGTAGAGGGTGTATAAGATTCTAACTCAGAACCAGGTAAATTATTGACTGTCACAGGTATCTGCAGCCTGCATGCTCCCAGCACATTTCCGAGTCAAAGAGAAAAAAAAAAGAAAAGAAAAAAGGGGAGGGGGGGTTGGTGTTTCTCCTGATACATGCGCGGGTCAACACATTGTTTCGAGGGTAGCTCTAACACTGATTGGAGAGAGACATGGGGCAATTGAACTGGTTATATAAATGAGCGCATGATCTAGAAATATGAAATTGAAGTAATTGTCAACTGACCAAGGTAAAAACTATCTAAGTAAAGACTCGGATTGTAGTTCAGGGGGGGCGGAAGTTGTCCCTTCAGGGGTGCGGGCGGTGGGAAAAAAGGGTGCGGGGAGGTAACCGAGTACAAAAGTCGAGTATAAAGAAGTTAAAAAAAAAGAGGGATTTCCTCTATATATCTGAAGAATAGAAAAACTACTTTGACGTTTATAAGAAAGAAGAAAGAAAGAAAAAAAAGAATTGATCAAATTTCGATCGATCATATTGAGATATATGTATAAAGTACCGTTGATCTTGCATGTAATCCCTATCATATCTACTACTACTATGGAGTACACGGAATACTACTAGTAGTACTCCGTACTGTATGTCTTATGTCTTTATTATGGCCAAGAGTTAACTATCAAGGGAGAAACCCTAATATTCCCTTACTACTAGTACATAATCTATCCCCTTTCTTACTTTATTATACTATTTTATACTATATCATACTACTTCTCCCTTTCTAATTCATCATATCACTTCATTACGATTAATCTGAACTTTGAATATCTTCAATACCTACTCTAATCTGATCCAGTGTTATGATTTGTCCCGCTTTTCACGCTTAGAACCGGAAAACCCGAACTTTTTTCCATCCCTTTTTTTTTTCTCATGGAATCATCCAGATGAATCCCACCATCCACTTTGGACTTGCTCGTTTCCTCTCGCGTGCAAGTTTCATCTCCAAAGGCCCCAACTTCTCGTTTCATTCCATACGTAGATTCACCATGGCTTATCCGAGAGATCCGAACACTTTGAGCAACTACCATATTTGGCGCTCCACTCATATCACCGCCAATTTCGGTATTTGGTTCGAGCATAAGAAATTGGTCGGAAATGTCGTGCACAAATTCACCTCTCTCACTGATGCTCAGTCTCGGGAGATCATTCTAGATACTCGTTTTCTAGATATTGCCACTGTGAAAGTGGATGGCCAGCATGTCAAGTGGGAATTGCTCCCCACGCTGGAACCCTTCGGGACCCCACTGAAGATCACTTTGGACCAAGGTGTCCAGCAGAATGAAACTGTCGAAGTCAATGTAGGTACTCCGTAGTGCTTGTCACTTCACTCTCATATCATCATTGTCATCATTGTCATCCCTTAATAGGTATTCTCGTCCAATCCATTAATCCATCAGTAGATCGAGTTGGAAACCACCGAGAAATGTACCGCTCTCCAATGGTTGACTCCGGCCCAAACTTCCAACAAGAAGCACCCGTATATGTGTATGTGATCATCAATGAATAAAATGTCGAACTATTTTGTCTGACCCTCATGTGCTAGTCTCGCAATGCCAGGCTATTCACGCCCGGTCTATTTTCCCTTGCCAGGATACCCCGGATGTCAAGAGCACCGTGGACTTTAGCATCACCTCACCTCTCCCTGTCATGACCAGTGGTCTGCCAACTGGATCGGAGGAGGTCAAGGACTCGCTGTTTGGTCCTGGCTCTAAGGTGTACCGATTCAACCAGTCGGTCCCAATTCCCAGCTACCTGTTCGCAATTGCCAGCGGGTAAGTCGTGCTTCATTCTCTTTTTACCTTGATTGAATCGTTGCTCATTGTGTGCCTTCAGAGATGTCTCCCAAGCCCCCATCGGTCCCCGTAGTGTTGTGGCTACCAGTCCAGACAAGCTGGATGAATGCAAGTGGGAGCTGGAAAACGATACCGAGAACTTTATCACCACCATTGAGGTATGTTGAGTATAAGGAGGCATGTGAACCGGTGATACTGATCTTTCATGTAGAAAATCGTCTACCCCTATGCCTGGGGTCAGTACAATGTGCTGATTCTGCCCCCGAGCTTCCCGTACGGTGGCATGGAGAACCCGATCTTCACCTTTGCAACCCCCAGTATCATCTCTAAGGATCGCGAGAATATCGATGTCATTGCTCACGAGCTGGCTCACAGCTGGAGTGGAAACCTGGTGACCAACTGCTCTTGGGAACACTTCTGGCTGAACGAAGGCTGGACTGTGTATCTGGAGCGACGAGTAAGTTTAGTCCAACGATTGAGACAAGATCAATACTAACATATTGATAGATTCTGGCCGCAATGTATGTATCAAACAATCATCGCCGTTAAGATAAATAGTGAGGTGCTTTGAATAACACTAACCCGATTAATATGACAGTCACGGTGAATCCTACCGCCATTTCTCCGCCATTATCGGCTGGAAGTCTTTGACCGATTCCGTGGAACACTTCGGTGAGGACCACGATTTCACCAAGTTGATCACCAACCTGGAGGGGAAGGATCCCGACGATGCTTTCTCCAGCGTCCCTTACGAGAAGGGATTCAACTTTTTATTCCACCTTGAGAACCTTGTGGGCAAGCCCAAGTTCGACAAGTTCATTCCTCACGTATGTTCTGCACTCACCACTTTTATTCTGTCTTTTTAACCTTTTACTTTCAGTACTTCACCGTCTTCAAGGGCAAGTCCCTTGACTCGTTTGAGTTCAAGGCTACTATCCTGAGCTTCTTCGAGTCCGATGCCGAGGCATCTAAGCTTCTGAACGAGTTGGACTGGAACAAGTGGTTCTATGCCCCCGGTCTGCCTCCTAAGCCCCAGTTCGACACATCTCTCGTCGATGTAGTGTACGAGCTTGCGAAGAAATGGGAGACCCTCCCCGACTCCTCCTTTAAGCCCCAGAAAAGCGATCTGGAAGGCTTGACCGCCAACCAAGTTGTCGTGTTCCTTGAGCAGATCCTCCGATGGGACCAGCCTCTGCGCCCAGAACTGTCCAAGTTGATGGGTGATGTTTATGGACTTGCGAAGAGCGAGAATATCGAGGTATCCAACTTGTATCTTCAGGTCGGTATGAAGGCTGGTGATGAGAGTGTCATTGAACACACTACTGAACTGCTGGGCCGAATTGGAAGAATGAAATTCGTGCGACCCTTGTAAGTTCCCCCCGCTCTATGCAGACTCCTGACTGCAACTTGAAGCGATGAGACATTAACCCGATGACTAGGTACCGCAATCTTCAGAAGGTAAACCGCCCAGTTGCTCTGGCCACCTTTGAAAAGTATAAGGAATTTTACCACCCTATCTGTCGGGCTATGGTTGAAAAGGATCTGTTTGGCAAGAAGGAGAACTAGATATCATATACCGCACACTTAATTGACTGTGCAAAAAGCAAGTCTCACTATATTAAATATATGGAATGTCAAAATTCTTTCAATTATAGAGCTGGGCTAGATGGATAGTGTACATGATCGATCAACCTCGTAAAGCGGCAAAGCCAGAAGTAATAAAACAAGACTGAAGAAAAAGAGAGAGGAACTGTGTACCCGAGTATTTTATGTTCAGCAAAGCCGGTCCTCTACCGATCAACTCCAGCCATTCTCTTGTCCACAGGGGAAAGACCAAAAACCCCTGACGCCGCGGAGCTGCCCTTGCTCAAGGCCATCACAATATCAGCCTCCTGCATTTTCGACAACTCCGACAAGACGCGGCGCATGTAAGCCACCACCCAAGCAACCTTAGTCCAATCAATGTCCTTTCCATCAGGACCCGTGGAGTCAGCCTTCCACAGATTTCTCCAAACAGCAGCGCCCAGCACTGCGTCCCCCTTTACTAAACCCTCATCGTATGCGGCGATGATACCACGCCATTGGATGAAGAGATCCTTAAGATATTTGTTGCGGATAGACCGACTAGCGATATCGTGCAACACATCCATACGGTGTTCAGCATTGTGGGAGAAATGATCGATCAGGTGGCGGGAGTAAGTCTGAACGCTGTCGCGAGTAGGAAGAGCACGAAGTCGAACAGTCAAGAGATACATGTGCAGGAAGGTAATTTGCGACCAGGTAGAGAAGGTAGGTTGGAGACCGAGCTCTGTTGAGGTTGGTAAGTCAGTAAACGTAAATCGCTACGGATTCACTTCCATCTCCAAGATTGAGTACGAACCTTTATACCACCAGCTATCACTTGTACCTAGGTGTTCCCCAGATTTGGTAAGAGGGACTTCTACACCCTTCTGAGTAGCCTGAGGAATTTTATAGTCCGCTTGGTTTGAACAAGCTTCAAAAAGTCTCTGGGTCATTCCGTATGCAACATAGGTTTCGGCGGCGGCGCCCGGTCCAGTTGACACACTCCGAGTAAGACCATTGGAACGGGAGATGATGAGGCGGGAGTTCAATCCACTGTCCAGTGATTTGAGGGATGCCCCTGACGCAGCATTGTGGCTTGCGGTTCCTGATGTCGCTAACGAAAGAGATGCGCGTTGAACAAAAGGTCGCTAAATCGAGTCAGTACCCCCTTGAAGCTGGACAAAAACCTTTGAGAACTTACTCGAAGGCAGGAGACCTGCAATCCACGCAGTTCACGCGTGCAGAGAGTGGTCAATCGTGTAGTCGACATTTCTTAGATGAATGAATTATTGAAACTCGTCGGCAGTCTTTTTTGGGATCAGCAGTGTTTGCATGGTTTGTCTCGGATAGACCAATCATCACGCGTGTATTCCGTGAATAGTTCTCACATGTAGATGCAGCATCCCAAGGACTAGTAATTGATCTGACCGAAAATGCTGATTGAAAAATATGTGCGAGGTAGAGTAAAGATTCTATTTGAGTATCTCTTATGTACTCATTGGACGAATTTGCATCTTGATTTTGAGATAAGAATTAGCTTCGCTAACGAGTATTTCTTTTAGGTTTCAGCTAGGTAATCTGTTATTGACTGATAGCTCCATTAATATCTAAAATAATGGCCATTAAGTATACCAGTATAAGATATGACAATGTACTGAATGTTTTATTCTATCAGAGGGTATATTGGTTATTGATTTTACTGGAATTTTCATCTTCACTTGGGAACGCAGGTTCTCATTTCACATCTTGACGAAAGGACCGTTGTTACACTCGACGACGACTCGGTAAGGTAGGCCCAGCTCAGGTCATTTGCTGTCATATATGACCACGGGGTTCAAACAGACCTTAGGCATTCAAGACAATCCGTTCAGAATGCTTTTCTACCACAGGCAGAACCTCAGAGAGTCGATTGGCATCTCGCATCAAGGCGGGGATATCATCGCGGGTACTTGCTAGAATCTGTTCATGGTGAGAAATAGCACAATTTCCATGTATAGTAATGGAGATGGCACATACCTGTCTTACTTTCTCATACTCACTCTCCTTTGACTGATACTCGCGGATCACCTCGCGAGTCTCAAAGTCAACATAGACCCTCGTATCGCGGAGTCGGATCAGAACGTTATCCAATCGCATGAAGAATCGTGTCAGAAGAAGGAGTCTTCCCGGCATAACTCGAATCTTGCATGAGAGCATGGCAATTCCGTTGTCTGCCAGCTCGTCCTCGTAGAGAACCACCTCGTCAAAGAAAAGAATGGGATCGGGCCGCATGAGGAGCTCAATGGGAATTGGTTTATCTGTGTTCTCGAATGGTTTGGCACTAGGGCTTAGAGTACCCTTGTAATCTGTGCTGTAGGACCAGTCGAATGGTTTCACTACTTCTTTGATGCCTTCGTGTGTTTTTTCTCTATTTGTTCCCTGTCAGCTTCAGGGAAAAAAGTAATAAACTAGGTGAGTGCTCCCCAAGTAAAACTGTACCTGCTGCTTTGCCATTCCTTTGAATATGCCACCTGTAGCATTGATTGCCCGGTCTTGTCCACTTTATCCAGAGCATCGAATGCATTGAAATTGATTCCCCACTCACTCTTCTCATGCTCAATCATCACGTAATTGTCACCAAAAATCATCTCCGGCGGGGTGATGCCCAACTTCTTGGTCATTTCCTCGATCGGATCGGCTTTTAGGATGGGTAGCTTCTGAGTTGAGATGCGAAAGCCGTGGATGGAGATATCCTGGGGACGTTTTGTAGGATAAGTTGCCGCATGCCCTGAGGGCTGCGTTGGGAGGTGTGTCGCATTCATAAATATTCTCTTTTCTTAAGCTTGCAGCTCAAATCATGTCGTCATGGAGGTAGCAAGCGTTATCATTCTTTTGCGATAGCGATATGGAGTTTAGCCCCGCGAGCGGAGAAAGAGGCGGGCCGATGTCGTTGCTGGGGAAACAACATTAAACAACGGGAACCAAACACCCGTTCTTCTGTTTCTCCTCTCATCTCCAGATCGACCTCTCCTCACATCTTCAGATCGATCCACGCCCAATGTTTTTTTGATCGACCTGAATTGGTGTCGGATTTATTTCCAACTCTCCCTTCTCCACTCACATACCTAGTTTTTTGTTTCCCGTCCGACTGTTACAATGGCGACCAGGACATTGGAAGCTCGCTTTGAGCACCTGTCCGTCAAGGAGGATAAGGATAGCAGCGGCGAGCGCACTGAGCGCACTTATGGAAAGGCAAAGGTATTCATATCTCAAATTTGAATGAGAGAAATGCAGTATGCTCATTTAATTGGCGTCAAAGGGATCTATCTCGACAGCTGCCGCCTTGTCCGGCCTCGGCTCCTCGCAGAGCAATTCCAACCGAGCACAGCTGCTGAAGCTGGCGCTCCAAAATACCAATGACAACAAGGCCAACATGCATGTCACACAGTCCCCAGGCAAAGGCTCGGGGGCTGTTGTGACTCGCAACACCGACGAAAACGGGGACCAGCGCAAGTCAACTTCTCTGTACGATCAACCCTCAGTGCCACGAGAACTCCACCTTGGAATGTTCGAAATCGGAAAGCCTCTTGGTAAAGGAAAGTTTGGCCGTGTGTACCTCGCCAAGGAGCGATCCTCGGGCTTCGTGTGCGCTCTGAAGGTGCTTCACAAGTCAGAACTTCAACAGGGCGGTGTCCAGAAGCAAGTACGACGTGAAATCGAGATTCAGAGTAATCTTCGCCACCCCAACGTCCTGAGGTTATACGGTCACTTCCACGACAGCAAGCGAATCTTCTTGATCTTGGAGTTCGCCGGTCGGGGTGAGCTTTATAAGCACCTTCGGAAAGAGCACCGATTCCCTGAATGGAAGGCGTCGATGGTAAGTTACTGTTCACCTAAACTACTCGAAGATTATCCTAATTGGAATATAGTACATCGCTCAAATGGCAGCAGCTTTGAAATATCTCCACAAGAAGCATGTCATGCATCGTGATATTAAGCCGGAGAACATTCTGGTTGGAATCCACGGAGAGATCAAGATCAGTGACTTTGGTTGGAGTGTGCATGCGCCCAACAACCGACGACAGACAATGTGCGGTACTCTTGACTACCTGCCCCCAGAGATGCTGAAGCCCGGCTCTGGAGACAACACTTACAGCGAGAAGGTCGATCTTTGGAGTCTGGGTGTTTTGACTTACGAGTTCCTGGTTGGCGAGGCACCTTTCGAGGATACACCTGTTATGACTCAAAGACGAATTACCAGGGCTGATATGTCCATTCCTTCCTTTGTCAGTCCGGAGGCAAAGGATCTTATCAAGAGGGTATGTTCAATTTCTACTAAAATGACCGACCGAATACTAACAAATTAATTATAGCTGCTGGTTCTTGACCCTGAGAAGCGTATTCCTCTCGACGAGATCCAACGTCATCCTTGGATTGTCAAGCACTGCGTCAAAGATGGAAAGCGGAGCTCTGGATCCAAGGAGGGCAAGGCTTGATGTCCGTTTATGCATTAAAGCATGACTAGATGGTAGTCTTCGTTCCCATTTTTATGACCTTTATTCGTTCTTTAGGCGAGGAGTTTGGTTGCATCATTGGTCGGCGTTTATCTTTCGCAGGAGTATAGCCAGGCGAGGCATTTGCGATATTGAAACATGTTCTTTAATATTGATTTTCAGTGCCAATGAGATATGGTACATTTCAAAAAAGAGATTCTCTATGATACAAAAGATGATTGGTATAAATCGGACGCCGTAGACTAGGAGGGAAATAATTGGGAGGTTCGTTCATCGGTAAATCTCATCAAAGGGCCTTGTGTCTCGGAAACAGCTACCCCAGACTTCATTGACTACCTGTGTCGCATGAGCTTCGTCTCGGCAGGTAGGTCGAGCACGGACAGAGAGAATTGCTCTTCTCCGGACACACTCCTGGTGCTGTTCCGTGAACTTCCATTGGCCTCGTCGGAAGAACTCTCGCGACCACCGACATTCACCGCTAAGGGAGCTGGCTCGAATCTAGAAAAGTGTTAATGACGGAGAAGGTGACATACTCAGGCTGATCGACCTACCTCAGAGCATGCAGCGTGTCGCAAATTGTCTGTCCAGTTCACCTTGAATCGAAGATGGTCAAAGGCGTGAACCATCTCATGGGCCAATGTATCCTCCAGGTGACCTTGATCCTTCATCTCGTTGGCGCACAAGAGAATTCCAAATTCAGGATCGAATCCACCTGCTTTTCGGTTCGTGCAACGGCGACAGTAGATATTGTGGTTATGGAGATCACCTCCTAATTGTTTGATATTATCACTGAGGTAGCGGATGACGGGACCTAGCAGATATCTGTTAGCATTGTTCTTATCTCTATAAATCATAGACATAATGCTTCCTCACTGTATTGTAGCAGAAAATCACGCTGATCTTCACATCGTTTGCAATCCTCGACCTCATTGCGGTCGTCTCGCGCAACCCGGAATTGTTCAATTCCCTCGGAGGTCATTTTACCCGTCAAAATACGATAGATATTGCGGAACTGTGTCCATGTATCATCACCAGGCACATAGCCTGTATCAGGCTCGCCATTTGATGGAGCATTCGTACCAGATGACTGAGAATCCGACATGATCATCGCCGACACCATATCAAGAGTCACCGCGGAGCGAGACGAAGACTCTCCGCAGGGCGGAGGGGTACGGCAGAAACCGGCGAGTCCTCCGATGCGAAACAGTTCTTCACAAACTTAGTTCCTCATCCTTCACTTCAATCTAGAAGAAAAAAGGGATTGAGCTTATTGTGTTGTGTGGCGCAAGGCTGTTACTTCGACCCCAATTGACGAATTTGTGCAACAATGGCGGCCTCAAGCCTTACAATCGTGATTAAACTCGGTGCGGGGATATATACCTTGAAAATGACTCGATTCCGGGACCGGACTGACAATTTTGTTTATTGGAATAGGAACAAGTTCTATTGTTGACGAGAAAACACATGAGCCTATTCTATCCATTTTAACACTTATTGTTGAAACAGTAGCAAGGCTCCGCAAAGATGGTCATCGAGTTGTTCTAGTCTCATCTGGCGCGGTGGGGGTTGGTCTGCGACGAATGGATGTTGATCAACGGCCGGACTATCTACCTCGGATACAGGTAGGTAGAACAATAAATATGATGCAGAAAAATATTCAATATTAACTTATTCTTCTAGGCACTTGCAGCTGTTGGTCAATGTCGACTGATGAGTCTATGGGATAACCTCTTCTCCCATCTACGAGTTCCTGTGGCTCAAATTTTGTTGACGAGAAATGACATTGCCGATGTGAGTTTAAAGACGTCATTTGATACTATCTATACTAATCTGAATGCAAGAATACTCAATATGTTAACGCCCAAAATACCTTTGAGCAACTGTTTGATATGGGTGTGGTGCCTATAGTTAACGAAAATGATACCCTAGCTGTTTCTGTAAGGACTGTCCCTACACCATCAATTATAATGATTTATCCCTAACAAAGTGCCACTCAGGAAATCAAATTCGGTGACAACGATACCCTCTCAGCCATCACTGCAGCTACAGTCAAGGCCGATTACTTATTCTTGATGACCGATGTCGACTGCCTCTACACAGCCAACCCACGCCGCGACCCCAATGCTCAACCTATTGAAGTCGTTTCTGATATTTCAACAATAGAAGCTGACGTTTCATCTGCTGGTTCAGCATTGGGTACTGGAGGTATGAGCACCAAGATCGTGGCTGCAAAGCTGGGAACCAGTGCTGGTGTGACGACCATCATCACCAAAAGCTCTAAGCCCGGCAACGTCCACGAGATTGTCAAGTACCTGCAGGAAATTCAAGACCTCTCCGATCCCAACGATCCTTCTATCGCCGAGCTCCCAAAACCTCCTCTCCACACTCGCTTCCTTCCCTCTGATACCCCTATCCAATCGCGAACTTTCTGGTTACTCCACGGACTCACACCGCATGGTACCCTATACATCGACCAAGGAGCATATGAAGCACTCCTGGGAAAAAAAGCAAGTCTCTTGCCAGCCGGAGTCATTGGAGTTGAGGGTCATTTCGGACAACAAGAGGCAGTTCGCCTTGTAGTTGTGGATCGTCCTTCTCCAGAGTCTCTGAACGGCGAATTCCTCCACCACTCCCAAGAACCGAAGGAAGTGGGTCGTGCGATTGTGAACTACGGAAGCATCGAGATTGAACATATTAAGGGTCACCGAAGCACACATATCGAGGCGGTACTGGGTTACTGTGACAGTGACTATGTCGCACTGCGTCATAATATCTCATTCCACCCCGATGACTGGAACAGTGGCCCAGGTGCTCCAGAAATACCGTCATTGCCGGCCTCTCCACGAAAGTCATGATTAGACAAGACCGCACAAAGAGCCTACCTAGACTCATAGATCAGCATAGACTTGGTTAACATTTTACACCTGGTCTATTACTTCGGGTTTCATTTGGAGGCACAAAAGGACGAAAAAAAATCTCATTATGATGAATAGCATATGATACCAGCCAGAAACCTTGACTTGAGTCAAGGAAAAAAGTTTATATCACTGAATGACGAATGCACATGCTTCCACGCTTTTTCGGGAAATTTGAAATTGAACAACACCGATGGTAGAGTTTACTCCTTTTGATATAGCCAATCCTGCATTCTCTTATCCAGTGTTGGCATTGGAGCCGGGGCAGCCTAGTAATGTTAGTACTAACACAGGATATCAATATTTGTTGTAAACGCACCGTGTTCTCAATACTATTAGCTGTCCATGTTGCATAGGCCGTGTCTGTATATACGACTGTCGGAGCCGGAAGGTAGGTTGTGGCGATGGAGAAAGGAAATGGAGGATATTGAGGTGTAGGCGACCTGTCTGCAATGGTGGTACCTGCTCTCTTAGGCATAGGCGCATACTTCGTAGGTCCCAGTTGTTCTCCGTAAGGAATCGTATGAGGATCCACTTCAACCACACGCTTCTTCAATTCATGGTGATTCGGTTCGTTATCCATAGTAGGCGTTGGGAGTTCGAGAAAAGACTTTGACGCATTCAAGCTTGGGGTTGCTTCAGCGGCAGCCACGAGCTGGCTCTTAACTAACTCCCAGGGTATGGGGATAGGCTTCATTGAATTGATAGCGCTTGACACCTTGGAGGGAAATGAGCCCTTCATGTTGGTTAAGGTAAAGTGAGAGGTGAAGCCAGAGAGAGAGTTGTGGGAATCTGAAGGTGTGATTTTGAGGAAGCTAGATATGTCAGCCTGGATTCACCACGAAGTTTTATAGTAAAGAAAGCAGGTATAGTGCATACTATGCGTTCTCATCGTTTCCTCCAATACTTTGGTCAACTCGAAATGATACCCAATAGCCAGATGTATAGGCCATTTCCTCAACCACAGGTGCCAAAATGTCCTATAATGTTCCCCAGAGTTAGTGCTACCAAGACTGAGAAAGACCAACAGGATGCTTGGTCAACTCACGTATTCTCCCGTGGTTTCATCTCCAGCACATAACCAAAAGGTATAACGTGTCGAAGCCGAGCCCTCAAAAGCCCACACCAGACTCACGACATCTCGACTGTCAAAAGTAAGACCACTGATAGTCTGAGCAACAGTAACAGCAAATAATGTCGATATAGCAGGCCAAAGTGCACAAAGCCTCATATTGAATCTTATGGAGGTGGTCAAAGATTCAAAGCAGCCAAAGGGGGAGAAAACAGACGAGGGCACCAAATTGGAATTCTAGCGTCTCTATCCATCCCCTTTTCATAGTTTCCCCCCTTTGGTCCATGGTATGCGCGAGTCTCATTCCTCCAACCCTTGACACGTAAATGATGTACAGAACCCGATAAGCACGATAAGTGAATTGATAAACCGATAAGATAAGAGTAGATGGTCCGTGCTATCGACACCTATATGTTCATTTCTCCTGGAATCTCCCGATCTTCCGTCCATCAGCCCACCATGTCGAGTCAGGCAAACTGGAAGTCCGTGACGGGCATCGCCACGTTACTTTTCGATGGAAATCTAGTCGCAATTGCTATTGCAGTGCTATTTACATTCGGTGTACCGATTCTTCTCCATATTCTCTTTTTCAGGGCTGCGGCATCGCCGCCATCTAGCAACTTCTTGTTGCTAGGCCCGAGCGGATCAGGAAAAACGGCATTTACAACCTTGGTCAGCACCACCGAAACATAATTTGTCTAGTATATGACAAGATTTCAGCTACTAACATCTCTACAGCTCGAGGCAAAGTCCTCCCCCGCATCAAAGAAGACACAACTCACCCACACCTCGCAAACCTCCACCTTAGTCTCTGTCAGCTTGCCACCAAGTGTCCCTACTGGATCCAACCGCTACCGCTCCGTCAACGATCCCTCCTTAAAAGAGGCAACCCGGGATCCTATTCGGTACTTCGTCAAAGATACACCGGGCCATGGCAAGTTGCGCACATCACAAGGAATCGGGGAGTTACAAGCTATGGCAACCTCGAAAGAAAACAAGACCAAGATCCGTGGCGTGATCTTTATGGTTGATACTGCCGCACTGGTAGATGAGGGTAATCTGCGGGACACTGCAACCTATCTGCACGATGTGCTGCTGGTTCTACAGAAGCGCGAGCTGAACAAGACATCCACTAAGCGGTCCAGCGAGATCCCTGTTCTTGTCGCTGCGAACAAGCAGGATCTTTTCACAGCTCTTCCTCCGGGCTCTGTGCGGGAGAAGCTTGAAGCTGAGATTGATCGGATTCGCAAGTCCAAGACTAAGGGCTTGATGGATGCTTCCGCAGACGCTGGATTGGATGCCGAGGAGGATATCCTGGGTAATGATGACGCGCAGGGTGTTTTCAACTTCAAGGCTCTTGAAGATGAAACTGGCGTTAAGGTTGAAGTGGTGGGTGGTGCTGTCAAGGGTGATGCAGAGGAGGAATTTGGGTCGGGAGTCCTTCGCTGGGAAGAGTGGATTGGCATGTGTCTATAAATGATTTGCTGCTTTATACAACATATTCTGAAGTCAAAAGCCGTTTTCAAACGTTCTTGATATTGATACGTTAGCGGTCTAGCATTGCTCTGGCATATGAATGAATTCAAATTAATTATACTGTATTTATCTCGTCACGGTGCTTATGCGGATATGTGGATAGTATTATTACTTGAGTAAGTCGCAGGTAGAGTGAGCTGCGAGATCACGAAGACTAATAGTGTGTCAGATGAGAAGAAAAAGAGATAGATAAATATTGATTCAACTGGTGACCAACGCAGTGTATAATCTATGTCTAAGGTAGACTAACTAGAACATGAAAAGTTGAGCATTTCAAGTTGAACTGATACAGTTGCAGGCCAAGGTTGAAAGGCAGTTGAACACCCGGTGATGCATGAAACGAAACCTCCAATATCAACCTCCGTCTTCGCATAAACAACGCCAATTAGACCAAAAAAAGGAAATCAAACAAGACATCAAGGAAATACTAAACTCCAGGCTCGACGTGACAAGCCTCTAGGAATAATGCGTGGGGATCGTGATTGATTCATCGTCTAAGCACCGTTGGCCTTGCCATGGTGCAGCATCCAGGTGAGCAAATCCACCTTAGTGACCACAGCCAGAGGCTTCATGGCACCATGCTCATCCTTCTCAGTGACAACAGCGGCACTGTTCCACTCAAAGAAGCGGTTCAAAACGCTGAGAGGAGTATCCATGGTGATCTCGGTGAATTGGCGACGTCTGGGCTGGGCTCGTAGGGTACTTGCGCCGTCGCGGGGGTCGGTCACAACCTCGGAAATCTTGGAGAAATCAAACATCACCTCGGAGACAGGGGTCTTTCCAGAAACGCGGCCATGGGTAAGTCGGCTCAGGACGTTACCCAAAGTGAGAAGACCCACGAGTTTGCGGCCTGAAGAGGCGAGAACGGGGAGCTGATCGAAGCCCTTCTCGCGCATGATCTCAATGGCGGCTTCACAGGAGAAGGTCGAGGGCACGGTGGTGATTGGCTTCAAGCGAAGAGCACTGACCTTCGCACCAGCCAAGGGGTCAGATGGAACTGGTGTTTGTTCCGTGGTGGTGTCGACAGGAAGGGCTGGGAGAAGGTTGTTGGCCGCGAGCCAGTCATCGTCAGCAAACTTTGTCAAGTAGCTTCGGATGCTGTCTGGGAGGACAACGACAACGACATCGTCCTTGGAGAATTTCTTCTCCTCATTGGCTTTCACCAAAGCTGCAATGGCACTTCCACTGCTACCACCGACCAAGAGACCTTCCTCAGCAATCAAACGACGAGAGTACTGGAATGACTCCTTGTCCTCAGTCTTGTACCAACGATCGACAATCTTTTGGTCCAGTACATCGGGAATGAAGTCATAACCAATACCCTCCACCTTGTAGGGCTCGTTAACCCGAGAATCGTTCAGCGAAGTAGGCAAGGCCAGGATAGAGCCGAAAGGATCAGCAGCGACAACCTCAATGTTAGGGTTGTGCTTCTTGAGACCGCGAGCAATACCTGTGATAGTACCACCGGTTCCTGCACCAGCCACAATAGCGTTGATCTGACCCTTAGTCTGAGTCCAAATCTCCTGTGCAGTGCCAAGCTCATGGGCCAATGGGTTGTTCACGTTCACGTATTGGTCCAAGATGTGAGCATTTGGCAACTCCTTCTCCAGGCGTCTAGCCACTCCAATATGGGACTCGGGGGAGTCGAAGGCAGCCTCGTTGGGGGTTCGGATAATAGTAGCATTCAATGCTCGCAAGACAGAGACCTTCTCCGCGGACATCTTCTCGGGGAGAGTAATGATAGTTTTATAACCTTGAGCTATTGTTAGTATGGAATTGAGTCTTCTCGGCTTGCCCGGTGTAGCTTACCCTTGACAGCGCCAACCAGAGCCAGACCAATACCACTAGAGCAGGGTTAGTCGCGTAAGTACTGAACATTAGACAACCTTGGAAGTCTCTTTGCGTGACACTTACGTGTTACCGCTGGTAGGCTCAATCAGGGTATCACCTGGCTTGATACGACCCTCACGCTCGGCCTCTTCAATCATACGCAAGGCAATGCGGTCCTTGACAGAGCCACCCGCATTGAAGTACTCCAGCTTAGCATAGACGGTGGCATCGATGCCTAGACTGCGGGGCAGGCGATTTAATCGGACGAGGGGGGTATTGCCAATGTGTTGGGTGATAGTATCTAGCGCCACAGGCGGGATAGCAGGATGCGTGGAGACAGACATTGTTCACAAATTTCCCTTAAAATAAGTAGGTGACAGAGGAGTAAGAAGAACTTGAAAGGGATATGAGGTCAGACCATGTATGTGTGTACTTTGTACTTTTTTTTTTCTTTTATCTTATCAAAGAACTCTATTTTTTTTTGCGCAATCGGTGAATCCAGACCGATACTCCGTAATTACGGAGAACGGAGTAACTGTGGAACTGACCGAGTTTAACCGGACACGATTTTGTATATTAATTCTGTATCAAATATTAAATTATTTTAATTAGAAGAGCTTGAGATGCTTAGATATAATCAAAAAAATGATCTTGATATTACTAGGGTTAAGCCAGACTCAACTACTTGAAAGTCTAAATGAAAAGTCTATAATAACCAGTTGACGAATTGAAACCAACTTGAGGTATACTACAGTAGTACTCCGTATGGTGTATAATGTAAGGATATATATGCAGGGAGTATTAAGTCAGGAATGCGAATAATATTTACCTAGGTAGTAACATAAGATAGAGACTTGAATGAACTTAATTATACATAGTACTAGGTAGTAGCATTGTGCTTCAAGTTTCAATGTTCGCAATTGCTGCTGATAATTGCGGCAACTGGAATCCCTCGGCGAAACCCTGTTTTTCTAGGCACCAACACCCTTGTAATTAAGGCACCAAGACATCCATGGATCGATTGATAAACTCATGCCTCCACATATGTACTCCGTCGGCGTGCACAAACAGCCCACAGTCAAGTTCCACCAGTTCCACCAGTTCCACCAGTGCCACCATCACTTCCACAATTGGATTTGTCTTGTTCAAGTTATTTCCGCTAAATACGAGCCGTCGGCGTTATATACGAATGCCATTGAAGCATAATATTGCAGCCCAATTCCTTCAAGTTACTGGAATATTGGCACTTGAATTGACTAATCTGGACTCTGTAGGATTTGACTGGACCTCATCAACCGACTAGAAGTATACTCTGTATACTCGAGTGCTTTTACTTATTACAACCTCAAAATGTTCTCCAGACTCTGTTCTCTCTTTGGATTTCCCATGTCGGCCATTTGATCTCAATTCTGGTGGAGAGCTCTTGGCACAAGGATGATCACTCCACCTAAGCAGAGCTTTTTCCTTTCAGCTGGCTCCGCTTGTCTTGCAGTACTGCAGCCAAGGCCGTGGCAGTGCAGTGTCATTGGTATTCCCCACCAAGGTGATATCGCAAAACCCAGATACTTCGAGCTGACGGTTCGCGACGAGGCTGTCCCGGGTATGTCTGGGGCCAAATAGGGATGGCTGGGAGTGATTACTATGGAGTATCCGCTTGGCATTTCCCGCCCGAATTCACGGTACAGATCACTCGCGAACAAATTGATGGAGACAATGGAGATCGCTCGAATGCGATCGTGGCTGCCAAGGCTCCACCGAAGCCGTGTCTTCCTTCATCTTGGATTACTCCTCCAGATGATTGGTTAAATTGATATCTGCCAACGCAGCTCGGTGGAGGTGGTTTTGTTTCCCGCCTCTCTATACAAGACCCGCTGTGTTTGCTTTTTTTCTCTTTTCCCCTTGTAGTCTGTAGAACGTGACACCCTTTTTTCTGGGGCTTTTTTTTTCTTACACTAAAAACCCCCTCACCTCACCGTTTTCTTCTTAGGGATTCCTCAACTCTTCTTCTACCACCACTGGGTTGTCGCAAACCCCGACACCACGGACAAAATGTGCTCCATCACTCCCGCCATAGAAGAGCCGCGGATGCACGGATGTCGGGATGAAGTCAACCAGGAGAAAGGCACTCAACATACTTCGATCTTGCCGACCCTGGAAAAAAACCACCCCAGTCGATATGTCCTGGGATTATTTCGAGTAGACAGTGCTGGTGAAAGCGGCCGTACTGGAATCCACCCAACTCATTTCTTTCGCGTGGTATTCAAAAGTGTCTGTACGGCTTCCATGATGGTCAATGTCTTGTGGCCCTTCGTTCCAGCCGCTATTGTTATGCATTTTGCTCGACCAGACCTTCACGTATGGGTTTTTTCCCTGAATTATATCGCCATGGTTCCTTCCGCCAATGTCCTCGGATTTGCTGGTGGAGAGTTAGCCAAAAAGTTGCCCAAAACGCTCGGAGTTCTACTAGAGACTGGATTAAGTTGCTCGGTTGAACTGGTACTGTTCATGGTATTGCTGCATAACGACAAATCGGGCGAGGGAAACCTTATCCCAGTCATTCAAGCTGCCATTCTCGGCTCCATCATGGCAAACTTGCTGCTCTGTCTGGGTACCTGCTTCTTCGTCGGTGGTCTTAGACGGAACGAGCAAGTCTTCCACGAGGCTGTCAGTGAGGTTGGAACCGGTTTGTTACTGGTCGCTGGATTTGGATTATTGATTCCTAGCGCCTTCTACTCGGCATTGAAATCAGCCACCAATACAGAATTCACCCTCGCTACGCTGGAAGACTATACTATGCAGATTAGTCGCGCCACAGCTGTTGTACTCCTCATCGCATTCTTTATGTAAGTTCTGAGTCTGATCATAGTCAATGAATATTCATCCATGGGGCGTGTACTGACAAAGGTTGGCAGATTTTTGATTTTCAACTTGCACAGCCATAACTCAATCTTCGACGACATCCTGGAACTGGACGAGGCGCAAGATGTGGACCGACACAAGGAGTTGCAACGAGCGAAGCTCACCTTCGCAGAATGCATGGTGGCCATCGCAATCGCCCTGACCTGTGTCAGCATGTCAGCAGTATTCCTGGTTCAAGAAATTGAACACATCGTGGCCCTAGGAGTTTCGGATAACTTCCTGGGTCTGATACTCGTTCCGCTGGTCGAAAAAGCCGCCGAACATTTGACAGCCGTAGATGAGGCTTGGGACAATCAAATCAACTTTGCGCTCTTTCACTGCATGGCTCCTTCTATCCAGACAGCCCTTTTCAATGCGCCATTGGCAGTCCTTGTCGGATGGGGATTGGGCAAAGATATGAGTCTCAACTTTGAAATTTTCATGGTTGTTCTCCTGGTGCTGTCGATTCTGGTGGTTGGTAATTTCCTGAGAGATGGGAAGTCAAATTACCTGGAAGGGGCCTTGTGTGTGCTGATCTATGTGATTATTGCGGTCACCACATGGTATTATCCCAAAGTTGATGTGGCATCGACCAATCAATCCTAATCATGATTTGGACTGGACATCTCCAGGGCTTGTATATCACTTTATGCCAATCATCTTCAGCGATCATATTGAGCGTTTTGTCTTAAAATTATGACCTACTTCGTTCGGTTTCATGACATGGCCTGTTATATAATAAAAAATGAATAATTTTACTAGAAAATGGATATTAGAATCAACTCCGACCGACCACTTTGAACATTCTAATGCTATATTCCGATCGATGTGCTTATACTTGCTCGATCGGGAAAACTGTATACACCCACGTGATCGAATACGCAACCATCGATCTTTCGGATCAGTCACAGCAAGATATTCTAGATATCAGGGGTCCAATTACCATAATTTCAGAGCGGCATACTCTATTCCATCAATTGCACACTACCTGAACCCAACCATTTTCACCGCAATCCATCTTTAGAACCGAGCCGCCCGAGCTCCTGCACTCCGCCTCACATTCCAAGCGCCGGCCCCGCAAGGCACGCCGGCACAGATGGATTCGAGCGGTATTACCGAAGAGATTCTCACGATACTTAAGGAACGAGACATTCCTATCAAACGGGATGCGATTGAGTCAGCTTTAAGCGATCCTAAAACAGCTCGCAAGAATGCGGAGTGGCTATCGAAGCATCTGCGGTCAGAGACTCTGCTCTCCAAGGAGGAGCTTTCATTGTGCGCCAAGAGAATCAATACATTCACAGAAGGATGCAGAACTAACAGGAACTAGGTATGCAAAGCTAGAAACCTCCGGCGCCCTCCAGCCCCTCCTCCGTGACCTTGCCCTCAGCGCGACCCGACCCTTCCTAGAAGAAGACATTCGAAGCACGATCGATTCTCTCGAGGCATCGACAGCTGCTATTCAGAAACAGTCACAGGTGCTGTCGTTACAATGTGAAATGATCAAGAAGCAGTTACGTTCCCAGAGGAGCTTGGACGAGGATAAAACTCGGGATATTGCACGACTGCGAAAGAAGCACGAAGCTGGGAAACAAAACGTGACAGTTTTGGTAAAACCCATCCCAAAGATTTGGTAATAGGATTTTGCTAAGCAAGCGAATTAATTAGGGTAACGAAATTTTCGACGAGCTCGAGATTTCCATCAAAAGTGAGACCGACAAGGCAGGGGCAGAGAATAAGCGAATTCTCTCAGCCCTGTCCACCCGCCTAAAGCAAGACGATAAAACCCTCGCATTATTGGAAAGTGTATTGTCCGAGACAGAATCCAAAGGGGATGACGCGTCCACCGTAAAGCGTGCGGCACATCTCAGCCAACTGCTTGCGGACTATAGTGCGGACGAGATCCATCATCGCCTCGATCGACTCTACCTCGAGGCTATACAAGCGAGCGCAAACGCAAGCCGCGACGGAACAGCAGGAGACGAGACGATTGGCGTACTCGAGGAAGAGCTGGAATCTCTGTACCCAGAAATCGAAGTTCTGGCCCAAATATCGACCAAGCATCAGTTTCACGATCCTATCCTTCGCGAGATTCACAACGAGCGCAGCCATCTTCGGGCATCATCGCAGCAAAAACTGGAACATGTGTGTTATCCCTTAATATCCCGACGAGATATAATATAACACTAACAAATTTGGAATGAAACAGACTCTGGACGTCTTAATAGACATGACTCTGTCCAAGCAATCATTAACAACGCAGCTGGCAGATTGGGAGTCAGCCTGCGAGGTTCTGGTGAACATCACAACACTATACCAGACAGAAACCGCCAATCGCCTTGTAGCTCAACCCTCCAGAAGAGAATCACTGAGACGATGGTCTGTACAATCTGGAATGATCCTCGGGGCTACACGTACCCCTGCTTCGCGGCCTGAGCTACCCTCTCTAGAAAATCTCTTGCGTCGGATTGGTGTATCACTAGATTCCATACTCCATCCACGGATAGAAGAGGGCGGTGCACAAGGGCTTTACGAGAAGCGAATGCAAATGCTGGAAACGGTCCGACGGCTCGGCACGAGTACGGAATCCCCCATAAGGGAGCACTTTAATCACTCTGATCAGGCAGCACAGCTGCTCGAGTCCTCATTACACGGGAACTCCCGATACGAAACGTCTTTGCGAAATGCCGGTCAAGAGGAGGCCCTGTTAGGCCTAGAGGCTGAAATTGCCTCACTTCAGAAAGGAGTAGAGGGACTGGATTTGAACGTGCTCCACCAGCGAGACAAAGCACAAGCTAGATTCATCGAGCGATGGGGTTAATATGACAATCTATTGTAATTAATGTGGCCCAACTTTGTGTCGTATGTGTGTCATAACCTGGGCAATAGAAAATTGATCGACAATGTGTGGGCCCCCGGTTTGACAGACTCAGCCTCGTTGTGTTTTTTTTTTTCGTAGCTTCTGAGCCTATAATCGCCATACACGCCAGAGAAGCTCAAACCACCAACATTATAACTGCACCTCTGATTTGTCGGTTGAGAGTGTGGCTGGTGGTGACTGCCCCGCCACAATATGCACGACACTGCGCTGGCAGCTGAACCTGGTGGACCGTGGAACTGGGAAGAATCTATTCTTTCAGTATGAGTTATAATATTCAATGGAAATATCCAGAGCATTTTTTTGTTTCCAGATGATATCACATCTACCCAAAGTTTCAATTCAGTCCAGGATTTCAAGAGAAGTTGAGTATCGAAGAAAGAAGCCTTGTGGCGCTAAGACTCAAAGAGGGTTAATCGCCGTACTCCATACGGAGTAAATGGAACTCATATCTGCCATGTGGGAATAGTCTGAAAGAGCCTCTATGCAATCATAATTGAGGTTACTTGTAGGAGTCTTTATCCGGTCATCTCGTTGTGGTTATAGTCCCTTGCTAGTGTGGAGGAGGTCTGACCATATCTGCTTGGGTACAGTAATTCACTTCACACTCGAGGCAGACCTGTGTACTCCACAGTAAAGAATCACTGAGGAAAATTTAAAAAACTGCCCTGTCAAAATAATAATGAGCATTCATAATATAATAGAAGAGTAGGGGGGTTCCTGCTGACTTGGTCCTGCGCCGTGTGATCTCGGGATCAAATGTATCAGCCACACGAGTCATGGAAGTATGCAACTTGAACACCTGAAAAGCCTCGCTGCTGCCTTTTGATATTAGTGAATTTGATATAACTTTGATGCCCAGTCTGTAGCATATAATGAAGGTTTCTTGGAAGCTTTTTGGTTCCTTTCATACAGGACAAAGACTGAGTTCTATTTTCATCAGTGCTTTGAACCCTAGAACAGTGAAATCAACAGTGAAAACACTCAACTCAGTTGAGACCCATTTACGACTACACCAAAAAGCCTGAGATCACCTGCTTAAAGCTGGTGACTGTAAGCATATGCCATCTATCATCTTATTTATTGTTTCTATTTCAAGTTGAGACTGACCTAGACTCTTTTCATAGATTCCCCAAATATCCTTCCTCAAATCCTCAAGTGCTACTTTAGTAAGTATCTTCACCAATCCAATACTCGACCAAGTGTTCTAATCGATCTTCCCACAACAAATCAGAACCTAGTGGCATAACACATCAACAATGTACACGAGACGAGGACCCCCGAAACGAAAAGTATCTCCCAGACTTCGACACTTCATCGATACACATCCATCACAATCACCATCACGAACAGACTCGACATTCCCATCAACATACACAGAAATTAGCTCTCGATCAACTCGAAGAGATTCACCAAGATCCACTTCCAGACATCGTGTCAGAAGCCCTCTCCCCTTCAGACCAAGACGCGAACCCGGAAGTGGAAGACCTGATACGCCGGCATCTAGAAGTAGAGAATGGATCCTCTCATGGTTTCGCAGCCCCTCACAATACACAAGGGATAATGGCAGACGTCGTGAGAATCAAAGTCATGTGCCATCCCAGCCCCAACATCGAACCCCTGATGTTGACTCTCAAAGACGGTCCAGGTCAGACAGAGCAAACAGACCTGGACCTTCTGGAGATCACTCTCCTCCCAGGGTATCTCGTGAGGGAGTGCGTGAGAGGGAAACTGAGATCCGTAGACCACGGTACCATACGTCTAGATTGTCTGGTGAGACACCTAGAGCACCTAGGATCCATACCAATCGTCCAGAGCTGCGGAATCAGCAACACGAGTCATCACGAGCTCCTCGTCGCACAAGAGAAGCATCTGTATTCTCAGACCGAAGACCTCAGCGACGGGGACGACGACTTTCTCCAGTCCGTGATGACAGTACTCGGCAACCCAGCTCGACAAGAACAAATCGTCCCCTCTCAGACGATACACCTCCTTCTTCAGTATACACTGATATCCCAATGCCTGCCCCTCCTGTTCGACCGGGTACGCCAATGCCCAGGACAGAGACTGGAAGGAGAGAGCATGCATCGCAACGAAGAGTTGTCTTTCGTAGCCCACAGCGTCGTTCACAACCGACAGTGATACTAAGACGTCCTAGTGGTACAGAACCAGATCCTGATGTTATAATAAGAGAGCCAAGGGGACCCAGACGGAGCCCGGCACGCTATTAATAACATGGGACTAGCCTGGTTCATGCATAACCAGGGTAAGATCTTGAGTCCATATCTGTTGCTGTGATAACACCGCTAACTTTGATTATAAGGATATCGATGTGACCGCAAGCTAAGCGGATTCTTGTCAAACAAGAATACGTTAGCTAAGACGTTAACATAGGGAAGGCTACCCTCCATATGGGGGATATGCTCTTGTGAAGCTGGTGTTCTGGGCTGGGTCGTCACGAATGAAAGCCATTATCCCCATCGAGGACTCCGATCTAGTCAAGCCACGACAGATTTTTCCTCATGTAAAGGATTTCGTGATGACACGGTTCACTGATGCCAGCTAAATGGACGAATGAGCGGATTGTAGGAGCTAGGTCTCACCACTTACTAGACGAATGCACGAATGCGCTCCAAGGAAAATGATACCATCAGAGACTTATTATATCCTTGAATGGTACATTCTTGGAAGTCACAAGGCTTACAGGCCTTGAAACCCAATCCTCATCAGTCAATCTAGATGAAGGCCCACGGGGCTCACGAGATTCAGTTTTCCTCACACACTCTCTGCAATCTGAGAAGAGATTTATCTCAGGTGCCAGGCTGTTTGCTCTGTCCAATATGGACCGTCTTCGAGAGTTAACAATCGTTTGAGGCTGTCTCGGGTGCGAAACCAAGATGAAACTGTCAAGATGCACGCTTCAAGTCCGTCTTCCAATCCCATTCTATCATCTTTCTGGGATGAAGTATTTTGCATCTAAGCCAATACATGGAAGACGAAGTTGGTGAATTGCTCGAGCGAGACTCGGAGTTGTTGTCTATTGAGGGATGTCGAGTGAAAGTGATTTAATGGATTTGTGTCGAGGCACCGTTGAAGTCTGGTAAGATATTCCCGTCCTGTACATTCTTGATTCCTTTTCTTGTTTTTTCTCATCTTCATCCTCATGCAAATGCAAATACACACTGGCATCAGCAATCCACTTGCTTGAATGCCCTCGACTACATGACTACAATCGCAGCCCTGCTCATCGAAAACACACCGCAAGTTCATCCTTGAATACTGGTAGAGTATGTACACTGCATGCTGAGGACAATAATCTTCTCGTTTTGGAGGTCCTTGTCCGGTGTACATTGTCGATATGGTATTCGACTAGGCTCTGACCTGTGGTGTGAAAGATCGATGAAAACACTTTATCGAAAGATAATTATGGCCACCAACTTGCAGTATTCTCAGGGACTTTCACTCTTTATTCGAGGACTTCCTTTTTGCTACCAGTCTCGGTTCTCTATATTTTCAACCTCGATGTGGTAAAGCTATTAAAAGTTTACCTTGTCGGTTGTTCAAGTTTCAAACAAGCTCGAAGTTGTGTTGACTTACAGCATGGAGATCTGGAAAGGGGCTGTGCAGTGATGATCTGATAATGAAGAGAAGTTGGAAAGGTGGCTGGGAGACTTACTCGGACACAGCAAAGGAGAGGGTAAGTCAAGTCGGATCATATTGAGGAAGGATGAGAAGGAGCCAGAAAGAAGAGTGTTGATGAAGTTGCTCATGATGATTGTAATGATTATTCTCCTAGGAAGGAGCCTGTACTTATACCTTTGGGATGGACCAGAGGATGAATCATGTCGGATATTCTGTATTATAGTTGGGTTCCTGTATAATACCTCGCACTGCGAGCGCATCGCCCAACATGTGGGAATGCTTTCTACCTATCATCATTTTGATTTTTAATTCCTGGCACTTTTAAAATAACCGAGGGAGGCGTATAGGCAACTATTTAAGGTGTCTGTGACACTGAACAGAGAATGATTGGCTATTTTGATCTATAGTGGACATACTATAGGAGTGAGGCCCAGCGCTACCACATCACGTGTATACTAACATGCTCGATAGGTGAATCATCTCAAGTTCGAAATACACCTTTTACCTCATTATAACCTCGGGACTCTCGGATTGAGTCACTCAATGCTAAATATGACACACTTGGCATGAGGTCTTGGGTGCCTAGTATTATCATGGACCTATTACAGATCCTGCGGTACGTCATCAAGGAGTCGCTTATAGAAGAGCAGTCTGCCTGTTTAATTTTTCTCATATTCAAAGTCTTGGGTCCACTTAACTCAAAACGAGTGATTTACCTATACAGACAGCTATCTGTAACATACCTGGGTTTACAAGGAAGTTCCAATGTTGGGTATCTAGGATCCAAGGATATGATACACATTATGAGACAATGTTCCATGTCCAGCGTATTGCTCATCAAGTTCTTCAGACTAATTCCAAGGTTTTCTCGGATCATGATCTAAAAGTTGAGATCAATATACAATCCGACTGTGGAAGGTGACCTCGTAGTGAGTCACTTACAGGCAACTATGCATCGCGCCGGAGCCGATCATAGAATCTGCTCTATCTCCACTTATAACAAACTATTAGGCCTCCGAATTTCCCTCTTTTGATCAGTAAATCACTCATATAACTGTCTCTACGTGGTCAATCAAGCCAAGATCGAATCCCAACACGACTGTGTTGCCATCCATACAAGCCTCATACTCCAGATGATAGTACTCATCGATCTAGTTGGTGTTCTGCGTATACCAGCCCAGCTCTCATGTATTCTGACCATTTAGCTGGATCAACCTGTTTGGACGTCCTGATCAAGTTGTAAAACTATCACATCGCCTAGGATCTACGGCCATGTATACTATAGGCATACTATACTTGCGCCATGCAGCGTATCGCCTAGTCATCCGAGTCCCATCTTAAAGATTTTGTTTGATTAAATCCGACTCTTGACTTATCTCGCAGTCAAACTCTGGAATGGGACCAATACTGAGTCATGTACAGGCAACTATCGCCGACTCTGGGCATGGTGTACTCTGTATAGCTCGCAGCACCAGTTGCTTAAAGCTTCCCATCCAATCAGATAAGAACCAGTCATAGACTCATAGCTATGATCTCTCAAAAAAAAATTTCACTAATTTCAATATTCATACAAAATAAATCATTTTTTTCAGTTGAAATGTGTCCAGATCGTATCATAATTATCAACATAGATATTTGTGTGGTCACTGAATACTATTACTGAGTGTCACAACTAGAGACCCAATTTAGTAAGATATCGCGGCTCACTCTTATCTTTGGTTCGCCCCTCGGGCTTTTGTACCTTTTTCCTTGTTTTCTCTCTTCTCAGTCTTTTTGTTTATTTTAATCCATTGATCCTGGATATGCATTTCGAATCGCTTATTCCCTCAATTTATGAATGACCGGTGTAAGTCTCATCCGGATTGGTCCCTTTCCCCGTCTCCCCCGGCCTTTTTCCCCGGTGGCTTTTCGGGCATGTCATGTTAACACAGTCAGGCAGCCAGGTCTCCCCATACGTTCCACAGATTCTCATTCCTAGTGTTCAGTGTCTCTCCTTAATCCGTAAATTCGAGTTCTGTACACTCTGTTCAATTATTCTCGCGCATGTCCATTCCCTCGCCTCGGTTGACCGCACCTCTACATCGCCACGCGCCAAACTGACCGCCACCTTACCTTGGGTCATACAATGAGATATTCATTCAAAGGTCCCCCGTGCGCCCATACGTCTAGGTGTGCTTCTCAATCCGTGGTGGTCCTGGAGTGATATAAACAAACAAACAACAAAGAGAATGGCCGCCGTCATGACGCAAACCGAATGCCTTCCAAAAGATAAATCGCCAGGGTCAATGCTGAAACTTGCCTCCCCCAACGATGTAGCTGTGATGGCAAGTCCTCCATTAGACCTGAATCGTGCCGCAGCAGTGTTCGAGGTATCTCCCGAGACAGCCCTACAATTACTCTGCAATAATATCGAAAACTTGAAAGCACATTTCGCAACCGCGCAAACGGAACCCAATTCGTTCACCTCCACCCCCTTCGGAAGTGAAACCCCTATCGAAGGGGAAGCACCCGTACCAGCAGTGGGACTTCACTGTGGAGATCCGGAGCATGCATCTGATCGAACCCGCGAAGAATCGTTCCAGTTGGCGATGCTATCCCGAAAGTTCCTCTCTAAGAAAATACCTCCGATCCCGATCAAAGAATACCTCATTCGTTTACACCGATACTGTCCTATGTCTACAGCGGTGATCCTCGCTACGAGTGTGTATATCACGAAAATGGCTCTCGTGGAGAAAGTCCTTCGAGTGACGCCAAAGAATATGCATCGTCTGGTTCTGGCCGGTCTCTTGGTGGCAACCAAGGCATTGGAGGATCGCAGTTTTCCCCATAGCCGAGTGGCCAAAGTGGGTGGCGTCACAGAACAAGAACTCTCCAAACTCGAGATTAGTTTCTGTTTTTTGGCCAACTTTGAATTACGCGTGGATGCGCAAATATTGATGGATGAGATACGGCTGCGGTGCAACCCAGATACGAAGACAGATAACGACACTGACAGTGTTCCGTCATGATTGTATATATATACATATTAAAAAGACAAAAAATTAAAAGCAACAAGCAACAAGCGTGATCAGAAATGGAATATCCTCTCTATCAGTCGGTAATGTTCATTCCAAGAATAGAATATGGCTGCCTTGATGGGGCTGAGTAATCGGCATTATTATGCCCATGTAAAAAACAAATGCCCTGAGTATTCTCTTCAATTAAATTATTTCTAAATAATTGATACTCCAAGTGCTTACTTGAGTTCAACAAAATCATTGATCAAACTTGAACCAATTACTCTGTATATAGAGTTGAGTGTAAGCACTTGAGGGTTCACCACACCGCAGTGCGGCGATCACTTTCCTAGCGCCGCTTCAAGGTTTCCCCGACGCCAAAAAAAATAGAGGACAGTCTCGTCTCAACCACGAGTAACCAACGACTCGGTTATCTATTCAATCATTCTATGGATCTATTTGCGTGGAAATACACAATGTTCCCCTAGAGAGATCATCAACCCCAGCAATAGCAGTCTAGATCGATCATATCACCTCCGACGGCACCCGAATACCCTCTTCCCCCCTTGTGTCCAACCGGAACACATCCTCCACCATGTCTTCAAAACCCTCGCCGCCGGAAACTCTTAGTAGTAGTCCGTCAGTGCCGACGTCCGGATCTACTCCCGCAAATGGAAAAGGCACCTCTCCGAATACCGATATCGAAATGAGGAGTATGCGGCCCGACGCGCCCAAGCAGTCAATTCCGCTGGGAGAGGATATCATGCAGTTAGCTCGAATTGGAGAGATCGGGGCAATGCAGAATCTGTTTGCGACCAAGAAATTGACCGCAAATCATCGAGATGATGAGGGTATCACACCGCTACATGTTGGTCTCCTCTCTCCTCGTGATTAGCTGCACCACTTGTTCATTGAATAACTGCGTTAAGCCTATAAAAAGCGACTATATTCTGACATGTCTATTATTTAGTGGGCCGCGATCAATAACCAATATGCGATGTGCAAGTTCCTCCTCGATAACGGCGCTGACGTCAATGCGAAGGGTGGAGAATCCGTAGCTACACCTGCCATGTGGGCAGCGCAACGGTGTCATTACTATATTGTCGCTCTCCTCCTAACTCATGGCGCGGATCCTCTCTTGACCGATGTACAAGGATACAATATCTTGCACCTCGCTACCATCGACGGCAATGCATTCCTCCTCGTTCTGCTCTTGCACCAGGAAATCCCAGTCGATGTAGTCGATCAGCAAGGTCACACAGGTCTGATGTGGGCAGCGTATAAGGGTTACCCAGCTTGTGTGGATCTATTCCTGCGATGGGGCGCCAATGCGAATGCGGTGGATGAGGGTGGTTTGACTCCGCTACACTGGGCATTGGTCAAAGGCTCCTTACCCTCCACACTGAAGCTATTGGAGTATGGGGCTGATCGATTCGCAAAGACTCGGGATGGGAAATCTCCTATGACAGTTGCGCAGGAGATGAACACATTGCGGGTTTGGAACCGCGCTTTGGCTGAGCATGGTTATGAGTCTGATGGTACTCAGAAGCTTGTGCCTATGGGGTTGACGAATATCGTTCGGAACAAGAGCCTCATGGCTAAGTCTTTTTTCCTCTGGCCGTTTTTAACTATTCTTATTGCGATCTGGATGTTGAGTCAGTTACCTGTGCTCATTGGTGTTCCTCTTACGCTGGCGACCTTGTTCGGTATGCAATGGATTGCGCAACAGATTGCCAATCGCGGGCCTTCCGAGTTTCGTGTTTTGCAGAAAACAGTAAGTCTCAACTTCCCACGGGCTATTTGGCCGGGTAGAAGCTAACGTTCTCTAGCCCTACCTGTCTGGTGTCTTTGCTGGAACTTTGTTCTGGGTCGGTTTCCGCTGGATCTTCCAAGTCTTACCTTGTAGGTTGCGTCTGAAAATTAGTAGACCAAGAATGTAGCTAACAGTCTCTAGCAACCTACTCTTCGCATATGGTCTTGAATATCTTGTTTGGGGTCTTCTACTCACTGACCGCCTTCTTCTATACCATGGCCATGATTGGTGATCCTGGATATGTCCCCAAGGTCAGCAGCCGAAACCAGCAAAGAGAGGTCGTGAAGGAGCTGTTTTCACTATGGAAGTTTGACGAGGAGAACTTTTGTGTTCCTTGCATGTCAAGGAAGCCAATTCGAAGCAGACATTGTCGACGATGTGGCCGCTGCGTTGCCAAACATGATCAGTATGTTCTCACGGTTCGAACCATTGTTAGATATACCACTAACTTGTCTCAGCCACTGCCCATGGATCGACAACTGTGTTGGAGCCAACAATCTCCGTCACTTTGTTCTCTACATCCTCTGTCTTGAAATCGGTATCATCCTGTTTGTACAGTTGACTATCGGCTGTGCGTATCCCCTACTCTTAATGAGCCAGATCAGCAACTAACTTGAACAGATATTACTGATCTGCCCTCCCTCAAGGACGCCCAGTGTAGTATCATCAACGAAGCGCTCTGTGACTATGTTTCCAGAGACACCTTCACCCTGGTTCTTAACGTCTGGATCGTTCTCCAGCTGGTCTGGGTTACCATGCTCTGTGCCGTACAGCTTGTGCAGATCTCACGCAACCAAACAACCTATGAGAACATGCGCGGTCATGCTATTGATCGATCCGTCCCTAGCTCACAAGCCTTCGCCTCAGCGATGACCGCCGGAACAACATCATTAGATGCGGCCGGTCTCTCCGCCGCAGGACAAGGCCCCAACCCAGCCTTAGCACACTCGCATGGACCTCGTCGAAAGACAGGCTGTATTTCACAGTGGTCTGCTCTGCTAGGCTTTGATGCCTTCTTCCGTACTGCTAAGGATGGACTCCGAGATGGTGCTCACGGTGGACGATCTCGGAACCCATTCTCTCGCGGCGTGACGACGAATTGTCGTGATTTCTGGTGTGATCCCGCCCCGATTTTCGGTAAGCGGGAATCCGGAGCTGCGATGTTAGGAGGTGAAGTGGTGAATTATAATGACATGTACGAAACTCCTCTGCAAATGCACACGGGGCGATCTGGAGATGGTTACCGTAGTGTTGCGGGTGATGAATCGGAGAGTATGGTTTAAGCAAAACCCCTTAAGGAGCATTTTCTTTTTCGACCTTTTTTGAATTGGTGTTTGGAGACCTGCATTCATGGCTATTCTTCCATTTTTAACCTCCAGGGTCTCATTCTGATGTATGACTGCAGCGATGGTGTTGCATTTGTGGCATAACCTTTGATTCTTTTTCTCTTATATTGCTTATGTCTTATATTTAGAACTGTACAGTGGACTAGATAATGAACGTGACTACATATCTAACCGAACCCTGTTGACGCTAGCAATAAGACTTCTAGGGCTATGGACTGCACATATACTTACTGGGAGTAGGAAGCACCTAGTGTTAGTATAATCCATTGAATCAGTATGTACTACTAACTCTTCTGTATCTGGACTCGGAGTCACCGTCATATGACAGTGCTGGCACTGACTCGGAGTGATATGTCGACATAAGAATTGATACCCCTGCAGCTAAAGTGTACATAATGCACACCGACGATCCCTGCACGAATCTGCATCAACCTTCTAGATTGGTCCCGCATCAGCTCAAGCTCAAGCTGCAACTGAATGACGCAGACATGCCCACCGCTTCATTCGAGTATACCCACTAATCCACATGGAAAGTCCACCTCGGTAGCACAGGCGACGGGCTAGTGCATTACAGATTAGATCCTTCGGCAAGAGCCATGACAGAAGTCCACCGGGACAGAAGTTCCGACTCGGGATGTATCCGGATATTTCTCGGGTCCACTGGGCATTACAATTTCCGTATAAACGGGATACACACTACCCAGGTGCCCAGGTGGAATGTAAATGAAGTTCAGTTAAGCCCAGCCACGAAAAAACAAAAACTGTGTTAATTCAGCCCAATGTGGAATACGAGTTGTATGCCAAGTCATCACATTCTTACATCCGATATCGCCGACGCCACTTGTCTCAATTGAAAGTTTCATCGTTACAGCCAGGAAGATACCATCTGATACATCCCGAAGTGAACCAGGTGGATTTGGTAGCGATGAGTATGAACATTTTGAAGTCTAGACTTATAACACGCTACGGAAATTTAGTGGAGATTGAAGAAGATGAGTGGATTATCTCATATACCTAGGTATTGAATAGTATTTCAACCGTTGAATACATGTACTCCGTACTCGTGTCCACCCAGGTGCCGGGTAGAGGGTAGACCACGTTTTGATGGGGCAGCAGCCCCAATCAATCAAATCAATCAAATCAATCAGGAGCCAGTGGGGCAGAAACCGAAAGACGGAAAGTCGAAGCAGGGATAAAGACGCTATGGCAGGTTAATGTGGACATTTAATTAACTCACTAGGTGCGATTTCGGTAATTGATTAGCGGTGAGATCCACCAAGGAGTCTACTTTAGTATTTATATGAGTAGGAGATACATATGTACATATAATCTAGACAACAATAGAATTTTAGAATTACATATTCCAATATTCAATTAATAATAAAGTAGGAGGTAAGTTAAGGTATATCAGACCATACGGATATCAATCTGATCCTGATCAGATAAAAATGACAAATTTTTTATCTGATGGCGCCACAAGGATCCACATTATAATTTCATCCAATCATACCTAGGTATTTTCCTGTCTTGATACCGTATGAAACCTTCATCTCGCCTAGACTCGGAACTATGAAGAATTCCAAGGTTCTACCTACATGTAACATATCCATCTTTTGGCCCCTCCAATTCAGTACGGTAAACATGGCAGTTGTCTCTTTGAATATTCAGATCGGCAACACTAAGGTCGCTTACAGGAATTATAATCTGATCCTGTAAAGAGTGGTTCGATTGATTCCGAGACATAGCCTCCATACTCCATACTCCGGAGACTCCGTTTATTCCCGTGGCGCGCTTTCCGTGAGGAATGATCTTGTCTAAGCCAAGGCTGAAGATTCTGCAGCACTTACTAGGACTAGCACCCACTTTGAATACAGCCCTGAAGAGCTATAAGGTACTTTGGACTAGCTTCAAGTTATGCACCATCACTTATATGAATAAAAGAATAAATAGTATTCAATTGAATCAATTGAACAGTAGGTATTGAGTACATCATTAATCCACAATCTAAAAACATAATCTAAAAATCACTCAACCAGAACAAGTGGTATTTTTCCCCCTTAGCATAGCCCCGCACAAAAATTACAGCATCGCACGCACCCGAGTGTCCTGCACCGAGGTTCCGGACAACTGCTCCGCAAAGACCGAGTTCACAATCTCTCCACCACGAACCGCCAAGATCGAGAGCAAGGAATCACTCAGACCATGGGTCTTCTCGTTACAGCCCTGCAACCAGATACCCGCATCGCGGCTAACCTTAGCACCATCAAGCTCCACACGGTAATCGCGACCAGGAGTCCAGGTAGCCTGACCAGCAGGCCGAAGACCACGAACCTGCTCCAGGAGCTGTTCGTGTGCATCACGCAGGTATCCAGTTGCGACCATCATGGCATCCACCTCCACCACCTCCTTACCCTCGCTGCTATCCTCCTTAATTGACTTCACGTGCACGCGCATGCGTGAGGCAGGGTTGTGGTGCTCGATGCGACCAATGGCACGCTCGGAGAGGATACGGTGCTGCCATTGCTTCTCGTCAGGGTTTTGGATGCGCTGGAGGTACATTGTGTTATAGATTTCCTCGATGAGTTCCAGGCGGACGACGGAGTAGTTTGTGGCTTTTTCGATTGCGATGCGCTTCTTGCGCTCTTCGACGGGGAGTTGGAAGAACTTGTCCACACGCTCGGGGTTGAAGATTTCATTGACGCTGAGTAAGTTAGTTAGAAATTGAATGAGAATCACATGGAGTCAAGGACATAGAACTTACAAAGGAGAGTCATCACTGGGTCGCAGAGCAGTATCACGCAGGATCAATGTGGTATTTGAGTTGGGGTAGCGTCTTTGCAAGTCATGGAAGATCTCTGCAGCACTCTGGCCGCTGCCAACAACGGCAATCTTGTAGTTGGCGGAAGGGTTCTTCAGGACATTGGGGAGAATAGTGCAGTACTTGGAGGAGTGCATAATGCGAGGATCCTGAGGGAAACCAGGAGGCATCTTAGCCTTACCACCAAGAGCAACTACGACCTTGCGAGCACGGCGGGAGGAGATCTCTCCAGTCTCAGTGTTGCGCGAGCGCACAACAAAGTAATCCACAACACCATCGGTAGTCTTTCCAGGAACAACCTCAACAACCTCCTCGCCGTAAGAAACGACATTTTCAAATCGGTTCGCGCACCAGCGCATGTAATCCTCGAACTCGATACGAGCAGGTAAGAAGGTACCCAGGTTGGTAAAGTGGATCAAACGGTTCTTGTTGTGCAGGTAGTTCAGGAAAGTGAAGCTGCTGCGAGGATCGCGGAGGGTAGCCAGATCCTTGATGAAGGAAATTTGCATGCGCGAACCGGGGACCAGCATACCAGAGTGCCAGGCGAATTGCTTCTGACGCTCCAGGAAGCAGACCTTAGGCTTGAAGGCAGCTCCGGGGGTTGAACGGTTCAATGCGGGGTCCATGGCATCGTTCAGAGCAATACCAATTGCGAGGGAGGCAGGGCCAAAACCGACACAGAGAAGGTCATGGAGCTCATCAGCAGCGGCAGCACGCAGAAAAGAGCGAGCCGGAGAGGCCTGAGTCCTGCTAGTGGGCTGCATGGCAGTGTAGGGAAGCTCTTGCTTCCGGATGATCTGCTCCATTGTGTATTTTTTTTTCTGGTTCAAGTTGTAGAAGTATAAGAATTCTTTGAACCGGAGCTGAAGGATGAAGCTTTGAGAAGAAAAAAATGGAGGAGCCGCGGTAGTTATGTACAAGGGACTTGCAGCCTTGGAGCCGATCTTTCTCGGAGATTTCTCTAGAGTTAACGTGCCGTAACAATACGTTTCGGTGGGTTCCACTTAGGAAAAAAAAAAGTCGGATCAGATAAACCGGTGGATACGAACGAGGCACGAGCGGTCAGATGGCAAAATTGGGCTAATTCCAAGGTTTCATTTATCAATCAGTCTCCACTGAATAATACTGAATGATACCTGCCTAGGTGAACCTTGGAATTAATTGTTGGCAATAATTACAGGGGTTGGTGAAGATATTTATACCCAAGTGGACTTGAGATTGAAGAGAGACTCTTACTAGTAACTTTCAATTTGGATTATACAATTCAATGTGGTTAATCATAATAATTATTATTATAAAAAAGAATATAATTGATATTTTTATTATTATTATTTGGAGTCATTCTACTCCGTAATATTCCATGATGCGTTGCCCTCGCTAGATCGCATAAGACTCCACTTTTCCCCCTTTGGGCCGACAAAGTGCCAGGTTCCTTGCACATTTGACACATGGGCCCATCTGGCGGGAAAAGAAAAAGAAAAAAAAAGACGCAACACGATAAAGCAAAAAGGTGACCTGATCAACAATCATAATATTCCGAGAATGTTCCAATTTTGAGTCCGAGTCTCTATGTATAATCTTGGAAGTTACTACGGAGTATAGAGGACTCTTCTACTTAGCCGATGTCGGGAGAGTCTTATGTGGAATCTTGGCACACAAGAACAGGATAAATAATAATAAAATGAAATAAAATGAAAATGAAAATAAATAAAATTCCACCTATGTACAAATGTGCATGTATTCTGCTCATATATTATGTTTTTATTAGAATCTTGGAACATTTAAATAATAGTATTGTTCAAATGTTCAATTTGAGTAGGAAAAAGTATCCGTGCAATCCCTGTTTCGAAACTAGGGCTAATCATTTATTCACACTATGAATATAGGTACTAGTATTTCTAATCTCCGTTAGAATCTTGATTTAAAGTCTGTTTCATTTGACTTTTTCTCGTCGTTTATGTTTCCTGAAACGTGGGGTTGCAGGAAAAAGAAAATATGGGCGCTTGGACATCACCTGCATGGTGCGTGCGAGGTAACCTACAACCGGATTCTAGATATTCCAGATATCATTCATGAATATATGATTACCTTCTTCATCATAGGTTCAACTTCAGTGCACATGGTCAGAATCCCTGATGATCATCCTGATCATCTTGAATTCAAATATCCATTTAAATACGAGGAAAAGGAAGAAAAGAAAAAAAAGTGCGTCATCACCCGTGCTCCACGAACCTCTTCAGGCCCACTATTGGACTCGGCCGTTAGGAAGTTAGGAACTTACTAGAGGATAATAATAAGTCCATTGGTAATGTAAGATTAGGCAGAAAGAACTAGGTACTAATATTCTAGATTAGGTAGATTAGGTAGAAGTTTCTAGTCTATGTATAAATAAGATGAATATAGCTGTTCCTAATAGTCAATTACTAGTACAGTAGTACTTAATAATAACATTATATCAACCTATACATCCTGCTGATTCCTGCACATGTATATCACGCCACTTCCGAATCCTACCTTGGAAGATCATTGCTAAATTATACATATGTATAGCTTCCAAGGTTAACTAAATTGAAATTTCCTCTCGGAGCTTCTTGCCTAGTATAGGCTCTCCACTCACACCCTTTTTCGCGCTTGTCTCGGTCCTTCTGGCAGCAGATCATTCTATCTGCTACCCGATGTGTACTCTTTCTACGAAAAAAAAACCCACTTTATCAACCCCTCATCCTGGTACCCCTCATCCTGGTTTTTTTTTTTTCTATTTTCTACTGAGAAGTTGCAGTTGAAGCAATCTGATTTTAGCTTTTTCTTCTCTTTTTGAAGATCTTTTTTTTCTTTTATTTTCTTTTGGAGGACAAGAAAAAGGAAACAATCTTCCCGTTTCCCCTCCTCCCCAAGATCATCACGGACCTCCCTACCTTACCTTGAACATCTACAGCTCGTTAAACGTTCCACTTTAAGCGGCTCCCTCCTGCATAAGACCCCATCAGGCTCTAACTAGCCAGTCACATTGCTCCTAATAAGCAATCTATAAGCAGGATTCCATCATGCTTTATTGATACAGTGAGTGGCCCCCTTCATGACTCCATACTCGCAGTTACCATTTTAAGCCAACTATGGCGCGCACGGCGCCATAGTCGCTTGCTTAGTGGATATATTAAGGCCGTATAGCAAAGTTGGCGGGATTTTGGGCACGGTGATTGAGATCCATTACAGCGGGCCAATTATATCTCTTCTTATTGAAATACACCTCTAATACAATTGGATTTATTTGCTCACAGAATACGACCGGAAGGGAAAAGGCATCATCGGAGTTCTCTGGCTGCGGCCTTGCTACAAAGCTCACCGCTGGGAATCTACTCGTGGGGCTACTCCCTATCCCGTGGATTTATTAAGTCTCATCTGACATGGTTGTGGACCTACACAATTTCATCCCTTTTACATTCTACAGATATGGATGCTACAATACACCTGGGAAATCATCTCAACTCCTTCATAAATAAGGGGAAACCAGACTTACAGGTAGAACTGTCAGTCTTAGAACTACCTACCATGTCTATCTCCAATCCATCACCATCCATTCTACCAGGTCCCCAGCTACTCCATGAGCTGGCCCTAGGGAGCCTTTCTCATTCCGACAACTTTCATCATGCTATCGAGTTCTTAGCCGCAGATGGAAACACCTGCTGCTTATCGTATCATACTTTGGATCGGCTGTCATCGAAGTTGGCGACAGACATAGTTCACGCAGCGGCCCGAAGACCCGGAACGCAGATGGTGGTTCCTGTACTCCTACCGCAATCTTTGGAGTTGTACATCACCTGGTTGGCTATTCTCAAAGCCGGCGGAGCATTTTGTCCATTGAATACGGATGCGCCACCAGAACGCATAGAATTCATTCTACAGGATGTGGCTGCAACAGTGGTGATCACACAGGGTGCCTTAGCAACTAGGATACCCCAAGGGGCCTCGGTGACGGTGATCAACCCAGACGGAATCCAGATAGGGAAAGAGGAAGAACAAACAGAGCAGGCCATTTCAGACTCCCCCTGTGTCAATATCTCTCCCACAGATCTGGCTTACATCATGTATACTTCTGGCTCAACCGGTCGTCCCAAGGGTGTTGGAATATCCCATCTGGCAGCCACCCAATCTTTGCTTGCGCATAATGACTTGATACCCCCCTTCAATCGATTCTTGCAATTTGCATCACCCACATTTGATGTTTCTGTCTTTGAAGTCTTTTTCCCCTTCATGCGAAGGGCAACACTCATTGGTTCTGAAAGAGAGCAGATGCTCCTTGATATCGCTCATGTGATGACTGAGATGAGTGTGGACGCGGCGGAGTTGACACCTACCGTAGCGGGAGAGTTACTACGAACCCGTGCAGCTGCTCCGTCTCTTCGAGTGCTTCTTACCATCGGTGAAATGCTCACCAAGCACGTGGTAGAAGAATTTGGCCAGTCTGAGCACGCAGAGGGTATTCTTCATGGAATGTACGGTCCCACTGAGGCTGCAATCCATTGTACCGCTGCCACTCAGTTTCAGTCTAATTCCCGTGTCAACTTGATTGGCAAACCGTTTAAAACAGTATCTGCATTCATCATGTCCTTAGAATCAGAGGAGAACTCCAAATCTTCTGAACTCGAGGTCCTTCCTCTTGGAGAAATTGGTGAGCTTGTTGTTGGTGGTCCGCAACTTGCGGATGGCTACATCAACCGACCAGAGGAGAATGCCAAGGCCTTTATTGAAAGTCCTCTATATGGTAGACTCTACCGGACTGGCGACAAAGCGAAGATGTTGCCAGATGGGAATATCGAGTGCTTTGGGCGGATCTCCAGTGGCCAAGTGAAGCTTCGAGGCCAAAGAATGGAGCTTGGGGAGATCGAACATGTCCTCCTCAGAGCTCCGGAAGTACGAAGCGCCGTTGTCATCGTGAGTGGAGGTAGTCTAGCTGCATTTGTTCTGGTAAATGATAAAGGTATCACAGACCGTGGGCTGCGTGATCTATGCCGTCAATGGCTACCTCGATTCATGGTACCTGGCGAGTTCATTCTTGTCGATCAGTTCCCCCAGCTTCCATCTGGTAAAATTGACCGCAAAGGACTGGAAAGCGAGTACACGCGTCATCGTACTGCTGCACAGTCTGCTGATCAGCAGTCATTCCGTGATGAGCTCGAAGAGACAATTTCATCATGCGTTGCCGATGCCCTAGGCAGACAACTTTCGTCTACTGAAAGTCTGATAGCAAGTGGTCTCGACTCTCTCGCAGCAATTCGATTGGCTTCACATTTACTGGATGCTGGCATCCGCTTAGATGTGGCCCATATTTTGGATGCTGATTCTGTGGAGGGAATTTGGTATCTGGCTAAGGAGATGATGCAAGCAACCAAGACAACTGAAGATACACAGACAAGTCTTCACAGGATCCGCCAACTGGTCAAAGATGCGGGAACAGCCAGAGCAGACTCTCTGGGATTGAGTTCACAGGTTATTGACCTGGAGCCATGTACCCACATTCAACAGGCAATGATTTTGGAGACAGTTCGAAATACCAAGGCATACTGCAACTGGGTTGAACTAGCATTTCAACCATCTCTCGGCTTGACTGCTGTTCAAGACTCATTCAGAGAATTGCTGGAGCAGAACCCTTTGCTTAAATCTGGTTTTGTAGAAATTGGTCTAAAGGATCACACATATGCCCGATTTACCTGGAAGTCATTGGATGATCAGCTTGTTGAAAGGGATAGCTTTGGCTTCAATGTCTCGCTAGTTACCGAAAATGACCTCCTTCATCCACTCCAAATCCAGTTCAAGGAAACAAAGGAGAGAATCCGAGTCTTGGTCCATATTCATCATGCACTATACGACGGATGGTCCTGGCAACTGATTCTAAAGGATCTCCATCGTATTCTCCTAGGAGATGCGATTCCACCCAAACCTGCATACAATATCGTCTCAGACTTCTTGATTGAGCACAAACTCAGTGAGGCAACCAACAAGTCCTTGCATTTCTGGCGTGATCAACTTCAAGGCTTGTCAGTTGTGTCCTTTCCCGATTTCCATGGCCGGTCAAATGTCACACCGGGTACACGAGAGGCAGTTCGAACGCTGGATATTTCCATGCCCAAGCTCAAAGATGTATCACAGCGTCTGATGGTTAGCCGGCAGTCAATTTTCCAGGCTGCATTCTGCTACATTCTTTCTTGCTACCTCGGGTCGAAAGAAGTGGTCTTCGGCACTGTTTTCTCGGGTCGTACTTTACCAGTCAAAGGTATTGAGGCCGTTCTTGGACCATGTATCCGCACACTACCAACACGCATGAACCTCAAGAAAATGCAGAATGTGTCTGATCTTCTGCTCGCAATCCAGAATATGAACCGCAAGTCTCTGGAACATGGCAGTCTACCCCTTCAAGAAATCAAAAAGGCATCTGGAATCCAGCTGCACCAGAGCCTCTTTGAAACCGCCATTGTCTGGCAAGAAAGTATCTGGGAGAATAACACCAAGAATTCTTTGTTTGAAGAGGTTGATACTGCAGAGTTCCTCGAGTTTGCAATTTTGTTGGAGTTCGAACCTAGAGAAGACAGCATTCATGCCAAGGCGACCTACCAGAACTCAATATTTCCACATGAGCAGGTGCAGATACTTCTAGAGCAGGTCGATCTTGTGGCATCTATTCTCATTGATTCGCCAACACTTGCGATTGACGAGATCGGTTCCCAACTCCCACTCTCAACCTTGTCAATTTCCAATCCAAGACCTGGTACTCATAGGCATCGCTCGAGCCTAGTTACTGGAGTTGAAACAATCGCCTTTGTGGATCCCAATCGGCAAGCTATTGAGATATTATCCTATACAGATGGAGATTTTATCTGCTCAGATATCCAGAGAATCACCTACGGCCAACTGAACTCGCAAGCCAATCGTCTTGCCCATTACTTGGTTCAGCAAGGACTCACCAGAGACAACCTGGCGGCTGTATTCCTCGAGAAAAGCCTTGACTCCTATGCTTCCATGTTAGCAGTGGCTAAGATCGGAGCTGGTTTGCTACCTTTGACTCGTCACGTTTCTCCACAAACAATAGAGTCAATCCGGATAGCTGCAAGCGTGCAACCCTGGGTTATTCGTTCCTCAAACTTCCAGATTGATGCATTAGCCTCCTTGACATCACTCTCTCAAATATTCCTTCCTGCCTCATTGAATGACTTCTCCGACGAGAATATTCTTACAACTCACGACTCATTCTACATTGTTTGTGCGGATGAAAGAAATGCAAACCAGGAATTGATTCAACATGCATACCTCTCCCATCACAATCTGCAAAGCCACATCAACGTACTCGCAGATTCATATCCTATATCAACTGGCTCAAAGCTTCTTCAAGCTGCGCCTTCACCACTGAATGGTTTGTTTCTTCCTCCTCTTATGAGTGAATTGTTCTGATGATCTATAGCTTCCATCATCGAATCTTTTTTCGCCTGGCATATGGGTATGACTCTTTGTCTAGCATCGACAGAAGACTTGACCAAGAATCTAAGCCTTGTGATTGACAAATTGAAGATTACTCATCTTCATTTGACACCAACGCTGGCCTCTTGTATAAATCCGAAAGATGTCCCTAGCGTGCGATTTTTGCTCACATCTGGCGAATTACTTACGGCCAAAGTGCGTCAAAACTGGGCTGGAGTCGGACTTCACCATGGTATGTTGAATCTGAACCTTCAGAAATAGTAGAATTAGCTAAAGACATTTCTAGGCTATGATCATCTTGGTCTGGCAGGTGTTTGCACTGTCAATCCTTATGTTGAAAGCTCAACATCACTTACAAAAATTGGAAAACCACTGGAAAATACATCAGTGTTGATTCTCTCCGATCAAGACGAGTTCACTCTTCTTCCTCGGGGTGCAGCTGGAGAGTTATGCTTTGGTGGTGACCAGGTTGTGAGTTTTATTAGATTCTTCTATTTTTCAGTTATTAATTCTTTCCATAGGCTCGCATATTATCCGGGTCTCAAGATGGCATCAGTGGAGTTTTTGTGGAACACCCGCAATTTGGTCGAGTATTTAAAAGCGGCGATTATGGTCGACTTCTTTTTGATGGTTCCATTTTACTCGTTCCACAGCAGGTATTACATGGTGATTTCCGCATATTTGAGGAGATTGATCATGCCATCATCACATCAGAACTTGCCGAGGATGTAGCAAGTATGATCTTGAATAACCCTATCACCAACCAGCAGCAGTTGATTACAGTCTGGGTCCCTTCTGCAGAGATTCAGAGATCCTCTCATGAAGATCTCGTCATGTCAAACAAGAGGTTATTCATGGATCTTAGCAAGAAGCTTCCATCATCTGCACTCCCTTCACTTCTTATTCCAATGCAAGAATTACCAATGACAGGATCTTATAAGATTGATCATCAAGCAATTCAGAAGGGCCTTCAGTCCATGAGTCTGGACAAACTCAAGTCTTTCTCATTTGACGCTATCAGTGCGACCGATGGTGGTCTTACTGACCTCGAGAAAACAATTGCAGCAGCTCTGGCAGACGTTGTTGGGCTCGACAAGCAGAAGATTGACAAAAGTGCATCCTTCTATAGGCTTGGACTTGATTCTCTTTCTGCAATCTCATTTTCGCGAAAACTCCAGGAATCAGGTTGTGGGAGACTCGAAGTCTCAACAATTCTCCGTCATAGCAGCATTGCACAGCTCGCTACTGTTGTTCCTGCCATGGTGAATGGGCATCAACCCTCACAGTCTGTTTCAAGAAGCAATTCTCAATCCATATTTGATGAAAGCTTTCTTCTTGAAATTAAACAAGAGATCGAGGTTGAGAATACCTCTGTTCAAGGCATCTACCCGTGTACGCCTCTACAGGAAGCAATGCTTGCAGCTGACTCGGATGTCAACTCTGCCTACTTTAACCACTTGTTGCTTCGAGTGAATATTCACATTGAGATCCTGAAGAGCGCATGGATTCAAATGGTTTCCAGACATGAGATTCTCAGGACTAGCTTCAAGCCAACCAATGACAAGCAGTTTGCATTCGTGCAGGTAGTCCTAGCAAATTCCAATCTCCCTTGGTCTATCGTCGAGACTTCCTCCAGGGGGTTCAATTCCGATGTCGCAAAGAGCAAGTCAGAATTTGAGCGCCAATCACCAGTCAGCGGGAAACCTCCCTATTTTTTGACCATTTTCACAAATTCTAGTGGCGATTCTCATCTTCTACTGTCGATTCATCATGCGTTGTATGATGCCGAGGGAATCTCACAGCTACTGAATGAGACTCAGCGTGTTATTCGAGGCGATAGACTTCCTCCCACTGCACCATTTCATAAATTCATCGAATACATGGCCTCTGCTGGCACTAACCACTCCAATCAATTCTGGGATCGCTATCTGGCTGGTCTGTCGCCAGCTCTTTTGTCCTCTCAGGAGCACTCGCAACCCTCGGAAAGCTCATCGGCCTCACTACAGCTCCATGTGAATATCAGTGACTCTCTCAGCTCTTTCAAGCAGAAATGCAAGGAACTCTCTGTAACGCCCCTCAATGTTTTCCATGCTGCCTGGGCGAGACTTCTATCATCCCATTCAAACTCCACCGATATTTGCTTTGGCAATGTCTTCAGCTGTCGAACAATTCCGCTCGAAGGTGTAGATGAGATTGTTGGACCTTGTTTCAATACCCTCCCGATTCGAGTCAAGCTAGCTCCAACTGCAACAAATGCAGACCTCATGAGACTGTCCCAGAAAAATAACAATGAGATCCTACCTCATCAGCTTTCGTCTTTACGTCACATCCAAAGACGTGTTCTGAATGGGCATTCGCAACTTTTCGATACTTTGGTCATACTCCAATCAGGCAGTACTGATCTAGATGCTCGTTACTGGGAGCTTCTCCAAGATGAAGGAAATATGGGATTCCCTCTCATTTGTGAAATTAGTCCTGATAAGGAGCAAGACTCGATCTCAGTTTGCTTCCATTTCAACACGGAATTTTTGACGCAGAGAGTGGCGGAGCAACTTTCAAAGGCCTTTTTGGCTCTCGTGGAGCACACGGTGCAATATCCATCTGCGCAGGCTGCCGATCGGGGACTGCTTGGCACAGAAGTTCCACAAGTATTTGAACAGAAGCGATCTCGCGCATTGAAATCTGCTGTATCTTTGACAAGTCCCAATACAACTCGACCATGGTCATATCAGGAAGAGGCTCTCCGGGATATTCTATGCAACTTCTCTGGCGTTGATCAAGAATCCGTATCGTTGCAGACCACGATCTTCCAGATCGGATTGGACAGTATTCATGCGGTTCAAATTGCAGGTAAACTGCGCAGACTCGGCTTCAAAATCTCTGCTGGGGATATTCTTGAGGTAAGTTTCCTATGAGCCCTCGATAGATTACCATTATGTACTTACAAAATCAGGCTGCTTCGATTGACAAAATTGCGTCGCTTCTTGAGACCAGTGAGAAAGAGACTAAGGAAGAGAGATTCGATTTTACTTCTTTCAAGAAACAGCATCTTCACTCCGTATGCGAGCAACTTGGTGTTTCTTCCCGGAGTATACAGTCTTTGCGGCCCTGTACACCTGTCCAGAATGGAATGCTCGCCCTGTTCACTCATTCCCAGGGAAAGACATACTTCAACCACATGTCCATCAACTCTCCCACGCCATTGAACGCAAAGCTACTCAAGCAGGCTTGGACACAAGTCATGGATCAGCATGACATGCTTCGAACTGGATTTGTTCAATTGCCCGATCAGAAGTATCCATTTGCCATGATCGCCTACCAGAAAGGAACTGAGCTCCCGTGGAACGAGGTGTCCAGCTACTCTTCCGATATTGTGAAAAATCAAGAGCAACAAGTTGTCAACAACTTACATAGACCCCCATGGCAAATTACCATTGAGTCCTCTGAAACTGTGACCAAAGTGCACTTCTCAGCACTGCATGCATTATATGATGCCCAATCCTTGGAATCTATCTTCTCTGATGTGATGAAAGCCTACGAAGGAAATCCGCTCTCTGAGCCGACCTCAATCGATGCAACTCTTGGACCATTATTAGTTGAAAGCCAAAGGCAGTCTTTATCCGCTCAAGAATTCTGGCAAGAACTTGCCACGGAATTGCACCCATCCAAGTTCCCTGATTTGCATCCTATTCGCACTGGAACTCAAAATCTCCTGACAAACTCAACTCGCTCGTCTAAGTCCCTGAAAGCTCTTGAGGCTGGCTGTCAAGACGTTGGTGTCACATTGCAAGCAGCTGGACAAACAGCGTGGGCTAGACTTCTTGCCGCATATACTGGTGAACGAAGTGTAACATTTGGTACCGTGCTCTCAGGTCGAAATCTGTCAGCGGAAGCACAGCATGCTGTCTTTCCATGCTTAGTGACAGTCCCATCACCTCAAACAATCGAAGGAACAAATCGTGAAATGCTGAATCGTACCTTGCAAAGGAATGCCTCCTTAACCAAGAACCAGTTTACTCCTCTGGCACAAATTCAGCGCTGGCTTGGAAGTGATGAGCCACTTTTTGATACATTATTTGTCTACCAGAAATTTAGCTCACAGTCAAGTGATGTGAAACCTTGGGAGGTTATTGATGAGGAGACGAGAATTGATGTATGTATCAGAATTACTGGATATCTTCTACTATGATGTGAAAGCATACTAACTTATTTAGTACCCTGTGTCTATTGAGCTGGTTCCGCTTTCTTCGGATCTTGAAATTCGAATCAGCTACAGGAGCGATGTCATTCCCCAGGAACATGCCCAAATCCTACTGGGTCAATATGATAGGCTTCTGGCACAGACTATATTTTCTCCGGAGTCAAACTCGGACGATTATCTCTTCCTCGAAAATCAGTATCTCTCTATCACTCCCGCCAAAGAAAGGACACTCCCCACATCTGTGTCTTTGCTGCATCAATTCGTGGAAGACAATGCCATCAGAATACCTGAAAAAACCGCCTTCGAGTTCGCATTTGGTGCTAGTGCAGACAGCCTTCAGAAGAAGAGCTGGACTTATCGGCAGTTCAATGAAGATGGTAACCGGGTGGCCCACTTCCTGCAGAGCAAAGGTGTTGTTCCAGGTGGCTTAGTCGCCATCTGCTTCGATAAATGCCCAGAGGCATCTATTGCAATTCTTGGAATCCTGAAAAGTGGATGCGCTTACCTGGCCATCGACCCATCGGCTCCAATCTCCCGAAAGCAGTTCATCATGGAAGATTCTAATTCCAAAATTCTGCTTTGCAATCAGGCAAGAATGTCGGAGCTTGAGGGTCTGACTGGTGTTGAGATTGAGGCGTTGGATGAGTCCGATAAATTGGTAGGTTTTTCTTGCGAGCAGCCTCTTCTTTCGCGAGAAATCCAGCCAGATGACACATGCTACTGCTTGTATACCTCCGGTACAACTGGCACACCAAAGGGCTGTGAAATAACTCATTATAATGCCGTACAGGCCATGCTGGCATTTCAACGATTATTTTCACCACATTGGGATGAAGACTCTCGCTGGTTACAATTCGCTTCATTCCATTTTGATGTCAGTGTTCTTGAACAGTACTGGAGTTGGAGCGTTGGGATCTGCGTAACCTCATGTCCACGCGATCTTCTCTTTGAAGATCTGACAGGGATGATTCAAAAGCTTCAGATCACACATATCGATCTCACGCCCAGCTTGGCGAGATTGGTACACCCAGACGAGGTTCCTTCTCTTTGTCGTGGTGTTTTCATCACGGGCGGAGAAGCTCTAAAGCAAGAGATCCTCGATGCCTGGGGTGAGCACGGAGTTATTTACAATGGATATGGGCCGACAGAAGTCACCATTGGATGTACCATGCTTCCTCGCATGCGCGCGAATGACAAGCCCTCTAACATTGGCCCTCAATTTGAAAATGTGGGCTCCTATGTTCTCCGTCCCGGGACATCAATTCCAGTTCTGCGAGGTGGTCTCGGTGAGCTTTGTGTATCCGGCCCCCTTGTTGGCAAGGGATACCTGAACCGAGCCGAACTCACAAAGGAACGATTCCAAGAACTTCCTCAATATGGAGATCGCATCTATCGAACGGGTGACTTGGTCAGAATTCTGTATGATGGAAGCTTCCAGTTCCTTGGTCGGATTGACGACCAGGTCAAATTACGCGGACAACGACTTGAAATTGGAGAGATCAATGAGGTCATCAAACAAGCAACACCTGAGGTTAATGATGTGGCTACACTGGTTGTCAAGCATCCAAAACAATCCAAAGACCAGCTTGTCTCTTTCATTACCAAGGTCGACGCTCAGAGGAAATCTCGCCTTGTGGAAATCCGGGTCTCCGATGACAATGGTGGTCTACTGTCAACATTGAAGGCAGCTTGCCATACCCACCTCCCAGGATATATGGTTCCGACACATATTATCCCGATGACCTCTTTCCCTTTGAATGCAAACAATAAGGCAGATATGAAGGTTTTGAAGAGCCTTTACCAAGAGCTCTCTCTTGAGGATCTCCAAAATTTGACTTCGATGACTACCAGCCAACCCGTGGAAGGGGATCAGCAAGAAGAGATCATTGCCGTACTGGCCAAATTTCTCGGGCCTAACCAGTCTGACATCTCATCGTGGTCGAGTATCTATGAGTTAGGCCTTGATTCCATCTCAGTGATTGCCTTCTCTCGAAGTCTTAGAGAAGCCGGTTTCCCTCAGGCCCAGGCCTCTCTGATAATGAAGTGTAAGTCTTCTCAATATTTTGTTTTTTTAAATACGTTAGCTAATTATTTTTAAGATCCTACGGTTGCCGGTATGGCTTCAGCTCTACAAGCATTTCCCAAGTCCTCCATTTCATTGGAGAGTCTTCACAAGAATGCAAAGCAAGGCATTCAGGCCTTCGCTCACAAGAATTCCCATTCTGTCATTGAGAGTCTCCAATTGAATGAGAGTGATGTACAGCAGATTGCGCCATGCACTCCTCTACAGGAGGGCATAATTTACCACTTCCTCTCCAGCGCCACTCCGATGTACTGTTCCTCATTTACATTCGAGCTGGACTCAGGTGTTGATCTGGAAAGATTGAAAGCCAGTTGGGAGCAGGCACAAACCCGTGTGCAAATCCTGCGAGCCCGGTTCTCACCTTCTTCAGATGGATATGCTCAAGTCATCCTGAAAAATGATGTTCTTCCCTGGTTTCATATAGGTGTTGAGACAGAATCACAGATTGAAGATTTCCAAAAGAAGCAGCTGGATCAGTGGATTGCAGATCTTGCTGGCTTTTCTTCGAAGCTCTGGAAAGTTGGGGTGATCACCTCTTCTGAAAAATCCATCATGTGTCTCAACATGTTCCATGCTCTCTACGATGGCAACAGTTTAGCCCTCCTCCTTGAGATGGTTAGTGATATTTATCACGGCGAATTCAAGGAACTGCAGAACACTCCAGAGTTCCTAGATGTGTTACATCTTGGACCACTCTGCAAAGATCCCAGAGCCCAATCCTTCTGGAAGGAACATCTTGCTTATTGTCAGATCAAACCTGCATTCAGCCCGGAAGAAAGCCAAGAAACATCACTTGCGCAAACAGCAACAATCAGTAGCACCGATCATCTAGATTACCTCAGAAAGTCTCTCAACACCACCGATCAGGCTATTCTCCATGCCTGCTGGCTGCTGACGCTCCAGCAATTTTACGGCCATGTCCCTTCACTCGGAATAGTCACCTCCGGTCGCACAATTGATGTTCCAGGGATCGAAAACGTTGTTGGGCCTCTATTTAATACAATTCCCAGCAATGTTCAACTTCGTGGTCTTAAGTCTTGGGCAGAGGTTGCTCAACGATGCCATGAGTACCATGTGTCGACTATGCAATTTCAATACACTGCTCTCCGCGATATTGTGAAATGGCTAGGCAAGAGTCCCGATGAGCCTCTCTTTGATTCACTCTTCGTTTTCCAGCGAGAGAAGATTACCAATAATGAGATCCTATCAAGCCAGCTTTGGAAGCCTATTGATTCTGGGGCCGAGCACGAGTATCCATTAGCTTTTGAGATCGTGCGACATGGCAACACATCTCTCACTCTGACGCTTGCTTCAAAGAGCCATGTCATGTCTTTTGAGACAGCACAGGAAATTCTCTCCAGATTTGAGCAAGTCTTAGCTGAGTTTGCCAAGGCCCCCGATCATGAACTGCCGTATCTCAATGGAGTCACGGAAACAAGCCATCGCGAGGTGAACGGAGAAACGAACGCAGCGGAGTCTTCACACTCCGGTAGGAATGAATCTTCATTTGAGTGGAGCCCAGAGGCATGTGCAATTCGTGACGCTATTGCAAGCCTTGCTGGTGTAGATGCTTCTTCGGTCCGCGAGAAAACCTCTATCTTTGAGGTGGGACTTGATAGTATCGACGCCATCAAGCTATCATCAAGGCTGAGCAAGCTGGGCCTCAAGATTCCCGTGAGTGCCATCATGCGCAGTCGAAATATTAAGGCCATAACCAGTCAACTAGCTCTTCCAAACGGTCATGAACAGAATGGAACTCAGCCAGTTCTGGGACAAATGGAGCGGGCTTTGACGGAATTCCTTCAGAAAGAGAGCCTCTTACCTGAAACTGCCTGTCGAGTTCTTCCTGCCACTCCTATTCAAGAAGCAATGATTACTGAAATGTTTGCATCCGAGTACCAGTATTACTACAACCATGAAGTTCTCAAACTCGAACCCCAAGTTGATCTCTCAAGGCTGCAGCAGGCATGGACGGATGTCATCAAAGCCCATCCCATTCTACGCACTTCATTCGTCGAAGTTTGGGATCCTCGGATTGCTGCCTCTTACGCTCAGGTCATTCACAATGATAACACTTTCGACCTTCAGACTGTGCAACTGGAAGGGAGAACAATCGAGTCCATAATTGAGGCTCAGCGTAGCAGAGCCATTACTGAGCTTGCAGATCGTCCACTCCTGACTGTTACCATCATTGTGGATAGGAATGGCACTTACCTCGTTCTGTCAATTTCGCATGCTCTCTATGATGGCTGGTCCATTAGTCTGTTACACGAAGATGTTGCTAGATCTTACTCTGGTGATGATTGCGTACGCCCATCCTCCGATGCGATTCTGGAACAGATTCTTGCTTCATCGGGTGATCAGGCTCTCAAATTCTGGAGAACGACTCTGTCCGGTTGCAAGCCCGCTATATTTCCTCCCAAAAAGCACTCAGAACTCGACTCAACTGTCGTTCATCGAGCAGAAAAACAGCTCTCGGTATCTTTCAAGAAAGCCGATGCCTTTTGCAAGCATCATGGCATTACCATGCAAGCTCTCCTGGTTACCTGTTGGTCTCTTGTTCTAGCTACACATGTGAAAGAGTTAGATGTTGTCTTTGGGCTTGTTTTCTCAGGGCGTAATGTCGCCGACTCTGAGAATGTGATGTTCCCGACCATGAACACTGTTGCTATGCGGGTTATCCTCCATGGCAGCCGTTTGGAACTGGTGAAATATGTTCAGGAGACATTATTGGAGATGTCAGAACATCAACATTTCCCGCTGCGACGAGCCAGACCTGATACAAACTCCCGCCAATTATTCGATACTCTTTTCATATACCAGAAAAGACCCTTGGAGAATGAACAAACCGTGCAGAGACTTTACAGTTCCACAGGTGCTGGCTCCTCAGATGTTGAGTACCCAGTCTGTGCGGAGGTTGAGGGTGTTGGAGAAAGCCTCATTGGACGAGTGGCTTGTCGGGGAAGTGTTCTCGGAGAAGAGAATACCCTGGAACTGCTAGAACAGATCGCACATGTTCTCTCTTCACTTGTGGAAGAATCATCCCAGCAGACAGTTGACTTTAATGGCGATGCTATGAAGATTTGTGGCTACGGAGTCTCGCCAGGTTCTGCGAAGCACGAGCTGGACTCCAGTATATCCCCACCAGTATCTAGCCAAAGAGATTGGTCACCTGTTGAGTCAACTATTCGCAGCGTTCTCTCTGTTGTGTCTGGTGTTCCGGAAGATAACATCGATCAGAAATCTAATATCTTTCAGCTGGGGCTGGACAGTATTAGTGCCATCAAGGTTGCAGCGCTTCTGAAGAAGCAGTCAGTGAAGCTGACTGTTACTGATATGCTCAAAGCAGGCACAATTGAGAAGATGGCAATAGCAGTGGACATCAACCACGCAGAACTCACGCCGACAGAAATCGCCAATGCCCTTGAGGAGTCGCTGGGGGACATTCAACCCGGCCCACTTCTTCAATCCTACGGTATCAGTATGGACAATGTTCAAAAGACATTCCCCGCTACCGCTGGACAAACGTACTTCCTGGCAATGCACTCCCTGAACCCGGATGTGTTCTACCCGGAATTCTGCTACTTGTCCTCGAAGCCGATGACTCAAGAAGCTCTTAATGATGCTTGGCGCCGTCTCATAGAGCAGACACCCATCCTCCGAACAGCTTTCATTCCCACCGATAGCCGATTGGTCCCGTACCTTCAAGTGGTATTCAATTCGGTTCAAACCTCAGTTGTCTGGGATAGTTTCGATTCTCAGATCACTGTTGCCAATGATAAGTTTGAGTTTGGTCTTGTACCGGTCGCATTGGATGCTCGTGAAACCAGCAAGGGGACGGCGCTTACCTTGAAGATCCATCATGCGCTCTACGACGCGATCAGTCTCCCATACATGATGGATAACCTCTCTCGACTCTGCGACAAGAACCAGTCCGAGACCAAAGCCAATCCCCACGACATCTCACAACTCGTGGCTGTGCAGCATATCCAATCGCCCGTAGAGGTTCGGCGCCAATTCTGGCAAACCTACCTGGCCAACTCCCCTCAGGGGTGCATGCAGCAATCACCGGCGCATGAGTTCGGCGCCATCCAGCATAACTACCGACCGGGACTTGTTTCGAATATGTCACAGGTCGAAATAGCAGCCAAAGAACAAGGCCTCAGTATCCAATCCCTTTTCCTCGCGATCTATGCGCGCGTGCATGCCCAGACCTTCTCCGAGTCTGAAAATCTTGTGATTGGTTTGTATCTTGCAAATCGGTCGTACGTCACGGAGGGACTGTCTGATCTCGTTGCTCCAACTGTCAATATTGTTCCACTGCGTCTCGATAAAATTTTCAGGGGTACAGACTCACTTTTCACCGCCGCCCAAAGAATCCAAGACGATATCAATCTGATCAGCGGGATCGCACACGCGGGCGTGTCTCTAGTGGAGATTTTCGAATGGACCGGGGTACGCATCAACACATGTATCAATTTCTTGCGTCTTCCAGAAGTTGACGAGTCCGTTGGCTCTGATGGGTCGGTGGCGTTCCAATCTATCCAGTCCACGGAGCTTGATCAACGTGAAGAGATCTATGGATCCAAGACTACTCAGTCTCTGACCAATGGTGACACTGCGTGCTTGACTGGTTCCACGCCAATGATTCGGGCCGCTTCTTCGACGGCGGCTAGGAAGGATGTATTTTGGGTAAGTGATCTATCCTACTCTTCTACGAATGGCTACGAACTCGCACTAATGCAATTACATACAGCCTACGATTGATGTGGAGGCGGCTATCCGAGACGACCGATTGGACTTTGGACTTTTTGCACCCAATAATCGACTGGATCGTGATACTGCTTCCCATATGATTGCCAGAATCCAGCAGCAGATGGCAGTCTTGACCAACACTTCCCCCAACACTTCTTCTCCATAGATTCTGCCCGATTATCGGCGGAATGAAAAGGGGCAAAAAATGCCTCAACTATTTCTCTATTCTACTTCCTATCGTTTGAGTGCGAGGGGTTTCTTCTCGTCGCCCTGACGATTGTTCATTTTGTTTATTATTGACTTTCTCCTTGTGTCGAGCGACTTCTACTACAGTACGTAGCGATGAACTCCTTTTCCATGCATATATTGCTTTTTATAAATGTGGAGTTTTGGATATGTTCGTTTCCTTTTTCATCATTTTATCTTTTTTTTTCTCTGAAATTTCGAATTTTTGCCTTTTGGAGGGGTCTCATTTCAATAACTCATGAATTGTTGCATTAGAACCAGAGGGGTACCAACCTGAATAGAGCTTTGCGGACCCACGGCACGGGGCGGGCGGATCCCGATGACAGGATATGGATAGCCCCCACCACATACGGAGTATGATGATGGTGCATTGTTTTAGAGTCTATAGATAGTAATGGATGATATCAGTCAAGACAAGATTTGGGGGCTCTGGGGTCTGAAAAAGCCTCTGAATAGTAAGCATGGTGCGTTTATACTTCATCATGGTATTAGGCATGAGATGAAAGGAATGGGGCGATAATTATTTTCCTTCATCTATTATTCATGATAGATCATATGGACATGGTGAGAATAGTCGATGGATCAGATGAGCTATGGCAAGACATCATCCACACATTAACTCAGGTGGGCTCATGGAAAGCAGCCACTAAAGCAAGGGGAAATTCGCGTGGTCGAGTCATCGAATCCAAAAAGAGTGGGGAGGCTAGAATATCACATTGAGAAATTGAGTTTTTTTTTGAATAATCAATTAATTCGAATTTCCAGTTTCTTCGGTGGGCTTTTAGCCAGCGAATCGGGGAATCTTATGTAAATGTATCCTTCTTTTCTGGTGGCGTTGTTGGTTTGGCGCAGGGGCGAACTTGATAAACTCCCCAAAAAAAGTTCATCATGCACAGAAAGATCCGAGGTCCATTGACCAAGTCACTGGCCGGGTAACCATGATTCTATTCCGAGTGGTATTTATGCGTCCAGATATCTCCAGAAGATCGTGATAGAAGTTGTAATTGTGATTGTATCCAGGTGATATAACATCGGAGGATCCAGTTCCAAAGTTCGAGCTTTACCAGATTACATAAGCGTTGTTTATGTCACGACGCGTCTCCCCCGCCACTAAACTACTTCGGGTTATCGAGGATCAACAACGCGGCGCGTTCTTACTTCACCCCATTTATCCTCTTTGCATGATCTCCGACATTCCTTGACATTTGACCCTTTGATCCCATATTTCGTCTATTCGTCCCATAATTCGATCCTCTTTGCTCCTCTCGCTCACTATCGCATTCTTCGCATTCTTCGCGCCTTAATTATTCGATTTACTCAATTTACGCTTTTTATCCTACCCACGCGTGGGCTAATCCGATTACCACGACTTCCTAAACGAGGGGGATCTACCCCTTACGCTACCCGTTCCTCTTTGAAACACTGGGAGAAAGAATCCTATCCAGGGAATTTGTCGCTATTCAGTTTACCCCCAGGATTATCGATATTCTTTTGCGCGACCCAAGAACGGATGTCCGTGTGTCCGACCTGAAACATTCCAGTCGTGCATCCTTTTGATCCAAAACAGAAAACAACAATAAAAAAACCACGCCCTAGGGCTAAACATACAGAAGCGCGTCTTGCAGCTTCCCCGCGCGTCATCGGAGGCACCAGCCCACGGAATTCCTTGAATATCGAAATGCGTGGGTGAATGGCCATCTGCCCTTTTCAACTCCCTCGGTTTCAAGGCTCTCGACGCTTTTTTTTCTTATACTGCGGCTGTGCCTTCTTAGCATTCCAGTGGTCAAAGAAAGGCTGCGTGCCCAGTGCTGCGCACTCTTTTTCTTGACTCACATCTCTCCCCCCTCGCAAGGCACTAAAGTTGTTATCTCCCCTCCTGTCGCGTCGCGAGCGTCTTGGAGGGTTGGAATACTTCCACCTATCCATTAAATCCCCATAATCGTGTTTTTGAGACAAAGTGTAATATTTTGGCTCATTGGTGTGAAGGAAAAGAAGATCAAGTGAAAGGAATACAAAAGATCATCATACTTTAGTGAAAGATCAGTTCTCTGAGAATTGCTCAGCGCAACATTCCCAATCATGGTTGCAACCTTTTCACCGCACCGGGATTCTGGTGGTACCCTACATCTGTCTTCGCACTCAGGGATTCACCATGTTGATGCTAGCTCTGCAATCAGGCAGCTAAGGCGGTCGTTATCGCGTTCGCCTTCGAAGAGCTCTAACTTCTTCCTTCACCCCCGCACTCAGTCACCATCTAAAACCACCACTCCATACATTTCGTCTCCTCTGTCGCCCTCGAGGCGATCTCATCATAACTTTGTGCTTTTTCCATCTCAGCAATCTCCTTTGGCTGTTCCATATCCACCAAGTGCGAAAATTAGCCGACCGGCCATGCGACGACGCACTTCACCGCGTAGCCCTGCGAAACGCGCTTTGACTTTGTCAACAGACAGTGGCAACGCGACTCCAACACAACCTATCGCCATGCCCCCAGGCGAAGAAAATGATCTAACTCTGGATGACCTGAATGATCCTATTGAAAGCACGACTCCAGAAAGTCCTTTTTTTCTCAACACACCATCAGCGCCAATAGCTGAAACTAGTTTTACACCGCGTCCCACTACGTCGCGTATTGAAAAGCGACGAAGTGGCACATTTGGTTCATTCGCTACTGTCAGTCCCTTAAAACGAAGTGACGGTATCATGAATCTGGACCAAGCCTCGCGAGGAAGCCCCTCTGCGAAACGACGGAGTGTGCATACACCAACCTTTACGACCGATTTCAGTATTTTCGATAATGATCATGCTAGTGCGCCTGCAAGCCCATCCACTCATGAACTACCTGGCAGCGGAACTCCCATTCAGCCTTTCAGTCCATTTGCCACTATTCCAAAGCGATCATCTTCACTTAGGCGATCTACCTTGCAGCAGCGTCAGAGTGATCGCCCTTTGTTTGGGCGACCACGTGCCGCTGGTGACAATGATGCACCACCTGGTACTCCCCTGGCTGTGCGACCGCGTATGTCCTTTGAAAGCAGTCTTTTTGATGCAAGTCAAGGTCAAGAAAACATATTCTCTCCCCGTCCACCTCCAGCTAGTCCTCTCTTCTCTCCTTCCGCCGTTCCTGCTCCAGTGGCCCCTACATCATTCACTACTCAACCTCCACGACCGGCTGCGCATCCTCTTTCTCGCACAATCACTCAGTCTTCTTCGGGCTCAAGTCTCGATGACTCTCCCACTCATGAGCCAGTTCACAAGCCTGAGCGAGCGCGACCGATCTTTAACTTTTCTAAGTCGCTCCCTGCAGGTGCTACTCGGCCTGCGCCTGTGCGTCGCGTCACTCGGGAAGAGTCAACATCCGGGGAATCATTTGCTACGCCTGAAAACTACAAGCTAGTAAAGCCTCTGCCAGCTGCATTTATGTCAACTGGCTTGATCTCTAAGAAGAATCGCAATGCTGAGGAGCCTGCCGGATTTAACAAGAATATGCCTGACACTCCATGTAAGCGACCGGTGAATTTGTTCACATCTGGACTCAATCCCCCGATGGATAAGGCTCGGCCTTTCGCAGAGACAGAGTCAGCTTCTCAATCCCCATTCAACCCACCTCACTCTGCCGTACGTCCAAAACCTGGGCCTTTCGCACGCGGCATGGGCATCTTTGGCAATTCTTTCAACCGACCTGAGGCCTCCCGTCGAGGCAGCTTCGTGAGTGTAGATGGAGATGATATGCAAGCGTCACCATCCTCGCGACATGATAGTCAGCCCTTGGCAGATTCCGATTTTCCTCCAACACCAACTAAACAAACATTCCTTCCCTCCCGCACTTACCCTCCAGCCACCTCTCAGATTGGTCCTCTCGAGCGCCTCTCAGAAAGCAGAGGCTCTGCCAGCTCTACGCCTTTGCGCGAGCGATTCCTTCAAGCTTCACCCCACACTCCTCGTGACCAATTCTTCCCACCAGATCCCAGTGGTCTGTCTATTTCTGTCCCCAACGATCATTCACTCCATCCTGATAATGGCAGTCTGAATCTGCCTGCTACCCCGACTGGACCTCGTGATTCATTACTTTCTAGCAAGCGACCCAGTCTCCAACTTAGTGGATTCCACACTCCAGATGTGGATCCTAGTCTAACTACACGATTTGACAAAGTTGAGCTTATCGGTACTGGAGAATTTTCTCAGGTCTACAGAGTTGCGCAACCCCATGATGCTTCCCTTCACTCAATGTTCTCTCTGTCATCGAGCGGTCCCAAGTCACCCACTACTCTGCCACATCAGGTATGGGCAGTCAAGAAGAGCAAGCACCCTTACCTGGGTCTTAAAGACCGTGAGCGCCGCATCCGCGAAGTGGATGTGCTCAAGACCCTTGTGAATTGTGACCACATTGTTTCTTTCATGGACAGCTGGGAAGATAACGGCCATCTGTACATCCAAACCGAGTTCTGTGAGGAGGGCAGTTTGGACGTATTCCTGGCCCAGGCTGGCCTCAAGGCCCGACTCGACGATTTTCGTATTTGGAAGATCCTCCTTGAAATGACCTTGGGTTTGAAGCAAATTCATGATGAAGGGTTCATTCACCTGGATTTGAAGCCTGCCAACATTCTGGTGACATTTGAAGGTGTTTTGAAGATTGGTGACTTCGGTATGGCTGCTCGTTGGCCCGCGGAGGATGGTATCGAAGGCGAGGGTGATCGAGAGTACATTGGTCCTGAAATTCTTATGGGCCGGTTCGATAAACCTGCCGATATCTTCTCCCTGGGTCTAATCATCTTTGAAATCGCTGGCAATGTGGAACTGCCAGACAATGGAGTATCTTGGCAGAAGTTGCGAAACGGCGATATGAGCGATGTTCCCAGTTTGACCTGGAGCTCTGAAACCAACATTTTCCGCGATGCCACCGGCAATCCTCTTATCGGTGGCTCTTCTTTCGAGGAGCTTTGCGCTTCTGACTTGGGTGACGATGACTTTGGTGACGCTTTCCTCACCAGCCGCAAGCTCAATGAAACCCAGCCAGACCAGACTCAGGTTGCCCGAAGTGGTGAACTTGTTGACCCACCGGTCTTTATGGTCGACGCCAACCATGCGCAAGCCTTGGACAAGATTGTTCGCTGGATGATTTCACCAGAGCCCCTTGATCGACCCACAGCCGATGATATTCTGGGCACTTATGGTGTCGAATTTGTCAACCGACGTCGCCGTGCTGGAGCCACTGTGTTTGAGGGCAACTGGGGCCCTGCTGATGAGATTTTGGCTGAAGATGCTGAAATGATCGATGTGTAATTTATTTCTTTCGCCTATTATTCCCCCCTTTCGATCTTCTTCAGACCTGTTGTGCATATGGAGGTGTTCTGTGCTTTTATGACCTATTTCCTTTGTCTCTTTCCTTTTCTCTTGCCATGACTCGACCCCTTCTCACGTTTTCTCGATGACGACCATTCTTTTTTTCTTCAACACGAGACTTTCGGATCCCGAAGCCATCCTTGTTATTATCCTTGAGGAAGCGTTCTATGGCCCCCTATCTTGTTTTGCCCGTTTCCCTAATCACACATCATGACTTGGTGGAGTTTCCAAAGGGACCATACCCTTGAGTTTCAGCGTGGCGTTCTCTCGTTTCCTACGGCGTTTTGCTGATCGGTCTGTTTTCATTTTCCTTTGTATCAATTGACTAGCATTATCAGGTGCCCTAAATGTACCATCATCCAACGCAAATGGGTGTTCTTATGAGATAGCTCTTGAGCTGTATCACTGGAGCTGCTATTCTGGCGTATTTTGTTTTTGTTTTTTTTTGTCACTGGGACAAGGTCTATTTCATGAATGTTTGGTGTTGGCCGGTTTTGCAGCGACGGCATGATCTGGCCCTGGGCTACATCTGGCGTTTTCAGGCATTTTATGCCCATGTTCTATTTTTCTCTTTTTGTGTCTGACATCTTGCGTGATGATGAATGATTGCCAATGGTCTGTTAAGAATAGCGAGAATCTGTTTGTGTGCTCTTTTGGTTCTATGTGCATATCCAGAATCATCAGATGTCTTCCAACTCTTTACCAGTAACTTGAACCTTGTACCTGAGTAAGTAGTAGTAGTATCATCAGTAGTCTAAACTCTTACTAAGTACTAGTAGTAAATGCCACCTTTGCCTTGGAAACTTAGATGTCCATGTGCACATGTGCATGATGAAATTCAGATATCTGGATGGATCTGAGTTGTGTAAGTAGTCAACTGGTAGTAGTTAACTATACGATGATTCTATGTAGTAGCCCTGGGCATTGTATCCATGGATATAGCACGTGAGCCAAATGGACATCTGGAGCACCCCGTAAGTTCAAATTCAAGTTTGAACTTCAAGTCGAAGCAAGGGCAGATCAAGTTGGACCTAAATAGGTACATCATTGATTGATATGGTATCCATGTACCCATGGACTGTCCAGTAGTAAGATAGTAGTAGTAAGTAAACTTGAAGTACCTCACAGAGTGAAGATATATCATAGTAATGCCAACTGGTGCCAATGTCAGTGACATCCACTTCAAGTTCCTAAGGACTAGGTATCCAGATGTCAGCTCTTTATGTTAAGCATCGACATCTCTATATTACTCAATCCTCAATATATATCGACTCGGAATTATACTATGAATATACAAGAAATATCTGGATATGTTGTATGATCTATGCCTGTAGATGGTAGTTTGCCCCAATTGCCACTAGTCTTGGCATTCAACCTTGGAACCTCAAGATATCTGAGCTCCGCAATTCTCATGATTTGACTTAACCTCCTACTGTCCTCACTCCTCCGAGGTCGAAAAGGCACTATTTGCTTTCATATGCGTCATGAGCTTCACCATTTAAACATTCTTTAAAATCAATCATCTCCAAAATCCAACCCGAATACCTATCCTTGTGATCTTCCTCGAGAATTCCTGCGCATCATGGATAATAAAACCTTCGTGTCGGACTCTCTTATCCGCCTCACTGGCGCGTCAGATCCTATTGCCGTGGACTTTGTACTCGCAGAAGCCAGTTCAGCAAAGTCCGTATCCTCCCTACAAGATAAACTGGTTTCCTTCCTAGATGGCAGCCCAGACGAAATTGGCGCATTCTGCGGCCAGCTCTTCTCCCGTGTGGGGAAAGCGGCTGGGCCTAGTAGCGCTGGGACTTCAAGTACAGCGAATAAAGCATCTACGAAGAAGAAATACAGTATGGTGGATATGGGCGAAGATGATGCTCAAGCGTCATTGGGACCTGTGAACGTTGAAACGAAGCGCGATCGACGAAGACCTCGGGATCGGGATAGAGATTATGACCGAGAACGAGGCAGGAAGGATGATTTAGATTCTCAGAGTCGTCGAGAAAAGGATGATAGTCGCAAACGAGATCGCAGTCGTGATGCCGAAAGTCGCGATCGACCGCGATCCAAGAAACTGCGGAAGAAGGATGAAGATTTCGATGATCGCTGGGGTGATGAAGAGATTCCGGAAGAGGAGCTATACTCTGATGCAGGCCAGGACGACTTTGCTGAATCCCCCTCGAAACGAACGCGACTTGAAGATGGATCCGCCTCTCCACGCTCTGCATCCCCCGCCGACGATATCGATCCCCAGACGAAGCAAGAAATTGATCGGCAACGTGATCTCCGCGAGCGAGATGAATTTGCGAAACGGTTGGCCAATAAGGATGACAAAAAATCTAAGAAGATCGTGGAGGACCGCTCCCGTGACGGTGAAGCTGCACGGCGTCGTGCCTTGGCTGATGATGCCAGCGCTCGCGCGGAAATGATGCCTGATTTGCGACTTCGCTCTCGTCAGGAATATCTCAAGAAGCGAGAGACGGAACGTCTGGCGTTGCTGCGTCGGCAGGTTGCGGAAGAGGCTGGTGAGTTGCGCGAGAACCCGAATCTTACTCGTCGCGAGAAGGAGGAATTCGCTCGTAACAGAGAAGTCCTGCGCATCGCGGAGGAGCGACTACGGATCGATGATCATCGCGATGGATACATGATGCCGGATGATTATATCACAGAAAAAGGCAAAATTGATCGCAAAAAGAAGGAAGATGCCCTGTACAAGCGCTATGTCGAGCGCGACGAGTCAGGTCAGGAGAAATTCGTTACAGAGCACGAGGAATGGGAGCTGGAGCAATCCGCCAAGGCTAAGGCCCAGATCAGCAAGCCTGAATTTGTCGATGAAGGAGATTATGAGTATGTGTTCGATGATACACAGCAGATCAACTTTGTCATGGATACCAAGCTTGAGGGAACCCAGAAGGTATTGACTCAGGAGCAACGCCGGTTCAAGGAGCAGTTAGATGCGGCTGAGAAGAAGGCTGCAACTATGGAGGAGACTCGCAAGAGTTTGCCCATCTACCAGTTCCGAGACCAAATCATCCAGGCAGTGCATGATCACCAAGTGCTGATCATTGTTGGTGAGACTGGTTCTGGAAAGACCACCCAGATCCCGCAGTATCTTCACGAGGCTGGTTATACCAAAGGTGGCTTGAAGGTTGGCTGCACCCAACCGCGTCGAGTCGCTGCGATGAGTGTTGCTGCTCGTGTTGCCGATGAAATGGGAACCAAGATTGGAAATGAGGTTGGATACGCTATTCGATTTGAGGACAACACGAGTGATAAGACAGTTCTCAAGTATATGACCGACGGCATGCTTCTCCGAGAACTGTTGACGGAGCCTGATCTCAGTCAATACTCGGCACTGATGATTGATGAAGCTCACGAGCGGACGGTGCCTACAGATATTGCATGTGGTCTTCTCAAGGATATTGCCAAGGCACGACCCGATCTGAAGCTGCTCATTTCTTCTGCGACCATGGATGCACAGAAGTTCCAGAAGTATTTCAACGATGCACCTATTTTCAACATTCCCGGTCGAAGGTACCCTGTCGACGTACACTACACCTCGCAGCCCGAGGCCAACTACCTTGCAGCTGCCATCACAACTGTCTTCCAGATTCATGTCTCTCAAGGCCCCGGTGATATCTTGGTGTTCTTGACTGGTCAAGAGGAGATCGAGGCAGCCGAACAAAGTTTACAAGAGACAGCACGAAAACTGGGTAGTAAAATACCGGAGATGATTATTTGTCCCATCTACGCCAATCTGCCATCCGATTTACAGACCAAGATTTTCGAGCCCACGCCGCCCAAGGCGCGCAAAGTGGTTTTGGCCACCAATATCGCTGAAACCAGTTTGACCATTGATGGCATCGTGTACGTGATTGACCCTGGATTTGTCAAGGAGAACGTATTCAACCCACGAACCGGCATGGAGAGCCTGGTGGTGACTCCTTGTTCCCGAGCCTCAGCTAACCAGCGAGCTGGACGTGCTGGACGTGTTGGGCCTGGTAAATGCTTCCGACTTTACACCAAATGGGCGTACTACAACGAACTCGAAGAGAACACGACCCCAGAGATCCAGCGCACAAATCTCAACAGTGTTATTCTCATGCTTAAATCCCTGGGAATTGATCAGCTCCTTGACTTCGATTTCATGGATCCTCCACCAGCCGAGACAATCATCCGCGCACTGGAACAGTTATATGCTCTCGGGGCTCTCAACGACCGCGGAGAACTGACCAAGGTCGGTCGACAGATGGCTGAATTCCCGACAGAACCGATGCTCGCCAAGTCGATTCTTGCCGCCGGGCAGTATGGCTGCGTTGAAGAAGTCCTCTCCATTGTATCTATGCTAGGCGAAGCCAGCGCACTATTCTTCCGACCAAAAGACAAGAAGATTCACGCTGATAGCGCGCGCAACCGATTTACCGTGAAAGACGGCGGTGACCACCTCACCCTTCTTAATATCTGGAACCAGTGGGTCGACTCCGACTTCAGTTTTGTGTGGGCGAAGGAGAATTTCCTACAACAGCGCAGTCTTACCCGGGCGCGTGACGTGCGTGATCAACTTGCCAAGCTGTGCGATCGTGTCGAGGTCTCCGTTAGTACCTGCGGAGCTAATAACTTAATGCCAATTCAAAAGGCGATCACTGCTGGGTTCTTCCCTAATGCAGCACGTCTTCAGCGTGGAGGTGACAGTTACCGCACTATCAAGAATGGGCAGTCTGTATACTTGCATCCATCTAGTACTCTGTTTGAGGTGAATCCTCGGTGGGTGATTTACTTTGAGCTGGTTCTTACTAGTAAAGAGTATATGCGCAGTAATATGCCATTACAAGCTGAGTGGTTGGTGGAAGTTGCACCTCATTATTACAAGAAGAAGGATTTGGAGTCCTTGGGATTAGATCGTAAGGTGCCTAAGGGAACTGGAGCTACTGGAGAGAAGAGTAAGACTTGAGTCAACTCAATTGCTGGTTGTACATAGTACTATTTGAAGAATAAAGTCATGTTCGATTCAAGTTATAAGTTACAATTACTAGAATAAGTCTATTAGAATAATTGTATAAAACACCTGGGCAGTAGCAGTACCTAGGTATGATTGTATTACATATTATATAATAGATCTTCCAAGGTTATAACCAATCATATTATATGTATTAGACCGCGGCATAAACTTGAAATGGACCTCGGTTTCGGCCCCGCTTTAACTCCCCCAGACTTCAATGTTCCCCCATCTTCATCTTCATCCACATTCCAACTTCAAGTTAACTCACTTACCCAAAATACTACACATACATCATGTCTCAATTATTTACTCCCGCCGATGTGGCCACCCACAACAACGCCGAGAAAGGCATGTACATCATCATCGACAACACAGTTTACGATGTAACCAAGTTCGCGGATGAACACCCCGGAGGCGCGAAGATCTTGAAGCGTGTTGCTGGAAAGGATGCTTCTAAGCAGTTTTGGAAGGTAATGCCCAGAACCAATCTGTGATATGATATGATATGCAATATACAATACACCTGTATGTCGGAGGCTAATTCCATCTTACTTAGTACCACAACGAATCCGTGTTGAAGAAGTACTCGCCCAAGTTGAAGATTGGGGATGTTAAGGAGGCTGCGAAGCTGTGAGAATGGAGTGCTGGAACTGGAACAATCTTTACTAGAGACTCAGAGGAAGATAGAAGGGGATATCATACGGTCTCGCCATATCCCTTCATCTCTGTCTGAGGAGTGATCAGCCCATGCGGAGAACGTCGATCATAGACTTGGATGAGTGCTAGCGAGGAGCCTGTGAATTATACCCGCGCTTTTGTTTATATTTGAAGATTCGTTATTAGAATTTCAGGTTGAATTTTGGTTTATTTAGCTTATATTCTCCCCTGAATTCATACTCTTACTACATACATAGTACATGTAGCCTTTGTTAAGTTCCAGGAGCTCAGTCATGTGACAGGCTTAAAGATCAGGAATCCTGATCATCTCAACCTTGGAAGTGTTTACAATTACAAGATTTACTATAGGATCATGATAAACTTGATAAATAATACTCGAACCTAGCTCATTCAAGCCATAGTTAATTCAACGCCCCTCTTCGCTATGTCGGTCTCCTTTCGCACAATGGTATCAACATGGTCCAAAAGCGCAATTTTCAAAATAAACAGTATAGTATCAGAAGTAAAAGAGAAGAAAAAAAAAGTAGATCAAAATGATGTAGATCAAAACAAGAAATATGATATATACAATTACCCAGTAGAAAGAAAAGAAAGAAAGAGGGATATCGAGAATAGAGAATGGTAATCCAGACCGACGCTCAAAGAATGTAAAAAGAAAATCAAAGAATGAGAATTGAATTAGAAGCCACGGAAAGGATCATCCGGTCGGAAAGACAGTTCGCTTTCATCAACAGAGGGCGCATCATACTCATAACGACCATGACTCAATTGACTGGAAGTCTTGCGTACATGTCGAGAGCGAGGCTGTGGCGGAAGACGAGGTCGATTAATCTGTTCCGCATGGTGATCAATAAAAGCCTCCATGCGAACAGTGCCCATATCGAACATGTTGCTCTGCGTTGTGTTCATAGTACGGCCACTAGCCTCGGATGTCCGGCGACTGGTACTGCTGGGACCACTTCCGATGCCAATTCCAACACCCGGAGGAAGACCCGGTGGTAGTGTAGGTGAGAAGTAGGTCTCCGCGGAGCCGGCAGTCGTGCCGCTCTGTGCGGTGCCTTGACTGGAGAAACTGCGTATAGCGTGGAGTGCAGGAGGGCGAGGTGCCGTGTTGCTGCGTTTGCGATTATGGTGATTATGATTAGAAAAACGGGGGACATGAGGTGCGTCGGCAGCCATTGAATTAAGGCTCTCCAGATCACCGGCGGGTATCTCAGGGACGGGCGCTGTGGCCCCAGGGAAAGAGCGCTTGCCCTTGGGCATAGGTCGTGGACGACCTTTTGCAACTCGGATGGAATCGCGGATAGGATTGCGACGGAGAGTCGCTCGTGAAGGGATGGGAGATTCGACCTCCTCTTGTGGCACTGGTGGTAGTACCGCTAGGTCTTGGATACCCATTGAAGAATGACTAAGGAATGAGAGTGCAGTCAACCAGACGTAGTGACGTTCGATGGTGAGTGCGGTGAATTTGAGAGCCCTTTGTGGGGTCAACACGAGAATAGAGCGATTAAAGGCCTGAGCCCCGGCTCCGGAGCCCTTAGGCATTGGATTATCATCTTTGACATCCAATACTGATTGAATAGTGACTATCACCGGGTTAGATATGATCTATGATCAATTGTGAAGAACGAAGACTTACATTTTCGGCCACTCTTGCCCAGCAAGGCGGGTCCACTTGTTGGCTGTTTACTACTCCACATAATGGAGCCTTCGTACGGAGCAAGCCAAACCCATCTTTTATGGCGCACTCCGCTGTTGGTGATATTGGCGGATACTTCATCGGGATTCCGTCCCTCCCAAGAATCCTTGAACTCGCCCATACCGAAAGACTTGCGGCGTCGAACATATTTGAACATCCATTCACCAACCATAGTCTGGGCAATGGCATCAACTACACTCGTCGGTTGCACGCCACCAACTGAGTTCCGTCGCTCATGGTCCCAGTTCATAGAAGGCACAGCTTGACGATGGGAGGATCGCTTCGGAACCTCCTGGCGCACGCGAGGAACTGTGATATCATCACGGGGAAGAGGGGGCGGGCGATAGGGAGGACTGCTGTCGAATGCAAATGGAGATGCTGAACGGGTGGGAGACGAGAGTGTTTCTGGGTGCTCAGTGATTTCGCTTTGGGACATCGCAGCTGCAGAGCGGACTCGGCGTAGTGTTGGTCGGCGAACCAGGGTGGTGCGCGCACCACGATCAGAGAACTGTCGACCCGCAGAGCGAGTTGGGCTCGGGGGTCCATCACTGCCATTCAATGGAATATTGCGCGAGCTAAGGCGAATTGGTACCGGGAATGGAGGGGCAATGCTTGAGCCTGCACTGCCGCTTTCAATGCTTGGTTCACTTGGACTGCGGGCACGGGTTCTATGGTGGGCTGCTGCTCCACTTGAAATCATGGCCATTTTGCGCATACCAGGCTGTCGGCCACTTGAAGCTGTCCGTTGAGTCGCACGAGACGAGGCGCGACCAACATCAGAAGGTCTGGACTCTGGGTCTGAGAGATGTTCGTCAATTTCGGGGAGAGTCATTTCATCCAAGCTTGTTCTTGATTTAGCGTTGACCAACTTGCCACGACGCAGGGTATAGGAGGCAAAAGGTCGATTGAGAAGTTCGTCATCCGTGAAGATATCTCGTTCTTCTGCCTCAGGGCCCTCATCATCACTCAATTGTTCGAATCCTGCAAAGAGGCTGCTTGAACGGAAGGGCCGTCTTAATCCAGATACCAAATCGCTTGAAAGAGGTCCATTGTCGTTGTTTCCAGGGTAGGCCTGATATGCCTGCAGGGGCTCCGAGTGTTGGGCTCGCGGTGGTTTCACAGGACGGTCAGCGGTAGAAGGCCGTGGTTGATTCCTTTTGGCTGAGCGAGGAGGAGGAATAGGTGCCCGATAGGGCTGGGCATTCAAATTCGCCTCTTGAAGTTCAGATGTGGTGGGCAGATCAGGAATGGCCGAAGGCAGGAGACTAGCCGGAAGCTTGACTGGACGTTTATCAATGCGAATCTCTTCAGTCTGAATGGCGATAGACCGTCCCTCGGTATTTGATCCAAAGTTGGTTTGAACAGACATACTCTTCGTCTGCGGGGGAAGAACAACGCTATCGCGGGGAGATGCTGGTTCAGAACCAGGTGGATGAATTGCAATCATGGGAATATCCATTTGTGATGGAATATCACCAGGGGATAACAAAGTCTTCACATTTTCCACAGGTTCTGGAGTTTCCGGAGCTGGATCAGTCTGGGTAGAAGCCTCTGCCATCTGAACTGTCTCCACTGGTTCCACGGTTTCTTCTTCGTCTTCATGCTGAATAGGAGAATCGGGCACCTTGGGCGTCCATGGGGGACTAGGCAGTTCGCCCATGGTTTGAACAGACGAGGACACCATCTCAACTGCGATTGTGAGGGTGGAACAGTCCTTCATCTCTGTGACATCGTTGTTCTCATCACTCTCGTCGTCTGCATCGGATGCTTGATCGTCGTCGATTCCTTGGTTGCTCACTTCCACGCTCTCTGGAATTTTGGGGGACGCTGGAGGCGAGTACTGAATTCCAATATCACAGTATTCCACAGGTGATTCCCCTGAAGCTTGATGTAAAGAGGGAGTTTGTTCGAAAGCACGGTACTCCGTCGCAGCAGAGCCTGTGCTTTGCATAGACAGCCCAAGGATCCTCCGGGCCTTGAATGCCACCGAGTGGGAAGCTTCTGAATTGACAGACATAGGTCGTTCTTCGGGAAGAGCTTCAGGTGACTCAGGACTCTCATCCTCCTCCGTTGCAGCAAACTCCTCTTCCTCATCGAATGCCAGTTCATCGGCGAGATTGACGCCTGAATCACCCTTTCCAGGGGCCATACTGATGACCGAGTACCGAACATTGTGGAAATCAACTTCAGGGTTATCCTCGTTGGAGGTTACACTGGTCATGCTCGTACGCCGACGACCTTGACTGCTCGAAGCCACACTGGCCGTATCGCTTCCCTTGACCTTGTTCTTAGCGGCAATATCATTTTCACTATTTTGGGAGTGAAGTGTTTTGGCCTCTTGGGCAGCAGCAACCTCATTTAGTACCGTCTTGAGACGACCTTCCACAACATGGATCTTGCGCTCCATATTCCGTCGTTCATTGTCCCATGATTCTCGGTCACGGTCCCACAGCATCTGTGTCCGCTCGACCTCCTCATCTCGATGGCGGGCCTTCTTTTGCGCATGCTCCAACTTTCTACGGACATCATTGATGTTTTCCACCGCCACATCCCGCTCACGAGCAAGTTCCGTAATTGCAGAGGATGTTCCACCTTCTAAAAGTTGAATCTGATGTTTCAAGGATCGAGACTCACGCGCAGCCTCGGAGAGGTTCTCCCCGAGGGTCTCGCATTCAGTTCGTGATTCATCCAAGCTTTGTTCCAATGAATCGATTGCTTTGGTTTTATTTTCAATGTCCCGCCTCAACGAAAGAATTTCAGAAACGAGGGACGCATGGAGAGTAGGTGTGATGCGGCGGGCATCAAATGGTGATAATGTATCTTCAATAATGTCGTCATCGTCTGTTTGCCCATCTGGCGAGAATGCTGGCGTGGGGAGGCCGGGTGGAGAGGAATCTGGTGAGGGGGACGAGTTTCGACGACGCCGTGCTGGTCTAGATCTCGATCTCGATTTCGATTTCGATTGAGCTCGGGAAGATCTTGACAGAACAGGAGACGGTTCGACCATGGAGGTCTCCGGGGACTGAAGGGCCGAGGCCATGTCGCTACTGCGCCTTATAAATTTATGTTCGGGCCCTTCAAACCATTACCTATGGTTCGTTTTCCTGTGCTGGCCAGAGCACGTCACGGATCGATCCCATGAATCGTTTACTGTAATTCGATCATTCATATAGGAAGGTTGTTTCGACAATGTATAATGTCTCGTCAATTTGCGTGTTTTTGATCGGCCGTAATGAAAAGGAAAGAATAAAAGTAAATCGTTCAACAACGGATGCTGTGCAACAACCAGTTAGCCACTGGATACAACGCAAATGCGGGACACACAGGTGGGTGTGAGGGGAGCCAATGCGGCCGTTCATAATATGCACGGAGACGTCTAGACTTATGAACTCACAGAAGATGTAGAAATAGGCGTCAGTACTGAGTAGAGTTGGGGGGTTGGGGATAGGGAAGAGATGGATCAGATGTCAACCCCTTGAACAAGAAAAAAAAGAGGGTCGATCGCGATTACTCGAGACCACCGTACTTGTATGACGGGGACACCGGAGAAGGTGGACACACTTGACTGGGTCTTTGGGATTTAGGAGATCTGCTAACCAGCCTTTTGACAAACAAGGTAATGATCTGAGACGGCCGAGTCGAAGTGGTCTGTTATTACGTAGATTAAAGAGACGTATCTTAGACCTTAGATCAGCCTTGCCAGTGTCGGAATCGTGCCGGATGCGAGGAGCATAACGGGGCCATGACCATGCACGAGAAAAAAAAAATAGGCACAGGGGTGTTCGTTAGGGGGGGGGGGGCATGGGGAAGCTAGAAACCCACCCGATTAGCCAGGACGCATGATGCTCCACTAGATAGCTGCCACCCAAGACACTAAGAAGGCTAAGAAGTATGGATTCTGAACCGGGTTAGGACAATTACCCGAAACATCAAATTTATATCTCGGACGTACTTTGTACAAGGGGATGTTGTTAGGAGAAGGGGAACCAGGGGATGGAGTACGTATTCCGTGAATAATGTTGAACTCTTATCTGGCAATTTGTGAAAAAAAAGAAAAGAAGTCTTGAATACCACGGGGAATTGAAAGTTCTGGAAAGGATTTCAGAAAAAAAGAAAAGAAAAAAACATAAAAACACAATGGATATTAGAAAAGTACGAGGTGGAAAAAGTTAAAGTGACATTGACATGGGTGTCAAAGCCCATCTCATCCTCGAAAAATTCAAGGAAATCGGGGAGGCAGAGGCAGGCCTTGGAAAATTCAGTGATCGCCCGAGTCCGTAGCTCCCAGCTTGGGGAAGGTGTTCGTCTGGAAGAGCTGGAAGGATCCACTACGCGTATGGATCCAAATAACGCGTCCAGCTTCATGTCGGCTGAGCACAAAGAACAAAGAAAAAAAAGAATCACCCCTTATTTCGGAGGTGATTGTAGCAATCTCAGTGGATAAAAAAAATAAGTGGTGGTCCATTGTGTTGGCAAGCAATTTGCCATTATTGAAAGCCAATCAAGACGAAGCCAGGGCACTAAAATAAGCAAGTGAATCGAATTAATTGGTCTGGAACCTGGATAAGGAAATAGGAGGGCCGGTTAGCGTGTTTGGGAATGAATATTTCCCCTGTTCTGGCGTTACTCAGTTCGCCCTAGCGTCACCTTTGCTCATGTTGATCGGCCAAGGTAATTTCGTGCAATATGCGTTGGTGGTTTGTGCTCCATGTTCATGTTTCAGAGCGCCCCAAGTTGCATCTGATCTGGTGGCTATCAAAGTACCGAGCCTTTCGTATTTGACATGGCCATATATGGTTTGGAATTTTCTTTTTTTGTCATTTTCAGGAAAAACGCGTCGAATCTTCCAGGTATCAATAATGCACTATGAAATCGAGCAAAAAAAAAAGGGGAACCGGAGACTCCGTTTCCGCAAGATCCATCCGAGGTCTCCACCAAAGCAGCTCCATGCATCCACTTGAATCAGAAGCTGCGTTGTTTTGATTTTTCCCTTCGGATTTGATTAGTGACGCCACGAGGTGCCCATGGTGGTGTGTAATGCGCCATCACGGTTCACAGGACCCTTCGGCTGTACTCCTTAGTAGTATGGGGGTATACTACACACTGCCAAATTCTTCTCACCCCCTTTATGGCCCCCATAATTTTTGTGCTCTGTAGTGCGAAGTGGGAAACGTCTAAAATGAATAGTATTAGCCAATGAATGATAGTACGCATGTGGTGAAAATAATTGGCAATAATGTCACGTTGGGGCATTTTGTTCTAGACTCCAATGCTGCGTGACACGAGGTCCCATCACCCTTAGTCCCATTGACAAATGGACTAGTACGGGAAAACGAGTGCCTTGAAGGAGCACAATCTCCGGAACCATCGACCGCGTTTGAACCCCACTTGGAGGGGCGACTAGGGCGACGCAAACACGGGCCGTTGACAGGTCTATTTCCAGCAACGACTCGTCATTCGATCAATGCAGGGTCAACCTTTTTGGGTTTTGTTCTTCTGGGTAGGACTGTTAATATAACAGTCTTCGGAGGCGCAAGGAGTGGAGATGCCCAGGTGACTGGAAAAGATTTGTAAGAGGTGACAATGTTCACGAGTGCTCAGGTGCTGGTGAGGAAGGTGCAGATGCGAGGACGACCACATTGGAAGTCAAACGTATCAAACCAGACATACCAGACATACATTCCAAACATTCCAAACATCTCAATCTTTACTCCATATTTTTGGAAAGTGTAAGGTAATCCAGACTACAACACTTCCAAGGTTTATGGTATAAGTCTTTGATCTAATTTCTGGACCGTCCGCCTAAAATAGAACTGGGAGTGAGATGCCAGGATATTCCAAACACTCTTATTTTTGGAGAGATGTGACTTCAATGACGTTCTGAGCTCTCTCATGCTTTCATGCGGGGAGAATGATCAGCCTGATGGAATCCCCCATAAACCTTGGAACTGTTAACCTCGGTCTATGACTCAGCCGCTTTCTCCATATACCTATGTTTTACACATGAATATTTGAATCTCGAAGCTTACCAGGTTACACTGAGAGCCTCATTTCACGTTTCACAGCAGAGTAAATCTCAATCATCTTGGAGACCCCGACTTGCAGATCCCTCTTGCATCAAGATGTCTGCAGTGCAACCTCCCCAGGTCTTATTCTTTGATACGTTCGGTACCGTCGTCGAATGGCGAACCTGTGTCACAAACGCCCTGCGTCTTGCAGCTAAGCAAGCACTGGATGATCCGAGCAAGGATCTCCCCGTGGATGTGCGCCAGCGTGCAGCCTCTCTCAGCGAATCGGATTGGCAATCTCTCGCTCAGGATTGGCGATCGTCCTACGGTGTCTTCACTAGGACATTTGATCCTTCCAGCGAATTTGTCTCAGTTGACCAACATCACTACACTGCTCTACAAAACCTCCTCCAGGAAGAGGGATTCGAGAGCTTTTTAACGATGATGAGTTGTGGGACTTGACTCTATCCTGGCATCGGCTTAACCCATGGCCCGATAGTGTTGCAGGCCTAGACCTGCTGAACACAAAGTTCACCACCTCTACTTTATCCAACGGCAATATGTCTCTCCTTGAGGACCTCAAGAAATATGGTCATCTACCCTTCAATCAGCTTGTCAGCTCAGAGAATTTTCGAGCATATAAACCTTCGCCGATCGTATATCATGGCGCGGCAGATCTTCTTGAACATACTCCGGCACAATGTGCTCTGGTAGCGGCACATCTCAGTGATTTGAAAGCTGCTAAAGGCTGCGGCTTCCAGACAATCTACGTTGAGCGAGAATTAGAAGAGGCTTGGTCTTCTGATCGTATTGCACAGGCCAAAGCAGAAGGTTTCGTTGATATTTGGGTGGGCTTAAACGAAGGCGGTTTTGTGGAAGCTGCCCGGAGATTGGGAATTACGGCTTAAGTTTGACATTTTGCAACATTTTTTTCACTTTTTTTCATATCTGAGATTTAAGGAAATCTATCACTTATCCTCATTCTCGTCGCTTGTGATCTTTATTGTGACTAGTTCATATATTTCAGGGCTTCAATCTTAGTGTTTGAGTGACCCGGGGGTGATTACTATGCATGACGTGATCAAGCGCCTAATACTCAAGTGCTTATCAACCCCGCCACGGCGTTTTAGAGGAGGCCTGAATTTACTATATAAAGGGGGGCCTGATTCATTCCTGGTGGGAGAAGCAGGTCATAAATTCACGCGTGAGACATCTTGAATTGCAAGATATTGAGGCCGAAACCCGAAATTCCTACGCTGGGTCCTCACTAAACATTGCCTATCTTCCCAGCTTCTGCTGTGAGCGATTCAAGCTCACAACATGACCGATAAGGTGAGACTCAGCATAAAAAGTGCGAATGGATTTCCAATGCACTAATACAAAGACACTCAAGATCTTCAAACTTGCCGACGCAGATGGCCATTTCCGGCGCAAGGCTTCGGCGTTTAGATCTAGCGTGTCCAGAGACGCATCAGCTGAATTCCCAGCCGAGAAGGACCGCTATGTTCTTTACATCAATTACGGTTGTCCATGGGCCCACCGTGCGAATCTACTCTGGCATCTGAAGGGACTCCAGGATATCATTCAGAGGGTAGTCACAGACCCTGAACTTGGACCAGAGGGGTGGTTCTTCTCGGGCCGATGGGGTTCCGCGGAGAAGGATCCGCTATATGGATTTAAGTATCTCAAAGAGCTCTACTTCAAGGCAGACCCAGAGTATGAGGGGAGATTCACAGTTCCGGTGCTATGGGACAAGAAGAAAGAGACAGTCGTCAACAATGAGAGTAGCGAGATCATTCGAATGCTCTACACTGAATTTGACGATCTCCTCCCAGAGCACTTACGCGAAATCAATCGTCCAGGAGGTGGTTTCTATCCGGAAAATCTGAGAAAGAAAATTGACTCTATGAATGAATGGGTATACCCGCAAATTAACGATGGAGTCTACAAGGTAGGGTTTGCCACGAACCAAGAGGCGTATCTCAAAAACATCTACCCCCTTTTTGAGGCCTTGGACCGAGTCGAAGCCCATTTGAGTCAGCCGGAACACCAGCCGTTCTTATTTGGAGACCATATCACTGAGGCTGATATTCGTTTGTACACGACAATCGCGAGATTCGATGTTGCCTATTATTGCATTTTTAAATGCAACCTGAAGATGATCAGACACGGTTACCCGCTCTTGGACCGTTGGTATCGCAGACTTTACCATGACGAGTCTGATCTAACTCGTGGAGCATTCAAGAAAACGACATACTTTGAAATTGTGAGTCTATTTCATTCTAATATTGCGAGGACTGTTATGATCTAACACCGGCTAGTGCAAGTTCGGCTATTGCGTTGCTATCACTAAGAAGTCAGGGAGCACCCAGCCAGTGGTGATTCCTGCTGGGCCAGTTCCTGATATTCTACCCTCAGAGTAATAATATGAGTTTTGTTCAGACTACTCTGGTGCTTGCTATAGCTTATCGATATGGTAGCCTTGAGCAGCCTGTTTCACACTGTGCAGGGCTGGCATGCTTCATATTAATTCGTGCTCCTTCAATAAATCTTGATACCTGGACCTGCAAATACCATAAAAGTCAGAGTAGCTGAATAAACACAGATTTTATTTTGCCGAGCACTTGGGTCTTGAGAACTGCCTCACTGAGTATTAGAGTCTGAGCGGCATGTTGGAATCAACGGGAGTGGTTCATATCAAAATGAGACCTTCATCACGGAAAAAAAAATATGTCCAATATCGATACTTTTGGACGAAGAGCAAAGGAATGTGGCCTGTCTCATTAAAGTATGAGTGGGCTTTTCAAAACTTGCGTCTTGTCAGAGTGATCTAGCCGGGGAGCAGGCCAATGTTAGCAAAGGCTCACGCAATGGAAGCCTCAATTTTGATCTTCCCTTTCCTCCACACCAGAAGTGCTTAGAACCATGTGCTGTGAGCTCCGGAATCGTGATAAATGATCTTTGCCGTTCACTGAGCATGGTGAGCAAAACAATCAAGCTGAGGGAAGAAAAACAAAATTTCCATCCATCAAAAGAGAAAACATCCCATGAACAGGATATCATCTTACTCGATGGAGAGGTCCATACAGTAGGTACAGTGCTAAGTGACTGATATGACAAACAGCTTCTGGGTGCCAGGATGTTCCGGAGGCATTTGGTCAGATGTCAAGGAATATGAAGGTTTGCCAAGTGAGACAAAAGAAAATTTAAGATATTAAAGTGTAACCACAGATGAAAGATAAGTTACAAATCACGCTCTGTGTAAGTCAAAACTAAGACATGCAGAAAACCGTCTCCATTCTACGCATGGCGCCAAGCTGAGTTCCTGAAAATTCCGAGTATCGGTGAGTGATGACTGATGATCAGATAACTTTGAAACCCGAAACTCATCTCCACAGCTTCCAAGATTGGTTGAACGGATAAAAATCGGCAAGTTAAGCTGGAGATCGCCCATGAGTAAGCGGCTACCTTCATAGAAAATTCTTACAAAAGCCCCGCCTGGGATTCGAGACTATGGCGATCTACGGTTCCTCTTGCAGGTTGTTGGAGTCAGTATAAGCTTGTACGCTAGCGTGGTATTTTGACTTTCTTCAATACCCGGTGGTATTGTACTGGTATGTATCTGTTTCACATCGAGCGTGCTGGCCTCGGCCGGGGAATGTCATGTTGGTGGAGCTCGACGATTTACAGGGAAACCAGGGAGATTACCTAGATTTGACTATGTAGGACGTATTTTTCATGTCTCAGAGGATTAACCTTTCGAATCCTAAAAATTGGATCTTCAGCTTCTCTCGAAATGGATAGGTGAGCATTTCTTGCACATGTTGCATGACACTTCCAAGGTTATGTATTGTTATCGCCTGAGATAAACCATCATGATCACCGATATCAATGAGAGAAGCTGCAGATGTTAGAATCAGTATTTGGTAACTGGAAGTAAGAAAATCCAAGCTCCTGTTTATCTGATCGAATTACGTATTGCAACGTTGGGCATTAGGGTCTGTGGCTGTGTATTGCGGCATTTTTATTAGGTGGAGTCCGCAATCCCGGCATATGCTGAGAGGCCCACAATATGATCAGGTTTAGAAGCATTGTAAGCTTACAGGGCGGAGTAGCAGGAGTAAAACAGACACGCTAAATCGGAGATCACCTGCATAGTATCTACTAGTAGACATGATCATCGAGATCCCGTGTTATACACCAGAAAAGTACCGGTGTCGGCATCGATAGCAAAGATGATAATCATTACAAAACCGTATCTCCTGATGTCATTGTCATTGCCAGCTGATTTTCATAGTTGGTAGTTGTACCGTGTCAATACGTAGGCACTAGCATGTATGTACGATATTAAGCCATGTCTAGACCTAATGAAATGGGAATGACCCATTTATGGCTATCAGAATAGAACCAAGGAAAGGGTTTATCAAGTAAATATCAGCTTTGAATCAAGTTATCATACAAATTAAGAAGAAAATACTATAGACCTTCAGATAGTAAGAGTTACTATAATTACAACTTACTGTCCACCCAGCGCGGTGCTCTCTTTTCAGCAAATGCCTTAATCCCTTCATGGAGATTTTCACCATCATTCAATGCCGGCTCCCAGTTATCAGCAAGTAAGCGACTAGCATTTTCCGCGCTCCCATCTTCCCAGCCAGCCACGATACCCGCACGACTAATAATCACACTATCGGGACTGTTATCAACGATAGTAGCAGCATAGTCCAATGCGGCCTTGACAACTGGTCGGTCAAGCACCGCACAATCAGTAGTATTATCCTCTACCACCGCATTAACCAGACCCCAATCTTTCGCTTCCTCCGCCGTGATACTTTTACCAGTTAACGCCATTTCCATCGCTCTCGGACGGCCAATTGTTCGAGCCAGCCTTGGTAACGAACCTGCCAAAGCGACGACACCACGCTTTGCTTCGGGAAGAGCGAAGCGTGCTCCCTTGGCCGCTACCACCAGATCCAAGTTTGCAATCATTTCCATTCCACCACCAAAAGCTATCCCATTCACCGCAGCGATGACAGGTTTCTTGCCATGACGTCGTGATAGGGCAGCGAATCCAGATCGAGGCATCGGGGGTTGACCGGCATGTTCACCATTTGCTCGACGCGCGTTGGTTTGATTCCATTCTTTTAGGTCCATCCCAGCACAAAAGGCCCGGCCCGAACCCGTAACAATGGCGCATCGAAGTGAAGGTTCATTGTCGTACCAGGAGAAGAGTGATTCGAGGTCATATTGTGCGGAACTGGTCATGGCGTTGAGGACTTGGGGTCGATTGAAGACGACCAACATCACATGTGGAGCCGGAAATGAGACTATGGCATCATTTTGTAGAGGAAATTGCCGCTTGAAAGGAGTTTGAGAAATCATAATGAACAGATAGAATCGAATTTCAAGGTATTCAAAGATGACTGAAGATGTGAGTTGGTCTTGTAAGATGTTGGACAGAAGCTGAGAACAACACTGAGGCTGAATGCCTATGAGGACCTACCACCTATACATACTTTACCTACCTTAGGAGAATTAGTAAATGTCTACATTCGTATGTCAGCGTATGGCTGTATTCTACGTCGATAGATTCAAGATTTCCATTATGATACAGTGCATGATGATACAGGGAATTGCGATGTTACACCGATGGTTTCCGCGTGGATACGGCCTCGGGATGTAACAAAAGCTGGATCCATATTAATATGATGTACCAGGAATTCAGAAAGCCTAGATCATCTGATAATGATAATCTCGGAATCTCTCAGCTGACTTTGGGTACCAGTAACTTTGTTTCCTATTTAAAAACCGTGTAAAGTCTGTCACAGGACTTACTCTCACGAATAAGGCAATTCGAATGCTTAAAGTTGAATCAATGACCAAGCTCCAACTCATCATTCTCGAGTTATCGAGTAGCCCTCTGTTCAAGAGACTTGTGCGTCTCCTTGATTTTGAGTTCGGCGTTACATACAAATACAGAACCCATGTGGGGCGTCGTATACGTAAACGAGTGGAGCCTCCTACTAGTAAGCTTATACCAATGCCGATCTGAAATTTCAGACAAAAGCCTGGAATACAGTACAGATTTAAGTTAACCTTGGAAAGTTTCAAGTTGTTCGTTGTTCTATGTAAAACCTTTTCGCCAAGAATCAAGAATTTCCGTAAGTTCCAGGCTTGGCGGCCGGCATACCACGAGAACTGCCGAGCTGATGTTGCCAAGATGATCACATCAGCTCGTATCCTACAGTTCCTATGAGAAACAGTTCTCTAAGACACTGCCGACTTGGCGCTCTGGCTAATGCTAGCTCTAGACTTTTGTTCTCTAGTCCAGGTGCTCACGAAAAACTCATTTGGCAGATAGACTGGTAATTGAAACTTTTAAATCATATTTTTACTTAATGCAAACACAAACAAAAGATACACTATAGTCGAGGCTTGAAAGCTAGTCCAGTTCCAGCAATGTGAGGACTAACTTGGTTGAATGGACAAAGTTGGAAGAAGCGCTCCCGAGTAGACTTGACCAAGCTGGCACGTTTATGCGGCAAGTCAATAATTTGAGATTGGTGAAGACCAAAAGTGTAGTCATAGGTGAGAACCTTGTCGTTGGTGGAAAGTGGCTCTCCGATGACATTTTGCGTGCGGTGATCATCAAGGAACACATAATGAATCATGCTAGGCCACCATGCCATTACACGATGAGGTCCTCGGAAAGCATCATTGCCCACGAGTGTATGGCGACCACGATCGAAATCGTCAGAATCGTAGTGAGCACCGATTCTGTCCTCTTTCGCCCAGAAAATCTCATAATAGGAGAACGCGGTATCATTGAAGCGGCCAAGGACTGTCAAAGTATGTGGATCTTCATGTTGTCGACGCAAATACTCGCGATGCTCATCCAACGTGCCGGTTTCCTTCCACCCCTTGGCCACTCGAGGATCATTTTGCCAGGTGTGAAAGAGATTCAAGTGCTCGGCATTCTTGTAATCAAGTGCAACAAGCGAGAAATGCTCGTCCAAGAAAGGGATATAGCGACTGTAGACAACGGAACCGGGGGTAGGTTTGGGATTGCGGCGAGGGTGTCGACAGTGGGAGGTTTCGGTAGAGGTCATGGTGTAGTCAAGATGAGGGACTGTTGTAGCAGAGATCCAGCTTGGAAGCCAAATAGGTTGGTTTCCCAGGGGAGATGCACAGCCCTGCCAAAAGGCGTTGCGCAAAATGAGCAACTCATTTGGAGAAGAAACCCACTTCAGAGTGTCATCGATAGGTTGTGGGTGATCAATGGCCACCATTGAAACTCGGAGAGCCTGTGCCAGCTCTTCTGTCTCATGGCCTTGAAGCTTAAGACGGAGAGCCTCAACATTCTCGTTGAGCGTGAATATCGCGTAGAGATATAGCCAAATCTGGCCTACCGTTGGGGTTGAATTATCTTGCCAGGTACAAAGGGAGGAGGGGCTGCGTTGTGCTCGCGCCCAAGCGGTATTGTTTGATTCCGGAGTAGCTTGGTTTGGAATTGTCGGCTCAAGAGGCCCAAGGTACAGCTTTTCATTGTGTAAGGCGTCAGAAAATGGATTTGATTCCTCATCCTGAGACTTGCGCAATTGCAGTAGCTGAGAGCCGTCTTGAGTTCTCTCAGAAGGAGTTAAGTAGTAGGTTGTGAGATATGGATGCGGAAGTCGAATCTTCGTGAGAGCCATGATTTACAAATTGAGACGAAAGACTTCGTAAAATTTAGATAAAAAGCTGCGGCACAGTGAGGTAGGAAGCTATTTCAGAGATTACGCTACGGTTTTATCAGATCAAGTACATCAAGTGCACGGCCTTAGTACCAGCCTCATAGACTCGATACATCCGGGGCATGTGGGACAGCAAATGCCGATTTCGCACAGGGTAATGCCTGCTACAACCTCATGAAGCATACTTTTGGTGATGGGATTATTAACAGTGGGGATGATCCTTACGTGTATGCAGTCAGCGGAGAAGTGGAAGTATAGGAAATTAGGTGGTTGATCTGTTTAGGCCCATACCGATATATTAACTTTCTTCGGATGACGTGCCTACTTTGCCAGCTATTCCGAACTTTCTATAGCTGATCTTTGACATCAAAAACGGGGCACTCTATACGGATTATGGAGCTCACGCATGTTTGGCCAAGATAAAAAGATGGGTAGAATTTCTCATTCTGGAAGTCAACATTCGACGGATATCTAGAGGTTCCTGTATGGATTTACTATTCCGGCCTTTCTTCCTCCCGATATTCATAACTTTTAGTCTCTTTTATGTCTTCACAACCCTCAATTCCTGGCAGCAGGTGGAGCCTTGACGCAACGAGTCGTGAGTTGCGGCATATAAAATACCGGCATGTAAAATACAGAGCGCGTGTGCTTGGCGGAAATCGATACCTGTGGACCCGCTACGGTAATACCAGTGGGTAAATTTACGGTATCAATGTTCCAAGGTTAGTACGAACATCTGGGCTCACTCAGGTGCCCAGGTCGGCAACCTTCTTCCTTGTCATCAAAACTTCTAGCCTAAATAGATTGATTACAAGTTGGCGGTCGCTTACCTTGTGTTTGGCGCCCAAAACAAACTTACAGAGTCTTGGGTATAATTGGCGGCATAGTACACACGAACTTCTAATCATCTCAGCCAGCCATGCTTCTCACAGAGAGTCTCCACTCTTCGCAAATTTCAGACTAGCGACGCAGATCATATTAGTGTTGAGGCCGATATCGTAAGACAATTAGGAAGTGATCATTGTCAGCTAGGTCATTGTACCAGTCCCTGCTTCGATCTCGGCTAGGAAGTTCCGCACATGGCTCTTAAAGCCAAAAGATACGCTCAGAGATTCCAGAACCGTTGTCAATTCTAATTGGGTTTAATTTTTTTGCAATATGTCATCTAGTACCTGGTCCAGAGACACGAAGATCTGTCTTCCTCACCCGTACCTCACGAGATTCCGGCTTCTTCCATCACGCAATGCTCATGACAACGAGGAGTTTCAGCTGAGCAAGGAAGAGGACTTCGCTGCCGATACTTCTCTTCCAGTTGAGCTTCATGATGACAGCATTACCTTCACTGAACCCAAATCGAATCCTGTATCCCGCGCTAGCACCAGTCCCCGACGAAGTTCTCAGCATTATCCAACAAGCGTCTGTACATGGCAGAACACGGAGAATATCACTATCAACCATATCTGGCTAATAATCTACACGATTTTCACAACAAAGTCTGATCTGGAAGTGTTCCAATTGAATTTAAGGGGCTCTGGAAATGATTCCATAACTGAGAACCTACGTCAAACCATGATGGTGATAATTTCAAATGGACATTCTGTGGTTTTCCGAAATGCTTTCTGGCAAGGGTGCGCTTCGCCACTGATCAACCACTCAATTTGGACTCCCTTAGGCAAGAGACCATTGCCACACCTTAACTACGTTACCACATCTACGCCCATGACACGTCGCACCCATCCTCTTCGCTCTCCCAAGCCAACTCCAGGGACCGTTGTATACAGTCGATACATCCCAACCCTGGACAAAACATTTTCCCTACTCGTTCTTGATCACCAAGAGCCTACCCATGTGGAATTCTATCATCAAACAAAGAAATCCCCTACTACACATGCTGAGCTCTACGGTGACTCTCTTGAGGAAGATTACGAGTATCTTCGTCGGCAGAGCGAAGACCTACACAAAATTGGGTTACTGGGACAATTTGATGGGACATTATTTGGATATTTTGAGGTTTTCTGGGCTAAAGAGGACTCCTTAGGGGTAGTCACCGATGCTGGCGATTTTGACCGTGGACTGAGTGGTTCAGTTGGATATTCTGCCTTCAAGAGTCGGCGCTGGTTACAAGTATGCTGGTCCAGCTTACTTCATTACATTTTTCTCGATGATTCACGGACGGAGAATATCATTGGAGATACAAGTGTGGTACATGAAGTTCTAGGTGATATTTCATTTGAAATCTTGCAAGATGAGGTGGTAGAACTACAAGACCGACAGACTACTATAACTAGATGTTCCCGGGAGCTATTCTTTGGGCTGTCTCCCTTTGATGGACAGATAGATGGTACACTTTTAAAAGTGACTTCTCATTTATAGAGTGTGCAACAGAACTAGGCTCAGAGTTGGAGACTAAGAGGTCATTGTAGATTATATCACATGATTTAAATTGATTTCAAGATTATAAAACACGCTTATAGAACCTTGGAAGGACTCATCCATCTTCTTATATCAATTCTGAAAATGAAACAGAAATCACATTTATCAATACTCAATTTGGAGTTTCCGGTAACTGAGAACTTTCTATTTTATTTATAACTCGTTTCTTCATTGCTTTCTTCAGATCATGAGCGAATTTGATTTCTATCACTTCCTACTTTCTTTCTCTCACGTTCAGACTTTTTTCGTTTCCTTATGAAATTATCTCTAGGTATTTTCACTATTTTAAATACCGGTTGATCTTGAGCTAATCAATTCTTGATTTGAACTAACCCAACTCTTATCTTCAAGCAAATATTTCTTCCAAGGCTGTGAACCCAGATCCAACTAGTAACAGCCTCGCGTGAAGAAAACCCAAGGCAGAGTCGCGGCAGCCTCCTTTACCTGTTTTTTTTCAAAAACACGGATTGCAAATCGATTGAAAAGTTATCAATTCTAGTCCCAGGATGTGATGAGGCAAACGCAGAGCCGAAGACAAACAGACAAAAAGTTTCTTCAGCAGTCAAAGCCGTAAGGAATTCCGAATTTCACTTCGACGAAGCGGAGTCCTGGTCTTCGAGCTCAAAAAACACTTGCAACTGACGAAGGTCAGCTTTGCACAGAGACTAATTGATTCCATTCTCAATTAACCTGACAATGAAAATTCCAAGCCAACGCACAGAGGTGTGGAATAGGTTGGCCTAAGAATTTTGAAAAGGAGTCATGCTGGGCTAGTTGACAGATATTTAGCCAGATAGCTGGCAATCTCACGGTATCATTCACCAAAAGCAGTTTCTTAAGGAACCATGTCGTTATTGGAATGAGTGGACAGTCATAAATACCCATGTTTGGACAAAGTTACGCTTACGCTCACCCTCCCATCGGTGGTCGTCCAATATAGAGCCTAGCCAGAGTACCCCCAGCTGAGGAAAGAAAGGCACCTCCATACACCAAAAAGGCACGAAAGGGCTACTTCCTATAGCTGAGAACGATGGTTTCTATTCTAAGGCTATGTTTGACTGCTCCATACAGTATGCCTAAGAGGGAATTTAGCCCTCAAACGAGTCCAAATCCCGGCAGATGGTCGGATTTACCTAGCAAGCAACTGGGATGACGTGAGTCCTCTCCGAGGGTTGGTTGATGGCGGTTTCATACTGCATATGGACTGCATTGGTGGAGGAACCGCTCAGAACCCACCTGGAGAGCCTGTCTACCTAAGGCCTTGGGAAGGTATCAAAGGATACATCATCTAGATTTGACTCACACTATGCACCTCGGATATAGGTATGGCAAACTCGAGACGATGACGCCCTTTTTTCAAGAAACTTGAATCTAACATACGTCCGAATAGACCACAGATACAAGACAGCCCAAACTTCCATTTCAAGCTCGGCATACCTGAGCAGCAAGGCCTTCTCAGAGTTTCCAGAGTGTTTCCGAATGGGAAATAGTTGCTCGGGTAGTGCGAGGCCTCGAAGATGGCAGTTCAAATGTTGGTGAACACACTGCTCGAACGGTACATTGGAGATGACTGCTATAATGACATTGTGGGGCGTATTCTCTCTATATTGTATTCTGCAGGCCCTTTGCAAGGTGATTTTTGGCATGTGTGCCAGCCAGGAGAAGGTGAGCAATGCTCAAAGCAAAGCTGCAATAAGATTTCTTTCACTTCACTGCCATGGCTTCTGCAAAGCAGGAAGCCGGCAAGCCGGAGTCCGCGATGCTGTTTCCAAACTGCCTCATCGATATTTCCGGATCGTCGATCGCTCCAGTACTAGCAAAGTCTCTTGTGGTCATCGCCAAATGGGATACTACACAGCGCAAGTTCTGGGTACCGGATTCCTCACCTGTCTGCCCAGCAGGATGGGACTATACTGCCCAATTCAGTGGCTAGCCTTCCTTGGATACCTTGACAGCTCCAGGCCCGGATTCATTGCTACATCGAGCGTCATGGGCTGAGTCAATTCAACTGGCAATCTGATAGAAACTATGGCATTCGAAATTTGGACAGAAGTGAGTGTGATAAGGCTTCATACAGGGAACCCGCCCAGCACAAGTCTCGCATTCCCCTTCATCTCCATTAAGAGTTAATTTATCTCAAAGTTCAATGTTCTTCTTTGACTATTCGATTATTACAAGAAACGCAACGCTAAAGCCATATCACATTGAGGGCCCACAAATCAACATCAATATACACGCTAAGGAACTAGGGCATTCATTTATAGCAGTATTGAATAGCTCCACATGTAAGCTGCCTCTACACATGCATGATCTACGTTGCTAGTTACCTAACATCCGAAATTCCACTTAGGCAGAAACAAAACCCTAAAGCTCTGGAGGGTCATAGACTCATAGGACCCTGTACGTGTCCGTGATGCTATAATGTCACCGACAACAATCTCAATCTGCCGCGCATCACGTACTAGTATAAATTGACGAGTTGATCTACTCTCGAGTGCTATACATACGTAAACTCCCTACGTATAGCTCTCTATCTCATCTAACTGTGTCCATATCCCAAATAACCGTGACGCGTCGGATGTCTACACAGCAGCCTTGTGGGTCAATTGGCGCCCAACCTTGTATCCACCCAAGTACCCCTTTAACAGTAGCAACATTTGTCTCAGATAAGGCAATGAGGGATATACGTTCAAGTTCAAAAGAGGATACGCATATTGAAAGATGTACGTTCCCCGATCACCGGGGAAACGCCCCCCAGAATAAGCTCTCCTAGACAATCAGATGAAGTCATTACCTGCAGCGGAGATAACCCGGATGCACAGCCCAGTTCAAGAGTAGCCCCTGAAATGAGAAATGAAGCCCGAGAACGACTGTCAGGTCCAATGCCCAATTTCGCGATAGTTAACCCAAGAGCCAACGCGGCGGAATTCGTCCCTGCCGATCTCCTAAGGAAAATAAATGCAGACAAACCACAGCTTACGGTTCATCGGAAGGTGGCCGCGTAGTCCATCGGACATGAATTCCGAAGAAAATTCTAAAATTCTAGTTAAGTTCGATCATAGCCAAGTCCCACCGGGGGAAATTAAATGACTAGAGCTGATATGGAGTAGAGGGAAATTGATTCCATTAAGCGAGGTACCAATATCATTGAATGAGACGAGACCATAGCGGACCGTTGAATTGCCATATGGCGACTCCATCTAACGGCGGAGCAATGACACGGGAGGATCCGTTCTTGGTCCCCCCTTTTAGAATGAATATTTGGAAATTTGGCCAAGTGAACTCTTAGCGACAATGACGAATAATAGGGATTGTACTATTGTTTTGACCCTTTAGCCCCCTATTTTGTTTTTTTTTTTTTACTTCGTCGCGTCGGGCCTTTCCGTTGAGCTGAATATTCGGCCATAGCGGGTGAACCGAGGAATTGGATCATGTAACGCAACAGGATGGAAATGGGGCCAAGAGGACTAGTCTAGGGATATTTTGCACATCGCTACGATATTTGGGATGAATGGATGGGGGAGGTTTCAGAGTAGTATAAAGAAGTTTAGCTAGAATTCTGAACTAGTACTAGTAAGCCCTTGAGCAGAGGTTAGGATTAGTTTAACAGTCCTGGAGTCCGCATACTCTGTTGGTCAAGTGATATTCAAGCTAGTAGGGGTTGAAGATAGTTTAACATGGCTATTGAACATTAATACCCTCTCAAGTGCTCCAGGGCTAAATGAAAAGACATCCTAGGTGCCGTATTCGTACTCCACGTCAATGGGGGAAAAATCAGATTTGCTTCAAGTTCCGAGAACCGTCAGCATCGTCATTGAGCGGGTCTCCGGACCAAGACCGAACAGGATTCTCCGATTTCCTACTCCGTACACTCCCCCATCGCTCAAAGCAGGTCTCCATCGCGGGAGCGATGGCGTATCCCAGTCCTCTGGTCGCGGGCCACGGGAACAGCGTGCCGGAGACATCTTGGCCCCATCAGGAGTATGTAAGCGGTTCTTTTCTCACTTGTGGGCACTTGTGGCAGGGAATTAGTTGACAGCTCCAAAATCCAACGAAGTTCTTCATGACTCCACTGTATCGCCTGGGCATCTACATGTATCTGTATCTGTAATCGGGAATTGACGCGCCGTTCCGCGGGTGGATGCAAGTTTTCCCATTTATTCTTGGTCATCGCACCAATATTATTGCTTTTTCCCCCTCTCGGGATCACCCGCACGGTGAATATGAAATACTACTAGTTGTACGGAGTAGGTATGAGGGGACTAGAATTTGGGGGAAGGGGAAGCTTGAATCATAAAGGGAAAGGCTCTGATATAGCCAAAAAGGGGTCAAGAGGGGGAAATTAGACAAATTACCATCACTGATCTAAACCAGTTTGAGTATGGCTTTGAACCTTTCCGATAACATTTGAACTTGAATCCACATTAACTGATTAAGTGCACATTACATTCTGCATTCTGCCCAACTTTAACCTTGGAATACTTTTTTTGGTCCGGAATTGTAGTATTCCGCATGCTTTACCAGTACCGTGACTCCATATTATCCATATCATATGCTTCAAGTTCTGAATTGGAATAAGAACTTTACTCCGTATACTCCATATACACAGAGACACAGAGACACAGGTTGACTTACCTGAACATCACTCTTGCTAAGTGGATCTCATCCTGAATACTCCGTGTAATTATTTAAAAATCGGCAATTAATTTTCCACGTGCTATCCTCTCGAAATTATCTTGTGGAACAAAAGGCACGGACTCGCTTAACTGGAAGCTCCCGAGAGAGTATCCACCAGAAAACAAGCAGCTTCCTGTCATGGTTTGGTCAGGATTTGGCCCAATCTCTCTTATGGGCCGTTAGCTTCTGGGCCCCGAATCTTTTTACCCACTTCAATTGCTCTGTGCGGATTTTAGTTATTCTGCTTTCTCCCGTCTCCTTTTTTTTCTGTTTGGATTAGTTTCCCGGTAAGTGAATCAATGGAGGGGTGACCCAGTCTCTCTCTCTTAGTAGGCATATAATTGCTTTTTTTATAAGGATGAAATTTAGTATGCATGACAGTGCTGACAGGATCTCCATTGCATGTGAATATCGACCACCTGGGAAGCTTACTGGAGTACGGAGTACGATAAAAACTAGACAAAACTAGACCTATGAGCAACTTGAAATCGGCGGTAAGTGGGGAGTAGGAATGACAATTAAGACCATTTACTCTGTATGGAGTAGTCTTTTCAGTGATATCACGGTATCCCATTACTAGTTTCTCTCATATCAAGTTTTACTCATAGCCTGGAGTGCAACCACATAGATGACTCTACTATAGTACTACTTCTATATTCCACATCATCATACCCTGTATACATGCATATACACATTCAAGCTCAAAATTCACGCACTCACCAATCATAATAGAACTCCAAAAATCTCCGTGGGGAATGGACTTTAGTCACAATCCTTCGTATCCTTCATTCTTCCGCCCCTTGAGAACCAACTAGAACTTGGATGAATATGATCTCATTGAATACTATTCACCTGTGTACCGATTCTATTATATTCTAGCATTCCCTCCATTATCATAGATATATCTATGGATATAATATTAGTAGATTCAATTCATCTATTTCCTATTTCTCTTCCAATTTCTCGTACTTCGTACGGACTATCCGAGACGGTCTCGGAGGGAGAAGCCCGAGTTCATGGTTCTATATGATCCTGATTAAGATGATTTCAGATCGATTATCTCTTTTATTTTTTTATTGATTTTTAACTGATTGATTTTTCTTATATTATTCTATCCATTTTCTATATAATTTTGACATAATTTTAAATTGAAATGGAGATTGACCATAAATCCCCCTTGTAGAATAGCTTATTCTGATGTTTGATTTATTTCGACCTGAGATTTTTTGGTGATTATTTTTTTAATTTATATTATTTTTTTTTACTTATTTTGAATTTTTTATATTTTTTTTTTTCTTTTATGATACTTTTTTTATTTTCTTTTTTTCTAATTCTTTTTTTTTAATTCAAAAATATTCTTTTCTTTTTCTTCTTGATATATGAGATTATATTCTTGTTGAACCCGTGTGAACCCCTCCTCATTCTGCCCTTCTGCCTCTTACCTCTCTCCACTTAGTTCCAGCCACTTCTGCCCGGACCAGACTTCGCACAACTGGCCCCCTCTTTTCCCTCTTCTCCCTTCCCTTCCACACAACTTTTGCGTCATTCTTGTTAAAATACACAATTGGGGGGGTTTCTCGACATCCTTTTTGAACCTTCTCCTCTATCTACACTTCTCCGCGACCCCTCTTGGCTTCTTTACCCCTCTCACATCTCCCCTGTATCCCTGCTTTCCCCGAGAAAAAAAAAGAACCTTGCCCGCCATGTCGGGGAAAATGACATTGTACAAGCTGGTGGTGTTGGGTGATGGAGGTGTAGGGAAAACAGCTTTAACCATTCAGGTTGGTCTTGACCTTTCGCCCTTGCTCCTTCTCTCCCGACCGTGATTTCATGATGGGAGGGCAGAGAGAGCAGGACTCCAAAAACTAGATCCCCCCCCCCAAAAAAACTAATCCGTTCTCAACCCACTTATAGCTATGTCTGAATCACTTTGTCGAAACCTATGACCCTACTATCGAAGATTCCTATCGCAAACAAGTCGTCATTGACCAACAGTCGTGCATGCTCGAGGTGCTGGACACGGCGGGCCAGGAGGAGTACACGGCACTGCGGGACCAGTGGATCCGGGACGGTGAAGGCTTCGTGTTGGTGTACAGCATCACTTCGCGCGCCTCCTTTTCACGAATCACCAAATTTTACAATCAGATCAAGATGGTCAAGGAATCTTCAAGCTCCGGGTCTCCCTCCGGTCCTAGCTATCTAAGCTCACCGATGCAAGCATCCGGAGGTCCATCGCGGCCCGTGCCCGTCATGTTAGTCGGTAACAAGAGCGATAAGGCCGTGGAACGAGCAGTCTCAGCACAAGAAGGTCAAGCTCTAGCTAAAGAACTGGGCTGTGAATTTGTCGAGGCCTCCGCTAAGAACTGTATCAATGTTGAAAAGGCTTTCTATGATGTTGTTCGCATGCTGCGTCAACAGCGACAACAGCAACCGGGAAGCCGGAGTCAAGACCGTCGCTTGACAGGTCGCGACCGCGATGCCGGTCCCGAATACCCTAAATCTTTCCGCCCAGATCGGTCTCGACATCGCAGCCGACTTCAGTGCAATATCCTGTGATCGGCCGGGTCCGTCCGGGGAAATGAGTGGCATTTATTCTCACATATATGCTTCTCCTTGATTTTATTTCCTTTTTTCCCTCTCTCTCTCTCTCTCTCTCTCTCTCTCTTCCATAATCTTGCTTTATACTACTGGTCTTGGGTGCATCTGGAAAGGGTGGTTTTGTCTTTTGGTTACGACCTTGTTCGGCGTCGGTGGCCTCTTTCTCTTATACATCCCTCTCAACGACCCCCATTTTGGTTTTCTCATGCTCTATCCGCCTTTTCATGAGCAATCAGAAAGACATCCGTCTTTCTGTTCAGCTGTCCGATACTGCCGGTTCAACTCGGGTGGACACTGAGGGGTCAACTCGCCACTTGACCTGCAGGAGATCCACCCAGGCAACCACCGGTGTGCACAAAACGCTCAGCTATCCATAGTATACAATTGATACAATGTCACAGACATGAGCATGAGAATCAAGGGGTCGTCTTGCATTTCATTGGAGCCGACGCCACAAACAAAAAAAAAATCCCAGGCGACGAGGCCAAAAGATCGCAGTCGCGCATTAGCAGGCATTTCGATATGATACCCTACGACTGAGCTTGTTTCTCTTTTTGAATTTTGGATTTTTCTTGTCGGCCATTTCATGCAAGTACATAGACAATACAGATCTTTCTATCTAATGGTCAATTTTATTTTAATTAGATCCATCCAGATTCAGTCTGAACTTTTGAGTACTTTCTGTAGTTTCTGTACTAAACTAGTCTCGCATAAAAATGAGAAAAATTAGACGATAGCTCCGGGATTCAACTAAAAGGGTCAAAATAGCCCCTAGAACCGAGATCATGTTTCAGCCTCTGCATAGCTCTCCACATCAAATGAACGAGGTTCAGTTCAAGAGAGAAGTACAAAGCGGGTACTTAGTTCCACAGCATAATTTGGTACAAACCACATGTACCACTCGGGTACCACAATGCGGGGAAAAGCACAGACACGTCGCCCCCGCATTCTCGGCATCACAAAAGAACTACAAGTACCTAGGTACACTAGAAGGAGAAAGAAATGAAGTGAATATAGATTCGGATGTTACATTCCTATCTATCCGACGATCCCGATTACTTACATGTGATAGGTCAAATAATATAAGCTCGGTCCAACTAACTCAGCTCAGCTCAGCTCAACTCAACTTAACTCAGTCTCAGATCATATCGAGTCCATCTTAGACATGGCGCATCCTCAACACTCCGCATTGGAGCAATCCCTCCAAGACCCAGAACAATTCTGGTCTGGACCCGCCTCACGACTCCACTGGCATCGCGAACCGAGTAAGATCCTAAGCCGAGACACCAAGACTCTGGACAGTGGCGTTCAGCATGAGCACTGGTCCTGGTTTCCAGATGGGGAGATCTCAACTACGTACAATTGTGTAGATCGACATGTGCACAATGGATTCGGAGATCAGGTTGCTATTATATGGGAGTCGGCTGTTACGACAACAACAACACAGAAGATCACGTACAAGGAGTTACTCGATGAGGTGGAGGTTTTGGCTGGTGTTTTACGGGAGGAGGGAGTAAGGAAAGGTGATGTGGTTATTATCTATAGTGAGTCTCTGTCTCACCTGCACCAGTGACACCTAGTTCGATGCATTTCTACCAGAAATTAGTGTTCTGATCTAACTCCTATAGTGCCCATGATCCCAGCCGCACTCATCGCCGCACTAGCGATAACCCGCCTCGGCGCAATCCACGCAGCTGTATTCGGCGGATTCGCCGCACAATCCCTAGCCCAACGAATCGAAGCGGCACGCCCACGAGCAATAATGACAGCGTCATGCGGGGTCGAAGGAAACAAAGGCGCAATACCGTATCGACCGTTAGTCGAAGGGGCAATATCAGCCAGCAAGTTCAAGCCAAGCAAAGTGCTTATCTGGCAGCGAGACGAGCATCGATGGAATCAACCTGATAAACTAGGCGGACAGCGAAACTGGCAAAGACTTATGAAAAGTGCACGGATGCGTGGGATTCGTGCGGAGTCTGTTCCTATTAAGAGTACTGAGGGACTTTATATCATATACACCAGTGGAACTACGGGTTTACCGAAAGGTGTACTTCGACAAGCGGGTGGCCATGCTGTTGGGCTAGAGGTTTCTATTCGATCTGTATTTGGAATCTCAGGGCCTGGGGATGTGATGTTTTGTGCATCTGATATTGGGTGGGTTGTTGGGCATTCGTATATCTTATATGCGCCCTTACTTGTTGGTGCGACGACGGTACTCTTCGAAGGGAAACCGGTTGGTACACCTGATGCAGGGACGTTCTGGCGGATTGTTGAGAAACATTCCGTTAATACGTTGTTCACGGCGCCGACGGCTATGCGGGCTATTCGGAGAGATGATCCGAATAATGCACTGATCAGTGAAGTTGGAGATCGTGGTGGTCTCAAGTCTCTTCGTGCTCTCTTCCTAGCTGGGGAACGGAGTGAGCCTAGTATTGTACGTACTTACCAGGATCTCCTATCTCGGTTTGCGTCGCCAGGTGCCCTCGTCATTGATAATTGGTGGTCGTCTGAGTCTGGATCACCTATCACTGGGTTAGCATTAAACAGTGCCGCGGCTATGTCTACATCGCCAGACAGAAGTATCCGTCCACTTGCCATTCGACCTGGCTCAGCAGGTTTCCCGATGCCAGGATTCGATGTTCGGATTGTCGATGACGAAGGGAATGAAGTCCCTCATGGAAAAATGGGAAATATCGTCCTGGCGATGCCACTCGCGCCAACGGCATTCACCAGTCTATTCCAAGACGAAGAGCGATTCTACAATGGATACCTTAAACGGTTTAATGGACGATGGGTAGATACCGGAGACGCAGGAATGATAGATAAGGATGGATACGTGCACATCATGTCTCGATCAGACGATATCATCAACGTCGCGGCGCACCGCTTCAGTACAGGTATGTCTTGTCTCTACCCAAATGACTCTGATAAGGTTCACTAACACTGTTATTTTAGGTGCAATCGAACAAGCAATCCTATCACACCCCTCTATCAGCGAAGCCAGTGTCGTCGGGATACCAGACCCGCTTAAGGGTCATCTCCCCTTTGCATTCGTGCAGCCCCGTCTGAGTACAGAGTACCCATACTCACTTCCAGTCACGCCGACAGGAAAACTTTTCCAGGAAGTCAATGCACTAGTTCGAGAGCAGATCGGTGCGATAGCTTCTCTTGGCGGGATGATTCAGGGTCGGGGGATGATTCCCAAGACGCGGAGTGGGAAGACGTTGCGACGGGTTCTGCGGCAATTAATAGAGCATGCTGTGGACGGGCGGTATGATGCGTCGGTCAGTGTGCCGCCAACTGTTGAGGATGTGGAGGTGGTTGAGGTTGCGAGGGGAGTTGTAAGAGAGTATTTTGAGAAGAGGCTCAAGGCGAAACTTTAGTTAACAGTGGCTTGGTAAGATCTACTTAAATCACTAAACCTTGGAGGTACATCTCAAAAACATAGATTCCCTGAATCGTGCATGCATACGTATTATTCTACGAAGCTCCAGATGTCAGGAGACACCCTATTCAATCACAGAGAACCCAGCAGTTGCTCCCAGCAACTTGAACTATACTCAAGTGCTACCTACGTTTTCAGGAGCAACGAGGCTCCCATGACTACTACATCCATAATAAGGAACACTGTTTCCAGAATTTAAATTCGATATCATTATAGACTATAATACGACTAGATCAGACCACCTAAGAGCTATTCAAGCTAGATGTCTAACCTAGATTTCCGAAGTATAAGACCCGCCTGAGAATTAATTTGACTTAGGTCGAATGTGGTTCCACCATAGACTAGCAGTACCACTCTGGCTTCTCCAAATAGATCCATCTACTCGTCATCGCGGATATCGACGACTGTTTGCTTCCACTTGCGAGCCTGGACACGACGCTTGAACAGAATGTCGATCTCACGGAAGGACCTGTCCTTCATCTCTGGAATCCAGAGCCATGCCATGGCTGTGCAGATAAAGGCGGTACCAGCCCAGACGTAACCACTCATGCCGCCCAGATTCCACTTATCAGTGTTGAGCATGTAGCTGGAAAGGAAAATGCAAGGGATGTTGACCAAGTAGTAGGCACCTCGACCAATACCGGTTGTCAGTGGTCTAAGACGAACAGAAGATGTCTCGCCGATGATGACCCATGAGGAAGGAGCGGGTCCCAAGCAGAACAGGACAGAGACGATCAAGCCAAGTGCTGCTTGCGCATTGCTAGTAGCGGGGCTAACGCCAAATGAACCTGCAATACCGAGCGCAACCAAGAACACACAGTTGATGCATTGACCATACACATAGATGGTACGTCGGCCGAGGTATGTGGTGAGGACCCAAGAGAGCATGACCATGATCCACTGAAGGGCTGAAGTGATGAGACCAAGTGCAAATGCGGTGTTTTCTGCCATGCCGGCCTCTAAATTTGGTGTGTTAGTCTGTTATCTGGGGTTACAGGAAATGACTAGAACTTACGTTTGAAAAAGTAAACCGCTTGGTTAGCAATCAGATTGCCGGTCAAATTCTGAGATGCGTACACACCACACACAATCAATGTGCGGTAACGATCGGTACCTTTCCACAGTTCAATAAGACTGGGCTTCTTCTCACTAGCCTCGAGTTCGATTGTGCGACGCATCATTGCGACTGCGTCAGCGGGATTATCATTTGCACTCGCACGTCCAAGACGTTTGACAGACTTCTCTGCCTCAGCCAGACGGTTCTTTCGCACAAGCCACCATGGTGATTCAGGTGCAAAGAAGAGTAGAATAGCGAGAGGAGTAGGGAAGATCCACTGAAGTGCAATAGGAACTCTGGGATGGACTGTTAGTGCAAGTACTTCTCGATGCCATCTATAAGGGAGCAGACGAACCTGTAGGCTGACGAGTTTTCCTTGGATTGGTAGTGGTAAGTGATACCGCCGACAATGATCGATCCAATCGCCCAGAACATCTGCAGCATCTGCGTCGCTGGAGCTCTCAATCTCATCGGCACAATTTCGGCACAGTAGGCGGGTGCATTAGCGATAAAAATACCCCATGGGATGCCTTCCAGGATCTGGGAGGCGAAAAACATCCCTTGGCTGTTGCCGAAATAGAAGATGAAAATGAAGGCGTTCAAAGCCATGAGACCGCCAATGGTTGCCCAACGATATCCAACAACACTGGTAATGGGACCTGCGACGAATACACCGATGAAGGCACCGATTGGCCCGCTACATTGGAATGCCGATTGCCATGGAGCTGTGATAATCCAGACGTTAGGTGAGCTCTCAACGCCAAAATCTTTGGCGAATTCATTTGTGGCGATGAATTGTCCCATTAAGAAAACACAGTATGACTCCATGATCTATCGCAACGTTAGAGGAACGATCTGCCTATCATGGGGCGAAAGCTTACAATGGTGCATGACATGACGAATGCCCACCAGCTGGCAGCAGGGTAGGCCTTGATAGCCTGGATCACAGTCATATTATGTTCGGCCTCCTCAGCATCGATGGCACCCGCTCTGTCGTAGTCGACCTTCTCGCCGGCATCGTAAACAGGCCCAGGCTGCGCCTCGATCTCCGTCGCTTCGGTCTGCTTCTCTGCCATGTCACTGCTCATGTTGGCGATTTCTGAGAGAGAAAAGGGTGGAGAAATGAAAGGGAGGCCTCTCTCAGGATTTTATACCTGCGACAACACGCTCGTGATTGGGAGCCTGATCTTAGGTTAATTAAGTGAAGCTTGCTCCCTTAGTCCTTGACCTCCCCAACCCCACATTTCCATGAAAGTCATTTCTCCGGGCACTACAGTAGCAACGCCACTTGATTGTGGTAGGCTCTTGTCAAAAGAAGTAACCTGATGGGTATCAGCCGAGAGGCAATGTACGGGTTCATTTGCGGGGGGGTCTGGTGATATGGTGACCAGGGTCTTTGATGTCTTAGATGTGGCGTTCTATTCGCAGGAGAATTTCCTATTGCGAACCCAGGGATCTCTCTTTCAGTTAGTGCGCGTCGTGTCTGTGCCACGTCCCAAGCTTTTTCCTTGTTGTGTAATCGGAAATCTTACTCTCCTGAATCCCTCTCAGGATGGTTCAATTTCGTTAAGCCTATCATAATGAGCGAGTAAATTTGGGAATTTGCCGAGAAGCTGGGATTGGATAGGCACTAATTATAAGGTTAACGCTATGCTTGACTCAGGGTATCAAGTACCGACGGGCAGATTTTCAGCAAGACCTGACCCATTCAGAATGTTTTCGAATGCTGGCCTCGAAATATGAAGTTGGACATATGGATTCTCATGATATTTGATCTCTCTACCTCTGTAGAATGCCAGTGGGGTGCACTTGGACGCTCAGGGTCCAAGGTTAAGGTTCTGTATTCTTAAAAGACCCTTAGACCCTCTCAAACCCTGGGGACACGGCTCGGGGTCATCTCATCCGCGGGGGCCATGGGCTCGGCCAATTTTACCCCGGAAATCACATACACGACGCCACCCAATACCCCGGATCCTAAATTCCCTTCAATGGAAAACGGAGAAAAAAACAAAATTGCGTACAAAGACGCGGTATGTGTGTATTTTACTCTCCTCATCGAAGTTGAGACCTTGAATTAAGGTAAATAAAGTAATAATCATTCTCTAAGCGAGTGAGCATAGCTATTGGTAGTCACGGTACATACTAGCTGCCTTTTGGAGTGCCCACTGGTGGTGGCAACTTAATAAGCTCAAGTGCTGTCACTACCATAGGTGCGGACATCTGGAATACTAACCTTCCAAGGTTCACGGATGCCAACATGGACGTGCACGTGGATATATCGATACATCACGTAATCCGGGGTCGAAACGGTGGACCCGGGGGCCGTGGACCTCGAGGTCTAGGGCTCCAAGGCTTGGAATGGTCACCGGGGCTACAAGCTTACAACTAGTGACGCGAGCTGCGTACGCTGTGGCTCTGAAACGATGACAATGAAGGGAACGAAAATAATAAAGAAAGATACTTCATTTTACTCTCCTGCTATAACTGGAAAAGACTCTTAAGCCCAGAGAAATAACTTGAAGTCCTTAATAGAACTTGAGTGGAGCTAGTGGAGCCTTAAGGTAGTTCACGTACATAATTGAGCTGTTGTGGAGTGCACTCAGTGAGTCGATCAGTCTGCTCAGCTCAGTGTTCATCATTCGCTGGATCAGTATGAGGAATGGTACCACTGTGGTCCTAGTCTAGACATGGTGGACCTCATGGTGGATCTTGAGACTCATCAAGGCCAAGGACCACAAAAGATAGCTCCATGAAAAGGTCATCGGTGGAATAAATCAAGGTGCTGCAGGATACTGACAACTTTAAAAGAAAATTAAAACGGCGGAAGCTGGAATTGAACCGGGGACCTTGAAATCGGGTGCGCATCGATGCTGCTGCGAATAGTCTCACTCCACCACATCATCATACTTGATATCTCACTCAATATTGGTTATTTTTGGTTTCGGATAAAAGGAATACAAAGAGCGAGTCTGAAAGCATTGCAGATAAAAATATCAAAAATAAAAATAAAAAACTAAGATTTTCCCAACCCACCTCCAGGCTCTGGTTTAAAACTCAACTCAGCCACCCGGTAGGGACCCAAGATTATCCCATCCAATACCTCTGGCCTCATAAAAGAGTCAGAGACTGCTAACCGCTAGGCCAGCCAGACTAGAACCGTGACATTTCTCCCCTCTACTCAACTATATAGCCTCTCTCACTACTTTAGCTGGCAAATTCAAGTCAATAAATATCCACTGCATCCATCAATATCAAATGTCTATTCATAAAATCATATGGCAGGTTATCGAGTACTATAAAACAAACTTAAATAAAAGTTACCCTTTTACCAACTACAACACACTTTCCAAGGTTGAAAGTCAAAAAAGTCATAATGATCAAAACACTATATCCAGGAGAATAAAACAATGAAAAGCGCAGCATACGCAAAGACATAAAAAGAATCCCGTAGGGGGGGTCAATTATGTATTATCTAATAGATAAAACATATACACCCAGAATAAAAGATATCTACCATTCCAAGCCAGGAACGCCCGGCAGACACACATCACCGTAAAGCCCCGACATCGCACTCAGCAGATGCTCAGATCGACACGAAGATAACCAAAACGAGTATCTCCGTATCGCGCGCCGGGATTCAGTATCAGATCGACTCAATTCCTAAGCTCACGCTTACAGGATGAGAGCAGCGACAGCGAAAACAGCGGCCAGACCGGCGCCGGCACCGACGACGTTGGTGGATCCGGCGTTGTAGGCGGCCTGGGTGGAGGTAACAGCGGCGGCGGCGCTGGAGGCAGTGCCAACGGCACCGACACCGGTGTCAGAGCCAGAGCCAGAGCCGGTCTCAGAGGAGCCAGCGGCGGCGGTGGCGGTGGTGTGGGGGATATAGGGGGTAGAGGTCAGGTGGGGAACGGAGCTGCTGGGGGAGACGACCAGAGGGGTAGAAGAAGAGCTATAGATGGGTTAGAAATGATGTATAAGATATTGAAGGCGATCGCGTTCTTGGCGGGTGCCGATCGCAAATATATTCGCTATTCGACTTGTCGCATTCATCCAGGGATAGGATTTGCGCTTACCACTTCTTGCACTCGGTCACGGTGGAAGAGAGCAGAGGGCGGGAGGTGGTGTAGTGACCACCGGTCAGGGTGATGTGGCCGGGCTATAGGAGAGTTTAGTTAGATAAGGGTTTCAAATTGATTAGGTTGATATTAGAGCGATGTCGAAATGTAATCTTTTTTTCAAGCGCATTGTTGAGTAGAATTCACGTACGGTGGAGATGCTGTAGGTAGTACCGCCGTGGACGAGGGAGGTGGCCTCAGGGCAGTAGGTGGTGTACATGGTAACAGTCTCGGTGACGGCCTCAACGGCGAAGGCACTGGAGGCCAGGGCCAAAACAGCAGCGATGGAGAAACGCATGTTGAGAATGTGGGGAGATATTCGAAGAATGTTCCTTGAAATAATGACACAAGTCTTGTGAAAAGAGTGACTGGATAAAGAATGTAATCGGCCAAGAAGGTCCGGGGGGGCAGTTTAGCAAGAGAGTGTGAAGACTTGAATGAGAAAGGGAGGAAAGGACGGGATGGTTTTAATATAACACCATGGTCGACTCAGGTACCCGTTGCACTAGTGCAAGCCAGGACCAGCATTAGACAAATGAAAATCAGTGAAAAAATCAGAAAAATAATAAAAAATAGAGAAAAATTAAAGAAAAAAAGGGGGGGCAAAATAGGACGTGGCATTTACGGGGAAATTAGGTCGACCGGGCAATTCTATTAGAATTTGGTGTCAATTAGTGCCTGAACCAGGTGTCACATATGGGTCCTGCAAGGACTCAACAAATCAGCATAATGGACGTGTTCCGAACACACACCACCCCCAAATTCCGCGGTACGAAGATTATGAAGAAGGACAATTCAGGAGCTAGTGTGCTAAAAAGTGGAGGATCATTTCCCGATAGAGGGGCTTTAAAGGCTTGGGAGTCTCTTCTGGTCCCGGTCGAATACAGTCTAGAGCATGATTGTCCGATTTATTGAAGGCCTTGAAATAGAACAACTCCTATCGTGGATCACGATCTCTGTACTTCGTATAGAATGAGTTTGGAATATGGGTTCGGGATTTCAAGACCCCTATTTCAGCACCGACCAGTCATGTACTACACCGACAGGGCCGAGAAGAGACAAATGCTGTCATCATAACCCTTTTGGCCCTTGGGTCCATGTCGTGTGGCAGCCCTGACCGTCTTACGCAGCTGCTGCCCATTAAGTGGGGCTGGGATCGTTTTTCCCTCAATGGAGAAGTTCTATGATTGGGCCGCTATGAGACGATATGGTCCAGTTCATTAGCATCAAGAAAATCGTCGTGGATGCGGGGGGGATAAGACACCAGGCAAGGGATCCCAGATGTAACAGCATATGTACACCGCAACATCATACAGCTTCTCGGATGTAGATCAAAGTCAAGTCATGCATTGTAAAGGACCCTGCATTAATGATGATGATGTTCTCTTCTTCGTTTTTGCTTCTCTGTCGCCCCCCCTGACACCGCCAAATCCTCAGGTGCAAATTCAAATCTCCACTCATTGATTAGCTTACGAGGCAATCAATTGCCTGAACTGGAAGAACTGCCGTGGTGGCACGTGCGCGGTTACTAGTATTTTCCATGGAGTCATATTGACTCTTCGATTGTATAAAATCAAAATTGACTACTCTAGTGAACTCTGGTGTGTCAATTAACCTTGGAAGTATTTTATATGTGTAGATAAGATGAAATGGATATAGAGGGAAGATAACTGACTATCCCGATGGCTTTTAACCGAAATCCCGTGAATCCCTTGGCATAATTTCAATTCGTGTTAACCTCGGAGCTTATACGGAGTACATGAGATTCAAATGTAGGTTAAATTTTCCTATCTACCAAGTCCATATTCATAGTGGTACTGTCTAGTGTATCAAGTTGAAGACATCTTACTTCAATGGTGTATGTACATAGATTCTATGTAATAGGACTCGGATGATTCAAGCCCCAACAATAGATTGATTAGTCCCAGGCCGGGTTTGCTCAGCCTGGGATATACATACATATATTGACCCCAGATATACATGCCCAGGTGCATTCCACTGCCTTACGGGTGCACACTCGAGTCTAAGCCCTAGCAACTGATGCCCAACTGAACGCTCCAAGATTAGAAATTGATTGAATTTGAACAGATTATACAGTCGACTATAAGCAAATATTGTATGAACCCTACTACTATCAGATAAAAATCATAATAGATCATAATTAAAATGATGCTTGTGTTACCTAGGTGGAGGACTATGCTCAGGTGATCATAGTGCCGGTGACATTTATTATTGACCTCTGGAATCGAGGAGAGCACTCGAGAAACAAAACTGAATAAGAGTATATAAACCTGAATATTAAAAGGATTGATTGATTGCATGGCCTTGAAATACTCAATGATTGTTACTACCTATGCATGCATGACTGAGTCTCAGCCATGTTCATTTTCTCTGAGTCCACATATTAATCAACCTCGGAAGAACACACAATTGTCAATCTAACAAGAATAGGAACAGGAATAAGGTATGAACTACCGTATAGCTCCAACATAAACTTGATTCAGATCACCCGAAACTCAATTGGCTTTTAATTGGCACACGTTTGTTTGATGGAAGATATAATTCCAAGCTGTACCTGCCCTGTGTGTGTTGTGCACGCGACTGATGACACTTATCATTGACACTGCCCAGGTGAACACTGCCAGGTGGCACCATTGAACATACATGTAGCTAGGACATCTAAATAGATAATATAGGATATAAAGCAATGAAAGTTCAATTGGCTAGTAAATAACTAGATAAATCTAATAACAGGCTCATCAAGAACATCTATGGCATGAACACAAGTCACAATCTGGTCTGATCCACCCTGGTACCACTGGTCGGGCTCAACAGCTCCAACCTACACAACAACTCCAATCCGATAATACTGATCCCTTATGGATGGTGATGGGGCGCGGGATCTCTCAGCAGCGCCCGTCCAAGGTCAGTCCGGAGAGCAACCCCGACGAGTGCTGGCACAGATGAAACGCCGTCTCTTCATCTTGGATTTAGTTGTGTGAAGAAGGAAAGAAGGGGGGGAGGACGATTTGCCGGGTGAAATAGGCAAGTCCCCCATGCACGGACCAGGCGGTGAGCCTCAATGGGTCTAGCGTGGTTTTCCGCTTTCCGCGGGCAACGGGGAAGATACCGACCAGATACCCACCGTCCTCCGCAGTATTAAAGCTGTCGGCTTCCCTATCGAAGGACAATTGTTCCTCTATTCCATCTCGCCGTCATGTCTCTTACTCGCTGCGGACGTCTCGCTCGCTTCCCCTTGGGGGTATCCGTCCCGCAGTCGCGGTCGCTCCTCGTGCCTTCGTGGCCGGGTCCGTTCCTCTCGTGCGGGGAGTATCCTCACTCAATCGGGATTCGCAGCAGAAGGTATATTTTTGATCCAATGGATGATTACAGAGCCTAAATAGCTAATTTTATCCTTGCTACAGCTTCTTGCATCTTCCCTGAAGGAGTCTGACCCCGCCGTCTTCAATATCCTCGAAAAGGTACGCGCTGATAGTAAGCTATCGGTACCGAGCACGCGTTGATATCAGATTTAGGAAAAAAACCGCCAGAAGCACTTCATCAACCTGATCCCTTCTGAGAACTTTACTTCCCAGGCTGTTCTCGATGCTCTTGGCAGTGTTATGCAAAGTATGTTGTTGCCTATGCCCCTTCACAGCTCTTACTATACAGGTTCTAACCGTCAACTAGACAAGTACTCTGAGGGATACCCCGGTGCCCGATACTATGGAGGAAACGAGCACATTGATGCATCTGAGCGTCTGTGCCAGCAGCGTGCCCTGGAGACTTTCCGTCTTAACCCGGAGGAGTGGGGTGTGAACGTGCAGCGTATGGTGCCACTGACAATGACATGACATTTGAATTTGCATGTCATATGAATATGAAATGAAGTGCTAATACCGTTATAGCTCTTTCCGGATCGCCCGCCAACCTCTACGCTTACTCTGCCGTTCTGAACACTCACGATCGTCTCATGGGCTTGGACCTGCCCCATGGTGGTCATCTGTCCCACGGTTACCAGACCCCGAGCAAGAAGATCTCTGCTATCTCCAAGTACTTCGAAACCTTGCCATACCGCCTGGATGAGTCGACTGGGTTGATTGACTACGATGCGCTGGAGAAGCAGGCTCTGCTCTACCGACCTAAGCTGATTGTTGCTGGTGCTTCTGCTTACAGCCGCCTGATTGACTACCCTCGCATGCGCGCCATTGCTGACTCTGTTAACGCTTACCTGTTGACTGACATGGCTCACATCTCTGGTCTGGTCGCAGCTGACGTCATGCCATCTCCATTCCCCCACTCCGATATCGTTACTACTACTACTCACAAGTCCCTGCGTGGTCCCCGTGGTGCTATGATCTTCTACCGCAAGGGTATTCGTCGCACTGACAAGAAGGGTGAGGCTGAGATGTACGACCTGGAGAACCCTATCAACGCTTCCGTCTTCCCCGGTCACCAAGGTGGCCCCCACAACCACACTATCACCGCGCTGGCCGTGGCCCTCAAGCAGGCTCAATCTCCCGACTTCCAGGAGTACCAGAAGACCGTATTGGAAAATGCGCAGGCGCTGTCTGACCGACTTGGCAACTCTACTAGCAACGGCGGTCTTGGATACAACATTGTCTCCGGTGGTACCGACAACCACCTGGTCCTGGTCGATCTGAAGAACCGCGGTGTGGATGGTGCTCGTGTTGAGCGTGTGCTGGAGCTGTGTGGTGTGGCCAGTAACAAGAACACTGTTCCTGGTGACAAGTCTGCCCTTAAGCCTGGTGGTCTGCGTCTGGGTACCCCCGCCATGACCTCTCGTGGATTCGGCCCTGAGGACTTCCGTCGCGTCGCTGAGATCGTGGATCGTGCTGTGATCCTGACTCAGAAGTTGGACAAGGCTGCTCGCGAGCAGGCCCAATCCCGGGGTGCCAAGAACCCGGGTACTCTGAAGGCCTACTTCGAGTATCTGGGCGAAGGTGAGGAGATCTCGGAGATTGTCCTGCTACGACAGGAGGTGGAGGACTGGGTGGGCACATTCAGCCTGCCCTGGGCCAAGGACGAGTAGATGTCCTTTTTCTTTTTGTTTTCGTGTTTTTTTTTTCTATTTTTAATGTAAATTCCCCCGAATGATCCACATGACATGAAAAAGTACCTCAAGTACCATAACATCATATTAGAGTAAAATTGTAGCATTCCGAGTCAAAGAGTACCTAGGTAAAGTGCCAGGTGATATCTAATCGCTGACGTAGTTGGGAGCGATAAGCGATAAGCCGGAGCTTCTCCGACTATAAAGTACAAAGCAGGAACATCGTTCAGTTTTAGCCCCATCAAATTCGCATTGAGGGATTCCTCTGAGAGTACCAGAATTGCGAATATGAAGGTCAGCAAGGTATGATAAATCTGCCTTACTCATATCGAACTACTTAGAATTGACTCACTTTCAGCTTTACATCTACCCCATCAAATCCCTACGACCGACCCCTCTTACCACCGCTGCCATCTCTCCTGAAGGGATTAAATATGATCGTCGATACATGCTTATCAAAGTTGAGCCCGGCAAAGATGAAGCCGAGCCCACACTAAAGAACATGCATATTCCTCATTTCCCGGAAATGGGTCTATTCCAAACCGCGGTAGAATTCCCGAAAGACAATGACGACACTGGGAAAATAATCGTGACATACAATCCACCCTCTACTCAGGAGATGGACGATCCGAGACCGTGTGAAATGAAGCAAATCGAGATACCCATTCGGATACGTCTAACCCAAGTCAAGACCATGAAGGAAATGAAGGTGGTTATGCACCAAAGCTCTACGACGGGATATGTCATGGACGATGAGTATGATGACTGGTTCAGTGAATGCTTCGGATTCCCAGTTATCCTCGCATACTTGGGGAAGTGCTCACGAGAAGTCCTGGGTACATTGACACCAGAAAACCGGAATAATGTACCCTGGTAGACTTTGTGGTATGAAGCCCTACGGGCTATCCGTACCGTCCCTATAGTGGTATCGCTTTGCTGGATCTTTGTCCCTATCCTAGCTCTCCGATACTTCTTTTACAATACGCCCAGAGAGATACTGACAGATCGCCATGCTTTGTTCGGGATATTTATCATTATTGTTGGTTGGCTACGAATCAGTCGGAAAATCCGTATAATATTCGCCGACTGTGCCTCACTTTTAGTCATTTCTCAAACCTCAATTGATAATGTCTCTTCCCGGTTTGAGTCAGAAGGGGAGGAGGTAGATCATACCAAGTTCCGACCGAATATTGTGGTATCAGAAGCAGATTCACCATTCGAAGAAGACTTTTGGACTGAACTTAAAGTAGGATCAAAGGGATTTCGTCTTTTACTAACTGGGAATTGTGTTCGGTGTCAAAGTTTGAATCTTGATTATCAGACTGGTAAAATGGGTGACGGGGACTCTGGAGCTGTGCTTAAGAAGCTTATGAAAGATCGACGAGTGGATCGAGGAGCGAAATTTAGTCCAGTATTTGGACGGTATGGGTTCCTTCATTGGACTCATCGTGAAGGGATGATTCATGTGGGGGATGAAGTAGAGGTTGTGGCTCGTTGTAAGGAGCGAACTATTACAGGTACACCACTACTACATCCACAGAGGAAACCTTGGAACTTGCTAACCTGTACTACTAGATTGGCCAGGTCTTACCAATTAGCTTTATCGGATTCGTACCTAAGACTCGATGTAAAATATTCGATGTAATTTCTTCAATCTCAGGCATCCACCTGTGTGCCCAAATGTCTAAGACTTCGCTTACTGTCCTCCAGGAGCAGTCGGATATCACGGATTGAGATGACTCGAATGGTCGCCTCTCAACCCACTTTCTTCACTTTCAGCCCTGTTGAACCCATTTTTCTGGAATATTCATCGAATGAAGTAACCGAAAGTAGCTGAGCTCCATAAATGTCCACTCTTTCTCATATTTTAATTGGTTGTACCGCCACTATCACGTCAGATATAATATGCACCGCCACGGAATCACCTGACCCTTTAGCATTGATCCATGGATGAATTGTGACCTGTCTTTGGATGCAATTTCCAATAATAACTACACGGTCCTGCATATTGCATATTGCATTGAATTCTCCGACTAAACGTGCCAGTTTCCCTTTCATTTTTAGTGTTGTGGTTTGACTAGCACTCTGTCTTAGAGTGATCTGTGGCTTACCCTCAGCCCCCGCCAATCTAACACCCAAACACCGCTGCCTATTCGGAACCTGCTGGATACATTCTCTCCTGTCACACCTCAACTTAGCGCCGCATTTGATTCCTCGTGGTATCACCAGTGTTACACTTTCGCTTCCACGCTTTGTACCCTGTCAGGTGCTAACTGTCCCGCGACCTCGGTGCATAAGGCGCCACCAAACCCCGCTGGGGGGGAAACTTCCCGCAGAAAAAAAAAAAGAGGCGATCTCGATCGCATTCACATCTGCCACAGTCGCCATGGACTCGGTCAATTTGCGTCGCAAAGATACCACAAAGGGTCCGCCTTTGCGGATTCTTTCTCTCGGTGAGTCTGTCCTACCTCGTGTCATTTAATTGTCTCAAGGCTAACAGATACAGATGGCGGTGGTGTTCGCGGATACTCCATGCTCATCATCCTACAGGAACTCATGTATCGTACCTACGTCGAATGCGAAGGCAAGCCCCCGCGCCGCGATCAAATTCCCAAACCATGCGATCATTTCGACCTGATTGTGGGTACCGGTACCGGTGGATTGATTGCCCTCATGCTGGGACGTTTACGTCTCGACCTTGAAACCTGCAAAGAAGTCTACGTTCGCATGACCCGCAAAGTGTTTGAAACCGATAAGACCTTCGCTGGAATCCCCTATCGATCTACATTATTCAAAGCCTCGAAGTTGGAAGAGGCTATCAAGGAATGCGTACGAGAACATACTGTTTTTGAAGCGGAGGGCAACGACATGCCGAACAATTCAAATGCTCGGGCTTCCATCGCCAGTCTTCCATACAGTCCGTCATCAGTACCTCAGCGCTCAATGAGCCGGGGAAGTTTCAGTACATCTGGTGCATCATACTCTCAACATCAAACGAACCAACGAGGTTCTGCTTTCCTCAATGGGTTGCGCTGGGGTAACCCCGAAGCGACTCTCTACGATAACCGAGAAAACCGGACCAAGACGTGAGTTTCTTTCTAAGTCTCTCTTCTAGTGTGGTTTCAGTGGAATTAATTGCTAACTTGGCTTAGTGCTGTTACTGCGCTGTACAAGGGTACACCGCGCAACGGACCTTCGGTACTTTTGCGATCCTATGACTCCCGTCGAGAACCCCCGCCCGAGTTTGACTGCACGATTTGGCAGGCGGGCCGTGCGACTGCAGCCACGGGGCTTGCCTTTAAACCTATTCAGATTGGGCAACACGTCTTCATCGATGAAGGACCGGGAACTTACAATCCCGCACCGCAAGTTCTCGATGAGGCAGTTGTTAATGAGTGGCCTGGTCGGGACGTTGGTGTGTTTGTCAGTGTGGGAACAGGTCGTCGGCCTTCTGGTACCAATACTCGGCAGCATGAATGGTGGGAGGGTTTCGTTGGAGATGGACTGGGCACATTTGCCGAGGCGCGACGACGATTGATCACCAAGATTGAAGGCTGTGAGGATATCCATTTGCAGATGTTGCGAGATGGTCTTGCCAAGCGCCATGTCAGCACGGATAATTACTATCGTCTGAACGTCGAGGTGGGTGTTGGCGAATTTGGTATGAACGAATGGAACCGCTTGGCGGATATCAGTACGAACACGCGACGATACTTGGCCAAATCGGAGGTCAAGAAAATGATCCTGGACGCAGGTGTCAAGTTTGCCAAGATTGACCGCATGAACAAGCGCTTGGCAGATCATGCCGCGGCCGGTGGTGACCGCGATGACATGTCATTTGATCTCGAGCAGGAAGAGATCTCCATCTCACAGCCTGCTGCTCCATTTACAGTGCCCCCGCCCTCAAATGCATTTGCTGTTGAGCTGCCCGCCGAGCCTGTCGAACACTTCTCTCATCCCCCACAGGGATCTCCGCCTCTGCCTTCGGGCTTAACAGTGACTGCACCTCCTGATGACTCGCTTCCTATGCATCCAAGCCCGCAAGACGGGTATCCTGTTTCTCCTACCCATCATTCAAGTGGAGAGTTTCAGAGCTTCCGCCCAAGTAATGAATACAGCCGACCACAGTCACAACATTACGGCTCCCCACAGCATAGCGCTGAGCAAATCTCACACAACAATGGCATGCCACCACCAATCCCACCCAAGACACCGATTCCATACCCATCAACAGAGGATTCAGGGGGAATACCCATGCCTGCTCCACTATTCTCAGCACCCCATCTGCCTCTGGGCGACCATGGAAAGGTGCGACCGCCATACCCTGATGATGAGCCTCCACCTACTGTGAACCGACAACGGAAGCCAAGTTACCATGTGCGGTGATTTATCTATCTGTGTTTGGCGTTTCTGTTTTTTTTTGTCTCCTTTCCCCCTTTTTTTCTCCTTTTCTCTTTGTTTCTTTGAATCTGATTTATCTGTTTGTTACTCGATACCCTTCATTTGAGACGATGGACCTGCCCGAGAACAGGCTTGGAATACGGAGTGTCGGCACACTCGGGCCTAGGAGGTCTTATTTATGTTCTAATAGGACATATTCAAATTTATCCCTGGTTGTTATCAGAGCAGGGTTAATGAATTATGACGCTATGACCAGAGATATGGGTGGCACTGGTGTATAGTACATAGATTATTGCGACACATTTAAGGCTTACTTCTATTACTTGTTTAAGCTATTTCGAACGCTTAGGTCTCTTTCCAAGTTTGTAGTAATTACTTTAAACACATGGCATCACTGACAGCATTAAACGGCAGATCTACATGTCACTAACAGGGATGCATCGTGCTCTGTACATTGATAGTGACATGTAATGTCGCATGACGTAAAAAGTACACCTTCAAATGTTCTATTAATCTATTATTCAAATCAATATGTGTATAAACCTATATAGCTCTGTAACATCATTAATCACCCGTACCAGACATCTGGATGCACATCATCAATGTTAATGAAAATGTATCAGTGTGAGACCCACATATGAAACTTATCGATCCAGTGATTTCATCTTCTCCACAACCAGCCATCTCTGTTTTCGATCCCCCCCTATTCGATCCAGACTCTTTTTTTGATCTAGTTCTTATTTTTCTCCTTTCTATCTTCTTTCCAATCTCTTCTACATATCTCTTCGAAATATCTATTTCAAAAATACTTTTCTCCCAACCTTGGTCGACACGAGAAAAGCCTCGTCATCACCGCGTACTCCGTCACCCACAGCAACAATCATATCGCCGATCCGCCCCGCTTATTTCTATTCACACTCGTGGCTTTCCAGAAACATTCCGACCCCTGATTTTTTTTTTCAAATACATTCATTGATCCTAAAAGGGATCTACAATTGAATATTGAATATCACCATTAACCTGAACCATATCAGGCAGGACGCCGACCGTGCAACAGTGGCTTGAATTAAGTGTCTCGGGTAGTCGCCTAGTTTCGTCTTCGGACGTAGGGCCTGAATACGATCCCCACTGCTGGCCAGTGGTCTTGCAACATCTCCTCATATTCAACCTATTTACCTTAAAAATGGACGCATATACCTTATCGCACACATCCACATCTCTCCTCGCTCGCTCCGATAGCACCAGTGATCGACCCGGATGGTACAAAGCTGTCGGAATTTCATTAGCAGCAGCGTCGGGCGTCTTCATTGGAATCTCATTTGTTCTAAAGAAGGTTGGACTTCTCAGAGCAAATGTGAAATATAATGAAGAGGCAGGTGAGGGATATGGATACTTGAAGAATTTCTTCTGGTGGTCTGGAATGACCTTGATGATTATTGGCGAGATCTGCAACTTTGTTGCCTATGCTTTCGTTGATGCGATCTTGGTTACTCCCCTCGGAGCCCTGGCTGTGGTCATTTGCACGATTCTCTCGGCGGTTTTCTTGAAAGAAAGGCTGAGTTTCGTGGGGAAAGTTGGATGTTTCTCGTGTATCGTTGGATCGGTTGTTATTGCTCTGAATGCGCCAACACAGTCCTCCGTTAGCAATATTCAGGAAATGCAGCACTATGTTCTTTCGCCTGGGTTCCTGGTTTATGCTGGGCTTATCATCCTTGGTGCTCTGTTTGCTGCGTTTTGGGCAGGTCCACGATATGGCAAGCAGAGCATGTTTGTCTATCTCAGCATTTGCAGTATGATTGGTGGATTGAGTGTGGTTGCGACTCAGGGTCTGGGGTCTGCTATTATCGCCTGGATTGGTGGTGAGCCTCAGTACAAGGAGTGGTTTCTATGGGTTTTACTTGTCTTCGTGATCTGCACATTGCTGACCGAGATTATCTATCTTAACGTATGTTCTGCTTACTTGTGTTTCTTTGGACAGGGCAATGCTAACTAGGAAACAGAAAGCCCTAAACCTCTTCAATGCCGCTCTCGTTACGCCGACCTACTATGTCATGTTCACAAGTGCCACGATTGTGACTTCCGCCATTCTCTTCAGGGGTTTCAAGGGCAGTGCCACCTCGATTACAACTGTGATCATGGGTTTCTTCCAGATTTGTACTGGTGTAGTTCTCTTGCAGATATCAAAATCTGCAAAGGATGTACCAGATGCGGCTGTGTTCAAGGGTGATCTGGATCAAATCCGTGAAGTTGTTACTCAGGAAGAACCCGAATCAGAGCCTAGAGCCGACTCAATCCGTGGCGCCGCCTCGATCATCCGTCGTATCTCGACTGCCCGCCGTACTATGGAATCAGAGGAAGCGCGACGCTTTTTCCACGATAAACATGAAGATACTCTGAAGCCGCCTGGTGAAAACGAGATCATTGAATGGGATGGCCTTCGTCGACGAAAGACAGTTCTCGGAAATGGTCCCACAATGTCTCGTACACCCACTCCTCGAACACCTTCCATTAAGCAACAGTTCCCACCACTTGGAATGTCACACTTCCCTGGACCGGAAGATGAAAATGATCATCGACCAACCACCAAGCAGAGTGGGCATTCGCTTCTTACTGATATTCGGTCCCGAGCTTCGAGCGTTCTTGGTTCTCAATGGATTCCTCTGGAGGAGCAGGAACTGGATGAAAAGCATAATATCTCAGCGTCTCCTCAAGGCGATGCAATGGACACAGAGTACCATGGTGCCACTCGTCGTATGGGCCGAGAGCGCAGCGACACTCCCCGCTCAATTGCCTGGGCCGACGAGAGAGCCGAGGAAAGCCAGGGTCTTCAGCCACCGACAGATGCTGCGCGTCGCCAGTTCTCCTTCAACTCGATGTTCAACCGCATGAAGACAAGCCGTGACTCCTCTCCCAAGCCCCCTGCCAGTCCCCCTCGTGGTATCTTGCGCCGAACTCATGAGCCAAGCACCTCTGCAACGGAGGAAGAACGACTTGGGCTGGTGAAAGGCGACTCCCGAACTGCGCAACCAGAGGAGAGTTTTGGAGAAAAGCTAGAGCGTTGGTCGAGTAACGACTCCGATCTGAATGAAGTGCAACCTCAGCCCTTACGGGTCAGCCGTCCTCATGCAGACTCTGTATCATCGATGTCGACAGCCGCTTTCCCACCGTACGAGGATCATCACCACACCTTGTATTCCTCACACAGCGCCTCCGCCTCGAACCCTTACTACCTACCGCACCCGCGACAAACGAGCGCATCGCCTGAGCATGTGGAAGAGTACGACGGATGGCAACTCCCACAATCTAGCACTCGAACCCACAACCGCACCCGAACAAACTCCTCGTCCCATGGTCGTGCCCCTCCACCCGCACATTCCTCCTTCTCAACACACCGCCGTCCAAACCCTCTCCCTCCTCTCCCCGATGAGACAGCTCTAAATATGAGATCCATCTCCGTATCATCGGATTCATCCGACATGGGCGTTGTATCTGTTTCCTCTTCTACAGAGGGTCACGACGATGATAATGTTGTTCATGATCAGACACCTTACCCATCTCGTCGAGATAGCGGCTGGCGTAGACACATGTCTGAGATTAGCAGTGCGGATGGGGATGGGGAGACTACACGAGGTGGTCGAGGAGCATTTGTCTGAGGAGATTAACGCGATAACACGACTCGACTGAACGCTTCAGTGCGTTAACTTGATCTACACAGCATTTATGACGTTGATGTGGATTTTCTTTTACTACCTACCTGTACATTTGGGATACGATTTGGCAACAACATGTAAAGTAATTATGGACGTCATGATAGATGACTCGAATGAATGATAATGACAAAGATATTCCAGTGCAATCATAGAGTATTTAAGTTTCGAATTTAAGCTTAGATAAACTTTACATTAGTCCATTAATCATTGAAACTGGTATATCCAAAAGTATGCAACTGGGCATCTGACTTATCCCAGTCATCGGAACCCTGCATCCGCCACTAAACGCTATGTAATATGCAACGCTACGCAAATGCAAAAAAGGACATGCATGTATGCAGTATTTTAAGAACAAAAGCACGTTCAAAGAGTCATACTAACGTTGACGAGCAAATAAACCGGAGATACTCTGTTGTCCCTTTTGGGCAACATTTAGAACAGTAAATCGGGACTCTGCAAGTCTCTTTCCAGCTTTAATACTCTCGAGAGCCCTATAAAGCATATCAGTATGAATATCCATATAGTGTATGTAAACGTACCAGTCAACACTAATAATCTTCACACCCTTCCACCCACCACGCGCAATCTCTTGCTGTAATTTCCTAGCAGAGAGACCACCTCCCGCACCAAGTCCATTTTCCGTGACTTTATCCGTATTCGGTTGTCCGATAATAACATGTGAGACCGTTTTCCGCGCCATATAAATAGATATTTGTGCGCCGTGTTTCACGAGGAGTTGTTTCAATTTGTGGTCGGATATTAATGGTAGTGTTGAGCCGTTGATAAATATGGTCATTCCCGCGAAGATTTTGGTATCAGGTACAGATTTCGGTAAAGGTATTGATCGGGGTTCATCAGTAGGTGTTGAATTTGAAATTGTAGTCGAATTCGAAGGTACAATCTCAGTCGCAGACTTTGGCTTTGCTTGTCTCTCAAAATCCTCAACTTTTAACTTCTTATCTCCATTCCCGATCTCATCATTCGCTTTGCGCTTCCCAATTCCCATGAAATGCCGAATATCCCTCACATTCAGTTGAGATCTCATAGCTTCCGCATCAGAAACCCACCTCCACTCCTCATGTCCATTCACAGAAGTCATCTTCCTTTTATCTTCCTCTGAATCCGAAACACAAGTCCCATCAAAAGCCTGACTGCGCGCCGCGGGCGCATGGTCCTTTTCACGAAGACAGTCTCCGCCGTGAAACTGTCGCTCCAGTTTCAAAGCTCGTGTATCCCTCCACCCGCTTGATCCGGCGTACCCGCTTTGCGCTCGTTGGTGGCCTGTTGAAGCGGAGTTCCATGAGTCGAAGACTTTGTGGTTTTGCGGGGATAGGGCTCGTTTGGGGTTCATTATGGTCGGTGGGTAGGATCGGGGATCATTGGCGATGCGCAAGTGGAGGACTTGGATGCTTCCAAGGTTTCAGGGATGTCGTTTATGTGACGTTGGTTCGGACCACCTTTGTACCGCGGTTGAACCTTGGAAGATGTTTTGATTTTGCTGTTTTGGGATAGGGTATGCAGTATCACGTGGTGTGGGGTTAGGAATGTCAACTGGTATACTGCAGTACATCCATCCAAGGTTGAAGATATCAACTCGGATCTAAAGATGGAGGATTCGGGTAGCTGATGAGAATCATCTCGACTTTGGAAAGTGATACTCTCATAATTTTCACTGACAATTTCCGAGTGTTGTGGTTAGTTTAGATCAAACTTGAACTTGAAGCGTCAGAATCTATATATCTGCCCAGGTGGGGGACCAACGAGCAATGCCACACCCACTGGCATATGCCTGAACATATGTAACACGAGTCAAACCTCGGACTCGGAGCATGCTCGATGTCGAGTTAGGAAAGATCATTAAATTTGACACTGAGCTAGTAATATGTAGGATGAATTGAAGTACTTTGGTCTCAACCTTGGAATTATGCCATAATTAAGCTCAAGCTGAGGGAGACACATGTGCACTGGCAACCGAGATATATCAAATTACGAACTCACATGTATATACTAAGAACCTACTATACCACTACACTCTATCAATTTCATACTCATCACCCTGGCTCGAGCCCTGCATTCTGTCATCTGTGGTGTGCTCTGTGCTCTCTGTACACTGTACGTGCCTGGACCCGGCGCACAAGTAGCACCTACCCGCTGTGCACCGATGCATAATCTTCAAATACAAAAAAGAAAAGAAAACATGTAAATGCTAAGCTTCTAAAGCACGGGGATCACCAAACTACCCAACATCCCCATCATTTTCCACGGGAAACAATCGGTCTGAAAGGCACGCGTCGGGTAGATCAAACCTGCACACTGACGACTGGAACAACCCCACCATAATCAGAATCAGAATCAGTAATCGCTATCAAGGGGTTGGGCGGAGGAAGAAAAAGCAAAATAAAAAAGAAAAAAAAAATTTCTGCAAAAACAAGATAATCTGGAATAAGACTGCAGATTGCAGACTGCAGGAGAGGACATAGTATTCTGTAGAGTACGGAGTACGAGAAAACTTGAACCAACACCAAGATCAGTAACAGGCTACCAGCCAACACCAACACTCAAGTGCTAGCACCGGCATCAATGCCACCAGGACTTGGAGTGTCAATTCCAAAAAGAGCACGAGAGCAAGACAGCAGTTGAACCTTGAAAGTCAGCCACACAAGTCAAATCCCTAGATAAGCCAATCTCACAAAACATCGACCTGAAACCAGCGGTGTGCAGAAACCATCCACATTGACCAGCATCCCCAGCATAGAAAATTGCACGCGCCCCGGAGCTCTAACAACCTAACATCTAGATTGTAGCTTCTAGCTCGGAGCGAGAATGCGGGTTGTGCATGAGCCTGGTCTGGATGGCAGGCTTCGAGAATGTGGCGATCCCACGCGCCCGGGCAGGAATGCGGGAGTTAGACATGATTACATTGATGATTACACTGGGTTTATGCATTCCAAGTGAATTTGATGGAATTAAGGGAACTTGAATTTACAATTACAATTTGGATAGCTTCAAATATTCAAGTTGAAGTGATTATGTTCAAGTTCTTCAGTACTTAAGTGTTATAGCTTATTCTCTTTCTCCATGATTCTTTTTGGATAGGTGCATTAGGGAATCGGAATGTCATACATCTGAACTTTAGTTCTAGTTCCCTTTGTTTTATTTTTATCTTATTATATATTATTATGTATATTATATTATACTATATTATATTGTATCACTCTTATTATACCAGGTCTTAAAATTCTCATTTCCTTATCATCCGAGCACTGACGTCGTGTCGATCGTTACAAGTTACAAGTTACAAGTTCAGCTTCCTAGTCCTGAATGTGATGACCGAGATACTCCGTATTGAATATTATCCCGATTCGTACAAAGTCTCGGAGAGAGTGAGAGAGCGTGGTTATTTCCACGAGATCTCATAGGAAGAAACGCCCGAAAAGAGAATAAAATCAACGGTGAGCTCCACATAAAAAAAAAAAACGAGCTATGAGATAATAATCTGTGCCACGTCTGCACGCAAGGGGGGGGGCAACTGGCGGTGAGATCCACCATGATCTAGCCCAGCGAAGAGCGCGCCCGCTACGTGGTGATGTCCACCGCCAGTCATTGTCCGGTCGGATCGTCGATCGGCGGGCGGTTGCAGCAATAGAGGGGCTTGTACACCATCATAAAACCAATAAGATGAAGGACGTTCATTTTAGTGTCGTTACACCTTTTTGGCCCCGTCAGTGGAGGCGAGACGCTAAGGGAATTCCAATCTCCCCCCCTCTTTCTCTCCCTCGAGAAAAAATAATTTAATATTCCTACAATTCCAGATGAAACAAGTTAGGATCACACTTAAGACCAAATCAGACATCATATCAGAGTTATGGTTTGGGGGCGTCGGAGGAAAGTCCATATTCGATGATTTGGATCCCCCGTGACACAAGGCATGAACGTGCAGTCGATCTTCTCACGGGACGAATGCAATGCGAGGTTAAATCAGGTCGCACGGCCCCGGGACCGTGTCCAGATCCTAGAGCTTCGTGGTGTGATTTTATTCGAGGATGAAGTTGTGGCGTTGGATCCTGGAGATACATGAGAGATGAAGAGAGAGTACCACTCACAGCCTTGATGTTAGCCCTGAAGGTGTAATTCTTACGGAGAACGGATTACGGAGTAACTAGGTCTACGGAGTAGATTCATGTTTCAATATTGATTATTATGACTATTTCAGGTTGACCGGAATCTCAATTAATACCATAGGTATTATGTGGCCATACCATTACTCTGTATCCTCACAAATTCGCCCGAATGACATCTGGATCATGATTCTTCATGTACTCCGTACATGTACATGTACTCTATAATCCCGGACACAAATCAACCGTCTGTACAACACATTCACTAATGACAGGGAATATCCCTGCTGAGAATCCCCGTGCGTGCTGACTTGTCCGACCAAAAGTCCCTTTTTTACGCCCCTCTTTCAAGTTCGCTGTTATGTCCCACTTGGTCTAGAGAAACTCCGATCCCGGCCCCCATGGTCATTATTACGAGAGGTGATCTTATCTATTTGAATGTTTGAACCTTGGAAATTCTCAACGTTTTTTTTTGTAGTAGCGCCCCTGGTGAAACCTGTCAGTTGAACATGAAGGAAGCAGAAAAAAAAAGTCTGCACGGACAGTTGCTGCAGGGTAACTCATCGCTGCAAGGTACGGGACGAACCCGTCGATCGATGGTCAAGGTAAAGAGGATCTAGTAAGAGAGTAATTAATTAATAAATGTAATACGATGAGTAAATGGTAAGTGGAGGTGCGCCCCGAGCCGAGTAAAATGATAACTCATTACCGAGGTATTGAACCTTGGAAGTGGGAAAGACTAGTACATAGCGTCCAGGGCTAGGTAGAGTACTAGAGCACTAGGAATAGTGATAGGTATGAAAATCACTCATTCAAGTTCAGCTTAGAAGGGATCGTCAGAAATAGGCGATTCATTTAGCCTCCTTGCTTTTTGGACTTCAACGGATATCGTAAATATCGTAAATATCGTAAATGGTGAGAAGTTGATACATCCAATCTCTCCAAGGATAATAGGACGTGTGCGTTAGAGTGGGGAGTGGCTAGCGATTTTCGATTTTCTCAAGTGGAGCCAAATGGAGTCAAATGGAGTCGAGAGAACAATGGCCAAAGCTCTGTACTTCCGAGGGCCCCGATCAAAGAGGGGATTGGGTTAAGAAGCTCCACCATTTATATTGGATGGCGGGATCCATGGATACGACTCCAAAGATGGATCCTGTATGCTGTATGCGCAGCGGGTATCGGGCCGTCGATAGTTGTGGTGCAGGGATCCCCAGGTTGTGGATTCTAATCCTTTGGTACATAGAAGTTCTATGAACATAGATATCTGAGAGTACAGTAGAGTAGTATCATATAGGTCCGAATTACTGCTCAGGTGCTCAGGTGAAAATGAAGCTATTACCAATTCATTTCAGACCTCCATAACATTCCACGGTTCTATCAGCCCCCGTTTCTTCCCGACTGTGTTCTCCCCAGTCCTCCCCGGGGGACACTAATGATAGTCCATTGGGGGCGAGCCCATTAGGGATCGTGATCCGGAGTACGCAAAGTCAGCAGAATAATTTCAATAATAATTATAATCATAATCATAAATGAGAAAAATTAAAAAAAAAAATTTAAAATAAAGGGATAGTTTTGTACTAGCGGGACAGGCGCAAAAAAGAAATCTGTGTCAAGGGAGGGAGATTCCCCCCTGTCATGCGTTGACATCTGTCAACGGAGTTGAGTGATCCGCCTAACCTGAACATGAGCCTGAACTTGAACCTGGACTCGAGGATCTCAGTTTTCTTCGTACATGCAAGGGATCATGATTCAGAAAGAGTACGTACAATGGGCGGTGTAGTTTAATTCTATGATAAAATCTCAAAGTTTCGTTCCAATGATCCCCTTGCTGGGAAAACGAGATTTAATTGCTAGAGAATAGAAACTCCGGGCTCCTCCGATATAACCAGTATCCATTATCCATTAACCATTAACCGGGCTACGGACTACGAACTACGGACTACGGGCTATGAAAATAATAATAATTATAAAAAATAAGAGAAAATAGAAAATAGAAAATACGCACGTCACCAAGTCACTAGAGTCACTAGAGTCACTTCGTCACGGGGCACTAGATTTTAATCTGGGCTTCTAGTAAATTCAGTAAATTCAACTTCAGTAAACGCTTGGTCGTACTGAGCAGGGATCCCGAGAGAACAGACCCTTGATCGTCTTAAGCCACCCGTGTTTCGTGGTGCTCTCTTAGCCACTGATTTCTGCCCCCCCTCTTGGTGTTATTATTATTATTATTATTATTATTATTATTGTTTCCATTATTTTTATTTTAATTTTTTTTCTCTCTAATTTTTTTCTTCTTTTCTGCTACATCCCTGGGGTGTGACGCGCTGCCTACTCCACCGTTACTCACGGGCTAATACCCTGTTATTTTATACTAGTACTAGGTACGTACGGACTACTTGAATTATTCATAGATTTTGATTTTAATTAGTTTGATCGATTCCAGTTCCCAATAATATAAAAAAAAAAAGATTTTAACAATCACAATGATAATAATGATGACAATAATGTAATAGTAACTTGACGATCGACGGGCCGCTCTCAGGATCCATAATGTTCGACGGGAGTCCGTGTGTTCATGTTCGATTAGTCTGGCCGTTCCAAGGTTCTTCTCACATGGACCTTGCATTGGGAATCAACTCGGGCCTTCGGGATTATCTCGTTGCCGATATACGGAGAAGGGGGCCCGATTCAATTTCAATTCCAATTTGGGGATATTTTGTCGTAACCCAGTTTTCAGTTTTCAGTTTTCAGTTTTCACTTGCCCCCATTGTTTCATCAAACTCGGTGTTAAGCGCTGGGGTTCTGAAACTCTAGGGTCTTCCCCCCCCCGGGTAATCGACCATGCATACGGTGCTCAGTGCTCAATGCTCACATTAGGTATACAGTAATCCCTAGAAGAATACCTAGAATACGTACTAAGAGAGAATATGGAGTATCTGCAGCCCAAATGTCTTGCACGGGGAAAAGAGGGGGTGTCGATCGAGTCGAGACTCCATCCTCATTGTATTATTATGATGATGATAATTGTTATCATTATTATTATTATTATTATTATTATTATTGTTATTGTTTATTTTCTACGTAATTTTCTGGACTTTATTTACTTCTATCCTCTATCCTCTATCCCTGGTTCCAAGGGGGACCGCGAACCATGGATAGAACTACATTCAATACATACTAGAAATATGATAGAATAGAATAGAATAGAGAATAGAGAATAGAGAATAGAGAATACCTAGGTAGAGAATATGAAATAGAATTGACAGTAGAATTTACAGAGAGTATTAATATTAACAGTATTGTATTTGAATAAATGCTAGAATTGTGCGTGGCAGTAAGACCCACTACGATCAGCGTTTTGCTTGTCACACAGACCAGGATCCTCAGCTCGGTGGATCTTGGTTATAATGATTTATTTCATATTTGATTATTCTCATTATTCAAATGTTCTGATAGAATTATATTCGATTTTATTGAGTGATTTTAGTTAATTGATATATACACATAACCATAAAATAGAAAAAAATAGAGTAGCAGAATACCTATAACAAATAGATAATACAAATAAAATAATCAGACCTGAATAATGAATAATGAAATAATAAATCCCCAGATATAATCGTCCTTGCTTGGTGGCGGTTGACTCGATCCCCTCCCAATCCTCCCCACTCGGGTCCCACCGGTGATTCGATGCTATTTCGGTTGAGAGGAGAAACCTCAAAAGGTGGCCGGGAGTTCTGCACACATTCTTCTTCTTTTCCTTCCCAGCCATTTTTTATTTTATTTTATTATTTTTTTGGTTTATTGTTTTTTTTTGATCCCATTTTCCCTCTCTGCTTAAAATCTTAGTCATCTCACATCGAACTTCCCTGCGGCTCAGCGTTTATGTGTTCTGCCTTCCCCCTTCCAAACGCCTGCAGAGGGATGCGTTTGCTGCACGCCAGCCTTCTGTAACCCTCTCCCTTTCTAACATCACCTTATTTACTCGCTGCATGCTGCATTTGCATTGACTTCTTTGTACTTGATGTTTGTCACGACCTTTCATGAAAGTTGATGATCTTGAGGCTTGAAAGACAACTCTCCGTCTAAAGCATTCGCCCCCATTACGATTGTGTTGCTTGCTTTACCCTGCGCATTTCAATTTGGCGACCATATTGATTCATATCAGCGCCATCTTCCTCTTTTTTGCCACTACTTTTCCAGTGTGAGAAAGCCGGAAAAAAAAGCAGATTCCATCCAACCATCTTTACATATTAGCCTTCCTCCCCCCCAAATCTTGTCTACAATCTCCCACCTGATTTCCCAAAGGTGTTGCATCTTCCCTTGCCATCCATTCCTCCTCCCCGCGGACGCCGTGCAACCAACAAAAAGCCCGGGCTTCCCGTTGACAAAAAAACACACACACAATCCATACTTGAGCTCGCCGGATACCTCCCAATCCGACGATCTCTAATCCATTCTCCCTCCTACCATCTTTCCAGTGTTCCCCCGTGAAACCGAAAAGCTGGAGCTGCCGTCGATTTCGCAGGTCCACACTCGCGGTCCTGCTGATATCCCCTGGTACAACCACCACGCGGCCGAACGACCGTTGTTATCAGGCGATAAGCTCCCCGCGCTGAGTCTCCCAACCGCAACCCAAGCCCCATCGCGAGTTTATCAAGACAACCCCGGAAGTGGAACTTCGAGTGCCCGTACAAGTCTGTCCGGCGCCTCTGCCGTCCAAGAACCCCGCAGCCCGCCTGCGGATCTGGGGGCCCAGGGCCGGCTCTCGCTTGATTCGGAGTATAGTATCGTGCCCAACGAGGCCTACTATCCCAGCCCGACCTCGCTCGGCAGCATGAATCAGGCCCAGCCTTACATGGACGTTCATCATATGTCTTCTGCTCAGCCTTACGCCTCACAGGGTGCAACTGCCGGTGCCATGTCGCATTATCCTTACCATCAACAGCCCCCGGTTTTGCAACCTGCTTCTAGCTATGCTCCTGCTTCGTACCCGCAGTACGGATATCCTAATGGGGTGACTTCGCCGCCTACCGGACATCCCCCTCCGGCTAGCTCGATCGCGGGTGGATTACCGCCTCAGATTCTGCCATTGCCCGGTGGTGAGTTATCCATTGTTTTGAGAGAACAAAAAGATATTGAAGTAGAAAGAGAAAAGAAATGCTAATAATGTCACAGTGAACAACCATTCAGTTACTGCAGGATATGGCAACAGCACTGGGTCACCATTGCAGGGTTATATTTACGACTCAACTGGTCAGATTGCCCCACCTGGAGCTAAGCCTCGGGTCACAGCCACTCTGTGGGAAGATGAAGGAAGTCTATGCTACCAGGTGGAGGCCAAGGGTATCTGTGTCGCGCGCCGAGAGGGTGAGTAAACATTGAAGGTCATTCCAAGGTTGTGAAGTTTCCAATCTAACAGTAGAGCAGATAACCACATGATCAATGGTACCAAGCTCTTGAATGTTGCGGGAATGACTCGTGGACGTCGCGATGGAATCCTTAAGAGCGAGAAGTTGCGCCATGTCGTGAAGATTGGGCCCATGCATTTGAAGGGTGTTTGGTATGTAGTCCGTGATCGTGGCGGTCTAAACTACGGAACACCCCACAGCTAACCATGGTTACTAGGATCCCATTCGAGCGTGCTTTAGAGTTCGCCAACAAGGAGAAGATCACCGATCTTTTGTACCCTCTGTTTGTGCACAACATCGGAGGTCTGCTGTATCACCCGGCAAATCAGAACCGGACCAACATGGTAGTGCAAGAGTCGCAGCAACGGCGCTTGGAGGGCCCTCCTGCAGGTCCTCAGCGTACACCGACTGCACCCCAGTCCTCGACCCTGCACCACCATGCCATGCAGACCCCCATGTCCTCCCAAATGTCACAACCCCCATCTTCCATGGGGGGGCCAACGTCCAGGCATGGATCGGGCTTTCCCTACTCCCCCAGCCAGCGCATCAAGCCTGATGGGCGTGACTAACCAAGGGAGCTCATACGAATGGGGCAATCAGGGTATGAACTCTGGTGTGCCTCACACTCAGCCGCTCTCGATTGACACTCAGTTGAGTAACCAGCAGCGATCAATGCCCACTACACCCGCGACTACCCCTCCGGGTAGCAACATGCAGGCAATGCCCCCGTACCAGGGTCAGCCGGGATACGAGAGCTCCAAGCCTTACTACTCCGCGCCTCCTCAGTCTCACTCCCAGTATGCGCCTCACACACCCATGACGCAGTCTGGGATCTCTTCATACGGCCAACCGATCGGTCAGTCGCTTCCGGCGGTGGGCTACCTGAAGAGTGAAATGGCACCACCTACGGGTCGGGCCCCAGGTGCCCCCGAGAGTGAACCCGCTGAGCTGAAGTCTGAACGCTACTCCCAGAGCAATGGCCCTGATGACTCCGTGCCCCCACAGGAGCCTGAATACATGCAGGATCAGGGGAGTACCTACGGGTCCAACCGTGGATCCTATACGTACACAACCAACCCATCAGTCGGATCTTTGACCGGTGAACACTCGCAATTGACACCGGAGATGACCGGCTCGCCGCAGCAGAATGGTTCCGGGCGCATGACTCCTCGAACAAGTGTTAGTGGACCTCCTCCTCACTGGACCTCTGGATACAACACTCCTCCACGCCCATCCGCTGCTACAACCCTCTACAATGCTGTTAGCGACACTCGTGGCACACCAGCTAACGGTGTCTCTGACCCTTACTCCATGGCCTCTAACTCAACTCCCGTGTACTCAACTACCGTGAACGGCTCTCTGGGTGGATCTGGTGGAAAGCGCATGCGCGATGATGACGAGGTGATTCGTCCTGAAAGCACTGGCGAATATGAGATCAAGCGTCGTAAAACCATCACTGAAACCACCATGGGAGGCCCTGTTGGCGGAGGTCCTCTCCTTCATCCCATGAAGACTGCCGCCGCAGCAATGGGTCGTCGCAGATAAACGGCACACCACTTGCACCACTCAACTCACAAATTATTGTTTATCTTGTTGTCATGTGTTATTCAACATGCCCTTCCTGCTCTGGACGGAGTTTTGTTTTTTGTTTGATAGACTGCGGTTTTCACATGGAACAAAAAAAGGAGATCCATGCCACCGCAGACTCGGGACATTCGACACTATTTCATTTCTGGCTAAGCACCCGAAGTTCATCAATGTTGGGGTTTCATGGAATTAAAAAGTGCTCTCTTGATTGGCACTCCACTCCCACACTTCCCGAAGCATGCCTATTTTCTTTCTCTGGGTTTTCTTTTTATTTTCCTTTTTCATTGGAACTTCCGGCTTGTCTCACGGGGTTACAATTCCTTCAACTCACCTTACCCCTAGGTTATATGAGGTTGAAAGTCCTTTTATTTGTTCAGCAAAGTGATGACACGGGAAAAGGATCCCGCCTGATGACTACGATATGACGAATCTCCTGTAACGAATCTTTTATGTGTGCGATTTTTCCTTACATCGCCCTGGCTTTTATTCAAATTTTTCTTTTCCATCTCATTTTATTTGCAATTAAGTGCGTTGGTCATTGGTTTTGTGTTTTTGGCCTCTCATTTTTCTCTCTGGGCAGAAAAAGGTCTTCTTTCCTAGCATTCGTGGCTTTTATTCAACTCACCTTGGTTATGTTTTAGAGAGACGATATGATGGTAATGAATGATCATGAACTAAACTTGAGGCCGAGATCTATCAGCGATACATTTTTGGGTCTTTATCTAATTGAGTCAATACAGATGGTTCGATCTGCATCCATTCTTGTACAAGTAGATGATCTCCATTGAGTAGCTCCACTAGATATGACTTCTAAGGTTGAATAATGTATCAACATAGTCCAGACAGATCCATGAATGAAACCTTTGTTCAACAATCCTAGAACCCATCCATCCAGTCCTATCTATTGTAATTCTATCACAAAGACACATCAGATATGAGCCTAAATCCACCCACCACATCTATCATGACCACCAACTCAAACAAGCATCAATCATCAAGTCGGTATCTATCCGACAGAAAAGAAAAAAAAATCAAAAAAGAAAGTACACAGAGTCACAATCAACTATCCAAGTATGCAAACCAAGATCAATTTAGCGCTTTCCAGCTTGAGAGAAAATAAGTTGCCAAATATCAAGCCACTGCTGCTGCTTGTATGAAAGCGGTTTATGCGGATTCTTAAACGTAGACGCAAGAATTTCTCGAAGTCTCGAATTGAGAATCTTAAGCGCGAGCATAGATTTCCAATCTCGTAGTGCGAAACGGATTCGATTGGCATCGATGGAGATAACACCCGAGTACATCTATTATCCATTAGTTCACTCCTCCCACGAAAAGAAAGATGGAGCGGGTTCTCACCTTGAACTCCGCTTCACCACATAGTAAAGCAATAGCGAAATCATCCACGGCACTTGTTTCATGTGCATTTAGATTCCTGTTCCGCGCTTGCATGATATGGTAATACGAGAGCCATTTGATGGCTGAATCGGCGTGCTTGTTGATTGATGTTGGGTGGAGGGTGACAGTCTGATTATTTGCGACGTTGCGCCAGCCCTTACCTTCACGAGTTATGAGCTTAGGGGTAGAAACTCCATGCGACGACGGAGTTGATTACCACGTCGTTGGAGCTGTTGAGGTTATGTTCTTCAGGGATTGTGAAGAATTGGCGGTTTCGTCCTCCTGATCGAGCTCTATAGTATCGTTAAATTGATTCTGCAAGATCTGGAGGTGAAAGTGAGGGAGAGTTACCTGCTCAGAGCGGTCTTCTGTGCTGGATCTAAGCTTAGAAGACCGGCGTCGGCGATTGAGACTATCAGTTGCATTTTGATATCTTCAATACCGAGGAGAGTCTGTGGGTTGAGGAAGTTTTTGCGACAGAAGGAGAATTCACTCATGCCAGGAGTACTACGTGCTCGTTTCCAACAGCAGTAAGCGTTGTACACAGTAAGTAGGTCCGAGTCACCTAGAATGTGGTTAGATATGAATAGAAAGGAAGAGTCAAGCGAGGAGGGTGATACCTCTTTGGAATGAGTTGCGTGCGGCGTCACGCTGTGAATTTGATCCCATGGTATTGACGAATGGTGATTTGGAAGACAGAATGGCTGCAATGCTGACTGCTGCATCCAGACACTTGAAGAAAGCACCGTGGATGATCAGTTTTCCGAGAAACACATCGAGAGGCAGCTTTGCTAGCTGGGATCCCAAGGGTGTAAGGCTCTCGCCGCTGGTGAGGGCTTTCACTTCTTTGAGCGAGTCGATGGCTCGTCGAATGTTCTTGGATGAAGGCGGGTCCAGGGCCTCCAGTAGGGTTTTTTCTACTTCGCCCAGCTTGCAGATCTTGACTCGCAAAACCAGATCTTGGAGAGAAAGTCGGAGCATCTCTGGTGTTTGTTGTTCAGCCAGCTGGAGAGAACGTCAGTATTTTGATATTCTAATCCAATCTTTGATTCTCATGCACTTACCAATTTGTCATGTCGATGCTTGGTAAAAAGATGGAAGCAGATACCCTTCTGTACACGACCAGCTCGACCACGTCTTTGCTTGGCATTCGCACGGGAGATGAATGACTCGACGAGCCGAGAGAGCTGTCGTCGTTCATCGAATCTAAACATCATTATCAATTAGTGACCAAGGAAAGACATAAGAGATTTCAAGACAAACCTCATCATCTTCTCTTTTCCTGCATCGACCACTGCGGTGATGTCTGGGATTGTGATACCGGTTTCTGCAATGTTAGTAGCAATCACAATCTTCCTCATGCCCTCGGGTGGCACATTGAACGCCTTTTCTTGGTCTTCACTAGCAATCGAGGAGTGCAGTGCATGGATAATCCATCCCCTTTGGAAAGTTGGTTCGGAGAGGATCTCATCATTTAGACGACGAATCTCTGCTAGACCAGGCATGAAAACCAGAATAGCTCTGCTATAGTATTCCATATCAGGGCTAGTTGCAATTCTGAGAAGCAATCTCTTGATCAACTGATAGTCCAACCGGTACTCATCGAACTTGGACACGGTTTCTCGTGTTTGCCTTGAGTATCCATCTAGGCTAGCTTGTAACCCTCCAGCAGTGTCAGCATTGGAGTCTTCAGTCTCATCAATGTCATCCTCCTGGGTGGTGTATGTCGAATCATCCTCAGAAAGACGGTAGTTTGTCATCTCAACAGCATCCTCGAGGTATTTCATTTCCACAGGGAAAGTTCGTCCCGGAATGTTGAGAACGGGGACGCCTCCAAGATAGGTGGAGAAACGCTGTGCTTCAAGTGTCGCAGACATCAAGATGAGCTTCAGATCAGGGCGCTTCTGCATCAATCTCCGAAGAACGACCAGAAGGAAGTCACTGTCGATCGTCCGCTCGTGAACCTCGTCGAGAACAACATGTGTGACATCTTGGAAATCATCCGGTCGCTCCAACATGCGCACGACAACACCAGTAGTCCTAGATAAGTCAGCTAAACTCAGGTCAGTCAATAGAAGAATAGGACATACGCATAGACAAGTCGAGTGGCCGAGCTAATTTTGCTTTCCAACCTTACGGCGAAACCGACCAGGGACCGTGTGGTTCCAACATCGTTTTTGCTCTCTCCAAGCTCCTCACTGACTCGTCGAGCAAGCGATATTGCAGAGATTCGGCGTGGTTCTGTTACGTAAACTTTACAGGGACGGCCCTGAAGCATCTCATGTTCCAGGATATAGGATGGAATTTGGGTACTCTTTCCACTTCCAGTCTCACTGCAAATAATCAATGCTTGGTGCATATCCAAGGTGTGCAGAATCTCATCTTTGAAGCTCCAGATCGGAAGATTCATTCTACCCGGCATCATCTTATGAAAAGATGGCGCAGATGCCTTGGCTTCCCATGCTTCCCTAAGCCTCTCACTTTGATCGATGTAGTTCTCCCGAATATTTCCTTTCAAGGGACTGCCCGGTTTGGAACCGATGCCGTTCCTCTTGCGGAAGTTGTCCAAAAGTACAACATCATCCTCAAAGGTGCCTTGATTCTCCTGTACAAGGACTTTTAGACTCTTGATTGTGGATTTGTCGATTTCATCCTCTTGAATTTTCTTCAAGTTTGAGAGTTCAGTCCAAAGGTCTCTCCAGACAGCGGGGATCCGCAGATAGGCTTTGCCCTCCTTGGAGTTTTGAGGAAAGAGAATGAACAGAGCAAGCGTTGAGACGTATGCCTCAGCTTGCTGGGTATTTGGCGTTGCGAGCGAGTCCATCGACACATATGTGGCATTTGCGTTGGATTTATGGGTAACCGATTCCACTTCCAATGAGAACGGACTCTCTTGCGGCTTAGACCATCGGACCTCAACGGCTTTCCGAATTTGATGGCCGGAAGTCGAAAAGTCCTGGTAGACCACCTTGCATGAGGCATCCCTCGATTTGCAGGTTTCTTCCAGGACTCGCCGCGGACTCAGACCCGTGGACTTGCCAAAGTCTCGAAGTGTGATCTTCACCCCTCCATCAGGAGGTGGAAGACCTAATATTGACCCTGTACTATCAGGTTCATCCTGGAACATGCCACCAAGGAGTCCCTCAGCCTCATCCATTTCCTCAAGCGATGGGACAGTAAGATTAGGATCTTCTGGTTCTGGCTCGGTCTCCTGTGCATCCTTCTTCCGCTCCACCGGTCGGCGCAGAAATGCAGCATCCTTACGGAGCTCCTCTAGTTTGTCTTTCCAGATGTATTCCGCTTCTTGGCGCTCAAAGAGTACATCGCGTTCAATCTTAGCGATTTTGCGTTGCAACTTAGCCACCTCAGCATCCTCTGACTGGCTGGGTGCTGCCATTCGGCCCTTTTTGCCTTTCCCTGGACGATCGAAGAGGTCAGGTTGGAGACTGTAGAGCTTTGTCTGCAAGTCCAACCACTCAGGGACCATAGTGTCCGGATCAATCGAGGTATCGGAGTCATAGGAAACTGGAGGCGCAACCTTGGCAGCTTTCCAGTCGGCCTTGGGCTTTTCCTGCTTGCTTCCATTCGAGGTTTTATTGGAGGTAGATGATTTTGATGGTTCTGATTTTGAAGACAGTTAGTACTTCGGTTACCATTTTGATCAAATCAAATTGAAATTTACCAATCATCCAAGATGTGACTTCAGTCTCTTTTTGCGAGCGAGACGCTGTTTGGGTGTATGAAGGAAGGTCTTTCTTATCGGTGTGTCTTGCCAGCCATTCCAAAGTCTCGTCCAAATTCCATGCAATATCCCGACTAGCAATCATGGGCACTTCTTTGAAGTACGTAAGAACATGCTTCAGTGCTTCTTGAACACGATCTTCTGTGAATCCAAGCTTGAATAGCGTCTCCTGTAGTGTCCAGAGCCTCCCCAGTAGTTCCTCCTCTGAGGTTTCTTGCTTTGTAGTGCCATTCCGTGCACTTGACGTAAGATAATCGTGCTCTTCTGAATCAGCCAGCTCCAAAATCCTGTCCTGTACTTCGCTCGGAAGCCAATCGATCAGACCCAATGACACTGATTGCTGGCGAAAGAGACGCCGCTCTGTATCGAGCTTTGTGGCTTGTCGCACTGCGTCGCTCTTGCATTTTGCCGCATATTTGTCTACCAAAATCTGCAATTCTGCCTCTTCCAAATGCTTATCAATCTCTTCTGGAGAATAATTTTTTAATGAGGGGTCGGGTTTTGGTGCGCCTGCATCTGCATGGGCATTCTCTTTGATTGTGGGTTGTGGTTCGTTCTGTGGCGTGGCTCTCGATTCTGTGGCCGTAGAAGAAGGTGTATCTACACTCTCTGCCTTTGGTTTAGACGGTACTGAGACTGTAGCAAAGCCCCTTGCTGGATTGGAGGCGGGCTTCTTCTTCTTCTTATTGTTTGGCGGCATTGTAGGAGGGTGTCTGCGCAAGAGGAACAGGTTAGCATGTGACAATTCCAAAGCCCAATTTTTTTTATTAAATCCAAAGTATCCCATAAAAACCAACTTACTTAGGAAAGAGGAAAAGCTGGTGTGGTAGTTGTCAAGACAAGAAACCGAAGACACTGAGTTAAGAGCGGCGGAGATTCGGTGATTCTCCCCACACAAAACTCTTATGACAGCATCCGATCGATTCAGCCCACTTTCAACATTCCACCCTCCCTCCCTCCCTACAAACCCTTTACTCTCCACTCCCCTGGGTTGACCTAATTCCAATCATGGAAGGAATTCCATGGGACCAGGTCAAGGCTGGGGATCTGGGCTCCTTGCGGGTCGCCCTCTTCTCGAGTTCGACCTTGCGCAGAGTCCGGGCCCTGCAAGAACTTCGCGACAAGATTGGTAACACTTACTCCGCCCTGAACCTCTTACTTTAATTTGAAAAAAGGAATTGAGCTGATCGTATTCTATTTTCTAGCTTCTGATATCCCGTCAGAATTCCATCAAGATGTTTTAGCGCTTCTTTTCCTGACATATCCTCTATATGTCGACCGATCTTCGCGCCATGCTGTTCAGCAATGTCTTCGCTCCCTCCTTCGAACCCCGAATGCTGCAGACCATCTTAAGTACCTGGTTGAGAAACTAAGACTGGAGGCAGCTAAGCCCGGTATTTCGTCGAGCTCTGGATTTATTTTGTTGGAATGGTGTTGCAGTATCCTGCAACAAGCATGTGAGAGCGAGGCTACGCCGTTAGACATTGTCCTGGACCTTATCGCTGTAGAGGCTAAGGCTTTGGAGAATTGCTTTGCACACACTCCGAAGGAGTCGATGCGAAAATCAGCTACTCGTGTGACCAGACGTGCTCTGCGTGCAACATTCTCGAACAAGACATGGGGTGCGGACGCCGTGCGCCAATCTGTTAGCCGATTGACTACGGATTCCACAGCAGGATATAAGAATACATTGCTCCTGGGTGTAATTTCGGGTGTATGCGCACGGTTACCAAAGAAGAAGCCGGTTCTTGAAGAGTCCAAGAAAGCTATCCTAGCCTACTACATCAAGGAAATTGTGGGCTCAAGATCTGCTGTGCCTTCTCATGTCGCCGAGGGAATGTCTGATTTCTTTACTGATTTCGTCACATATGTGGATGTCACCACTGAATTGATTCCTCCCATGGAGAAAACCATGCTGAGATCCCCAGAGGTTATCTTTACTGGTGTAATCCCCCCATTGAGTGCATCCTTATCCCAAGATATTGACCTCTCCGATATGGTGCAAACTCGCCTTTCCAAGCATCTACTATCCAGCATGAAGTCGAACAATGCTGCAGTCCGACAAGGAGCTGCCGATTCCTTCAGAGCTTTACTATCTCGATGCAACACCGAGGCTGTGGTCATGAAGATTACAAGTGAATTGATTGGTCCTTTGAAAACACAAAAGGTCACAACACCAGACCACCGAGTTGCTTATTCACAAGCAATCTCTGCTATTCCAACATCAGTCGATGTTTCCAAGGAGATCGTTCAAGGATTTTCACTTGTTCTCTCACGCGAGTCCAACGAAGCCGCTCTCGAGGAGGAGCTCAAGTCCTTTGGCAATCACCTCGCTTTCCTTGTTGCCTCCAAGGTTAAGGTTGTGGATGATGTTGTTAACAATATTGTCAAGGGTATCTCTGATAAACGAGTTCCATTCCGCAAGATCTGGCAGCTTAATGTGGGAGAAGTGTTCTGGAAGTCTGATATCGAGGCTCTCAAGAGCGCCGGAATCCAGCCTTTTGTTACCAAATTCCTAGCGAAGATGAAGGAGATGTTTGCAGAAGTTGTCGCTAATCCATTACCCTCAGCTCAAAGCGGTGCCTTATCGTCTGCCTATGTCTTTTTGGCTCTTTTCCAACGTGTGTCAGACATTGAGGCAGCGGACAAGTCCGCTTGGGAAGAACATGTCTCTAAGTCAATGACTATGGGCGCAAAGCCTTCATTCCTCCTGAATCCAAAGGCTTACTCCAAGATCGGAACCGTAGGAGAAATGCAATGGGTGGTCAGAGCCCTGGCCGCCGTCGCTTCTGGGTCCAAGTTCACTGATGCGGAGGATGCGGCCAAGACTGCATGGGCCCAATCCTTCATCTACGCTATCACCGGACCTACCATGACCACCAAATCTCGGGAACATGCCTTGGAAGCTCTTTCGGCTGTCCACCAGAAGGATGTAGCGTCTATTGGACGGGTTGTGATCAACGGTCTTTGGGCTTGGATTAATGCTTTCCGTACCTCAGAGAAGGAGTCCGCCGCTTCTTTTGCCAACTCAGGAAGCGAACGTCTTCTGCAGGTTATTTTGAGGGCCATCTGCCCTCTCGCGGCAAAGGACGGCTCCGAAGGTTCTTTTTCTGATCTGGAAGCTCAATTGATTAACATTCTGGTTCTTAGCCAATCGAACTTGATTCCAGGTGCCTCTTGGATTGATCTGTGCCTCAGAACTGGCATTGATCCTGGAAACTTGGTCCGCAGTCACCCTGAGGAGTGTATTGAGCAGTTGGTCGGTGTCAATGCAGACCCTGTCCAATCCACTGTCCCCAATGTCAACTCCGCCGTTTGGAGCGCCGCAGGTGATCTGGCATTTGTAGCTCCAGATGCCATGATCCCTCGTCTGGTTGATCAAATCAAAGCAGATCTGGATGGATCCCGTCTTTCCAAATTCACTGCCACAGACGCAGCGATTGCTCGTACGCCTGAAGGTACCGCCTTTGTTGATGTCCTGAGCAGCAAGTCAAAACATCCTGCGTTTGACAAGAACACTAAAGATTATGACACCTTGAAATGGGAAGAGGAGCTCCGAGCTCAACTGGCAGAGAAGAAGGGACAGAAGCCGAAGAAGCTCACTGGCGAGGAACAATCTAAGGTCAATGCTCAACTTGCCAAGGAAGCAAAGATTCGTCAAGAAGTACTCGAGGAGGTTAAGCGCATCGAGCGAGGTGCTGGCCTTATCAGAGGTCTTGCCACTGGCCCTGCCAACGATGTTGAGGGCTGGATCAACACCGCAGTCAGCTGCCTGCTTTCTCTTGCCAACGCTGGTGCTGGTCTGTTTGTCGGTGATGTTGTTTCACAGGCCTTCCTTACTTGCGCCAATGAGGTTTCCTCGCGATTGGGCAGCGTTCGATCCTTTGTGGGTATTGCTATCCTCCGGGCTATCGGTAATACCAATCTCGCACCAGAGATGGAGCTGGAGCACCTTGGAGAACTCGTGACCAGAATTCTGTACCGTATGCGATTTGCATCCGAGCAACGACCCCTTGATACTGCATCCGTTGCCTACGTCCTTCCGTTGATCTTCTCTATTCTGACCAAGAATGGAATCGAGGAAGTCAAGGGAGGCCAAGAAGGCGAACAAGTCTTGCTCGCCATTGAGTTCCTGTCCTACCATTCCAACTCTTGTAAGTGATACAATATACTCCTAGGACCTTCTTTTTGTTGCTAACAGCCTCATCCTCAGTCTCCGATCTACGACTTCCTCGTATTGAAGTTCTTCAACACCTACTTTCCGCCATGCAACGATACACTCAGCACTATAAGTTGATCAAAGATACATTGTTCAACTTCTGTCGCTGCATCTCTCCCAACATCAACAGCGAAGAGCTTGAGACACTTTTGCAGGGTTCCATTGTCCCTGATGCCTCTGTAAGAACATCTGTTCTTCAAGTCATTGAGGCCGAGATTGATTTGACCGACCTCGATTTCTCTGAGGAAATCTGGCTTGGATGCCATGACCACGTGGAAGAGAATGTTGAGCTTGCTCACACCATCTGGGAAGACAATGCGCTTGAAGTTGATGATGAGGCATTTGCCAAGATCATGAAGTATTTGGACTCCAAGGATGGTCAACTGCGCGGCGCCGCTGCCCGTGCATTGGCTCAAGCTATTGAATCTGACAAGAGCAAGTTTGATGGCATCTTCTCAGAGCTCCAAGCCAAATATGCTGAAGATGTGAAACCCAAGGCTCCTGAGAAGGATGCCTACGGAATGCCCAAGAAGATGGACAACCCAGACAACTGGGAGAGCCGCAGCGGTGTGGCATTGGCTTTCGACGCCATGACAAACCTGTTTGAGGGCGACCAGATCATTGCCTTCATCCAATTCCTCATTGAACGTGGTCCTCTTATTGATAAGAACTCTTCCGTTCGACGCCAGATGCAAGAGAGCGGAAAATCCGTGATTGCGCATCGCGGCCAAGAAAAGGTCGAAGAGCTGATGAAGTCCCTTGAAACGACTTTGGAAACCTCCGACAAAGCAACTCAGAGTTCTGACTTGCTGAACGAGGCGGTGATTGTTCTTTATGGATCTCTGGCCCGACACTTGAAGGCTGATGACCCTCGTCTCCAAAACGTTCTCAAGAAGCTTCTTGCAACTCTCCCCACCCCTTCGGAAACTGTTCAGTCTGCCGTTTCAGAGTGTTTGCCACCTCTTATCCGATTGAGCGGCCCCAAGTCTTCTGAATATGTTCAGGAGATGCTTGACCAACTGCTCAACGTGAAAAGCTATGCTACGCAGCGTGGTGCCGCATATGGTCTTGCGGGTATTGTCAGTGGCAAGGGTATCTCGACTCTGCGCGAGTTCCGAATCATGAGCTTGCTTAAGGAGGCCACAGAGAACAAGAAAGAGCCTCACCATCGCCAGGGTACTTTCCTCGCATATGAGCTTTTTGCTACCGTTCTTGCGCGTACCTACGAGCCATATGTTATCCAGATTGTTCCTCAGTTGCTTGGAGGTTTTGGCGATCCTAGCCTTGATGTTCGTGATGCTTGTCTGGATGCCTCCAAAGCCTGCTTCCAGAACCTCAGCTCTTACGGTGTGAAGAAGATTCTCCCTACATTGCTTGATGGTTTGGATGATACGCAATGGCGTAGTCAAAAGGGAGCCTGTGAACTTCTTGGAGCCATGGCCTACCTTGACCCACAGCAGCTTGCAGCCAGTTTGCCAGATATCATTCCTCCGCTTACTATTGTCCTCAATGATACCCACAAAGAGGTCCGCAACGCCGCGAACCGCAGTCTGCAGCGATTCGGAGAGGTCATTAGCAACCCTGAAGTCAAGAGCTTGGTTGGTGTGCTTCTCAAGGCTCTCAGTGACCCTACCAAACACACAGATGAAGCATTGGACTCCCTCATCAAGGTTTCCTTCGTTCACTACCTGGACGCACCTTCGCTGGCTTTGGTTGTTCGTATCCTCGAGCGCGGTCTTTGCGATCGATCCAACACCAAGCGGAAGTCCGCCCAAATCATTGGCAGCTTGGCCCACCTTACTGAGCGAAAGGACCTTATCGCGCATTTGCCCATTATCGTGGCTGGTCTCAACCTGGCTATTGTCGATCCTGTGCCTACTACACGTGCCACTGCTTCAAAGGCTCTGGGTTCTTTGATCGAGAAGCTTGGAGAGGATGCTTTGCCCGACCTTATCCCCAACCTCATGACTACCCTCAAGTCAGACACCGGCGCCGGAGACCGACTGGGTTCTGCTCAGGCCCTTTCCGAGGTCCTCGCGGGTTTGGGTACCACCAGACTCGAGGAGACCCTGCCTACCATTCTCCAGAACGTTTCCAGCGCCAAGGCCGCTGTGCGCGAGGGCTTTATGACTTTGTTTATCTACCTGCCCGCTTGCTTTGGAAACAGCTTCGCCAATTACCTCAGCAAGATTATTCCCCCTATTCTTGCTGGTTTGGCTGATGATGTTGAGTCGATTCGCGAGACCTCTCTCCGAGCTGGTCGTCTGTTGGTCAAGAACTTCTCCACCAAGGCTATCGATCTCCTGCTTCCCGAATTGGAGCGTGGTCTGGCCGACGACAGCTATCGCATTCGTCTTAGCTCCGTCGAGCTGGTCGGAGATCTTCTCTTCAGTCTTACTGGTATTACTGGTAAGTCTGAGGCTGACGAGGAAGAAGAAGAGGCCACTCAAGCAGGTCAATCCCTTCTCGAGGTTCTTGGAGAGGAGCGCAGAGACAAGGTGCTCTCTGCTCTTTTCATCTGTCGCTGCGATACTTCCGGTCTGGTCAAGAGCGCTGCCATGGGTGTTTGGAAGGCCCTGGTCGCCTCTCCCAAGACCCTCAAGGATATGGTGCCCACTCTTGCCCAGCTCCTCATTCGCCGTCTTGGATCATCAAACATGGAGCAGAAGGTCATTGCCAGCAACGCGCTCGGCGACCTTATCAAGAAGGCTGGAGAATCTGTCCTGTCTTCCTTGCTGCCTCTGCTTGAGGAAGGTCTCCAGACCTCCCCTGATGTGGACGTTAAGCAGGGTATCTGTATTGCCCTGCGTGAGCTCATCACTTCCGCCACCCCTGAAGGCCTGGAAGACTATGAGAAGGTTCTTATCTCTACTGTCCGCGTGGCTCTCGTCGACCACAATGCAGATGTGCGAGAGGCTGCTGCCGAAGCCTTCGACGCTTTGCAACAGATCCTTGGCAAGACGGCTGTGGACCAGGTTCTGCCTTACCTTCTCCACTTGCTGAGAAACGACGAGGATGCTCAACAGGCCCTGTCTGCACTGTTGACCCTGCTTACCGAGCAGACTCGTGCCAACATCATTCTCCCCAACCTCATCCCCACGCTGCTTACCCCACCTATTACCGCTTTCAACGCCAATGCCCTTGCATCTCTCGCCGAGGTTGCTGGTGGAGCCATGACAAGAAGGTTACCCAACATTCTCAACGCTCTCATGGATGGTATGATCGAGACCCAGGACGAAGAGCTTCGTGCAGAGCTCAGCAGTGCATTCGATACTGTGTTGGTCTCTGTTGATGAGTTCGATGGTCTGAACGTGGCTATGAACGTGATGATTACTCTGGTCAAGCATGACGATCACCGTCGTCGTGCCGCGGCTGCTCTCCACCTCAACAAGTTCTTCGCTGAGGCTGAGCTTGACTTCTCCAGATACTACCAGGACTTGATTCGCGTCTTGCTTATCTCGTTTGATGACCGAGACAAGAGTGTCGTCAAGGCAGCATGGACCGCTCTCAGTGGCCTCATGTCCCACATGCGCAAGGAAGAGATGGAGGTTTTGGCTATTCCCACCCGCCAGATTCTGCGTCAAGTCGGTGTTCCTGGTGCGGATCTTCCTGGATTCTGTTTGCCGAAGGGTATCATGGCTATTCTGCCAATCTTCCTTCAGGGACTTCTCAACGGTACCGTCGATCAGCGTACCCAATCGGCATTGGCGGTTTCGGACATTATCGACCGTACTGCTGCCGAGTTCCTGAAGCCTTTCGTTACCCAGATCACTGGTCCTCTCATTCGTGTTGTTTCCGAACGCTCGGTTGATATTAAGTGTAAGTTCTACGAAATGCTTCGCGTTACAAGTGGAAAATATGCTAAGTCAAATTTCTATAGGTGCCATTTTCTTTACACTTAACAAGCTGCTTGAGAAGATTCCCCTTGCTGTCAAACCCTTTTTGCCTCAGCTGCAGCGGACCTTCGCCCGTGGACTGGCAGACACATCTAGCGAGACTCTGCGCAACCGTGCGGCCCGAGGTCTTGGTATTTTGATTACTTTGACCCCTCGTGTCGATCCTCTCATTGCTGGTAAGTTTTTGTCCCGCTATCTACTGGGTAGGGAAAGCTACTAATATGGAACCCCAGAACTTATCGCTGGATCCAAGACCAGTGATGAGGGTGTCAAGAACGCCATGATGAAGGCCCTGCAGGAGGTGGTTGGTAAGGCCGGCAGCAACATGAGCGAGGCCTCGCGTACTGCTATCCTCGCCCTGATTGATGATGATGCAAGTGACGACACCGACAAGGTTGCTATTACTAACGCGAAGCTGCTGGGTGCACTTGTTAAGGTTCTCCCAGAGGCTAGTGCGGTCCCTCTTATCAAGAACCGCATTCTGAATGGCCAGCTCTCACACTCATCTGTTCTTGGATTGAACGCTCTTCTGGCCGAGGCTCCTGCCTCTATGACGGAGCATTTCCCCACAGAAACCATTTCAGTCATCTGCCAGGGTATTGCTGACAGCGATCCTTTCGTATCAGACAACAGTGTTCTCGCTGCTGGAAAGTTCCTCTTGTCCGAGGGAGGTAACCACAGCTTCGAGACTCACAAGACCATCTTCGAAGCCCTGGCACCTGTCATTCTGCCCGGCGCTCCGGTGGATACCCGCCGCTTAACTCTGGTGGTAATCCGAACCATCAGCCGTCTCCACCCGGAGATGACTCGTGCTCACCTGGCTCTACTGGCACCGCCCATCTTTGGCAGTGTCCGTGATCTTGTGATTCCTGTGAAGCTGGCAGCAGAGGCTGCTTTCCTGTCTATTTTCTCTGTTGTGGAGTCCGACACTGATGTCTTCGACAAGTACATGGCTGGTCCTGGCTCTTCTCTCGCGCCAGGACCTAAGCGCAGCATGTCCGACTACTTCAAGCGTGTTGCCATGCGTCTTGCTGCCCAGGCCCGGGAGCGTCGTGTTGCAGAAGGCGGTGAAGGTGGACTTGGTCTGTCGAATGACGAGGTGGATGATGAGAAGGAACTGTGGAGTATTGGCAAGGTGGATCTTGGGGAGGATGGTTTCACTGATGATTAAGCGATGATTATGATGATGATGGATGCATCGACCTAAGGAGGAGAGGGTTCAGCATCTCAAGGTTGAAATCTACATGTGCATAGATAGTATACCCTTGGGCCTTATTTCATTAAGTTCAATGTTTGTCGTATAAAAGTTGTTTTGAGGATTGAATGGTGATATATTGTTTGTTTCCACTAGTACAGTCCTAGTAGACGATGGCCATATCCACATGCAGTTTGTGCATTTATTTGAGCTCGGAATCAAGGCTAATGGCCGGAACAAACGTTGAGTTGAGTGTGTGAGCCTGGAAATCCAGGTCTGCTCTTGCCTAAAAAAGATAATATTATCTCTGTCATAGGGATAAATCAGGATATCATAGCAACGAGAATCCTTCCGTGGCCTAGTTGGCTATCGCACCTCGGTGTGAGAAACCATTTAAGTCTATCCAAGAAACTCACCATGGTTTTAAGTGATGGTGGTGAGGGTCTTGGGTAGGACTCTCTTTTTTGCACTTTTTATTTATGTGATCATCTTTTTATTTGCCCAACGAATACTCCAACCTACATTCATCAATTTGATACTTCTTTTATATTTTTATCTATTTTATTTGATTTGTTATAAAAATCTCAAAATTTGAAGCTTCTCTCATCACGATGATTGAAGAATCTAGAGGTCCTGGGTTCAATCCCAGGTCTGTCCGTTTCTTTTTTATTCCTTGCCGACTTTTCCGTCCTCTTCTTATGAGTACCTATGGATGTTTTGTCTTATCATTCTGCTAAATTTCTACCTAATCATCATGATGTCCATGTCAGAAGTTAGAACAATAATGGATCCAGTTTTATACATATATGATTATGTCATTAACTATGGGGCAGTTCCCAATTTGGATATCCCATATCATGTGACATCATTCTACTCTTGGTGGTCACGTGAGCTATGATCAGAAAGTTGCAAGACCAACAAACACCCTTGAATGCACCTTTTTGCATAAGGAAAAAAAACCGAAAGGCATCTAATCTCATCAGCTTCATCCACTTAACATCGACAACATCTTTCCTCCACTTGCTAATCTAATTTCTCCGCAGGTTCAATTTTTCAAGGTCCGGATTACCCGTTTAGGCTAGGGCTGAGGGTGTAGCCCTAGTACCCTAGTGTGGACGGACACTCGCTTACCATGAATTAGCTAATCGGCCCGCCCAACTTCTCACTGTCTGGATTTCCCAGTCGAGTGCCCTACGAACATCATCCGCCAAACGACCGTCACGCCGACATCAAGATGTGAGTGCCATCAAATACACTACCTACGAGAGAATCCATACCCCATGATATGAATGCCACGGTCCCCGTCATGTCGCCATGTTGGAGCCAAGGAGCGAAGAAGAAAAAAATAGACGGATCAATCTTGATTTGAAGTGATTGTGTGGCACAGGCTGACCCCCGACTTTTTTTCACTACAGGGTCAACCTTCGCACCCAGAAGCGCCTCGCCGCCTCCGTGGTCGGCTGCGGCAAGCGCAAGATTTGGCTCGACCCCAATGAGATGAGCGAGATCTCCAACGCCAACTCCCGCCAGACTATCCGCAAGCTCGTCAGCGATGGCCTCATCATCCGCAAGCCCGTCACTATGCACTCCCGTGCCCGCGCCCGTGAGCTCAACGAGGCCCGCCGCATCGGTCGTCACCGCGGTCTGGGTAAGCGCAAGGGTACCAAGGACGCCCGTATGCCCAGGTATGCACGACACCCGATATCTTCAATCCCGAAAGAGAAATGAGAATGGAAAGGGATTATTTGGGAGAATCAGTTTGCTGATGTTTTCTCTTTTCTTCTTTATAGCCAGGTCCTCTGGATGCGCCGCATGCGTGTTCTCCGTCGTCTGCTCGTCCGCTACCGTGCCGCTGGCAAGATCGACAAGCACCTCTACCACGAGCTCTACCACCTGAGCAAGGGTAACACCTTCAAGCACAAGCGTGCTCTGGTTGAGCACGTAAGTTGATTCCGAGACCCATATCCCCCACACCTGCAATCGATATCTCCGACACATTACCCCGCTTATCTATATCTCGGCACACTCGACTGACTCGTTTTTCTTCATGACTACAGATCCAGAAGGCCAAGGCTGAGCGCCAACGTGAGCGTGTCCTCAAGGAGGAGATGGACGCTAAGCGTGCCAAGAACAAGGCTCTCCGTGAGCGTCGGGCAGAGCGCGTTGAGGCCAAGCGCACCGCTCTCGAGGCTCAGGAGTAAATCCTTTCAAAATCTCATTCCGTTGTGTGACGTTTTTCTCATGTTCGGCGATGGTGCGGAGGTTGAAAGCGGTTCCCTTCTGGGTTGGTTCCGGGATTCGGCCCCTACAAAGTTATTTGTCCCCCCTCGAATTCTAGGTCGGCCTTTTTACTTTTCGACTCTTCCTATAGTCGGACTCTTTTTTCCTCGAAACTCTTTGGCGACGCGCGGGACTTTTGATTGGGAAATTGGGAATGTGGGGGCAATAGGAAGATGCGATGATGATGTGATACTCAAGCTTCTCTTGTCAATAATGAGAAAGCAAAAGGAAACTACTTTTTTCAAAACAAAAACAACCAAAAAACTTCCCCCATCGGCACGGCGCTTTGTGTGTTACGAAATGTTATCGTTTTTCAGTGTCTTGGGTCTGGTCTATTCTGGCCCTCATGTAGATGTAGGCAGCATCATGATGTCTGTCTTGTTCAAGTCAACTGTAATGCAGTCTGACTAGTAGTCCCTCAGTACATGTATCTTCAAACAGCTCACCTGGGCAATCTCAAGTGCTGGAAACATTCAAGTTTTAGGCATCGAATCATTCCCTTGGCACAAAGTATGTGGCTTTTCACTAGTACATGTATGCCATAGGCAATTGTGCATTGATGCAGCCCTGGAGTCAACCCCGGATGATCGACACTGGTAAACACTGGCATCTCATTTTGAAGGTTACCTAGGTACAGAATCATGATGAGCCCTGCCAATCTCACATACTCTACACCTGGGCAGAATCTATGATGTACTAGTACCTAGGTAGTAGTTATGTATGATAGTGATACTATGTACTAGGTATTGATCTCTACTGCTAGTGGCACATCATCACGGTGATATGCCCAGGTGTGGAAAGGTCTCACATGTGCAGGGTGGATCCCCAAACAATATATATCCATTTCAACTTGAATCTTCTTAATATCAACATCACATCATTCAACATCATGGTAACATCTCTGACTCTGAAATTTCAACCTTGAACCTGAACTTCAAGTTTGACACATTTCTCCATCTCAACAAAAGCTAAATTATGCGACAAATCCAAATCTGGATATATTTGCACAGGGAAAGAAGTCAACATGCCCGTCTGTTCATATCCCTGTCTCTCATACCAAGCGATAAGTTCCTCTCTGGTGGACAAAGCATCCAACTCGAAGATCACAGACCCCCACTTCTCCTGACAATATAATTCCGCCTGTGCCAAGACGCGGCGTCCGATACCACCTTGTTGGAATTGGTGATGGACAGCAAAAAGCGAGAATCGGGCACGCTTGGGTGATTTTTTTGTTATCTCGACTGATGCGACTAGGTGTTCACTTCCATTTTCGCTTTGAAGAGTATCAGTACCAGCAGTGACACCGGTAAAAGCGAGCAAGATACCCCGATTCGGTTTCTTGATAGTAGCCAGAACGGATTCTAGTTCGACGCTGAAATTTCGACCGAGTTCTAGGTCTGCAGTCCAGTTTTTTCTGGTATCCGCGGCGCGGAAGGCGGATTGGACAAGGTCTTGGATCGAGGGGCCGTCATCCGGTGTTGCGAGACGAAAGGTGAGTGGTGTCATGATGAGGAGTATGAATAGGATGGGAGAGTAGTTTTGACGAGGATCATCGTGATTATATAGTAATATTAGAGGTGTACGTGTTCTACTTATCTGGTGCCATATAAATTCATGTCATGTATTGGGTAGGGCGTGGGGGCCTAGCTGGATTTGTATATGGCGGATGAATACGAAGTAAATGGCGCAAGGCTTGATCCTGCGGTTAATATTAATTTACGAGTCATGGATAATGATATACCAGAAGTTTAGTTATTAAAAATACATTGCATTGATTTTTTTTAAGACTTAGCATACTGAACTTGAACCTGAAACTTTGCTTCCATCGATAAAAAAGTCGCCTCGTAGTCATCCACGGTCATAATATGGTAACTCCTTCTCTCCGTTTATTGCACTGTGGTCACCATGGTCGCCATTGCTGCGTTAACCGTGACGGTTCATAGGTCTCGTACGGGAGAGTGTATTCATCAGTAAAACGGTCTGGTCTGTCGATTCGTTCGCGCGAGAAGATGTCATAGTCCGGGTCAATCTCTTGTTCCACTGGCGGCTCCGGCTCTAGAAGAGAGAAAAGATAGAGATGTTAGTGTTAGTGACTTGAAAAGCGGAGACCCATTGTCCTGACTTACCTCTGAACTCAGGCTCGCCTTCCTTTCTCGGGCGTCCACGAAGAATGAAACACACGACAGGCTCCTCAGGGTGTGGACAGGGAGGCTGGGGCCAGTCTCCATCGCAGTAGAGACGGATGCCCTTTCCTAGAAGCTCGATGAAATTCTCTCCGGTGACTTGAATCTCATCAGGTTGTTTCTCCAGTGGGACAGGATGGCCACCATAGAATTTGCGAGGACTCCAGAAAAGTTCCAGGATGCAGTCAGGATGATGACGGTATGGAACGCAGTATTCCTTCCTGAGGGAATAGCCTATGAAGCGAGGATACTCAAGAGTGTCGACGCGTGCCCACTCGTCTCCTCGCGCGTCATCTGTTTGAAGGGAGCGTACTTCGATTATTTTCATGACCTTGGGGTGGCCGGGCGAGAGGATCCAGATCTGAGGTTTCTGAATGAAACGAAAATTGAAGGCATGCATGATCTGAGGTGGAACCTCACGTGCTGCCTCAGCAGGCGTCATGTACAGATTACCGCGCTCCATTGTGGTGATGGAGTGAGATGAGGATGTGGCGGTTGTGGAAGAAGACGCGTCAAGAGGAGGTGGGGGTGAAGGGTAGAGAGAGAATAGGAAGATGGAGAGAGAGAATAGGAAGATGGAGAGAGAGAGTAGAATGGAAGAGTGAGGGAGATGAAGAGGAAGAGGAAGAGTGAATGTTTATGCTAACCATATGTTGTTAGGCAAGTTCAGACCAACTTTAGAAGTTTTGATTGTGTTGAGTCATGAGCTCCATTACTGAGTGAATACTATAAGAGGCTAGAAATATTATAGAGAGAATAATTTCATGATCATAAACACAACCTGCTTCCAATCATTTCTACACATGCTGTTGGATGAGCTGAACTGTGCTAAGGGTATTACTTGTCTCCCGGGCTATCTAGTTAGGTACCTGTTTATAGACCCCGAGTATATAGAAAAGAAGTGAAGTTCAGCCATGTATTGATCAATCCATGTAAATCATGTCAATCATGTAAATCAGTGGAGTATCGGCCATTTATCGGACTTAACTTGACTCGGTTCGGGATCGACAATGTTGATCTTTTTCTCTATCCCGAATGTAAAAATGGAACAACAGAGACATCCGTTGAAGATCACGATTTGTTTCACTACTAAACTCTCTGAAAAATGAGAAAATACCTCGGACTCCGGATTTCAATGTTAATCTGACGATGCAATTTCCGATTAGTGCACAGTACTATGCGGATCATCCATGCATTGGCCAATCATAGATGAAAAGTGCCATATTTCCCCCGTGGGGTATGTTGTCGTGCAGATATGATCTGGTGATGAGAATAAAAATAGCAGGCAAAATCCCCCCCCTTTCAAAGCATTAGTTATTTTTCAACCCCTGAAGACCATTCACCTCAATCGCCATGTTCAATGTTTTGGCACTCGCGTTGGTGACGCCAGGGGTTCTCTCCTCTGTGCTGCACCAGATACCTGTACGACGTGACTCGAGTCTTTCCAGTTTTATCCAATCGGAGTCCTCTGTTGCCCTTCAAGGTGTGCTGAACAATATCGGCGCTGATGGGAGTAAAGTGGCTGGTGCTTCGTCTGGAGTTGTGGTGGCATCACCATCTAAGGTGAACCCAGACTGTGAGTTTATGAAGAGACCCAAAATGTTCAATACAAACACTGACTCGGCTAGACTTCTACACATGGACTCGAGACGGAGCATTGACTCTAAAAGTCCTGGTGGATACCTTCCTTGCTGGTGATAGTTCCCTCGAATCCACTATTCAGCAGTACATCGATGCCGAAGCCCAGATACAAGCTGTATCTAACCCATCTGGGGACCTGTCCGATGGTGCTGGACTGGGTGAGCCTAAATTCGAAGTTAATATCACTGCATTCACCGGTGACTGGGGCAGACCTCAACGAGACGGGCCAGCATTACGTGCAACTGCACTAATTGCTTATGGAAATTACCTGGTTTCCAAGGGCGAAGAGTCTATCGTCAAGTCTAACATCTGGCCAATTGTAGAGAACGACCTGAACTACGTTGCCCAGTACTGGAATCAGACAGGATATGATCTCTGGGAGGAAATCTTGGGGTCATCTTTCTTTACATTGGCTTCGCAACACCGTGCTTTGGTCGAGGGAAGTGCATTCGCACAGACGCTTGGAGAATCCTGTACTGGATGTGACTCCCAAGCTCCTCAGGTGTTGTGTTTCCTCCAAGACTTCTGGAATGGCACTTCTATTATTTCCAACTTGGCAAACGATGGACGCACCGGCTTGGATGCAAATTCCCTGATTAGCTCTATCCAAACCTTCGATCCTGAAGCTGCCTGTGATGATTCAACCTTCCAGCCCTGCTCTGCGCGTGCATTGTCTAACCACAAGTTGGTTGTTGACTCTTTCCGATCTATCTATACCGTTAACAGTGGCAAATCCACTGGAAGTGCCGTCGCTGTTGGTCGCTATGCGGAAGACGTTTACCAAGGAGGAAACCCATGGTAAGTCTACTCAAAACATCATTCTCGGAAATTGAATAACTAATTATAAACTAGGTATTTGTGCACTCTAGCTGCAGCAGAACAACTATATGATGCTCTCTACCAGTGGAATAAGCAAGGGACGCTAGAGGTCTCCCAGACCAGCCTTTCATTTTTCCAGGCACTTACATCTTCCACGGCCATTGGAAATTACTCCAGTTCATCAGCCACTTATTCCACTCTGACTAGTGCTGTGAAGACTTATGCAGATGGGTTTGTGTCCATCGTGCACGAATATACCCCTAGCAATGGATCCCTGGCGGAGCAGTTTAGCCGAGCTGATGGGACACCAACATCTGCAGGAGATCTGACTTGGTCATACGCGGCATTTATCACTGCAGGCGACCGTCGAAATGGAACCGTACCAAGTAGTTGGGGATCATCCACTGCTAATACTATTCCATCTCAGTGTTCTGGCAGTTCAGTTACTGGTAGCTACACAACACCTTCAGTTGGTACATGGTGACCTAATTGGGACATAATCGCGAGGAACAAAAAAATATATGAGACTAAACTTGATATAGATTAGTGTCACATGTGGAGTAAGGGTTCAACACGAGAAAGAGAAAAATTCAGTTGCTCTATATAATCCTACATGGCAGCCTAATTCCTTATCTGAAAACTCATTATTCCCTGCTACTAATAGTAGATTTCAACTCAGTTTTGTTCTTTCCTTCAAATTTCTTTCTTTATTGTAATTCTACCGATCATCGTGATCAAACACTATGGGTCACCCCAAAGACGATCGTCCCGATCGCCCTGATCGCACCGACGCGGAATCCTCTCATTCTCTTCACTCTCTCAACGACTCAGATGATCTCCCACCCCCTTACACCGATGAACCCGAATACACCACTCCAACAGTCCCCGGAATCGCTCCTCTCCCTCTTCATCTTCGCCTCGTAGACTCCGCCTACCACCTCCCAGACTCAATCTTCCGCGCGACCGACAAGCGAGCGATCTCGATCGCGCCCGCGCTATCTCGCAACAGCGATGAACTCTTCCACACAATTCGGCGACAGATGAAGTTGCCTCCACGCCCATTACTCTGGATCAAAGGAACCCACACCGAGTCCTCGAATAACGGCAAGAAAAAAGAAAACAACACCGTTACGGATTTCGAATTCAAGCTCGATCTCGCGGAAACAATATTGACAGGATGGGAAGACGGGTCACCTATGAAAACACGTTGGGTAGCTGAGGAAGTCCTTAATGATGAGGATTACAAACCTGCTTTTCGTGGTGGGAGGACGCAGACCCGGATATACCATGCCCCAAGATCTTGTGGGACTCGTTCTGAGGATCAAGATGCCCTTTTAGCATCTGATGATGCCCTGGAGGCTGCAGAAGAACCCCGCACAGATAATGAGGCTCATTTGAAGATGTGGTGTGAGCGATTCTGCCAGGATCCTTCACCTGTCAAATCGTACGTATTTTCCAACCACTTGTCCTCGAACTAAACTGATCCCTTCCAGATTCACACTCCAACGCCAAATCGCCGGCTTCGACTGGAAAGCCATGCGCAATGTCCTGACCTCGCACATTCGTGAACTAAACTACCACGGCTCCGTCTCTTTCTCTTTTACTATTGCTCAAGAACACGTCACTATCTACTCTCCACACTGGATTAACCGACTCCGCGCAAACCGGTACATCTGGTGGATATTCGTTATTCTGCAACTCTGGATACTCAGCTGGCCTATAATCTGGTTTATGGAGAAGCGATACGAGCTCGCTCATACACGGTGGTACTCCTCGATAGACTGTCCCTTGAACGAGACAGGTCTAAATAAGGAATATGCTCGTGGTCGTGATGAGGCTACGCTGGGTTTATTCTGGGCTCCGGCTGTGAAGCGTGCTGCGTGGAGTAGGCGATGTGGAGAGGGTGATACATTAACGAGGATGGATGCCGAGCGGGTTCAAGGGTTGACTTTGGAACAATTGCTTGGTGTGAGACAGCAGACTGATTCTTCGGCGGAGCAGGAACGTCGTCAACGGGTTAATAATGGAAATGGAGGGTTTGTTGATCATGTTGTGGGTCTTGTTCGGGGCATTGGGGAGGTTGGTCAGGATTGGAGATTGACTATGGGTTGGGGAGACAATTCTTAAGAGATACCTCAATTGCTGGTTTCATTTTTAGCAGTAGTTCATTTGGCTCAGAGCACATGGGTTTGGTTTATTCAATCGAGTTTAAGTTGCTGAACTGTCACTTCTCAATGAGTAACTTGAACAACCGAGTACCTATATCTTGTAGAACTGGAAGTAGATCGTCGAGAGCTTCTAACCAGTTGACCACCCAAACATAGAATTTGATCAACATTCTTTGGGAATCAATTCCAAGGTTTTCAGACACTGCATGTGGAATCTGCACGAAAATGCTATGGACAAGAACATCCATCAGTAGATCCAATAAAAGCTCAGGCTTCAAGGACTGGGCAACATCTCTGGTCTTATCAAAACGGTTACTCTAACCCAGAGTATTACTTCAAGCTCACGATGATCCATGGATCTTGGAAGAATTTCGTGTATAGTTCATATAATATACTAATATGTGCGTTATATACACGATGGCTCCAGCCATCAATCTCAAAATTAAATACCCAGGCGCCGTGCTAGTAAAAGAAATAGCAGGAGTATGTACTCAGTGCTCAAGAGACAAGAAAAAAAAGAGTCAACTCTATACGCTAAAGCCCAACTATACAAGTGAAGGCAAAAAGAAAAATCTTCAATCATGAACAAGATAATCAAGCCCGCGAAGGGAGATTCACAGGATGGGGCTTTTGAACGAAGAAGAATCCCTCTGCAGTACTAAGATCACAGATGGACTCCGGGGCATGCGTTGAGGGAGAGTTCGAAGTAGGTAACGCACTCCACTCTGTCTCTTTATCCCTTGATACCACAGTCTCCACATCCGTTTGATTTGAATGCCTGTGTGCGGGTGACAACGCGACGAGGTTATCAGCTTGACTATGCTCTGAAGCGCTATCAGAGAAGAAGCTGGTGTTTTTGCGATCGGATCCAACGGAGCGTTTGTTGACGTAGTCTTGAGATTCGGGTTGTGAGGCCTTGCTTTGTCGGTGTGCAACGAAGAAGGATCGGAAGGCGCTGGCTGCGGCGAGAAGGACGCTGAAGTTGGCGCTTTGCGTGAGCCAGTACATCTCCCATACGTCGTAGTCTTCATCGCGGAAGCGGAGTCCGACGGCTCGCGCTACTGAAAGGGCGACTAGGATTGATGTGAGGCATAGGGAGCCACCGACGACTAGCTTTTGTTTGAGCTCCATGGAGACGTTCCAGATAAGTCCGATTGGGATGACGAGGACTGTTATAGGTTAGTTTTTGTTACTATCAGTGTTGTTGGGAAGACGTACTCAGCATATCGGCGACAATATCCATGAAAATTTGACCCGATGAGTATCTAACGATACTACTGGACCATCCTCCAGTGGGACATGTAACTATATCTCTGTTAATACTGGTCTGGTGCATTGAGAAGAGAACCTCCAAGGTTGACTTACGTGCTGCTTCGCCCCAATGAGGACAACTGACATAGAAAACCGAGACACCGAAGGTCGCATTGGCGATGTTGAAGATAAACAGGAACCACCAGTAAATCTTCCAGTTTCGTAAACGATCGACCAATCTCCAAAAGAAAAGAAGGAAGAAGAACTTAACCGCCGAAATGGTTAACCAGCTAAGCATCAGCGAAGCAATAGCCCACTTATGGAAGTCCAATGCCTTATCAGTCAATAAGGCAGGATTTCTCATTTCTTCCATTTCTAAATCGAGACTGATATGCCCCGAAGAAATGGCAATGAGCAGGTACATTGTGCTGACGGCCTTGTTGTACATGATGATGAGTGCCGCCAGTAAGAGCGCACTGGCAAGTAGGAGTAAAGCATCATCGATCTGGAACCTTTGTCTTTGTATAGGAAACCGAACAACGAAGCGGACGATGACCGCAATTAGAGCTAATCCTAAGAAGAACCCCGTGGAGACCTATAAGAGTGAGCAAGGATGTTCAATATGTAGAGTGTAAAGCTTAAGATACATACCACAAAGGCTTTCTTATGGATTGGGCCAATATTATTCTCCTCTGAGGCCATTTTAACGTCTACCCAAAGAACGGAATGCCATGTGGGAAAGTGGAGGGATATAAGCTGGTTTTACAAGAAAAACAATGAAGAGGGGGAACGAAAGAGCCCAAGCGTTTGCGTCATGCTAAAAATCATGCAGGATCCGTGATGGGGTCCATAAGGGCATGTTTTTTTTTCTTTCTATTCTTCAAGGGATCTTCATGAGGAATTGATTGTTTTTGGTTAGATCTAGTGTTGCTAAGTGTGGTTTTTTTGGCCCGGGGCCAGAAAGTGTTCGCACTGATGCTCGAATTGGTCAATATAAAAACCACTATGGTGGAGACTCGATCCTTCGTATTGGTATTACCATGGTATTTCACGTTAATTACGGAATTTTAAGTCTGATTTCAGTCTGATCAGTCTTAGTCGAGACCCAGCACAACGGAGATTCACCCAGAAAGAAAATAGTTAATGTTTTATCCACAATAATATGGAGACAGAAGAATAATGGGCATTCATGTTTAATAGTTGAAATTGGCTCATTGTTCTGTAAGGCGAGGTATTAACCTTGGAAATTGATAGTACTACATACAGATTGCGGGAAGGATGGATAGACGTTCTTCACTGTATACGAGTTAACTGGTATAGCTGAGTTATGTCCAAGTTTATACTATTTCGCATTTCTTGCAATCTCTCGCCTGCAACTGTGTTCGTGTTGATCAATTTTAATATCCACATGGTCACCACGTGTGCTCGTGTTTTCCAGCGATCCACCTTGGGGCCAATTCAGTGAGACTATCTTCGAGCGACGCCATGCCATGTGGGCCGATTAGTCTTCACTTTCGCGCTTGTCGCGATATTGACAAGTTGCGACGATCAGAACACTCCTATTTACCGCATAAAAATGATCTAATGTTTGAGGTGTACTAGTAATGATAGCCGAGAGAAAAACCGAGATTATGATGTTGATATTGGCCTGATCTTTCAATGTCGGAAATTCATCCGAGACATTCAATCTCACCTTTCGGCCTTATGGGGATAATACATTGAATACAAAACCATATTAAAGAGCTGAGCTCATTTCACCCCTTAAGAGGAGTCTTCATCATTCAAAGTTTCTAGAATGAATAGTCCTGAACTATAGTACTTACATGTACTATACCCGAGTCCATATTGTTCCCGAGGGATAACCGCGCCTCAAGCCCTGGAGGGTGAGACAGCTCGCGAGTCAGAGCATTTGAAACATTCCCTATTCTAGAATCATTAACTATTATCTGATGACCATTATTGGGATTTTCCACGTGGGTTCTATATCGAATGAGTGGAGATTGGGGCTAATACGACGTCTTACATGCTGAGATGATTACTTTAATTCCCAATACTTTGGCTACCGAAGCGTATAATTCTTCTGGGTTACGTCTGAGATTAATAGATTCATCCTTTCAAAGACTGATAGATTGTAATATTCAAGGAACCAGAATTATTAGCCGAAGAGAAAATAGAGCATGATGGGGTGTCTAGAGCAGATCTATCATCTATCACAGTATAGCAGTTCATGAAGAACCCTATTGGCTCTGTAACATGTGACCAACTTGAATGTGATAAGACGAGTATTTCAGCTCATCCCTGTCCATACCTTACAGGCCCACCAGGTGTGGGAGATGAGAACAGGAAAAAATTCCTAAAAAGGAGATCTAATTCTGGTTCAGGGACTCAGATCGAGACAACCCAAATTACCTGAACCCCACCATTCCAGATCGATGGCTCGGTCTAAGTAGCCCACTTTATTCTCTCATTTATGCCTTGGGTATCTTGAAAGGGTCCAGAATTGAATTTAGCAGTGACCAACTATACGAATCTTCAAAATTACCTAGCTTACCTTGAGTTCAATGTTCAGCTTCCCAGACTCGGACTAATATAACAGATGAGATCATCAACACTCACAGGATTTCGGACTATTTTTGACAGCACTTGAGCGACTGCATGAAATCCAATGAGCAGCATGAGTTCAGCGAGAAGGATTCAAAATGACGTCAGAGGCTCATGGAACGGTCTTTGTACCTAAAATGTACTGTAGATTTATATTAATTGAGTCATTTTGTATGCATATACTAGTGTTGAATATTCAATACTTTGAGTCAGCATTTTGAACATTTTTGAAGGTTGCCAAGGTACTTGATACCTCAAATGTCTATACTCATGGACTTTATTTCACCAGGAAGAAGGTTTCAAGGTTCAAGTTTCTGCTGCATTATGCATAGTACCTAGTTTATTAAATTTCATCTGATTGGAGGCTATAAATACATCATGATCATGTTCAGGTTCAAGGTTGAGACTAAACGATAACAATCATCTCTCACAGCATGTTTTCCTACAATTACCATTTACCATATCACATTCCACTGCTGTACAGCCTTTTGCTAAGCGTACCCTTTGAAAAAAAAATCAGACGTTTAGTTGACGAGCTAAGCCCATAGTAGTAGGGACCTTGAAGCTCAGTGGATCCAACCCATTCACCAAGTCCCCTATTTATCTCAAACTCTCCATTAAAGGGAGGGAAAATATGAGCTTGGTAGCTGAATTAAAATTTCATTTATAATTTTTTCTCCGAATTATCTTCATAAATATCCACACGAGAAGAGGAGACTATGGAGTTGAAGACCCGTTTCAACATCGTATCAGCGGGTTCTAGCGTAAAGCCTGACAATACGAAATACGCAAAAATGGCCCCCAAAACACCCTGCGCGATGAGCCGCGGGGTATCGCTTCATGAATAATGATCCATCAACCAAATGAACGGTGTGGACGAACTCGTGGAAAGAATTTCAAGGTTAACTTGAAAAGGTCAAATGGTGCGAATATCGAAAAGTCACACAGTCACCTATCAAAGTGATCTATGATGATCTATGACGACCTTCAACTTTCGCTTGTTCTGCATTTATAGCCAAGGATGCCCCCACCGCCACATGGAGGCATCTTCCTTCAAGTTTGTGGGATCTTCATTTAATTGATTGCAAATCTTGAACCCAGACTTGTCATGATGGCGGATTCTGCGGATTCTGTGGCTTCTCAAATTGTCGTCTTTTGCTTTTTACTAATGCTTCCATTCTATATTACCTACTTCATTACCTTGGCACTGGACTTCTTTATCCCCCAGGAAGGGAATCCAAGTCCCAATCTAAGCCAATTGCCCGTCTCAAGCCACATTCACGAAGCTCATATCCGTTTCCTGGGCTACTCTTGTTCACTATCATTTGGGTTCGCCGAGCCGACCTCTTTGAGCGGTTAAGTGGATTATTTTCACACCGTCCGAACAGCCGAAAGATTCGGAGTAAGAGGCTAACGCTATCCTGGACGAGCGTCAGACTTGGAGCCCGTCTTGGCTTGATGCTGCGCTGTATTTGGGTTGTCTTACCACCGCCGATCCAATTTTGGTAACCTTTCTGCAGCCATGCTGCAAGATTTCCTGAACAGGGCTAGTTCGGACGGGATGTCAAGGGGAATGGATCTGGCGATGGGGGCCAAATGTCTCCTATTTGACGGCTTCTTGTCGACATTGTCTAGTCCCACAGCTTGGACCTCTCAAAGCTATGAGATCTGTTGGGCATGGATATGACGTGGGTACTAATGGGTGGGGCATCCTCGTGGCCTACTTTTATGATTCATCCCGCTTCTCAAGTAAGTGGATCCGAAAGGAGTGATAGGATTTTTGGATTTGTGATGTTGACGGATTACATTACTCTAGTGGTAGTGGACTCCGTTCTCCATCACCGTGTTTGTTCCGCACGGCCGAACTCCTCTTGAGCTGCCTGACACCTGAAAGTGATGCCTTAACGATTCCTTTGACGACTTATGAAATAATTATGATCTCCACTCTTTACGACGTGACGAATAGCAACTGAGCACATATCGCCATTACGAGCTATCCAATCACATTGAGGTGACTGGTCACTTTGGGGGCCAAAACAACCCAAAATGAGTTAGAGTATGTGCTAGTGTTGATGAATGATGAATCCGATCAACTGATGACCCAGTTAAACGCTGATATCAATCTTGAATACCCCATGGTTTTGTTACAGAGTAGGATAAATAGTGCGAAGAGAGTGCGAAGTAATTAAAGAGCTCAGCGATAGAGCTGGTTTACTATGAGATGTGTTCGTATATCAATATTTTGCGAGGCCCTGGAATGAATCTTGCTTTCCACGATGACTTCTATCCTGACTTTCTTCACTTTTAATGAATCCCTCTCGTCACCTTTCTCAAAGACGAGAGAAAAGTTATGGCGAACTTAACTGAAGACGGCGAAATCGACCCAGTACAAGAATGGCTGGTTCAAGAGCAACAGTGTGGAGATCAGTATGTTCTCCACCAACCCCGTGGGGTCTCCTTTGTGGACGTCGATGTGAATGGATACATGGAGGCCAATTCCTTCCAACGGACCTTCGCCAGTTACATTCAGTTGATACCGAGTTACCTCAAGACGCTATTTGGGAATCGCGGCCCACAACAAAAAGTACGGATTTTGAGAGACTTGAATGGCCTGGTTCGATCAGGTGAGATGCTTTTGGTTCTTGGTCGACCTGGTAGTGGTTGCACGACATTTCTTAAGACGATAGCTGGCGTTGTAAATGGAATTGAAGTTACGGAAAAGCAAAATGGTGGCATACAGTATGAAGGTGCGTGGACATACTGTTCTTCTCAACAGCCACCATTACTGATACTATACCATGGTCATAGGAACTCCATTTCAAGAGATGGACAAACAGAACTGGGCCGAGACCATCTACCTCGCCGAAGATGATATCCATTTACCGGAACTTTCCCTCAAAGAGACACTTGCCTTTGCAGCTGAGATGAGACCCCGCGTACAAGCAGCAGAGCTTGTTAGTCGCCAAACAGCCTCTATCTACGGACTCCAACAGGTGCTTGATACTCAGGTGGGAAATGACTTGATACGTGGACTGAGTGGAGGTGAGAAACGACGAACAAGTATTGCCGAGGCTTTTCTCAGTGGATGTCCAATTCAATGCTGTGATAATAGTATTCGAGGACTGGATAGCGCAACAGCACTGAATGTCGTGCGAACTTTGCGACGAGTGACCAGCACACTGAAGTTGACTGTGATGACAACCATCTACCAGACACCTGAGTAGATCTACTGCGAATTCGACAAGGTACTGCTGCTCTACCAAGGCCGACAAATCTATTTCGGCTCTACCAGCAACGCGGCCGATTATTTTGAGCGATTGGGCTTTGTTAGATCTGATGGGGCAACAACAGCTGACTTCTTGAATTCCCTGACAAATCCAGCAGAGCGTCTAATCAGCAACGGAGCTGAAAGTACCGTTCCTCGAACAGCGGATGAATTTGCACAAGTATGGCAACAAAGCCCAGAATTTCTGACTTTTAAGAAGGAAATGTCTGAATACAGTGACATGTGCCGAAAATCCTCAACGAGATCCTCCTACCCGACATCCATGATGCACCAAATTAATGTATGTATCACTCGAGTCATTATTCGATCTCGTCATAACATGCAAGGTCTCATTTCCGCAGTCGTGGGAAATACCATACTCGCCATCATCCTCGGCAGTCTACTCTACAATTTGCCCGAGGACACAGGAAGCTTCGAATCACGGAGTATCTTAGTCTTCTATGCTACCATGATGGACTCCTGTATACCAGCCTTTGAAGTCACTGGTCTATGGACACAACGGCCAAGAGTGGAGAAGCAGAGTCGCTACGCCTTTTACCACCCCGTCGCCGAAGGGATCGCCTCCATGTTAACCGATTTACCTGTGAAGGCCCTGACATCTCTTTGCTTCAAAATATCAGTGTACTTTCTTGCAAATCTCCGTCGAACCGCTTCGGCATTTTTTACTTTTTGGTTATTTGGACTTGTGGTTATGGTGACCATGTCCATGATTTTTCCGATCAGTTGGATCCATCTCACGTACCTATGCACAATCATTGGCTCCAGTATCAATCATATATTCATGTTTATAATTTATGCGGGCTTTGTTATCCCACCAAGTGATCAGGTTCCATGGCTTAGTTGGATCCGTTACTTTAATCCGATGGCGTACACAAACGAAAGTCTTATGATTAATGAATTTCGGGGTCGTCGTTACCAATGCTCCACGTTTGTTCCATCCGGACCTACATACTCGGACAATGATCTTAGCGGGAAGATTTGTTCGGCTATTGGGAGTGTGGCAGGTCAGTCATGGGTAGATGGGAATCGGTACTTGGAGCTCAAGTATGGGTACTCTGTTGATCATTTGTGGCGGAATCTGGGTAGCCTCTTCGCCTTGATGGCTGGATTCTGTGCTGTGTATCTTCTTGCTGCGGAGTATATCCAGGCCCAACGTTCCAAGGGTGATATCCTGCTGTTCAGGCGAAAAGATGTTCGTCCTCCTGAGGAAAGCGTCGAAATCGATCTGATACAGGCCAGGGAGAAAGAGATTAAGGATAAGGACCCAGCTTCTGTCATGAACTCAGTGTCGGCAAAAGAGCTGAGTCACCAGTCATCAGTATTCTGCTGGAGTGATGTAGGCTACGACATCAAGCTGGAGAACAAAAAGGAACCCTCTCCTATTCTCCAGGGCGTGGATGGCTGGGTGACTCGCGGACCATTAACCGCATTGATGGGATCAACCGGCGCTGGAAAAACCACCCTCCTAGATGTTCTCGCAAACCGAAAGTCCGCTGGAATTGTTCATGGAGATGTTCTTATCGACGGTCATCTCCGAGATGGTTGTTTCCAGCGAAAAACAGGTTATGTGCAACAGGCCGATATCCATCTCCCGACCGGCGACCGTACGCGAGGCACTAGAATTTAGTGCTCTTCTTCGTCAACCGAGAGAGTTACCAAAATCAGAGAAACTTGCATATGTGGACACTGTGCTCCAAATGTTGGAAATGGAGTCATACTCGGAGGCTGTTGTCGGTGTTCCTGGCAAGGGGCTAAACATTGAACAGCGAAAACGATTGACCATTGCAGTGGAGATGGCTGCCCGTCCGGAACTACTTTTCCTTGACGAACCCACTTCTGGACTCGATAGTCAAACTGCCTGGTCGATATGTACTCTTCTTCGGAAACTTTCAGATAATGGCCAACCTATTCTATGTACCATCCACCAGCCCTCCGCGGAGCTATTCCAGATGTTCGATCGACTCCTCTTTTTGCAATCGGGATGCTCGCTCTATTTTGGGGACTTGGGAAATAAGGCTGCGACATTGATTGAATACTTTTGTCGCTTTGGAGCTCGTGTTCCAAAAGAGGGTGAGAATCCTGCTGAATGGCTTCTCGAGGTTACAGCCGCTTCCCCGACGGAGAAGGATTGGGCGGATGTGTGGTCTACCAGCCCGGAGACCGAGAATGTCAAGCGAGATATTGCTATGATGGGAGAGAATCAGAGCAACACTGTCTTGACTGATATGAACGATTATGAGTATGCTGCTTCGCAGTACACACAGCTCTTGCTGGTTACCCGTCGCATGTTCCAGGACTATTGGCGAGAACCAACCTACCTATACTCGAAGCTTGCTTTATGTGTTGGCTCAGTAAGTATTCCACCATTATTTCTTAACTCGAGCTCTGCTAACAGGAGATACACCAGGGATTCTTCAATAGTATCTCATTTTGGATGATCGATCACACAGTGCAAGGACTAACTAGCTCCCTCTTCTCCTGCTTCCTCCTCACAATCATCTTTAGCACAATCGACCAACAAATAAACCCCCGTTTCATCGACGGACGCGAAATCTTCGAAGCGTGCGAAAGACAATCAAAAACCTACAGTTGGCCCATATTCGTCGCCGCAAACATGATCATCGAATTAATCTGGCAATCTCTAACGGCCATTCCAGTCTTCGTAGCCTGGTACTATCCTTTTGGATTCTGGCGAAACGGATTAAACGACACATTCAGTATGAAAGAGCGCGCGATTCTAATTTTCCTTCTTCTCTCGTTTTTCCTAGTCTTCACATCCACTCTTTCCCAAGCAATTGCAGCAAGTATGAGTGATTCACTTACCGCGGTGAATATCGCGAACTTAATGTTTACGCTTTGTCTTTTATTCTGCGGTATCCTTGTTGAGCCTGATGCGTTGCCTCGATTCTGGATCTTCATGTACCGTGCCAGTCCGGTGACTTATCTTATGGGTGGTATGATCAAGGCGGCATTAGCTGATACGGCTTTGAATTGTGTATCTATTGATCTTCTTCATATCCCGCTGCATTCAGGAAGTGATTCTACTTTGTCGTGTGGTTCTTATCTTAATTCATATGTGCAGAGTATGGGTGGTAGGATTTTGAATCCGAATACAACGGCGGGGATGAGTGAGAATTGTGTCTTTTGTGATGTGACTGATGCGAATACTACACTTAAGGGAATGAGCATGGATGTTCATACGCGATGGCGCGATTTAGGAATCTTTGTAGTATACGTGGTGGTGAATGTTGCTGGGATATTCTTCTTTTATTGGATAAGTAGAGGTCGGAACAAGAGTGGCTAGAGCCTTGGAAGAGAGGGAGAGTGAAAAATGTCGTAATAATATTGTATATTTATTTGAGGTTTCAAAAATTAAGTGAAAAGAAATCAAAAATTAAAAAGAAATAAAGAAATGAAAGTAACGTGAAGAGAGAGGAAACCGATGACAATCTAATACACACACCACTATTCAGATTTAAAGTGTCGAATCTAATCGCACTCCGCAGTCTTGGTAGCAGTGACAGTAGTAGTCGTAGTTGTGCTCTTCACCTTCGTAGAAGTAGACGTAGCACGCTCTGTGATGGTCACAGAAGGCTTATCAGTCACAGTGGTAGTCTTGGTAACCGTGCTTGTAGAAGCAGGGATAGTGACTGTGGTCTTGATAGTTGTCGTCTTGTACTTGGTAGTGGTAGAGGCAGCAGGAGTAACAGTACTCTTCACAGTTGAAGTCTTCATGCTAACAGTGGTAACGGTTGAACCTGGAACAGTTGTAGTAGAAGTCTTGGCCACGGTGGAGATAGCAGTTGTGGTAATTGTCGATGCTTCCAGGGTTGTGGTCTTGCCGACTGAGGTTACGTCTGTAGTATAAACGGTCACAGTCACTGCTGGAATGGTGGTGGTGGATTCCTTTGTCACAATGGATGTGACGGTATCTGTGGTAGTCGAGGCCTTGAGTGAGGTTGTCTTCGTAGCCACTGAAGTGACATAGTCCGTGGCGCTTGGCAAGGTGGTGGTAAGGGTCTTCACCACAACGTCGACGTCAGTGACATAGTCGGTCACAATGGCAACGTTGGCACGAGGGACAAGCTCGCGCTTGACCTTCTTCAAAGCAGCATCACAGCTGACAGTTGTGGTGGCAGTCTTAGTACTGGTCTTGGTGGAGGTCGAAGTAACGGTCTCGGTTGTCGCCTTGGTACTGATTGTCGTGGTGCCTCCAGTTCCAACAGTGACAGTCTCAGTGGTAGTTGTCTTTTCAGCGTCCTTGCTGCTAGTCTTGGTGCTGTAGACTGTGACCGTGTCTGTAGTTGTCACAGTGGAAGCCTTGGTAGTAGTTGTCGAAGTCACAGTGGTAGTGCTCTTCACTGTTGTTGTGGTAGCCTTACTGGTAACTGTCACATAATCTGTGGTCGTGGTCTTATCAGTCTTTGTAGTCGTCTTGGCATCCGGTGTGATGGTTGTTCCAATATCAGTTGTCGAAGTCACAGTCTTGGTGGTGGTCTTGGTAGGCTCATCCACTGTCTCAGTTGTGGTGGTAGTAGACTTGGCGGTAGTAGTCTTTGTGACTTCAGCAGGTGTGATAGTGGTAGTTGTGGTAGACTTGACCGTCGAAGTCTTATCAGTTGGAGTGACAGTATCCACAATATCGGAAGTCGAGGTCAAAATGACACCGACTGTGACCACGGATGTTTCTGTGGAAGCAGAGACTGTCGAGGATGAGGCAGCAGTAGACACAGCCACGGAAGAGACTGTAGTCGTGGATGAAGTATCCGGAACGAAGGGCGTACCATCAACGTGGGTGAAGTCGATCCAAGAAGTTGTCGCAAAGAAATTGTCCAACTCGAATTGCACAACGCCGGTGTTGTTCAGCTGTGTCGCAAAGGAAACACGGTCTGCGGTGCTTGAACCAGGACCATAGTTGCCATACTCGGCAAAGGTGACACCGTCTGTCAGGGGGTCAGAAGACGACCACTCTTCCCATCCAGCAGCGTCCACACAAGAGTCAAGGTAAGAGTCAATGTATGCGACCCGTGCGTATTCATTCCAAGGGCGACCCAGAGAGATCTTGGACATAGTTCCCGCTCCAGTGGAGGGGACGATGGTGCATTGATCGAAGACAAGACCTCCGGCGGTTGTTATTGTAGTACGCTTGTCTGCAGTGAGGTTGATATCATCTTCGTTGGGCGAAATGGTTGTGTTCAGGAAGTAGGCAGCACCACTTCCCCAGATCATGTCAATGTTTCCTTCGACATATCCGTTCGACATCCAGAGGTATCCGTTGATGAGCAGAGCATCCTGGTTTCCAATGACCTGACAGCCTAATTAGAGTGTTAGCATGCATTGAGATCGCTGTTCTTTTTGGTTCCAACTCACCATAAAGACTAGCATATTTGCTTGACTTGACAGCAAAACCGAGGGTTGCAATGTCCTTCTGTGTGCCGTTGTTGTTGACGAAGTTGATGTTGATGGCCTGAAGACTAGTTAGTATTTAGGATAAGGGGAGCATGACTCTTAGCTGAGCATACCTCAAAATAGTTTCCAGTGGCGTAGACAGTGGCACTGTCCGAGTTGGACTCATCAGCCTGAGTATCCACACCATAGTTGTACTGAATAGTGACTTGATTGCTAGAATAGTCGTAGGTGGAGTTTGAGTAACCCATGAAAATGACAGTTCCAGATTTGCTCACTATGAGCTGCTCCTCATATGTACCGGGGTAGATGAACACAGTAGGTGTAACACTAGACGACGTGGGGAGAGCATCGAGAGCACTCTGAATGGTGTCATAGTATGTAACATTCTCTCCAGGGCTAGTCTTCGAGACAATGTAAGCACCGTCAGGGGGAGTGGTTCCATCGTAAGCTGTGGCAGTAGCGCTAGCGGTGGCAGTAGCGGTGGCAGTAGAAGTCGTGGTGGTTCCAGAGACAGATGAGGGAGTAACGATCGTGTCCCAGTATGTCATATCGATCCAGTCAGTGGAATCCATGACGTCTTCCAGGGTGTAGGTATCCTCTGTGAGCAGGGTGGCATATCCGAATGCTTCACGAGAAGCCGCGTTGTTTTCCCAGTTTCCAGGTCCAGAGTTGTTGAACTCGGCAAATGTGATGTAGTCAGTGCGAGGATCAGAGGTCGACCAAATCTTCCACCCAGACGGGTTGATCACGTCAGTGATATAGGAATTCTTGATCACAACAAGAGCATATTCGGAATAGGGGCGACCAAGGTAGACAGTCTCCGTGAGATCCACCGTCGCATCGGCAGCAGCGGTAAAGAGAGTTTGGTCGAAAATATAACCACCGATCGCATCAGAGGAAGCTCTGCTTTGGGCAGTCATGGCAGACTTGGCATTCTTTGCTCCGATAGTACATCCCTTGAAGTAGGCCTTGGAGTATCCCCAGATGAAGTCAATTGCACCTTCAATGTACGAGGATTCGTAGTACTGGTATCCAGTCTTCGTATCAGTCAAGAGGGTATCTTGCCATCCTTGGAAATAAACACCTTGAAAAAATTAAAGTTAGTATCGTTTGTGATTGTGAGATGAAACACTAGTCAACATACCATAGAATGCCACATGGTTACCGGCAATGGACGCAGCCAAGGTCACGTAGCTGGACTCTGATCCATCCAGATTATCCGAGTTGATAATGTTGATGTTATAGAAAGCGATCTGTGTAGAGGCGGTCGTAATAGTCGCAGTCTCGGCATCGGAGTGGCCGGTTGGAAGTGGGGAAACAGAAAGACCCCGAGAGAAGGTGATGGTCACTTCGTTGTCGGCATAGCTCTGACCAGGGTTTCCAGTAGTGTATCCGATAATCATAACTGGTCCATCTCTATCAATTGATGGAACCTGCTCGTCATAGGTTCCAGCGTACAGGAAAATAATCTGGGTAGAGCTGTCATCGGGGAGAGAGGCCAATGCATCAGTGAGGTTGCTGTAAGATCCATTCATACTTCCGGAAGGGCTGACCAGGACTGCACCAGCAGGTGGAACAGTACCGCTGGTTGGGTGAGTCCAAGTAGCTGTTGTTGAGGCTGTCGATGTGGTGGAGGTTGCGGTGGAAGTTGTGTTAGAAGTGGAAGTGGCGGTGGTTGTGCCGCTGGCTCCTTCATCCAGACTATAGGACGGAACATAATCATATGCGGTCATGTCAAGCCAAGAAGTGTCACCAATCCAGTTTTCCAAAGTGTATGCCTCCGCCTCAGTCTCAGTGAGGTTTGTGGCAAAAGAGGCACGGCTGCTAGACCACTTTCCAGGACCAGAATTGTTGTACTCTCCAAATGTGACATAGTCGGTTTGAGGCGTGCTTGTGGACCAAACATGCCATCCAGCAGGGTTGATGTGCTGGTCAAGGTACGAGTTCATGTACACTACTCGACTGTACTCGGAGTAGGGTCTGCCGAGCCAAGTATCTTCGTAGGTGGTGCCATAGGTCGAGGTGTATGTCACAACGCAACTGTCGAAAACGTAACCTCCAGTTGCAGTGTCAGAAGAGCGGCTCATCGCAGCAATACAAGCTCCAGCGGTGTTTGCTGCAATAACACTCTGGTAGAAGTAGGCAGTCGAGAAACCCCAGATGTAATCAATGGAACCTTCAATGTAGCAGTTGGAGAATACCTGTGTTCCCTTGTTTGCAAGCAGTGTATCTTGGTATCCGATGAAGGAACAGCCATAAGACTGAACATTTCCGTAGAAGTCAGCAGCAAGAGCAGCGGTATTGGAGGTCTGTGGGTAAGTGTTTTGGAAATTGATGTTATAGATCGCCAGTCCCTTGCCGTCCGAATTCTTCGCATTGACTACCGGAGTTGTCTCGTCTTCACTGGCGCTCGTCAAAACACCATTAGAGTACGCGATGGTAACAGTGTTCTGGGTATAGTCATTCTCATATGTGGTTTCACCACGGAGGATTGTCTTTCCAGAACGGGTGATAGAGATCTGCTCGTCGTATGTACCACTCATGATGTAAATGGTATATTCCTCGCCGTCACTGGGAAGAGCGGCAATCGCAGCAGTGACATTCTTGTAAAGGCCGGCAGTTGGGTTGACCACAAAGGTACTAGTAGTGGAGCTGGAAGCCACGGAGCTAGTAGTAGTGGCAGAGCTGCTCACCACGGTAACGAACCCAGAGGACGTGGTCTGAGCAACTGTGGAAGTCGAGATTGGGGTAGAAGATGTTGAAGTAGTTGGAATAGCAGAGTCATCACTTTCAATCTTTGCAAGGACCGAGGAATCAACCCAGGTGGTATCGGAAGAGGCATAAGACGGGTAAGCAGCAGCAAAAATTTCACTCATGCTGTATTGCGCAACTTCTGAAGCATCCAGAAGGGAAACATATTCCGCACGAGTGGCAGCATTGCTCGCATAGGCGCCAGAGCCAGTGTTAGAGTACTCGGCGAAGAAGTTGTAGCCATCTTGAGTGGTAGTATCGACGTGAGCACCAGAAGCCGCAATAAAGCTGCCCAGTACTGAGTTCCGGTAGACAACCACAGTTCCGGCACCATTAGCAGCAGCCAAAAACACATTGGTGTTTGATAATCCAGACTTCTGCGTCACAGTAACAGTGTCGAGCACGACGGTGGAGTTGTACAAGGTAGAGTCAGTGGCAGTAGTTCCCTTCATGTATGTCAAGAGAGCCGAGCTGTCTGTTGGGACGAGCTCAGTATTGAACACATAGAGACTAGCCGCTCCATAGATGACCTTGTCAAGAGCCTCAACGTAGGAGTTGGCAATAAAACCAAGACCCACGCTAGCCGTAATACCCAGGGATCCAGTTGAGACAATTTGACAGTCGTAAAACGCATACTTATTACCCTTCAGAATCAGAGCTCCATAGGCCGATGCGGTATTCTCAAAGTTGATATTCTTGAAGCTGACTTGCTCAACATTGTTATTCACAGTCAAGACCGTGCCGGCATTAGTGATCGTGACCTCATTTTCGGTGTAATCGCCACTGTTAGAGTTTTGACCAACAATAGTGACGGTGGGAGTTGCTGAAACTGTGATAGCCTGAGTGTAGGTACCCGCAGAGACGGTGACAGTAGGGATGCCATTGCTTTGAGCGTAGGAAATAGCATCTCCAATGGCAGTGAACTGACCACTGCCATCAGCAGCTACTGTGACTGCGGTATTTGAAGCTGTATCAAAGTTAGTATGCACACTATGGCACTGATTATGTTCTAGAAGACTCACTTGAACACCCACAACTGGTAGTGGTTACAGCAGCAGTTGTAGCAGATGAGGAAGTGCTGCTAGTACTGCTAGTACTAGTACTTGTAGTCGATAAGACCGAAGAGCTAGGTGTAGTGGCAATCGCCAGCCCACTAAGGCTGACGATCAAAGGAAGAAGACGCATTCTCAAAGCCTTGGAAGACCGGAGCTACGTGATATCCAAGTTCAGCCCAGATCTTACCCAATGACACTATTCAATGGGTACAGACCAGACCTTGCGAAATCACGAAAGATCTTCAAACCGCCAAGAGGGGGATCATAGATATAAGCCATTTTACGGGGATGAGACAGATTTAGTCAATACCGTGGCTCCGTACTCGTTTACAGCGGAGTTTTTTTTACACCACAGCTAGCATATTTCAAGAAGAGGCATAAATACCCGAATCCTGACAAGCATATCAGAACCTAGAACATGGAGGCTGATCCGATTAGGGCCATAATGGCATAGTGCTTGACAGGTTCAGACCCACTGTGCCGAATTAATCAAAAATAGACAAATGTTAATTGGGACCCCGATACGATTGGATCCCTTCCTATTTAGAAGGCCTTGAGGCGCTCATGATAGTTTTGCTTGAAGATCAATAGTCCATACGCCACATGGTGGCCCACTACCTCTCTGATCTTAAGCGAGGCTCTGTGAAATGCCATAGCTAATTTTGACAGATAACGGCCCACCAGCACACAGCTGAGAGGATCAAGTGTGTATTCGGACAACATCCGAGTATCTTGATTATTTTCCAATCGAAAATTTCTTCCGGTAGGCGGAATATCAGCCCGATTCTGATACATTAGAAAAAAAAATCTTGGATGATTGCGGAATCATTCGTCATCGGACCGCGGATGAGAGTTGACGCCACCGAAAATTCGGAAGATCCAGATTCCAGAAAGCGCATCGAACTGAGACCATATCCACATCGTCGAAAAAAATTGACCTTAATCTGATTAAGAGGCAGTGGATCCGGACAAAGCTGTGTGGTGTGGCGCAGCTCAATGGAAGAACCTCGGCAGAAATCCCTGACTATACGAGATTTCGAGACGCCATCAAATATAGGGATGAATTTGTGTTTTTTTCACTAGAGTTAATATCGAGCCAAGGCGATCAGGAGTCTCGATTTTCCACCAAGGGATTATCAACGGACGCCGACGGAAAAACCGTTTAAGCTCCGGAGATGAAATGAGAATGCGCCCGAGAAATGACCGGATCATGGTCAAAATAACCGATCGGACGGAGACTCGCGGCTCTGAGTTTTTATTCAGGAACAAAGATAAGGTTGAATCCTTGGACGCTAATTCGGCAAAACTCACCCTGTTGAATCCATTGCAAGACTCCAGGGCTTTAAAGATGTGGCGAAATAAAACAACTCGAGTGTTTTTTTTTTGATGTCAAATTCCAGTTGAAAATTTCCGAGTTCATCCCTTGAGAGGTCAATATCAGAGGCGCGTCCCACCATATGGGACATGTATAAGCATTTTTAAGCACGTCTGGAACTCCATCCCGATATCCAGCATAGTCTAGATCCGATTCTTGACTCTGCCAAGGAAAATGGAGAAACTCTCATATATTACGGTCTTTCCGAGATTATTTAGATACGAGAGACTCCACTGGCAAGTTTACCCCTGCACAAATTGGACAATATCTGGATATCTTCATGCCCGGGAGAATCCCATAGGATAGATCATTATTGACCACATTGGGTAAGATTTTCAGATTTTTGTCCTATTCTCTGAGTCCGCTCCAGGCCTATCATGGTTTAGGCATGAAGCTCTGGAGAAGCAGCGGGAATGCATCTCAAACCACTGGCAAGACTTTATTCATCTTGAACTCTGAAAGTCCCTCAGTAACGATATCTGAAACCAGGCGTCTTCCAGTCTGTGATATCCTCATAATCATTAGAGACCAATCGAACCTGATTCACCATATCGACCACGTTTTTAGAACTATCATCCACGTCTAACACTTTACCTCCGCCGACAGCCCCGGCGTTTCCGGCGCTTCCTTGAAATCCCTCCTCCTGTACCCGCTTTTCATTCAGCCACTGCAGATAAAACCGCAAGGCTAGTGCGAAAACGATGGTAAGGGCGTAACAAATCATAATAGTCCGGAAAGCAGTGCCATATGTAGGTGCCTCGCTGCTCAAGAAGAACTGTGGACCAGCAATATTACCAGCACAATATGCCAAAAATAGAAGCGCAGTGACTGTCATTTTCTTTGTGACGCCACGATAATTAGCTTGCACAAGTGACATCGCAAGGGGCATTGCGGCTGATCCGGTGGAAAGTAGGAAATATCCGAAGAGTTGTACACCATGTACAACATGAGCACGAGAGTATATGATTGCACTACCGATGACACAAGGTAGGACAACGGCAATTATGAGTAGACAATTCAATTGACGGTACCGACCGGCTAGCCATCCACTACCAGCGATGGCCGTGACGGTAATAAGCGAATAGGGGATATTGACTAGCGTGGATTCCAAGTTCGTGAACCCAAAAGACTCAATCACAAGATTGGCAAAATTCTGAGTACCGCCATTTGGGATCTGAGTCAGGAGTTCAAGCACGAAGATGAGCCAGGTCTTGGGATCAATTAAGCATTCTATAACCTGATCCCACTTCCAGATGGTCTTTTCCGTTGTACCTGTTCCAGCAACAAGGATTCGATTGGTTGCAAATTGACGCTCCTCTTCAGTAAGGAACTTTGCTTTTGGGATGGAATCAGGGAGTAGAAACCAAATGACAAAGGCCCAGAGGAATGTCAAGAGTCCAAGGACAATAAACATCCACCTCCATGGTCCAACACTGTCTTTGACATGACCGAGGCCGTAAGCAAGAAAATTGGAAGCGATGCCACCGACGCTCTAGGGATTGTCAGTCGCGTCGTAGTCAAGGAGAAATAGCAAGGGAGTACACACATTTCCTGCAAACCATATACCTGTTCGAGTTGGGATTTCATCACGCGTGTACCATGTCGTTGTGATAAACATAAATGCAGGTGTGATAGAAGCCTCTGCCACACCTAGCAGGAAACGAACAGTTATCAGTCCTCCAAAGTTCTTACAAGCCGCCGTGAGAGCGACCACAGCGCCCCAGAAAAAGGTATTTGCCGTGACATATTTCCCAGTCGGCAGACGAGCGATCAGAAAGGTTGTTGGATATGACCATCCAAGGTAACCAAAGTAAAAGACAGACGACACCCAGCTATATTGTTGACCAACCAGTCCCTACTCCAGGTAATTAGTATGTATCTTCATAATCAATAGGGGGATATAGTACCGTGTCTTCTTCAAGTCCAAATACAGCGGCACTCGACAGAATCGTTTTATCCATAAAATTCAACATATATGTCAAGAACATGAGCGGGACGAGTCGTCGATCGATCTTGCGCAGAATCCGCTTGGCCAGGGCGTTGTCCATCGACTGCTCTATCGCAGGACTGGTACTTGACTCAGCCATTTTGAGAGAATGCTCAAATACTGCTATGCGACAAGGCTGAAGTCCATCTCAAGGGTGTCAAAGCATCCAGCAAATCCCTTCATTCTTATTCCCGTGTGGACTTTCCCATTCTTATCTTCCCCCGCACGGTCATTGGTCACCCCGCATACGATGTCTCCTGTTATCGCCGATATAGGATTGTTTTGTGCCGATCATTGGACAAGGATCAAAGATGAGAGATTCGGAGAGGCGCCGAAGACAATAATGCTATCTGGGGTTAGTGCAAGCAAAGTTGAAAAGTTGTGTTATCAATAATCGTGGGGAGTCAAGACTGAAGCTAACCTGATTGACAAGGAGTTGCCGAGTTGTCGGGCAGTTCCGACAGATTAACTATTAACACTCTTGAAGGAGGAAGCTAAGAAGTCGGAACACTTGAACTAAGAAAAATACTTCTGAGAAATCTCGTCTCTTGAATATATTTAAGTTCATCTCGAGTCTGTACCTAGATCGGGGTTCATTGACTGTGATTTCTATCTCTTCACGATGAACGGTCTATCCATCAGCCCCTTCATAGCGAAGCTCCCCAAAGTGGAGCTTCATATCCACATCGAGGGGACCCTGACACCAGAACTCCGCTGGGAACTAGCTCACCGCAATAATATTTCCCTCCCATATGCCACATTCGAAGATCTGAGAGCCTCATATGCAGTCACGCTGAACCATAGACCCGAACTCAATGGACGCCAACCAGGAATCCCCACATTTCTTGAGGCCTATTTCGCCGGATGTGAAGTGCTACGTACCGAAAATGATTTCTACGATCTGGCGATGGGTTATCTATCCCGATGTGCCAAAATGAACGTGCGGTATACCGAACCCTTCTTCGACATCCAAGCACATACACGTCGAGGAGTCCCAGCCGAGGCGGTCCTAAACGGCTATTTACGGGCGCAACAAGACGCAGCAAAATCCCTCGGCGTCCACTCTCGTTGGATTCTGTGCTTTTTACGAGATGAGCCTGTGGAACAAGGACTTCAAGCCTATACTGAAGCACGTCCATGGGCAGCTGGTACCGTCGAAGGAGGTAAAGGATTATTCCATGCAGTGGGATTAGCCAGCAACGCCTATGAGCGACCGCCAATGCTTTTCGAAGAAGGATTCTCGTTGGCTCGAAAAGATGGCTTGCATGTTACTATGCACTGTGACTTTGGCCAAAAGGATACACATGCGCATATGACCGAAGCAATTTTCCATGTTTGTGATGGGCAAGGTGCTGAGCGAATTGATCATGGATTGGATGCTGAAGACCGCGAGGAGTTATGGATAGGCCTGGTAGAAAGGAATATTGGACTCACTCTTTGCCCGCATGCATATCATCGAAGGACGGCGACTGATGTCTTGTTTCCCAAAATCCGACGTCTGTGGGAGAAAGGAGTCAAATTTTGTATTAACAGTGATGATCCAACCTTGATGCATGATGTTTGGATTGACGGGAATATGCAAAAGGTCTTTACATATGGAGGGTTTAGCAAAGCTGAAATGATTCATCTAGTAAGAAATGCTGTCGATATGTGTTGGGCTGATGATGAAATCAAAAAGGCGATCTATCTTGAGCTGGATGGTCTTCAAGTTCCAAATTAACTTGGAAAAAGCACTACTACCACGCATCCTATTGAAATTTATTTCAATTGTTTCTATCTTACCTAGGTAGGTTCTATTTGTATCAAAACCAAAAATCAACCAGTTGACTTTGGGAATTTACTGACAGAGTGTTACCAGTGGCATCCTCTCGCCGGTGGAACAGCTTGAGTGTTCAAATGTTGACAAGGCTGTGAAAAAATACTTCTCGGGCCCCTCATTAACCTGTAGTAATTCCGATAGCTATTGCCATCTTTTGAAAATTATCGCAAACCTCTATTTTCATTATTCTCTAGCCACTTGTCGAAGAATTCAAAATTGTATAGGAACTCCGACTATGCCTCTCGAAACTGGTCTCTCAGGTACACACGTCCTCATCACGGGCGGCACCCGTGGTATGGGTCATGCTATGGCACGACAATTTCTTCAAGAAGGGGACAACGTGTCATACTACGCCCGCACTGTTACCAACACGGAGTTCAATGAGGCACATGGCGCACTCGCCAGCGATAATCTCGCTCGAGCATTCGGGATTGCACTCGACGTGTCCTCTAAAGACGCAATTGTGAACTGGGATCGATATCGTCAAATGGTTTGTCATACAAAGAAATTTCAGATGAGAAACCTAAACATCAGACTGATTGATTTATTAGCATCCCCTATGCACATGGAGGGTGAAACCGAGCACTGGCATAGCAGCTTCGCTATTGACGTGATGGGTTTTGTGGAGTTAGTTAAGGCCGCAGAGCCTTATCTTGAGAAATCACCCCAGGCTTCTATCATTGTACAGAGCTCCTTCATGGGTCGGGAATTCTACCGAAGTCCGCCTGCGGCTTACGGACCTTGTAAAACTGCTCAGCTGCAACATGTGCAGGAGCTATCGCACTATCTGGGGCCCAAAGATATCAGGGTAAATGCCATCTCACCAGGTCCGGTTCTTTGTGAAGGTGGTTCCTGGAAGAAGTACTCTGAGACAATGCCCGAGTGGGTGGAAGAACAGCGATTAAAGATTCCGCTGAGACGGTTAGGAAGCCCCCATGAAATCGCAAATGTGGCAGTGTTTTTGGCTAGTTCGTTGGCGAGTTTTGTCACTGGAACAAATGTCAGCCTGGTTGATGGAGGTATCCATGTCGGTACATAGTTTTAGGTGCAATAGCATCATCCTCGGGAGGAAGGTCAGACTAATAACTATTTTCAAATCTTATATATGATCTCATAAAAGATACTTATGAGCTTCAAAAATTGTTTCCTTTTTGCCAGAACTTCAATCATCTCAATTTCAAGTTATCAATTCCTACTGCCACCTCGGCAAATCCATAAACATACCTAGTAATCGATCTTAACAAAACATCACACTGCATGATAACCCGTATAAATTCCATGTGGTGTATAATGGTGAGGGACTCAGAGAAGGTGATATCACGTCAGGATGAAGAGGTGGTCTAGTACACCTGGTTTCAACAAAAAGCCAACGTATCAACGACACAATCGTTATTTTCACAGTTAAATGGAACATAAATATCGTAGCTGACGCTTCGTGTTAGTGATATACTCTTAACTACGCGAGGAAATAATGGAAGACATCATACCAGGAGCTAGGATTGCAGTAAATGATTGGCATGAGGCCCAAGGAGATATTATCCGTGTAGTCATAGGTCAGCGAGTAGTCGGAGATGCAGTCTATATTATTGATCAGAATAATCCGACAAAAGGAATTAGTAAATATGTGAGTTCATACCCAGGTTCTGAACACCACTCCCAATACTACCACTGCATGTCACAACTCTGTTGTCAATTGCGGTGATAACGCCGGAAATTGAGCCTGAGATACTCAGACATGCCAAAGCGGGCGAAGAGAAGAGGAAGGCCATGACGGCGGCAGACATAATTTTGGAGACGGACATATTGATAAAAGACTGGGAATTTCAACGACTCGATAAAGTTCAAATGTTTAGGTCAATAGGGAGGCTTTCTGTCGTCCTTTCGTTTGAATAACCAAGCCGTTATTGTTTTTATTTTTTCCAGGAGGGGATATAAAGCCTCTTATATGTGATGGGTGCGTTGATATATGACTTCAAATGTTTTAAGTTGTTTAATTTGGATTGCACATGTGGTACATATTGACACACCACTCTATATATACGATAGAGTACCTATTTCGGACTAAAAAGTTGTCCACATGTGTAGTAGTAAATGAATGTACCCGGGTAGTATAGGTCTTGGACAAGTCGGAGCTTAGTTGTTCTTTTGACTATATAATTTGTTTCATCAATGATCCATTTATTTCCTATGTGGGAAATACTCAGAGTCTCATCTCGCTGACATTGCTTGGAACATAGTATGATCTACAGATCAATGAGTGATTTAGGATAGTATTGTTTTATGCCCAGGTGGGGGGAAAATTAAGATGCGGGAATACGGGAATAGGGAACTTCAGAACATTCAAATTTGGTATACGATTGGAGGCTGATCCAAAGAAAGATTAGACTAGACATAAAAGGCTATATATGTGGGAGAGCTGCCAGTGGGGCTGAGTGGACAAGGCTGTCTAAGTATACCCTGAATTTCCCTATGGGGCAATTTATGCAGGGACGGGCTACAGGGGTCCGGGAACGACATGACGCCCAAGTGCTAGTATGCAAAGGATTTGTTCGACTTCGTATAACGTATAAATTATAATGACATCTATTCAAAAGTTGCTTAAAGGAACTAGTCTTCAAAAGTTACAGGGTATTCAAGGTGACCGAATGATTGGAGATGCAATCTCTTGAAAGAACGCACTCGCATGCATGGATTCCATTCCCAGGCTCAGGTTGCTAGACTCCAAGTAGTCTATGGTTCTCCCTATACCACCTCAAGCTTATCTCATATTTAAGAAGGCTCAGATTGTGGAGCTTCGGAACATTTTAGGCCCATCTTTATTAATGTAGATACCCTTGCCTCTGTTTGGATATCTTCATAAGGGGTAGGGGGACATGGGCGGTCCAGAACATTTAATTGATCATTTGTACCACGGTAAGTCATTTGGATGGAACTCCAGGTGCTGTGATCCATCGAGAATCCGGAGATGCAGTCTGTACTTCAAGTTAAAAGAATTCCACAAAAGCAGGGAGGTTAAATGATAGGATTCATACCCGGGCGTTTGTTGACAGTCCGAATACGATCGTTGTATGTCTCACAAACATCGTCCGTTCTTGCGAGAACATCAAGCCTCCGACAAGCTAGTGTGAGAGAGCAGAAAAGGAGGGCGATAATAGTAGCTGATAGAACTCTGGAGACAACCATGTTGATCATGTAAGAGGCTCCCAGTGACTGAATGTGATCTGAAGAGAAAGCAGCTAGGTTTTGCAGGCTTTTTGTCCGAATATTGTGATTGTTTTTTTATCTCAGGAGGGGATATAAGTGACAAAAAGAATGGTAAGTGAAGATGAGTAGTGTTTGTATTAACTTGAAGCTCACAAAGATTTCCAATGATCCTCTTTAATTTTGACTGGAATTGATATGCCACTCTATGTGGGGCAAGGTTGTCTTAGGGAACCCTGATTTCTCATGGGACAATTTATGCAGGGCTCAGGGACGACATGAAAGGATTCGACAGGATCTGTTCCCTATAAGAATAAAAATCTTGCCTGTATAGTAAAGGAGTGAACTTTGAATAAAATATTTCAGTGCGCCAAACCATTGGAGCATGGAATGATCCAAAGAATGAACTCAGTACTAGTCTGATTTCGAGGCTTTAGTCGCATGGTTCATCGTATCTGTTCTTATTCATAACACCATATCTCCTGGAAACGACTTCAGATATGAGAAACTCGTTACTCCCTACCTGTTTTGTCCCAGTAGTGTGGGGGCCAAAGACTGTTCAGCTGAGTCTCGTAGATTTGGCGGCCTAGGGGGCTAACTCAATATGTCCGACCTCGGAAGTTTATATTACTGGTTTAGATCGGCAGTGAAGAAATTTTGAGTGGTTTGAACCCTTGAAATGTTAAAATCAGCTCAATAGATAGATCTAGGTCGCGGAATATTGTATTTCCTTTTCCCTTAGTCACTCAGGCATTGCAATGAATCGCTTGTGCAACGACATTATGCCAGTGGGCTCAGCTTGTCTGATAGAACATTTGAATTTGTCGAATTGATATATGGTTCCAGTTTGATAGACTGAAATATTGGTCCGGAGTAGATGATCTCAACTCCATCCTCCATCATCTTGTCTCTCTTCGTTCACTCAGTGCTCTTCACTTCTCATATTTTGTTCTTCACTTTAACAGTCTATCTGTTTCGGAGCAAACCTTGATTTGTCTTTCCGGCAAGAAGAATGAATTTCGAAGAGCTTTTTCATATCATTTCATCTCCGTCTACACTTTTCACGCGCCTGACTTGGATATTGTTCGAGTTTGGTACACAACGAAAAAGAGCTCCAGTGAATGATCGTATACCCATAACACCAAGAAAAGCCAATTGAAATCATCTACACAATCCGAAAAGCGCCATAGTTATTACTTAAAGCGCTTTATCGACTTGAAGGCGGCAGTGGTGAACATCATCGGCACGCCCGTGGACGGCTTGTGAAGGCGATCCATAATCATCAAATCCCCCATCATCAGTTTGCTTTTTGATATCTGATATACTTGATTCCGGCCACTCTACAGAGTATAATTCTCATGTTTCGCGATAGGCAAGTTCAGGATCTTCACTTGGCGGCCCCGGGGGCGATCTAAAAATAGCCAAATCCATGTGCCCAATGTCTCTCGGCGGGGTATTGACAATTGTCTTTATCCATTCCAAGTTAAGTCCAGTTGGTTCGAATGTTCAGCTTTTTAACAATTCGCCAGCACTATCCACAATAATACTACCACTAGTCATACCGCTATGCTGCATCTGGAAAAGGTTTATTTCATCGAAACCTGACGTGTCACTCCTGTGATTAGCCTGGGATTCTCTTGTGTGCGGAACACGATCATTGAAACTTGAAGCACTTCGGTAGGAGACCTAGTACCAGTGATATGTCAACATTTTCTCGCTGAACACCATTGTTTACCTATTGAGATCTAATTTCCGATCTCTACTCGAAGACTTGAAGATTCTACCTGATAAATTTCGATAAAAGGTCGTCCATTGCCAACAACATATCACAATGAGCAACGTTTTGACGAACGAGGATTCAGTCAATGAAATCGTAGATCAAGGGTTTTACCCAATGATCAAGTATGGGGTAGAGATGATGGGATTAAAACTTCCACGCGATCCAGAAGATGATCAGTTCAGCATCTCGAAGGAACATTTTGAAAGTCACGGTCTCCCAGATCAAAATGACAATCCATCCGCCGAACTATGCCAAGCATGCGCGGGGATGACCATCAAGGCACTGAAAAGCGATGAAGGCTATCTCCACACGGAAGAAATCGAGGACTTTTTCGAATCTGCGAAAATTTGCCCGCTATGTGCTTTGCTTCAGAAAACGATGTGTAATGCTGTGCGCTTCCATGTACAGCGCAAAGAGGATATTGAGGATCCTATGGAGGCACTACATCTCTTTTCAGCATTCATGGCGGTAAAGCATCATTCTTACATGTTCAAACCCACTCCAGTGATTTTGAAACTTGATCGAGGCGCTGACAATGATCTCAATGGTGACTATCTTGTCATGGGAACCATCATGGCGATACCAATAGAAAACGCCAAAGCCCGTGTATTATTTTTTGGCAGATTACGTCTTCATGATAATAAAAGAAAGAGCGTGGTCCCAATGCAACCGAGAGGGAGCGATGAAGAGGTACTGCGCCGTCTGTCAGCATGGCTAGATGAAAGATGGAAAGAAGTCCCAGCTTGGAGCGATGCATCAGCTGAGAAGCCACTTCCAACGCGAGTATTGGATCTGGGTCAGTCTTGTTTGGAGAGATTCTCACAGAAATCCCTGGAACAGGATCTTCGATTAGTGGAGTCAAACGACCAACGGGGTCACTACACAACACTAAGTTACTGTTGGGGTGGATACGCCGAGTTAAGAACCACCAAAAGCAACTACCACGACAGACTCGAAAAAATCAGGTTTGCAGATCTCCCAAAGACATACGCAGATACTGTTCGGATCACAAGATCTTTGGGAGTTCGATACCTGTGGATTGATGCACTCTGTATTATCCAAGAGGATCCCAAAGATTGGCTCCATGAAGCCGGGTGTATGTCAGATATTTTCTGGAACACAACTTGTCGCATTGCTGCCAATGAAGGGAAAGACCCCACCGAGGGCTTCTTTCCTCCCAAGGAAACACCGGTTTCTATCAAGGTACCAAACCTGGTCAGTGAGGAGCTGAGTGCTTCCTTGTCAGACATGGAGACGGATACAATCGAGGAGGACGATAACAAAGGCGATGATGATGAAGCAGACACCTTGGGATTACCTGGCCTCGGAGAGATGTCTGAATCCGAAGAAGATCCCAACACCGACATCAATTTCACAGAGTCCATCAACCACGATATATCAGAACATGAGGATGAATTCACGCATGAATCTTTGGATGAGAGTTCATACAGTGAAGATGACTATGTCCACTTTGACCGCAGTCAAAGACTCGACGAGGAAGAGAACCACCTAGACAGCTCAGATGTCAGCCGCCACCGATTCTTAGACAAACTCAATGGAGAATTTGAGCGAAATCTTGAACTTCATGGCGACAAGCCCATCGAGCCCGAAGAAGAGGATGGTCCCCTTGAGATGTACCTTACATTCCCGAAAGCATATGCGATCGATGTAGACAGAGGGCACCTAAATACCAGAGGATGGGTCCTCCAGGAGCGGCTGCTGGCATCTCGAACCATCCACTTTACCAAGAATCATATTTACTGCGAAGACCAAGATGACATATGCGGCGAAGATTGGGTTCGCCGATACTTCACATGGCGAAGCAGCATTGACAAGACATCCAATTGTTCCCGAGTCGAGCTTTTCCCAGAGCTCGGCTTTAGCTCAACTGCTACCGCTCTTCGAAGACATCAGAAACATGAAATATGGTTTCAGCGAAGTTTGTACCGCAGAGCGGATGGGCAATATGTGCCAGAACCATGGCTCAAAATATGCGAGTTGTTTAGTCGATGTGAGCTGTCATATGATGTGGACCGATTAGCGGCCATAGCCGGTCTGGTCAAGAAAAAGCAAGAACTCCGACAAGCATCTGCTGCTGAGGATGGAGAGCAAGTGAATGTCCAAAACTTCTTCGGAATGTGGGAAGAGGATCTTCATAATGAGCTGTGCTGGGTGGCTGCCGATGAAAGCAAAGCTCGGTATTTGCACAACCTGAACCTCCCATCATGGGCGTGGATCGCTTACAAAGGACGCATTGAATTCACCCGAGACCGACGCTGGTCTCGCAATCCCGGTCCTGTCCGCATGGCTCCCATCTCCGAGATGGAGCTTTTCGCATACGATGTTCCCGATATGCTAACAGAGCTGCCATTGACCAAATCAGCATCAATCACAATCCGCGCTCCCATACGAAAGATTTACTCCATCTCGCTCAAGAAAACCAAATATGCAACAGAACAAATCTCGCGAGAGGAGTTAGCAAAATCTTCACCATTTCACTTTGATGAGCGGACTGGAACTATGCCTATCCCGATGGCTAATCGGAGTGGGTGCCAAGAAATGTTTGATGAAGATGACAGACTTGTGGGTTTTGTCTCTTTTGACGAGGATAGGCACCTTGTGGGGGGACCTGTTCTGTGCTCATATATCAACAATTAGAGATGACGCACACGATTTGAAATCGCAAAATTCCGATGAAATGAATGAGACAGAATATGATATCCAATACTCCTACCCAGCTATTCTTGCCTATGCGCTTATTTTGATTCGAGTGCAAAGCGATGAAGGCACGCTGTACAGACGAGTGGGAATGGCGGAGTTGAATTATGAGTGGATGTCGGAAGGTGTTAGCACCAAGGCAAAGATTATATGATGATCAACAAGTGAAGAATATCATCTCAAGATTTTCATTATCAAATCCGATCCGATAGTCCTAATTCACCCTTCTGCAAAACAGAATAAATATCATAGGCCTTACATGTCCACGGGTCTATCAAATTAAAGTTGAAGGCATTATGAAGCACGAAGCGTATTTATTGTTTCTCCTCGATGTAAGATTGGACAAGTTACTGGCTCTCGCCAAATTCAAACTTCGTGGAGTACTCGTGATTTATTCTAGATACCAGGATTTCATAGCTATGTCAGACTCCTCCATGGTCAATTAATCCAGATCTATGCATGGTCGATTGGCGAGGGGCCAGCATCAATAGGGTAGGTGAAGATATAATTAGGACCAGCAGCCATTAGACCATCACCACCTGATCGCATCTGAGATGCTGGCATCCAAAGCTTCTTATCGGCAATGATCCACATAAGATCAGTCCATAACAACCGATCGTCCTGAAGGATGATGCTCGTATATCCATCTAAAGTAACTTTCCAGATAGACAACGTCTGGGTATCGCTAACATAGATATTTCCATCCGCATCAATAGTAGTCCCTCCCGTACTCGGCGTAAAAGCAAATCGCGTTGTGTAGTCCTCAACGTTGGCTGCCAAGGTGGAATCATGCAGAGCTGCATTGAGGTATTTCGTCTCGATACGGTAGAGACCCCCGGAGCAAGTCTGGTAGTAAAGGTATTTGCCATCAGGCGATACCTCAATTTGATCCAGAGACCCAAGTACCGTTGTACGCAACCGGAGAGTATGGCATAGAGGAAGTTGTGTTCGATAGCACACGGATACCGTGACCAGTTGTGAGGTTCGAGATCATTAGAGCGTTGGATATGTCGCTCAAATATGCGACTAGTAGTACTTCCCATTCCGAATTCCGGAGCCTTCCTCATCATATTTCTCCTTGCTTACAAACTGTTCAATCGCGCCCTCTTGGGAAGCCAAAACAGTACCGCCCAACCAGACTGCATAACCGGGATTCGCAGGCTGAATTACATTCACAGATGCAGATTCGGGCACAACGCGGAAGATTTCATTGTGAACGTGATCCGCCAAGCCTGGACTCTGGCTGCTTCCATCCTAGAGGTACAAATTTGTTAATGGTATGGACAACACATCTTCGCTAGCAGGTTATGGGCTTACCAGAACAACGCTGTTATACAAAGAACTCTGGGTACTGCTGTCAAAGTTCTGTAGAACATTCTCTATTCCGACCGAGACATCGTTGAGAGAAACTTGACATGCTGCTTGAGCTTGACACTTCCCTTCGATAATAGGGACGATTTGAGCTGATTCAGTCCCAACATTAACAACAAGTGCGGTTACGCGTTGGGATGCATACGCTGCCAGCACAGCATCAGGCACAATGTTAAGTGCGGGGACGTTGAAGGTCTCAAACATCAACTTCACTACCTTCTCCCGATCTGCCTGGGAGGTGAATGGAGATTCCGCCAGTAGGATTGGGTGCTCTTCGGTGGCAACGTTGAGCCCTTTATAGAAGGCGTAGTGGTAGATTTTGAAAAGCGCATCCCAGTCTGTGACGGTGCCGTTTTGGATTAGGTTGATCAGGGGTTCACCATTTGAGATTGCTTCATCACCCATATGGCTGGTTGTTCAATATTAGCTACTCTTGCTCCAAAACGCTGAGATATGAGACTGTTACCTATTACCAATCACGGTCGCTAGTTATTTAAATTTGTTTGAGTGTCAAAAATGCTAAAGAGAGAAAACTCACGGAGAGCACGAGGAGCATCATCACCAGAAAATCCAGCCTTGGTGCGGAATGAACTGTGAACAAGTTAGCTCGAACTTCTTTTTTTCTATTTTCTAACGAAAGAAAAACTTGAAGGTGAAATTGAGGGGCATACCCAGTGTCAAGGACAAGAGGTTGAACGTCTTCGCCTAAAATATGGCGTAAATTGTATTAGTTTAAATACTAGTAGTACTTCGAGAGTTTGGTTAGATTTGATCAATGAGCTTACCAGACATGATGATGGTATAGCAAGAGAAATCTGTAAATTAAGTGTTGAGAAAAGTACAGAAAAAATAAGACTCGGATATTTACTGAGGAAATGGTTTTATTTAAACGTAGTTGGGTGGCTACCATCATGATGTGGCAGGTGGAGGGACCTGATGAATGTGGCTGAATAGGTTCTCGAATTCTCGAATCTCCAACTTTACCTGACCAGTTAAATGATTACACCTGGTAGTAATTGTACAAGATCGTCGTTTTTTGATGTGGATATCGATGTGCTAGAGATATTATTGGATGTATGATACCGGAATCATTGGGTGCGGCTGGAGATGATAGATCTTGTGGGTCTATGACCGTGTACAACTAAGGATATGAGATCGGATATCTGTAATTATGGTGGGGGACTTGGGGGATTTATAGTTCAAAATTGGATGAAACCATAGTAAATATATTATTTATTCAAATAGTAAATATATCGGATGAAATTCAATCTAATAAATATCAAACTTCTCCATCTGATATGATAATCTTAATCTTCCCGTCCTCAATGTTGGCTTAAATGGCTTTAGCTGAACTCTCCACTGCCCTGCACTACGTTCCAGCGTCATGAAAATATCATTGTCCACATTTTGTCATGATCTTCTAAATTCACGAAATAGGTGGCACATATCCGTTTTACTCTCTGGGGTTGAACTTTTGAAGAACTGAGCGCCAGTCGCGTATCCTGTGAATTACATATTCAAGGTAAAACGCCCCATGAAATCCTAGAGCTAATTTGGTGAGGTGATTTCCAGATAAGCAGGTTCTTCGGCCGCTGACAGGTGTTTCTTTTCGTTTCGAAGATTGAGAAGTTGATTATTTCAAATGTTCAAGTTCGGTGATAGCCCTCAATGAGCCCGGGTTCATCGATCGTGATGAGATAGTCTCAAAAGCCAATATTTGATTCTTTGAGAAATAATTTTCTTTCAAGTGACTCAAGTGACTCAAATCGGGCAACTAGGACCTTATCCTTGAGCGATGTGCGACTATTTTATTTGTCTTTTCTTTCTGGTTCTCGAGTCCTTCAGCTTTCATCTGCCTCGAGGCTTCCATCGGAATATCTCTGGAAAATAATGATTTCGCCCAGTTTTATTTTAACTGTTGTCGCAAACCATGGCTTTCCCCGTACTCAAAGAGTTTTTGGGTAGTTCTATGGTTGTGCTAGGTCAATATACTGCCCGGATTCTTCATTATGCCAGCCACAAAGAATTGAGAAAGCAAAGGAATAAAAATTGAAGGCTTGATGATCATACAGACCAGCAGCTTAGTATTTCGAGGTGCTTTGTTCAGTTCCCAGTCCAAGACTTGCGGATTCCGACGAACCACTTCTTTATCGATTTCACGGGCTTGAATGAGCGAAGAAACTGTATGAGACCTTTCTTTTTCTTTCAAGACTCGAGCACGGACTCTTTGAATGTCAAGCCTGGAGTTCTCGCTGAAAGAGCGGTAATTGAAAAAGAGAGGATCCCTCGATGTATCATGCATCTCTCCAAGCATCCCTCTATCAATTCTCTCTTTCCAAGTCCTGCATTCGCACTTCACGAGAAGACTCACTTGAGACACTTATTCTCTTCCTAAACCACTCCAATCTCGAAAGTCATTCGGAATGGCCGGTCATCGTAGCAAGAAGCGAAAGACGTCAGAAAAGGGAAAGAAGTCCGAGTCGAAACCCACTGAGTCCGTTCAGAATAATGAACCTGAAGTGAAAGGTCCGGGAGAAGTCAAACGTGTCCGAATCAGGGACGATGTTGAATTTGATCCTGCTGACTATGATGGACGAATCGAACGATACGAACAGCGGATAAGAGAAGGACACTCGAAGGTGACATATACAGCGATGATAGAAAGTCTTGAAGCTGAAAAGAAAGCCCGAGCGTAAGTCCTCTTCATTTCTTTTACGAATACATATTAACCATGTATAATTTCAATCTTCAGTGAAATCATGGCACAATACCCTGGGAAAGACTGGGATGTTATTCAGCGCATAGCAATCTTGGAAGCGATCGAAAACTACTTGGTGAAAGAAAAAGATCCATGTGGAGAGCTTAAGAATGTCCGCGCAATCATTGAAGCTTATAAGAATGGCGATTTGGAATTGAATGGCAAGGCTTCTTACTGGTGTCAAGGCAAAATGATTGGTGGTCCATCGGTATTCGCGTGGGAAGACTTTCGGAGACTCAATACCGAGGAAAATCGAGGAGATGGAGGATTTTGGGTAGAAGGGGTATTTCATTCTTTTATAAAATTGACAGCACTTTAAAACTTCAAGTGAAACATACTGATGAAGAGAATTGAAAAAATTAGATGAATCAATCAGAGCAGCCACATACCGGGAATGCTGTGACTCACACTAGTCCCCCAGTTTCAACTCATGGTGGCCGAGTATACGTATGATATTCCCAGCAAATTACCCTCTTTAAACTTGAAAGGCCCAATGGACGAAAAATACAAAGAGATTGAATAGAAAGAAGACTCAGGATATACATCATTGCTGACCCAATATTTTTTTAATATTTTAGTACGACCTTTGTATACGGCTTGATCAGTCCCTCGGGGACGTTGCGGCCAATGGAGCGCCATTTCCCGAGATGACCTTCAGATTTGCCGATGACACAGGTAGCTCATCGATGGTGATCCGTGACGAAGACATGAGGGCTTTGATGGGACACGATGCAGAACCAGATATGCCTGCCCCAAGGAACCACATGATGGGCTATGATTTCATGACACTAGCAGATGGTGTTGGAATCGTACATAAAACTGTCGCCATGGAAGTTACTATGGAGGGAATTAACCAAACCACCGGAGCGTTTGAAGAGATGGTAAACCCTTGGACAAGTATCAGCTGTCTTGTATTCGATCGACCCAGGGGAATGGAGCCAAGCAATAGATTGGCTGGTCCCTGGCCACGAGCGATGCTCTACGTTGGATCTGCACCCGAGTTTCCGGGCTATTTCTATGCCTCTACGACTAAAACTGGGTTGACAAGGGTGTTGCCAGTGGTTCCCCCGGAGGAACGACTCGAGCCTGATTTTAAACGCCCACCATTCCGTGTAAGATGGGTATGGGACGCGCAGAGGAATATGTGGGGTATTCCCCCGGTTGTTCAAGAGTTGGGAGAGGTGCCACCTCACCATCAAGACTATCACAATTAGTAGAGTCAAGCAAGATTCGATATAGATTTCTTCCATGTTATTTCTTGAATCAACGATGTTGTTGATAGTTAAGGTTATTTACTCGAAAAAGAACATTTGAAACTACCTTCAAGCCCGAGCCTGTGTCTGTCATAATAGAAGTAAATATGCGTAGACACCCATTTCACAGCACTGTTTGAGTGTTTCCCTCCTTTATTTTCCTCCAAATCCATCCTTGTCAGCTCTAGAGAATTAACGTGGAATTATTCGTTTCATCTGCCACTGGCATGATTCGTTCGCGGGATATAGATCTTCTTTTTGACATTCATTCTCACCTTCAGTCACTTCAATACCATTCCTCAAGCATTTGAGCTGGCAGTCGTTGCCTCCTCAGGCTTTTATAACCCCAAATAATGGATCAATAACAAGTTCACTTCAAGTTATCACCCCGGGGTCCGTTTCATTTTCTTTCCTCTGACCTCAGAACTTTTGAAAGTCAACATGGCAGTGAAACGCAGAAATTATGTATGTTGAAGGATTGAGGTAATGTTTCCTAGCTAATCTTTGAACCAGGTTATCGCATGAATGAATTTCAAACACCGTCTGATTCATGCGAAATGCAGCTAAGCAGAGCTGAATTAGGCTGCTCTTTACGGGGGACCGTTACACCAGTCAATTCCAAGGTTGTATCCAATGATGAGACCCAAGCCTAATCATGCTCCATAATGTTTCTTGAAACCTTGGAAAATCAAAGTCAATGAATCCTGGAGTTTCCTGCCCCTGCACCGGACACACTAACATACTCTCATATCCAATGAACGATCCACAATCAGGGGATCTGGGGCCAAAAAAACCAGCAATGGACCCCTCAAGGCCCCCACAAACTGGACCCTATATCAAAATGGGTCACCCTGGAATTCCGATCAAGCCGAGCCTCATCTGTGCCTTACCCTGATTTCACTAGTTTTCGTTATGTTAGCATGTCACTTATTATTACCTTTCGCCTGCCCTGACATGGATCTTTTTGCTGGTCGCTTTTTCACTTTTGCATCCATCGAAGTGAAGCCCTTCATCCCCAAATATGCGTATCACCTTCGCTCTCGTCGCGGCTGTTGCTGCTCTATGCGTCAAAGCTGATGACTCCACAACCACAACTGTTGGATACTTCTCCCCTTCTTGGGATATAAACCTATACCAAAGTGGTGGTGGCTGGAGCAGCACTGCCGCCAGTCTTGCCGGTATCAAATACCAGACTGCCACATACCATGTGGGCTGTGAAAAGAGTGCCCCGAAGTCGGACTGCAACCTTCCTGAATCATGGACTATTGTCCAAGGCCCCGACACCGTCAGTTTCACCGGAAAATATATCGCATCGATCTCGGACTCGTCAAGTAGCTACGATATTACTGTTACACAGTCATACGAATGCTCGCTACACTCCTCGACCGGATCGGCTAGCTGCACCATGAGCGCGGCTCAGAGTGGCTCGGTGGATGGCGCAAAATACGAATCCTCTAGCTCCAGCAAGGCCTCCTACACAACAGCTCCAATGAGCGACCTCTACTATGTTCTGCCTGTCACCGCGGGCCTGAACTCTCTCACAAACTCTAAAGCTACCGCGACTGGTGCTGCTGCCACTGGAAATGCGGGTGCGATGATCACTGCTGCGCCGGTTGTTATGGCCGCGGTCGCCGCTTTTATCTAAGCTGCTTGAGATGCAGAGATGAATCCTGTCTCCAGATTAACAGGGAACCTTGTGCACCTTTAGCTTCATGGCCAGACTTATGTGTAAGCTGGATATTCGATCTCGTTTGGATATTATGATAGGATACCAATAGCATTTTCCGTTTGAATAAAAGGTTTTTTCCTCTTCTATTTTGATTCGCGTAGCTGCTTTGAATACTCACCATGATTGTTGTTCTGACAAAATTACTAGCATTCAAAAACCAAAGCTTACTCTTCCGGGGATAATATGCAAGTCAACTCACTCAAAGCTTCAAGTTTACCTCCCGGTGAGAAAGCCGATCTCACCCCGTAACAGATCTTATTGATTTACTTCGGAAGATCACCATATTACCCGAGTTACTACTAGTAGTCCTTATGTATAGAAAGCTTATTCAAATTTTAACTTGATATTTATGCATCGGCCACCTCAGGCTGTAGATAATTCAGTGAGGAGCTCAGTTGTAGTTACAAGATATTCAATATTTGAATGCGACTACGATGTACAGAAGTCATCTATAGCCAGCAACATTTGAAAGCAGCCCGGTAGGGGGACTGCCTGTAAGAGTTTGTTTTGGTTATCGTTTTTATAAAACAAGGATACCAAAACTCCCGGGCTAGATAAAGGGAATGGCCCCAGAGGCTGAAGGGGGGATAAACCAAGTGGTGCAGTTCATGGCTCCAATACAATTTAGTTGAGGGGAAAAAGTCACAACTCAGCCCAGCTGGCCTAACGGTCAGCGGTCTCTGACTCAATTTGAGGACAGAGGCATTGGCCAAGATAGTCTGGGTCCTGGCTGGTGGTTGGACGTGACCGGCGGGTGGGCAGGGTACCGGCTTCGGCCGCGGGCAATTCTTTTTTTTCTTTTTTTTTAAATTTTTGATATTTTTATATAAAATACTTTCAGACCCGCTCTTTCAGTCTGTCTTTTCAGAGATCGGAAATAACCAATATTGAATGAGATATCAAGGATAATAGTGTGGTGATGGATGTATCAAGTGAGGGTATTCGCAGAATCTCACCTCGCACCTTGATGCGTGCCTGATTCCAATGTCCCAACTTGATTTCAACGTCCCCGGTTCAATTGCAGCTGTGAGCTTTCCTTTTTTTGAGATTCCAATTTTCTCTTGATTGCTCCGAGTCTTGCTAAGCATTTCAGCGCCCAGATCTTACATTAAAATACTTTTCGACTCTTTCATCTGACACGCTGAAAACATAAGGATAAAACCCTGCTTAGAATTGATCCTGGTTGTATGGACGTGAGTATGGGACTTCGGGATACTTTAACAAATTATAATTGATCTCATGGCTGGTCGGCCTTCTCCCCGACTGTATACAATTCTCGGATACGGATAAAGGCGCGGAAAACCGAGTTGTCACGATGCAAGGTGTAGTAGAACTGGTATAAAAAGTTGAATTATCCCCGAATGTTATTCAAGCTATCTACATCATGCCTTCAAAACCAACCGTTCTTCACCTCGGTGATCCTATCAAATACAACCAAGACTTCTACCACACAGAATTCGAATCACGTTTCCACGTCATCCAAGCTACTGAGACCGACCGTGAATCTTTCATCCAAGTCCTGAAATCAGAAAAGTAAGATCGAATAACCTCCGCCTCGAATCTCGAACCCCCCTGACATTTTGCAGATATGGCGAATTCTCAGCCTTATTCCGCCCTCACTTCCAAACGGGAGGATTCATGGGTCAATGGGATACCGAACTAATTTCATACCTCCCGCGAAGTGTCCGAATCTTCGCGTCTGCGGGCGCAGGCTTCAACTGGGCGGATGTGGATACTCTAGGCCAACACAAAATCTGGTACTCGAATGGCGCAGGTGCCTCAGATGAGGCTGTTTCCGACACGGCACTGTACATGATCTTGAGTGTCTTCAGAAACTTCACTCACTCGCAGCTGGCTGCACGAACTGCCGACCCTGAAATCTTTACCGCGACACACAAGCTCATTGCGACCATCTCGCATAACCCTCGAGGGCATATTTTGGGAGTTGTGGGGTTCGGGAACATCAGCAAGAAACTCGCTTTCAAGGCATATATGGCTCTGGGGATGAATATTCACTATTTTGATATAGTGCGCGCAGATAGGAAAGAGGAAGAAGAACTGCAAGCAACATATCATGAGACCTTAGAAGATCTCTTAAAGGTTGCGGACTGTGTGACTCTCCATACGCCTCTTAACAGACATACTCAGGATTTAATTGATGAGAAAGCTTTCTCGCTGATGAAGCCCGGAAGTCGAATTGTCAATACAGCACGAGGCCAAGTTGTGAACGAAGATGCGTTGATTCATGCTCTAGAAAGTGGTCATATCTCAGCTGCCGCATTGGACGTGCATTACAATGAGCCTCAAGTCTCCCCGAAACTAGCAAGCATGGAGAATGTTACTTTGACTACACATATCGGCGGGGGTGCTCTGGATACAAGGATCAATTTTGAGTTGAATGCCATGAAGAATATTATTCAAGTAGTTGGGCCAAATGGCGAGTTGATTGGCGAGCCCCTTACTCCTGTTAATCGCCAAGCGTTCGAAAGATCTACATGATTTCATTCTTTGAGCAAATGATACAATATTCAGACGTGTGGGATAACTTGAATTTGACAAATTCATAGCTATGGATCTAGTCCTGATAGAGCTCACTGCGAAGCCTGCCATGCGTTGACGTAGATAGGCAAGTTCAACAGAAGATCCGTTCGCTTTGGATTCCATCCAAGGACAGACTTTGCCCGTGATGCATCAGAATTGCTGGCCAAGCTCAAAGCCTCATAAAATGGGTTCCCACCAGGCCCAATGTACTCAATTTGAGCATCAACCCCCATTGCAACCTTGGTCGCATCCAAAAATGCTGGAAGAGGCAGTGTTTCCGTCAAAAGATCGAAAATGGGCCATTCGCCTAATCGGCCATCGATGCGATCGATAGCAGCATGGAATCCAGTCGCAACATCATCAACGTGAACCAAGCCAGGACGAGCCGTGGTGTTTGCAGGAATCTTCACAAGTGAAGTACTTCCCGATTTTGCTGCTTCGGCCAGAGGGTTCCACCATGTTCCAAAGATCCAAGAACCGCGTCCGTAAACGGCATGAGGTCGTAGAATGGCTACATCCAGCTGATCCCGAGCAGCAAGGATGGCTTGCTCATGAATAGGTCGCCATACAATTGGTGTGCCAGGCTTGTCTTGGGAAAGAGCGCTTCCCACTGGTGCAAGATCATTGAGACGTTTCTTGGGTGAACCATATACCCATCCGCCGGAAGTGTATACAAATCCAAGCCTAGGACTAACAATGCCCTCCTTTTCAAGGGATTCCTTGATTGTAGTCGCGGCATGAATGACTCCTGCGAGAATATTGCCAGCCTGTTCATAGGCCGAAGTGGTGTCGACGACAACGTTGATGCTATTGTCGATTATTATCTGACTGAGCTTTGCAGGATCGGTGATATCGTCTTCAATCGGTACGATTTCATTTATCGCTAACTGCTTTGCTTTCTCCGAATTCCTTGCAGTTCCCCAAACTTTGTAGTTGCCAGATTGAAGAAGTGACTTTGCAACTGCGTTACCGATATAACCAGTGCCACCGAGGATGAGAACATTCGGCATTGTCGATGGCTGTTGGGGATGTTGGGAGTCAATTGAATGATCTCCGAGTCGACTTTGAATTTCTGAGATGGATCGAAGAATATTCAAATGTTGTTTTTTTAGTACTCAGATCTATTCATAGTCGGCTCGGTTCTACTACTTATAGTTCTAACTTGTCGTCTTTTCAGGCCAATTCAACTCTCATATGAATCCATTTGTCAGCACTTGAGCTAGCACGGCATTGATCTTGAGTCGAAATTGCTCAATCGCTTAATTTGGCTGTCTTGAACTGTCAAGATTGTAGACAGATTTGTAATATTTTAACGGAGTTAATGCAATGAATGATGTATTCCAATGTTGCCATCGACGGAGATCGGGTTTAAAGCCGACAGCCTTGCAATGAGCTTACTCGAAATCAGCACTACCAGCAGCTAAACTCCGAAATTTCACCATTTCGATCATTATTAGAGTGATTTCCACATGCGCATGAGAACAAGGTAGTATTTGCTCGTCTCGGCTTTATCTCCACGAAACTATAAATCCATTTATCTAATACTGGAAAATGAGCAGGCAACGAGTACGTAGTACCTATGGTATCCATGAATGAGATTAGAGCCAGATTAGTCATATAACAGCTTCTTTTCGAGAATTTTAATGGATTCAAAAAACCATCCAAGATTCCCTAGGTAAAATCAGTGCCTAATTTATTTTTATTTTTTATACTTCATAGTACAGACTGACAGCGATCTATGTAGTTGCCCAGGTGCATAGTTGAAAACCCATGTGATTTGAGCATGTCCAACCAATAGGAACCTTCGAAAATGGAACACTCCTCTGAATTGTTAAATCTCTATCGGACATCAATCTTGTAGTGGGGCCATTGCCAGTGGTGCTAAACTCGAAGATCTCTGCTGGGTTACGCGGCGTGGAGCTCTTCAGAGAAGCTTGTCCTGATTTTGCTTAGTGAGGAATAATAGAGAAATCATTGCAGCCTGGAGTGAGTTCCAAAACGTTTGAACAGTCAATGTTTCTTACTAGTAAACATATCAGACAATCGAACTTCCAACATGGACACAAAACCACTATCATCCACTGCCAAACCCTCTGAAAGGCCAGCTGACACTTCATCGGAAACGGTCGATAAGCCTAGCTTCCCCATAGCTAACACGTTCATTGACAAGACCTTATAGTACGTACCCTTGTTCAACTCAATTTTCCATACAAAAACTAACCTTGGAACTCTCTTCAAGTTACCTGAGAAAGACTTTCGAGTAACTTGCAATAATTGCCATATTAAGCGACTTCTTTCTGGACGAGGATACAAAGGAAAAATATCTCCCAAGATCTTTTCAGGACCTCTTCTACTGGGGGTTAATTATACCCACATGCATTCTCCATATCATACAGGTATACCGATATCGAGAACATTTTTAAGACGGTCCACAGGCGGGGATACGTGTTTCAGAATTTCAGGAGCGGAGGTCAAAGATAGCATTAATTGATGTGAACATATAGGGAATTGCAGGCTTATTGGCATGTCAATTTCTAGGAGTCGTAACTGAGTAGGAGAATCGGTGCTTGCAGTTTTGTTTTTAATTTCTGTGTTGGCTCACGGTGCCTGTAGTTCGACTAAGTCGCGGAAGATGATGATATTATGACTAAGCGTAGTCTGGGCCCGCCGCTAGTCCGTTTTGAGATTATCTGATCCTCAGGCAGAAACAGCTCTTTACACGTGATTTGAGGCTCTCGCTTTGTTCTCAGCCATCATTGCGACTCTACCAAGTCGCATTCACTACGCTCGGCGCTGCCCTGCGCCATATCATTCACTTCACTTCATTCACTTACGACCAGTCATATACATAGAACTTATCCGCTATCGAGACTCCGAACGATGACCATCTCTGCACGTCCTTAATTCTAATCCCGCGACCAGAAGCATCGTCTTCAGATCTTCCTCCTTCTCATCCTCGCCCTTGCGCGCGATCACAAAAGCATACATCTCATCATGGATCTCGGCAACACGCTCATCCGGAGCGTTGTCCGCGCCTTCTATGAAACCCGATACATCTTAGTTGTGGATGCGCTTTTCCTCCATTCGGTGTATGAAGCTCATTTCCTGGAAGATCAAATTTAAAGAGAACAGAACAGTTCAGCTGATACATTGCATTACAGTCTTCACGCCGAAGATCTCGCATTTTTAATGGGAATGCAACAGAAAGATCTCCGCAAACTATGCGCTCGGTTACGAGAGGACCGCCTAATCGCAGTGTAAGCTTCGCCCCAGCTGCGACGACGCTTTCCAAATTCTCTGAGACATGAGCTGACCGGAAGGGAAATTCTTCTCATTTACAGAAGCACTCGAGCCGAAATCCGCGATGGGTCGACTCGTCCCGTGAACCGCGAATATTACTACATCCCTCTCCACCCGGTTATCGATGCAATCAAGTTCAAGGTGTCAAAGTTGACATCCACGATAAAAGCACAGTACACCCCGAGCGAGGAGCGCAAGGAATACATCTGTCTCCGCTGTGGGTCAGAGTGGACTGAGCTAGATGTGCTGAGTCTGGTCTCAGAGGAAGGTTTCGAGTGCCAGTACTGCGGAGCCATCTTAGAGCGAACCGAAGATGTGAAGGGTGCGGAAGGCATGGATCGCACTGGTCACGAGAAGAACAGCAAACTGATGGCACAATTGGATGACATGCTTAAACTTCTTAAGCAGATCGACTCTGTCGAGATCCCAGCTAATGATTTCGATACCGCATGGGATCACAAGGTCGAGATTGCTCGAAATCAGCATACACATCCAGTTCGCGCCGCGATTCCTGTCCCACCAAAGCCACAGGATGTTATCCGTGGGTCACTCAAAACAGACGCGGCTGCTTTGGAAATCTCTCTTACCTCTACCGAGGAGAAGACCGCCGCGGAACAGGCCGACGAAGCTGCCCGAAAAGCAGCTGTGGAGAAGCAGAACGCGCTACCCGTTTGGCATACACACTCTACGGTCAACGCTACACTTACCAACGGGGCTGCTAAGCCTGATATCGGTGTACCAGTGAAGCCCGAACTCCGGGAAGAGGATCAGAAGCCTGCCATTGATGCATTGGATGACAAGGTTGCAGCATACTACGCAGAAATGGAGCGCGAGAAGGCTCTACAGGCCCAGGAAGATGCTAGCAGCGAGGAAGACTCGGACGAGGAACTCGATGAATTCGAAGATGTCGGTGTCTCCGGTCAAAGTGGCCCCGCTACGCCTGCAACTGCTGCTGGTCCTACCAGTGTCCCTACGCCTTCCTCCACTATTGCTGGTATTAAGCGTGAACTTGATACAGTTTCTAGTGGAGCTCCATCTTCTGTCGGAACACCTTCTACTCCAGCTGATGATGGGCCTGCAGCTAAGAAGATGAAGACTGAGCCCAGCGTCACCACTGAGCCGGTGATCAAACCTGATCCGGATGTCAAGCCGACCCCAGAGGCAAATGATGAAGAATCTGATGAAGATGACGAAGAGTTTGAGGATGTCTGATTTGGACTCATTGATTTATTAAAAACAAAAATATTCCAAAATGAGATATCAAATGGCATTTCCCGTGACATGGGCGCTGGCGTCATGTTGACTGTACCAACAAGAAAAAATTTGAAATGAACTTGACCTGAATATCCTCTTTGTCGCGGAACATTGATAATGACTTGAACTACAATATCATTACATGGTAAGATGAAGTTTGACTTAGAAATGAATGCATGAAAAGAGGCACAAGTTTTATGTATCGTTAGGGCTTCTTTGCTCCGTATCCTAAAAACCGAAAAAGCAACACCAGACCCCTTAAGATAAAGATAAAGATTTAAGAAAATAACAACTTGAAAGTGCAAATCTCGCCAGTCATAAAATCGTAGTTGACTTGTCATCACAACTCCATGTCACGCTCGCTCAAAATGATATCTTCGTAGCTGAAGGGGCATGGTTAAAAACAAAACAAAACAAGGTGGGGGGAAAATAGCAAGGTTGTGTAGAGCTAGGTGCCTTTTAAGGGGATCCAACGAGGCCCATCTCAGAGTCACTGGCTAAGGCAGATGTAGCTTCCCATTCTTCAGGCGAGGGCATATCGGATTCTGGGAGCCCCCGTTAGATAAAATCGATAAAATCGTCATATGGTGAGGGAGAACGCGTACCTGAAACGAGATCGTCCGGAACGTCAGTTGCAATCTGTTCGAGTAAATTTAGAGAATCTTTGAAGAAAGAATGTTAGCAATGGATATCCATAAAAGAGAGGAATCAATCATGAGATTAATAAATACCGTTGGCCTGAATAATGAAAGCCTCGTCTTCTTCATTGCTGGATTCGAAATAATTTTCCAGGCAATGAGTAATCGTCGATGAGATGGGATAGACCAGTCGAGAGGGAACGTTTGCAATCTGCCCACTGAGGAAGGATCTGTTGACCCTCTCTACACAGGCTTTGGCCAGCGTCTTGCCAATGAGAATGCGTGGAGAATTGGGATTCTCAGCCAGTTCGTCATCGCTATCACCAGAAAAGAGAAGTCTGTTGGCAATATCGATGGTCTCGTGGCGAACCACTTTATCAGTATCAATGAGCAAAGTCGGAACAAAGTCTGGCAATTTTTGTAGAGTGACGATCGAGAACCACTCAGGACCGAGGTTCAATCGCTCATTGACCGAATCCGAACTGCAAAGTTGTTTGAAAAATTCGAGATGTTCTGCGCCTCCACTGTTATTAATCGAGTCCACACCTTTTGCAACGAAGTCAATCATGTTCATGACCTCCGCTTCATCTGGTGAAAATCTGCAGTATACAACGGCTGCACTGAGGAACGGGGCACACATGTCAGCGGGCGACAGGCGCAAGCCGATCTCCAAAGTCTTGACAATACGGTCTAGGAACCGGGCACCAGGCTCTGCTGACATGAATGTCGCAAAGACATCAAAGCACGATGCGTGAGCGCTGTACTGCTCATGCTGAAGCATCTTCATCAAGAATCCAGAGCCTCCATCCTCCTCCACGGCCAGTGCATACTTGCTTTCGGTCTGACTCGGAGCAAACATGCCGTCAGACGAGACTTGTCGAGCTCTGGTGTCTGGAACGGGAGGGAGAGAGAGATCAATGTTCTTGAAAAAGATAGACACCAAAGTCATCATGTTGGCATAGCCAAATCGACGGCCCTTCTCCAACAACCTGGTGTAGCTGGGATAAGAATTTCTCAATCTCATCTTGTCTTCGTGGTCGAGCCAAATGATCTCCATGCATCGAGCGAATATGCAATTCTCAAGAAGTATGCCAATTACCTCTGTGCCGCACTCAGCGAGTTTAACAATGAAGTCAAAATAGTCATCCCAAGCGCGTGGAACGGCGTGGAGCGAGGGCCACAAGGTCTGGATCATAGAGACAACCTGTTGAAGATGACGTTCTGTTTGAACTTTCAAGTAGTTGCGCTCAGTTTCATCCAGACCAGAGTCGTCTCTTAGAGCTGTTCGGAGGCGTTTGACAGAACTTGTGATAAGCATGATGCCCTTCTGTCGAATATCGCTATTCGAAGTTCGCAAAATGATATTGTTAAGTGATGTGGACCGATCCGACACCCATTTCAGCGTTTGCAGAGCAGCTTGAGGGTTGCGGCTAAGCAATTTGAAGAGCTCGGTAAAAATGGAATCCGACCAGTGGTATTCCTTTGTTCGCGCGATCAATTGCTCAAAGGTATCAAGCCCAACTTCCATTGCCAGCACCTCCAGATCTGATCGATGAGCATACTCGGAACCTGCAGCCCGTAACCTCTCAAGCAACGTGTTGACCAAAATGGTGTAATATGGATCAAGAAGGCAATAAGTCCGAAGGAACAACTCATTGTCCATGGCAATGTGGTTCGCAAATTCAGTTGGCACGGGAATTCGTGCTGGACGACCTGGAGTCAATGGTTGACGATTCTGTTTCGATTCATCCACGACCGACACCCGCTGATAGAATAGCATGTAGGCATTCCAGACTTTGTTAACATGGACTCCACCCATGGAGTGCATCGATTCAGTTTGGCCTCCGAAGCATTGTTCGGCAATTGTAGAAGCATCAAAACGGCTCACGTCGGAGTCATTGAACTCAACCCAAGATGACTGGGATCCTGCCGCAGGCCGTTCGCGAGTGTACGAGTAGTAGTGGCCAGATTCTGCTGTTCCAGTATGAACTAGAACACCGACCAGCTCAAAGATATCCGGCTCAACAAGTGCTTCCGGGTCAGAGAGAAACTCAACCTTGTAAGGTGTCATATCAATGCGTTCAGGGAACTGGAACTCGTCATTGATCTTGCTCCTCGTCATGGTGACCATGTCGAAATCAAATCTCTTGAGATGGAAGATGAGATTGTCAGGGACATCTTTCAAGCAGGCTCGCTTGACGGCATCAACGTGACGGTTACAGGCTGTGCAAGAGTACTTATTGTCACCTTGCATTATTTCGCCCTCCACGTATGCCTGCAGGCTCTCCTCGAGGCATGCTTTGCCCTTAATATCGCACTGAATGGCAGAAAAGGGCTCCAATCGCTCAGAGATATGTGAGCACTCTTTCGACTTGATCTGTTGAACCAATTGACCTCCATAGAAGGATCGGAACTTCTTCTTGTCAATTGAATCACCAACTTGGGCCTCCCAACGATCGAAAAGGAGATTGTAGAATTCATCAACGTCCATTTGAACGGTAACATCGATCGCTTCATTGTCATAGGTACGAATACTTTCAACGAAGGGGTGTGGGTCAACGCTTTTGGTCCAGGTGTCTTGCATCCAAGCGAAAAGCTTTTGTGTTTCGTCCAAAAGTCTCTGAGATGAGTCGGGATCCACGAGGTCAAGCTGGAGCATGAAGTCTCGGAATTCTACATTCATGAACAGTTGTGTCATCAAAGAGTTCAGATAGCAGGTGTTTGAAAGGTTTTTCAGGCCCGCGTATCCCTCTGGAGCTCGAATCATCTTCGACCTATCATAACTTGAATTGGGGCCATATGAAACGTCTCGTGGGACCACATCCTCCAGTTGCCTCATCGTGAGGTTAAGATTGTCGTTGCTGCGCTTGCACAGGAGATTCACGACATTGTACAACCTTTGGCGGGTCAACGAGTGCAAGACAGGAATGCGCGGGATGATTGGGCCATCGATTGACTCCATTGACAATTCAGGGAAGAGGTGAATCCTAAGAATTTGCTCTGCGAGATCAAAGGTATCCAGCTCGATATTCGCCGCGTCTGCCAGCTCAAGACAAACCTCTAGCATGACAGCAAACCCCAAAACCAAGTCGTCGACGGTCTCGCGACCAACGAACTGGTCGCTCTGGTGGCGGAACATCACTTCACTCCAGTCTTTGAGGTACTGACTGAGAATGACATCCCGAGGAGACTTCTCGGCAACAATACGGAAAACCCAGACAACAACCTTGAAAAATTCGGAGGACTGACTGGCGTAGTCAAGCGACTGTGGAATAACCTGGACCAATGCACTCCAGATCGTTGCAAGCATGTCAATACGGACAGGGCTCTCTTTAGGGCTTGGCGGCTGCAGCCCATCACCGGCAAATTTAGTTGCTTGCTTCATAAATTTGGAGGGGCTGGCGATCATCTTGATTCTCTCCGAAACCTCATTTCGGACTACCTGTCGATTTTCCTTAAGAAGTAATTCTTGCATGAGTTGATCAAATTGAGCGCGTTGCTTGATTGCTTCCCAGAACTTGTAGTCTCGAATTGAGCCCTCAATGGTTACTGCAAATAAACAGCATATCAACTTCTGGACGGTGACGGCGATGAAAGACTTTGGTTTCACGGAACAGGCGACTCCAATAAGGCTCAGAATTTTGTCAGCAAAGGAATCTGCATTCTTGAATAAGACAGATTCCTCGTTTTTGGGGACATAGACTATTATTTTATTAGCACGATGTCATTCCAAAAGAATGAACCTTTTTTGGTGCAGATAGACTTACCACCAAGAGCACATAGGAGACATTCCATTGAAGTCATGGTAAGGCAAAGGCGAATATCATCACGCGTGTTGGCAGGAGTATCCACAATGAGTTCATTATTCATCAGGAACGCCTCCAGCATTTCAATGCTGTGCACAATAAATCTCTGCTGAGGGTCGGGCTGCTTCTTTGTTAGAGAATACCTGTAAACAATCCATTTCGATAAACTTACCTCACTCAGTTGCTCACGCATGCTTGTCAAAAGGGCGCTGAATGAATAAAAGGCGACAAAAGGTTTTTCCAGAGGGAAAAGTGTCTTTTCATCGCTGTCTTCCGATCTGATAAAGTCCAAGATCTGCTGCTGAGGTGGGAACACAAGCAAGAAATCATATATCTCTTGAGCCACCTCATCCTTGAGGGATAATAGTTCGTAAATTTCATCCAAATGTTGATGAACTTCGCTGTCAACTGGAGTCAAGGATTGGCGTTTGCTGTCGCGGAAAACCTCTTGAGCATCCGCTGCCTTGCGGAGAATAAGTAATCCGGGGACTTTGATGTCTTTCAATAGAGCTTCCGGGTCTTTCAAGAGATCGATGCGCTGGCCTCCCCAAATCGTGGTGAATTTTGAAAATCCAGTAAGCCGGCTGAGTCTTTCCACAAATTCCCCCGCAGTAGAAATATCCCCAATTCGCAATGTATTGACGGTTGAATGGGAACTACCATGGAAGGATTGCCAAGATACATCGATAGGCTCACCCTTCAATGGACGGTCTGGGAGGGTAGGTGGAGATCCTCTTGGAGGGCTGTAGTGAGGGCGAGTTCGCAGACCGTAGAGAAACTGACGAAGGAAGAGTAGAGAGCGCCTGAATTTGAGCTCATCTGCACTCGTATCAACAGATTGGGGTCCATTCTGCATAGGCGTATCATCTGTGCTGTCAGACGCTCTCAGAGCGGGAGCCGTAGACTTGAGCTGATCAATGCAGCGATTGACAATTGCAACGTGAGTGGCTTCAACGACAGGACGCGGTGAGGAACGAATAATCGGATGATCCAAGTAAACCTCAATGGCAAATTTAGTAGCCTCAGTTTCAATTGTACCAGAGTTGGCTGTCAAGATGAATTTCCAGATGCGTTCCATCCCGGGAATTGTGATGACTTCACCCTCATTTGCGGGAGATCGGGGCGGATTAAATCGCACGTCATATGTGATTGACTGCTTTGCGAATGAAAGGATCTCAGGGGTGTAATCCTCCGGTGACAGCTCAGGCAAATACTCATGAATGCATCGCTCTAGAAATGGGTTTGTTTCAGAACTGCGGCTCAAAGCATTCACCATCATTCTCCAGGCTGCTTTGTATCCATCATACCCTAACTTTTTGGATAGAAGAATCTCTGTCCAATAAGCCTTCCCAAGAGCAGGAGATATTGTGTCAGGGACCATATCGATGAGGCGGAATAAGATTGCAATTCGTGAAATCAGGCCGTGGTGGGAGAAGCCATCACCAAAATCAACATTCTCGCTGTTCACAGCGTGGAGAAGATCATTAATGACGAGGCGAGTCAGGTCAAAATCTTCCGCCAACTTTCTCATCTCGTGTGAACCTTGGTTGGGAACGAGAGCGCTGAGGACCTGAATGCTTCCGGCAGTAAACTGATTCATGTCGGCAATGTCTTGGATACACTGCTCATACAGCTCCATTCTGTCTTTGTCGCTGATACCAGCCTTGATAAATCCTTCAAGGTGTTTGCTACCAAAACTCTGCAACTGTTTCTTGTGTTCAACTGAGATATCTTGTGCCGCAGTGCTCTCTCGAATCAGGCGTACACAAAGTCGCAAAGGGATTGTATCCACATGCACATCGCCCATATGATCCTTCGGCTTTTCGGACAGGCGACCGATGAAATTATCGCAGAAGTCAATGACACGGGTATCGAATCGATCCAATGGGAGTTCCAAGACCTTTGCACAAGTGTAAAGAAGCTCCGGTGAGGTACTCTGAAGCATCCAAGAGACGCGAGTGAGCATAGACAAAACTTCCGCAACGATTCGACTGTCTTGACTCTCTGTCACGGTCTTCCAGATGAGATCTATTTCCTTGGTCGTGTATGTTGATGTCGCGATCAGGAACCCAACGATATTACTACTGCGACTTATTAATTGCGGATGAGAGTCCACACCAACAAGATAATCTAGTATCTTGTTTCCCTGGATGAAGCGGATAAGATATTGAATGAAGGGCAGTGACAAAGCTTCCGGGTCTGTGGACAGGTGCTGCCGCCAGACAACAACCAATTCAGATTGCATCGTCTCAACGCCGTGTGCTCGAAGTTCCATGCGGCCTTCCATGATTTCCTTTTTCAGGATTCGGAATTTCCAGCCCCATGAGATGATGTGGAATGAATCTTTTGGGTCCGTACCATCAGGAATCTCAATGCATAGCGACTTCGATAGCTGATGTACAAACTTGTTGTCGCGCATAGAGAGGTGACTAAAGCTGCGATTTATCTGACGTAAGATCTGCTCACTCAGCTCGCTCGTCAACCAGGAGGCCTTTTTGGTGATCCATTCTTGGTACTTCTTGTCAATCAAGCAGATAGTCTCGTAGAGTACGTTGACATGAGGCGACTCAGCAGGCGCATCGGTACCTGCTTCTCCATTTGTGTTTTGTCTCCACTCCAGAGAACCGTCCAGAATGCAATTGATCGTAAGAAACAGTGGGGGTAAGGAATTGATCCAGGTCGAGCATTTCGTAGCATTCTCGGCGAGTACCGAAGCGAATTCGGCTATGATCTGGCAAACCTCCATAGCAATAGCCTTTTCCCGGAGTCGAATCAAAAATTCAGTCAAGTCGTCACCATAAAGATGCTCCAGAGCACGGTACAGTGGAATGGACGATGACTGCAAGACCCACGCGAGCGAACATAGGTAGTTTCGAGACATACTATCTGGCAACTGGAGGTCCGGCTCAGTAGACAGGTAGCGCAGGGTCAATGTATCCATGCAAATCAGATGTAGAGTGATCTTTATGTAATCCGAAAGGAATTCCTCGAGGCACATCCACATGCCTTTACCTTCATTCAGAGGTAACTCTTGACTAAGATCGGGTGTGTTAGCATGTAAATCGCAGAAGGTTGAACAAAACAACAAAAAGGAAAATAGAATGAAAGATCAAAAGGAAAGGCCCCAGTCCAGGCACCAGTTGTCATACTTCCTGCGCATCAAAATCTCTATCAAACGAGGCAGATGTTCCCAGAACTCAAGATCTTCCATAAAAGCTTCAGGCGTCAATCGATCGGTGTTGCGCGCACAGTCGTCGAACCAGACCTTCAGCACGGACAACACTTTAGCCTCGCGGGAGTTATCTAGTAAGATGGTAAGTGGTCAGCGGATAAGAGATATCAAGAGGTCCGGGCGGGATGATGTTCTTACGCTGTTCAACCATCATGATTATCTTCTGTAAATTGTCTCTCGCACTTAGATCATCACGAAACTTTGGGAAGCCATCGACCAACGGAGATGTATCCTTGACCTCAATCACGTCTTCGGCCACCTGGTCGCGCACTGCTCCTTGCAGCGGCTTCCAGTTGGACGTGTTTGGGTCCTGATCCATATCCTCCAGCTCTGCGACCTGAATTTCGGGACTTTGGGAAGGTGAGGAGGAGGATAGGGAGATCGGTTTGGAGGGAGTTGTCGATTCGGGGTTATCTAAGTTCGGAGTTGGAGTGGGGGGGTTGTGAGGTGGTAAGAGGAAGTTCGGATGGATTTTCGGATGTTTCTGCCTTCAAGGATGACATTTCGATGATGGGAGACTTCACGTTGATTGTGACTTTGCTGGAGCGAGCGGAATCCGGGGTGACATCCATCTCGGAGGCAGGTGCGGAAGGCGTCGCGCAGGCGTCAATGGATAGAGACTCTCCCACGCGGCTTCCACTGTCAAGGCGCGGACGTTTCCGAGTCGCCTGGGGATCAAAATCTTCCATCGAATCTTCGTGCGGTCGTGTAGATTCAATTAAGGGCGCACCAGGTGGGGGGGTGATAGCTATCTGGCGGGGGTTCTGCCATAACATTTTCCGCCAGGCAACGGGATAGAAGGAACTGAGGAATGAGAAGGAAAAGAGGTATTTGAAGAATAGAGAATTTTAAATTTGGGAGGATCTCTAGGAAATTCTGGGAGTTAATGAGGATAAGAGATGGGACCGAAGTGAGAGATGGGAGGTGAGAAGTGCCTAGGTGGTCGATAGCTTTTTTTTACCAATTTGAAGGCGGCAACGCGACAAGGAGATCAGTGACGTTTGACTGGAGAGAGAAGCACCAAAGAACAGGATCTACGTACTAATGTCAACTACCAGCAATTATTTACTCAGATGGTGAAATACTTTGTTGAATTTTATTTCTTTATTATTTTGTTTGTTTTATTTCAGCAATTTTCATATTAATCAAGTTTGCTGATCAGAGAAATTCTACTATCAAACACCCTATGTATATCCTCCGCAATCTTAACCGCTTTACTCCACTACTATACTACCTAGAAGTGATGGAGGTGATGAACATGCATTACTATACGAGTCCTTCAACATTATGGTCCAATAATGTTTAAAATTGTATTATTAGTAGGTTTATCGCTGAAAATAGCTTGAATGATTTGGACATTCTTCATATCCACAATCTCAAGTTATCTTGAATCCTAGTGAGCTTTGGATATTACACACAGATACTTACTCACCGTCATATCTTTGTCTGGGCTACTTATGCAGATTGGTGTAACGCATAGACCATCCTTTGTTCTAGTCTTTACTAGTGTAAGTATTACTGGTAACTAATATTACGAAGTCATTAATTGAGGTTATACCAAACCCCAGATTCCAGCTCAGGAATATTTGAATAAGGTCTAAATGATTATCCCAGGTAATCTTAGTATTGCAAGATTGACTTTAATCTAGGCATTATAGTATTTAGATACCAATATCAACTTAACATGAAGCTCATAGGATCTATTCTAAACTTGGAATGGCAATATGTGGAGTTGAAGACCATAAGCTATGCTTTAGAATTAATCATGAAAAGCTGATTTATCATCTCACGGGCGGTCAACTGGTCAACCTACTAACAGTTATTCTGCCGGAATATTCCGCATACTTGATGCCTTAATTTCTGCCTGAAGGCACCTGCAGGGGCATTGAATCAACGGGTTCCCTTTCGCGTCGCAATTACGCTCAATCGAGATACACGATTTTAATTTAATTCTTCCTCCCATGTGACCTCCATGATAGCCAAGAATGACTTCTCTGGCCTAGTCACACGAGTCAACTTCATCCGAGGATCAGTGTCTCGAAGGAGATTGGTCCAGTCCAAGAGTGTCCGCTCTTGAGCATTGGTAAGAGTGAACATGAACAGATCATAGTCCCTAAAACAGTATGATTAGAATATGATAATCGACGTGAATTGAGAGGGGAGGACATACCGTGATTCACGCTCCTGAAGATAATTTGCCTCCCTGAAACCAGGAATAATTCGGTCATTGATCACAATCTTGGCCCCGGGTCTTAATGCAGGAATAAAAGCACGAAGAATATTTCGGGCATATTTATTCGACCAGTCATGCAATACGTGTCGCAGGAGATAAACATCCGCACCTTTGACCGGTTGCTCCTGGAAGAAATCATGGCTCTGAAAAGTGACACGATCTTTCAGCTCCTCCGGAAGCCTCTTCTCTCCACCGGCGACAGAATCGCTCAGATCTTGAACGACACATTTCACATTGGGATCATGGAAAGCCAGAGCTTGCGAAACGTGTCCAAATCCACCACCCACGTCGACAATCGTAGTATCCTTCTTCTCTTGGAAGGGGAAGTGCTCGATAAGATGCTTTGGAGAGAACCCTGGGAGCTGGCTATGCCACTCCATAGCCTTGAAAAAAACAATACCACGCTCTGGTAAATCGTTTAAGGCTGTAAAAACTGGAAGCTTGGTGGAGTTGTTCACAGACCAGCTCTGTTACTGTTAGTAAAAGTATCATATTTCCCAGTATAAGTGATACTTACACTATGCTCTGGCTCTTCAGAGTATCCATATTTTGTAAAACTTCAGGGATCTAACTCGAATTAGCCAATGGTATAACTCTCTCAGGAATATCAGAAAGAGAAATGTCATACTCGATGAGTCGCAGGCAACGTCTCTCCAATGCCCATCATCAACCAGTTACGCATACCCTCACTCTCAACCAAGAGACGTGAGCTTGCAGTGTGCACAAAATAGTCAAGCTCTGACTGGAAGAAAATATGATAGGTGGCAGCATGACACATAATGCGGCGAACAATGTTCTCATCCAAGTTCACTTTCGCAGCTAGATCTTGAACAGATATGCCCTCTTTTGGTACATGGTCTGCGAACCCGAGGCGACATATTGGGTAAGTGCTCAAGCATGCGCTTCGCTACATGTAAGATCATAGAAACCTTCATTAGTAAAAAGAGAAAATAACTGGAAAGAGCACATTCTCAGATTCGTTCTAGGTTCGGCCCTTGAAGATGCATGGTTTGACTTACATTTTCCTGGCTTAAATTCACAGCTGGCTCTGTCAGCAAGTCGCGAAACTCGTCCAGCAAGCCCAGCAACTTGGTGCGGTTGGTGATCGCATTGACATCTGAATCTGGCGCATTCTCTCTCATAACATCAGGAATACCATATTCAAAAGTTGGCTCCGGCTGTTTATGTCTAGCCACGATTTCGGCGAGAGAATGACTGAGCTCGGTAATTTCAGCAGCACGACCGACCATATCGAGGCGATCCATGTTTGCCGGAGTGCAAGTGGGACTTGAGAGAGTCTGAATCCAAAAAGAGTAAAATAAAGTGATTTTTAGAGGTATTGTCCTCGATCTTGGAAGGGGGGTATTTAGTATCTCACCAGAGGATTTGAGAAACTTGCAGGAGAGTTGTCTGCACTTGCGGCCCCGGGCAACTTTATCTTAGATAAAGTATGACTCGGATTCAATATTTCTACCTACTGCGGGGACCTCGGACCCCTAAATACATCATGATGCAGGTGACACCTGGCAATAGTGCCAATGTCTGCAGTGCCGTCTAAAAAAGAAAGCTCCACAATCTCCATGGATCTGATGAAACGCCCCCAAGCCCCACACCCAAGTCCCAACGCCCATTGGAACTTGAAGTTTATCTATCCACTTCTGTGGATGTATCAGATTCGAATCTTGGAATTCAAGTTCCTCCCTATCCTTGAAGTGGTGCAAACTTGAACTTGCACAGTATTCCCCGCCTTTCTGCTGTCGTGCACTAAAATCATACAAATATGTAGATCTGCCGCACTATATAATATAGTATATTACAAGTTGGGGCTCCATTTCCGGTGGCTCCGAGTCCAGACCCTCTTTTCGATCGACGCTCTTCAAATCAGATATGTCATTGTGCATACAAATTGGGTCGCTTCGCACACCAGGGTGGAGCGGCGAAGTTCGACGTTGAGTTCGCTCTGTGGCTCTTATTGGAGAGTTACAGCATGCGGATATTCACCCAATATGGTATGATCAGCCGTGACCTCGCTTAGAGGTGCCAGTGGATTCATACTTGCATTCTCAATGTATTGAAGAAATCGCGCATTTTGGCCCCCATTCAGAAAAAAAGGGCCAGCTTGTGTGCACCTTTCATCCGAAGTCTATATGTACCCAAGCAGCATTTGAAACGAGCTTGTAGTAGTCCAGGCGAGGTACAGCGGATTTGTATGTGCCCACTCCAAATCTCAAAAATATCTCAATGGTGCTGACATGACACAGATGACGCTGAGCAACTTGGCGGAACCGGATAGAAGACGACTCGGATTCTGCTCATGGTTGGCTGCTGCCATTTGCACCGGCGATTTTCAAGACGTTTAATGAATTCACCAAACGTCAAATGTCCGGGATCAACCAAAGTCTCTCCAGTACTAAGACCTCCTCATGCGGATCCAGGAGCGAGCAAATCCACGTGTTGCAAAATAAAGGAACTGGAACTGGAGAAGGCTCATCGAGTACCAGTCTTCTGGAAGAGTCTTGCTGAAAGTGCTTGAAAAGTGCGCCGAGAGGAGTCCATGAGTGTGGTGAAGGTTATTCGTTAACAAATCGGATAGTAGTTATCGTTTGATATTCGATATCAATAAGTTCAATATTCTGTGAGCACAGCTATCCACATCATGAGTTCATTGTGAGTTTGACATTTGAATAATATGGTATTATGGACCTGGTCAACATTTGATTGTTTTCAATGTTTTGTGAGGGGGGGAGCCGGGATGGAGGTTGAGTTTCCGAGTGATTCTGAGTCGTGTGGAGTTTGCTCTTACTACCATTCTGACGTGTTTTTCACTATCTTTCACAACATGATAGAACTTGAACCTGCTTAGCTCAAATTATTCCAGAGTGACGGAGCTTAACGGAGCTCCGTGTTTTCATCTTAGAAAACCTTGGAAGATGATTTTTCCGCTGCACCCACAATTACATGCCTTTGCGTGGGGTGAGCTTATCATGTGTCTTGTAGTTGGTCTGTGACGACCCTTACACCCAGAAACCTTTCTCCAAAGGGATCTGATCATGGGGTAATGTGGGTATGCTGTGGGGTAAAGTTGGGGGTAAAGTGTGGGGTTGACGACACATTGACTGCAGCTCTGGAGTGGAGTTGGGTATCTGGTTAGTTCTTAATTGATATTCCTAGTCAAAAGCTTGGTTCGAAACAGTAAACGAACATTTGAATGCTTGCTTTCGTAAAAGACTTTCAATTGATACACCACCTTTTGAAATTAATCACATCCCCTGCTTCTCCAGTAAGGGATGATACTCTCAATCTTAAACCATCTGTATAGAATCCTTTCCGTCATAGCAATGATAATTTGCACGACGGGGCACACCAATCTACCGTAAACAAGGCTAGGTACTTACTAAGCCTGATCCTGGGGTTTGTAAAGCTCAATAAGCCGATCAGTGAACTAGAAGTCATGCTCGGTCCTGGTCATTTAGTGTGAAAATGCGGAGACTAATACAAAAAAGGAAAGGATTCAGTGTTGGTACAGAATAACAATCTTTTGGTCAATCAGCTACCACATAATATCCATGGATTCATTAAAAGTATGAAAAGCTCTACTCGCTGTCTCCACAGTATTCTCCCTATCCTCTACTCTCAACATGTGATATGGGGGATTATCCCCACACCTTTTGATGAATGCCGAAGGGAAGAAGCTGTCTAATTGTTTGTGTCCGTCCCCACACTAAGTACGGACATACATATATCACCGTGAGTATATAACTACCTAGGTAGTAGCTAGCAGCCCTCATGCTCTGAATCAAGCACCCACCTGGGCACAAGCCTTACTCTTCTCAACCCGTTTGCACCTTGAAGATGACCTCTCATCTCCGCAGGCTTCTACCGGCGACAATACTGATTGCCCTCGCATCAGCAAAAGCATCCAGTAATGCGAAGTCCCTGGCCACCGTCTGCACAACCTCGTATGTCCAGAGTGTATTGCCCGTCAATGCCATCTCAGGAGTACAGATCGATGATGCCTCACTCACAGTGAACGCCGTTTACAATGTCAGCTTCATGGGCAGCGATTTCTTCCCAGATGCCTACGACCAAAGCTACTGCAATGTGACCTTTGCCTATTCCCACGCGGGGAGAGGTGATTCTGTTATTGTCTGGTACTGGCTTCCAGCACCTAGCAACTTTAAGAATCGATATCTTTCCACCGGTGGTGGCGGATACTCTATTACGTCCACCGATACCTCAATCCCAGGAGGTATCATATACGGAGCCAGTGCCGGCACAACTGATGGAGGCTTTGGTAGCTTCGACACCACCGTTGACAAAGTCGTGTTACTAGGAAATGGTTCGCTCAACTATGAGAATGTCTACAATTTCGGCCACAAAGCTATTCATGAGATGACCGTTCTCGGGAAGCAGTTGACCCGGAACTTCTTTGACATGTCTGATGACGATAAGTTGTATGCATACTATCAAGCATGTTCTGAAGGAGGACGTGAAGGGTGGAGCCAGGTGCAGCGCTTTCCAGAAGACTGGGACGGTGCCATTATCGGTGCCCCGGCAATGCGATACTCTCATCAACAACTACAGCATCTCTTTGCTTCTGTCGTCGAGTCGCATCTCAACATCTATCCCAAACCATGTGCTCTAGATACACTGACAACAGAGGTGCTCAATTTCTGTGATCCGCTTGATGGGAAGACAGATGGCGTTGTCAGTCGTTCTGACATCTGCAAGCTCAAGCTGAATCTTGACGACTTCATCGGTCTCAACTATTCTTGCGCTGCTACACCAGCCTCCACCAATCCCTACAGCCCTCAGGCAGCTGTGCCAGCCCAGAGCGGCGTAATTACGCGAGACGATATCATCATTGCTAATCACACTCTTTATGGGCCCCAGACACTCTCTGGCGAGCAAGTTTATGTAGGCTGGCAGCCTGGTGCCGGCTTTGGGGATGCCGATACAGTGTATGACAATACTACTGGTAACTGGACCTATTCACTTCAGTCGTTCGGAATTCTTTTCGCCTCAAAGTTTATCCTAGAGCAGAGCGTCTCAACTACGATTCCCGGCTTTGACAGCTGGACTCCTGATACACTTCGGGATATGATTTACACTGGATGGCAAAAGTTTGAAGACTCTCTGCAGACTACATGGCCAGACCTCACTGCATTCCACGACGCCGGAGGCAAAGTCATTCATTTCCATGGTGAATCGGATAACAGTGTTCCCACAGCCTCTTCTGTACGGTACTATGAATCTGTGCGCAGCGTTATGTTTCCAGATCTCTCCTATGAGGAGTCTATAAATGCACTCAACAGTTGGTATCGCTTGTACCTGGTAGATGGTGCGGCTCATTGCACACCTGACCAGACACAGTGCAACGGGGCTTTTCCTCAGACGAATTTCCCCGTCATGATTGATTGGGTGGAAAAGGGAATTGAACCTGTGACGCTCAATACCACAGTGCTTAATACGTGTTCAGTGGACTATGGCTCCAATAGCCAGATCTGTTCGTGGCCGCTACGTCCGATCTGGGTAAACAATGGAACTGAAAAGATCTGCGAATTCCCTAGCCAGGCGTCACTCGGTACATGGTTCTATGACTTGAATGCCTTCCCAATGTATGTTTACTGAGCAGGATCGCGAAAACATTTTTGAATGAGAGAGAGTATATATTCGTGCCGAAAATTTGGAAACCATTTAAGCTAGATACTGCACATGTGTCAGTGGAAAGTGTTGTATTTGCTAGGTGAGAATATTTCCAGACTCGGATTTGGGACTGTCGATGGGTATATCATAACATATGTACTCATTGAAAAGTTCCTGATTAACGCTCATCTATACATTTAACATCGAACAAAACATGAAATCAGCAAGACTATCACAGCTTACTTTCCGGTGCTACATCACCAACAGCACCACTCATAAATGGCCCACTATCCTCAGACTCCGCAACAGTACCAGCACCGGGCGCAGGCTCAGCTCCATATAGAACTAATTCGCGACCGCCACGAGTACTCCACCAATTGACACAGCAATGAGCCCGGTCAACATCCATCTCACCACCGCTCAAGGCTTCCCAGAAGCGATCAACACAGGCGTGACGCATAGTCCGATCTGCGATCGAATTAATGAGCTGTGCAGTAAGGGGAAGCCAATCGTCCAGGTCATCAACTCGAAGGAATGATAGGGAGTCAATGAGTGCCATAGTGAGGACAGCCTGTGCAGAGAGTGGGAGTTCGCTGCCTGTATCAGCGGAAGAGCTATTTCCGGCTGTTGGGACGATAGGTGTGGTCGGAGCATTTAAAGCGCGATCTCGAACCACCTCAAGTAGAATTGAAGGAAGCATGGGTTGGCTATTAGCTAATGGAGACGGGGGTGCTGTGACCTCGATAACGGTTTTGAATGCAAGGCGGAATTGCCTGCCTGACAGGTTCTCGGGGAATACCTATTGATGGTCAAAAAGACATACCCAAGGATAAGTTAAAGGGAGAGCTTACAGCAAACAAATTGTCAATATAGAAAGGAAGGTGTCGAGCAGCCAGCTCGGAATTGTGGGGAATAGCGAAGACAACAAGCGCCAGGCTGTGAGCTGCTTCAAAAATCTCCAAGAGATTGCTGTTTGCACCGGCTGCCAGATATGGGAAGGCGGCAGATAATAACAATTCCTCGTTAACTTGTGGCGACAGTATCAACGGGAAATGCTCAGCTGTATTCAAAAAGAAAAGATCTAAGCATCGCTCAAGCGGATGATCAGGAATCTGGCCGATGTCACTTGGCTTGATGCTGCGTAAGAAATTCTCTGCCAAGTCGGGGTATTGCGAAAGGATGTCGATAGCCGCCAAGAGAACAAAGGTTTGCTGCGAGGACCCGTTCTGGCCAGTGCGAGAGGAAATGAAATAAAGATTGCGGAGGATATGAAGGGATTGCATGGAAAGGAATGGGGCGCCTAGGAGGTAAATCAATACATGTCAGTCTCATTGTAATCAAAAGCCACATCCCGATCCAACTTACTACCATCTGCTGCAAGAGCAGGATCGTTGATCATCCTACCAAGCACAGCGCGGAGGACAATGACAACAGAGTAAAGACAATTCCGGAGCACTTTCCAGAGAGCAGGTATTGTTGTTTGTAAAGATTCCGCATCAAGGAAATCTTTCTCTTCAGCGACATCAACTTCCGATAGCTTATTTTGCCGCCATTGAACCATGAGAGTCCGAACAAAATCGGCCAAATAATCAATCGTTTGCGCAACCACTTGCGGGCTCCGGCAATTTTCCACAGCATGTGAGATTAATCTGGACAAAGGACCCAGCGCCGCAACCAACGGGCGATTGGAGATGGTTGAAAAGTAGCCAAATGTAGCAGATCCAGCTTGCCACGTGAATTTCTTCCCGGCTCCCTCGACGATATCCTCATCGATAGCACCTAGGAAGAAACCTCCTTCAAGTCCCTCTGAGGATAGAAAAGCGGAGCGCACCATTATAGGCAAGAATCGATCATAATTGAGTTTGGATCGTTCAAGATCAGACAAGAGCTCAAATGTGTAGTTCAGTACCATAGCGATACAATGACCATCTATGCTAGCTTCTGGACCTGTTTCCTCCAGCGCTAATTGAGCTGCTGTAGCCAATGCAGACTCCAGTTTTGTGCGAATACTCCATGGAAGACCCTGTCGATTCTGTCCCTCGAATCCTAGCAGTATGCCGCCAAGTAGGAGCATATGTCTCCACCGTGGGGACTTGTCATCTGCGCCTTGCACCACGGCCTTAACCCATGCTTCGCGATCGAGGCTTCGATTCCGTCCGAACGGCATACGGGGCTCATCAGTGGTATCATTCTGTAGGACTGCGATAGCGGCAGTGTTAAAGACGCTGAGGATCTTGCGACATGCTAGTAAATCGACGTGGTGATTCCAGAGAGCTGGCGCGGAGAGAAGTTGCGATGCGAGGAGAGTCAAGTTCAAGGGATTGCTGAGGACAGACAGAAAGCTGGTAGCGGTTGGAAGAAGACTAAACAATAGTTAATTAGCCATCGGTGATGACCGAACGTGAGATAGATGCGAGGATGTTAACGCGCCACATACCCAGCCGCATCTTCAAAACTAGATGTCGCCTGAAGCGATCGTAGCAGGCGAGCAAGAGAGCGTTCCGTCGCCATGAAGAGCAGACCACTGGCACAATGATGCCCACAAGGTCTTCTACATGGCCTAGGGGAAAGATGGGGAAGACAAGCCGCGGAGAACACCCCAGCCGAGGTCCGGGTGTGGAGCCGCAAACAGTGCAAACAAGCAGCGTCATGCTCATGGGTCTAACCATCTGAAGATCAACATCGCGACACAGATCTGCATCGCAGCACCACCACGAAGAATACTCATCAGGCCATGTTGAGATAATCTTGCTCTCATGTGGCAGCTTAGAGAGCGCCGCAGACAACCTACCATGGCCGGTAATCGAGTCCCGATCAACTACCACACCCCGTCATTTCCCTCCCTTTACGACCCAATCCCTTCACACTTAAAGAGCCCTTATTATCTCTATTACACGTTGGACATTTGGCGCTTTACACTATACTGGACATTAGTTTTCTATGGCGCAAGCCATCTCACGGTTGCTGGATGCGCTGTTTTGACTCATAGTCGCAATTGGAGCGTGATATGGCTGGTGCCATTGGTATATAGTGTGGTCGCAGGTCTGGAAGCACTGTTGGCTGGGAGCATTGTCGGCTTAGTGTAAGTGGACGTCTTCCCTCAATTTGTGAAATATTCTAAACCATATTCTATAGTCTCGGCTCCATCTACGAATCAGGAAACTTCAGAATGTCGACTTGGATACCTATGATCTGGGGAGGTGTCAATGTTATGGTCCTCGTCTTAACCAGCTTCCCTATGCAAGGTGGACTTTAATAAAGGCAGCAAAATGCCTAACTTTTTTTTCATCATTATGAAGATAAAGATATCGAATCTTTCATTTCTATCATACACACTGGAAATTTGATATCTCGAAAAGAAAGCGCCACCCACCGGATCCACCGTGTTCACATGCTGAAGAGATGTCCTGTACGCCAGTCCCGCAATCCTGATCTGCACCGAAAATCCACCAGAACATCATCCTAACGACGTCCATTGTTCGGCATACCACCTTGCAGACCAGGTAGACCACCCATCGCAGCTGCCATGTTTTGGAGGTTCATATTAGGAGGCATCGGCATTCCCTGAGACATCATCTGCTTTTGAAACTGTGCCATATCCATATTCATAGGAGGAGCGCTGCCCATTCCAGGAAGCATAGGGAATCCAGGAATCCCGCCATTTGGAGGGCCCTGCTGTGGTGGGGGCGGGGGAGGGCCCTGAGCAGACATGATTGCAGCCAAGCGACCAGGGTCCATGCCACTCATGCCACCTGCCATTGCCGAGGGAGGCGGAGGTTGAGCCGCACCGATACCAGGTAGTAGACCCGGACCATCAGGTTGAGGCCCTCCACCCTGGATTCCGGGCAGAGAGGACGCACCAGGTCGTCGTTGATCAACCAAACTCTCGGCCTCATCCTGCATTTCTTGTTCCTCTTCTTCACGCATTTGTTTGCGGCCAAAGCCACGGTTCCATGTACCTTGAGCTTCCGCAGCCTCTTCGCCAATATGGAAGCGATCTTTCATGTAGCTAGTCTCTCCGGGTCTAGCCCGCGACCAGAATCGAGTAAAATTATCCTTGGATCCAGAAGCAAGAATGTGACCCAGAGGGTGCCAGTCTAGAGACCAGATCGTAGCACCGTGTGCGTATTGAATGCGATGAGCTGGGTAGATTACCTGCGGAGGGGTATTGGCAGGGTCAGGACTGTCATATGGTGCCACGGTCGGAACAACGCCGGCAGGCAGGTTTGGCTCATCGAGCAGATAGTGATAGAGGGAGCCATCCTCTGCCCCAGTAGAAATCAAATTGCTATGAATAGGATGCCATGTCAGAGAAGAAACCGGCTTCTCGTGACCACGGAGGATGCAAATATCGCGCATCATGCGTAAATCAAAAACTCTCGCCGTCTGATCCCGCGACGACGTAGCAAGCAGATTATTGTTGACCCGCGAGAATCGAGTCGCGGTGACGGTATTTTTATGGCTGTGAAGAGTCGTGAGACAGCGTGCCGTCCTTGGGTCCCAGAACTTGACTTGGTGGTCCTTTGAGCCGGAAACCAGGAGACCTTTCGTCGGATGCCAGTCGCATGATTTGACATCCCAATTGTGGCCAGTAAGAACGGTATCGCAAGTTCGGGTGGTGAAATCGAAGATCTTGAGGGTTGTGTCATCGGATGCAGAGAGGAATTTCGTATCGCTAGGTGCCCAAGACAAGTCTCGAACTGCGTCATGGTGGGCATCATCAATCGTCTCAACGTTGTTGAAGTTCGGTCGCCAGTATTTCACGTCTCCTCTTTGTCCACCTGAGATTAACCAGTCGTGACTATGAGACCATGCAAGAGAGGTGACACCGGCTTGGATTTGATCGTAATGCGCCTATGAAGAAGCAAGATTAGCCTTCTATCCCAATATCCGATGTGACTCGGGACCACATACATCCATAACCGTCTCAAAGTTGAATGCCGTGCCGTTCCAGAGCATGAACTCGCCGGTATGGCCACCAGTTAACAGTCGCCTGCCCTCGGGAGTCCATCGCACCACCACGATCGGCTTCTTCGACTTTCCGATAGATTGATGTAGGTGTCGCACGGGGATTGTGTCAATTGGTGAATGGGGTCGGCCCACTGGTGGGAGCATCTTTGCAAATCAAGTCGAGTCAGTATTCTTTTCTTCTCATTTTCTGCTCCGCGACACGCAACCTCGAAGGCGCGGGTTTGCGCAAGACTCACATCGACGGTAAAGCTGGCACTAGGTCTTTCCACCTCCATTCGATGTCCACCTCGGTATCGCGGTCGTCGGGTTCGCATCCATTGTACCATCGAAGAGCCATAATCGGTGACGAGTCCTGGGCAAGACATGATGGTTAGTCGGACTGTTTTCTGACCGATATCTGGTTCATTGCAGGCGAAAACATACTGGGACGACGGGGTCCAACCGGTCCGTCAAAGTTCTTATTGAATCTGCCAGGGAATTGAGAGTCCCCTCCCTGTTCATCATAAAAGGCCATTGTGCCTGTGCCCACGGCGGTTTGAGATGGAAATTGCAATCGCTCAACCGAATAATTGCGCAGTCATGACCAGGACCAGAAGGATGGGTTGATAATAAAATCGAGTTTTTAAAATAGCAGGGGTAGACCCTGTGTTTTATATAGGACGGGGGTGGAAGGTTCAAGTCTCAGTGAATGAAGATATGAGTGAATACTGTGAGTCTGTGACCGCCCGTAAGGAGCTGGAGCTCGACCGCCGGGATCGTTGATTGGTTTAGATTACCTCATGGGTACATTTGGTACATTTGCGCTATGATAATCTACTTTTCCCCGCCGAAGCTCAACGGTTTCTAATTTTGGGACTTTTCCTAGTCTTTTCTTTTTCTTGAGCTTCTGGATGTCATTGTTCTTTATCCCTTGAGAATTGGTTGTCGTTTTGGTTACGCCATACTCTTCCCGAGTTATCTGCCCGTTGGTCCCTTCCAAGTTCCCGCATTGACCTTGTTCTAGACTTCTAGTCCAGTTGCGACATTTGATCGCGGGGCACAGTCGTCCAAGTGAAGATTTTGAGCTTCAGGAGGTGACAATGGTCTCTCAAACTCAGTCTGTCACGACTGCCCACGAACACTCCAACTTGGCCTCTTCAACCAATGAAACTATGTCTGAGAAAGCCGAGGTTCACATGCATTCGCGTGGGCCCAGACGCAGCAAGTATCGTCATGTCGCTGCATACCACTCGCAGCTACGGCATTCAAGCCTGAGTCGAGATGCAGATGTGACACCTAGCTTTTTAGGCTTTCGAAACTTGATGGTATTGGTATTAGGTAGGATACTTCCAAGGTTCGACCGTGTGACAGTGAATGATCTATGAACTAAACTGGAATAGTGGCCATGAACCTTCGGTTGATTATTGAAAATTTCATGAAAGTGAGTGCCGAATCTCCCAACTTGAATGAATTTGATCCAGGAAATATGAGAACACTTGTTAATCTACCATAGTATGGAGTGTTAATTTGCATTAAATGCCATGACTATCGCAAGCAAGATCTGGTTCTAGGCTCCATTCTATTCGCGCTAGTTCCCTGTCATCTACTCCTAGCCTATGTCATCGAACTATCTGCTGCGTCTTCAGCAAAACAGGTCGTAGGCCGACAGAAGAAGACAGCTGAGGAGAGAAGAACGGGACCAACAAGCCTTCCGTTCTACTTGGCCTTATACAGCCTTTCTCCACACATTGAATGCGACACTGTGTCTAGCAGTGACTAGCTTTATGGTATACTTTTATATTCATCACCCAGGAATTGGAACTCTCTGTCAGCTTCATGCAATTATCGTGTGGCTGAAGAATTGCTCCTATGCCTTCACCAACCGAGATCTCCGTCTTGCATTTTTGAATCCATCTGCCGACCCCGGGCTTCCTGATATCTATGCCACTTGCCCCTACCCACGAAATGTTACCATTGATAATCTCACTTACTTCTGGCTTGCTCCTACTTTGGTTTACCAACCAGTCTACCCCCGCACAACATCTATTCGTTGGTCCTTTGTGGCAAAGCGCTTGGCGGAGTTTGTCGGACTTTCAGTTTTTATCTGGCTTTTATCTGCACAGTATGCTGCACCCGTTCTACGAAACTCAATTGACAAGATCGCTGTCATGGACATTGCGTCTATTCTGGAACGGGTGATGAAGCTCTCCACCATCTCGTTGATCATTTGGCTTGCTGGCTTTTTTGCTCTTTTCCAGGCTCTGCTCAATGCCTTGGCCGAAGTGATGCGCTTTGGAGATCGTGAATTTTATACCGACTGGTGGAACAGTTCTAGCCTGGGAACTTACTGGCGGTCCTGGAACCGACCTGTCTATCTGTTTATGAAACGACATGTATACTCACCCCTGGTGGGTCGCGGATGGAGCCCTCTAGCCGCGAGTAGTATGGTGTTCGTCCTGTCTGCCATTCTCCATGAAATGCTAGTGGGGATCCCCACTCATAACTTCATTGGTATGAACTTTGTATATGAAAATTTCAACTGTTGACTCAATGGCTAATTTGTTTAGGTGTTGCATTTTTTGGTATGATTTTTCAACTACCGCTGATCATCTTTACCGCGCCCCTCGAAAAGATGCGCGACCCACTGGGTAAGACGGTCGGCAATTGTATCTTCTGGGTCAGCTTTTGCTTGGTCGGTCAGCCCCTTGGGGCCTTGTTGTACTTTTTCGCCTGGCAAGCCAAATATGGAAGTGTCAGTCGAATGAGTCCATGATCCAATGACTTGATCTCTATGTCTTCTAAGGTTTTTGGTGGGCGCGATGTGAACGCAAAACGACCTAGCTTTTGATCTGTTCCATTTATTGCTGATCTATTTGTCTTTGAAATACTGCATATAGCTGTTGCATGCGAGCATAATCTATTAGATCTGATATTTTGCATTGAAAACTATTCAAGTTGTTGTGCCCATTGGCCGATTGTAGCTCCCTTTCATGTAGGTAACGTGGTCAGAACTATGGGAATTCAAGATCTGCTACAAATTGACCACGCTTTGGGATGCCTAACCTCTCATTTAATGAGAAGATCCAATTTTCAAGTTCTTACAAATCAAAATTCCACATTCCCCAGATCATTCCCATTGAAATCGAAGCAAATAGTTCAACATCGAACCAGCCGTGCGCGGTTCGGATGGATTGATTGCGCCGAGGCGGAGTCCTCTAAGCCCGGCTCTATTCCAAGCTTCCGGCTTCCGTCACCCCCACACCAAATATCGTCAGAGCTATAAAGTCTCCTTATTCTGCAAGTTTAAAGGAACTATAAACACAACAAATTTCACAATGGTTTCTATCACTCTCCCCGAAAACTACGGGTAAGTTACACACCCGTCTCCACAAAGTTTGGTTACTCACAATTGCTAGTGCCGTCATTGGTGTTGCCCTGGGTGTAATCCCTGTCCTGGGTTTCATTCAAGGTGCCATTACTGGATCAACCCGTAAGGCTGCTAAGGTTCCCTACCCTCACAGCTACGCCACTGTTGAGCAATGCAAGGAGAACGTATGATCCTCGAGTTTCCTCATTCATAGAAGCTTCAGCTAATCATGATTTTACAGCCCAAGGCCGAGCAGTTCAACTGCGCCCAGCGCGCCCACACTAACTTCATGGAGAATGCTCCTCAGACCATGCTGTTCACTCTCATTGCTGGTCTGAAGTACCCCGAGCTGGCTGCTGGTATTGGTGCTGCTTGGGTGGTTTTCCGTTGCATGTTCCTCTACGGATACGTGTACTCGGGTAAGCCTAATGGTTCCGGCCGTCAAATTGGTGCTTTCTTCTGGCTGGCTCAGGGTGCTTTGTGGGGATTGACCACATTTGGTGTTGCGCGCCACTTGATCTCATACTAGATGATCAACCATTACTTTGTACACTAGTTATATACCTTTTTCTCGCATCAAATACATATCCGGATCTTGCCTGGACTTTACATTTTCACCAGCCACATTGAAACATGACAGTGGCACATGGACCCACTGTGGCGCAGTAGACGAAAAAGTCCCATAGAATGAGGGTGACAAGTTGAAGAACTTCTCTTGATCTCAAGTTAGGTTGGGACAATTGAATCCTGATTTACGAGAATACGAATCTTTTTTGTCTAAATTTCCAGTATAGAGGAATCCCTCCTTGGATATTTCCCCCCAACTTGAAATCTTCCAATCTCTTACCCCGCCAACCTTCAACCCCTCCATCATGTCGTCCAAATCGCAATTGACCTACGCTGCTCGCGCTACCACCCACCCCAATCCGCTCGCCCGGAAGCTCTTCGAGGTCGCCGAGGCCAAGAAGAGTAACGTGACCGTATCTGCCGATGTGACCACCACCAAGGAACTCCTTGAGCTCGCCGACCGTTAGTTGAGATTCAAAACCATACCATATCGGCAGGATGAGAAAACTAATTCGACTATGGGATGAACGCAGGACTGGGTCCCTACATCGCCGTCATTAAGACCCACATCGACATCCTCCCTGACTTTGGCCCCGAGACAATCGACGGACTGAACGCCTTAGCCGCGAAGCACAACTTCCTCATCTTCGAGGACCGCAAGTTCATCGATATCGGTAACACCGTGCAGAAGCAGTACCACGGTGGTACTCTCAAGATCTCCGAATGGGCCCACATCATCAACTGCAGTGTCTTGCCCGGTGAGGGTATCGTCGAGGCATTGGCGCAGACCGCCCAGGCCGAGGATTTCCCCTACGGTCCAGAGCGCGGTCTCCTGATTCTGGCCGAGATGACTTCCAAGGGATCCCTTGCGACCGGCGCTTACACCTCTGCCTCTGTGGATTACGCACGCAAGTACCAGAGCTTTGTTCTCGGCTTCGTTTCTACCCGCGCTCTTACCGAGGTTCCTTCTACCGTTGCCGCGGCGGATGACGAGGACTTTGTTGTCTTTACCACTGGTGTGAACTTGTCCTCTAAGGGTGACAAACTCGGTCAGCAGTACCAGACACCGCAGTCGGCCATTGGTCGTGGTGCGGACTTTATTATTGCTGGACGTGGTATCTATGCTGCTCCGGACCCTGTCGAGGCTGTTAAGCAGTACCAGCAACAGGGTTGGGAAGCCTATCTGGCTCGTGTTGGTACTAACCAATAAAAAGGATAATGTGAAAAAGTACCCTCTATATGAATATAACTTTAAAATTGATACATGTTGGTTTAGCTCGATGCTAATTCCGTTGTCTCGGAGAACTCCCGCATTCTGTGCATTATCTTCATTAACCCTCCAATACTCTTTCGAAGGACGAGCATGGGGTCATTTATATTTATCCACACAGACTCCACAACACTTGAGCTACTAGTATCCCGTCTGATAAGATACCTAGGTATCCTAGTACTTTACTCCAACTTTCTATCATTGAGTATAGATTCGTAAAGAAAACAGATAAGACATAACGGAATGAAAATCCGCACTTCACGATAAGAATCCTATAAACTAGTTAGGCGTCGGCAAACTCGGTCACCAAATCTGTCTCCGTAAACATTGGCAATGATTGATATCTTCTCTCTTTACGTAGTCGTAGAGTATAATCTCATATGAGCTCGGCAATCCAGCCATCCACTAAAAGCTGTTAAGCAACAATAAACCTAATAACTAATAACCTCCAAGATCCAAAATGAACAGCTCAAAGGTTTACATCACTGTATTTGCCGATCTCTCCTCACAACCCCTCTTCATCAACCAATAACCCAGCTTCGTTGCATCCAAAGTCCAAGAACCCCAGATAATCGGGTTCTTATCGCGGGGAGACCCACAATATGCAACAGCTTGATAGGAGAAGAAGAAGGGAAGAGGAGGACAAAGATAACGCCACGACCATGACCAGGATCAGGCTATGATGTTAGAGAGAGAGAGAGAATGCGGAGTGACTTTATTTACTTTCCCATCTGGTGAGGGGGAACGGAACATTTTGTGACACTGAAACTGAGATAAATTCCCCCCCAATTTCCAACTTGGACGGAAATCCCCCTTACTTCATCTCATTATTGAAACGTTTTGCTTTTTTGTGGCCTGTTCCTATCACACACACCATCATGACGGAAGAAAAGGCCATTGCTGCCTCGTCATCTGTTGACGTGGAGAAGACTATAGATGTCTCAAAACAGGGCCACGTTGATCCAACACTGGAGAAACACGCACACGATGCCGATGAAGCGATGAAAGTGCTGGACGAGTTACATGGGGAAACAATCGAGTTAGATGAAGCGACAAATCGACGATTATTAAAGATAATTGATTGGCATATGATGCCGATCATGTGTTTTATCTATGGGATGAATTATCTTGATAGTAAGTCACTGACTACCTAGTACCTAGTAGTAGGATTGGGATCCAGGTTACATCGCAGCGCTAACATGCATAGAAACTACCCTGTCATATGCGAGTATTATGGGAATCAAGACAGATCTGAATCTTGAGGGAGATGAATATCAATGGTTGTCGAGTTTATTCTATTTTGGTATGTATTCTAATATTAACTAACCCCAACAAATCTAATACTGATACTAATGTCGCTGGACAGGTTATCTCGCATGGGAGTACCCAACTAACCGCCTGCTGCAGCGGTTACCACTGGGTCGATACTCAGCCACCTGCATTATAATGTGGGGTATTATTCTAAGCTGTTTCGCCGCTGTGAACAACTATTCCGGGGCGATCGCCATTCGATTTTTCCTCGGTGTATTCGAAGCAGCTGTTACACCAGGATTTGCCTTAATCACTTCTCAGGTACGTACCACACCCAATCATAGCAGCCAGAAAGAATAAGACCATACGGGAGTACTAATAGTCGGATCCATGATAGTGGTATACCAAAAAAGAACAAGGCAGTCGCGTCAACATCTGGTTCAGCTTTAACGGCGTCGGTCAAATCATCGGCGGATTAATCGCATACGGCATCGCAATCGGGACATCAAAGTACGGATCCTCGATCGAACCATGGAAGATCATTTTCCTCGTTACAGGACTATTGACCGTCGTTCTTGGATTCATTTTCCTCTGGATGATTCCAGATAGCCAGCTTAATGCACGATGGCTGAGTAAGGAGGACCGCGTGCTAGCTGTTGCACGGGTGCAGGTGAACCAGCAGGGAATCGGAAATAAGCATTTCAAGATGTATCAAGTCAAAGAAGCGGTCTTGGATCCGATGACATGGGCTTTCTTTTTCTATGCACTTATTGCTGATATTCCCAATGGTGGAATTTCGAACTTCTTCAGTCAATTGGTATGTTGACGCTGAGTCTTATTTGAGTGTCGACTTTGCTAATCAGTGTATCCGCAGATAACCTCATTTGGATACTCTGACCAAGAGAGCCTGATCCTCGGTGTTCCTGGTGGCGCTGTGGAGGTTATCGCTCTCCTGTTAAACGGTTATATCGGCCACATTACCGGCTACCGTATCCTCAGCAGTCTGGGTGGACTTGTATGCGCACTTATCGGCATGATTCTTATTGTCGCGCTACCTGAGACCAATAATGTTGGTCGGTTAATCGGGTACTATATGACGCAGGCTAGTCCCACCGCGTTTGTGGCTTTACTAGCCATGATTTCGTCCAATGTGGCTGGCTATACGAAGAAGACTACAGTTGCAGCGTTTTACCTGATCGGCTACTGTGTTGGTAACATTATCGGTAAGTGGACCTTGAGAAGCTCGTTTGGTGAATATAACTAACTTTTTCAGGCCCTCAAACCTTCCGTCCTAAAGATGCCCCTCGTTATGTCCCCGCCGAGATCACGATTATCGTCTGTTTGGGAGTTTGTCTTGGGATCATGTCGTTTGTCCACTGGTGGTATGTCAAAGAGAATAAGCGCAAGGCGGAAATTACATCTCGGTCGGATTATGTGCGATTGCAGAATCAGGCATTCTTGGATTTGACAGACCGGGAGAACATGGATTTTGTGTATGCGCTTTGATTGTGTGTACAGGGTAGTGGAGTACTGGCTGGACCAGTGGAGTTCAATAAAGTTCTTATGAGTGTCGGTCTGAGGAGATTAATGACATGAGTATATGATTTCAAATTCCAGGATTGTAGGATGTTATTGTGTGGATTCGGTCACGGTGGAGTTTACACAGTAGACTGATAGTGTTTTTGATAGTGTTTGATAGTATTCTGACATACTAGGTAGTAGGTCATAGTAGTTCACATAGTAGTGTAGATGACGTTAGTTAACCAGGTTATTTCAAATATCTCCCTGTTTTATCCCATTTCCACATTTTTTACATTTTTACATTGAATCCCACCACTAGAATTTCGGTGGTCCCCGACATGTTCAAATAGGCTTAGATCTTCAACTGGGTCTCTTATAGCGCGTGGTTAGTGGGGGTCACCCTCACCGACACCCCTCACCCAGGGGAAATGTCCAAATAAGCCAAAAATGGAGTTGAGAATAAAAAAGTACGACGATCAATGGTGTTATTTCAAGTACTTAAGTAGGTAATTCTCATGAACTTCACTATTAATCTATGGTGGAATGTTGGGAACGAAGCGCCGAACCAGGACCCCGCCACTAATCTAAACCTATCAGAAGTGAATATTATATCGGGAGAAGACCGAAATTCCAATAATAAACTTCTAATTCTACACGGTTCTGTACCCGTTACATGTATGTGCTAATGCATGAAGGAGAAATACCTGATACATAGTATCTATACTAGAGAACTTTGGGAGTACTATGCAGGATTTGACCTCTGGATTTGTACTCATGATCGACTTCTAGGATATGAAATATGAAAAATAAGAACATTGGAATCTAAAATGCTTGGACCCTACATGATAATTGTGGCACACGATCAACACATGGAAGATCAACCGAACTCTATGAAAATGTATTCTCCTCGATCAATATCATAGGTGGACTTCCCCTTATATAGGGGCCCAAGCCCTGTCAGGTGGAAAACGTGAGGGTTTTGAACTCCTTGAACCAGTCAGGGTCTTGGGGTGGAAACGTGGTCAGCGCCTACTGTAACTATGTACTATAATACTACTAAAATGGGGATAATTCCATTATTTCACCCCTGCATTGACCTGCAGTGACCACTGGAATGACCAATCTGCAGGGGCGTTAGTACTTGGCCATGACGATCTAGTACACTGTAGTGGGGTCAAGGTTGCCCCATGTACTCGTATGTACTCCGTACTACGACATTAAACAAAAAACTAAAGAGAAACTAAGAAAACTAAGAAAAACTAAGACGAAAACTAGGCAATGAACTAAATGCCCCCACTTTGCCTATTTTTTTTCTTTTCAAGCGGTGTGCATGTAAATAAAGGTGAGGAGGTTTCTAGATCTTGTCTCGTTTCACAGCATCTGGAATGTTTTGTCTTTCTTTGTTTCTTTTTCTATAAAAAAAATCATTCACGGAGTCCTGCATACTACTAGGTACCTAGGTACTTTCTAGTAGTATCTCTCCCATCGTCACTTCCCTATATAACCATGAGATAACCTTGGGAATCCATTTGATCGAAATCACGCTCATTATGGCAGTCACATGTGGTGGCAACCTTCACATGGCCACTGTTGTTACTCTGGATTTACATACTAAAATCCCATCAGAGTTGGCCATCACTGAAATTACCACAATTACTGAGCCTAAAATCAACCAGAAATGCTTGGAAATGGAATCACCCAGGGTGAAGAGAATCGACCCACCAAACTATAAACCAAGGGTCTCTGATCCCAAAGATGCAAAGAGTCGGGATCGATCAAGAGAAGGATCACGACCAACATCTGCTGTCAATTCTGGTCATCACTCTCGTTCAGCATCCAGAAGTACAGCCCGATCTCGTCCAGCAAGTCGACAGAGCTCCTTCCACTCTTCAAGAAGACCAGTGACTACTGCTAGCATTGTTTCGGTCCCAGCTCGCACACCCCAACAAGAACGCCGGGAATCACTACTAGAACTACACCGGGAATCATGTCGACTATTCCAAGATCCCCCAGCTATATCGCCGACGGAGGATTTCCGACCCTCATCAACGCAACGAAATCCCTCATTCGCAAATCGATATCGGCGCACATCCTCCGATATGGGCACCTCAGCACCACCATCCCCAATCGCCTCGTCATCATCTAGCCGTCGCTTCGACGATCATCACCGCCGCTCAATAAGTTCCGGCTCGGTCCCTCAACTACAAACAAGAACCCGATCCAATACCCTCCCAACTACACACCATATACACAATTCCTCCACATCATCCATTCACGTCCCGGAGACAGTAATGGAATGGACATCCCCCTCAACAAGGAGACGCGAGTACGAGAAAATCGACCGAGCCAGTCGAGGCATGCGCGGTCTATGGCGACGAGTCGCACCACGGTGGTGTCAAGCGCGGGACGCACGAACTCCATTTTTCGAAGAAGGCAAAACAAGCCGTGAAGGGAGTGTGCGACGATTCCGCATGGACCTCCCGGACGAAGAGCAGACCCACTCGGACCCGAAACGTGATGGGTCCGGTGCCGGTCCGGTTGATGTTGATTTTTGCAATTCAGACGCTTCTCGACGCCTCTGGACAGGTCGTCGGTCGAAGACTCTCAAATAATTACGGGTGGCTTTTTTTACTATTTTTATTGGTTCACGCTGCCGTGCGGCGTCTACTACTACTGTTCGGCTACATGACCATGATACGATCCTACTGATAACCCTTTGCGCTTATATTGCATAGCCTGCATTCCCTTTGTGATTCGAGTCATGGTATACCCGGTGCTTCCTGGTGGAATGCTGTTGCCTACTTGTCGCCCCTTTTCATGTTCCTTGCATCACTGAGACTGAGATACCCATTTATTAATTATGCTGTATATATGCATTATGCTGGGATTAGTTGTTACTGAATTCAGTCCTATTTCAACTTGAAGTTCATTCTATCTATTCTTAAATCAGCATACATGTGCATATGCTCCGGCATCACTGGCATGAAACAGGCTGGTTCCACAAGTGGGCCGGTCCAGATGTCCCTGACAGCGGGATAGAACCATGGAATGAACTGACAAAAATATGAACAAAGACCTTCAAGTTCCAGTTTTGGAATTTGTAGATATATTTGGAACTTGAGCAACATTGTCTCTTCCATTTTCAATCGACTCTCAATCAATTGGTCTTATTTGTGGAGTATCAGGTGTTCTATCACTCTCATGCTCCGAGACTACTAGTATGCAGGTACCCCTTTTATCTGAAAACATTTAGATGATAATTGGAGAAATCTCGAGTCGTACAACGCAGAGAAAAATAAAATATTTGACCAAGGACGACCTTTTAATCACTGAATTACTGCAGACTGAAAGTATGCATCGAGCGTCGCCGGCGGATGCCAACCCTGGAACTTGATAGTAGGCTCGGTGCAATACTTTTATTTTACCTTTCAGGAAAGATGTCATTCAACTTAAATCTCAAAAAACTATCACCTGCACCTGGTATCAATTTCCTATTCTTAGCGTTGAGAGTATTGCATCGGATTGCCGTCTAGGTACGAGCTCTGTAGCTCTAGAGTTTGCACCACAATTAGCAGCCGAGCACCTTCCCACTCAGGACAAGAAGAATAAGATGAACCAGAGAGTAATAAAATATACCTACGAGCCAAGTGATTACCTTCCTCCGATCACATCTCAAACGGAGGTTTAAAGATCCCTCGATACCTCGTCCGAGTCTTTCCCTCCGAACATCACCTGAATCATGAGTCCCCTCAGGTTCAACCTGAACCAGACTCCACCTCCACCGACGCATCTGAATATACCAAAATGCGCCTAAGTGGATATCTGATCTTCCTAGCTCTGGCTAGCACCTGCAAATCCAACCCGATTAAACCACGCACAGCACCAGTAAACAATGCTATATTCGACTACGTGGTAATCGGTGGTGGAACAGCCGGAATCGTCATCGCGAGCAGACTGGCAGAGCAATCATATAAGGTGGCACTGGTTGAAGCGGGCGGATACTATGAATTCGAGTCTTTTGCTGAAGTCCCAGCTGCAGATGTTCTTCCTGTAGGCTCGGATCCGGGAACGACGGCTTCGGTGGATTGGGGGTTTGTGGCTCGTGGACAGGGTGGAGTGAATGGACGGGCGATACATTTTGCGAGGGGGAAGTGTTTGGGTGGATCGTGAGTCCAGGATTTGGTGATGATCTGTGGTTTGAGGGTGAATTGCTGATATTTGTAGATCTGCGTTGAATTTCATGATCTATCAACGGTAAGATTTACTTCTCTTTCAATGAAATGGGCTAATCATCCATAGTCCGACGATTGAGTCAATGGATCAATGGGCCAGTGCTTTGAATGATAGCAGCTACACATTCGACGCAGTACTACCATTCTATAAGAAAAGTGTCACTTTTACAAAGCCAAATATTGCCGAACGCGCAGATAATGCAACGACTGGGTTTAGCTCGGAAGGATTTGATATGGAGGATGGTGGCCCGCTGCAAGTTTCCTATCCTAACTACGCGCAGCCATTTTCATCCTGGATGAGGTTAGGAATGGAAGAGATTGGGATCAAAGGAGCAGAGGACTTCAATCTTGGTTCGTTGATGGGAGCTCAGTACTGTACTACGACAATTGATCCGAATAGTGAGCTTCGCAGTAGCTCTCAAGCTTCGTATCTTGGTGGTACGATACCAGCATCATTGACAATTTTTACGGAGACTCTAGCAAGAAGAGTTCTCTTTGACGAGGATTTCCAAGCAACTGGGGTTATAGTAAGAGGAGCATTTGGGAACGACGTTACCCTCACGGCATCCGAAGAGGTGATCATATCTGCTGGGGCTTTCCAGTCACCACAGCTCTTAATGGTCTCTGGAATTGGTCCCTTGAGTGACCTGCAAAAGCTTGGCATTAAAACGATAGCTGATCGACCTGGCGTTGGACAAAACATGTGGGACCATCCATTCATGGCGCCATCATATCGCGTGCGAGTAGAAACACTGACCAGCTTTGCGACGAATCTCGTCTCTGCAGCGGCCCAGCTGTTAGAAGGTGTACTCCGACGCGGGCAACTCACAAACCCAATTGCGGATTTTCTAGCATGGGAGAAGATCCCACAGAATCTGCGTTCGAAATGGTCATCCAGCACGCAAAAATTATTAGCTCAATTTTCGAGCGACTGGCCGGAAGCTGAAGTAAGTCGTCCATGTATTAGACCATTTGATAAGTACTGACTTTCATCAGTACATGTCCGCTGCAGGATACATTGGAAATGTCTCTAATCTCCTCCTAGACCAGCCAAGAGATGGATACCAGTACGGCTCAATCCTAGGTGTCCTGATCACGCCTTTATCCCGAGGGAATGTCACTCTCAAGTCTGCCGATACTTCTGATCTACCTATTATCAATCCAAACTGGTTAGAGCACCCAGCAGATCAAGATATTGCCATTGCAATGTTCAAGAGGATTCGACAGGCCTTTCGAAGCCAGGCTATGGCACCTATCGTCATTGGTGAAGAATATCACCCTGGGACCCACGTTCAATCGGATACCGAGATTCTCGAATTCGTGAAGAATCATATCATGACGCTGTGGCATCCAGCTTGTACCTGTAAGATGGGTACTTCGAATGATGAGATGGCGGTGGTTGATTCCCGAGCTCGCGTGTTTGGCGTTGATAAGCTTCGTGTTGTGGATGCGAGTGCATTCCCCTTTCTTCCGCCTGGACATCCTCAAGCTACTGTTTGTAAGTACATGTATCTCTGGCACACTATAGATGAATGCTAATTTGAATAGATATGCTTGCGGAGAAAATTGCCCATGATATTATCATTGGACAGTAATCTATACATACTTGATTCAGGTATATATATTATTATATTAATTTTATGCAAACCTACCATCCAGATTTCCTCATTCTATGCCTGTCATAAAATGGGAGATTGTCCAGAAATTCCCGGGTCCATGCTTGTAAAGTTTTTATCAGATCTTATTATCTGTGTCTCCCACTCCCGGAGTCTCTTTTCACCAGGACTGCTTTATCTCAATTCAACCTGCCATCATGATGTTAACACTCATTCTTTTAATACTATTCGGTTGCTAATTGAAGGCATCATACTTGCGGCTCTACCCGCCAGTACGCATCCGCCAAGCTCCCCGCGCCCTGCCAATGACAGACCCACAGTGACAATGTTCAATGTTACCCCAAGAGATAAAACCTATCTCAACTTCATCTTGATCCCCAATTGCAAAATGCGGCGTACAAACAGAACTACAGACTACGAGTTGGACGACCTCAATGCTGGCCCGGAGAACCCGGATGCCAGCGTTAGTCTAGCCTTCCCTGAGGGAGGCCGTGAAGCATGGACATCGCTTCTAGGCTCATCATTAATAATGTTCCCATCATTCGGATTTCAAACAGCAAGTTCGTCAAATCTACTCAAACAGAAACTGTATCATTTCTAATAAAATCTCAGTCGGAACCGTTCAGGACTATATCAGCACACACCAACTCTCGAACTATAGCGTCAGCGACGTCAGTTGGATCACTGCTGTTCTATGCTTCCTCACTCTATTCCTAGGGGTACAAGTTGGACCTTTATTCGACCGATATGGTCCACGAATTCTTCTAATCTGCGGTTCACTCGCCAGCGTAGCATCATACCTTCTCCTAGCGCAATGCACCCAATACTGGCATTTCATGCTCTGCCTGGGGATTCTAAGCGGTATATCCTCCGCCGTGGTGACAACAGTTGCAATTTCCGTATTGAGTCACTGGTTCTATCGACGTCGTGCTCTCGCATCAGGGATTTGTATGGCTGGATCCTCAGCTGGAGGTGCAATCATTCCTCTAGTTCTGCGCAAACTCTTCAGTGAATATGACTGGACGTGGGCTATTCGGACCATTGCCTTCATAGCGCTAGCATGTTACTCTCTTGGTATAATTCTCGTGAAAGGGAGATTACCAACAGGAAACCAGAGCCGAGCAACGATTGATTTCCGTGCGTTCAAAGCTCCACGACTTTTCTTTCTAGCAGTTGCTGTTTTCGCGTTTGAGTTTATTATCTTCGGTTGTGCGGCGTTACTACCCACATACGTTCGATATACGGGTCTTAATATGGATGTACAGTTTTACTCACTTACAGTGCTGAATGGTATGAGTTTGTTAGGTAGGATCTTACCTGGATTCGCGGCGGATCAGATTGGTCGGTTTAATATCCTTTTGTCATTGGCGGTTGTTACTTTGTTGGTTATGGCTACTGTCTGGATTCCGTTTGGATCTAATAGTGAGGCTACGCTATATGCTGTTGTTGCTATCTTCGGTTTTGGATCTGGGGGTTGGATCTCGCTTGCTCCTGTTTGTGCTGGTCAGCTTTGTCGTACTGAAGAGTATGGTCGATTCTATGGAACAATCTACTGTATCGCTGCATTTGGGGTATTGTTGACTGTGCCGATTGGAGGTGAGCTCTTACAGTCTACTACTCCACAGACCTTGGTGGGATTCTATTCTGTTATCTTGTTGATTGGTCTGACAAGTGTTGCCATGTCGCGATGGGCTTTACTGGATTGGAACTGGAAATGGAAGGTGAAGGTGTGATATCACACTCATATGAACGAGGATATTAGCTAGATCTAGATTTGTCCATATTTCAAAAGTATATGTATAATGATCAAATTGAAACAATTCAATTCTTTAACTCAACATAAGATCATAAATTCCTCGGGACGCCAGGCCGATAAGAAACAATGCAAACTTGAAAGCGCCGGGTATATCAAAACACGACCCCAAAATGCTTTTCCAGAAAAGTCTTCCACCAATCCACCTCACAGAAGATCATAGTCATCCAACTTCGAACGGTACCGCATAATGTTCCGCTTGATCTTACTAGAATCAACCCATGTGACGAAGTCCTCCATATTGCGGGTAACCATGTACGCAGGATCAGAGACAACCTCGGTTCCAACACGGACTTGGCCTTGCTCAATGAAAGTTGTGGCCTATACTAGTTAGTATGCATAGAAAAGATGGAGTCCTGGTTCTCATTTTTCAGGGACACTCACAGCCTTGATAGTCTCAACCATTCCCGATCGAACCATCAGGACAGCCAGACGCCGCCGGCAAAATGCCGAAACGGTAACCTCGCGCTCCACACGAGACAATGCCGCACCCTGTTCACGGGACTGCTTCAGAATTCCCATTCGCCATAACTTTTCCAGCAGTTCGGACTCCAGCTTCTTGCGCACGGGGTCGGACTCAGGGTCCAGTTGTGAGAGTCTGTGGGCGAGCGAGCGCATGGATCCACAGAGGGCATTGTATTTCTTGTAGTCCATAGGATCTTGGAGGAGGTATCTTTGGCGGATCTGGTGCTCCCGGTGGTTTCCATCGGACTTGTAGGTGTGGAAGTCGACCTTCCGAAGAAGTCTATTATTCAGATTGGTTAGAGATTGTCATGATGGTTGACTCGGGTGGGATGGAAAGAGAGGTAGGGAATCGTTTCTACCGACTGAACTCACTTCTTCTCGTGATGCTTCAATTCACGGACCATCTTGGCTATCGGTCACCTGGACTTGGTGACTTGTAACTTTTGTAAATTGATCGTAGAAGCTGAGAAGCTGCCGATGAAATTCGCGATAACAAAAAAATGTTATCGAGGCGGTGTGGTTCTGCCATGTGGATTGCATATCACGTGGTATCCACTCTAAAACGGTATACACGGCTACATACTCTGACTGCTGGAGAACATTCAATATGAAAAGTTTTGAGTAGAACAAATTGTATTTAAGATGAAAGGAGCGTGTTGAGGTAATTGAGTAAACCGGTAGAAAAAAATAATATGGACAACGGCGTACCTACTAATAGTGGACAACTTCAAGTTGAATTTGAACTTCAAGTTCGTTCAAGTTTTGTGATATATACTAAATGGTGCAATTGTATAGGAAATTAAACTGATCAAAAAAAAAAGAAAAAGATAAGATAAAACAAAATAGCTGGACATGAAAAAGTTCCACTTCAAACCCGTGGACCCAAATCGCTAAAGTGATCATTTCTCATAAGTCGTCAGTCGTGTCGTCTGAGCAATTTTCTCACTCAGAACCTGTATATTCTGCGCCCCCATAATGTCCAACAAGGCCACCTCGGCCTTCAATTCCTTAACAATCCAGGAAACAAATTCCATGGAAACCAGCGAGTCAATGCTACCAAAGCTGAATCTCTGGGCATCGATCTCAGATGATGGGATTGCGAGTAAAGATGACAATCGTTCAATAATCCCATTTGAAACCACTGTCACGGTATCGCTCAAGTTGATTGTGGCAGCAATTAGAGCGGCACTGTTGACAGTCTTCTCATCACTTTTCTCCGAGCTCGTTGCTGCAACAGCTTCGCGCATGTGTGTGAACAAAGGGTATTCCAGATATGCTGGTTTGGGGATGTTGTTCTGTCGACACATTTCACCTGTTGGAAGTCCAAGAACCACTTGGGACTGAGGCAAGCCCCCAATGGTATCTTGTTTCTTCTGGCGATCATCGATCATGAACTCAATCGTCTTGTAAACTTCCTCTTCACGAAGGAATTGGAAGAGCGTGTCTGTGTGCTTTTGTGACGTATCAATATTCTCTGCTACCCAGCCCACGTTGGATACACTGCCCAAGTTGATACTGGTCGCTTTCATGCCCTTAGATGTTCGGTGAGCTGCCAACGCATCTTGAAATGTATTTCCAGCTGCATAGTTGGACTGTCCACGATTGCCGAAGATACCGGCAACCGAGGAAAGCATCACAAAGAAGTCTAGGTCAGCGGGCAGTATTTCATGCAAATTCCACGAGCCCTGAACCTTAGGCTGGATAGCTGCCTGCCAGTTTTCAAAAGACATTCCTGCAAAAGCTCCGTCCTGAGAATTATCAGCAAACACATTCAATTTCTCTGAAGAACAAGGTTAACTTACCCGTAAAACCATCGAACCCTGTACGCACCCCTTGATAGGTGGCAATGAGGCAGAGCATTCTTCCACAACAGCTCGTACACGATCAGCATCTGAAACATCGCAGGTAAAAACATGAGAGCGACAGCCAATGGTTTTGAGATTTGCAATCATTTCTTCGACAGGTTCGGTAATGCGTCCTGATCTTGAGAGGAAGATCAAGTTCTTAGCACCCCGTGAAGCCATCCAACGCGCCAGACCGCGTCCAATACCACCAAGACCCCCAGCAAGAATATATGAGGCTTGGTCATCAAATTGATATGCCGGAAGAGGATCAGGAACAACTGAGATTATATTCGAAGGGTCGGGGACAAAAACAATTTTTCCGACCCCTTCACTGCTCTGTGAAGACTCAACACCATCTTGTATCTGTGAGAAATTCATGACAGTAAACGGTCGAACCTGACAGATCTTGCCACTGACATGCAAGGCCAATGCATTTTGAACCAGTCGAGCGATAAGTTCCGGTCGGCTTTCCATCATGAGTTCGATGTCAATCGTTGTTACCGTTGCGCACTTCTGAAGCGGGGCCAAGTCAATCATGGCATCAAGGCGAGCGCCTTTGCGTGAGATATGAATAAAATGGCCGAATGGGGCGAGACAGGAAAGCGTCTCCTGCAAAGCATCTCCGGTAAGTGTGTTGAATACAACATTGACTCCAACTCCGTTTGTGGATCGCATGATGCTTTTAGCAAAATTGAGATCTTTACTGGAAAAGATGTTCGCTGCAGGGATGCCGTATTCAGATACGAGAAATTCTCGATCCTTGGTTGTAGACACAGTTACATAACTGGTAGCGCCGACCATTTTTGCATACTGAAGAGCAGCCTGTCCGAGGGATGTTGCGCCATTGTGAATGAGAAGGTTATCGCTTTCACACAAATGTGCGATCTCTTCAAGTCCATACAATGCGGTTGCGTACAGTGATGGCAATCCTGCAGCGACTTGGATCGAAATCTCATCTGGAACTCTGACCACCCGAGTGCTCTCAGCTAGCAGAGATGTTCTGAAACAGTGGTTCTTTGCTGCTCCCGTCACAATGACCTTATCTCCTGGGACAATACCTTCCACTGCGGAACCAACTCGTTTCACAACACCCGAAGCCTCAGTCGACCTGGAAGAGGAGTTCAAATCTGTATTCATCCCAATCGCACAGGTATCAACCTCGACTTCTGTTGTCCCAAGGTCGAGACCATGCTGATGATCTGTAACCCAGAATGTTTGGCGTGGATCTGCGGATGACACAACCAATTCGATTGAACGGCTCACATCGCTTAGCTGTAATTCTTCAGGAACTGAGACGGTCGAGTCGGCAGTTACAAAATGATCAGCCTTTCTCCACTCATGAAGACGACCGACATGAATCATCTTGTTGCTCAAGAGATACTCGACATGACGTTCTTTGCGGGAAGCTCCGGTAAATTGGTGCAAGCAAATTTGGTGGATAGTTGTTCCTATCTCGCCAATTGGAATTTTCTCTTCATTTGAAATGGTCAAAGACACGATGTTTGAGTCATCAGAATGTCTTTCATGGCGAACCGTCCGAAGGAGACCCATGCTCATGCTGGAGAACGGCTGGTGACGCGAGTCAGACGTCAACCAGAGAATATTTTGACATTGAGTGAGCAATTTTCTAATTGATCCGTATTCAAATTCAGAGATCTGTGACAAGAATGGTCCTTCCAGGTCAACCAAGCTGATACAAAGACCATTTGAACTCGGCACAAGACTCAGTTGAGAAGGGTTCACAACAGTGATAGCGGGGAAGTCAAGTCTCATCTCATCTTTCAAGGAGGCGATGACATTTTCAGTCGCCTGAGAGCCAGAAGTGAGAATAAAAACATCCGGCTTCACTTGCTCCTTCGCCACGCTCGCAGTAGCTACCAAGATGCTCTGCCAGGTCAAGTCTTTGTCAGCTGAGCTTGGATACTCAATTGTCACTCCACTGAACCCGGATTCAGTAAGTAAAGTGTTCCAATCTGATGTCGGTATATAAGGACACCACTTGCGCATCGGTTCATCACCAAGCCACCATCCAGGCAGTTGACCGAAGACAAGAGGGTACCACAGGAAATCCTGCCTGATTCCCTCTTGCATGACTAACTGACCGCCAGATCGAAGCAAAGACCGCAGGTTCCCCAGAGACGTATGCAGGTTCTTTGTCGCATGAATGACATTTCCCGCGAAAATCAGATCATAGCTACCCAGTTCAAGGCCTTGATCCGTGGGACTCTTCTCAATGTTACAAGACTGGAATGTCATGATATCACTCCAGGCATGGAACCTTTGTTTAGCCTTCTCAAAGAACCCAGCGGAAATGTCAGTGAAAGTATAGCTTGCGATGACTCCACCCGTACTTCCACCTGGAGCAAGAATGTTGAACACTTCCGCTGTAAAGCTTCCAGTGCCGCCACCAATCTCAAGGATCTTCAGTCCGGAGTGCTGCTGACGCAGAAGGGACAGATAGCTTTTCAGGTGTGTTGGCAAGTCGTATAGATGAAGGCCTTCCTTATAAACACTTTCCATTACATTGTCCTCACCGAACATCAAGGCAAGTGGGTCAACCTCTTTCCTCATGACAGCAGCAATATTGCGGCCCATTCGAGCAGTGATGGCTCCCTCAGCACTATGAGTCTCGATTTGACAGAAGATAGCATGTTTGGCAGTTTGGTCATCACAAAGACTTTGGAAATCAGCGTACGGCAGATGAATGATCTCATCTTTCACCAGCATTTCACACCAATAAATCATCCACTCGTGGAATCGTCGCATGTGAAAATCGAGTTTGTCAACCTCGAGATCACCCAGTTCAAACAAAGCATCGGTCACATAAAGCATGGTAGCAATTTGGAGTTGCTTTACCCAGTACCGGTTTTCGTCATGATTGTCTCCTGAGATTGAGCTAAGCTCACATGCTTGACTAGAATTGAGAAAATTGACATCTGGGTTCCATTCAATGGATGTGCATAATCGCCGCTCAGAATCCTGACTTGAGCTTGACTTGAGGGGCGTAAGCTCAATACCATCCATGCGAATACAAGGACGGTCTTGGTTATCCAGGATTCGAATTTGACCTTCAAGCTTGTCTGTGGAACCTTCAGAAACTGATGCATGTCCCTTGAAAACATGGGATGGGTTTGATCTGAGGCTAGATGAAATCCACATATCCCGCACATGCGTGGGCAAACTGATATAATCAAGAGTGGGCTTTCCGATGAAATCAATCATAGCGGCAATCATCATGTGAATCATACTATCCATAGTCGCCGGGTGAATCAAGTGAGAATGCATGTACTGCATTGGCATTGACTCTGCAATATCCGGAATCCTCACTGAGCCGGTCATCAGTCCAGATCTTGTTCCACTCATTTGCACGTCGTGAAGATTTCTGAAAAGTGGACCGAAGCTAAGTTCGATGTTGTCGAGATCGTCGTACGTGTCGCTGAAGTTTTTGAGTTTTGTGCACGATTTTTGTGCCTTCTCGAAATCATCTTTCCAAGCACGAGCCTCTTTCTCCTTCTGCAAGCCATTGTCAATAGGCCCATCAGTTGCTGGTATCTCAACTGCGATGTAGCCTGTGCAATGCTCGGTCCATTCATCACTCGATTCATTGAATGAGCTGATCTGGAAACGACGCCAGGTTCGCAGATCAGATGGCCCATCGACAGATGTCATTGAAAGGCTCACTTCAATGCCCGCCTTGGTGTCCGGAACGATCAAGGCTCGCTTTATGGAGACTTTCCGAAGTTGAAAGCCCTCAATTCTCTTGCCGTCGCTCAATTGCCGGGCGCCTTCAATAGCCATTACAAGATATCCCACTCCAGGATACACAAAGTTGCCCGTCACCTGTAAGTGGTTAGAAATCGTTCAATGTGCTTTTGAATATTTACATACCACATGGTCCCGAAGCCAGGGATTTTCGTTCAATCGGACAAAGTGTCGCCACCTTGGAGCATTTGCGTTCCAGTCAGGAACAGGCGCACCGAAGAGATCATGTCGGGGAAACTTTCTTGATCGTAAATTACGACTGAGCCGGCTCTCATACAGATTCCTCTCCCCATGCTTGAAACTGTATGGTGGAAGATCAATCAGCAGTCTTGAGGGTCTCTGAGAGCGCCCACGAGCTGCACTATTGACTTCGTGCAGGTCAACGTGATAGCCGTTGGCAGCTAAAGCCCCGACTGTGTTGATCAAAGCGTTGAGGCTTTGATCGCTGCGATTTAGTACAGCGAAGTACTTGTGTTCACTCTGACTCTCTTCAGAAGATAAGGTCTCTTTGATGGCACTCCGTAGTGTGGAATGAGGTCCTATCTCCACAACGAAGGGCACCGAAGGAGAAACTTCATTACTCTCAGATAATTGTGAGCGCATTGCCTTCAAACCACTTGTAAAGCGGACAGGTGATACCATGTTATCTACCCAGTACTGTCCACTCAGATGCGCCGATGTGACCTCTGAGCCAGTAACGGTTGAAAACATGTGCACAAAATGCGGCACAGCCAATCTCTTCCCTGATGAAAAGTTGCCCATCAATTGGAGATATTCCTTTGCAATCAGTGTCATATGAGCAGAGTGATAGGCATTCTGAACATTGAGCTTCCGCGCAAAGACTCCTTCAGTATCAAGTCGTTTCTTGAGACAGTCCACCAGCCCCTCGTCTCCAGAGACGGTATTGTTAGTGGGACTATTATAGCATGCGATGATGAGCTCACCCTGATGGTCGTTGTGGACACATTTCAGATAGGATTCAAGCTGCTCGGAACTTAATCCAACAGCCATCATCGCACCATTGGCTGCGAGTTGTTTTGATGAAACATAGCCGCGGTAGTATGCTACTTTCCACGCTCCCTCGCGAGAGATTCTTCCAGCGCAGTATGCAGAAGCTATCTCACCGGACGAATGGCCTGTCACACATGATGGGAAGATATTCCAGCTGGCCAGCAGGTCAATGATTGCGACTTGCAGTGCAGTGCATACTGGGTGTGCAATTTCCGGAAGACTGACACGAGAGACTTTATCGTCTGCAAGAAGCTCATCTAACGAAACAGAGATAAATTAGTGCGACGTTCTCAGAGCGTATTATATGATGACTCACCTATCAGTGACCACGGACTTCCTAGTCGACGAATGTATTTCGACGCTTCTTCAAGTGACTCCTGAAATACCGGGTAGATGAGCAAAGATCTACCCATAGACTGGTACTGAGCTCCCTGGCCAGTGAAAACAAAGTGAACGTCTGGGGCATTTGGTGCTCGAACCGGCTTTGAAAAGCGAGACTCTGACAGATGAGAAGCAAGCTCACTAACAGTCGATGCCGTAACAAAGCTCTTCCATTGAAAAATAGAACGATGCTTGGAGAGTGTCAATGAAAGATCGTCCAACAAGTAATCAGTGGCATTTGGCCGAGCCAGCTTAGGACCGATATACCCAGAGTACGCTTCTACAGTCCGCTTGACACCTTCTTCGTCAAACGCCGAGATCAAGAATAGCTTCGGCACTACCAAACTAGGGAATGAACTCATTGGCCCCAAGTAAGGGGATAAACATGATCCATCTGTTCCTGGAGTTTCAGGAGTCGCAGCACGCTCCAAAATATCACCCTCGTCCGCTGAGTCTGAACTACTGTCCGTCTCACTATATCTGGATCGCGAGATCACGATCGTTTGATCCTTGATGTGAACAGTCCTTGGAACCCGGATTTTGGTCCTGTGGGTAGCTGAAATGCGGCGATTCTGAAGATAATGGTAGGCATCGTCCAAAACGCAGTGCGCATTGGCGCCTCCGATTCCGAAAGAATTGACAGATATTCTTCGCAGTCCATCCGAAGGCCATGGAGTAATTGCTTTGGGAAACTCGATGTTCCACTCCTCAGCTGGGACCTTGGGATTGATCTTCTGGATATCAAAGTTGGGTGGAATGATTCCCGACTCGAGAATGAGGATCGACTTGATGAGACTAGCGACACCGGAACCACCTTCCAGATGGCCGATAGTAGACTTGATGGTTCCAATGTACAGGGGCGTATCTCTTCGGCATTTGAATGCCTTTGCGAGGGCCCCCGCTTCAATTGGATCGCCGGTGCTGGTTCCAGTGCCATGGGCCTCGACGAATCTAGTCTGTTCCATGTTCAAGCCGGCTCGCCAGTAGACTTTCCGGATCAATCGCTCTTGTGCCTCACTACTTGGAACAGTAATTCCTGATGTGCGGCCATCTTGGTTGACCCCAGTTTCTCGGATAACTGCACGGATTGTATCACCGTCTCGGATAGCAGAGCTCAACGGTTTCAAAACCACGGTTCCAACTCCTTCCCCACGGGCATAACCCTCTGCTCGGGAATCAAAGCTGAAGCATCGGCCTTGACTTCCGAGTAAACCGTGGTGGCTCATCCCAACCGTCTCCACTGGATTCTCCAGGATACTCACCCCGCTAACCAGAGCCTTGGAAAAGATTAGCTAACTGACCCCAGTCACGTCATAAGTTGAAAGCTTACCATATTTGTCTCCCGAGAACGAAGACTCTGTACAGCCAGATGCAATGCAACCAGACTGCTGGAGCATGCCGTGTCGATAGTCATGCTCGGTCCCTTGAGATCAAAGAACCAACTGATTCGATTTGACAGAATCGCATTGACCACTCCGGTTGGCTTGTACTTGAGTGCTGTCTCTGGATCGGAATTCAAGATTCCCAGGTAATCATGATTGAATCCGCTGACAAACACCGAAGTATTGGAACCAACAGCGGTATTCATTGGAATCCCAGAGTTTTCCAAGGCATGGTAAACATTTTCCAGTACCATTCGTTGCTGAGGGTCCAAGGTTAACAGCTCGGTCTTTGTGATGTTGAAAAACGATCCGTCGAAATAGGCTGGGTCTTCTGAGAGGAAGTGGCCTCCCTGTACATGGAACTAGATTTCGGAATTGTCATGGTCAGTATGGTTCTCGACGAATGATCTCCTCAGCCGGAAAGCGCGATACCGTTCCCCCATGCTCTGGGTCTGGGTGATAGAAAGCAGAAGCATTGAACCTCTCTTTGGGAATTGGAGACCACGTTGATCGAGCCTGCAACAGAAGTTCCCATAGAGCCTCCGTTGTGGTTGCCTCCTGAGGGAAACGAGTCGCCAGACCAACCACAGCAATGGACTCTACCACATCTGGTGGCATGGCTCCGTCCCCATGGGTGGTGAAAAGCTTCAAAGGTGTCATGGTATCGCGAATATAAATTAAGATTGGAATAACAGAGTGAAGAGATATGATTGCTTTGTTGAGAAGCAAATGGCTGGGAGATATAAGGCCAAATGGAGGGAGATGGAAGGATATAAGTAACAATAAATGAAGAGGGAAGATGGAAGAGTTCAAAGTAAGTGTTGAGATGTACTCCCATGTGCTTTTCCCTATGCCACCCAATTCCTAGACCTTTTATGGGCACGTTCCCCTTCCTTCCTAATTTGGCCACTGGCAAGCGCTGCTACCGATTGATATTCCAACATTGAGCACGTGTGATTGGTAGATCCATGATACTGCGTCAAGTCCCAATAACCAGTACTGCTCATTTTTTGCCTGAGTGGATCTTGCCATCTGTTAAGAGACTCAATTGTGGGAACAGAGTGATTCGTATACTTCCTCCCACTATCTGGGGGTCGGACTATCATGGCAATGGCGTCCTGGCAAGTTCTTCGAATGCTGATGAGTTCAATTTTCTGTAGCCATTGCCCTTGTGAGTGCTTGCCTTTCTGAGAAACTCATAGTAATTGTTGAAATGCTTGAATAAAGAGTTGTGTTAATCTGCTCCATCGCGACCTTGCAGTGACCGTAGACGGATTCTTGACCCGGAGTATGCTTTGTACTGGGTATGTGGAGACGGCATATTGACCAGGATCGATTGCATTATACAGACAAAGAAACAGACACCGCCAGTTATGATCAAGGGTACACAATTGGATCTAAGAGCCTAGTTAGCGCAGCCACTAAGAAACAAGATATCCTGCTTCATACTGGCCTAGCACGACTATTCACTTGGGCGCTTCCCAACAGTATCTTTGGAAAAAACATCCTTGTATGCACTAGCTAATCTGCTTAGCCAGTAGACTTAGTCACGTTTCATATGAGGAATATTCGTGGGCTTGTTCTCATATCTGATTCCATGGCAACTAAGGCTCTCTATCAAAAAGGGTCAACAATGAATTGAGATATTCCTCCCGAGGTCCTCGACATGGACTCCGGGTTCCTCAATGCCCAAAGCATTGTTCATCATTAATCAAGATCAATTCAGAGGACCGGGGACACCGCGGAAGGAAAGTCCTGAAATTATTCTTTGTTATGGCATGAACCAGCGCGTGGAGCCAAGTGGATCCCATCTCCGCCGTCATATTCGATGAACCTCTTATCGCTCGATAATCGGTGATCCAAGATGGACACATAAGGTTCACCGGCATATTTCCGGTAAATCGTGCCCAACGTGGGCAACAGACATTGGTCAGTGATAGTTCGAAGGCGAACCGCAGATCTGTGCATCGAAGAACCAAATCGGCTAACGGTGTTTTAGTGGAGCTGTGGAGCCGGGGAGCAACCGGATATGCACGTCAAGCTGATTATACTTAGATCACCGTAGCCTCTTATTTATGATGGTACCAATTCTTCCAATCAAGATCCCAGAATTGGACCTAGTAGTCTCAAAAATGAGAATTTCCATGGTGCGTTCTCGCGCGCGATTTAATTGTCGGAGTCGCTATTAGCCGGTAGACCGGAACCTGGGACCAGTCATCAAGAGAGATTGGCGGAAATGAACCGATCGAGGACTTTAGATCCATAGTTCGCATCCAAAAGATGGTATCTTCGATCTCGGGACTGTTGTTTCTCGTGATTTTGTTGGAGATTGAACTAGCGGTGTACTAGTAGTTGATAGAACTGCGTCATGACAAGGATAGAAAATGATCTATTCAAAAGTTAATGTCCTGGACTGAAAAGGAGTTGATCCAAATGAAGTGATTGACATGATCATATTGGATCTTCCAATGGTGGCTCGCTAGTTGACGCCTGCTGTGTCAAGATAGGGGCACTTCGGAGCTGAGACCGAAGTAGATTCCATGTTGATCTTTCCACGGAATAATCTGGAAATTCAAGACTGGAGACGCTTGCCGTGTCCTCAATGCTCAATGCTATTACGTACTGCCAGTAGTAGTACTGTGTATAGAGCATGGACTGATCCGAGTCCTTGATGTACTGAGTACTATGATGGTCCTGCTACCCCTGGTAGGCGTGGCATTGCCTAGTTTCACTAGACCGCGTCTATTATTTATTCTCAAGAAATTTTCCCTTCTTGTCATTTCGTTCAGTCAATCTTGGCTTCAAATGCCATTCCTGAAGTTTTCCTCGATGATTCGACGCGTTCGTGAGAAAGTCCATATTATAGGGAGGCTGGGATGTTGTAAATGAGGCTTGTATTGGAGCACCGCCACCTCTATCAATGCAGAGCTGTAGCCAACCAAGTGACTTAAATCGATGCACATGTGACCAACTTGGATGCAATAAATGCTCCACTGGCATGCATGGATGTGTCTGTCATCATGTGCATGGGCATAGGGAGGAAATGGAGCTTTGAAATGCATAATTCATCGAAAGGCAACACCCTTGGCATGTTTATCTTTTATAATGTGATGATTGATGAGATTTTTTTCAATTTAGAACCCTTTGAAGATTCGTAAAAGTGAACTGGCGATTGGCTGCCTGGAAATCCTGACTTGTAAATTGCCTAACTAACTAACTAACTAGTTAACGAAGATTGAGGGTGAGAGTGGAAGCCTGAGTCTTATGGCTACCAAGGTGTGTGGTGCCTGAGGATGCGATGTTACCACCTGAAAATTCCGGCCTGCAAACTAAGTAAGAGAAATTTTGCTCACTTCCAACATTGATTCTTTTGATGGCTGGTTTACATTTTTATCTATTTGATTTGATTTATTATCGTTTTTTGAAACTCGAAGCTTCTCTTATCTCACGCGATTCAAGAATCTGGATTTTTTTTTCCCCTTTACTCTCTTGTTCTTATAAGAGCCGGCATTATATCCGAGTCTACCCTTGGAATATGTTGCGCATGCAAACTCCAAGCTCAAATCAATTCAACATCTCAAGTGCTCAAATCCTGTATCCTGCAAACACTAAGTTCATGCCAAGTCCGTATATACAATCATAGCTTTCCCGCCCTCTTTACCAGCTTCAACTGGGAAACCAGGGCAGCGACAAACTCCTTACTAACAGCCTGCTTCTCTGCCAAACTCCCCTTCTGCCACTCAGCACGACGTCTCTTTGGCCCATCAACCCAACGCTGAGACTCCGCCATTAACCAGTCGCGGACAGGTACTGCCAACTCATTGAGACTACTATCGAATGGCATGGTATGCTCTCCATCGTCAATGACAACCTGTTTCACAGCACCGAGCTTCATTCCACCATTTCCTCCAACTCCAGTTCCAGTCCTACGAGCCCTCTCCTCTCTAACTTCAGGATCCCCAAACTCAGGAGAGTTCCCACCATTCACATAAAGTACCCAAGGCCTCACTCCAGGTAATAAGTCCCATCCCATCTTAAGTTCTCTTCTGTAGAATAAATCTTTCCCAATATCCTCCGGATCAGAATCAGGCACAATCTCCCTCTGTGCCAGCGTCACATCGTCGAGACCACCTGGCCCCATCCCAATACTCCCGGGATTAAGTCGAAAAACCAAAGAAGCCACTTGGTCCTTCGCGAACGTCAAAGTCCACTTGTTGACTGTGGCATCAGGTTGAAAAACACCATACCGCATCAATCTCAACTTCGCCTTCTCATTCCACGAGTCCGCACCCTGGCCTTTAACCGCTCTCTTTTCCGCTTCAGAACGTGAATTCCATCCCTCCTTTCGCTTTAAATTGCTAAAGACCCAAGGGAAGACTATCCTTTGGCCGTAATTCACATCCAAGCCCGGTTCGATAAAAACGAACGAGTGGAATAGCGTTGGATGCCAGGATGATAAACATAGTAACTGATTACAGCCCACTGAATGACCAAGACCAATAAGTGGCTTCGGCATTTCGTCACGGAAATGACTGATCATGCTCCATAGATCGCGGGAGTGATCAACCCATGAGGCGTCGCAACCTAGATTCTTAGCGTTTGCGATGGCGCTTTCGCCTAGGTTAAATGTATCTGCTATCCAGATTGAGCGGATGCGAACATTGGTTTTGCATGTTTGGTGGAGAAGTTCAGCGAAGAGGGGCTCGTAGATCTCTTTGATGAATCCTAGTCCACAGGTTGCGATTATTGTTATTGGGTCGTCGGTACTGGAGCTGACGTTGTAGCTTTCCAGCGGAGTGTATTGCTTTACTGCGAGGTGGACTCCTTTGTCCTCGTCAATGATGGCATGAGGATACTCGCGAAAAGGAGTGACTGGGATTATATGCGAGGTTATCTGGAAGGGGAAATCCTCTTCTAGAGGAGCCACGAGTTTAGATTGGGCCATCGAGAGTGGAGTGATGGAATGGAGTTGAGATCTTTCATCCAGAACAAAGCTCAGGGAAATAAGATGAAATATCAACATTCATGAAAAGGCAACCCATCTGCGGGGTATAAACGGGGTATCCTGGCGCTTGCACTAGGTACGCATCACCATGCATGCTGACATGCATTAGTTGAAAGACGCCCGGGCGGGAACACATCCATGGCGAATACGCTACCCAATCAAGTCATAGATCAAGTTCATTGCCCCTGAATTAAAAGAATATTCATCATCTGGTGATCCAATAATTATGTGAGTTTATCACAAACTCGGGTCCAAAAAAATGTGCATTATGCAATTAAATACTTGGTATTGGTACAGGTCTACAAAAAAGAAACGACGAACCACTCGGGAATCGGAATGAAACCACCACCCAAGCCTAGCTACTAGCATCACTCAAGATCTCCTCCGCAGCTTTCTCCGACACCATATAAGTGGACAGAGCAGTAAATGTTCCAGGAATACGTGGGTAGACAGACGCATCAACAACACGTAGGCCACTAACACCACGAACCCGGAACTTCGAGTCCAACACCGCCATAGGGTCATCATCGGTGCCAATAGGACAAGTACAGGAAGCATGGTGACCCCAGGCGGTATTCATAATATAATCATGAATATCCTCGGTCGAGGTAACATCTTTGCCAGGCAAGACCTCCTCAATACCAACCAACTGTCTCGAGAACGCATCTCTGGCCAGACCAATGGCCTCAGTGATAGCCTCCAGATCCGCAGCATAGTCACCAACACCGGTATCAAAATAATTAAACACGATTTCCGGCATATCAAGCGGATCAGCCGAACGAAGCTTCACCGAGCCAGCTGTATTGCGAGGATGAGCCTTCAGAATAGCCCACGAGAACCAGTCATGGCGCTCAGTGATATTAATACTGTACCCGGGATAGTATCCACGGAAGTTAATCGGGCCACCGAAAACAAAGGCATCGAAGTCGTCATCCACAGCGACGGAACTCTTGTAAAGCATGGTACTAGCGAATCCATTTGACGAGTAGATTCCCCGATTTCCGAGAATGGGATTATCCCATCGCTCCAGACAAGGGTCTTCCTCACCATCAAGACTAAAAGTACATCCATCAAGCGCGGTGAAGTTGTGTGGAGTATGGCCCTGTACGACGGTTTCATAGTGATCTTGCAGGTTTGTGCCAACGCCAGGTAAATCATGGACGACATCAATACCGAATTCGCGGAGCTCGTCGGCGGGTCCGATACCACTGAGCTTTAGGAGTTGTGGGGAGTTGTATACGCCACCGGCGATGATCACTTCGCGAGAGGCGCTCACGCTACCAGGTGTACCGGATCCAGCTGTTCCAGAGCGAGGACTAGCGCGGTAAAGGTACTGACCATCGAGGAACTCGACGCCCGTAGCGCGCGGGGTACCAGCGGAGTTATCGAAGTTGACTTTGGTAGCTTGGCAGTTTGTACGGATATCGAGAGGGTACTTCTTTGAGCCATCGAAGCTCTTAGCGTCTCGTACTGCGACGAGAAACTCACGTGGACCGTTACGCTTTGCGTCGTTGCTGGCGAGTGGGACTTGGTAGTATCCAGGCTCTGTGTCGCGGAGTCTGGAGTCGGCGTTGGCGTCTCCAGCGAGAAGCGTTGCGACGTTGAAGATGTTTTCGGTCAGATTACCCAGAGCAAATGCACCGCCAAGTAGCATGCTTAGAAGCTGAGGATCTTCAAGGACGATACTGATGGGGGCGGTCTCATCGTGGAACCAGCCGTCGTATCCATGTCCCGGTAAGCCAGGCAGGAGGTAGTTGTTGTTTTCCATCTTCTCAAAATACTTGCGCATGTTATCCGGGGCCCACGAGGCATCGCCGGTCAGCGTGGAGATGTAGTCAAAATCAGACTCGTACGGGTAGACAGTGACCAGAGCGTTGTGGGCAGTGCATCCACCGAGAGTCCCGGTACGTGGGTACAGAGTGCCTTTCATAGTTGAGCCCTCTGGAGGGCTTAGTCCGGTGTATTCAGTGCCATCTGGAGTCTCATATGTGGTCTTATAGTCCAGTGCCTGGCGCGAGTCATTCGCATAGTGGCGTACAAAGAAGTTCCAAGCAAGTGCCTCATCCTCGGAAGCCTTAGCAGAGTAAGCTGGGACTGTGTAGTTGGTATTCTCCCCTTGGTCATCGCCAGCCTCAATGAGCAGTGTCTTATGTCCAGCAAGGGCAAGTCGAGCAGCTAGTGGGCCTCCACCAGCTCCTGAGCCAACTACGACATACTCATAGCCAGTTAGCTCAACAGCTGCCCCTAAGCTTGCCAAGGAGAGAGTGGCCAAGCCAAAAAGGCGAGGAAGAAGCATGGTAATTATAGAAAAGAAAGTAAAAATGAATGACTAGAGTTGGAGTTTTAATGAGTGTGGTGTGATTAAGCAATGTGAACAATGACAGGTCATTTTCTAGCGATTAATTTATCAAATATGGCTAGCTGACTACTATGACAACTTGAATAGGGATCGCCATCGTCTCGTGGGTCGCAGGCTTCACGCGGAGTTGAAAACCCGGCCAAAATGGGGCATCAATTGCAATATCGGGGCTAGTGAGAAAGCCTTTGCAAGCGAAATCACACTGAGGATCCGTTCAAATTGCAACTTGAAGATTCTTTTGTTAGTTCCACTCCGGGGACCCTTCACCTATTAGGCCAATCACGGGGAATAGTAAACTCCTAGCGAGTGACGATCGTACCTGATCGAGCAGGGAGGCGGCCTAGTCGACTTGTGGGGCTTTACGAGGGGAATTGATGCCGAGGTGTCAATAGAAGTATTGACTTGACTATGCGCGTGATATATTCAAATTTGATCTAATCTTGCGATATGTGATTGCAGGAACAGAAATCAATTCGTCCTGTGAGCTCTGGTACTTCATGTAAGCCACCGGAGCACCAGGGAACTGGAGAGCATAGAGACTTAGCGGTTCTTACCAATGCATGAACGCCCCTTACTGTGCTCACAGGAGTGCTTATCTCGTCATATGCTGCTACCGAATCCATCTTGGACTAGGTATGAGCATGCAGAGAATTTCAAGGTCCTGCGTCAGAAAAATGTTATAATGATTGGATCTTCATGAAGAATACCGATTGCGTGAAGTCAACCAATATTTGAACTGTCGCTGTACATGCATCAGTATCTTGAATCACCCCAGTATCAAAGTTCGAGATATTCTGTCGCATTTTCCGCATGTCGAAATGAAATTAATGAGCACTTAAGGCATCAGTTGATGGGATTCTGCTAAAGCGGAGTATAGTATCCATACTACTAGTAGTACTGTAAGGACCTTGGAGGAAAGCACAGTACTGTATATAAGCACAGTTAGTACCCGTACTCGAATCAGACACTTCAAGTTGAACTATGAGCACCTTGAATGTTCATACTACACAGACGCAGGAGATATGGCAAAGTTCTATGATGTGCTCTGTTCAGATAAATCTAATCTAACATGCCCTCCTCAATCAGAAAGATATTCAAGTTCAATGGATATACAAATGACCATCCAATTCAAAGCTCATCCTTTAGGTCCTCCGCCGGCGGAGGCATCGGTCGACCACTATCAGTAGCCAGATCAACGCCAATCTTCTTGCGCCACTTCTCCCACAAAGAATGGAAGTCCTTCTCCATACCACTTTCCATCTGATCCGGCAACACAACCGTGTACTCGACATAGAGGTTACCAGGATGATCGTCCTCATGGTCATGGTCATGAAGATGACCCTCTGAGTAATGCGGCATACCTTCCCCATGAACCGTCTCCACAGCCAAGGGTTGCACAACCTCACCACGCTTGCGACTCAGTCTAACGACATGGCCATCGAGATGAGTCAAATTTCTTGACCACTCTCCCATCCAAGCCTCACGTAATGAAAGCGTCTCCTTCCAGAAAAGATCCTTCCCCTTTCTCCTGAAGAACGTTCCATCCGTACGCTCCTCATCCGCAAATCCCAACTCCGCCTCCTTCTCCTCAAGAATAACAATCAAGTCTCCAGCAACGAAATCGGGACTCTCATCCGCCTCATTCTCAAAAACCAATCGCGTACCCCGTCCCATACCAGGTTCGATAGTAGCAGAAGTCTCAACCTCTCTCCTAACAACCCGACTCCCATGACAGATCGGACAAGGATTCTTAATCGTCTTTCCCTGTCCACCACACTTATCACAAGCCATTTGCACCTGCTGAAACATTCCAGGCGCAAGCATATGCTTCTTAATAACTCTTCCATGTCCATCACACTGATCACAAGTCACGACCTTATGATCCTTCGATCCAGTTCCTTCACACGTATCACAGATCTGCTGCTTCTCAACCAAGAAGTTGATTTCACGTCCGTTATAGAAATCGCGTAACGGTAACGCAGCCTTAACCTCCATATCAGGACCACGTCTATGTCCAGAATTATGACCAAAGTGTCCTCCGCCTCCGAAGAACCGAGAGAATAGATCAAAGGGATCGTTCGAGCCACCCGCTGATCCTCCCTTTCGGTGTTGTTCGACGCCATCGTGGCCGTATTGATCGTAGACTTTGCGTAATGAGGATGTAGAGAGGACGTCGTATGCGTCTGCGATTTCGCCGAATTTCTCACGTGCGGTGTCATCGCCACTATTTAATGAATACCGTTAATATGGGATTGAAGTTCAGGAAAAGTGATATGGAATCGACGTACGGATTCTTATCAGGGTGGTATTTCTTGCTGAGTGTGCGGTATGCGCGCTTGATATCTTTCTCTGAGGCGGACTTGTCCAATCCTAGTATTTTATAATAATCTTCAGCTGCGAGAACAAGCGCCGAGAAGAACACGATCGCCAATGCGAAAATTAGGCGTGTGAGATGCATTTTTAAATATGGAGGCTCCAACGCCTGGTTGTGTTGGTTGAAGGTGCCAGATATGCCAGTGCGGGTTGCGGGTTCGCGACAGCTCGCTGGTGCGGAGCTTGAAGCTGCGGAGTGGGGTGCAGATGAGGTGGTCGCCGGCGATTAAGTGGTTGTCATGAGGGGTGGGTGTCCCGTGGCGTCGTTTGCTAGGAACAAAGGAACAATTCCAAAGTTGGGAATCGCGACCTGTATACTTCTTCGTGTCCTGCGCGTTGACCTCGATGGGGACAAGTATCCTTATTAATAAGCTTATCTCACTGGGAACAATATTCTGCCGGGTCACGTGTGGTGTATACAGCGAGATATGAATCAAGGAAAGTGATATAGGTACTACTTATGGGTACTACCTAGTATGATAAAAGAGAAGAAATACTATTGGTAACCTGCTGTCATTTTCATATCTAGGAATGGTTGGTGAAATATGTCATTGAATTGAATGGTGTTGCGTAGCTAGCTAAAATATCAAGGGTGCTACATATTTGCGCCATACACCATCATACGCCATGGATTCATAAAAATCTGAATGGATCATAAGTCGTAAGTCACTATCTCCAAAACTTGCAGGGACCACTGAACATGGACGAAGATCAGTGTCCAGCCACATCAAAGATATCATTCCTCCATGTGTACCCCAATCCATGAGTCTCGTCTCCATCTTCAATAGCCTCCTGGGCACGCGTAGCCTCTTCACGCCATGTCTGAACAATACTACCTGGGGCATAAATTCCCTTGAAGACACCACTATCCGGTGGAGTCAAGCCGATGCGAGTTTCAACATCATCATCAGCAGGCTTCAATCGTGCCAGTACAGCACGAACAAAAGTCGCCAAATCTTGAGGGTTCGCAATTCGAGTCGCACGCAAACGTTCTCGCGCGAAGACCAGTTCACGATTCAAAGCAAACGCAGCGTTTACGATTTCCTCTGCAATTTTCTTTTCCAGGATTCGACGTACGAGGTGTTTCAGGAAGGGTTTCGTCAGCCATAGTAGGAACCTCCACTTGCTCTTCTGGACTTGGTAATCCAGTTTATGGATCCGCACGCGGACACCACGGAGCGTAAAGATTTGTTCCAGTCGACCGCGGCCGATTTCAATATCGAGAGCGATGTCGATGCCACGACGGTCCAGGTAAAAGCTAGCGATTCCTTCATCTTTCAAATGGAAGAACATGGTATGAGTCTTGAACCAGTATCCGAAATCTTGGGCACTAATATTCAGGCCGTTGACAGAGACATGAAAAATGGTCCTGATAGTTGTATCTGTTCGTTTGGAATGTCTCTTTACAATTTCAATATCGTTTCTGGTGAGTAGGCGCATCCGGTAGGGCAGGAATGACGAAAAGTTGACCGTCCGGCCGGGCTCGAGGACCAGGTTCTCCAACAAGAGATCCAGTTCAGGTGCAGAAATTTCCAGCCGGGGAATTGGCACATACTGAATCATACGAAGGATAACAGGGATTATGACATTGGCCAGGTCTGCTGGAAAGCTGTCTCTGTGGTCAGTGTAAGCACACCATGCATCATGATAAATCCTCTTGGTCGCATTGACCAGAGTGAACACCGAAGGATCATCAGGAACGGTGGGCAAAGTACGTTTAGTCTGCGCGAGGAAATCATCCACATCTTGACGCAGACGAGTCTCCGACCCGACCTTCTCCGACTGTTGCTGCAGCTCATCCAGCTTCTGTGGGGCTGAATCAAAAAAGTCCGGGTCGGTTAACATATCGCGTAAAGAACCACCGACTTCTTCCATGAGATGATCGAATTCGGGATCTTTATTCGCATGACGTAGAACATTATGAAACTTTTCTTGCAGGGAATCCCATTCCTCCGTCTGTCCGAAGGAGCGAAGCAAGCCCCAAAATTGATCCACAGCCAGTTTCAAGTCATGGTTGACATCAATATCTTCATGTGCAGCCGAGGCAGTCTCTTCAGCTGCATTAGCGTAGAGAAGGGCGTAGCGCTGCAGCAACTGGGTGAGGGTGGAAACGGAGTCGGAATAGTCAGATCTCTCGCGAAGCTTGTAGACAGCCTGTTTCAACCGATGCAATAAAGTCTCTTTTTCTTGGCCTGCAAGATGCTCCCGAGCACTTTGTACAGCTGCCGCGCCCGTATCACTGATTCCCTTCCCAGCAACATGAGTTACATGAGCGACTTCCTCTCTGATTTCCTCTCGGGAGAGTCTATGCTCCTCATCAGCACCAGGGCCCGCCAGTGCGGCTTGCTCTTCTTGAGAGGGTTGAATTTGTTCGGCGACATGTTTGGAGGTTTCGGAGAGGAAGGACGCGGTGTCAGCGAAGATCTGACGGCCCACCGTAGCGACATCATCGATAAAAAGTCGGAAGTCCGCATTGGTGAGAAGTAAGCTACCGATGGTGCGGAAACTATCATAGACTATCCGAAATTCCCCACGTTAGCAGATCATTACATAGTGACATACATGACCCAATGCCAAGAACTTAGCTTAGCTGTCAAACGTGCAGGGGGAAAAGACATTGACCCACCAGCTTTAGTATCAGCGCGCGCTTTCACGTGTCCCGCCTGGTGAGAAACACGGGTGCTATCCAACGAGACTCGGGATCGTGACAGACGCCACAAAAACTCTTGAAGTCGATCCTCATTGTTTTTGGCACTAAGAAATTCAATAAAGGTCTTAATCCATAGTCGGGCATCGCGTATGAGTTGGCGTGCATGGGTCCCTATGTCATGATAGCGGAGATTGAGTACATCCGAGGCAAGCAGGGTACGAAGGTTGGCGATCGTTTGTTCAGTAGATGGCATGTATCCCTCCGAGAGGGCGCGAAACATTTGATAGGAATGTAGCTTCTGGTGGAGCTGACGCTGACGAGCAGTGTCATCCTCATAGCGAGGGAGGAGGGGCTCAGTCTCGTTAGGCATGACTGATGAGCCCAGCCAGGGCCAACGAGAATGATGGATGGATCGAGAGATCTGTGCAAGTTTGTTGTTTCACAAAGGTGATGAGGGATTTAAATATGTGATCTACGGTGCAGTAAGGTGGTATGTTGAAGTCAAGGGGGGTTAAAAGAGCTCAACCTGTTTTGGCATATGATGACGACACAACACCCCGATTGTCTACTACATACAAATTTTGGATTTGGACTACGAAGTAGTATAGTGATGGTCATGGTCATGATCATGATCACGACAATGAAAATTGTTTTGTATCACTAATCGCAAACATAGAATTCAAAGTCAGTACAAGTATAGAAATTGGGGCGATCGGGGCGATCTGGGGAAGCTCTAGCGGGTTGCAAGGGTCCGCAGGGCTGATTGAGTTTTGAGGGATAATTGATTGGGTCCAGATGGTTCTATTCTTAGTTGAATATTTGAATATTTGAATATTGAACAGACTGGAAATTCCAGGGCTGAAGTTTCCACCCTGCATGAGAAACATTCAAACATTGAACCTTGGAAGTGTCTATGTTATACTTCCGGGAAGTGATCACACGATGATATGCCGTACTCCATATCGTTTATCCTGAACTTCAGAGACTTTACTCAACAATAGAAGAATATTTTCATCTTCGGAGCACAGTGCTCCTGGACCCATATTCCGAGATTTAAGAAATTTGTATATAATAATTCGGCCGGGATCCCCAACGGAGGGAATGGCTTGCGAATAACTCCACTTGTTGAAAGAGTGATCCATAGTTTACCCGATGGAGTAATTATGCACTGAGTAGTTTACCCATTTGTGATCCATGTGGGCCCCTGCATAGTATTCTTGCATGCAGAGTCAGGAATTAAAGGTACATTTTAAAGGTACATTGGAGTTGAAGTTTTGAAGTAGTCTACAGGAGAAGAGAGTACTACATAGTATAGATACTACATAGTAGTAGGGAGTACAATTGCTATACTGGAGTCTAGTTTAATTGATTTTTGTTGATTTTTAATGAATAAATAATACGGTGTAGATAGAATCAATTCTACAGCGTAGTAAATAGATACCTAGGTATTCTCAAATGTCCATAATAGAATGAAGACCAGGTACGAGTCATACAAGAAATCGGTATATCATACGCAGAGTAAGTTGCAAATGTAGCGAAAAGAGGGAATAAAACACGAAAATCCATGACAGAACACACGCGTATTTCTCAGGCTAAGCCTTTTTCCCAAACCGTTGGGAATATTCGGCGAGACTCAAATCATTCTATGCGTGGGAACCCGGCAAGGGATCCAATCAGATTCTTTATAATCTCTCTTGTTCCGCCGAACGACACGCGGTGGTGGATATTTTAGATATTTAGATATTTTGGATATTTTGGATATTTTATTTATTTAAATAATTAAAATAAAATAAAATAGATTTAAAATAAAATAAAAATTATAAAAAAGTACATCTATTTCATCCAGGGTCATGCTACATACGTACTCCTATACTAAAATAAAACATATCAAATAATAAATAAAACATTAGATGTAGTAACCCGGCGGAAAACACCATTCACATCAAACTATTATCCTTGCAATATGAAACAAGTCACCGGTCTGATCTCTTTTCCCCTCACCATCTCCTCTCCGATCAAATTTCCCGTATCACCAGGCAAACGGCGGCCTCCGCTTACCGACTTCCCCCGCTGAGGGGACTCTCCGGTGAGGAATTATAGAAGTATACGGAGTACAATTTATCTGTTGGGGAAATCGGCGATAAGCAAGATATTCTACTGGCTAAAGCGGCTTCTCCGTCTTCTAGAACATCCATCATTAATAATTATGAATTTGACCCTTTTTCTTTTTTTTTCGTTTCATCTTTTTAGCCTGTGACTCCGTAATCCGTAATCAATTCTGGCACCGAGTAAGTATCCACTTCGGCACTATCTGCGGCTCTGGAAGCTCGCTGAAGTGGAGGCGGATGGCTGGGCGGGATCCATCACTAGTCCTCCCCGGCATCATCGACCAGTTAAAATCTTTGAGATATTTTGAGCCCACGCGAGTCGGAATTCAGTTTGAGCTGTACCGTGTAGATTTCTTTCTTGGAATGACAATCTGCAGGGTCAGAAAAAAAAATCCCGCAAGTCAGGACGCAGTCTACCGTGTAAGTTCTATTCCTATATAGGGGCATAGTAATAGATCTGCAACAATATTGAACACATTTTATAGTTAATTAAATTCAATTAAATTCAAATTGTTCTAATTAGGGAATATTCGAGGGTTCATTACCAAATCCATTGATTCTTGATCCATGTTAATAATATTTTTCATACCAAAAAACTTCATTTGAAGCAATATTATAGGTCATGAACCTCCGCAATTACTGAGAACTGGGTACTCCGGGTCCACATCATGATACACACAACTCCCTTGCTGGATCTGCTTCCCGAATAAGAAAAGAAGCTTTGTGAGGGATCCAGATTCCACCGGGCAATTCAAGCACAACGGTTCGCTGTCATCACCGAAATATCCACATCTCGACCTCCTGGGTGTCCCCATCCCTTTGTGCCATCCCCGACTCTTCCCGAACACCCCCAAATCATGTCTCTGTTTTTACTGAGTGGCCTTGTCCTCGACACGCGGTCATGGCCCCGGCTAATTCCCTCTTTGCCTCTGTCGGAATGTCCTGGAGGATGTGCGCTCAAATGACCCAGGGGAAGGCTAGCCTCTTAGCTCGAGCACATAAAATCACACGAAGCTCGCCCCATCTCTCTTCTTTCTATCATTCTTCTTCTGCCTCGACGACTAAGCTACTTCGCTCTTCGTCTGACACAATGGCTCGATTCTCTCCTCAACAAAGCCGGCCGGTCCATGCGACCCCATTCATGAGTCACTCTACTGCTCCTTCGTATGTCAATGAAAAAAAAACGATCAGAATTTCTCTATAAAGTCTTTCATCTGTATATTAGTTCGCAAGTCCCACTAACGTTGATCTACGTTTTAATAGAGATGCCAACTATGATACCGCAAACCCTTCGTACATTCGCAAGTACCTGCGCACTTACGGCCTGACTCCTCCTCGCTCCGAGAGCTATGAAACCCAGAAGACTCGCTGCCTCGCTCAGTTGGGTCTGAAGAACACCGAAATCGAGAAGTTCCTTTACTTGCAGAACCTGCGCAAGAACAATGTCCATCTGTTCTACCGTATGGTCAACGACCACCTTCGGGTACGTTACGAATCAGTGACAATCAAAGAATAGACTCTATGGAGTTGGGTTCATTGAATTATGCACTAGAAGAGAATGCTCGTACAATTGGGAACACAAAAAACTAACAAATCCCTGCAGGAGTTGACTCCCCTCATTTACACTCCCGTTGTTGGCGAGGCTTGCCAAAGATGGTCTGAGATTTACCAAACCCCAGAGGGTAAGCCAAGATCGACATGACTCATGACGAAATAGAACCGGAGAGAGAAAACTAACAATTTCAATATAGGTATGTACCTGAGCTGGGAAGATCGTGGCAACTTGGCCGCAGTTATCGCCAATTGGCCCCAGAACAATGTGGAGATCACATGTATCACTGATGGATCTCGTATCCTCGGATTGGGTGATTTGGGTATTAACGGCATGGGTATTCCCATTGGCAAGTTGGCGCTTTACACGGCCTGTGCGGGTATTCGTCCCGAGGCTACTTTGCCGCTGACCCTGGATCTGGGCACCAGTAACAAGACTCTCCGGGAAGACCCGCTGTACATGGGATCTCGCCGTGACAAGATTAGCGCCGAGGAGGAGCGGGAGTTCTTGGATGAGTTGATGTCTGCTCTCACCGAGCGCTGGCCTGGGTAAGTCCATTTCGTGTTATCCCGGGGCGATCTCTCCGAATCCTTCCCCGGGTTCCGGGTTTCCCCAGGGTTCTATTTTTGCATATGACGATCATATACTAACGGTAGCTTGAATTGTAGTATTGTCATTCAGTTTGAGGATTTCAAGAACCCCTTCCCCGCTTTGGAGCGTTACCGTGATACCTACACCTGCTTCAACGATGACATCCAGGGTACCGGTGCCGTCATTCTCGGTGGTGTTATCAACGCTGTCAAGCGCTCTGGTCTTCCTTGCAAGGAGCACCGTGCCGTCTTCTTCGGTGCTGGTAGCGCCGGTGTCGGTGTCGCCAAGCAGATTGTCGACTTCTTTGTCCGTGAGGGTATGAGCGAGGAGGATGCTCGCAACTGCTTCTACCTCGTTGACACCAAGGGTCTCGTCACCGCCGACCGTGGTGACAAGCTCGCTGACCACAAGGTCTACTTCGCCCGCCAGAACAACAACGGCGCTCAATTCAAGACCCTGGAGGAGGTCATCGACCACGTCAAGCCCACTATCCTGATGGGTCTCTCCACCATCGGTGGTGTTTTCACCCCCGAGATCCTCCGCAAGATGGCTGACTGGAACACCACCCCCATCGTCTTCCCTCTCTCCAACCCCTCCTCCAAGTCCGAGTGTGACTTCCAGACCGCCGTTGTCAACACTGACGGTCGCTGCCTCTTCGCCTCTGGCTCTCCTTTCCCCAACCACACTTTCACCAACTCCACTGGTGAGACCCGCACTTACTACCCCGGCCAGGGTAACAACATGTATGTCTTCCCCGGTATCGGTCTGGGCAGCATTCTGTCCAAGGCCGTCCGTGTCACCGACAGCATGATCTACGCCTCCGGTGAGGCCATTTCCAAGGCTCTGACCGCCGAGGAGCTGGAGCGCGGTCTGCTCTACCCCGACATCACTCGCATCCGCGAGGTCAGCGTTGTCGTTGCCCGCAACGTCATCCGCGCTGCTCAGGCCGACGATGTTGACCGTGAGACTGGTCTGCGCAACATGAGCGACTCCGATCTGGACAACTGGATCAAGTCTCGCATGTACGATCCTCACACCGAGGTCCGCTCTCTGGAGCGTGAGGTCGGCCACTTGCTTTCTAGCCTGGGTTCCCTCACCCCCCCTGATGGGTGGTTCCTCACCTACTGAGGAGAAGAATGCCAAGCTGTAAGACTCTCATCACGTCTCATCACCATCTTCACATCATCAATACCCTTTGAAGATGATCATTCTAATCGTTCTACCCGCTTAGGATGATTCCGTGATTGACTTACATGCCCTTTACTTTTTTTTTTTTAAAACGTACTTCATTTTCTGGTTTCGAGCGCGCTCTTTTGTTTTTCGGCTTTTTTTTTTTTTCGGGATGGACACGGACATTTGGACTTTCTCATTTGGAATACCCTTTCATTGTTTTTGATTCTCGCATTTGAGTGTCCTATGCATTGGGTTTAGGATAGTATCATCATTTGATGAATAAAATTGAACATATTATCAACATTTGAACATGACTGCATCAATCTTTGAGATACTGTAGAATGCCTTGTAATTCTAGGGAAAATTAGATCTTGTAATTACTACATCGTACATACAAAGCAGCCTGAGGCCGAGGCCTAAGGTTAACTTGAAGGCACCCACTCTGAGCCTGAGTCCTTCATCTATGTGTTCTAAATCATCAAAACAGCCTGGACTCGGAGCTTAAGTGACACTCAGGCTGAACTTAATCAACCCCGCATGTCTTTGCAAGCACATGTGGACGGAGGAACTAAAATCACCGAGTCCCCATTCAAACCAAATTTCACAACCTCTAAAAGGGTTCAGCGGGCCTGCAGAATTGATTTTCAGAAACTTGATTGGTCAAGGTCCACTTTTTCAACCTTGATCCACAATGAAGATTCGGTGCATTGATCAATCCGCCCTGACTAAGGGCCGAGGTACGGCATGATTCCTGGAACGAGGCGTCAATAGTATGGATACTAGAAGAGATTTTCAATTGAAGCTCTATATATGAAAAGGAAGGAAAAATAAGCTTATTTCATTCTATCTTAAAGAATTAAATCCTTTCGTCTGAAATCCTGATCTGATAAGCCTCTACAGGCACAACAAAGTTGTCGTGCTTCGACCAATCACAGACACACCTAATCCCTGCATATACTCTAGATATCTGGGGTCATTGAAGAAGATCGAATTATATTGATATCCAGAGAAGAAATGCCTTCTCCATTAGCTGACCCCGTTCAGCTCCCTTGTGGACTGGTTCTACCGAACCGACTTTCCAAGGTATGTCCAGCCCAAAACCACAGGACGGCAGCTCACTAACGCAGAAAACCATAGGCAGCGATGGCTGAGATGATAGCCAGGGACAACAAACCAAACAAGACTCTCTCAGATGCATATGCACAATGGTCCCAGGGTGGATGGGGCAGTATTCTAACCGGTAACCCACACATCAATCATTCCCCTTTGCCACACAAAGCAAACATTAACATAATCCCAAAGGAAACGTCCAAGTCGACGTCAACCACCTGGGCAGTCCATTTGATCCCGCTCTGCACAGCGAATACAAAGGCGAGACCGACCTAATTGCCGAATGGAAACTTTACGCAGATACATGCCAAAAGCACGGCACGCCCGCCATCGTCCAGATCTGTCATCCAGGCCGTCAGTCATTCCGGATAGCGGGTCATCGAGGCATTTTCGCAAACACCCTTGCGCCAAGCGCGGTGCCAATCAATCTTGGAAATGGGCTAGTCGAAAGATTAATCGCCTGTATAGCATGGACAACACCTCGGGAGATGTCGCGAGCTGATATCGAGAGTGTTATTCGGCAGTTTGTGGATGCGGCACGGTTGATGGCCGATGCTGGGTTCTCGGGGATAGAGTTACATGGCGCACATGGGTATCTGATTGGTATGTCCACAATTTCCAATACTATTCTGAGTCCTTCAAGTTTACTTTTTCATACGAGCTCGTATGGAATATCTCGGAGATGAACTCGCTGACCCATTCGATCCTTCTAGATCAATTCCTCAACGCAAAGGTACATCCCTAACCTCTCCCATACCCCGGTGTAAACCAATTCCCCAAATAATTCTAAACAGCGGAAGAAAAAGACTCGGAAAGAAAACACCAACTAACAGATCTAGACCAACCTTCGCACCGATGAGTATGGCGGCACACCCGCCAAACGCGCCCGCTTCGTACTAGAGCTCCTCACCGAAATCCGCAAAGTGGTCCCCGCAACCTTCTGCATCGGTATCAAGCTCAATTCCGCAGATCACAGCAGCGCCACATTTGAAGAAACAATGACGCAGATCGGGCTCCTCGTTGATGCGGGGATCGATTTCATGGAGATCAGTGGCGGAACGTACGAAGATCCCCTCATGATGGCGCACCGGGATACCCAGAACGAGAACTCAGGCCCTGTCAATCAGGAGCCCAAGTCCGAGCGCACGTCTGCACGCGAGGCATTTTTCCTTGAATTCGCCAAGGAGGTTAGGATGCGGTATCCTGGTCTCGTGTTGATGTTGACGGGCGGATTCCGGAGCCGTGTCGGTGCCGAGTCGGCGATTCGGGATGGAGCGTGTGATCTTGTTGGTATCGGGAGACCGGCTGCTGTTGAACCTGGGTTTCCGTTGAGATTACTTGATGAGACTGTTGGGGATGAGGAGGCGGTTTGTTATTTGAATAAGGCGCCGACGCCGTTCTATGCACAGTGGTTACCGAGGAATCTTATTGGGGCTGGAGCTGAGACGGTGAGTTACTTTAAGACGATTTTGACGACTAGGGTTTTTGGCTGATTACTTCGTTTGATAGACATATTATGCTCGTCAGATTCGGCGATTGGCAAATGGTTTGGCGACTATTGCTCCAGCCTTGTCATAGAATTACTACTGGTGTTGGGAGGTCAACTCCAGGATTGAAATTTGTTACATATAGAGCTTTTTCTGTCTTAATCTTACAATCTCGGAATAATATTGGAATTTTTTACAATCATGGTGGGCTATGGCAACTTAACACCATTCAACTGTTCATATTCCGCAAGTTATCAATGGGAGTTCTGAGTCATGAATGTCCCCATTCTTCAAAGTATTGAGTCATGATTGGGAAATATTGACTGTCCGGTGAGCAAAATGCATACCGCTCAATAGTGTTAGAAGGTGGGTCAAATTCACTGAGTCGTCTATAGCAAGCATCACGATCCGGATGCTTTGCCCAAGCGAACAGCTTCTCGAGGTTCTTGCATTTCATTACTTGACCCTCACCAGCTCCATTGAAGTGCTTTAACGATGGCATAGGGGTATCATCAGCCTTGCACATGAGGTCCTGTCGCAACGTATCGAGGCAGTGCTCCACATGGTGAGACATCTCTGTATAGTTTCCTTGTCCAGAACCGAGTTTCTTAAATGACCTTCGTAGGATTCTCTAAAAGGAGTATACTATTAGCACTGAGATGAGTGAGAGCTAAATGAGATTCATACTTACTAGGCAGTGAATATGATGATACACTTTCAGGAAGTAGATTCTCCTATTCGATGGATCCCAAGGAAATGGCCATGATTCAGGAAGGCCTTTTTCTTGAATCCATTCATTTGTTGGCGCAATAACCATGCCATCGAGACTCAAGCTTTCCCACAGCTCATCCGAGAGTGTTTGATTCTCACTGTTGTATTCTGTGCTCTGGAAGTATGGAACTGGAACATCGAATGCGAGACCGGCTAGTAAGACAGTTAAGTTAGAGCCAGTGCGTCCTGTCAGGGGTCAGAACTTGGATAGAGGATTACCTACTGTAAGGTGACCTTTGAAATTCTGGGGTATTGCATGATTTTGTCTCCTCGCCTGGATCAGCAGCTCCATATTGCCAAAATATTAACCATAAATTAAATCCTAGGGATATGAAAAGTGGGACGACTAGTGATATCGCTCCCCAAGATCTCAATGTTGAGCGTAGCCGTAAACCAAGGTCGTCCATATCTCCATCTTTTTGGGAGCTTTGCCCAACATCATAATAGGCATCTGTGCTGATTTTCTGATACTTGAATGACATCCTGGGGCCAAGAGACTCGGGACAGCTAAAAGGAGTGGTAATTTCCAAATAACCGAGCGCATGAACAACGCATCAACGCATATGTGCGTATTATAATTCCTATCAAATACGGCGAGCATAAAGCTTACATATTCGCTAGCTCTATTCCAAACTCTATGATCTCATATAGAGGATATTGATAAATAATATTCTCGGGTTTGGTCACACGAGAAAGGTAGTCGCACTGCTAGTTGTAGCTATGCGTTGGCCCTTTAATCAGTGTAACCACATTGATTTTAGGCCCTCATAAGATGGAGGGCTTCAGTTAGTTGTGTGATAAGCCATCAGTTATAATTCTGCTATTAGGCCAGCCAAGTTGAAGATTGAGGACCCTGTCCGGGCGTCCTGGTCTCACATATCCAACCTTGAAGGTTTGCATCGCCTCGACATAAGGTCTGTGATACTCAGTAATAGGAACAAAAGGAAGGCCTTAAGACAAAAAGGCTATTTGCCAGTCCATATTTGAGCAATAAGCATCGCGCTACTTCCGCTGTTTCCCAGGACCGAAATCGATGTCATCTTCAGCACTGGCACACCTGATAAGACAAACAAAATCTCACTGAATAGGTAGCTTCAAAAACTAGGCCGCAGGGCTTAAAACAGGCAGAGTCTTCTTTTCATCGGCCCTACAGTTCTTAAGTACAGTACAGACGCGTCTCTGCACATCTAGGCTTCACTAACCCAGCTTTAGTTTTGTGTCTGCCGCCTCAACTGCAACATGCGTCTCTCAGTTGCCATGATATTTGCAGTGGTCGCCGCTGCGATCGCCAGCCCCATTGAATACAGGAGTGATGAAAAGTTAACTCCAGTGCGGATTGCTGCTGCGCCACCTCCAGCTGCGATAGCGAGATGAAAGTTCCAAGTTGTCTTTCGGAATATTGAAGTCTCGATCGGCGAATTTGTTTCAAAATTACTTTCCTTTCAGTAAGAACTGTTATACTATGGGTGAAATACATTTTTGTCAGAATGATCAATATAACCCAATTCTGCTGACCTGCTTTGACCACCCGAATCACTATCCAAAAGCCTTGTAGCTCTCGATCCGTACGGTATCCCTGATTGATCACTTCCAGCCGCTTTGAACATGCCACTTGGGAAAGACTCCAAGAATTCACGAAGGAACGGCACGCACGTCGAAATAATTGTTGCAGTTTGAAGAGCCTGGCCGCACATCATCCATGGCCAGAGACTAGTTGATAATGAAAGACCAGAACTTTCAAATCCGTGAACGTAGTGAAGTTGAATGCCAGACACTATAATATCCCTAAAAGTTTAAGAACGGTCAATAAGGAATTCAGGTCGAGTAACTAAGACTCAAAAATTATGAGCTGTGAGACTGACAATATTCGAACACTCAGACATCCAATTACCATCAGTCGCTTTCGCATCGATATCCGGAGTTGGCATATTAAGAAGCTCGGCACAAAGATAAGCAGAGCATCGATGATCATATTTGTGACGCTAAAGTATTCCCATAGTGCAGTCTGCAATAGTATGTTAGTATGTAATCCAAGTAACCTGCTGGCATGAAATTCTTCCGTAGAATCATACCAATTTCAAACATCGACCCGTTAAATCCCAGACTTGGGGCAGTTGACACTGAAGTGATATGGCGATGACCATCGTCAATGCCCATAACAGCAAGAAGAATCCAGTTCCTGCGATGCTTCTCGTAATAACCATCAGGTTGCTACCCGAGAGGATTGTATAGAAGAGTACCATAAAGGGCAGTTTTCCAAGACCAATCGTCAGAACTTGGAAAATCTCGGTGATGTAAACTAACTTCAAAGTTTCCGATAATTTATCTTCAGAATTCTTAGTCAATGATTTGCCCAACCCCTTTGACGCAGCTAGAGAAATTGTCACTGTTGCAACCGTCGAGGATATCTGCGGGCGAATGTTAGCTAACATTCTAAAACTAAGCAAATTCGCAGGTCTATACTAACCAGAGTTGCTATAAGAAGAGTCAAAACCAGGAATCTGCGTCTCAGTAGCGTCCAACTTGTGAAAATGCATGTTGTTACCACTCCAATAGATACAGTGAGCAGAAACAAAGAGACAACCTTTAGGGTTGCACTGTGGTCTGCCATCTTTGAGTAGTAAAATCTGATATTACAGAGGATATCTCAAGTTGATTGAAGATGAGGGAGAGCTACGGAAGATCCAAAATTCAATCTATGTGCTTCCATATCTTTAGCTCCGAGGCCTTAGAGTTACTCTAGGTAAATTCTCAGTCGACAAAAATAACATGTCTCCTATAGGCTTTGCTGACCGGAGGCTATCCGCTTTGCCGAATGAGTGAAATCTCGAATCCGACTACTCATTTCACTTTATGACACACTTTCCCAGTTGAAATCATAGACATATAATTAATTCTTGCATCATTCAAGTTCCCTCTATCATTTCCATATCGCGGTGCAGATAATCTCGAGGTTGAGATACACAACTTGAATCTGACTGTCAGGCGCGCCATCAGCAGAAGAAATGTGTACGACAGAACAAGAGTCTATCTCTCACAGCCCAGCTAGGCCGAAATTTTGGTGTTTCTTTGTACAACATACCTCAGTCTGTCACTACTCGTCTGTATCACTCCAGTGATTATTGTCTCGACGAAGCTTACGGGCTGTGACACCTCAAGACCACAGCCATAAAATTGCTAAGGAGGCTCGTATCTACAATTAGATGAATCAAGAATGCACTTCAAATGTTCTTTCTTTGTAAGCATCCCCGTCATTATAAACTTCGTATACATAGCGACTGCTTGGCTCCGATCCATGTGTAAATCTCTATTTTGAACTACATGATACAACATGAAGATGTGCACGCCAGCTGGAGATCAGCTTGAAATTCCATTGAGAGTGGGAGAGGAAAACTCATTCCATAACCAGGATAGGGTGGCTCTATCTAACAAAGATGCATATGAACTGGCAAGAGTTGGGAAGAAGGAAGTGCTGAAGGTATGGGCCCTCGAAAATACTAAGAGTAAGCACGCATAAAGCTTCTTTGACTGAACGCCTTATCAGAGACGTTTTGGGCTTGCAAGTACAGTAGGATTTGCCTCCAGCTTGATGCTGACATGGGAGGGTGTCATCAAGTTCGTCTATCCATATTTTTATCATATGGAAGATGCTAACGAGAACTCAGCTATATGGGAATCCCACTTACGAAGTATGATTTTGTGTTTTACCCTCATGAATTGGTGAGAGACACTTACCTATACCTCAGTGGAGGACCAGCTGGACTGGTCTATGGGTTCATCGCGGTTTGGATGGCATTTATCAGCATTTTCATTGCACTCGGAGAGCTTGCAAGCATGATTCCCTCGGTAAGGTATAGCAACTAGCTCTGGGTACTAGTTGTTCTGCTAATAAATTGCATCAGGCTGGTGGACAATACCACTGGACTAGTATACTTGCTCCCAAGTCTTCGACCCGCTTTTTCAGCCACATTACTGGTAAGTGCATACAATCAATGTCCTCAAAAAAATCCAATCTTAAGATAAAATAATGTCACAGGCTCTATTTGCATTATTGCATGGACTGCGGGCTCAACAGGAACCATCTATACAGCTGGAAGCATTTTTCAGAGCACATTTGCAATCAACCATCCAGATTACGAGCCAAAAGGGTGGCATGTAACATTAATAATGTGGGGTCTTCTACTAACATGTTCTATCTTTAGCATGTGGTTTGGTATGATTCTACCTGTGCTAGAAGTATTCATTGGCATTGTTCATGTGCTTGGGTTTTTTGCATTCCTCATACCTATGGTCTATCTTGGCCCTCGCGCAGACGCAAGATCAGTATTTATCCAAACTTTCAACTTTGGCGGTTGGTCCGATGTCACGATGGCAGCCTTTGTTGGTCTTAAAGGAACGATCTCCATGTTTCTCGGTAAGATCATTTTTGACTCCTACCCAGTACCTTACTGACCTTTTCTTAGGTACGGACGGTGTTGTACATGTCAGTCATTATCTAAGGCTCTAATTTTAGTGTGATACTAACATAATTCTAGATGGCGGAAGAAGTGGCTAATAGCAGTCTTGTGGTACCACAATCCATGCTATTCGCTATCGTCATCAACGGAATCCTCGGCTTCGCGATGATGATCGCTTTTCTATTTACAGCGGGAGATCTGTCGGCAATTGTGAAATCACAAGCGACATACCCCTTCATGCAAATTATTCAAAATTCTACCGGGAGTCAGGGAGCTGCGATAGTACTTTCAACTTTGATGGCTGTCATGTCAGTATGTTGTGGACTAGGTGGTATCTCATCCGGAAGTCGAATGCTGTGGGCCTTTTCGAGGGAACGAGCTATTCCAGGTTGGCGATGGGTATATCAGGTATGATCGATCACACTCGAAAGACATAATTGATGCGGTTCTAACCTCAATTTACTGGGATAGCTTGATCAACGAACCGCAGTACCTTTTCACAGTACTGTCATCATTGTCGTCACTGCAGGTCTGGTCGGTCTCATCAATATCGGATCTTCTGAAGTGCTAAGTATAGTCTTATCGTTGACTATGGAGGCTTTCTTTTTCTCATATATTATGCCGTTGTCACTACTGCTGTATAGAAGAATCAAGGGTGACATCCGTGAGCCTGGTCAGGACCCAAATAAGGGACTTACCTGGGGTCCCTTTCGGGTACGAGGTCTGCTGGGAATATTGAACAATATCGTGGCACTGGTATTCTGTTCAGTCGCCGTTATTTTTGGGTTCTGGCCTAATGAAAATCACCCTCCGCTCTCTAAGATGAATTGGAGCTCGGTCATATTTATCTCAGCGGTGATTCTTGCCGTATTCTATTATCTCGGATGGGGTCGGAAACATTATATGGGACCAGTGATGGAGGTTCAAGTCGAGGAAAGGCGCTTGGAGCCTAGATAGCCCAACGGAAACGGCGATTCAGCTCAAGGAGCACTGTCCACAGGTTATTTTTGTCATACCAGTGTTCAATTGTACATAGTTTCTCAACGTTATATATATTTCTTTTCATCGCAATCATCCCGAGTTCATTCAAGCACTTGTGTACATATACAAAGTTCATCAATCGTGAGCAAATTTGAACAGCATCCCTATATCCTTCTCCTCTTGTTCTAGAGATTCCAGTTCTTGTCGCAACTTCTGATTACCCAGTACTAATTCCTGGACATATTTCGCTGTTTTATCCAGAACATACTTTCTCGTAAAATTATTGTTCGCAAGCCCCGGAACAATTTCACCAAGATCGTGATATCCTTTTCCGACTGCCTCTCGTCTCTTTTTCTCTGACCGGCAGTGACAGAGAGCCTGACCAGGCCCTTGTACACATTTTTGCTTCTTGATTGGCGGATTTTCATCATTCACTCGTTGGACTGTGGTTGTTGGCGCGAAAGACAACGTTGATGGGATGGTAGATTGGATGGTGGAGAGAACAGCTCTAGATTTTGTTGAAGAAGCTTGTTCTGGCTTGAGAATCATTGGATTCCTTGAATCAAAAAGCCAGTTGACGGGATAATTTAACGCTTTGATATCCAAGTTGCCGTCGATGTCGACGCCGCTAAACATGCAGGCCATGTCGCGTAGCAGGTTTCGGACAAGTCGGTCTTCTGTCCATGTTCCAATCGGGCGAGAAAAACCATGGAAGCAAAAGCTGGGATCAGATCCCCATTGTAGTCCATCTTCAATAGATGTTCGCTTCTTGGTGTATTGGCGTGTGACACTTTTCCCGTTGCAGCATCCCTTGGATGAATGGTGGGGTGATACTATTAGCTGATCGGCCGACATATTATTTCCGATTGGTTCAACGAAGAGACATCAGTTTGGAGTGTCAAGGTATCAAGACTTCTCACTTCACGAGGTGTGTGATATATGGAGGTGATAATTGCAAGCAAGAAGCTCGCTTCCTGTTCGGGGACATTGTGTGTCCCGATCCCGACGATCGGCAGGGATTAAGGACAGATGGCACGTCGGTAATGTTGGGACCTAGATTAGTACTAAATCTCTTTGACCTTCCAAGGTCTGCTGATCATGGCCTGTCTCAATTTTGGCTTGCGACATTAGCGATGTTAAAGGCCCCTGAGATTTGTCCACTCCGGAATGAAGCCGATACTTCGCGTAGTCCGGGTGCATTCCGGGTGCATCTCGCGAGTCTACACTTGGCAGATAATCTTCACATCTTGTTTTCCAACCACAACCCTGAATAGCAGGCTGGTCTTCCTTGTGTTCGCTCTGAAAATATGTTCAAATTTCCTCTCTTTTGAAATAAGGAATATCCATCATGCGACAGGGGTACTCGACGACACAATATAATCACGTGACGTCATCCGGGTTGGTTCCGGTCGCAACTTGATGACTTTGTCTCTCCTGAGTCCTTCACCTGCATGTCCGTGAGTCCGTGAGCTTATTGATGCATTTAACTCATGACCTGACTTGAATTGAACTTAGACAAAGTGGGGTCATCATATATGATTGTATGGGGTGATTTCAACGGAAGCCCACATCTGCACCAGCCTGGATCCGAAGAATGCGCCACTATTGAATGATCACCTGCTTTGTTATGTCTACTAGAAATAATTCAGCAAGAAACAAACGAGGTACCCCTCGTCGCCGAAAGATCGCACTCGCATGCGAAACATGTCGAGAAAAGAAAGTGCGGTGCGATGGCGAAAAACCAATATGTGGACCTTGTTCCCGACGATCGTACCCAATTGATCGATGTGTTTATAAAATTGAAAATGCTCGCTCGGCAAGCAATGATGCATATTTAAAGATACTCCATGACCGTATTCGAGAGCTTGAAGAAGCGTGTACTCAGAACGGAGTCTCGGTCCCGCCTGCGCCTCAAACTGTCCATGAAGGAGAAAATAAAACCACTGATGGCACTAACGAGGCCGAATCAAACGCGAGTGAATTGGACGCGGAGTCCAAAACTTCCGTTGCGGCGGAGGGATTACTCGGTTTAGGCACTCAGCCTGCTTTGCGACACTCATCAACACCTATTCCGACACCAGCGGCCCCGCAGCCAATTCTGTCACCTATTAATTCTCAATCAACGAGAACGGGCCCCGGACAAAGCAACACCTTGTTGCAGGGAAGTCTGCAATCCCGGGGACCTATACAGCCACCCCCGATAGGCGCGTGCTTATACCCGTCTCCACTGAACTCTCATGGCAGTGTTACGGCAATGGGCGCAATATCAGTTGCAGATGATGGTGACTGCAATGACTCGCCTAGAGAACAATACTACGGTAACTCCTCTGCAGCCTCGTTCATGCGTCTTGCGAGGAATTCGATACCTATTCAATCACATGGGCAAAATCTGAAAGGTATCGACCGTGAGCCTTCTAGTTTATTAGACCAAAATACAGGACTTTGGCAAGATCTGAACACTACGACCACTCCGCCAGGGTTTCAATTCAGCGATTTTTCCCTACCACCACGGCCATTGGCTGATCATTTACTTGAGTGCTACTGGGAAAGAGTCCATTGTCTTTATCCCTTTTTTCACCGGCCAAGTTTTGAGAAGGCATATGAGAACCTTTGGGGGTCATCTAGGTGGCCGAAACCCAATTTGCCCCAGTTAAATATTGGTCTGGGAGGCTCATTTGACTCCGGCCCCCAGTCGATTGTCTTTCACTGCGCTTTGAACACAATCTTTGCTCTGAGCTGCCATTTTTCGGATATTCCTGCTGGGGAACGTGAAACAGCTGCATACACATTCTTCCTTCGGGCTAAGCGGTTCGTCGGTCTAGACCTACTTGATAGATGTACAATCGGCGTGGTTCAAACTTTGCTTATCGTGGCACTCCTTCTCCAGAGTACGCCCTATCCGAATCGATGCTGGAATTCAATCGGGTTAGCTTGCCGAGTCGCTCAAGGACTGGGTTTATATGAAGCCCCGACACAGAAGTCGATAAGCCCTCTAGAAAAAGAGGTGCGGTGTCGAACTTGGCATGGATGTGTCATGATGGATATGTGAGAGCACACTTCCTAGGTGTCATTTTTTCGTGATAGTAGATTCGCTAACCAATTTCATAGGATCGTGAGCATGACATATGGTCGACCAAGCATGACATCTCATATTTTGCCTGTTCGCCCTGTCCCTCCTCCAGCTATGCGGCCATCTTCCCACTGTGAAGACCCATGCGCTCTCAGTGAACAGCCTTGCGATCATGAACTAGGATATCTCACATTCTATGTTTCCACTATTGAACTTTACGAGATCCTCGAATCTATCCTAGCAGATGTCTATAATGCATGGCAGGGTCGTGCAGATCACCATCGCAGTATATCTGTTACTGGTGTCCGACAAAACAGCTTGGATTTGATGATGGAGCTAGATGATAAGCTTTCGGCTTATGAGGCTCAGATTCCTCCAATGCTCAACTGGACCACTGCACAGCCTTTAGGCTCTGTTCACTCTTCACCAGTGCTTCAGCGCCAACGGAACGTCTTACGAGCAAGGTAGCATCTTCTTTCTTTACCGATAGATACCCTCTGCTAACCTGATTCAGATGCATCCATCTTCGCTTGTTATTGTATCGCCCGATGTTTACACAAGTCTGTTCCGAAGAACGAATCGGTCTTACAGAACCCAGAAAAAGCACCAGTCGACCCGAGAAGAGTGTCATTTACACATCCACATCCGTGAACTGCGCCGTGGCCTGCGTGAAATCAGCCATCGAACTAGTATCGCTAGTATACGAGACATACCAGACGTCAGTCACAGATGCCTGGTGGTACAATGGATTCTGTAGGTGAAGCTACATTAACCCTTGGTGATACATGAAGCTAATACGGGCATAACAGATACATCCACAGCCGGATTTGTCCTTATTATGTCTCATTCCTGCAGCGCCATTCTGAATCAAATAGATCTGCGCACTGTCGCCGACACGTGGCGCAAATGCGAAAAGATTCTCATTCACATGGCACCTTTCAGCATTTCTGCGCGAAGCTCGCTCCAATTTCTTCAAGTCACGCATGATCATATCGTGCACAATTACAACTGTATGTGCATCGCGACATGCGTCAATTTTCGAATTATCTATTCGTTGACAAATACTAATTATACTATACAGCTTCTGTCAGCGAGAACAGCCAACCATTCACCGGTCAATCGCATCAGAGGCGAGCTCCCAGGACTGAAGCGGCTGCCCAACCCTCCGAAGCCTCAATGCATGAATCTGAGCCCTCGGGCTTTCAGAAAGATGTACCAGGTATCAATCCACTAGTAAGTTGGGATGAAATCGGTCAAGGTCAGGACGAATTCGGATTCCTCGGGCGATTCGACATGCCTGATATCGCCAGCTGGTTCTCCGATCTGCCAGACCCATCCTCCTTCTAGATCGAGAAATAAAAGCTTAACATGAACAAGAAATGCTCATAAATGTTCGGCGATAGCCAAGGTCGTGAAATGGATATATTCAAAATCGCTATCAAATATGTGCCAAATAAAACTTCAACTACAATGCATCAAAAAGGGTCGTGTCTGCATGACTCCAGAAAGTCCCTGATAGATTCTCCAGCGTCTCGAAATCAGGCATCCACAATGGATCGCTCTCATCCTGATCAATCCACGGCGCAAGCTGTAGTGCCATTCTCACAGCATGATCCGTATCATCAGCCGGATAGGCACTACCCGTCGTCTCAGGTGCCAAGCCCGTGGGATTCGCCGGTGGGAACTTCTCTCCAATGGGCATATCAGAAGGATTATTATTACTGAAGATACCACCATGCTTTGCTGTCATGAGTTCGGTCATGCCGGTGTTTCGGGCTGTCTCATTTCCTTGTAACTTTTCCATGGCGGCATTCACAAGTAACTCGAACGCATCGCGGTATTTCTTCACCCATGCTGCTCTTTCTCCCATGACGAATAGAACAGTTGAGCATGCGCGAATGTCGTTACTCATGCTTACGGACCAGACTTGTTCAGTGTGAGTCCACACTGCATAGAGTAATGTGATTCCAGCCATGAAGACAGTTTGGACAGCTAGGAATGAATGACCGTATTCCAATGTTTGGTGAAGGCGCTTATGAGATTGACAGATATCCCCAGCGGCGCGGAGACAGATGTGGTAAAAAGGGTCGGTGATAGGGAGGAGGGGTAAGAAGGGCTGAATTAGAAGTCGAACCGCTCTATTATAATGAAGCATGGGATAATCAAGATCAGCGCCTCTAAATCGCAGAAAGGCGGATTCTTTCCACTGTTCGAGTTCGAGGTACAAGGGGTCCATTTTTGGTCGTAAAGAAGATAAAGGACGATCGGCGCGATAGATCTTGTGTTGGATGCGGGAGTCAATGCGACGAAGTTTGAAAAGATAGATCGCAAATGTAAGATTGCTCGTCTTGGTCAGGTCTGGTGGTGCTGTGAGTATGGCAGGGTCTTCTATGTCGTCGTCGACGTCCCATGGTAAATCGAGATCGATATGACGGTCGGATATGCTGAACGGGCGACCCAGAGACATGGATACCACCCTTTCAAGATAATAGACTGTCCAAAAAAGTCTCCGTCGCATCTGCGCTGAAAATGGATCCATGTTGATCTCATTTGCCTTTCGATGGAGACCGAGGTCGATGGCAGTGCGCATGGCAAGTCCGATCATGTACCACATCCCATGACTGGAAGCGGTCCGTAGATGATAAACGACAAGAAGAACCATAGCTTCAATGTTTTCAATAGAGCGTGCATCACACATTGTGGGTGCATATTGTAGGGCATTGGCGTAAAATCGCTGGAATGAACTTTGGTTAGAATTCCATGCAATCAGGATGGTTTGAATATGCAACTTACTTCAGGCTGTGCATTTGAAAACTTTTTATCATCACTGATTTTAAGCATTGTGGTGCCGATTGCATATATCATATTCAACTTGAAGATTGTGTATAGGTCGTCCTGCGTCAAGTCACCACATTTTGTTTTCGCCAGTCGCCATCTGTCTTCATGGAGTCTCCATGTCCTGCTTCGATCCAAGAAGGGATACCGAGCATGAAGCCTGATGAAATAAGTTTCCAGGATTTTGGAACCTACTTCATCATTTGGAGGGTCAATGTTCATCGAATGATCTCGAGCACGGACGCACCCACCAGCGGCATCAGACTGTTGCTGATGTTGGGACTGGTCTGCCCCTGAATTGAGAGGGCGTTGGGACGCATTTGCAGCGCTTGAATTTTGCTTTTGGTGCATTCTAGACATAAATTGGTTCCAAACACTCGTTTGAACCATTTCTCCCAGGTTAGCAGCCAGCGAGAGGCCCGAGCTTGCCCCCACGTATGCGGGTGCTTCGGAGGAGCTTAATGCAAGGAGGCCCACAATCTCTCCGACTGGGTTGTTATCAAGGCCAGACGTAGTAGTCTGAGGTGTGGCGTGTCCTCCCTGAGGGGACCATAGTGAGGCAGCAGCATTGGTGCCAGAGGCATTTTGGTTCGCTGTAGCCGTATCGGCATGTCCCAGCTTGCCTTCCAGGAATGCTACTCGCTCTTCTAAAGCGCGTGTGTAACTGAGAGGGCATTAGATAACTCAGAACTAACTTTTCTAATCATTCTTAAAGTAAACTGACTTATTTTGACGATCAGCGTCTTCTCTCACGCTTGATTTGTCACACGGGACTCCGGCCTTCTGGCAGTTGGAACATGTTGGATATTCATTGTCGCACTGTATCGAGCAGATAAGTATGTGACTCAAAACCTTTGACTGAAATAAATATTTGAACATACTCTTTGCTTTCTCGTCTTACAGCGGGTACATGCTGTTCGCCCACGCTTCCTCGGATTGTGGTCCCTCGACGCCGGACTCACCTGCCTTGATGATCCAGGGCTCTGTCCGAGTGAATACATCTTTGTTCATTGTGGAGTATGACTGATTAATTCCACATGTTTTCAAAACAAGACATTATTCGGGGTATGTGAAGTGAGTGGATGTCGGAGTGAGAACCGAAATGCGCGGCAAGTACCGATGCCAAGACATTCATCAAGCTAACGCCACATAGGAATAGGGCGTGAATGTGGACATCTAGAGTTTTGCTGACTGGCTAATTATGAAGAGTAAGAACTTGTAAATATTTACTTGCTCAATATCTCTCTGTCAATATTCTACATGTAAGCATCATTTTGGACCAATAGAGAAGCCAATAATCGGATTATTGTTGCCTCTTCCAACTTGAAGGTACTAGTATACAAATTTTGGTCGTATGAACAATACTGGTATCATGATTGATATTATCAAATTTATTAAATGAATTATAACTTCAACTTGTAATTCAAGTTAAAGCGAGACTCGGATTATGTGGTATCTAGGAACTTCCAGTCTAAACGCTTGGGTAATCCAGTGCAATGCTTTTAGTATCCAACGCCATGCAGTTTATATGCAGCAAAAGAAAATCAATCATGCAGCACGTCCTTAATTCTCCAATTTTTTCACTGTTTTCGTTCAAGGGTTTTCTTTTCTTCAAGATTCGCGAGTTCGGGCTCGGCACGAGAGGGCGGCATAGAGGATTCCGCAAGTGTCGAGGACATAGAATGACGCTTCTCGGTTGTTTCCTCATTTCCCTCAATTTCGTGATTCTCAGTCTCATCAACTTCATGAAGAGCAGCCTCGGCATCCCTAGCGGCTTCTTCGGCCTTTCGCTTCTCCTCCTCGATTTCCTCCGGCTCCTTCGGTCGCTCAAGGCCACGGTCACGAATAAGAAGACATGCAAGGAAACATAGACCAATCAATGGAACTTGAAGAATGAAGACGGAATGTGAAGCCTTCGAGTAGGAGTTCAGAATCTCAGACCACTCTGCTGCAGAGACACTGGACTCGGAAGGAAGCGAGTAACTGGACTTTGCCAAGTAAGAGAGGTTACTGGGAAGACTGGATTTAAGAGTTGCCTGTAAAAGTGCAGCTGAGACGGCCAGACCAACTGAGCCGCCCATACAGCGGAAGAAGTTTCGGTTGGAAATCACAACAGCACGCTGGGATTTGGTGGCATGCGCTTGTATGGCGACCATTGTTGGCTGGAACGTACATCCAATACCAAGACCGGTGATTCCAACGATGACACCGATAACGGCTGGATGAGTCTGGCGACCGAATAATAGCATCAAACCAGCACCGCTGTAAAATTGAAATATTAGTACCATTTTCCACAAGAAGAGGTGAAGCTGTTGGGTTTCGATTTGCTTACAGTGTCCAGAGCCCAAATCCAAACCAGATAACCTCCCCATAACGCTTAAGCCGGGAGATATATTGACCGGAACAAACCGAGGAGACGGACTGACAGGCTACCATAGGAGCTGTCAATGCCGCAGACACAATTGGATCCCAGCCACGTGCGTTTTGATAGTAGAGAGGCAGGTAGTATAGATATGCCTGGTAGACAGCACCTAATAGGAAGCTTTGCACAAGAAGAGCAGTGATGACGGGGTTTTTGAAGAAAGACACTATCAAAATATTAGTACCGTCATATGGAAAGATTTGATATACAATACTTACTTGGCAACATTGGCAATGTAGCCACTTTCCATTCAATAAGAATAAAGGCGATGAAAGACAAGCCACCGATCACAAGCATACTAATGACCATAGCGGAATCCCATTGGAAGTATGAACCACCACCAGAGATAGGGATCAATATGAGAATAATACCGACAGAGGAGGCAAGCACACCCCACCAATCGATCCGCTTGATATTCTGCCTAAAGTTGCCCTTCTTTGCATTGTTCGGGATAAGGAAGAACCCAACAATAGCAGAAACGGCAGCTAAAGGAGAGATCAGCCAGAAGAATCCACGCCATGTGGAATCCATAATGAAAGCAGCAGCAATAAAGGGGCCGATGACATTTCCAGTGCCAAGAGCAGCACCCAGAATACCTTGATACTTTCCACGTTGTTCGAGGGTAACAATATCAGATACAATGATCATAGTAAGAGACGTTACACCACCGCCAGCAACACCAGCAAGACCTCGGAAAACATAGAACATGGTTGAATTGACTGATAGACCACAACATAAATCCGCGATACACAGCAACACCAATGCGGAAATGTAGATATTCTTGCGGCCGAAGATATCTGACAATCGGCCATAGAGCACTGTAAACATAGTATTCGCAATTAGAGAAGAGGTTCCAGCCCAGGATATAGTATCTTGGGCATTCAAGTCGCGTGCAATAGTGGGCAAAGTCACACTAATACCATTCTGGTCGGACATAGTAATGAGTAATGAAATGGCCAATCCTGAGAACACAACCATGAGCTGCGCGAAAGGCAGAATATTCGTCTGATCATGCAGGGCCTTTTCGGCCGCACGCTGTCGATTTGATGCCATTCTGTTTCTGGGACACGAAAATCGCGTCAAACTAGTGTTGACAATCTTCTCGGATGAAAAATAGGTTGGCATGTGCCATCCAGTGAGAGTGGAGACGCAAGATACCGCGATGGAGTAAGGAATGGATGCTCGGCCAAAGCTTAGTATTGAAAACCGTTCTTCAACCCCACGGGAACAATTGAATGAAAGACAGTGGCTGGGAAGCTTTCATATATAAAACTTGTTAGGGGCCATGAAGGGAATATTTTTTCTCCCTGTTGGAGAATTTAGTGCCATCCGGCTTATCGGCAAATGATTCTAACCATCCATTGGAGACTGGCGCCGTTAAACAAGATTAGATTCGGACAGGCGTCCGACAGACCTAGAAAAGGCCTGGATTTTGTCCTAATCCTGCATCGGTGGACAATGGATCCAGAGAATGTCGGCTATATTCCGCGAAATGTTGTACTGTGGTTGGTCACCGTTGGTGAGAAGGAGTCTGTATAGTGGAGTCGCCACATCGGACCTCCGATCGGACAGCCGATAAGTATTAGTCACTCACGGCCGGAGTAAATCTCACGCGACATCTGGATCTTGTGGCCAATATCCATATGGATAGCTTGGGTCATGATGTAACCCCTAAGATTCTACAATATGAAGCGGTGTGATTTGTAATGCAGGTGATTGTTATATTCAATTGGTTGTCTATGAGGATAACCTTGGAAGACCCTGGAGCGACCTTACAAAGGGTGACATCCATGCATCGGATATCCGATAGAATGTGACAGATATCAGAGTGGAAACTGCATCCCCACCAGCTCCTCACTCAAGCGGAATAGTCTCTCGGCTACATCAAGACTCGTAGCATGTGGTTGTAGTTCATCAAATTGGCAATCGCTGAGATAAACAGCAGATGGTTCAGAGACGGCTGCGTATTACCAGAATGAGTCAGTTTTCATGTTTTACTCAAAAGTGCGCTTTGCTTAAGACCTACAGTTGAGATTGGGATCGAATGCAGCCACAAGCATACCCGCAGCACCTTGATCGGCTGTCTTCCAGAAATCATTGGTCTTTGATATGATCGCATAGCCATCATCATCGAGACTTCGGCTCAGGCCAGTCTCGATCGCTGCAAAGATATTAGCTACGCAATGAGAAATTCTAACACAGATGAATACTCACAACCAGGGTGAACACCGTATGAAACGATCCCATCTTTTGCAAGATTATGAGTCAAGTACAACGCAAACAAGATGTTGGCTGTTTTAGATTGCCCATATCCTATCCAGCCATTATATCCGGGCGCGGTCATATTAAACATGGCAGGAACTCGATCAGGCGGTCTTTCATCTAGAGAGACCTCCTTGCCCTCGATGTTATAGTCGTGGAACCGAATAGGCGATATTTGATAACCCGCACTCGTGACATTAACTATGCGAGTTGATCCAGGTTCAGATAACTTGGCTGCATGTTTCAATTGCGGCATAAGCAGATTGGTGAACAGGAATGGCCCAATATGATTGGTGCCAAACTGCATCTCAATGCCTTCTTCCGTTTTCTCTGGGTTCAAAAGCATCACTCCAGCATTGTTGATCAGAATGTCAATGCGGTCAGTCAAGCCTTGAATATGAACAGCGGCAGCATGTATAGATTTCTGAGAGGCAAGATTAAGCGCAACTGCTACGATTGAAACTTCAGGATACAGTTTTCCAACTTCATCTGCGACTTGTTGAACTTTGGACTCGGTTCGTGATGCAAGAAACAACTTGGCTGGCTGTTGGCTGCCAATTGCCAGCGCAAGTGCTTCGCCTAGGTTATTGGGACCAACGCCAGTGATAATCACTTAACATCATGTTAGATTATTGTTTAATCCGATCTCATTCGTGCTGATCTGACTTACCATTTTTCCCTGAAATCTGGCTAGCAAAAGCCTCGGCAACATCTGTTCCCGTCGTGTGCTTATCGAACTCAGGATGAGATGTAGCCATTTTCACCGTCTATCAGGTCGTGAATGATACAATATCTCAATTGCGTTTCCTATAATTAGAATGCGCGATGAGAATAAAAAACCTGGGAGAAGAGGGGCAGATAGGAGACCTATATCCTATAAGATCACCTGACTATGCATACAGGGCGCCTGATGTTTACATCCCTGTCTCTCTTGCCCTATCATTTCTCTCCCGGCTTCACTATTCACAGTACAGTCCTGCAAAACACTTGAATGCATCATGGCCCCACAAGAGGGAATTATGCACCGCACGGAAGACATAAGGATAAATGCCGAGGCCATTTCGCTTGGAAAACTTGATTAACACTGTTCGTTCAAAGACACCTTTAAATGCGGGGGGTTGCGGGGCGCTGGAGGCTAAATCATCAATATCTCGAGGTTATTTCTGGGGCCCCGCAAGAGAGCTCCCCACATCTTGTCCTTGGTTGTTATTCTAGACTGGTAATTGGCTATGGGAACTGGAAAGATGTACCGAGCCCTCTTCAGAGCCTATTGCAGTATGGTTGTCGGTAGTTGGAGGTCTCTAGGATAGCCGTCGATGTTGGGGCTTGTTCCACATGGTGGGAGTTAAGAACAAGATTCTAGGATTGAGTGTGCTTTCCAGAGTTCTGGAATTTTTGATTCTGTTTCTAGTTAAGTATTAAGCAAATATGTCGGATTCTCAGCTATTCGGCGACAATGTCGCAAAGCCGACAGGTATCAAGGTGGTAGTTGTCGGAGCAGGTAAAAATATCGACTCTTTCCACCTAGAACATTTCTTCTAAACAGGTGTAGGATTCGGTGGGTTAACAGCTGCCATCGAATGCCATCGTCAAGGCCACACTGTCGAAGTATACGAATCTTTTCCTGGTGAGTCGCCGAGCTTCACGGAAAGATCCGGTCATTTCTCACACCACTTCCATTTCAGAGCTCAAATCCCTTGGTGATATTATTTCCTTCGGGCCCAATGCGGGTAGAATATTTCGACGCTGGTCTGATGGCCTTATTGCTGAACGTCTGAGACCACTGAGTATCAATCTTGAAACTTACGGCTTCAAAATTCACAAATGGACAGGCGAGCTTGTCTATACACAGCCAACTCATAAATACGACCCCGAAGCACCGGTCTTCAATGGTCATCGAGGCGAGCTGCACACGATTGTCTTCAACTATGCCAAGGATGATCTTGGAATCCCTATTCATCTTGGTCAGAAAGTCACGGAGTACTTTGAGGACGATAATGAAGCTGGAATAATTCTGGAATGTGGCAGCAAGGTAAGCCCTTGACTCTTTCGGTCTTTGTCCCATCTTCCTGAGTCTTTATAGATTAACATATGGCTCAGATCACTGCAGACCTTGTCATTGGAGCAGATGGCGTTCGCTCCAAAGCCCGAGAGCTGGTACTAGGGTATGTTGATAAACCGAAGTCCAGTGGGTATGGAATATTCCGAGCTTGGTGAGTACCCGACTATATGATCATTGGCCAGTTTTGCTAATCCAGGTAGGTTCTCGAATGAAGATATGATCCGTGATCCACGAACAAAACACTTCTGTGAGAACGGCGACACATTCAACGGCTGGATCGGACCCGACGTTCACTTTCTTTTCTCCACAATTAAGAATGGCCAAGACTGCTGCTGGGTTATGACACATAAGGTGAGTTCTATCGAGTTATCTGAACAATCGATGGGCTTGAACGGATCTAACTTTTCAAATTAGGACGAGGCCGACATTGAGGAATCCTGGCAATTGCCGGGAAAACTCGAGGATGTATACAAAGTCATTGAAGGATGGGATCCGGTAGTTAAAGCGATCGTCGAGAAGACTCCATCGCTTGTTGATTGGAAACTTGTATACAGAGACCCTCTGCCTCGGTGGGTGAGTGACCACGGACGTATTGCCCTTCTCGGTGACTCGGCACATCCCTTCCTACCGACTTCAGCTCAGGGAGCAACACAAGCGCTGGAAGATGGTGTGGTCATATCTGTGTGCTTGAAGGAGGGTGGGAAGGAAAATGTTCCTGGCGCTCTGCGAGCTTATCAAGATATCCGGTACGTTATAGATGACGCACCTCCTTTTGTCGCATCGATTCTAACTATCCACAGTTATGAGCGCGTCAAAGCCGTTCAAAAGACTGGAGAGACGACTCGTGATATGTGGCATAAGGCCGACTGGGATGAAGTTGCAAAGAATCCTTCATCAATTCAGCTCCCTCGCGAGGATTGGATCTTTCGATTTGATGCAGAGAGTAACGCGCGAGAGAAATTTGGATCGGTTTTGCAGAAGTTGCAGGAGGTTAATTAAGTCACCGTCAGGTGGTTTGTACGCTCTCTTTCTAATGAGTTCGGATCAATTCAATTTCTTATCAGTCCCGATTAAAGATGTTTAGACAAACAGATTAAAAACATATTCCTAATAACAGATTGCAGCGAATTTCAGTTGGAGTAAGGTCTGTGCTCGCTATATAACAGTCTTGATCAAACCCTCCAGGGCTTGGAAGATTCGTCCAAGATAGTACTAGTTTCAAGCTTTGTTCTCAATAGCCTCGACAGCAGCCTTGCTTGGATCTCCAGAGTTTCTCGATGCTGCATCTTTCAAATCTCCAGAGCTCTTCAACTTTGCATCAAGAGCAGCAGTTCCAACACACTTGTACGATGAAAACTTCCGAGCTGGAACACGTTGTTCAAACTAAAGAAAATCAGTATAAGTTCAACCAATCTTATCTCGGGTCATCTTACCATTTCATCGATCTCTTCCAAGGTACGCCCCTTAACCTCTGGCAAGAAGAAGTAAATAAATGTAGCAGCGATAAGGCATGACGGAAACCAGATAAAGCCATATTTTGGACTTGAAGTATAAGATATCAGCTTCTTGAATATCAGTCATGTTAAACCCTAGGACACTTTACCCCCAGTTCAACTCTGCCACATTGATGAAATAAGGTGCAGTAAATGTGGTAAGCCACTGTGAATAATTTTAGATCACCTGGTTAATTTATTAAGATTGAGCACACTTACAGCTCCGAGGAATCCAATCGCTGCCGCTACACCGAATGTGTATGAACGCAGTCGTTGAGAAGGCAGTTCGCCACCAGAAACCCAGGCGTAGGTAGATACCATTCCCTAAATTGGAATAAGATTATGCTCAAATGCCACATTCTTGGTGTACTTCTGGGTATTGACTCACATTATAAGCAAAAATGAAGATAACCGCCATTGCTACGACCACTTTGCCCGTAGTAGGTGTCCCGGGGTTGACGGTATACACAGCCGCTGACATGAGCTGGCTAAATCCACAAATGATAAGACCAACGGTTAAGAAGAGTCTTCGACGACCAATGTGAGTAACGACTAAAATGTTGAGCAAAATTGCTACCACCCCCAGTGCAGTGAGAATGCAGCTATTCTCAAAGGCATTTCCAACCTCGGCCATTTCGAAGAAGTAAGTGCCGTACGCTATGAGAAATTAGCAACATTCTTGGTTAAAGAAGTCATACTTACAGATCATATACATAGCTCCTGAAGCAGCCTGAGTACTGACCCCAGCAACAGCCAGGATCGTTCGACGACGATCAACAGGGTTGGTGAACATATCCCATACAGATGCACCCGACAGATTATTCTCCAGCTCAATAGCATGCTGAATATCGACGATCTCTTTATTCACAGTGTTTCTGTCGGGTCTCAACCAGATCAAGGATTCTTCAGCCTTTGCAAGATTGCCATTTTGGAGCAACCAACGAGGGGATTCTGGGATGAATATCATGCCCACGCATAGGATTGCGGGTATAATGAAGATGATCCCTAGTGGAATGATATAACTGCTTTTTCCAGTCGACTTTTCGGTAAAATTATCCACAATAGTTCCGATGAGAGATCCGAATGATGTCCAGAATTGGAACCAGCCGAGCATGAGACCACGGTAACGAGCGGACGAGCACTCCTAGATAGGACAGAAAATTTAGATTGCTTTATTCTTTATTAACATAGAAAACTTCAATTTCATACCTGGATGTAAAGTTGAGAGAATGTCATAAGAAACCCATTCCCAAATCCGATGACTAAACGACCACCATAAAGACCACCGATTGTGTCCGTGGTCATCATCGTAATATTCGCAATGTAAATCAAAACAACCGCCAAGTACAAACCTGTCTTTCGTCCAATCCATGATGAAATGGGTCCTAAGAGTGTGTTAACCCCCTTCATCTGTTTATCATTGGCAAGTAGGGACAAACCTGCGGAACATGAGCCTACAAAGGCACCTAATACCATCAGAGACGATATTAGTTGCTGTCTCTCTGATGTGATATTCCAACCGGTGGAACTGGCTGAATCTCGGTATCCGAACATCTGGAGCCAGAAAGTAAGATCCGGGCCTTTGGTCTAGAAACTGTTATTTGGTAAATAGATTCTCACCTTCAGAAATCCGACCATTGCTTGGAAACCGCCAATCATGGTAAAATCAACGCCATATTGGAATGATGCCATAGAGATCAGCGAGCATGCTGCCAGTGACCTCCAATTCAATCGGATTCCATTCTGCTGTTCAACAGCCATGATATCAGAAGTATGACGTTGAGAAGTAGATAGTGTAACAAGAAGAAGCAGTCAGAAAAAAAAGCAAAAGAAATCTCAGATTCTGTAATAATGATTGGATAATCCAAGACTAAAAGACGCCTGGAAGACAATTTACGGGTTTTAGCAAAAGTCCAGCACTCACTATGCTCATCACGCTTCGACATTGATCACCCAGGTTTACCCCAGGTTCTTTGCACATGTGTGGGGCCATGTGGAGTTCTGTCTAGTGTCTACATTAGCTATGTGAGCGGCATGATAGACTCTTCTTCTACCGGGAGGGGAAGAGTCATGCTTCATCCCAGATACTATGTTATTGGTCTTCGAAAATAAAGTGGATACAAACACATCGGTAAATTCTCTCTGCATGTCGAGGCAAGGTTGAGCCATCCTTCTTGTCGGGAATTAAATGACCTTGTCGACTGCCGAAACGCCCTTTAGGATGCAAGCCAGGGGAATCTGGATCCGAGAATGCACGGAGGTTTCATCGCCACGCGGCTGGTCCCATGTCATGACTGTACATTTTCCTGTTGTTCGTGCCAATGGGGATCCTTTTGTCACCGGAAGACGAAACAAAAGACATTCTGGGGTAAGTCTCCGAGCTAAGCAAATTAGGTCGTGGTCTTGCTTGTTGTGGGGAAGATCAACAATGGTGAAAGGTGGAGAAGCGGGTCCGCTCAGCGCTTTGTCTCTTTGGTGTTAATAATCCGAGATGGTGGAGGGCAATTCAGATCCAAACTGCATAAGTATGATCTGTACAGGTGTGTTAAATCGCGAGTGGCCTATATTGTAGAGTTATATACGGTTGGAAACAAGATTCTGGCTGCATGAGCTCGTATCAATGCTATCTCGAAGCCAGAAGTGCAGCAATGCCGAGAAAGGAAATCAATTCCACTTGGTGAGTACTAATACCCCCAAAACCAGCGAGAGAATATGGACATAAAATGGTATCTGTCAAGAAAAAGAAAAAGAAAAAAAAAACAAGCGTGGGTCTGTCGTGTCTCGTTGTCTTCGTATAATAGCTCCAGAACATTTCATTTATCGTAATTCCAAACCTGCTGTTCTTGATATACAACGCTGAATCATGACCTGTAAAGTCTGTGGAATCTTTCACTGAGAAAAACAGAATTCGTCAAGTTGACGAGAAAACACTTAATGAGCGTGCCAAAGCAAATTCAACTTGCAACAGTCCAAATGATTGCGTCAGTTAAATTCCGGTTCTTCCTTGGTAATTGAATCACCAAAAGCAATCATTAGATTGTAGTCGTTTTCAAAGATCAAGGGCATGTGGGAAATGATTTCTGAAGGTCTGTTATGTGGTCCTAGTTATTTGGTGGCCCAATAGGGACACCTAGGCCCCCGGTCGCCCATGGATTCTGCATGACACGCGCATTCATAGCGTTAACGGAAAAGTCACCATCCTCAGTGACGTCCGCCCCATTGCCATCTGGACCATGTTGCGAAGGGTCCCCATGCCGCGTGACAGCCACTGGTGGTGGAACAGAGTGGTGGGTCATGTAGGCACCCCCGGTAACATTGCCCTGATTAGGGAAAAAGCTCTGGTTCAAAGCTCCACAGGTTGTACAGGTAAACTCAATTTTGAAGTCTGTAAGAACCATCTGAGGCATAGCAGGGTGGTCATTACGCGTCTGGTAGTTTGGAGGTTTGGGGTGAGGATGGCCCGCCAATAATGGTAAAGGAGTAGATGGCGCAAAACCAACACCTGGTTGCGATACGGCTAAAGGGCGTGGATCATTGATAGAGGACTGGCTTGGGGTTCCAATTGAAGGCGGTTGTGGCATCGGGGGAGGCCGAATAGATTGAGCGTGTGCTGTCACTACAGAGTTCTCTGGTGGCTCATTGGCATGCACGGGTTCATCCTCCATTAACGGGGGTTGAAGAGGGTCTGTGATCCAGCGGCTCTCCGAAAGGCCCCGATACGCTGGTCCTGCATCGCCCTGTGATTCGGGTTGGGAATGGACAGGGGAGTTTTGATCGCCTGGGCTCATATCTAGACTCATACTTTGGTCATTCTGATTGACTGCATCTTGGGATTGCAGTTTGATCAACGCACGCTGCGCCTGTCTCGTGGAGATATCATATCCATGATACCGCTTCACGGCATCCACAACATCCTGGCTTCGGATTTTGGCATCCATGTCGAAGAGCTTCGGAATCTCGCTTAGCAGAAATCGCACATGCGAGGCTTCAGATCGCACTGGCGTTCGGACTGGAGAGTCCCCACCTCTTCGGCAGCTATGATTGTCTTGCAAACTAGTGATGTAAGTCGCATTCTTGTTCGAGCGACACACCACACGAAAGAAACAATTGGACCCAGATCGACAGCCAATGACCACACTCTTCTTATTACTTCGAATCACCCGGAGCTCCCAATGCTGCCGAACAGAGATGCTCCGGATCACCGATTTGAATTCCTCTAAAGAGGAAAACCGTTGATCCACTTGGAGCCCGGAGTACAGTTCTGACATCTTGGCGGAGACACGACGCTCGACACGTTCAGCGAGGAAAGACCAACGAAGTAGGTATAGCGTTGGTCGCGAATTCTTTGGCGACTACTTCCATCTGGGTGTGGTGTGCGATGTCCGCAGTCCTGAAAGAAGCACCAGTTTGTTATGGGGGAACACGAGACTCGCGCGATGATCCAAGAGCGCCTTGAATCCTCCTTTTCTCTCTCAGTCGGGCATCATCTAAGAGTATATTGCATAGAGTTGAGAAACCCTCGTGGAACAAGCTCAAGCGTAGCATGCACAGGGGAAGTCGCGGGATCTAGTTAGTGGAGGTGAGTTTGTTTCTCTGGGGAAGCAGCCGCATGGGGTGGACCGCCAGACCGCTCGGCTTCACATTTCTTCTTCGCTCCCCGCTCAAGATTCATTCACTGCTCTAACCCTTTGCCTCATTCTTTTTCTCTTTCACAATTTCACTTGAACTTTTCTATTTCAAAACTTCGCATTTTCATCTTGATATTTAATCTATTTCATCAGACTTCCGGAAATGGCTTCCTACGGGCTGCTGGGCCAGCCCGACGAAGGTCGAGTCTTATTCCAGTCCCATCTTCCACATATGTATCGCAAAACTGACAATTGTACTCTCCTAAAGATGCGCTACACAAATCGCGTCTTCTCAATGTCGAAGAAAAACCTTTCAAGCGTATCTCCAAGCGACTTCTCAATCCCGAATCCCTCATTGTCACCAATCGCTCTCTCCCGCTCACACCTCCACCCGAAGATCCTGACATCGATGCGACCGCAGACCTAGAGGCTGAGAAGCAAAAGCGTCTTGAAGAATGGCGCCATTTCCGCGAAGACGTGACTCTCGATTTCGCAGCCTTCGAAGGCAGCATTGCTCGCGTTCAGTTCCTCCTGACTAGTAACGCGGAGGAGCGCCAACGTTATGCGACGGAAAAAGTCCGCATTGTCTCAACGATGGATGCGGTGCGTCAAAACACTACTGAGCTCCGCGTCCAGCTCGATGAAGCTCAGCGACTACTAGCTTTACGGAAGAGCTACGACGAGCTAGCTGAGAAAATTACTAAGAACCGGCTGTTGAAGCCGCGGGAGGAACAGCAAGCCAACCTCCAGAAGCTTCAGCTAGAAATCTCGGACCTGGAGAAAGAAAGCAAGGATTATGCCAAGACTTGGGCGGAGCGACGCGAACAATTTGGTCGTATTGTGGAGGAAGGTATGCAGCTGCGCCGCTTGATCCGCGATGAAAAGGAGGAAGTGGAACGGAGAGAAGGCATGCAGGAGGGTGAAGATGGCGATGAAGGCGATGCTTCCTCAAAGGGAAAGCTGAGTGCTGCGACTAGCCCTCTTCCAGAGACTGATAGCATGACCCCCTCCCAACACAGCCAGGATGAAGGGCGGTTGCAGGTTGAAAAGGGATTGAGTATTGCGAGAGGCGCATCTCCTTTGCGAAATGTGGTCAGTGCAGATGGCGCCCACGATCAAGACACCAACATGGCGGATGAGGGTGAGAGAATGGTTGAGGATGCTGGGGAGGACTCGGATGAGCTTGAAGAGGGTGAAGAGCTCTCGGATGATCACTTGGCTGAGAAAATGGATACCACTTGAGGTCTTTTCACATGTATATTACGAGCGTGGCGTTATGGTTCCAGTCTGACATGTTTTGGTCATGTTATGGTTCTCTCGAGGCGTTGATCTTTAAAAGGTTCTAAATTATGCATCATGTTGATTCTTACCCTCTGGATCATTTCACTTTATTATTTCATTTTTTATTAATGCCCCGGGCTTAATAATGATACCCAAGTGTTACTTTTTATGAAATCTCACGCTCGGCAATCTTCGCCTGGGCAATGGCCTCTTTGGCAGCGGTAATGTGCTGCACATTGCTCTCGGCACCCTTCTGACCCTCCTCAGTCTATTCAGATATCAGTATAGTCATTTTTCAATGGTCTCGGTAGTCTCTACTTACGATCAGAGCTTCCAAGTTCTTCACAGCATCGACGATCTTCTGCTTCAGATTGGGTAGGACCTTCTTGGTCTCCTCCAGAGCCAGATGCTAGTTATAAGGTCAGTTCTGTTACACAGTTTCAGGATTGATATCCATGTATTGAGTAGAAGGCCGGGAAAGGTTCCAGAAGCCCAAACATACCTCCTGCTTGATAAGGTACTCCCTGTTCTCATCATCATCACCGCCGCCAGACTCCAGCTTCTTGATTCGCTGAGCCTGCTGCTCCAGCTCACGGTGGTAGGAAGCCTCTTCCTTCACCAGGCGAGTGACGGAGGAAGTAACAATCTCAATCTGAGAGCGGGGAGCCATTTTAATGTTTGATCTAGTAAATAATTAGCTATGAGTCCGGAGTACAATATGCAATATGCGGCTTGGGATGCATATGTTATGCCATTTGGAATCAAGGGACATAAGTTATGCCTATGTCTTCTCCACTTATAGGAGCTGCTGGATTGGGTATGGATCTCTCTTCCCATGCACTAGCAATGAGACTCATCCTCGGACTTGGCAGGAGCCTCCAGATGAGCTACCGCTATATTGCATATTTGGAGATGGCCTGCATGGTTGTTCCATTTGTGGCTCGAGGGAATATGAATATGTAGGGAGGAATCAATCGTTTGCCTTAGAACGTACATTTTGCTTTTGATATTTGATATCGGGATGAATCTCCTTTAATATGAAGCCACCAAGAATTCCCGAGCCCCTCATGATGCTATCGGGCATGACATGTTTGCTGTGTTTGCAATGTTTGCATGAGGGGCCTCACGTGCTACTGTAGGTGCGATATAAAGCCCTGGATATTTAGTGTATGAGATTTCCTTCAACCTCAGAAATCCATGTTTCTACAATTAGTAAATTTATTTCGAGCTCAACGCTGAAGCTTCAAATGTTCAATATGCGCTGTATAACATACATTGCCTCTTCTGAGTCCCTCATCTCTCAAGTACTTATACTATGCGTCATACCTATGATGTTCACATATAGACGACAAGCATATGTATTCTTCACTCAAATATTGGTCTAAAGTGAGTTTTAGCTATAAGTTTAATGACTCTTTCAAGATTCCCAAGTCTCAGTTCCAACATTCGATTTCTCTGAAACAAAAGTAACAATAATTTAATGTATCAAAGACCTTGACATGCAGCGCCACTCTCCCGCCCCGCTCTCTACTACGAACCAATAAGCGTCCACGTCGGAGTGAATGATCACCGGGGCCAGCCTCGATCCTTTGACCACCTCCTAGACGACGACCTGAAGCGAATATTCAACATTTGAAGTCTATGTAAAGTCGATCTGACCTTGTTGACACTTCATGAACATGATCATCTCTTGACCGGTTCAAATCTTTCAATCACCATATATCTGCGTGGCAATATACACTCGAGTCTTTGCCTAGCATGCCGGCCCCATCACTTTTCCAGCTGGCTATGGCCACTGCGATCCGAAATGTGAAATGTAAGTTGCCACTATTCTTATCGAGCCCAAGTTCCGACCAGTCTGTCTTTCTCTGTTTGTTTTTTTATCTATGATCGGGATGTTTGCTAATAAATTATCAATTGAATAGTCCTCGACGATCTCGGCGGACTACCCTATTTCCTTGCTCGCCCAATCTTACAGAAAATCGATAATCCCGAGAAACTGGTACGTCCTTACGAATATTAAATCCTGTTCGCACGCGCAAATTGAAGCGAAACAAAAAGAAAATCAATACGAAGAGAAACTCGACTAACCGCCATCCCTGACGACTATAGCACGCGCTAGAAGTACGATCGCCCCATCTCGCCAAAGAAGACAAAGAGATCTGGCTTGAATTTATAAAGCGCGACATTCCAAGATGGGAACGATACGAACTCCCAGAAGAAACGGACAAATGGTACGAGGTATACTGTGACCTCCGCGAAGCAGTTCAACGGGAGATAGATGCCGACGCAGAGAAGATGATGATGGCTCTCAACGGAATCAAATCCGAACGGGATCGATTAACGCCAAAGATAGTTGCCGCACCTGGAGGCAAAGGAAGACCACGGATGAGACCGACAAGCAGTGTACGATTTTCTGGACCTCGGTCGGACATTTCGAGCTCTGCGGGGAAGAGAAAGCAGAATATATTCACACCACAGCGTCGGAATAATGCCATGGCGGTACCGACAAAGAAGTTGAATACCCGTGCATCACAGGTGAAGCAGGCACCTCGGTCTCTGATTGAGATACACCGGCGACCGGAGCCATCTGGTTCTGGTTCTGGTTCTAATTTGGCTCCAGCCACGAGGCCCGAGAAAGCAATCCGGGCACCTGTCTCATTCGGACGTTCGACCCCTGGACAGTCGATCCAAGCCCCTAATGGCTCATTGCTAGCTGAGAGGGAGGCTCGTCTGCGGGCGATAGCTTCTGGTAAACCGCCACCACCGTTGAGCACAGAGAAGAAGATTCCAATTCCCACTGGCGCTTCCTCGGCGAAGCAAGCAAATCTCAAGCGCCAGGCTGCATCTCCACCTCCACCGACGAACCCAACCACTGCCCAAGCGAGTACGGCTCCGGCTCCTGCTGCGCGCCCAGCTATGCCTCGCAAGCGACCGGATAGCGTATTTATGCCACCAAAGCGTCGACGTATTACTTGACTGCGTAATATGAAAACGACGTACTATACCTAGGTACTACTGACATTTAGCGTTTCATTCTGGGAGTTAGTGTATCTAGCGTTATCCTTGAGTATATTTGCATTTTTTGGAGTTTCGCATTGTGTCTGGGATCTCTTGGTCGTGGGTGCGCATGTTCTTCTATTTCTTCCACCTTCAATTTTCATGGTTTTATGTAGCGGATTCATTCATGTCCATGGTTTATATGAACATCTGAACATGCTATAATGAGGTTGAATCTTGAGCACTTTGCTTGTTCAGTATCTACGGCCGGCCCGTTTTATTTAATAACATACATGAAGCGAGTTCGAGACCTGAGTTCTAAGGTCCTTATTTGATTGTTGGTCACATTCGTCAATTGGTATTTATTTCTCGTATGGTATGCCGTATACATTTAAATCATTCATCGCAAGCTTGCATCTCAAATGAGTGGATGATGATATGGGAACCCAGTCATTTAGAGATTAGAATGAAAAGGACGAGCGAACACGAAGGGCATATCTGACTACTTCATTCTTAAACAAAAAAAATAATCAAGTGCTATTCCGCGACGCCTAAAATGCTTTCCATTCGAATTGACCACCCGGTATCCATATCCATCAACCTGCAGAGTGTCCAGCACATCGAAAAAAAGGTAGGCTCGGATGCAAGTACTCTGGGTTATCAGGTCCCACTCAACCTCAATCATATTGCTGCAAACTTGAAGGAAATAGTATGGTATCTAAGAGGTATAACGGATTACAGGGCATTGCTTCCACCACGCAGGGCGAGCACAAGGTGAAGAGTGGCGCCACCCTCGAGGTTATATTCTTGAGCAGTCTTGTCATCCGCCCTAGAAGTGTATAAGCATGAGTTCGATATCCTTTTGTCATATTTGAGGGGAGCAGGAAGGTGTGTATGCGGATGGGAGAACGTACATCTGCTTGCCGCCGAAGATAAGACGCTGCTGAACAGGAGGAATGCCCTCCTTTTCTTCAACACGTTCCTTTATGCGAGAGACCTAGAGATTTGATTTTCAGTATGGGTTTCCCTTTCCTAGCAGGCTTTGAGCCTAGTGCTTGGATATTCGCAAACGCGGAAGATTTCGTGGGGGCGCAACGCGGTAGGCGAGAAAGGGTCTGACCTTGTAGTCTGCTTCGATATCCAGCTCAATCTCCTTTCCGGTGAGGGTACGGACTCTATTTCACAAACACGCGTTAGCAGGGTGCTCTTGAGTTCTCAGTGCCTGGGAATTCGATGATGCAATTGGAAAGGTTTGAGTGAATCCTAGACTTACTTGATCAACATTTTGCTAGGGTGGATGGTTTATTGCGCTTGAACGGGTAGATTTAATAGATTTAAAGGTGTTTGGCGGAGCAAGTTTCACTGAGGTGAAGAGTGTTGTAATCCAAATAAATGTCTGGAGAGAAGATGAGAGAGCCGCGTTGGCGGGGTTTTAGGTGGGGCGGTGGTGGCCTTATTGCCGGATTGATGATGTGAGGTGTTGATACCATAAATATCTTCGCGTTTAAGATCAACATTTGAAAATTAACCACTGTAATATTGTCACGATCACTTTTGAGTACTCTATCTTTATTTGATATATAGTTGCTTTTAGAACCTGTCAACTACACCGCCGGCGGCGGCGGCCTGGAGCTAGTAATAGCTAATACTAGTAACCCCACCTGGCAAACTTGAATTTATATATCCAGCTGAAAGTTACCTCGGGCTTCTATGGATGTTTGATCTTCAACAATCATCATCACCTGGGCAGAGTCCACCGTGACTGGCATCCGGCAACTCGAAGCTTAACATTTTTACTCAATTCCCGATTATATTCACTATGAACGACATACGATACCAGGACTTTGTCCCCTACTATTCATCTTCATCTTCAAGTTCCAACCCATTTAGGGATTTTATTGACGCGTGTGGGGATAATCCGGTAGCTTTCGACCCCAGTCTAGCCATGACTTGAAGTGTTGGCTAATCAAATTTAACAGACAAAAATACAAAAGGCGTATGAGGCTCATCGATCCAACCGAAATGCACAGTTCAAGGATCGACTCTTGACTCCCGGCTTTCGTGAATGGAAATTTGATGAAATCCTGGAGAATGTCATAAAGGCGGATCAGGGTCTCATTGAATACGAAGATCCGAGAAACAATTTTTCATTCTGGGCAAGACCGCCAAAGCATATCCGTGAGCTGGTCTACGATATCCAGCAAGAGCTCGCATCTGTAGCTGGTCCATGTATGTGATTGCCATGGCAAGTCTGATAAAAACCATATAGCTGATTTGTTTTTACATTCCAGGCCTCTGGCTCACCCCTCAAGAGGATCTTCACATGACCACCTGCGAGATGCTCTCTTCACAGTCAGCTAGCAAGATGGATGAAGTGGTTCCTCTGCTTGAAAAGAAGCTTCCTCTTCAGCGGATTGCGAGCTACACGGTTATTCAGAACCCCCGCCTTGTTCGCCCGATCGTTAGTTACGACGATACAGCTTTTGCTTTGAGCTTTATCCCCGCTGCTGAGAGCGACAAAGATGATTTTACTTATCATCATCTGCGACGAAATATCTGGCATTTTGCTTCGACTTGGTCCGATTATAGATTTGAGTCTCGATACAATGTCCCCTCGGCCCACCTAACTATGGCTCGCTTTGCTGTTCCTCCAGGTGCTGATAAATCAGAGAAGCTTGACGACCTCTGTGCTAGAACGGCTGCGATAGTTGAAAAGATTGAGAATATTAACCAGCAGCTTACGTCAAATGATTGGGGACGATTTGGAAGTTTTTCGCGGGGAGAGTGGATATTGGGACATGAACGCGGACTTGAAGTGAACAAGGGTAGATCATGGTATGGGAAAGGAGAGGCTTTGTATGTCGGAGAAACGATCCTCAAAGAGCTCTGAAGTCTAAGTGAGACCATCCAGATTAAATATCAAAAAATTGAAATCACAGAGAGTCCACAATAGACAATGTCCATATGAAATTAAGTAGAACCCATGAATACATCCTAATCGGGAACCACAAATGATGACTCATCCAACAGCTAAAAATCCCAACTCGGTTTAGCGCACTCCCAAATAGGGCCTAAGCGAAACGAAATCCCACAACCCGACCGTCTGCTTGAACTCTCCGACAAGTGACAATCCAACGACCACCCACCTCGCTACCCGGCAAGACAGTCAAAATGGTAAGATACACACCGTTTAATCTCTAGGCTGCTGCTCCCTCAAGTCCCCGTCCGAGATCCGCTGCGAAATCTTTTCGACATTGTGCGATGGAGGTTGAATTTGTGTGGCCGCAATCCGCGATCGTGAACGACCAAGCCCGACCGAATACAAGCCCATGTTTCCCCATGCGACTCGCTCTCAACATTTCGTTTTCTGCGGCATTCAAAGACACGGAAATAGCTACATAGTTCACGATTAATGGAGTTGGTGGCAAAACCAAGCTCTTCGGCGAGCGAATGTGATCGAGTGGAAGGATGAGACGGAATCGAAGGCCTACCATTCCTACACTGTTTCTCCTCATACGCACTCTTGGAAACACTCATTGAACCGACATCGACTTGATCCCATACGCTATGAGACGCGACCACACACGACCCGCACAAGCGCAATCTTCAACTCGGACTTGAGACGCACACAGCCTAGACTGTTCTAAAAAAAAAAAAACTTGCACCACAGCAGAAGCTTATCAAATTTTCTCCGCGCACAGGTCAACATTCCCAAAACCCGCCGGACCTACTGCAAGGGCAAGGAGTGCCACAAGCACACCCAGCACAAGGTCACCCAGTACAAGGCTGGCAAGGTGAGACACACCTCGATAATCGACTCCCGCACGATTAATACTGATTACAATTTTTTGTTTCAACTTTAGGCCTCCCTGTTTGCCCAGGGTAAGCGTCGTTATGATAGAAAGCAGAGCGGTTACGGTGGTCAGACCAAGCCTGTCTTCCACAAGAAGGCTAAGACCACCAAGAAGGTTGTTCTCCGTCTTGAATGCACTGCCTGCAAGGCCAAGAAGCAGCTTGCCCTGAAGCGCTGCAAGCACTTCGAGCTGGGGTATGTTCAGTTCCTGTTCCCGAGTTCTTGCGATCTTTGATACTAATTCTTTTTTTCTCTACAGTGGTGACAAGAAGACCAAGGGTGCTGCTCTTGTCTTCTAAGCGTTGGATTTCCTTGTTCGGCTTCTGGGTTTCCTGCATTGCACAAGAAGCTTCGCTGTTTTGGCGAAGTATACATGATATGGGCAATGGAAAAATGAAATAGGAATTCATACCTTCAAAAAACAAACTATGACAACCTGACGACGAGCCTGTGTTTTCCGGACCGTAGATCCACTGAGTACTGGACGTAGGTTATCCCGGTTGATGTATCCGAGACTAGTCCTTGGCCAAATGTGTTTATGCCTTCAAGTTCTTGAAGGTTCTCGTCTCCTGGCACCTATTTTGGGCATAAGCCACGGGCCTAATCTCTCAAGCCAGGCCGTCCTCACCGATATCGGGAGCAATCAACATACCTAGGGCAGGTATGCTTGATGACTGAAATTCTATGATCTATCTGGTCCCTAAGGGGAGTAGAGGAACCTTGGTCCTTAGACCTCTTTTACTATGTGCTCGGGTACTGGAGGTTTTTTGACCGTTGACCTCTTCACAGTTGGTCATTGGATACTTCTATTTTTCTTCCTCCAACTTGCGTAGCGACTTACGTAGCGGCTATCCTACCCCCTTTAGGTATTTCTATACATAGAGGAGTAGGTAACCATTCACTACCAGATGCATGATCAACAGCAGCTGGGTAGCAAGCGTCACCTGATGGCGGGGCTTAGCTGACGCGCGGGCGCACTTCCCCCAGGACTGTCACGTAGGGGATTCAGCCCCGCATGTTACTCCTGATCTTCAACTTGACGTGGATATTTGTTGCTGGATCATGTCTGAAGCAATATCCTTCGGTGGCCAAAATAGTGGCATGCAGATAGGGAAAAGCTACGGTCCGGTTACGGCTGAGTTTCATCTTCCACCGGGTAAGAGATTATGTTTTTAGTGACGACTGATGTCGGGTCTTGCTGACCTTTGTCCAGATCTCAGTCAAGCATTACCTATTGCGCATGAAGCAGCATTCGACTCATGTGTCCATCAACACAAAGATAAATGTCTCGCAGGTACACGAACCGATATCATCAACCAAATCAAAGAGTGGGCCTCTTCCGAGTCACCACATGCGAAATGCATATTTTGGTTGAATGGAATGGCGGGCACTGGAAAATCGACTATCTCTCGAACAATGGCGGATTCATTCAGTCAGGTCGAGTCACTAGGAGCCAGCTTTTCTTTGGGAGAGGTGAAGGGGACCGAGGGAATTCCAGAAAGCTCTTCCCGACAATCGCAATGAATTTAGCGATTAGGATCCCTCAGATGATGCCAGTCCTGCAGGAAGTTCTCCGCGCACATCCAGGGATCGCAACAAAAACAATGAGGGAGCAATTCGAAAAACTCATCTTACAGCCCCTTCAAAAGCTCAAGCCACCTCGGGGGCTTGAATCTATCATCTCTATTAAGACCATGGTAATAGTGATTGACGCCTTAGATGAATGCGAAGGAGATGATGATATTCGACTTATATTGCAACTTCTTCCAAAATTGAAACGTCTAACTTCTTTACGCTTACGAGTGCTTTTGACTAGCAGACCTGATCTACCAGTCCGTCTAGGATTTTCGAGGATTGCAAGCGAGGACCACAAAGATCTCATTCTCCATGACATCCCTGAGGAAGTGATCGAGCACGATATAGCCTTGTTCCTTGAGCGCCAACTTGCTGAGATTAGAACCGAACGCTCCCTCCCTACAGATTGGCCTGGAGACGAAGATTTTCGAAAACTAATAACAATACCCATTCCTTTATTCATTTTCGCTGCCACTATCTGTCGTATGTTAGGTGATCCCATTTGGGATCCTAGAGGAAGTCTTGCTGAAGTCTTTGCGCATCAAAATGATTTATCTGAGCTAGATAGGACGTATCTTCCAGTTCTCAACCGTCTTCTCCACGGACAACATGGGAAGCAGAAGAGCAGACTCATCTCGGAATTTCAGCAGGTGATTGGCTCCATCGTGATACTTCAGAGTCCACTGTCAATTCTATCACTTTCAAAGTTTATAGACCTTCCAGCAGATCTTATACGACTTCGCCTTGACGCGCTGCACTCTGTGGTCAGGGTACCAGACAACGAAACAATACCTATCCGTCTTTTCCACCTCTCTTTCCGGGACTTTCTTCTCGATCCAGAAACTGCTCAAAAAACTTCTTTCTGGATGAATGAGGCGAATGTGCACCATACCGTGACCATGCAATGCCTATACGTGTGTCACAGTCTGCGGAGAAATATATGTGAGCTACCAAGTGTCGGCACTCGACTGATAGAAATTGATTTGGAGACTATCGACAAGTACATTGCTCCAGAGTTACAGTATGCCTGCAAATATTGGGTATATCATTTGGTCCGCTGTAACGAATTCGGAAACACAGTTTCCTATGCTTTCTCATTTCTTCGCTCTCATTTCTTGCACTGGGTGGAAACGATGATCCTATTGGACCTTGCATCAGATGTACTTGGTATTCTTCGTGATTTCCAAATATTCGTATCGGTAAGTCCTAAAGATAATCAGATAAACCTTGGAAGTCTGCACATTCATACTAACAGTTTCAATTTTCAGGGCAACAATGGATCTCCTGAGGATTTTGATTTCCTTCATGACACAACGCGGTTTATATTGAAAAATCGTCGTATGGAAGCACCTCTTCAGGTCTATTGTGCAGGGCTCGTTTTTGCGCCTGGTACGGCAATAATCCGTAGACAGTTTGATGGAGAGCTTCCTAATTGGATATCCCAGTTACCAACAGTTGAACAAGAATGGGTTGCAGAATTAGACGTCCTTGAAGGCCACTCAGAAGAAGTTCGTTCGGTGGCTTTTTCGCCTGATTCTCGCCTATTGGCGTCTGGCTCAATGGATGGGACAATATGCCTCTGGGACCCAGCGACAGGATCACACATACAGACCCTCAACGATGCAAATGACTATTTCAACTCAGTGGTCTTTTCGCCTGACTCTCGCATGTTGGCGGCTGGCTCAAATGATGGTACAGTGCGCCTCTGGGATCCAGTGACAGGCGCGCTCGTACAGACTCTCACCGGCAAACGCCGTGGAGGCGTGGTCAACTCTGTGGCCTTTTCGCCTAATGGTCGCCTGTTAGTATCTGGCTCTGATGATAAGAAGGTATATCTCTGGGACCCAGTCATAGGCAGACTTAAAAGATTTTCAAAGGCCATTCAGATAGTGTTGAGTCAGTATCCTTCTCACGTGATGGTCACCTACTTGCGTCTGGCTCCGCAGACACAATAGTACGCCTCTGGAGCCCAGTGACGGGCGCGCTCATACGGACCCTCAAAGGTCATTCCGATCTTGTGAGCTCAGTAACTGTCTCGCCTTGCCGTCTGGACCTACTGGCGTCTGGCTCGGTTGATAGCAAAATATTTCTATGGAACTCAGTGACTGGCGCACTTACGCAGACTCTCGACACGTGCTGGTCAGTTTGACCAATAGCATTCTCACCTACTGGCCGCCTCTTAGCATCTAGCTCATTTGAGATCTGGGATTTAGAAACAAGCACAGTCATACAGACTCTCAAGGGCGATTCAGATCTAATTTTATCAGTGGCCTTCTCACCTGACGGTTGTATACTGGCATCTAGCTCAAGTGACATGAAATTACGCCTCTGAGATTCAACAGTGGACGTCTTCATGCAGACAGGCTATTCAAGAGCAGTCAATTCATTGGCTTTCTTGCCTGATGGTCATATACTGGCATCTGGTTCAAATTATGGGATAATTTTCTGGGACCCAAAAACAGGTATACTCACACAGACTCTCAAAGGCTATTCAGGATCGATAGCGATCCTGTCAGTGGCCTTCTCACCTAATGGCCGTCTACTTGCGTCGGTCTCAGCGGATATGATAGTTTGCCTCTGGGACCCGGCTACAGGTGCACCAATGCACTCTCTCGAACGCTGTCCACGCTCATTTCATTCTTCTTCAGTATCTTTCTCATGTACTGGTCGCCTACTGGTACATACACGTGACTTGGATTCTAGGATAATTTGTCTCTGGAACCCAGCGACAAGCGGACTCATACAGACTCTCGAAGACCATTCAGATATTGTTCCGTCGATAGTCTCCAACAAATCGCATGCTCACAATAACTTAAACGCTGAGTATGGTTGCGATATTCTCGCGTTCAGTTCCTCTCATATTTCTCTTGATATTTCCATAGAGCACAACCAGTGGATAAAGTTAAATGGGGAAAGGAAACTCTGGCTTCCTGAGGAGTTCCGAGCCAGTCACAGCATATATTCGAGCCGTTGTTTCAAGGTTTATGGCAACATAGCTGCCATAGGACATTTCTCGGGGAGAGTTTCTTTCATTTAATTTACATTTGAGCATGTTAAATCTGGAATTGAGCTCTAATGGTCACTTTGCCACGCTGCTTATTTCACCCAAGAGATGAACCCAGATTCCAACTTAAAAATATGAATCTTTTGAAAAGTCACCCTTTGATGACTGTTTACTATCATATTCCCTACTAAAATAACTAGTAATATACCTAATAATTGACCCACATCTGCAGTATGGGAATAAGTCAGCGTACAGGTGGTGCCTCGTGGACTCGGCATACCAACCCTGGAGGTTGAGATCAATGACTCAACACAATAATCAAGAACGGAGCAACTCCTCCAGGTGCCAGACTCAAATCTAAACAACTCTAAAGAGATCCGATCTTGGCCAAGCCTATATTCTACCTTACTCGGAGATAATTAACGAGATCTGGAATGATCACCTCCACCCCCGCATCTATGGATTGCCCCCACGCCGAGATGTACAGAACAACTTCCCCAATCAGCCCACAAAGAGCAATTTATCCAATGAGCGTCAGTAACCAAAAAGTGGTCCTTATTATGATTCTATCTTGCTGCACTAATAAGGAATATCATTGGATCATCAACTCATCCACCGACTCCATAACCCCCGTATTCAGGATTCTCGCAACACCCCCGCATCCCCAGAAATGCATGACTCGGGCATCCTCCGACTATGTCTTAGCTTCAGACTGTGAGCGTGTTACAGGTCCTCGGCCATCGGACGAAACCCGCATGATATTCTGGGGATTTCCTGCAGCTGCAAGTTATTAATCCTGTCTTTGACTGTGAAGTCTCATCCCAACTATAACCTTCGTTTTCGTCGCCTCGTGATTATATAAGTCCTATCTCAGACTTGTCACTATGGCGTTGTGGTACTCACTAGGCATTGCGTTCTTCGCTGCCATCGGCACATTTTTGTTTGTATGTCAGCTTCTTGCTATAGTACTTGAGGATAATCAATAATTGCCAGTGATTATTGGATGGAATACATTGGGATGGTTGCTGATCGCGCGAACATTGAATCTAGGGGTTCGACACGGGAATCGCAACAACAAGTAAGTACTACTATTAGTGAAACCCCCATTCAGAAAGTAGACCCAACTAACTATCCTTTACAGCAATTGCACATCAAAGTTGGATCGATTATATGCACAATCCTTCCGATGGCCTTACAGGAGCAGTATGCTGTCCCGACTCCCCTATAACATGTATCAGCGTCTGATAACAGTACAGGTAGTCTCGGTTTACATTGCCGGTGAGGCAGTCGGTGCTCTAACACAAACATTTATCGGAGATAAGCTCGGTCGCATTAGGTTTATGCAGTTGATGTGTATTCTCGTGACCATTGGCACGGTCATCCAGACGGCTGCGGTGAATATCGGAATGTTTCTCGCTGGGCGTGTACTAGCCGGGTATGCAGTCGGGTAAGTGGTATCAATCAATATTTCAAGGCCATCTCCTTGCTTTTGAAGATAAAAGAAAGATAAAGATAAAGATAAAAGGATCACCAGTTGACATTGATTAACATCTATCAGAGGATTGGTCGCTACAGTCCCAATCTACCTTAGTGAGATCTCCGAACCCCGCTTCCGAGGCTTAATCGGTGGTATTTCAGGCTGTGGAATCTCCTTCGGAACAATGGCGTCTAACTGGGTTGGGTTCGCATGTGGGTATGCGCCCTACGGACCCGTACAATGGAGACTTCCACTGAGTATCCAGATCCCATGGGGTATTGTTATGTTCATCGGACTGTCAACCTTCATGCCCAACTCACCGCGACAGTTGATTCGGAGTGGAAAGATTGACCAGGCACGAGGAGAGTTCTCACGGATTCGACGTGGCGGACAGGTGCATGAGGTAGAGGAGGAGTTCCTGCTTATGCAGGCTCAAATTGAATATGAGATGGAAAGAGAGATTACTTCTTACCGGGAGATCTTCAAAGTGTTCCGATCTCGGGTTATGGTGTATGTTTTATTTTTCTTTTATTTGTTTTTTATTTCTTGGAATTTATTTCCTACAGAACTTTATTCTTGGAGCTAAAGCTGACCGCTTGTTTTTAGCTCGATTGCCGTGCAGACAATGACGAGCCTGACAGGTGTCAACGTGATTCAGGTATGTGGCTTAGGACCTGATTTGGGCTGATCTCATGCAAGCACAGAGGCTAACAGGCTTATAGTACTATCAGAGTGAGCTCTCCTTCATGCATACGTCCCAAAGTAGTAAGTTGTGGATGCTAATCTAGTGACTAGCTATTTTGTACAAGTCTCTCGGCATTGGATCCCACATGATCCTCGCTCTTGCTGCAGTGTATGGCACAACCGCATTCTTATCCAACGCTCTCACAACCAAGTACATGACAGATCAGTGGGGCCGACGCAAGTACGTGGACCGTTGAGCACTACCCATTTACATCTGATATCGTGTTCATCACTGACCGTGCACAGTATGTTGATCACAGGTCTTTCGGGAATAGTCCTGATCGAGATATACGCCGCTGTTATGCAAATGGAATTCCAAAATACTGACAATAAAGTCGGTAAGGGGTTCGCTATTCTGGGGATTTATCTTTTTGTTGTCTGTTATTGTGAGTTACACAGATACTTATTTAAGACACGCTCTACTGACATCTATATCTTGAAGATGGTTTCCTCAATAGTACAACATGGTTATATGGTGCAGAGGTCTTGCCCATTGCGCTACGTAGCAAGGTGATGGGTATCGCAGCTGCATCCCACTTTATTGTCAATGTTGCCCGTAAGTTGGAAGATCTGATAATTCCAAATTCAAATGTTTAACTTGAAGAAACTAATGAATAGAATATTCGAACAGTCACCGAGGCGGGCCCAAGCGCATTCGCGAACATCCAGCAAAACTATTATTACGTCTTCGTGGCCTGCACCGCTTTTTTCCTAGTCATAGCATACTTTTATTTCCCGTATGTGATTCTCCCATCTCCACAATAACTCCGAGACTAATAATTTTTTTTCATTCTAGTGAGACTAAGATGAAGACCCTGGAGGAAGTTGCGGCCGCTTTCGGAGACAAAGTGGTTGGGGCAGAAGATGGGCCCAAGCGGACTTCGGTGATCGGCGGTGCGGACCATATAGAGTCCGCACCAGAACAAGTCTGAACATTTGAAGGTGTAGAATCTTGGAAGTGAAGCGATGGATTGTATGGGCACTTGGGGGTCGGTGTAGAAATTTAATTGCATATTGAAGTTATGACAGCCCTAGGAGAATGCAGAGATCCTAAAGGAGTAGAAACATTCCGAAGACTCCTTCCTTAATAAGAAGGTCCGTATGAATATCTATGAATATGAATGCTAGGGTGCCTTAAAGCTAACTACATATGCAAGTTGCGGGTTATTGTATAACCCTTCATCTTTTATTGGTTATTCTCTCTATTTTATTGACTTCAGACTTTTTAACTTAAGAGCCGCGTGTGTCAGAGGTTTACGCGACCCTGAAAAAGCCCAGGTTTCAGCCACATTAGTCCCACTTGACACGTCGTATCCTTCAACTTCATATTAACTGTCAATTTATCCATGATTCTCTTTGAAAGGGCTTTAGTACATTCCTCATTGGATCTAGTTTTCATGAGTTATTTTTCCCTTTGAGAAAAACTTGAATACGATTCATTTCTTCTTTCTTTCACCGGGAGAATCGGATATCAGATTTAGAATTTGAGCATCCGAGTTGTTTTGAATTTGAATTTCCCCTTATCCGATGCATGCTGCATCCTTCCGACATGATCATCAGAGGAACTTCAAATTGAAGTGACAAAAAACTCAATCTCCACAAGGCTAATCCCTGTCAAGGACGATCTCTGCACAATAGCCATGTGCACATGCTCATAGGGGCCTAAAAGTACGGGGAGATAGGTGGTTTTTTCCTGCAGCATGGTCGGGGAGGGCACTATTTGCCACTGCATCATACTATCGGCGAAGATCCGGGGAGATATTGGGCATTCTAGTTGGTTTCCTTGTGCTCGGGTCCCGATGATCAGGAACACGAGGTGCAGAAGCCCCATCTCTTCTTTTGTTTAAGCCAATTAAGCCAATAGTTTAGAAATTCCATTTCATTCCGCTATTTCCGCTCATTCCTGGAGGCCTGAACCATGTGGTAAATGGATCCCTTTCTTTCTTTTTTCTTTTTTTCTTTTTTCATCTTTTCTTTTTCCCCTTACTGACTAAAGTTTTGTGTTTCATTTGTGACTTGCTTTTTTTTTATTTGTTATTTCTCCCCACAATATTGGAATGATCTACTGTTTGATCGAGGAGATCGGAGATCACTACCAAGACCATGTTAGCCAATGAAACTGTCATGGAAGAGATAATCGAAATTCCATGGAAGAGATAGCGGAACCCCGTTCACCGACCACGGGTTTGGTGGAGTCTTTTTGACGGGGAATTGTGTCAGGGACACCCGGATGGAGTAAACTGTGTACAATTTCATAGTTGCGAACCGTGGAGTCAATTCAAATTAAACGGTGAAATTGATAGTACTTCGTATAATAGACAACATTGAACTCTGATTATCTCGGGCAACTAACATTGAATGTTGTACCTGCACATGTGTTTACGGAGTACACAAAGTTGAATCTTCCTAGAATTAGAATCGTCATAGAAAATGACAGCCTAAATGTGGCGCATAGTGTGGCTTATTGTTCATGCACTAATATTTTTATCTTGTTGTTTTCTTTTTTTTTCTTTGTAATTTCGGATGACTTAGCCCCATTTGTATGAGGAAACACCGTCATCGGCGTTCTGTACATATGCACTAATATGCACTAGGATCGGTGCTGCCCTACCAATTCTCACGCTTGGACCTCTTGGGTGGCAAGGTACTTGCTGACCCAATTCAACATAATCAAATTGTGAATGAAAATTTCAATTCTCCTTACCCAATTAGAGTAAGAATGTTCTAACCTGGTTTAGCGGTGAATAGAATAAATATAATAAATATAAAATAAATATAAAATAAATATAAAATAAATATAAAATAAATATAAAATAAATATAAAATAAATATAAAAAATTCAAATTTTCAAATGTCTTAGTTCATTCTAAAAAAGCAAAATATGTACGAAAGAATTTCCTCGGAAGATCCTCTAGAATCCTGTATGCCCTTCTCAAATGTTTAACGCATTAAACCCTTTCGGCTCTTCTCTAACTCCCCCCCAAAGCCGAACTCCGCTACTTTTGAATGTTTTAACATTTTGAAGGGTCCATGCGAATGCTGCGAATGCTGCGGATTGACCTCCCTGCATGAAGATCAGCGATAAATCATATTTCTTTGAGTCCTGGACAGTGCCGTTCCGATGAGAATGTCGGCATAAGGGGGGAGATCTCATCTACCATGATACTCTAATGTAGTTTAGTCTGATTAATTCATCGGATGTCTGACCCGCTTCAAGAAAAACCTTGATGCGAGGACCCATAGCGACCCAGTAAAAAGAACTTTTCTAGAAGGTATTCAGTGATCCACTCTTGTGTGTTCGGACGCCCCCGTACTATTTGCTCTATTTCGGATGGCTGTCAACTGCAGTGCTTAACACTAACTTGAATTTTTTTTTTTTATTATTTTATTGGAATAAATGTTCATAAATCAATTTTGATGATGAAAGGGGGGCGAATATGTCAAATGTTCTCAGCTCTGGACCCCGGATAAACGATCTGTCTCTCACGCTTGCAGGTTGCCTCCTTTATGTTTAATTCTTTTTTATAAAAAATTATATTAATTGTTTTCCTCTTCGGGGAGTTTATACCATGACGCATCGTGGTTCCTGTCCACCTTCTCGACTTTAAAGCATCGTCAATTCCCCCCGCTCTATAGCTTTGGTGGATAGCATCGTTTTCTGGTTCAGATCAAATGGGCCCTTGACTTTATACTGGAGCCGCCACTGATCAGGTCCACATCAAGTATCCATTTTTCGATGTCAAGTCAATTGACTTTTTTTACCACTTTTTTTTTACTTGCCTCTTCACCGTCTATGTCCGCTTGAGACAAATTTCGCCATCGAAATAGAAACCACGGAAACATTTTCTATCAGCACCAGTATCATACTGGTCAGTGCACCTTGATATCATCATGGCTGCTTCATCTCGATCAACAGGGAAGAGACTCCCGATTAGTTGTCAAGCATGTCGAACAAGAAAGATTCGGTGTTCTCGTGATGGTCGTCCATGCACAACTTGTGTACGACGAGGCCTAGGTGCTGAAGATTGTATCTACCTTGGTCAGCCTCGTCTATCAACAGAACAGTCTCAATCAGGAGATTCCAATGTTCAGAATGAGCTGCTTGCACGGATCCGCAACTTGGAGGGTCTGCTGCAAAAGCAGATGATGAACTCACAGGCCACAACCCCCGTGGCAGGTGCCACCTCCCCACAGGGAGCTGTCAGTGCTACGGGTAGCTACTCAGAGTCTGATGTGGGTGCGGGTATGGAACCATGGGACTTCCGCAGTACCATGTTTGGTAATGTTGGATCCCTTCAGACATCTTCCTCGGGTCATGTCCGTTACGTCCCACTCGCTTCACAGTGGGAATCTGTTGTTGCTAAGAGCCCCGCTGCGGAGTGCTTGCGGGACTCCGACTCGGATATTGTGGATGACGACGATCTTCAAATTCCATTAGCTCGAAATGGCAGTATCTCCCGTACTGAGCTGCTGGCATTACTTCCCCCTGGCCGTTACTGTGATAATTTGAAAGAAGTTTACTTCCGTGTCTTTTCACCGGTATGTTTTTGTCCGAACTTTTTTGACTATCAACTGACGAATACTTCTCAGGTCTTCCATATTCTCCATGACTTGACCTTTGAGGCCGAGTACCAACAGTTCTGCCATGATCCAGGTAGTGTCTCTACCTCATGGCTTGCTCTTTTGTTTGCCCTCCTCGCTATTGCTGTCAGCGCACTAGACGACGATGACCCTCTTCTATCCGACCTTGGTCGGGAGAGGACAGTAAGCCGCAACATCAAAGCACTGTCAGCACGATATCGCTCTGCTTCATTGAGATGTCTGGCTGCAGATGGTATCATGACTCGACACTCCATCAACTCACTTCAAGCATTGGTCCTCGTCAGCTACGCACGGCTCCACCGTGGTTTACCTTTCTGGACCTTGCTGGGACTCACACATCATGTTGCTATCTCCATGGGGTGCCACCTCGATCCAGAGAGATTCTTCCTGGGCCCAATTGAGCGTGAAGAAAGGAGACGAGTCTGGACTGGGTTGATGATGCTCTACACCATTCACAACACATCCTTTGGCAGTCTTGATCAGCATCTCCTCACTCAAGATGTGAGAATGCCAGCTGATATCGATGACATTGATCTCCTTACTGGATCCAGCAACTCCATTAGCTCCGATCTATCCGTCTCTCCTACTGCCAGTCGACCCACACAAATGACCTTCCTCCTCTTGAACTTCCGACTCTACAAACTCTCCACCAAGATCTGCGAATCAATCTTCACCTACCCATATGCATCCCGATTTTCCATTACCCAGCTTGAAGCCGAGCTGATGGGACTTCGCGAGATCATCGATGCGCGATATCGCGCTGATCCAAGTCAAGAACCTCTTCCCGTGCACCATCAAGCCAACCTCAACATCCTCTACAGTCAAATCCATCAACTCTACCTCCTCCTCCTCCGCCCCAACCTATGTCGCTTGCTTCAGGGCGAGATTGCTCCAGAGACAATTGATGCACGAAACAAGTGCATAAAATCTGCCAAGGCAGCTCTATCAATTTTCCAAACTCTGTTAGAGTCATCTCAATTCACCCCTTACAAATGGTATACCAGCGGTCTTGGCAGTTTTAACGCCTTCCACGCCGCAGTGACTCTAGCAGTGGGGCTTCTGCACTCAGAAAGCCAAGCCGAGTTCGAGGAAACAAAAGAGATCCTCAGCAAGGCTCTGGATATGTTTGCTTCTCTATCCGTGCGGAGCGTATTCTGCAGCAAGGCAGTTCCAGTTGTTCGACAGATCATGTAAGTTCACCCTTCATATTCCTTGCTATCTGAACGAAGCTAATTATTTTCCAGTGATGTTATCTCAACACAATATCATCAGTCTCAGCAACAATCTCAAACCCAGCTTCAGTTCCAGCAAACTCAAGCTCAGATGTTTGCGGCTTTAGCACCAACTATGTCCACAGTCACTATGCCCGAGAACTTCATGCACTCTCAAGCACAATCTCCAGTACCAACTGTTGTGTCTTCTGCCAGTGACCCGACAATGCAATCGAGCTTTGGCATCAACATGCACCCTCAGCATTGGATTGGCCCCACTTCTGTTCCATGGGATACCCTCGGCGCTGGGATGCAGTATAGCTTTGACTCTGAGATGGCATAGGCCTTCTATCTTCTCCTCTCTTAGATTTCTTTTCCTTTCTCTTCATTTCTTTCTCTTGTCTCTTTTTATTATTCAATTTCTGGGGGCAAAAAAGGGCAGGATGCCCGTGGGTGGGTGGCTGACTTGATTTTTGTTTTACTATTATTTTATTTATGAGACCATGACGAATCAATCCATGATAATATTGAAAAGAATTTCAGAGAATAGTAGTTGAGTGCTAAATTTGTGCATGATACCAGTCGGCAGACTTAGATGTTTTCATTTCAAGTAGGTAAAGGCCTAAGCTTGCACATGTGAATGGCTACAGCTCCAGCGTGAGATCGGACGAAATGAGTACTTCGTGATTGTGGAATGTGACGAAGGAATGGTGATTTAGGTAAATCTAATGTTGCATTTCCGCGGTATCTATAAGACTACCTACATTCCCCTTGTTCAGTCTGTGTCGCAAAGAATTCGACAACTCTAATTCTCCATACCACAGGTACTTGCAATGCACAAAATTCCCAGTGGTCTTCTTGCCCTCTTGGTCTTCGCAGTAGCAGTCACTGCAGCTTCACCAGAGAGCTCCCATAATTCCAGCTCTGCATCTTCGATCAAGAACTTGAAGAGCAAGATCAAAAATGTGGTCATACTGGAGATGGAGAACCGGGCTCTGGACAACCTACTCGGCGGACAAAACATGAAAGGTCTAGAGAATCCTATCAATAACGGACCTTTCTGTAATCCGTATAATCTCACGGACTTATTCAAGGGTTAAGTGTGCAGCACTGCCAAGGACTACGACTCTATATTGGATGATCCTGGTCACTCTATGACGGGTAACAATATCGAGTTCTACGGCAAATTTACTCCAAGCAACGAGGCCATTACTCGTGGTGATTTGATTCCTACACAACAAGGCTTTGTTCATGAGCAATTACGTCAATATGGGAACGATGTCAACCGCACCGAACTCGCGACTCAAGTATTGAACTACTATACCAATCCCGAAGTGCCAGTTATAACTACCTTGGTCCATAATTATCTGACATTCAACCACTGGCATTCAGATGTCCCAGGAGTAAGGTCTCAAGTGCTTACAAAATCTATCACAATACGCCTCACTAATATAGATAATAGCCTACCAACCCAAATCGTGCGTGTGTTCTCTCTGGCACCTCAGCTGGTCACGGTACCGACGATGATGCATTTGATTCCAGTGTACACGGCTTAAAGCAGCGCTCCATTTTTCAACAACTCTCAGAAACAAATCATACATGGAAGAATTACTACACAAATACCGATATGATCGATGCCTACTTCTTCGACTGGACATTCACCAGCAACAATACTCACCTTGCCCAACCACTTAAGAACTTCCACTCCGACGCAGCTGCCGGTACTCTACCCGAATTCAGTTTCATCGACCCTTCTTGCTGTGGTCAAGGTACCAACTCGATGCACCCAACAGGACTAATCTCCGACGGAGAGGCCTTTATCAAAGAAGTCTACGACTCTCTTCGCGCGAGTCCACAGTGGAACGATACATTATTAATTCTGACCTTCGATGAAACGGGTGGGTTTCATGATCATGTTCCACCACCACTAGCTACACGACCCGATAACCTCACATACAGTGAGATTGCACCTAGTGGCGAGGAATACATTTTCTCATTTGATCGACTTGGTGGTCGGGTTCCTACATTACTCATCTCACCGTGGGTTTCTAAGGGTCAGGTTGAACAGAAAGGATTTAGTTCGAATGGGGAGATGGTCTCGTATTCTGCTTCCTCTATCCTGCGTATACTGGGCTATCTTTGGGATTTTGAGCCCTTTACGCCGCGTGTACGGGCTTCGGCTTCTTTTGATCATCTTTTTTTGTCGAGGAGGCGGGATACCCCTGCGCAAATGCCAAACCCAAAGGCGTTTACAGAGAGATCTTGATACATGGGTTTAAATTCTATTGTGTGCTTAAGATAGATCTTGAATAGGTTCTGGGAGTCGCGCTCTAATAATAAGAAAGCCATCATTAAAGCAAATAATCCCGGGTTTCAGGAACTTAAGTTTCAAGTAGCTAAGCTATCTTTAGGAACCGAAACAACTTCCATTCCAAGCATATCAATATACATAGATCATTGTATCAAATTCGTGGTAGTGCCCAGATGACCTCGGGAGCGGTAAGAGTATGGCGCCCAGGTCAGCACTACACCAGGGCAAAGTTAGGTTGAGGCGGCGCCTCGTTTCTTTGAAACCCAATGCGGCTCTGCTACATTTGAAGGAGTGCTTACTAGTACTTCAGTGGATCATCGTATTTCATTCTTGTTGGTTTCCATTGTAATCTGCACGGTCTAATCTAAAGGATTTAATAGGTGCCCGCTTCAAGTTGTAAGGTAGAAACCTGTAAGCAGCCCATCACCCGGGCATTTGAAGCTAGGAAAACAAAGTGGTCATTTAATTTAGGTTAGTCCATTAGTTCAGTGAGCCCTGGCTTCAGGCTACGTAAGGCACTTGTATGTTTTCACCGTAGTAGCCCTATTTCTTATCTTTGGTAAACCAGTTGATTCATGTGGATTCGTCAATCTCAAGGGATTCATCACACGGCATTTACAGCGTGCGCCCTGCTTGACAATCTGCAAGGCAAACGCAATCGCCCGACGTCATGCTTGAAAATGGAGTTGCACGGGTGAATAGGATCATTTGTTCGTCACAGATTCAACTGTATAACCTTGAGACCTCGGAGACTCACATGGAAATTGTAAACATCAAGGATCATAATGTGGATGCCTTGAATAAGGTGTGTATTTTCTTTTTCTTTGAAAGAAAAAAGAAAGGGAAAAAAATACTATTCTTGCCACATGTACCTTTTCCCTAGTCTATTATTCTTGGGAAAAAATAGCCAAGTCAAAGGGCAACACAATTCCGGCATGCAAGTTTCAGCTGCCGTGTGGATTTCACGCCTCATTGCACTAGTCTCCACATCGCGCGAATCAATAGGTCACCAGTTCATCAGAATTTAATCAAAGAAATTCCGGAATAAAGGACAGGGATATGCAGCCTGACGTCATAGTCAACTCGGGAGGCCTCCACGTTCCGATAACCGCGCATGGGGATGAAGATTTTGAACTGGGCTAATGATGAAGTGGATGGTCAGGTATTCATTGGATATTTCATAGTTTTCGTTGTCATAATAGACTAGGATGATGTGTCCAAATGAAGATTGTTGGGGAATGATGTTTCATACATTCATTGTGTGTGTCGGGCAGCGGAAGTGGAGACGAGACTTTCTTCATGACTCTCTCGCTTGTTCTGAAAAAATGGGTGAGACTCATCAGGAAGCGCCCTCCAGGCTTAGAAGTTAGAACTGCCACATATTGTCATTGTATGTATTGATCCACCGAGTTATTGGGTCCACTGGGGAAACCTGGAACATGGTCAGGTCTGGGGCAAGTCACAACCGTGGACTGGTAAACGGGAAGAAAGTGACGAACCTTGGAAATAGGCGCAGTAAATAATGTAATAATGTACTTCTGAACCTCCAAGCCACAATACACCGATATTTTTGCCACGAATTCTCATGGATTATTAGAGTTAGCCTTACCAGTTGAAGTGGTAGAAGTCGGTGAAATTTTAAGTAGGTTCAAGTTCAAGTTGGGATGGTTTACTTCAAGTTTGCATCTTTTGTTTGTATATAACTAGTAGAACCTCGACATCCTCTTTCCTCTCTCACTCGTCATCTCTTTCCTTTCACCTGTCACCTCTGTACAACCGTACAAAGTACCTCGAACTTCTTCTCTTTCTCTTCTTCTCAAGTCTCTTACAATCCCAAATCTATCCGTCTCCACGAAGTGTCGATCCTCGGAAACTTCAACACAACAGACTCTGCTTGGAGGACACACTCGGAGAGACCAAGCGGCTCTCGGCTCGGCCTGCACTGCCCAGTGTCATCGTGAATCATTGTCTTTCTTGCATTTTACTTGCATTTCCAGCAGCTTCTGGAAAGACTAGTACCAATCGGATTGGGGCACTTGCAGCCCGACCCGTATTCGTTGTCCTTGTGCATCCACTAGTCGATCACAGCCTCTGCCCTACCCCACTTATCCTACGCCCTTCCCCCATCTACCCTTTGCCCCTCATATTGGTTTCCACATTCTTTGAATCTTCACTTTCATTCTAAGAATAACCCTCCGTTTTTCCATATTCTCTCTCTGATCCTCACTTCCCTCTCTCTGACTTTTTACGTACCATGTCGTACGGCTACAGAGAACGCGATCGCGATCGCGATTTCGACGACCGCGAGCATATTACCATCAAGCGTTATGTTGTTCCGTCAGATGAGCGAGATGACCGAAGAGAGTTTACCATGAACCGAGATGACTATGCCGACCGAGAGCTAGTCATTCGTCGCCACACCGACCGCGAAGAGCCAGTTTCAATCCAACGCTACGAAAGAGATGTCGAGTATGACCCGCCAGTCCGACGCGTTGAACGAGAATATTATGAGCGTAAGTGCCTCCATTCACTCAGGCCCAGTCATCACCATCACCATCACCCCCGACCCTTGGAACATCGGGGGCCCCCATCCGCACGATTCTCCCACCAACATGAAGAGGAGAGGCTCACACATACACATGATAAAGCCCGCTACGTCAGCGCTCGCCAGTCCGAATATGAGGTAGACGAGGACTATTACCGCCGTCGTGTGGTTGACGATCGTCATTCCCGGCGCGATGTCAGTCCTGGTGATTCCATCTCACAAGCTGCTCGTCGCCGAGGCCGAAATCGCGACGCCGAATACAGCAGCGATGATGAGTACTACTACCACGAAGAGACACGAACTTATGATGGAGATCGAGATCACCCTCACCATCGCCGACACCTGGCAGAAGGCGCTTTGGTTGGTGTTGGTGCCGCAGAGCTACTACGCGGCCACCGCAAGCGCGAAGGCGAAGAGGTTAGTCACGGTATGAGCCACGCCATAAAGACTGCCGGAGCGGGTGCCTTGGGTGCCGTAGCCGTAAATGCAGCCTCGCATGTTCGTGACTACTATCGAAGCAAGAGTCGCAGTCGACACCGTTCTCACTCCTTTGATGATGATCGTTCTCATCGCTACAGCCACCACAGCGGGCGTCACAGCAAGCGCCACAGCCGCAGTCGCAGTCGTTCCAAGTCGCACTTCCGGGCCAAGACCCTAATGGAAGTTGGTCTTGGTGCGGCAGCAATCGCTGCCGGCGTTGCTGCTTTGAGAAATAATAAGAAGGGATCTGATGAACGCCGCAGTCGCTCGCGCACTCGTTCCCGTTCTCGTGCCGCTGGCTCCAGTACCGCTCCTACTGGCAGATCAAGCTCCCGCAGCATGTCTCAACGTCGAAAGCACATGGCTGGCGCTGGTCTGGCCGGTGCAGCAGTTGCAAGCCTTGTTGAACACCACCGAAGCAAGTCTCGCTCTCGTAAGGGTGAACGTTCCCACAGTCGACTGAGAAAGGTCCTTCCGGTGGTTGCTGCAGGACTGGGAACTGCGGCTGCGACTGGTCTGTGGGAGAAGAACAAAGCTGAAAAGGGAGAGAAAGAAGGTGGCAGTGGTAGAAGTCGATCCAAGTCCCGCTCTCGTGGAACTGGTGAGGTTTACCCCGATCCCACCCGCGACTCAGCAGGTCTGATTGAATACGGCAAGGACCCCGTCACTGGTAGCATTCCTGCCGAGCACTACTACGGTGCTCCCAACGGCGCAGACCGTGCTTATTACTCAGACGGTCCAGATTCCAGCCGGCGCCCGAGTCGCAGTCGAAGCCGCAGCCGTGGTGTCCGATACAGTGGTAGCTCCTCCGGTTCAGACAAAGACTCGCACCGCCGACGCAGAAAGCACCGCAGTCGTTCACGGGACTTGGCAGGTGCAGCACTAGGTGCCACTGGTTTAGGATATGCAGCACACAAGTATTCCCAGTCTCGAGAGCGCAAGAAGGCTGAGCAGCGAGAGCGAGAGCAGGAGCAGGAGCAGGAGCGGACTCGTAAGTTCGTTATAAATCCCCCTGCCGACAGGATCAACCTATATCGCGTGGGTAGTATACTGACATTACAAATCCAGGATTTGAGGAACCTGCTCGCCGTGATACAGGTGGCTTTACTGAGTCTCCTACTGGTTATGAGCCAGCAGCGTACTCGCCTTCTCCGGCAGCCAACTTTCAGCATCCTCAAGACAACTATTATCCCAATACCAATAGCTTTCCTCCTCCCCCAGCATCAACTTCTAACCTGAATGTCGCCCAACCTAATTCTTACAACCCTGCGGAATACCCACAGCCACCCGGCGCAGCACCTCAAGCATACAACTATGGAGCCCCTGGCCCAGGAACTGAGCAATATGCTCCGCGACCACGGAGGGCCGATGAGAATGTGAGTGCTCCAAGGGGTTTTACCATCCCTACTGATCCCCGTACGCGTGATGGTGTGTCCAGAGCCTTAGCTCTATCTCAAAGGAATCAAATCACTGATAGGACTTCCCTTAGGTCTAGCCCAAACTTATCCGGAGATGAACGTCGGGTCCATTTTGCCATTGAATCCTCAACCCCCTCCAAGCCCATTATCCAAATCCGTTTCCTTCCAGTCACAGTCTCCGGGTTCCACTCCGACTCCAAGGGCCCTTAGTGTCAGCTATGCGACTGATGACATCGACTCTGGCCCCAAGTCTCATTCCCCATCTCATCATTATCCCCGTCGACAGCGACGACGTTCTTCTTCTGTGCCCCATTCCCAATCCCCTGATCATGACACTAGCCATACACATGCCCAATCGTCACAAAGCCGTTCATCTATTCCAACAGCTATCCCAAAATCACTATCCAAAGTTCCAGAGACTGACTCTGACTCAACGATTGAACTACCCCAACGCTTTGATAAAAGTGGACGTCTTCTCGACGATCATGAAAATCATCACAGCACGACTTTACTTGAAGATCTCATTGACCAAGTCGGAAAGATCTTCTCTTAGAAGTCATTTTTTCAAAGTGGAGTCACAGTTGAGCTATGGATACCAAAAAAAATAAGACGAGGAGAAAGGAGCAGGAGCTTATTGATTATGACTATTTTTTATTCCCTAGGTTTGGGCGGTTTTCTGCTATTTATTATTTGTATTCTTCGAGTCCTCATGATGACATGCCCCTTTATGTTTATTCGATTTAACAGATCGACGATGCGATATTTTTCCCTTCTCCCTGGCTTCTGTTTCTCCTTGGTACAATATCTCATCTTTACGGACGTCTAATTATGTCTATGTTGTACTCAATCAATGATTTATGATACTGAAATTCAGATACCTAGGTAGTACCTCCAGTACTAGAAGTAGAACAACAAGTAATCGACGATAAAGTATCCATAGATAGTGGGTGAGGTAACCTTGGAAGCCTATGAAGTGAATTTATCAAATGCCTAGGTACTACTACCTACATAGCATCCTGATTTAACCAAGCTACTCGTTCACCGTGACCCCTATAGGGCTGACATTGGTACATCAGTGGATACCGATGTCATAGCATGCCAGTGTGTCATATAGGTACCTCGAAAAAATCAGAGTCAGGTCAATTTCGGTGATAGTTACTCAATTCAGGTTAATGAATCATCCTTTGATCTAATCTACCCTACATCATATTTATTATGTGGTCCATGTGATTAGTATGTGGAAAATTCAACAAGGTTGATGGATTTGAACCTCTATTCCGATGTTAATCCTTCATGCATGTACGGATAACTTGAAGAGTTTAAAAGAAGCATAATCATGGTGAAGATCTCAAGTTTTAACCTTGGAACTTGAACCTTGGAAGTTATGCCACCTGGGCAGTAACATATTCAAAATCATGATGTTCTTAAGTGTGCAATGATAGCAGCTCTCTTTTGATTTATTGAAAACATTTTGATACTAATTTCAATTTCTATAGCTTCTATAGATGCAGAGTCCCGGAGCCCTGGAGGGCTTTGCTAAATCCGAATTAGGTCTAGTCCAGTAGTAGTACTGTATTTACAGTTCAACTCGCGCGTGATTTAATTGGTAATATTGGAATAGTACATGACGCGAGAGTAGCACTTTGCATAAAAATACATCTGATATACCCCAAACCTTCAAGTTGGTATTGAATTCGGCAGGATCTTAGTGCCGGGATGGAAAATTTTGGTTTGAACCTTGAAGTTTATATTATTCTCCAGGATAATTTGAATATCAATGTTATTCACAAGTTGAAATTCATACCCTGTATATGATGCCACGAGCTCTTCACGGATTTCGCTGATTTTGCATCGACGAGATCATTCAATTTAGTGCGAAGCTCCTGAATATGTGTTGCTAATCGACTTATCGTATCCTCGATTTCAGATTCCAGCGAGTGGATTTCTTCGAGTTTTTCTATCGTGTGACCGGTACTAGATGTACATTTAATGAGTGTATATCCTACCTAGATTCTCTAACTGAGGCTGAAAGAGAATCTAGGTCCTGCGTCATCAATGATTCAGCTTACATGGTAAGAAAGTTCATTGCAATAACCAACGTCAGCGTCAGGCTGACAAACAATGCACGAGGCGAATCAATCTCTTTCCATTGCCGATAGCGCGGCAGACCGTTCGGTTTCCGGTTTGCGAAATTGAGACTGTTTCTGATATCCTGGCAGGTTTGATGACATGCCTGTAAGACTGGCATGACTTCAATCATGTTGGCGAGCTGGGCATTGGAGAAGGAAGAGGTTGTAGTTGGCAGGCGGCTCTTGCCAGGGATCATATGGGTTGAGACTCTGTTGGAAGAGTATGATCATTTGATGCAGAGCTCTGACGTCTGCTTTGAGAGTGATGGCTTGCCCCGGTTCATTGGGGAGGATAGAAGCTAGGTGGCAGAGCTGCTTGGTGCTTTTAAATGCCAGACCAGCTGTGTGGGTCACGTCGGTAGTTAGAGATGCACGATCCATCTTGATTGATGTTGGTTCGAATCGTTGAAGTTGTCGTTCTTTTGAGTTTGCTCGCTCAATTCAAATCAATATTTCAACGACTGCTGCTCAAGCAGTACTCTTGATTTTGGAAATGCAAAATTAGGAAGTTAAATAGTAGATACAGTAAATAGATGAGGGGACGATGAAAGGCCGATCTGTATAGTGAAGTCGTGAGACATCAACGAATTTCTGGCGCGTATGCAGACGCTTTGATAGTTCAAGCTCTAGATCGATAGTTCCCTAGATTGATGCCAGTTCGTTCAACATCTGGTGGCGTGATATCACGATGCATTTTGGGCACAAGAACATACATCGTGTATGTATGTAGAGGACTTGGAGGGTTACATGTCATATGAGGGATCTGCCTTTTCGCATACTCCTTCCACATGTGCCCAGGTGCAGGGCTCACTCGGGGACAACCTTGGAAATACATAGCCAGATGTAGGGATGTTATGTATGGAGTGTTCAAATGTTAAGTAGTCGGTTATGCAAAACCTCGGGAACCTCCAGGGCTTGGAATGCCTCGCATCTCTACGGTGAACTGATACCCGACCAAAATTCTCAAATCAGACACATTATTATTCTTCTGACCCACAAAGATGCAGGACTTGGTCGTAGATAGATCTATGTTCATATGTGGATCCGATGTTCAAGTTAATATGCAGACATTGCAGACGCATGCATCATCCCGAGTGGAGTCAACCGTCGGATAATCTTCCAAGGTTCACTATTTCGAGGTTTTGACACAGCTAGCTGCATGGATATTCAAAAATAAATTCGGTGTGATAAATAATATGATAGGGTGGTGATATATAATAAAAACAAGATACCCAGAGGTCAGAGAGAAAAAAAATAAAAATAAAAATGCAAAAAAAGAAACTCCGAATAGGGGAATCGAACCCCTGGCCTCGGCGATGTTTTCTACCAGAAACAGGTGAAAAGCCGATAGGTTAGCCACTACCCCAATTCGGATAGTTGATGCAAAGTTATCAAACTTTTGATTTTTAACCCTACCGAAAGAACGACCCTTGATTAGAAAATGACTTGAAAGTGAGACTTAATATAACTTGAATATCAAATATTTTATCTCAACTTCATTCAAGTTCGCTTAAATTCCTCTTTTCAATCTGTCATTAGTTTCAATCTTCATGCACATGTACCCGTAAATAATACTAGGCCATACTTGCATCACATGTGCATGAATCTTTATCCTGGAAAAGTACTCTATTGCGGCTAGGGCGGTGGTACTGTGATAATGAGAATATATCACTGCATGTCCACGGGTGCATACCAGCTTTTCCTTCCCAGCAATGACCATCGTACAACTTGGAACCTGCCTGGTACTATGTATCAGTAATACCGTGACCTACTGGTAAGTGATGCATCAACGCCACTGTAATAGGTGCCAGTGCCAGTACACACATGTACGCTGCAACGCACGAGAGCCCCTTCTACATAGCCGCTCAACTTGGATTCAAGTTCCAAAGGTTCAAGTTGAGATTTAGCACCCGAGTCACTGTGATATGTAGGTGCCACCTGGGCAGTGCACACATATGTACGCATGAGATCCCGTGCTTCAGCCAGCTCAATTCCGAGTTGATTCAAGTTCTAAGGTTCAAAGTGAAATCTAGCATCCGAGTCTCAGAATGTAGAGCATCCACACGTCCACATGTGTATAGCTTCAAGTTAAAACTTGAATGAACATACATCATACCTACTAGGGCCTCACCATGTACATAGCCCTGGAGGTACATACTAGGTACTATGCACCACTGGCAGTTGGCTGGGCCACTGATGCTTCCAGATGTCCAAGCCCTGCCCAGGTGGAGGTTGGGCTACTATATGTAACATCATGATTTGAACATTCAAATGTTCAAAAAATATAATGTACATCTAGATTGATGTCTGGATACCTTACCTTCTAACTTGAAGGTTCCAAGGTAGGTACATAGTAGTACTACTAGTAATAGATACTAAGATTGGTACCTAGGTAGTAAGCCTCAAGTGCTGGATTATTGAACTTGAAGGAAATCGCACTTGAGTACTCGTGGACTACCTACATATGTTTCAAGTTCTCAAGTAGATACTTGAGCACTCGAGTGCTTCAGGGCTACATCCATACTACATACTACATACTACATACTACATAGTATATGTATAAGTGGTAGTCGCGCGCTCCGTGCGGTGCATTTTATTTCAAATCTTTGTTACTAGTATGTAAGCCAACTGGTGGGTATTCTGCCAAAAAAAGGGAAAAAAAACGAAAAACCACTGGGCACTGTAACCAAGGTTGCAACCTACTACATGTGCAAATAGGTGGAAAAGAGGTCCAAGCACTGAGTCTACAACCTGAAAAACTTCTCTACAAACTTCAAGTTTAAGGATCTATACTACCAAGTCTACTATCTAACTTCAAATGTGGAAGGTCTAAGGTCTAAAATGAAGATAGTAGTCAACTGGTAGCAATATCCAATATCCATGGATGGAATATAGATGTATTTCTTTTTCAAGTTTATAGCAACACACATATGCAGCCATAAAGCATCATGTCATTTCATGACTCGTAAGCCCCAGGAGGGTTGTGAGATGGTATATATACATGATTCAAAAAGGAAAGAGAAGGGCGTGTGGCCAGGACGGGAAAAGTGAGCCAAGTACTCAAGGTACACGGGTCCTGAACCCAGGGAACCAAATCATAACACATAGCTAAAGTTCAAATCACGGCGTAAATGGGGGTAGTGGATGGGTTTTTTGTACATTAGAGAATATAAAAAAGGGATGGGGGAGGAACAGGCGGGTAGCATACCACGACGAAGTGTATGTTATCAAGAGCTAAAACAAGTGAAGTGATATCGTAGATGGGTATACAGCGGTGTATGAAATGCGACAAAGAAATGAGCACCATCAGATAAAAGCATTATCTTGCTTCTTGGGGGATTTTCATTACAGAGACAAGATAAGGGGTAATATAGAAGAGAAGCCAAAAAGAGAAAAAAACAGGCTGTCGTAAGTTGTAATGCACAAAGTTCTATCGCTAAAAAGGGCTTTCCAAAATTTCATGCCGTAGACTGTCGTTTCGATGCCTGCGATTGATGCCCATTAAAGTTGGGGATCAAGATCCGCAAGGCGGGAAGTTGAAGGGAAGGGGATTGTTGTATCGGATATCCGCGCAGTGTCATTGCCTGGAGGCGTGGTGTCTGGATCATTGCTATCCTCGTCATCGGGAATGTATCGAACGCTCGAGCTGATAGGTGCAGAGAGGTAACGGGAGCTAAGCGGCACTTGATATTTGATCACACCCCGAACTATCAGCTCAAATGGATGCTGAAGCACTCGCTCCCAGCGCTCAGTACCGCCCTCCTCTGTCTTGTTGCCTGGTCGAGAGGAGACGGATCTGGCCCTTGGAGGTAGACGGTTCATACCCCCACGGCGATGATGCAAACGAAAGAGGCGAGTCAAAGCGAAAAACTCGGCCGAGTAACATGGTCTGAGAATCGCCTTCCGGATCAGTGATAGGGTCAGTACCTTTGTCGACCCCATCTTTGGTATGTGACTTCGCTGCCTCCACGCAATTCATATTCCCAAGGCAACGGACGATCTGAGAGAATTGCCAACGACGGCGACTCTCGGTCACTCGAGGAAAGTGATCAAGCTCGTCAGATGGGTGCTCCCGCCAAAACTTGTCGGTACCAACATATCGACTTTTGGCAAAGATGTTGAGATCTGTGTCGTCAATGGTCACAGGGAAGATATTGGGGTTGACTGCAGACACATTGAGATCCAGCATGATTTCCTGCTCCGAGGCTAGGACGTTTTGTATGGCAACAACTTGCACATCCAAAAGTGCTTTGCTGGCCGCAATGAAAAATGACACGGCCCCACCGGCAATGATGAGTAGCAGCAGAATTATGATAGTACACGATCCATATCGTGAGAAGTATCCATTCTGCCGCTGGGTAATATATTCAATCTGTCGCGAGGTACCTCCAGGCCGGCGAATGCTGCGGTCTCCACGGCTACTGCGCGGTGGTCGTGGAACCAAAGGCGTTCGTTCATCGTCAGCTCCTTCTGCATCAAAATCGTAGCCGTACATATCGCTCGCCTTTTTAGACCCAGTGATAGTCCTGTAATGCGGCGCTGAGCGAGTGTTTGAATTCCGCGAGTGTCGGTGTCCACTGATAAAATGCCGGGGTGACTTCTGACCTTGAGCCTGAGGGAAGAGACCATCGCTGTCCATGATAGACGGAGGACGAGTGCGTGGTCCAAGATGGTGATGATACCCACGCCCTGGAGTGATTGTTCCGCTCCCATCAGCCCTGGAAGCGCTACGACTGTCCGATTCAACTGCTTCACCATCAAGGTAGGTATTATTTGTGAATTTCATACTGCGTTTCACAATCACGCTGTGGTTCCCATCGCGCATAGCTCCGCGTGCACGACCGGCCAGCTGATCCACCTGGCTTGCCATCGAAGTCGCGCTGGGTGTTCGGGAATGGTATCGGCGCGGAGGATAATCTATGGGGTTGGACTCATAGACAAATGTCTCATCGGAGTCTGAGACATCAGCCTCATCCACTGCACTTGCAACCTTGGCTTCGAAGACATCTGCCTTGCTGGTTGGGCCTGCAGGAAGGGCATTATTTCTCCGCTTTCTCTTCTGAGGGTTATTACGGGGAACAGGCGCCCGAACTGTATCAGAAGATTTCTTGTTTTTGAGGGTGCCTTGTTCAGCACGGCCGACGTTCCCACGCTCACCGGCGCCAACCCCCAAAGAAACCTGTGGGATTGAGCTGACAGTCTCTGTTTCCACAATCATGTTGCGTACTGAGCCATCAGCAGGTTTCCCACGGGCACCGGCACTCAATGAGGTAGACGATCGCTGAGGCATGAGCGTCTTCGGAGTTTTAGCTCCCTCAGCAGCTTGAGAGCGACAATCTTCAGTAAGAGCCTCAGAGCTCCGTGTACAACCGCTGTCACTCTCACTGTCGAAAACATGCCTTGAAGCCCTAGGGGTCGGGTCTTCATCGATTGTGTGCAACCGAGAGTCATCCGGAGTGACAGGCTTGGTAGTCGTATCGCTGGACGGAGTGGAAGGGTTGCTAGCCATTTCCTGAACGGTTTCCAGGGAAAGCCCTGCTCCACTACCACCCCTTGTCGCAACCGCTCGGGGAGTGCTCCGGTCGACTAACCCATGCTCCTCAGGCGGCGGCAAGGGAGTTCTCTTGTGAGAGGTATTGGGAGGAGTCGACGCTTGGTCCATACGACGATAAGTTCCCGCCCATGCTGGCATATTGGCTTTCTCTGGACCGAGTACATTGGCTGGGGGATCGGGAGCCGGCGGGGGTGACAAGATGGGTGGGTAATTCAGGTGTGCTGGTGCACGTTGACCTGAAGAGTTTATGGGTATACCTGGTGAATGACCGTTGGAGGAGGACGATCGGATCGGACTACTTCGGTCTTGGCTGCTCCGGCGGGATTGAGAATGCACTCGGCTGGCTGATGAGGAATTGAGGGTGCGTGAAGAAGTTCGGACCGGGGAGGACTCTCGGGAGGATACGGCGGAGTTGGTGGTAGAGTTCGAGGTGGAAACAGGTATATGGGGGACGAACTTAGGCGGCACCTGGGACATGGCCTGAGCCTGTGATGATTTGACGGTGGAACGTGGCAGCTCAACCATCATGTCTTGTTCCTTGGCCGACCGAGGCGCGGCATCCGAAGCTGCCTCCACATCTTTGGTTCCTCTGGTTCGACCAGAGTCACCGTTGAAGTAAGGCGGCCTCTCGGATTCCGCAGGCATGATCTCTATCGAGTCAGAGTGGGCTGACGCGATGCAGACAAGTCAGGAGACCCGAGAGGGAGCCGGGGAAGTTGGGCAGAAATGAAAGACCCAAAAAGGGTAATGAAAAAGCAAGGTGCTGCACCCGGCCAGAGGGAAAAGCAACGAACGGTGAAGGGGGAGTGAGTTGTTAGCAATCTGAGAGGAGCGAATGAGAGATTGCTGCTGTGGTGTACTCCGTACAAGGGAGAACGTAGTGCAAAAGATACGGGTGGATTTTTTTTTCCCTTTTCTGTTACACGAGTGACGGTGCCGCGAAGTAAATAGCCGATGTCCACATGCCGTTTAATCGAAGAAAGAAGACCGGGGTAAGGAGAATAAACGGCCGAACTCGAAAGAAAAAGGACCGGGAATTTGGATTTCCTGCCAGTGTGCCGGGGATAGTGGATACACAGGAGAGATGGGGACAAGTACAGAAGCGCTCTTGGATTAGGAAGGTCGAAGGTAGGCGATCGGAAGATCAAGAAACGGCATGCTTTGTTTCCCGGGGCTAGAAAGCCAGAAACAAACAAGAACGTCTAGAACAAGGTGGTTCCGATTGATGACGGCCGTTGGTTGGCGGGTTTATTGGGGGCTGACGGGGCCGCCGATCCGGCTCAACGTTGCTCCTGTCTTCCTTGTTGAGTTGGGATGAGAGGAGATGTGGCGTTCATCAGCCAAATGCGCATGCAGAGAGAGCGAAGAGATGTCGGTGACCAAGACCTCGGGTAGGAAGTGGTGACGAAGTGGAGGGAGGTCAGGGCCGGGGCCCAAATGAGACCAATGACCGTAGCCCACGTCAGGTTCGAAGGGGCACTTGCACTGCAGGGGACCACGCGGATGGGTCTAGAAGGGGATATTTCAATTCCAGAACCCACTTTGAATGGAAGCGGACTGTAAGTAATGGAAGCGGAGATGATAAGGGAGGAAAGGAAGCAACAAAGAAAAGGAAAAGAAGAGGGGAAGGTGTTAAGGTCAAATATTAGACAAAAAGGGAAGTCACGAAATTGTAAAATCTGGGGGAAAAAAGATGAAACACAATGATGACGCGGTAAGGTAATTAAACCGGGTTAAATTACCAAGTGAGTTGGCCAACTTGGGTGCATTTTCCGGGATTATTAGGTGATCAAGCCTGATTTTGGCCTTAATTACAGGGGTAATGATAATACAGATCACGATGACTTCATCGTGAACACTCTATCCAACTTTCAAAGAATATGACAAACTGTATGTACTTTTGATTACATAGTACTAGGTAGTAGATAGGTCTAATAGTATATACAGTTCCAGACTGATTTCCAGTAGAAATAACAAAAAATAAAGACTGGGAAACAAAAGAAAGAACCTTGAAACCTGGTTGACCCGTGTATTGCCAATCAACGCCATTGCATGCTCTAAGCCAAACAATCTATCAAGCCAAATATTCCAATGTACAAAGTTGTGTTAGAAAACAAAGAAACAGTCAAAAAAAATCCTAAGAAAAAAGAACCAAGGGTATCTAAAGAACCAAAGGGGGAGCGGGGCAAAGAAGTGCCCAATCTACACAATCTTGTACACTCGCTTAGCGATCACAAAAGAAACAAAAGCAAAGACGAACAAGCCAGCCGTGACTAATTGAGGTTAGAGCGACGAACAAAAAAACAAAGAACAGAGCGGGAAACTTACTTGACCAAAACCAGTTGAGACTGTCGATGTCTTGACCAGGTACTTTGACATTCATACCCCACATACCACAAATGATGTTCATGGGTAGGACGATAGTACCCAAGACAGTCAGCTTACCCAAGACATCAGCGGTTTGTTCCTGACGTTCATTCATCAAGATATTGATCTGTGCCAGATAATTCGAATGTGCCCGAGAAAGTATCCTGTAGACAAAGAGGGAGGTGAGTTAGAATGATTCAATAGACAAAGCAGGCGAAGTTTCCAAGGTTTAAGGCAAGAACAGGACAGGGACTTACGTTTCATAGTGAGTCAAGTTGCCCGTCATGGTCATAATATGATCCTGAATATCACCCAGATATAATCCAATTTCAGATTTTGGTGCCACCTCCCACTGTTCATTACAGCGCTTAGCAAAACCCTTGACAACATCGGCCTTGTTGCTGAGTAATCTGTATAATCCCATGACCTTCTTGCGACACTGTCCCACTCGTCGTAGCATGTCACCAGGCGCAAAAGAGGGAAGTAAGTTGTCGCTTGAGGAGGCCTCTTTACTGGAGGAATGCATCTGCATGATCATCTCATCAATCTCATCGACTTCATCCTCAATGGCTTGGATAAGTGGGCCAAACACATCGGTGATATCGTCAATAAGAGCATATGAGATCCAATCAGAACTGAGAATCAAGTAGTCCATAAGCTGGCGAATGCGCCGTCGTACATTGGCTGGGTGTGGTGTTTGAGAAAAGTGGAATGATATGACACCCTCACGGAAGACAACAACATACATGTTGACAGGTTCAAGGTAGTCTTCACTATTCCTGTCCTGCTCAAAGGTACGGTAGTTCACAAAGTAGTAGCTGCGGAAAAGCTCGACCTTCTCTCGTGCTTCTTGCATCATAATATCCTCGGCGGTCAAGGCGTGGATGCCAAATGCTTTCGCAATGACACGCATTTCCGCGTCGGTTGGGGAGAGCACATCAAGCCAAAAAGTTGGTCGAGGCCCATATCGCTTAGGCTTAATGCCAAGATTTGAGATCGATGGCGAAATCTCTCGGTGGGATTCTGGTTTTCCTTCACTAATGACTGATAACCGTTGAGGTCCTCCAATACCATTCGTAGCGGCAGGAGAGGCATTTTGGTCATCCCTGGCTGAACCAAAAGACCCTAGCGATGCGTTCCCATTAGAAGGATGGATATCGAAATTTCCTCTGGGACTAGTACCTGCAGCCATATGACCAGCTGCGGTATTCTCCTGCACAGAATGATTGCCCTCCTCTTCTTCATCAGACGATGAATCCTCCAGCTCGGGAGGATCGGGTATGAAAAGCTCCCGAAAGCTGCCTCCTGGTTGCACCAGCTCAGAAATACTTTGTGCATGGATGGTGCTTGGAAACTCTTCGTTGAAGTAGGTAAACCGATATGGAGCCTCATCCTCTTCTCGGCGCCACAATTTATACTGCGGCCGCAGTCGGCCTTCGATGAGCATTGGCTCACTAATCTTCTTAACACGAAGATCTCCACTGCGATCTTCCTTTTCCTCTCGACTCCATTCTTCCAGCGCTGATAGATCTGGCCACCGCCGGTGTCTGCGTCGTCGTCGTTCGCCGGTTTCGTCCCGTGGGAGATGGGACCCATCGTCACCCAACTCCGAGGTATCTCCCGGCAAGCAGACATCTTCTAAAGGATTAGCAACAGTATGGCGTCGTGGGCCAAACCCACGCTCAGGAGAGTGCGCTGAACGAATGGATGAAGGTGCCGAGTGTTGGTGCGGTGCGCCTTCAATATTAATCACAGTATCATTCAACCAGTTGAATGAATCTCGACGATTATCCAGAGCCTGTGAGGCGAAGTCGAAATCCACTCCAGTCACCATCGCATCGTCGTATTTCAGGTCCGGGCCCAGCTTCGGCGAGCCGGGTATCGAGGGTGGATTGTTCACATCAAAATCGCGCTCAGGTTCTGGGAAATATGATGTGCTATGGTTGGGAGAACATTGCGATGATGGTGTCTGTGCAGATGCTCGACGAGGTCGAGAAGAAAGCGGACTGGTGCGAGTTTCTGTGCCGTAGCGAGTTCGAGCAGATGTCGTCCCCGATGTAGGTCGACGTACTAATGGTGTCCGATCATTGGCGTCCAATTCATCGCTGTCATCGTCTTGATATTGTTGAGACCATCCTCCAGGGGTATTTCGAGCTCGCGGATCGCCAGAACGGAAATTCGTGGAGATCAAAGAGCTAGGGCGGAATAAAGAAGTTTGACGGCTGTCACGACGGGGCCGCATCATGGGTTGGTCTCTATGGTGGGGGAAATCAAGAGGGATTAGCCAAGTTCAAGTTGATTCACGAAACAAATCCCTCGAGTTACGGGGAACCAAATAAAAAGCAAGAAAAAGAATAGACGGTAAAATAAGCAAAAAGGAAGGCTCCTACCGATGATCGAGCAAAGCATCGCTTTCCAAGCTGGTATTGCTCAAGTTACGACCTAGTTTGAAGAATGACGGGCCATCCTTCGAGGTCGGTCGATCAACATCCATTGACTCTCTAGCCCCATCAGCTACAGTTGAAGGACCTGCAGTTTCATGCGAGGTTTCAGCAGTAGGAGGGAGGAACGATTGTTTGCGGTTACGAGGTCTGCGACGGCGGTTCTTGCGTCTATTGGTCTTGGATTTTCCGACAGCTTCATCAGGCGCGGGGGTCTGCAGGCGGGCCCCGGTGGACGTGGCCGAAACCTGATCTTGGCCCGCACCGCCCATTGGACCATTCCCGGATCTGCTATCACTGGAAAGTGGATATTCGCGTCGGGCTGGACCAGGTGAGGACGAGGAGGAATGCAACGGTCGAGATGCTCCTAATCTCGGGGTCGGTGTAGAAGAAGGGTCCATGACCGCGGCTTATATTGAATAAGTCCAATAGTCGTACAGCAATAGTGAGCTTTGACCGTCCACAGCCCCGGGAAGGGGGTTTGTGCAAACCGCCGATTGGACGCGGCCGCCGTAATCGATGCGAACTGTAATAGCTATATATTGAATATTGATATTGAATGTAGAAGACCGACTTCAGCTACACTCAAAATGACTCTCAATGTAGCCTATAAGGTGTAAACATGATCAAGGTGAAGATCCTTGCTCGAGACTGGGCAGACTCGGGATGAATGCTGAGGTGGAGCTGGCAGAGATGACGTGGGCGAACCAAGGTGGAACATCAGGGACACGCCTCGACCAAGCAAAACAAGGGATTTAGCTGATAGAGAAATAAAGTATAGAAATGATCCAATCATGCCTGAACACACATGGGGATTTGTGATAATCTAGGACAACTGGTAGTGGGAAGAATACAACCTTGGGAAGCCCTGGAGGTTGGGAACCAAAGAGACTGATATCCGAGGTCACGTCATAACTTTCGAAGTACTAAGAGTTTTCATATAACCCAACCTTGGAATGGATACTGATCCAAAACATTCTCGGACTACAAGAAGAATTCAAATCCGATAATTTACTGGTATTATTTGAATGCATTTTTAATGCATGAAATTACCTTGGATACTGTTTAGGTCCTGCCCAGGTGAATGGTTATGTGTGAGATCTACCAGTTGACGAGACTGATCACTCATAGGTGCATACATACATAGTTACTTAAACATCATGATGTGCACATTCCTAGTCTTAGGCAGATGGATGGACTATTACCTAGTTCTTAATTCATGATAAAATAAGTAAATATCTATTGTTGCATCCGAAGGACTCATGTATATGCATGCCAGCGGACTCTGATTTATACTGCTGCCTACGCTGTGCAGCTTATGCAGGGGCTAGAGATATCACTTTTTACTGTGGATCATAAAAACATTGAAATTAGAGTATACGAGACTCGGAAGTGAAATGAAACAAAAATCATTTAGATCATGATGATAATCATATGTAAAATAACTCTATTACAACAGCATGCCAGAAGTACAAGTTCATCATCACTCATCAGGCATCAAAGATAGTAGATACATGTTCAGCGGCCGTTATCTTCTTAATGAAGAAAAAGATCAAAGATAAAAAACAAGAAAACAAGAAAATAAAAAAAAGGAAACTAAACAAAACATAGGAACTGATTCCCAATTATTCATATCACTCCAAGCACCTTTAGCCTGAGATTATCAGGACCATAGACACCCCAAAATCGCCATGTTGCACCGTTGAAGAAGACCAAAGAAGAAATGAGAAGAAATGAGAAGAAATGAGAAGAAATGAGAAGAAAAAGAAGAAAAAGAAGAGAGGCAAAAAGAAAGGAAGAGAAACAAGAAGATATACTCATGATATTGCAAAGGATTTGAGAGAAAACAGATCAGAGTGTGACGCCTCAGAACTGGTTACTACCCATATCCATTGTAAACGTGGAGGGTGCTATACTGTGGACGGATTTGTTCGCATCCAGGGACATCCGATCACCACTTATCATTCGTGAGAGCTTCTTGTCTTTGCCAGGACGGGCAACGAGAACCTGAGCAGGACAAACGACTACCTCATCATCGCCCTCGCCCACATCGTTACCCTTCTTGACAACAAGAGGGAAGAGTACAATGCGTACAATAGCCTGTTGCGATTCCAACTCATCGTTAGAGGTTGTTTCGCCACTGCGCTCATTCATCAGGGAAGCATTGAAATAAACCTGACGAGCGAGATCCCCATTGGTATCGTACTCAGGCTGGAGTGGTGGCAGCATGATGAACTCAGCTAGTTGAGTACGCATCTCAAGGGAAAGGTTAACAGCAACACGGAGAACCTTACGCAGAGATTCGAGCAGCTGTGCTTCCACCTGGGATGGAGGTGGAAGTATACGCGATAAGGTGCCGAAGATCTCTAATGCCACGGCTTCAGTATCACTTTCACGTTGCGAGGAGAAGGCTGGTCTCCTAGACAACAAAGTCAGAGTGGTGGCTCGCCAGCGATGCACAGCGCGCCGGGGACCGACTTCGCCCAATTGTTTCTCGAGAGACTTGAGCTTCTGGCGCTGTTCCCGATCCATACCAAACAAGTATCGGGTAAAGATATACTCCCAGACCATGGTCATCACCACAGACATGAACACATCGCGTCGACGGACTCGATCGCCCAGGAAGGCATCGGCATCAGAACCATCGAGAAGGGCATTATCGAAGCGATCGGCGATTTTCTCATCGTGCAATTCGCTCAAGGCACGACAGCGACGGTGGTCAGAGTGCTTAGAGAAGCGCAGCACCCATTGTTGAACGTGACCACAAAGTTTCTGGCAGGCGGCATCGAAGTAATCCTCATCGCGGAAGACGAGCGCATTGTCATTGACAGAGGCCGCGATCTGTTGTTGTAATTCCTTGACTTTGTCGCGAGCTTCCTCGAGTTCTTCACGAAGACGGCGCAGCTCAGTATCCTTTTGCGCCAGCGCAGATTCGATTTGTTGTCGCACCCGATCGTCCATTTGAGTCGACAAGTCATTGTGTTGCGATCGCAAAACATCCAGTTCGCGGGTTGACGTTTCGCGCACATTGCTCACCTCAGCTGCGTGAGCGGCAGTGAGCGCGGCGTTGGATGCTGTCAGACCTTCATTTTCTTGGGTTAGGCGGGTCATTTCTCGTTGGAGCCAGTCCACCGAGTTCTTAAGTTGTTCCACCTCGGCTTCTTTGTCGCGCAAGTCCGCACCACGAGTGTTGAGGGCCTGGTCACTCTTGCGACGAGCGACGCTGACATTGCGCAATCTATCTTCGGCTTCATCGCGAGCGGTGACAAGGAGGCGGTTTTCAGAAATCAATTGATCGAGGCGACTTTCGAGATCTTGTAAGTGTTGCATGCTTTGGCGACGACGGACACTAGGCGGTCGGCTGGGCGACCGCGGGGAACTGGGCGTCTCACCCCAACCCTCCTGAAGAATAACATTAGTAAACAAACATTGGGATCCACTCAAACAAAAGAGAAAAAGCAAAGAACTAACAAAAAAAGCAAGAGATAAATAATAATATATCAACTTACATAGACATCCGACATATTGCGGAGGGGACGCTTGCCCTTGTCTGTGACGGGGTCATAAGTGGAGGAGGAAGGAAGTTGATCGAGATCGAGATTGGAAGGAGGCTGGGAGTTTAGCGCTCGACTAGCCGCCCGCAGATCGCTACTCGTACTCCGATTCGTGCGACGCAGTTTGCCCTTACTACCACTTGGCCTCAATACAGGCATTCCCTGATCGGGTGATTTTAAAATTGGCGAATCTCCAGAGCCTCGACTCCTTGGAAGATCCTCTCGGCTGCGACGAGCTTCATTTTCTGCTGTAGGCCAATCTTCCCGGTCGCGCGCGGTATCAGTAAATTTTCGCACCGGGGTAACAGGTCGCGCAGGAGATCTAGTCGGTGGAAGAACATGTTCGGGCTTGATTTCGAGACGGGGCGTGCCGAACGGATCCGTGGTTGCTTTGCGGCCATCCACAGGTTCTTGCTCCGCAATAGATTCAAGTGGAGTTCGGGGTCGCGAAACCGAATCGTGCTCACCAAATGGGCCACCGAAGAGTGACCGTGGTGGCGAGGGAGATTGGACAGCTGGAATTGACGATTCTTCTAAGTTCCAGGTTCGAGGAGTGTGTTGGTGTCGTCCATGGATGATCGAGGGACTGCGACGCAGTTCACAGGGAGGTTGGGCGGCAGCTTCGATTTGGGATGGCAGAAGCTGTCGCAATGAGGATGGCTCTTCAGGTTGGATAATTTGAGATGAGCTGGAGAGCAAAGGTAGTACTTCATCCAGAGCAGAGAACATGGGCGCGGAGGGCAATTCCTCCAAGGAACGCTCCTTGTTCTCTGGAAGCTCTGGCTCCTGCGTAGATTCTTCCGTAGAAGGGACCTCCGCTGATGGAGCATCTTGTAGTATAGAGGTTTCAACCTCTTTGGTAGCTTCCAAGAATGGCTCTGGGATAGATTCATTGATTTCTTTAGTTGTAATGGTCGCATTAGGGGGTGCTTCCGAGACGGGGATCGCAATCTCGCGATTCGCTTCCAAGTCCGCTGTCGTCTCTTCATGAGCACTATCTTTTACTGACGGTGTCGTGCGCTTCAAACGAAATCCTCCTCGTGGAACTCCAGGGAAAATATTGGCAATGCTGGAGCCTCCGGGAGTCACAGTTCTTGCAGGGGGTTCAGTCTCAATCTCTTTATCGACTGGGACCTCCGCAGGCGGCTCGGGCTGGAATGCAGATTCAAGCTCGATCTTCTTGTGGGAGGGCTCCTGAGCAGCAAAATCCTCCGACTCTGCCAAAGTTGCTTGCTCCGACTTCCTCTTGTTCTTTTTGGCCTTCTTCTTAGCACTCTTGCTCAGAGGCTCATCAGTGGCGGGCTCAGGCAATGCTGATAGAATTCCATTTTCGTCGAACTCTTCAATATCTTCTGGGACAGGCATATCGGGTTCAGTCTCAGGAATTTGCTCATTAGAAGGCTCGGGATTATCAGCTTGCCTGTGGCGCCAGTCGATCGCAGGCCACTCGTCATTGTCTTTGTTTGCCTCACGATCATTGAGCTCCGCATCTTCTTCAACAGGAAACTCATTGTCAATTAATATGATGGACTCTCGTTGCTCCTCCACATTAACTGGCGCTTTGGACTCCAAGGCTAGGGATTTTTTGGCCCTTTTAGCTGCTTTTTTCGATGCTTTGGAGTTCTTGCGCGAAAGAGAGGGCTCTGCTTCCTCGATCACAGGCTCAATAGGGCTTGATGTAGGCTCTGTAGTAGGCTCAGACATGAAAACCTCTTCTTTCTCCGGTAGCTGCGCCTGTTCAGGGTCAGCTGTAGACTCTGGTTGCTCAAACAGCTCATCTTGAATCCCTTTAGCGGAATCTGGAGCCGGCTCAGTCTCCCATTGAGGGGGTTTCGGGATCTCCGCAGGAGTTTCATTGTCGGGCTGAGAGACAGGCTCTAGAACTTCAGTAACAAGCTCACGAGTACTCTCAACAAGTGGTTCCTGAGTCTCAAGTTCAGTCTCAGGCTCCGGCTCAGGCAAATCATTTTTTGACTCATCTGTACCGGGAGCTTCAACATCAATGGTGGGTCCGGCTTGCTCAGTAGGAGTCTGAACAACTGTTTCAAGTACAGTGTCATCGGCTGACACAGTAGTCAGGTCAATAGACTCCTGTTTTGCCTTCTTCTTAGCCTTTTTCTTAGCCTTCTTGGAAAGCTCAGAGGTGCTAGACTCTGCAACTTCAGTCTCATCACCAAGCTGCTCGATGTTTTCAGAGGTATCGGGAGCTTCCATAGGCTGCTCGTCGCTTTCAATTGGCTTTTGAGTGTGGTCGACTTCGGTAGATTTTGGCACAGAATCTTGTCCAAGATCGTTCTCAGCAGACTCAGGCTGCACTTCAGAGTCGGTTATAGTCAATGGTGCATCGTCGGCTGGAGGCAAAACATTGATGGGTTCTGAAGCTTGCTCAATGTTTGAGGGCTCATCAATAGCCTTCAACTCAATAGATTCTTCCTCTTCAATAGCAGCAGCGGCAGCGGCAGCAGCAGCCTTCTCGGCCCTCTTCTTCTTCTGCTGTTTCTTGCTCAACCCCTTGAACTCATCAAATGAGTCTTCTGCAACAGGATCGGGAGCTGCTTGCTCTTCAATGACCTCTGAAGTGGAATGCACTTCATTTGATGTGTCCAGCAAAACCCCAGCAGAGGATTCAAGAGGGCTCTCTTCATTCACGACGGGAGGCTGCTCTTCGATAACAGTTGGCTCTGTTTGCTCCTGCACCTCCTCTGCAGCTTCCACAGGCTGATTGAGCAAATCACTCTCGACAACGGGCTCAGCCACCTCTAGTTGATCTTGGAGAGGTGCATGGTCCTCGGAAACCTCAGGACCATGAGAGGGCTCAGCTGTTTGGTTCAATTGCTTTTCAGCCTGGGCCTCTGCTTCGAGTTGTTTAAGACGTCGTCTCTCTTTCTTGCTCAGGTTTCTTTCCAAAGGAAATGTTGATTCAGTCTCGAGGGGAGTTGATGGTTCCTCGGGCGCTTCAATTTCTTTTGGTTTCTCAAAGTCTTCCAGTGCACGAGCCTCAGGTTCTTGGCTAGCTGGCTCCGGGTCGACTGAGGTCTCTTCAACTGTGGGTGGCTCCAGGTCCTCTGGAATCTGGACCGCAGGCTCTTCAGAGATATCAGGTAAAGTTTTTGGCTCGATATCATCTGCGTGGGCTTCAAGCTCAGGCTCCGCCAAAGGCTCTTCTTTCAACGTCTCCTCCATCTTCATCTCCTCTTGTTCCAAGAAATTTTCTTTCTCTTGCAGGGACTCGTCAGCTTCCTCAACTGAGATTGTCTCATTGTCAACGTGCGATGATATCTCTTCTGTAGTTTCAATCGGCGTCTCAACAGGAACCTCGGGGGATGGTTTTTTCTCCGCATCTTCTTCTTTAGGAACAACCGACGACTTCTGCAGCTCACCAGCTTTGGCATTCTCTTCTTTTTCGTCCTCCTTCTCCATCAGTACATGTTCCATAGTTTTGGGCTCCTTGACGCCTCTCTCCTCAACTTCATCAACAGCAATCTCCTTCTCCTCTTCAACACCCTTCTCTTCTTCAACACCCTTCTCCTCAAAAACTGGCATCTCCTCTGTTGCAGAAGCAACATGAACGACTTCCTCCTCAACGGGACCACTCGCATCGCCAACATCATTTGAACGCTCAAGCACGGACTGGGGAGGACAATCTGAAGAATGACTCTCTAACTGTGGCTGCTCTACCTGCGAAGATACGATATCATCAGTCGAAGTCAATGTCTGTGCCGGCAAGTCGGGTGTGTAAATGTCGTGGGACTGATGTTCTTTACCGTCATCTTCCGCAGGCGAGGGGGCCATCACGGGTGTAATTGACTCCAAAGTGGTTGGTTCGGGAGCAGCGGACTCGGCTTGATCGGGCTCGGTTGAGGCGTCGGGGGTCGATTCAGGCTCGTCGACACTGAGATTTTTGGACTTTCGCTTCTTTTTCTTTTCTGCGCGCTTCGCTTTGCGACGTTCTTCGGCGGTCATCTCAGCTTCAGGCTCGGCCTCGGTGGTGGGTTCAGACTGTCCTTCTCCTGTGGAAAGGACAGCCTCGGCTGAAGATTCGGTGGTCGCTTCGGTGGTAATCTGCTGGTCATCCATCTCTTTTGGTGCTGCAATCTCCTGTTCAACATTTTCAGGACCGCGAGTTGATGTATCGGGCTCCACGGGTTGAACAGGCTCCGAAAGCTCAATATTGGCGGCATCAGGGCTTTGATCGGGCTGTTGCTCGGCATCAATTTGTTCTGGATTGGGAGTGCTTTCATCAAGTTGAGCATTTTGATCAGTTTCGGTTGCTGGAGTAGTAGGCTCGGATTCTTGAGGCGGTTTAGTGGCCGTGGAAGCCTCATCCGCGTTCAATTCCAAAGACTTTGCTTTCTTCTTCCGCTCCTTTTCCTTCTGCTTCTTGCGCTTCTTTCGCTCTTTGGCAGACAGATTGGCATCTTCAGGATCCTCCTCGTCGACTCCAGTGGTTGGAGTTGCGGGCTCCGCTGTAGCTTCTGTTTGTTGATCAGATGGGATGGACTCAGGTTCCTCTGCAGTCTCTTCAATCACAGCCACAGACGCAGGCTGCTCAACTTCTTTTTCAGAGGCTTGCTCGCCAACCTCCACAGACTCTGTGAGCTCAACATCCTTCAGGACCTCATCCGGAATGATTTCAGATGCAGCTGATTCCTGTGTCTCTGCCTCGACTACGTCCTTGTCTGTAGACACTTCAGCAGCTTTCTCAGTCTCAACAGGAGCTTCACTCAAGTCTTCAGTAGAAGAAGGCTCAATGGGTCCAGAAGCTTCAAGAGGGGCAGCTGCTTCTTTTTCTGGCTGCTCATTGGCGGGAACGACCTCAGGGTTGTCCTCAAAAGCAACAGACTTGCGCTTGTTCTTTTTCTTCTTTGACTTCTTGCTGACGGGCTCCAGATCGGTCTCTCCAGCATCAGTGGTTGCTTGATCAAGGGTGGCGGCTTCCTCCTGGATCTGTTCCGGGGTCGCTTCTTTGGGTTCCTCAGACTCCTCTGTCAAAGTGGGAACAGGGGCATTTTCTTCTGAAGGAACAGGAACGGGCTGAACGGGGGCTTCTTCTACCACTGGAGACTGAGGCTGCGACTCAGACTTTGATTCTGTGTCAGTAGCCGCAGATAAGCTCTTCTTCTTCTTCTTTTTCTTGTTCTTCTTTTTTGAGTCTGCAGTAGTGGCCTCGGTATCTTCAGAAGGCTCAGGAATGTCCTGAGTTGTTGGAGTCTGTTCTTCAGCAGGAATTTCAGTAGCCGGCTCTTGAGATGCAGTTGTTTCATCCAAAGACTTTTCAGCTACTACATCTGTAGATTCTTGCACCGTAGTTTCAACTTCAGTAGTGAGATCCGCCACAGGAGTTTCGGAAATAACGTTCTCAGAAGCTTCGACTGGTGAGACTTCAGCAACCGGCTCAGAGATGGGCTCAGATGGAACAGCAGCATCATCCGTGGGCAAATCCAGAGGTAATTCCTTCTCAACAGGGGCAGTTTCTTGGAATACCTGGCTTTCCACAGTAGCTTCAGTCTCCGCAGCTGCAGTTTCAACAGGTGCAGGTTCATCAGTAGGCTGAACCTCATCCATGGCGGAAGAGGGCATCTCCGCAGTCTCAGAAGACTCAGCTTCTACGGGTTGCTCTTCTGGTTGCTCGGTATTGATCTGTTCAGGAGAGGGTTCGACCTCAGTCGCAGCCTGTGCTTCCAAATGCTTGGACTTGCGCTTGTTTTTCTTCTTCTCCTTTCTCCTCTCTGCAGCAGACATGGTTTGCTCAGATTCCACAGCAGGGGACGCAGGCTCAACTTCGTCGCTAGGGCCAGCCTCAATTGGTGGCAGCTGAGCAGTCTCATCGGTTTGCTGAATCTCAGTAGACTCATTCTTATTTTCCTCCTCTTGAGGCACCTCAGCAGGGGCGGCAACATCTTCAGGGACAATTTCACGAGTAGAATCAGTAGTCGAGGGTACTGTGTCCTCCATAGGAGTCTCAGAATCAATCTTGAGCTGAGAATCCTCGCCAGGATCACCCGATACAACCTCGGCCTCGGGCGCGGAAGGCTCTTCAGTGGGTTGAGATTCGGCAGGAGTGGAACTCTCGACATTCTGGACTGATTCAACAACCTCAATCTCAGATGCAGGCTCGATTTTTTCGGTGGATTCAGTAGTAGTATCAACGTCAACGGCAGCCTCGGAGGGTTGTTCTGAGACTAGCTGGTCAGCCGAAGGGGCCTCATTGTCCTTGTTTTCCTCAGAGACCTCGGGCACAGGCACAGTTTCGGTAGAATTGACCTCCTCCGTAACAGAGCTGACACTTTGCTCTCGTAACTTCTTCTGCTTCTCCTTCCACTTCTTTCTCTGAGACTTTGACAGCCCAGCCGGGGGGTTCATCGGAGATTTGCTCAATGTCGGGATTTTCTTGAGGCTCTTCAGATGGGACTTGGGCGGGCTCTGCCTCGGCAGACTGCGTGAGAGGCTCTGAAGCAAAATCTTGAGCGGCCTCAGACTCTTGAGGCACCACGGGCTTGGCCTCAATCTCCTTGGTCTGCTCAGCCTCTGCGGGAGTGGCCTCAGAGATACCTGTTTCCTCAACGGTTTCAGCTGGAATGACCTCATGTTCAACATTTTCTGTCAATTCAGGCTTAGTTACGGACTCAACGGGCTCAGAAAATTCAACAGGAGTAGCTTCAACCAGCTGATTTGAATCGGGCTGAGCTTTTGGCTCCTCGGGCTGAGTCTCAACATTGATAGGCTCAGACTCATTAGGCGCTTCAACAGGAGCATTATCAGGAGCATCATCAGAAGCATCAACAGGAATATCAACAGGAGCATCAACTGGAACATCAACTGGAGCATCAACTGGAGAATCAACTGGAGCATCAACTGGAGCATCAACTGGAGCATCAACTGGAGCATCAACTGAAACATCAACTGGAGTATTAACAGGAGCATCAACTGGAACATCAACTGGAGCATCAACTGGAGCATCAACTGAAACATCAATTGGAGCATCATCAGAAACATCAACAGGAGTATTAACAGGAACATCAACAGGAGCATCAACTGGAGCATCAACTGGAGCATCAACTGGAGCATCAACTGAAACATCAACTGGAGCATCAACTGGAACATCAACTGGAGCATCAACTGGAGCATCAACTGAAACATCAACTGGAGCATCATCAGAAACATCAACTGGAGTATTAACAGGAACATCAACAGGAGCATCAACTGGAGCATCAACTGGAGCATCAACTGGAGCATCAACTGGAGCATCAACTGAAACATCAACTGGAGCATCAACTGGAGCATCAACTGGAGCATCAACTGGAGCATCAACTGGAGCATCAACTGGAGCATCAACTGGAGCATCAACTGGAGCATCAACTGAAACATCAACTGGAGCATTAACAGGAGTATCAACTGGAACATCAACTGGAGCATCAACTGGAGCATCAACTGAAACATCAGCAGGAGCATCAACAGGAGCATCAACTGGAGCGTCAATGAAGACCTCAGCTGGAGTATCGGCAGAGGGAGTTTCAGCAAGGGTCTCCTCATCAGGAACAGAAGAAACACTCTGCTGCTTTGCCTTCTTCTTGGCAGCCTTCTTAGCCGCCTTCTTCTGTGCCGCAGTCAAGGGAACTTCGGGCTCAGGCTCTGGATCGGCAGTAGGCTCATCTTGTACAAGCTCAGTTGGCTCAAATGGCTCTTCAGGCTGAACAATAGGCTCTGACTCAGTGGTCTCAGCCACCGCAGTCTCTGGTTCTTGAGGGGCTGGAACCTCGGGAGCCTCTTCAAAAGTCTGCTCCGTGACTTCCTCGATTATCTCAGGCTCAGAGGGCTGAACATCTTCAGGGATTGAAGACTCTTGGTCAACTGGCTCGATATGAGCTGGCTGCTCGGGCTCGAGGTCTTTGGTGGCTTGCTCAGATTCAGGCTCGGGCTCAGCAGAGGGCTTTGAGTCGGATGGAGCATCGGTTTCGTCAAAAGCAACAGACTTGCGGTTCTTCTTCTTTTTCTTGTTCTTCTTTGACGGCTCTTCTGTGGACTCCTCTGGCTGAGACTCTTGAGGCTCAACGGGGGTGGCATCTTGGACTGGGGGCTCAGTCTCGATTTCCTTTTCTTGAGATACCTCGGGCTGCTCCTCAACAGCTTCGACAAAAGCATCCTCTGGCTCAACAATGTTGATGGTTTCTGAAGTAGAGACGGGAAGCTCAATATCCTCTCCTTGTTCTGTGGCCTCCTCCGCTGGCTTGAATTCTTCAATGTCAGCGGTTGGAGTAGATTCGGAAAGCTCAGGCTGTTCAGTAGATAAGGGCTCAACATGGTCCTGAATCTCGCGGGCTTCTTGGAATTCGGAAGTTTCCTCAGGTGAGGTGGGAGTATCAAAAATAGCTGCTTCCTGAAGAATTTCTTCTTCTTTCGATTCTTCCAAGAGAGCAGGCTCCTCCAGCGGAACAATCTCCGACAAGGGCCCCGCAAGCGCTGAAGATTCTTCTTGGATAGACTGCGGTTCCTCGGAAGGAACAACTGGTTCTTCCACTGATTTTTCTGTGACATCGGCGGACACGTCTTCATCTTGCACCACAGAAGACATGCTCTTATTCTTCTTATTCTTCTTCTTGTTCTTGCGTGCCTCCTTCTTGGACAAACCAGAAGCATCTTGAGGCTGTTCATCTTCAACCACCTCAGGAACAGTAGCTTCAGGCTCAGGCTGTGGCTCAGACTCAACGAACACCTCAGGAGCAGCTTCAGGAGCAGCTTCAGGAGCAATCTCAGGAGCAATCTCAGGAGCAACCTCAGGAGTAAACTCAGGAGCAACCTCAGGGGTAGACTCGACAACTAACTCAGGGACAGGCTCTGTAGCAGGCTGATTGAACTCATCAACAACGGCAGCTTCAACAAGCTCAACAGGAGCGACGGGTCCATCCACAGGCTCTGGTACAGACTCTGCAATAGGCTCAGACTCCGGCTCGGGAACAGAGTCGGCAATAATTTCCTTCTCAATGGCTGGTAAAGTCTCAGACTCAATAGACGGAATCTCGCCTTCAACGATCTCAGCAGGGATAACCTGTTCCTCAGTTGAAGTCACAGGCTCAGAAGCGGTGAGATTAACGCTCTCCTCCGCTTGCTTCTTCTTTGACTTCTTCTTCTTCTTTTTCTTCTGAGCGCTGGAATCCTTGACGTCCTCAGTGACGGAATCCTCTACCTCTTGTGGCTGAGAAGATTCGACGGGTTCTGAGGACTCAGGAACCAATTCTTTGCTGGACTCGAGTTGTTGAGGAGGTTGCTCTTCAATTGCAGTACCAGGTTCGCCTAGCTCTTCATCGGCAGTGGGGGTTTCATGCGATGCTTCAACGGCGGCTTGGACAATATCAGAAAAGTCGGCAAATTTTGTATCGGAGGTAGATTGAGTCTCCACAACTTGTTCGAGGGTCTGTTCTTCAGAAACATCGGGGATAATTGGTTGATCAGCCTCTGAAGTAGGCTCAGTGAACTCATTTATGGGAGATTCGTCAAGTTGCTCATGGTCCTTCACAGCGGCAATTGCAGCAGCTTCGACGATACCAGCAAATCCAAGTCCAGTAGAGGTAGACTCAGGGAAGCTGTTTTCGGCTTGCTCAAGAACTGGCTCAGCCTGAACATCAAGTTCACGAAAATGCTCTTCGGTAGCACCAGTATCCTCAGGCAAATCCTTCACAGCAATGACGGACCCTTCAATAGAACGAGCTTCCTTTGTAGGCGAAGAAACATTGGGATACTTCTCAGGGTTCTCCAAAAGATCCTGTAAAGTATAGAACTCAGGCTTCTGCTTCTCCTTCTTGGCAGACTCAGTTGGAAGGCTAAAGTTCTCTGCTGTTGGGGTCGCTTGTTGAGAGTCAAGTAGATCTTGCACTGCTTCAGGGTCGGTGACATGCTCAGTAGAAATGGTTAGGCCGGATGGTCTTTGAGGAAGTTCAAAGGGCGGAGGATCGATGATTTCCCAGCTCCTGACGGCATCTTCGTCATGAAGTGATCGGAGGTTCTCAAGAGATGGAGCGCGCGAAGAGTTCTTGCTGGATGGGAGGGATGGTAGCTGCTCCTCTGGCTCTTTCTTAGATGCACCATACTGTTCGACAAGGTACATGGGTCGCATTTCACCAGAGTACTCAATGGATTTTGGACGACGATTGCGGGATTGAGTCGGCGAGCTAGGCATACTTGGTACCTCACTCGGTACGGCGCGGTGCAGACTGGGGGATGCTGGAGGTCGACGGAAGTGTAAAGGTACTGCAGTTGGGGACTCGGTCGAACGATTCACAGACATCCGTCGTGATTGTTCTCGAGATGCTTCAGGGGAAGAGGGTCTACTTTGGGACTTCGGGACAGCATCAAAGGCCTTCTCTGTAGTACGGGGAGAAATAGAGCGACTTCGAGGCCGTTCATGGAAGACTTCCTCACCCAAGGCTAAGCCAGCTGCTGTTAAAGCTGCGCCCGCTGCCATCTCTTCAAGCCCCGAAGCACCTCCTTCAATTCGCTCAGCCGCGACTGGCATTTCGAGGCTTTCTTCTAAAAAAGAGTCGTCGCCATCGTCATTATATTCCGATCGTTTCCCGTCCTGCACATGGAGTAATACCCAAAAACGCTTAGTAAATGTAACTTCTTTTTTTCTTGTTTTTGTTTTGGGGTTGTGTGCAATTTGGTCATATCAGTCAGACACTGAAACAAACCAGAAAGAAAGGGTAATAGCTATGGCACATAAAACTGTACAAATGAGACGTGAAACGACATAATCATAAGTTCAACAAAAAGAAATTCAAATATTATACCTTCTCAGATTCCCGGCGGCGCCCCGAATCGACAATATCTTCATAGCGTTGTCGACGCTTCTCTTCCTTCTCTTGTCTCTTGGATCTGTACTCCTCCAGATTTGCTTCACTCTTCACGCTTACCTTGTCAGAGTCATAGTCATCATACTTGTCTCCACTGGAGCTGTGATGACGATGATGCTTCTTGCGCCGGCGTCTCTCTTCATCAACACCAGCTTCAGAAACAGCATCACGAGAAGGACGCTTGTCTACTGAAGAAGATCGAGAAGATGTACGCGAAGACGAACGCTTCTCCGTAGTCGAGACTCGAGAGCCAAAAAGACTGCGTAGAATATTACTAGACTTCTGTTTGTCATCTTTTTCTCGGCGTTTCTCCCGCTCATCAATTCTGGCAGGAGAAGAAGTGATAGAGGCAGCGTCATCGAACCCACTGTCATGAGAAGAGCGATGACGATGCTTGCGGCGCTCGGAGTTTCCATCAAGCTCAGGAGCAGTCACCGCAGAGGCAGCATCATCGTCTACAGGGACAATGTCACTGTCACGGGAGGAATGGTGACGGCGTCGACGACGCTCAGATTTTTCGTCATCGTCCTCATCGCGAACTGAGAAAGTATCGCTGTCGCGGTGACGGCGTCTGCGACGCTCGGATCTCTCTTCCCCATCATCAACGGTTACGACAGAGCGGGTATCATCATTATCATCACGAACGGAGGCGACATCACTATCGCGAGAGGAGCGGTGACGACGTCTGCGGCGTTCGGACTTTTCTTCATTATCATCAACGGTCACTGTAGACCGGGCATCATCATTATCGTCGGGGAGAGAGAATGTCTCACTGTCACGCTTAGAGTGACGCTTGCGATGCTTCTTCCTGTCTTTCTCCTCTTCTTCATGGTGATCAACGCTCTCGGCAGCAATCGCTGCGGCGGTTGCAGCAGCAGCAGGAGCAGCAACATCACGGAGTAACTCAAATTTATCGCCACTGCGACGGGAATTCTTGGACTTTGTCGACGTCTCGACTTCTCTCTCGACAGGAGCAGAGAAAACAGAGCGAGAATCATCACGGTACTGGGCGAGATCGCGAAAGACCTCAGGGGTGTCAAATCCACCAGGCATAGAGAAGACATCGTTCTCAGCGTAGGCAGGACGGTCACTCTTTGCATTCAGCTCTTCCATGACCTTTTCAGCTATTGACGTGGGCTCGCGAGACTCTACTAGAGAGGAGGTATCCTTGGCAAGAGGCAAGGGCTCGGAATAAAATGGCTCGCCCTGAGTAACATGCCGCTCAATTGCTTGAACATCTGCAGGCAGACTAGGTTTCTCACTCTCAATCTCACTCACAACAAATCCTTGCGGCTGACTTTGCTCTTCAGTCCACTTCGAGCGAGAAGAGAAAGTTCCCTCATCCTCTGATCCGGGAGGTGAAGTGCGGGTATGGAACTTAGGATCATTCAGGACAACCGAAGAATCAAATCCAGCTGCTTGGGTTCCAGCAGCAAGAATGGCTGCGAATTCAATGTCCTCTCCAAAATTCTGTCTTTCACTGAAACTCTTCGACTTTTCAGTAGATTCAGCCACAGAGAACTCCTTGGGAGAGTCCTCAAATGGAGAGATGTCGTGATCGGTGGGTTCATGCTCAGATGAGGAAAGAACTTCATATTCGTGAGTTTTGTCATGACCCCAGGAGACCCGAGAGCCAGTAGTAGAGCGTTGGGGTTTCCATTCAGACTCAGCTACGACCTCAGGTTCGGGCTCAGGCGCGTTATCAGAGGGTAGCTCAAAGCCATCCTTTCCAGGAATAGGAAGACCCTTGCGTTTCAACACCTTTTCACGCTTCTTTCGGTCCTTGGAGGAAATGATGAACCAATCTTCATAAAGAGGGTCAGGTGACTCCAAAGGCTCGGGTGCAGGCTCAACTTCAGGCTCGGCTTGTGACTGGGGTTGGGGCTCAGGCTGAGGCTCTGGCTCTGGCTCACGCTGTCGTTCACGCTCAGGGTCCTCGGTAACCACATTTTGTCCAATTGGTGATGCTGCGCCAGTCACAGAACCATTCACACTCTGATCAGGAGTAGGCTTGATGAGGCAGAGTGAAGGGACTTCCCAAGGAAGAGCACGATTCTCATATGGCTCTGGGCCGAAAAGTGGACCGTTTTTAAGCTCATCAGAGAAAATAATCTGTTGACGATCGCGACGCTCACTTGCAGGTACCACTTCAACAATTGAAGGCTGATCTGTGGAGTGCGTATCGTGATCGGGGCTATGGCGGAGCTCCTGCGGGGCATAGAAGTCGGCATAGCTTTCATAAACAGGGGAGGACCGAGGGCTGCGACGAGACGGACTCATCCTAGGGTCTACTTCATGCTCCACAGAGGGGACATCATCGACAGGCACAACAACATCCGTGCGAGTGATGACTGATGATTCCATCTCTTGGCGGCTTTGCTCTCGCTCCTTGCGACGCTTCTCTCGGCGCTTGCTGTAACGGTCTGAACTAGCCTCAGAAGCAGCTGCATCATCTGCCTCATGAGACATGACGGTATCGGCAATAATACCGCCCACAGCACCAATAGCAATGTCTTTCATCCGAGAGGATTCTTTTTCTTTGGCAGCCTCACGAATGCGACGCTCTTCATCCTCTTGTTCGCGATGACGCAGCTCTTGGCGCTCGGCTTCCAGGCGTTCCACCTCTTGACGCTCAGCTTCTTGGCGCTGAAATTCTTGACGCTCATACTCTCTGCGCTCAAGTTCGCGGCGCTCAAGATCACGACGCTCAAGATCACGACGTTCATTTTCACGGCGCTCCAATTCTCGGCGCTCCAGTTCTTGGCGCTCAATTTCACGACGTTCATACTCTCGTCTTGCCTTCTCTTGCTTGGCCTGCTCTTCTTCAACATCAATCAATTGAACAGCTTGATCGAATTGATCCCTTGATTTTCTTTCACGACGACTCTGCTGCATAGTCTGTTCATCTGTCAATGCAAACGAGACATCCTTAGTAGTAGATCGGCGCTTGAGAGCAGAGAATGAAGGCTCCTGGGTAGGGAAAACGGGGAAAGAGTCACTGCGTTGATGGATACGACGAGGATCACGATCATGTTGGAAGATAGGAGGTATTTCAGAGGTAGCGTAAGCAGGAATAGATCCAGGTAGACCTCCCTGTGTAGTGTACACGGCTTGAGAAACGGGAGTAACAGGCTGAGGTTGCTGAAGAGGAATAGGACCAGGACGGACGAGCGGAGCTTGATCTGCTGAGACAACTGAGGGAGAGACATGGGTTGCATCAAATCGAGTAGGATCACCAGTAGCAACTGGGTAGACTTGTTGGAGACTTCCATCACTGCTTGAAACACGACTGTCACGATGGTGAGCAATAGAAGTAATGGCTGCGGCTCCAAGGGCTCCAGCACCAGCAGCAAGAGCGGCGTCAGTAGCAGAAGATCTCTTCTTCTTGTCCTTCTTGCTCTTTTTCTTGTTGAGACCAAAGAAGCTCCAACCACCACGGCCTGAGTCAGAACTGGAGTCAGCACTGCTGCCTCCAAATGCTAAAGCGGACTCAACACTATCGGAGGTTTGACTCTCTGATTCATCATCAATCCACTCTTCATCTTCATAGGCTGAGGAAGCGTAGTTAGAATGACGGGAACGAGATTCTCTGGAGGCAAGAATCTGGCCAGTGGTGCGACGAGAAGCACTAGAAGCAGCAAGAGCTGTGGCTGTTGCACTCAATCCCAGGAGAGCTGCATCAACATCTTCTTCCTTTTTCTTTTTTCCTTCTTTCTTAGACTTTCTAGCTTTGGCCTTCTTCAAGAAACCAGTACCAAAGGCAAGATCCGCATCAAGAGATGAGGAAGAGGAGCTGTTGAAAGAGAAGAATCCTTTGCGCTTGCTCCGCTTCTTTTTGCGGTTCTCAGAAGATGCAAGAAAAAAAGAGGTAAAGCCACCACCGGATTTGGTAGGCCGGGAAACATCAAGAAAAGACGAACTGGAGGAAGATTCTTTTCGCCGTTGAACTCGGGATGGAGAACGACTACGGGACCGCTGGTGTGATTTTGCAACAGCTAGCGCAGCAGCTCCACCCACAGCAGCACCCAGCGCTGCCTCTTTAAGAGAAGAATGGCGACCGGACTGAGAGGATGATCGCGACCGGGATCGTGAGCGGTTCTGGCGAGAATGCTTTGAGTCGGAGTAGTACTGTTCATGAGTTGAGCCAGCTCGGCGGACAACACCTCGTGAGGTATAACTCCTGCGGTCGGAGACGGAGACGGACTCGGTGTCATAAGAAACACGATCATCTTGAGAAGTGCTAGAGCGAACGCGGTAAGAGTCCTTGAATTCTTTGCCAGCAAAGAGACCCCCAGCCAGCATTCCAGGAAGCCAAGAAGAAGACTTATTTGATCGGCTTGATCTTTTGCGACGACGACTTTCATCCTCGGAGGAATGGTATCGACTAAGCTTGTCCACCCGAGAAGAGCTGCTACTGCTGTAGCGATCAGAAGAGTGACGGCGGGCATGGTAGTGATGCTTGCGAGGCGCATCAAGGGAAGTCGTGCCCGGTTCAAAGCAATACTTGCAAACACCAATGGTTTCTGTGTAGTCTTCAAACCGACCGACACCTTCGGGATCACGCCAGAAGTCTGCAAACTTTGACACTGGACCCTGGGGGCGATGTCGCATAGCAAGGGCACCAGTGCCATGGGGGGTAAAACCCGGGATTTTGCATGGCATATCCGGCAGGACCTGGGGCCATCATGGCAGTCTCAGCACCAGCAACTTGGAGAGGCATTGCGGATGGGGATTCTTGAAGGGGCATCCCGGATGGAGATGGCTGATCAAAGTTCTGAACCTGCCATTGGGGCTGAGCTCCAGTATTAGCGGGATGATGTTCATGACCAAGCATATATCCTGCAGCTGCACCTGCAGCCGCAAGACCAAAACCAGTGCCGATGCCATGTGACTGAGGGGGAGGAGGTTTGCTGGTACTTGGACCAGCCGGCTGCGAGTACGAAGTAGAGTGTTGGGCAGTTGTGATCTCGGTTTGAGATTCGCTGTGACTCTGGTATGAAGACATACCACTGCTCATTCCATAAGCAGCAGCTCCAGCTGCGGCGGCAGCAGCAACAGACGGGGCAGCACCTGACAAAGGAGGCTTGCTTAGCTGCGATGAAGGTCTGGAGGGCTTCGAAGACACCTTTCCAGGCTTTGGCGGCTTGGAAGAAATCTTCGGTGGTGCCTCGGGAACTTGAAAATCATCATCAAAATAAGAAGCGGCGGCGCCAACCTGACCAATACTGCTTGGCTCCGGCGGAGGGTTCGCAATCGGGGAAGCGGCCATCAAATGTGCCTGGCTGTTAGGAATAATCTCCGGCTTGTGAGGTCGAATGCCCGGCTGTTCAGAAACAGACTGGCCTTGATCGCCATAGTAGTCCGCTGCCGCACCTGCAGGATTATTAGGAGGAAAATACGGTGCTGCCACCTCAGTTGGGAACTGACCAGGGAATTGCTGCTGTACATGTGGATCATATGGTGCCGGTGAGGGATTATGGTGAGGGGATCCAGATCCTGACACGGCGGGATGATCATATTGGCCAGGGAATTGGGAGAAACCAGGCGCACCCATGTCCGTAGCAAACTGCGCAACCGGTGCGCTTGGCGACATGGATGCAGAGATTGGTGGAACATAGGGAGCTCCAGGTTGTGTGCGCTGGCGCTCGCGACGGTCGCGCTGGTCATCCCGATCCTCGACCATTCCTTCATCAATCGCTCGACTACTATTCCGCATATCACGCTCTCGGCTCTCAGATCGATCGCGGGCACGGCGGCGAGAGCTCTTACTTTCTCGATCGCTATCTCTTCGTTTTGGGGTTCGTTCAATGATACGGTCGGGACTGATCATAGATTCCGGTTCAGCGGTCACATAGGAGGATGCGACAGAATCGCCGGCAGCACTGGGCGGACCACGTCTGCTGCCTGAGGCCGAGGGGGAGTAAGGCGCATCTTCTAAACCACGATCACGGTCGTCACCCCGTGAGGATTTGCGGCTATGGGAAGATTTCGTGGAATCGGCTCGGCGGCGGCTACTCTTTGAGCTAGAGCTGACCGTACTTCGGCCCCCGCCCATAAGGGCTTTGAACATGGTGGGCAAAGATTTAAAGGAATGCCCAGACGGGACAGGCCACCATGTGGAAGGTTAGGAATGTAAGAATTGAGGGGGGAGAGGGGGAGTGAAAGAATGTAGTAATTATCGAATGAATGGGGAGGTTGGGAAGGTCGGGGAAGAGGCGTTGTTATGGTTTGTTTGGGGGTAAACAACGGGAGCTGAACCGTGGATCGTCCAGCGGGGACTTGGTTAGTACTAAAGAACCCACGGTTGTTCTAGACGATCGGATCTATGTCAGCTTCAAGTTTGGGAGATTTTCCATAAATTTGTTAGATATCAAGGTTTTTTTTTGGTCGAATTTTGATTCAAGTTTGAGTTTCTGCAGAAAGAACAATGCAAGAGAAAACTGCAGAAAGAAAAAAAAAATCAACTCGGTGGCACCGATGAAGTGTCGCTGCACCAAGTGGAGCGAATCAAAATCGCGGTGAGGGTGGAGTGCACGGACCACATTGACGATTCTTCGTCACTATACAAGATGTATGGATATGAGATCATATATAGTAATTACTTTAAATCTATAGGTGGCTACCTTGAGTTGAATACTACATATAGTTAACCTTAGAAGCTACCTATTGTTATGCTGAAATCTTAGAGTTTCTCCAAGTCGGGTATAGTTGCCACCAGTTGATCCCTTCCGAGGTATATTTACAATGACCATGCAGTACACTCAGGAAGAGACAAGCAACTTGAATACTAGTAGCCCTTACTCATTATGTCTAGCATACATCCATTAGATAAAACTCCTTAGATACAGAAAAATTGTCCAAATTATATCAGATGAAAACCCAGCATAAATAGACAAATTAATACTACTATCGGATCCAATCAATCGATTCAAGTGCTCAAATATACACATTTCCAAGTGCTACAAAACTCAACCGTCATGTGGAATCAATCATTTATTCTTTTCCACCCGCATCGACTCCTCCATACTATTCCGAATAGCATTCTGGAACCAAAGCGGAAATCCTCTCAAATGAGTTGAGATCCATCCCGAAGAGCCTGGCACATTAACATGTCCACTCTGTCCAGTCAAAACCTGCTTGACCAGATTCTCCGCCACAGTCTCCGGATACAGCAGCGGCGCAATGAACCCATCTTCCGGCGTCAAGCCATCAATCAGAGTCGTGCGAGTAAAGCTCTGCGTAACGAGGACAGTGCGCACCTTTGGCGCATTAAGTCTGGTGACCAGCTCTGTGGAAAGGCCCTCATGGAAGGCGATAGTGGCCGCCTTGGTAGCGCAGTATGTCACCATATTCGCCGCAACAGTGTATCCCGCCTGCGAGGCGACGGTGACTACCATACCATGGTTATTTTTGACCATATCCGGAAGGAACTCCTGGGTCAGCCAGTAGTGGGACATGTTATTAATTTCGAAGAGACGACGGGTGAGTTGAGGGGAGATCTCGAGGATGGTTTTCGCGGGTAGGATACCAGCATTGTTGATTAGGATGGTGGGGCGACCGAGGGAGGTACGGATTTGTGTTGCGACCTCGGTGATGGCTTCGGGACTGGTGATATCGCATTCGTAGAAGCGAACAGTCTTGGGAAGCTCAGCTGGAGAAGGGGGTGTAATATCTAGGATGGCGACTTTGATGCCGCGGTCGCCGAGCTGCTGCGCGACGATACGGCCGATGCCGTTACTTCCACCGGTCAGGACGATGATCTCCTTGTTCCAGTCGTAGGTATCGGAGAGGCCATTGTTGGCGCTGCGGTGGTCAAGCCATGCGCTAACTCGGTTGAGGAGTCCCAGTGAGGCGAAGACTCTTAGCGCCTTCAGGAGATGAGGGCGTGCCTCGGTAACTGCGCGACCTTTACCACTGTACTGGGCTAATGCGAAGAGAGGGACCATTATCCAGGGATTAAGGACGGTGCTTCGAATGAAACCGGTCAACACGTCGGCCGTGAAACCTGCATTAAACTGTAAGCATCTCTATAACATTAGTTGGAGGAAAGAGGGGTAAGATACCTTCCCTGGAGGGCCATTTCTTTCCTTGTGATGCCATTATGTATGGGAATGTATAGAGCTTGAGGGATGAGCGCCACAAAATGGTGGACGTTGCTCACCTTATATAAAACGGTAAGAAAATCGCCCCCCAACGATTATAATGAGGCCGAACAGTGGACCTAGGCAACAAAAAGTGGGGTTCATGTGTTCATGTGTATTATTAGAACCTTGGGACTATCCATGGATGAGCTAACCTTCCACTCCACGGTACATACTCCGTCATAATAGACTTCAATTGTACCCATATCAGTGTGCCAACCTTCTCTCAATTTAAATAGCAATACCAGGTATCCGCTGAGCAGACCAAGTGTCATTCTACAATTTTACCTGAGATTTAGTTTAATGGCCCCGAAGAATCCGCGTGCAGCCCCCAAACCGTCAACCTGGGCAGCGCTCTGCTAGGTATAGTGGAAGTATAGCCCCCAAGCTAATAAGCTCCAGCTCCAGATGGCTCTGAAGGATGCTCCAGGGCTGATCGAAACCAATATTTAAATGCCTAATCAAGGCCTCGAATATTTGTTTCAAGTTCCAGTACACGAGTCAGCTTCGAGCACTCCTAGGCAGTTCCAAGCCTGAGTACTTGAGTGAGAATGTTCAGTTCTTACCAGAGGCTCCAGCTCAGAGTTACAGAGAGATTCAAGTTGAGCCTACCTGTTAGTCTGGGATAATTACTCAGGTGGACCCCAATCCTTGACTCGGATCATCTAAGTGTACATTAGTGCCCAGGTGGTTAATTTGTACTCCGTACTTGAGCTTATATTCAAGCTGCCACAAGATTGTGAAGAATATTATAGTGCCATGTGGCTTTGCAATCAACACCTCATAGTAAGTTGAATTCGACGGATCAATATTTCAGGCTTGTCTTTATTGATGGGCGAAATAGCCAACTGTCTAGTGCCAAATCTGGATTGTGTTGCGATGTTGATGGCCCCCGATCTATGGCGCCAAGCATAATAACTCGCCCCCAATAAACCGAAATGGGGGTCAACGTGAAGAATAGAGATTTATCCCTTACTCCTTGCTCTGTACAATCAGTTTTTATCCATGGGTCATTAAGCACTTGAGTCAACTGGTAGGCCCATTGACATGGGGAGGAAAATCATGGCCCCAATTATGTCATATACACGCTGGTTCACTGATCACTCCAGGCAGTCTGAATTCAGATTCCACTACTACCAGTAGAAGCTACTGGTCTGAGGAGAAAATATTCATGTAATCGGTACTGGTAGCCGTATTGATTCAAGTCCAGATAAATGGTTCTCATTCTACAGTAGATTCCCATAAAATCCATGGAGACACCCCCATAAATTGCAATCCAAGTGCAACCACCCTAACTCCTATACAAGCAAAAGAGAGAAAAAAAAATTGGTCAAAAAGGACACAGAAGAAGCAGATAGTGAGCCGAGAAATCCAAAATGAAATTCACAAAAGAAGAGGACCCATGGGATATGATAAAAGTTCATTGAAAGAAGATTCAAAGAGGGGGAAAAAACACCAAGCCGGCCAAAAATGTAGATATCGCCGTGAGGTCGAAATCATTAATAAAAAAAAACAATCAAAAAAGCGATCCGGATGAGGAAGAGTAATACATGATATCCAAGTCAATTGCAATAGGTTGTCAAGATGCAATATATGACCCTATCGAAACTTCCCTCCAAAATGGTAGAGTTATGTGATCGGTCACGTATCAGAGCTTCTCAAATGCAGAATGAATTCACCCCATCCGAGCTGAGGATCATATATAGCTGAGAACACCGGAAATATAGACTCCGATTGAACACCACAGGCGAAAAGCCTAGAGGTCAGATAGCCACGCCCCAAAAAGAAACCCCAGGAAAAAGAAACAAAAGGTCCAAAGATTTGGTAAATGATAATAACTCCATCATGATGCCCATATGATCGAACTATAGCTGGTTACGCTGGTGGGAACCAAAGATTTTGTCAAAGATCTCGGTCAGGATTCGAGCATCGGCTCGAAGGGTTGGGGAAATGTTGGTATTCTGCAGTAAAAACCGGATGGTGCGTCGGAGTAAACGCTTGAGTTTATCTCGTGGGATAAGCTCGGCAAGGAAGGACTGGTAAGTCGCCGAGAGGACAAGCATATTGCCGAATTGTCTGCATCAGAAGATTGATTAATATCCACATTGGATTTTGGGATACCCTGGGACAAACTTACGCATGAGCAGTACCGAAGATGTTAGTGACAACGAGTCGACCCTCAACTCCATCGAAAGCCTCCGTACTGAGTATTGCTGACTCCACACAGACCTTGCAGGCACGACGCAGCTTCTGTGGAAGCTCACGCATCTGCACATTTGGCGGACTCCACCCGTTCGGAAAGTCGGGATTAAAGCTGTTTGTCATGGGTCCGAGGTCACTCGCCATGCGCGTCATTTCCGGAACTTCGGTTGTTGTGACTTGAGTCATTAACGGAGAGGTCTGCTTTGACTGGGACCCGGCTTCCGCGGAAGGTGGAGAGTTCTCAGGGTCCATGATACGCCCATCAACTCCGACATGCTCCTTGCCAAAATGAAGAGCGTGATATAAAAGTGGCCGATGAATGATGTATCGAGCTCCGTAGTATTTACCTCTCATGCGAGCTTCATTGATATCAGTTGCAGGTTCATCGGTATCCTTCCACTTCATATTGATCGGGAGACTATCGCGCCAAAGATCGAGATTCATGCTCAAAGTCTCTTGTACGGTCGAAGACCATCGCTTTTCCTTTTCGCGCTTCTCTGTTGTTCTTTGCATTAATCACCGGGAAAATAAGAATAAAAATAAAATGTAACAGAATAAAATGAAATGTAGGTTCCAACAACGCAAGGGTAAACTCACTTTCAACTTTGTACAGATCAGTGTGAACACGGTTGAGAACCTTGCGAAGATGAATTTGTGCTGAGTAGAACAGCATCACCCTTGTATTAGGTGCCTCAAGAGAATCGGGGATTTGAATGGTAAAGATACCCTTCGGTAGAGTCATCCTACTCTCCGACCGAGAAATGCCACTGGCTGGAATATCCAGCTCGGCCAGGAGATCACTGACACAGCACATTAGTACGGAGTGGAAACAAAGAACATAGTAGGGACACACCTCTCAAGCTGAAGACAGGTCCAAAAGGCAAAGATATACAAATCTTTCCTAGCACCCTCGTCAATTCTTTCGAATCGTCGCCTATGTGTAAAATCGGTTGTCAGTATAAGCCAGATAGGAAAAAGTTATTTCAAAACATACTGTCGTATAAGGACTTGGCAACCTCGAGCCGCCTGGGAAATCCAACCGTGGCTCTGGAAAGGGTGTGCTAATTGACCGGCATAAAGGCCCGCAAGTAAAGATGCTTGAACATGCTCCAACTCCACTCCTCCTTGGAGATGCCCCAAAATTCCTGTTGCGTATCCGTATAATGCTAGACCGGGGATAACTTGAAGATTTTTCACGTTGCCATACTCATCACGAACGTTAGATATGGACCGCCTGGACAGAGCACCGGCGTTCTTCCCAATGACTTCGGTTGTGACAGATGAAAATGAAGAGGGCACTGGGATCATAGGGTTAGGAAAGAAGGTCATTGGTTCAGAGCTTGCTGGAGAGTCTTGACCGTTGCCGTTCAAGTTGTTTGCTGGTGTTGTACCCGGAGGCGGAGGAGGCGGGGGAGGTAAAGGTGGCCAGGGTGGGGGGGATATGTTGATGAAGGTAGTCATTTTCCTCATCCATGATTGGACCTGGGAGAGGTGACGGTGTATCGCAAATAGCCCCAACAGCAAGTATAAGTAGAATACGAGCACATTCGATATTCTTACCAACCCGGTGTCGACCATTGTGGGGAGACATCGGCTCAACAGATTCACCTCGTATCCCATGAGGCTCATCATAGGGACGTTTACGCTTCCCTCCTCGTTGGTTTTCATGGCAGAGGCTATTCACACGGTCCATCCGGTGAGGAGGATATGGAGAATACCACGTCAGGAAATCTTCAAACTGAGTCGCTACTTCTTCTTCGTCAATAAAAGGGTGAAGTCTATGCATTCGTTCAAGATAGCCCTTGAAGTACTTCCGGGCCGTTGTCGGATCGAGGTTAAAGTAGCCAGAGCTGGTGATGTCGATTTGACTGTCGGAAGGTAGAGATTCCTCTTGGGGAATATATAGACCTTCTTGAGGGATGTAGATGCTTGGAGCATGGCCGGGAACTGGTGGCCTTGGTCTGACAGGAAGTCGAGTGCCATCTGCTGAAAACGAGTTCTCACCCTGTCCAAGAACACTGATAAGACCTCGCTCTTCTTCCAGTCTCATCACATAGTCTTCATCATACTCCTTCGGACTTATCAACTCCTTGATTGTGGGCCATTTCAAGAGTTTATGTGCCGCAGTCGTGTGTTCCACCGGGATGGACAGTTCGCCCTCATTACTCTCCTTCTTCATGTCATAGGGGTCTCCGAGGGGTGGCATATCCGGTTGTGGTTCCTGAGAGAAAGACGGGGTACCCTCCGACACATCAGGCTTCAAAGTAATTTTATTGGACTCGACCTTCAAAGGCGGGCGATGTTGAGCCAAGCTCCCGCCGCCAGGTAGGAGGGCATGAAGCTCCCTCACCAAGTGCGTCAACTGTACCATTTGAGTAGGCAGTTGTCCCAGTTGCCCTAATTGTTGCCCTAGTTGCGTCACTTCATTGCCTGTGCCACTGCATAGCCCGACTAATTTGTCAAATTGAGTCGAAATTGCATCTCCATGATCATTCAGTCGGTCGATAACTTGTTGGGTACCCTTTTCTTGTCTGCTTCACAAGGTTAATTTCTTCATCAGCGCCTTGATCATTGACGGAGCACAAACTTATGTGGCGGAATCTCCTTGTACACGCAACCCAAATTATTCTCTTTGCAATGACTGCAGGCTGGTCGTCCTTCATCACACTTGGCTTTTCGTGATCGACATTGGTCGCATGCCTTTGCCAAATTGTTCCTCGAGTCAGTAACTATGCACCAACCACTATCGTATTTAGGAGCAGAATTAAGATGAAACTGACTTGTGTTGCTCGATTTGCCTTTCGTTGCCGAGCTCCAGGAGGTTGACTTCCGTAATAAGGATCGTAAGGCATCGAACCCCCAGCTATCATAGGTGGGGCCTGCATGTACTGTGATGAAGAGATATGTGCCGGAAGGGGAGGTGTGGATTCACTTTGAATCGATGATTCAGAGGGCTGATATCCCAAGCGTGAACGATAATCCGAGCTTATTGCTGGAGGGGAAGCTTCGTGCGGGGATCCGTTTAAGGGAGGGCGGTAGCTGGTATGTACTGGACTTGGCTCGGGAGCAGAGTGTGGAGGTGCTGGTGCTGGCAAGCCATTTGGGCGAGCATAAGGTCCATCTGGTGAAAGTTGGGCCGGTGGAAGCTGAGGTAGTTCACGGTTTGGAATGACGGGTCCTGGGTATGCTTGCGGGGGAGGTGGGCCTTGGAGTGCAGATAAACGGCGAGGTTCAGCATGATGTTCGTAGGATGGATGGTATGGAGGGCGCCATGAGTCGTAGGGCGCATGGGCCGAGGACGCATTAGGACCCTCGGGCGGTTGCATGCGATGCATTGGAGAGGGTCAAAGTCACGAAGAAAGAAAAAAAAAGAAGGTTCAATGAGGGAGATCTGAAACTGGTGTCAGGCGCATGTCTTTCCAGATCAATAACGGCTAGGGTAGCTATAACTGTTTCATTCATACCAGTGATCAAAAGCAATATAGCTTGGAGCTCCACCCCTTAGATACACATGACGGGGGGATGCGACTCGAAGGGAGGGGAAGACCGGAAGTTAGGCGTGGAGGGGAAGCTTTTAGATGGTTGCGCGCGCCAAAAGCTCGGGGATGGACCAGCGGTGAAACCGTGCTCAGATATAGCTTGTTGAAAATGAAGTAGTATTTATGATTCGTCTCTTTTATTTTTTATTTTTCCGGTCTCTTGCTCTCTTTGGATATGCGCCTCCGGAGTCCGAGAAGAGCACAAAAGTTGGGCGCGTTGCGGGAGCTTTCTTTGTGACTTTTGTGACTAGGGTGGAGCGGCTAGCAACAAAGAAAAATAATTAGATACCACGAAAAGAGCCAGGGGGGGTCGTAGTCACGAAAAAGAAATCATCGAGGATAGATCGAAGTTCCAAAGTACGGAAAGCAACTGGACTCTGGGCACAGCTGAGTGGTGGAGGGGGGCAAAGAGGGCATTGGTATTGAGGGTATTGTGGTAAGAACCTTGGAATCCATAAAAAGATCCAAATGACCGTGATTCCCCACTATGGGGGGGGGGGGAAGGTACAAAATGTACAACATGTACAGTATTGTAAATTTGGTATTGCCGTGACGTACCTGAAGTTCCAAGATTTCCAATTCTCTGTGATTCTCAAATACTCAAATACTCTACTCCCGCGGCCTCCAGGGCTTCCAAGGTTCGTAATAGAGTAATAGACTGTACAGTGTTTTTTTTGTTTCGTTCTCGATTCGTGTCCAGTGGGTCGTCAAATTAATCCAAACTCTCGGGTCGATGAAGGAAATATACTGTATTCTATTATACAGCACTGAAGTTCACGGGGGTTGGAGGTTCTAGTTGGGATGGTAAATCCGAGATCAGAATTCCTTCTAAACCACAGGGAGAAAAGCGAGGGAGCGGGAATATAAAGAGATTCGCAGTTAGAATTACGTCCGTAGAGATCGACACATATGTGAGCTGTTTGCCCCTCCCTTTTTCCTTCGACTAGGGTGAAAATTTAAATAAAAAAATAAGAAAAATAAGAAAACAAAATAAATTGGTAAATAAAATCAAGATAAAACAAAAATAATAAAAATAAAAATAAAAAAAATCCTCCATAAGCTCCAAGGCTCTAATTCTGAGATTAACCAGATCGGAGGGTTCTAAACAGTAGGATCTCCCCCAAAAGGCGAAACTCTACGAAGTGACAGGTCTCCCCGTTAACTGGGTTGCGTGGGTCTGGGGTTGGATGTACATAATTAGTAAATTGTGATAATTATAATCATACCAATCATTACTCTTTCTAGGAATGGAAAGAAATCACGACAATAATACTGATTTTTAGGTACTTCTTACATATAGTATGGTCTACTGACTCCAGTGGTAAGCCACGAGGTGTATACTCCATTTAGCCGCCATTTCATCTGAACATTGGATCATTTGCATTTTTTTTTAAGATATTTCAATGTTCCTAGCTTCTCCGGCAAACTGCTTAGGGATTAGGATCACAGCGTGTCCCGTTCTCCCGGCCCAAGAAAACCTTGGAATACCACTCTCCAATCTGCAAAGTCTGGAAAATTCGTCCGGATCTCCACATGTGGGGAGTTTGCAATTATACTGTAATCACCAGAATCAAGAAAAGGGTGAAAGGGGGATGCTAGGACAAGGATCGCTTCCCAAGGACCCAGTCCTCGGGAAATCTTAACAATCTTGGTGTTGCTTCCTACCAATCGCCTCCACCACTGAAACTAGAGTCTATCGAGCGATCTCGATCGAGAGATAGAACGAAGCTATATCCCGCATGAGTAATTGCAGACCTCGGAAGAGGAAAGAGCGAAAACGAAAACAAGACCAAAGCCAGTTTAGGTTCCAATGCCGCGACACCGCTTGCAAGGGGCGTGAAACAATATCCAAGGTGAAGAACTTTATTGGCTTGCCATTTCAAACAATCGGTGGAGAACTTTAGATCGGCGTTCTCGAAAACACTGAAGCCTCTTCGTGGGTGGTGGGAAGTAGGGAAAAAAAACAGAGCGCCCCGGGAATATGGGTGAAAGGTAGATCAACGGGGGGGTTTTGGACCCAGGGATTTGGTTAACACCTGGTGTGAGGTCTTGAAACGGGTTGATTAGTTTTCAGTCGTCATAGAAAGACCCATATAGGGCTCCAGCTTCAGCTCCCGTGTATCCCGTGTACTCCGTAACCCGTAGAAGCTGCCTTGACCTCGGGTGGTGTAGTGTTGACGGGAACTCACCTCACAGCTGCCCCAGGAATTTGTATTGTAATTACCGCTCATCCACGGTTCCTCCAGGGACATCCGCTCTATTATCCATGGTTAATCACGGGAATTATCCAAACTCCACCGGTGACATTTTTGACTTATGACAGGTTTGCGACAGGGATAATAGCACATTTTGTGGAATGTGATGAGCGATCGTCCAATCAATTAATGACTCAATGTTTGTAGAATCTACCGAGGCCAGTTCAAACATTGAATATTGTGATAGTATTTCCAAGGTTCCAATGTTGTGATTATATTCGGGACTGCCAGTGTGATCTGGTTACCAAGCATGAGATGTACTATTCAAAGTATAGCACTTGAGTATATTTGCAGAAGTTAGTCTCAAGATTCTATGCAGCTCGACCGAGATGATCCAATCCCTGTTCAGATCAATGGACGTTGCATATCACATTTTCATTCAATGCTAGATGTTTATCTTACACTCTGCAGCTCTTATGAATCTTACATATAGTAGTAGAAACTGCACTTTATGGATGAACGTTTGAATGTTTTAATCTGATAGGATCAGTAAAGAGCTTAAAATATCCTTTAGTCTATACTGACATTTGAATACCCCAGGTACTAGCACCTTGACACTACTAAATTGATAAATTTCCGAATATCCCACTAGCATCCACATCTAATCACTAGTGCTACCCAAAAATCAAATTATGAAAGAAGCTCCATTCCAAACCCAGAAAACTCGTATTACAATCCGGGGAAGATTACTCCGCGACTTTCCTATTGAAAGAATACACCGGTCCCAGCTGGCTTGGGACGAAAAATGACTTCATTAAAGATGTGGACACTCGGTCATCCCGTAATTGGCGTACGATGCCCAGATGATATCAGACCGCAAGAACGCAACATTTAAACCCGACCCAACACTAAGGGAAAATAGAGAGGCCCAACGATGATAAATTCCCCCCTCAAACAAACCACCCTGCTACCCAACACTGGGGATAAGAAAATCAAATCGAAAATATGCACCAATGATTAGAAATCTCGAGTTTGATTTCATTTCACAATTTTTTTTTGCTTTTCTTTCGCCAGTTAGACCGAGTCCAACGCAGACGCAGGTCAGTCACACAAGCCCATAAGCCCACAAGAGGGACGTGCCATAGAATGTATTTTTTGCTTCTTTTTAACCGTTGACTCGCGCAGCCGTCCGACTGTCAGGCTGTGCAAATTATGAGACTGTGGCAACTAGGCCAGTCAAACGACTTGTACAGTAGTTCTCCTGGAGCGGAATTGGTGGAGTCAATGATACCCGCAATTCACGGTTGGTTACAGTACAATAGTTTGGACTCGGCCCGCTTTGTAGGTCATAGGCTCCATCTTTTTCTTTCATGAAGCTCCACGGGGTGAGGTGAGGGTGGATGTTCGGAGAAGAGCGCGTTTGGAGGGGAGTATTGTCACCCGTACTGATACAGTATGTATCGGAATGGATTTATCAATCAACCCGTGGACGTCTATGTATGTGTGCTCTGTGCTGAAATATCGCCGCAAGATAAGATCATAATATCTGCCAATGGATATGAGACGAACATTTTATTAGCAAATCGCTGGATCTGAATGTCTACGGGTCATTTTTCCCATTGTCATGTACAACATTGTCTGGGCGTATTGATAAGGGGGCTGTACAGCTGACAGCCTTAAGGGACATGAAATGCAAGACTCAATGAATCCAAAAAAAGAATCAGAGCGTTAAACTGTGATAAGATTATGGTGCAATATCGTCTCCTATCTTTTATCGACGATCTGCCGTTTCTATCCTGTCTCTCGGGATCGGTTGGGCGCATCTGGATCGAGATTGGGCGTTAAGTTTCACTTGTTCTTCAGTGATCCAGTAGGTAGCCTAAAAGTCCAGGTGTCTTAAATACATACTGGTAAGTATACCCCATATTCAAAAGCTCTAATGTCGTTGGCCGTCCCCTACTAATTAGCAAGTAGTCATATTGAAAACATGCCCAGGAACAACGTCAAGATCTCAATAAAAAAGAAACCAAAGATCCAATACACAATCAATAGTCTGTTCATGTCTATGCAGTAGGAAAGAAAAAGAAAGCATTTGAATGCACGGTGAACAGCCTCGCAATAGAGACCTTCTAGGTATCAACTGCATCTGAAGGTCGATCACAACCTCGAGTTGTTCATGGGTCGCAATCTCACCTATAAGGCCGGCCGGCCGAGTTCATGTAAATCTGGCTAATCATGCTACTAATTCGGAGTAGTAAAAGAGGTACAGTAGGCGCAGGATGCACACGCACGCATGCGCAATGATATTCATCTGAAGTACAGAGTGCTTTGCGCCCTGCAAGCCATGCATAGTACAGTATCTAACGAGGATAGAGTTTTGTAGGTGACCAATTAGCAGATGCAAGGGATGTTGATTGTCCAGCGTGTACCCCGGAGAATCTTCAATTGATGCAAAGTTGAGATGAAATGAATAAATACGGTTGGCCAGTTCTGTAATGCGGCTAGGACAGAGTATGCCAAGAGACGCCCTTTATTCTCTGTTTACTCTGTTATGGAATGATTTAAGCAGCTTTTCTTGTTGAATCACTTCAAAGTGGGTGA